TGTGTGAGTGTACCTTCGAGATAGACTGACAAGAGCATCGTGAGAATATCATCAACAGAAGTTGTAGTGGCCTTTACAAGACCATCAATACACTTGAAGATAACATTATCACCAACTTGCATAGTCATATTGGCATCGTCAGTGGTTAATATAATTTGTTGTTGGTAAATCGGAAGGAAGCCAATAAACAAATGATCGATGCCTTTTATATCTTCGTTGGCATAACAAAAATTAAGATATCGAAAAATCATCGGGATGATCAAGTCATTAGCATAACAAAAACGCAAAAGGTCGTTACGGGTCAAATTCGTTTTATAATTCTTTGGTTAAAGCACCAAACAACAATTTTGACTCGAAGAAACTTTGGCTGCAAAATGCTAAAATTATTAGAAAATTGTCTGGTAGCATTCATACTTGACATGGTGGATTCTGGTCTTAATTACCGTATATATACTGAGCAATAGGTAACCTTTGAAAACTTGACAATAAATACTTCAAATTTCTGTACACACGAAACATTCTCTGGTATTCGTAAGATTATCCAAACACGACATACTCAACTAAAGATTCGGAACAAGCTGCCACAGGTATCCAACACGGTACCACCATCTGGTTTGGTAGCGCCATAGTGATGAATGATAGAATTGAGAGAAAAATTGACAATAAGGAATTTCGATGTTGTCAAACTATGTCAGATTCATGTATTGACACCATCAATGAGTTTAATCCAGTATGAAAAATAAACCAGAAAGAAAAATAACGGATTGATCTTGTTGGAGAGCAGAATTCATCGGTGACTGGGACTAACTCGATTTTGTATGGGAACTTGGTCGCACCATCGTTGCATACACAACGACATCGTTTAAATTGGGACAACTTTGCATCATCTTCCATGGAAACGAATGTAGTTTATTCTATGTTGATGTATCGTAATATTTAGGTGAGGTCATAGAATGCATTTTTTTGAAAAACATCAGAGCTCACCCGATTAGGATGATGGCTTCGTGGTACAAGTTGACTAAGTTCAGCAACTTGGAGAACCAATAAGTTTCCAGTTGAGCTCAACAAGAAGGTTAATATATGTTATTCCAACACGGCGATGGTCGAGAGGGAATCACACTGAGTAGAATTTGAAGAAGTTGGGATTGAGATGGAATATAAATTGAGAGGAATTCAGCCCATATTTAGAAACGTATGGACTTAGAATCCACCGATAATCTTAATTATTGAAGATACATTTCTGAAAACACAATGGAGCAAAAGTAAAACCCACACTTGTCATTAAGCTCATATTAATTGACATCTACCGTAAAGCTACTATCCAGAGCCAACACCATAATAACGATTATGTACCACAAACAGTGAGTCCCGATTTGGACTTATACTAATGTCAAGTTGGAACATAGGTTGACAGCGTGTCGGGATAGCATACGATATTACAGAATTTAGTCTTGGATTACAGTAGGAAGGAATTTACGAGTGTACCCCATATAACTTGGATTGTTGATGAAAAGGAAATCAATGGGCCGGCGATAAGCTACTATCTTTACTGATAAGAACACGGGTCGAACGACCGATCAAATAGGGGACGTCAAGAAAGTGGCTGAGGGGGGACCGTAGTAAGTACCTAGTTCTATCGTGTCAGTTAGTAATAGGAAAATAGTAGATTGTGCGCATTGCATCTAAATCCGATGTAAAGTCACTCATCGACTTTCTCATTGAGATCACATGGAACTCTATTGAAGGGTTTGTTAGCCAAGCATGAGGTTTCGCAATTACACTCTTTCCAACGGATCAAAGGTTAACAGGCTTAATGGGCTCATCCAACAGCTCGTTGGAGTAAGAGCCTGTGTATAATACACATCCTCCGATTGGACAGATTAGAAAAATCTCCTTGTTGGCCAACCTCGGCCTAATGGAACATATACAGGATGTCAATCAGAAAGGTGCCCAATGGACTGAGTATGATAGCGAAACAAGTGTGAGTTTACCGAATATGCGCTTGAAGGTATGGATGGAGTTCGGGGACAAAGAATATATGCACGTTAACCTTTAAAGACTTACAATTCGGTATTATTGTTAGAACGAACAATAAAGTCTGACAGATCAACCTAAACACACTTCGCTATGGTTTTAGCCGTATGATTCCATACAACCGCCATCGTCATGATCAGAGTCAACTTGTTATATGCTCTTCCTCACTATTTGGACCGTGTAACGCTATTAATCTAAGGCGTTTCAGCGTGCCATCTGAAGGGACTTAACTTGACCGTAAAGGGACCGCAATCACATTTTGAACTGTATTAAAACCAAGGTTATTTGAATTATATAACTATTTAATAATGTTGTCAGTTTGCTTACTAACACCATATCTGTAATAACAACTGTAGACTTTTATCCATAGAATACAAGACTTGTTGTAATATTTCGCAACCATCATTAAACCCGTGCAAATACTTGTTCCTTTGAAGCGGCATTGCCTGAAGATTCAACAGCCTCGATTTCCTTGTCACGGAAGGATTTCATTGGTTTCAACCCCCATTTCTTAAGCATTTCAATGTCTTCGTCCCATCCATTGCACATGGTAGTTAACATCTTTTCACCAGTAAAGATGGCGTTACAACCAGCCAAGAAACATAAGAATTGTTCATGTTCTTTCATGGTGTAACGGCCAGCAGCCAAACGAATAATGGATTCAGGCATAATAAGACGAGCAGTTGCAATTGTACGAATAATTGAATCAAACTTCAATTTTCTAGTCAGATCAGAAGGAAGCTTCGAAAGCTCTTCTTCCAATGGAGTTCCCTTAATTGGAACTAATCTATTGATTGGTAAGGATTCTGGATGCTTGTCCATGGTAGCTAAAGTATAAAGAAATCCAATGTGATCCTCTTCAGTTTCACCTAATCCCAAGATACCTCCTGTACATGCCTTCAAACCCACCTTCTGAACGTTCTTTATAGTCTCTAATCGATCATCATATGATCTTGTTGAAATGACTTTAGGGTAATGCTCTCTTGAAGTATCGATATTATGGTTGTATGCTGTTAAACCAGCATCCTTAAGCATATTGGCTTGGTTTTCATCAACCATACCCAAAGTGACACATGTTTCCATCTTCAACTCATCATTAATCCATTTAACCATCTCGGATATCTTTTTCAAACCAGATTTTCTTCCATTCATATCTCTCCAAGCAGCACCCATACAGAATCTAGTGGAACCATTTTCTTTAGCTTTAATTGCGGCCAACTTAACTTCTTCAAGCTTAATTAACTTTTCAGCTTCAGTACCAGTATCATATCTTGAAGATTGAGCACAATATTTACAGTCTTCAGTACAACCTCCTGTTTTAATACTGAGTAAAGTACACAATTGAACTTCGGAAGGATCATGAAATTTCCTATGTTGAAGTTGAGCTTGGAACATCAATTCCTGAAGTGGAGTTTGATAAATTTCTTTAATCTGCTCCTTAGTCCAATCATTCCGTGGTTTGCTTTCAATTGCAACATCAATTGCTTTCAAATGTGAGACCAAAGTAGCATCTGAAACCAGAGCCTTTGCTTTAAGAACATTTGAAGCAGATAATTTTGCAACTGATTTTGAAAAGTGTCTAATAATTGAAACCTTAGTCATACTTATACTTAATATATATAGATGATTCAAGTCTTGAACTGATGAAATTTCAGGAATAAAGGGGTATTATTACTACAATTATATTGTTGGTCTAGACCTTGATTATTTATACGAATTTTTCTATTGGCCTACCTATGGCTGCTCGTGGGCATTGCGCGGGAGTCATTTGAATCATCGACTCAACTAGATTTGAGTCATCCCAGCAGATGACTCCATCGCGAAGTCATCCACCATAGCCATCAATATCGAAGAATTATATATAAACGGTGGTACTGCCCTTCACATGTAGAACAATCAGTAGGCTGAGAATGATTTTTGAAAGCCAGAGAGAAGACTTAAATTTGATGATTGAGTTGCATTAACGACATGGTAAAACATGATCATACAATGACCTCAAACTTTTATTGAAAAAATTATTTTACTTCTTCGTACATACCATAAACATATTCTCTTTGGACAATGCTACCTGGTTGTTGGATGGTGCATATTAGTGGATTGCTGATAGTGGTATCTATCTATTACCACTTGCTTCATATCATCTATTGACTACAACTTCTGGGTTCAAGTACATGAATACAAATAGGGATAAAGAATTCTATTAAGTCCATTGGATCATTTAAGCAACTGCATTGAAGCATGCAACTGTATTGAGCATCATATATTGACCTAAGAATGGTTTTCGAACTTATCTCTAAAATTAGATACTCTAATTCATTGAATTATCGTTAAACTTCAAAGTAATACAAAACGGATTAGCTCAATATTATCATGACACAGTAATAACCTCAAACATAGTTCTATTTGGCTGCTAAAAGAGTCTATTTCATGTTTGCTTGATCTTGCCATCTGGATGTATTCTTGAGTAGTGTTGATTTGCCCTTCCCCTTTAGGTAATGGCACGCGAGGTGCGGAATTGGGAGGCCTATAGTCTGTCGCCGCTGTCAAATTGAAAAGGGACCTCAACACCCTTACACCAAGATACCCAACTAAATTCACAACACGAAGACACAAAACCCTGGAGGCGCATAAGTTTCTTTTTAGGGTAATGGGATATACAGTACCAAACCTTTCCTACTGCCCGGGATTAACACAGGCCTTTATTATCCGGAAATCCCATTTTGATTGGCCAAAGATTAGTATGCCTGTGAGCCTCCCGTCCTGCTTATTTCATTTCTTTTTCTTATCAGAACCGGCCCATACCCGCCATTTGTGTCCAGTTTGATAAATACATGATTATATATAAAGCACCAACATTGTCGCTTATCAATTCCAAATCATTTATACGTCAGACTAAAGAGAACAACCTTCTTTGCTCCTTATATTTATTAACATCATACACATACACAATGTCTGTTCCTATCACACAACAATCCACTATCTTGGCTAAGTACCTTGATTTGGACCAAAGAGGAAAGATTTTGGCAGAGTACGTTTGGATCGATGCCGAAGGTAACACCAGATCCAAGTGTAGAACTTTGGACAAGTCTCCATCATCAGTTGATGACTTGCCAGAATGGAACTTTGACGGTTCTTCTACTGGTCAAGCTCCTGGTCATGACTCTGATGTTTACTTGAGACCTGTTGCATACTACGCTGATCCATTTAGAAAGGGTGATAACATTATTGTTCTTACTGAATGTTGGAACAACGATGGTACTCCAAACAAGTTCAACCACAGACACGAATGTGCTAAGTTGATGAAGGCTCATTCTAAGGAAGAAGTTTGGTTTGGTTTGGAACAAGAATATACTTTGTTTGATCAATTTGACAATGTGTATGCTTGGCCACAAGGTGGTTTCCCAGCTCCTCAAGGTCCTTACTACTGTGGTGTTGGTACCGGTAAGGTTTACGCTCGTGATGTTATTGAAGCTCATTACAGAGCTTGTCTTTACGCTGGTGTCAACATTTCTGGTATTAATGCTGAAGTTATGCCATCTCAATGGGAATTCCAAGTTGGTCCTTGTGAAGGTATTCAAATGGGTGATCAATTATGGATTGCTCGTTACCTCTTGCAAAGAACAGCTGAAGAATTCGGTGTTAAGATTTCCTTCCATCCTAAGCCATTGAAGGGTGACTGGAACGGTGCTGGTTGTCATACCAACGTTTCTACCAAGTCTATGAGAGTTCCAGGTGGTATGGAAGTCATTGACGCTGCTTTGGCCAAGTTGGCTAAGCGTCATAAGGAACATTTGGCCTTGTACGGTAGTGATAACGACTTAAGATTGACTGGTCGTCATGAAACTGCCTCTATGGAAGCTTTCTCCTCTGGTGTTGCTAACAGAGGTGCTTCTGTTCGTATTCCAAGATCTGTTGCCAAGGAAGGTTACGGTTACTTTGAAGATCGTCGTCCAGCTTCTAACATTGACCCATACTTGGTCACTGGTATCATGGTTGAAACCATTTGTGGTTCTATTCCAGATGCCGACATGTACAAGGAGTTTGCTAGAGAATCTACTGATTAATTTTTAACAAGACAAGTCTAGATTGATTCTGTCTTTCTGCTAAGCACCTTATATATTTTACTTCTTTTACACTAAACTTTTACCCTGTACAATTTTTAATACAACACCATACGTCAACTAATTTGATTTGCCTTTGATTTCTGTAGAAGCTTTTGATCTTGCATTGTCTTTGTCACTGCCACTGTTCGGGTATAAGGAACGACGACCGAGGCTATCGTGATTACAATTGAAAAAATAAAATAAAATAAGAATCTCGAAATGTTGAAAACGGGCTTCCTAAACGGGATTAATAGTCTCCTGATAAGAAGGGATGGTCGAACGGGATAGGAATTGCGCGATTACATAATAGAGGGACTTCTGTTTCCGTAAATGGGCTAAATGTTCCTCGGGGCTAAGCCGACTTCAGCATATTCATTGTCGGTTTGTAATCAGGAAAGTATCAGGACAACAAAAATAATCCGAAACAAATGGATATTTCCTCTTATGAGTATTACCTTGGACGCGTTCTGCAATTGAGTGAATGATAATACGAATAATAGATGTTGTTAATACTGGTTTAAATTATTAGGTATTGTTGTCCTGAATAACAAAACTATAATTAGCATAAGCGCTACCATTACTTTGATTGTGTGAGAAATACCAATTCTAATGGTAATGTCCAAGACATTGCGGTTTTGACATCTATTTTGAAATGCCGTGATGGCCAAGGAAGCTGAGTAAATTTCAGTTGCAGTCCTGTTAATAATAGCACGAATGACTCTTCTATCAGGATATCAGCTGCTGAAACGTGTATGAACAGGGTCAAGGCATTAATGTTCCTTTTCTCAAACTAACTGTAGTCTTCAAGAAAGTAACCACTTGAAACCACTGAGCGTTCACGGGAAATCCACGCACGTGATGATACACCTGATTATATGTCACGTGATTTGGTATCGCTCAATTATCAAATTTGTCGTGTCCTTACCTATAACTTGTGACCACCAGTGAAAAAGTATAACATCAACAAGCAGATATACTAATCCTGATACGCTAGGTATTCAATACTTGCGTACGGGATGCCTTTATACAGAGATGACTCATTTTTAATAGTGCACACAGGATCTAAATATACCATATTTAGTTTTGGTCTTGCTGATTCACTTTCTCCTCCCCAATATAAAATCCCCTCTGTGGTTTACCAACATCCGACCACCAAAGCGTATAAGTCAAGCCCAGAAGATCAATATGTGGCTGTGTCGCCCATAGTTAAGGGCAGGATTGTTGATGTGGATGCATATTGTTTCCTTTTGAAGGTTGTTTTACAGTCGATTCTCAAAACCAATCCAGTGGTGACTATTAATCTGATTCCTTTATTAATTATTGGTCCATTAACTGCTTGGTCTCGTAATTCTGTTGAATGTGTCACCAAATACGTTCTTGAACAGCTTGAGTTCACAGCATTGAACTTTCTTGATATGTCAATTGCCTCAAACTTTGGTATTGGGGCTTCAGTTAACCTGTTGGTAGTTAATGTGGGATATGAGAGCACTCAGATTGTTCCTGTTATTGGACATCAGGTAGTCAAATTTGCTAGCAAATCGTTAGATATTGGTAGTAGTTCCATCAACCGTAATCTTGCTCGATTGTTACCTCAATTGACTGAATCACAAGTGGAGGACTTGAAGACTCTGGGGATCTATGAAGTTATTGCTGATCATGAAAACTCCTTCTACAGTTTAACAGATTTAGATGCAATTGACAATGGAGATGATATCAAAGCTGACGGAGATGAAGAATTCGATGTAGCCAAATTGGTTATTGAAGGAGATGTGACAAAGAATATTGAAATGGCTAAGAATTCTGCTGGTGAAGCCGATGGTGAAGAATCAAATAAACCTAACCATGAACTAGAAGTCAATAGGTTCATTGACTCTACTACAGGCCAACAAGTGACTGTTGGTAAAGAGCGGTTCCAAGGTACCAATGAATTGGTAGAAGCGATTGTTGAAGCCATATACAACAGATTACTTTTAATTCCCGAAGTTCATAAGCGACAAGAATGTTATAACAATTTGATATTTGTTGGATCAACTTTTAAAATCCCTGGTCTTAAGAAGATGATTCTAATTAGATTGCACGATTTCTTGGTTCGATCACCTCAAGAACTTTCCAAGTTCAAAGAGCAAAGTTCAGGTGGGGTATCATCAGCTATTCTTGCGTATCAACAAGCAGAGGAGACAATTGACCCCACTGAAATGAATGGAGCTTTACATCAAGTACCTATTTCCTTTAAGGCTTCCAAGTACCCTGACTATTTCCCTGAATGGAAGAATCCCAAGGCTGAAGGTGGTTCATGGGAAGACGTATATTTCCTTGGAGCCCAAATATATTCTAAGCAAGTATTTGGTTCTAATTCTAACCATTCCAAAGAGATGTTTATGGATAGTGATGTCTATGAAGAGCATGGGCCTCAAGGGATTTGGAACGTTATTATTTGATCCCATCACATTGTAGAATATGTTGTTATATAATTATTATTATTATTAGATTGCTTCAATAGTATTGACTTTTAGAATGGTTATACCAGACTTAGGCTCACTCCGATCGTATGTGTATAGCCGTTTCTGGAAATGCGAAGTGGAAAAAAGATACTCGGTCAGACACCATCGCTGTTTCTTTCCCAATTGGATATCAAATACTGCAGTGCATGCTTTTAGTCAAAAGAGTTGCACCTTTCCGTATCCATCATCCTTTCTACTTTATGGCCCAACAACAGAACATTCTCCGGTTTTTTGGAGGTGGGAAGCCTGTACCGGCACCCAAGCGCAAACTATCCGATCAATCACCTGTTGAAACAAGACCACCACCATCATCATCACCGTCATCTCCCATAAAGAGTAGCAAGAAGCTGAAGATCAATCCAGACAACGCAAGTGCCACGGCGTTGGAAGATGACGCGTCTTCATTAAAGGATAGTGATCTGAGTGAAGGCGAAGTTTCAACAAAGGACAATCTCAAAGAAGCGGACGTGTTGATCAAACTAACAGAAAAGGTTAAAGCCGAGCACGCCACGGAGAAGTTGGTTAATGAAGGGGCAGCACTTGCGTATTCAAAAGTCAGTAATGTATTCGAACGCGTCGAATCTGAAAGCTCGCGTCTTGCCATCACGGCCATTGTGTCTGAGTTCTTCTTAGAAGTGCTCCAGCAATCTACGGTTGATATGTTGGTCAAAGTGGTGTATCTCTTTATCAACAGATTGGGACCTGATTACGAGCCTGATTTGGAATTGGGGTTGGGAGAGACGTTGCTCATCAAAACCATTAGCGAATGTTACGGTAGACCTCTGAGTAAGATAAGGGCTGATTATAAGGAGACGGGAGATTTAGGGATAGTTGCTCAGAAATCAAGATCCGGTCAACCGACCATGTTCAGGCCTGCTCGATTGGATGTCGAAGGTGTGTTCAATACGCTTACGTCGATAGCAAAGACCAATGGGAAGGATTCACAGACAAAGAAGATCAATTTGATCAACCGAATGCTAACAGCATGTGACCCAAAGACAAGTGAAGCCAAGTTTTTGATTCGTTCGCTTGAAGGGAAGCTTCGTATTGGATTGGCTGAAAAGACCATTCAAATAGCCATTGCTCAAGCGTTTGTCAATTTCGAATCGGACTGCAAGTCTGAGTCCAAATCTCTGAAGAAGAAGATTAACCCCCAAACATTGACTAAAGCCGAGGATATCGTACGTGAAGCGTTCTCACAAGTGCCTAACTATGAAATGCTTATCCACAATGCCTACGATCACGGAGTTATGAATCTTTTAGAGCATTCTCAACTTACTCCTGGAGTGCCGTTGAAGCCGATGTTGGCCAAACCCACCAAATCCATTACCGAAGTCTTGGATCGGTTCCAAGGCGAAGAATTCACTTGTGAGTACAAATATGATGGTGAAAGAGCCCAAGTACATTTGTTGCCCAACGGAGAAGTTCGGATCTATTCCCGGAACTCAGAAGATATGTCTCAGAGATATCCTGATTTAATCTCTATTGTTCAAGCAGGGGTCTTTGGGTCTCAGAATAGAAAAGTAACTTCCATGATTATGGATTGTGAAGCTGTGGCTTATGATAGAAAGAATGATAAGATTTTACCGTTTCAAGTCCTTTCCACCCGTAAGCGGAAATCTGTTGATGAAAATGATATTACGGTTCAAATATGTTTATTTGCCTTTGATTTACTTTATTTCAATGAAGAATCTTTAATCACTAAATCTTTGGCAGAGAGAAGGAAAGTTTTATTTGATAATTTCACTCCGGTTGAAGGGAAGTTTCGATTCGCTACCCAAAAGAATTCTTCTAATTTAGATGAATTGCAGCAGTTTTTGGATCAATCTGTTAAAGACTCGTGTGAAGGATTGATGGTTAAAATGTTAAATGGCTCTGATTCCTTCTATGAACCTTCCAAAAGATCTCGGAATTGGTTGAAATTAAAGAAAGATTATTTGGCAGGAGTTGGTGATTCTCTTGATTTAGTGGTTATTGGTGGATACACTGGAAGAGGTAAAAGAACTGGAGCTTATGGAGGTTTCTTATTGGCTTCTTATAATCAAGATACCGGAGAATATGAAACTGCTTGTAAAGTTGGAACCGGGTTTAAGGATGAAGATTTAAGCAATCTTTATCAGAAATTACACCATACAGAAATCCTTCAACCTAAAACTTATTATGTTTATGATACTACCAATTCCAATGCCGTACCCGATGTATGGTTTGAACCTACAATGTTATTTGAGGTTTTAACCGCGGATTTATCTTTAAGTCCGATCTATAAGGCCGCTCATCTGGAATACGGAAAGGGTATTTCATTAAGATTCCCTCGTTTCATTCGTATTAGGGATGATAAGGGTATTGAAGATGCTACATCATCAACGGAAATTGCAGAGTTTTATGAACGACAGGCAAATGTTAATTAATTAAGAATGACAATGACAATATTTATAATTCTCTGTTCTCTCTTATCTTGGACTTAATCTTGTTACTTAATTGGGACAGAGGATTAAACTCCAATTGAGAAGCAGAATCAGATCTTGATAGTTTGGGAGAATGAGAATTGCTTGAAACATGATAGTCGTTAGAGAGAGATAAACTGGAAGGTAATGCAGAGGGTAATGCCGAAGGAGGTAAATCAACGTATTTCTTACTCCTGGCGTTCATATGCAATTGATAATCTGAAAACATTGGAATGTTGGTCAATGAATTATCTGAATTCATTAAAGAAATACCATCAGAAACAGAAGCAGAATGTGACATTGAAGATTCTTCTGCTTCTTCGTCTCCTGTTGCTGACTGTTGCTTCTTTCTTTTCTTTTGTTCCTTTCTTCTGTTCAATCTTCTTTGTCTTAACTCCGAAGTCTTGGCTTCTTCCTCAGCATCACTATCAACATAACCCAATTCGTCTGAGATCTTCAATTTATCGCCCAATTCTAACAAGTTGAAATCATCAGGGAATAATTGAGGACCAAGATCATTAACCAAATCTGTAATCTCCGTTTCCAATTCTCTTCTCATTTTCTTCAACTCCCTAATGGAAGAACCGTTGGTCAATGATAAATATAAGGGACGAAGGGACTTGAAAAGATCAACCCCTTGTTCTCCTGTTAATAACGCACTATAAGTGACTAAAACTCCCAAGGAATAAACCAAAATCCAAACCCATATCAAACTATACGTTGAAAAAATGTCATGAATGTTGCAATAAATGGTTATAATCGTTGCATAAAAGGAGTATAATAAAGGTGCAAATCCCATACTAACCAAGACTTTCCAAGTGGCTATAACATCATTAGCTTTGATCTTAACAGTGGAAGCAGCAAGTGCTTGTTTGGCTTTCTTTTGAGAAATAACTTTAGTTGCAATAAACACTGGTGAAAACAATATAGCACCTGGTAAAGCCAAAAGAGTAAAAAAGACCAATTTCACCACTCTAAAGAGGAAAACTGGTAATACTCGAAACTTATTCGTTTCGTCGCAATCTTCAACTGAATGATCTGGTAAATATAAATGGCGCAATTGGTTATTATATTTAAGGATTCGAGTTCTTAAGCCTTGAACTCTGGGGTCATCCTTATACTTTTGATATCCAATAACCAATCTTCTATTCATTTCAATAATCAATGGTAGTGGTAACGACAGAGCGAAATGTCCAGCATATAATCTTCTTGCAGCTTGAACCATCATCAAAGTATCATAATCTTCACATGTGACTGTCACGGCCTTTAAAGCCGAAGTCACGGTATCTAACAAGTCTTTAACGGCTTCTCTATTAGTTTCAGGTTTGGCGTATTTTTTAACCAATTCTCTAGGAATTTCAATGGGGTTACCAAATTCAATCACACATCTTGATCTGAATTTATGAGCATTGAAATAGTTCATACCACAGGGGATGATCTTTACATTACAATTAGGATCATGATTCATTGCTCCCAATGCCATGATGGCCACACCCGCTTTAATGGGCAACAAGTCTGATCTATCATGAGACCCACCTTCTGGGAAGATCCCAATACAATTTCCATGGGCCAAATGTTCAAAAACTAAATTATAAACATCTTTTTGATCCACCTTATGGGCTCTTTTGTATGCACAGCCATTGTTTAACATCTCAACGATTTGGGGAGACCGTTTGAATTCCTTTCTGATCTTCAATTCGGTATCAGAAATGACTTCAACAACTTCACTTGCTCCCAATGATTGAGGTAAGGCCACCATCCCCTTTGGAGACAATTCTGTAGTGAATTTTGTCCCCACTCCACGAACAATTAGTGGGTCCACCTCAAAATCACAATAGATCTTCCCAGACCCTTTGGTCAAGTTGTCCTGGATTCTAACCACGGGGATTGACATCTCACATTTCGACAAAAGTCCAATTACCTTTTGAATATAAGATTTATAAGCTACCAAGAACGAGACCCTTCTTCCCAGTTCCTTCTTGACCTGGTGCATTAAGAGAAGCGGATCAACAAACTGATTGGCATGAGGAGCAGCCACGAAAATGACAGCCCCACTCTTAGGCAACTTATAAGCGCCACGAGGTCTTATCTCTCTAAAGAAACAATCAAACACAATAGAGAAACCCCAAAGGAAGAAATCATAGATCCAAAGTCTCCACCACGGGAAAGGCTTATAGACGAACGGTTTGGCTGCGTCTTTGAGCACCTTCGTATCGGGATCCTGTTCTTCTTTAGTCATAATCGGGACTGACTTAATTGTTCCTTTAATAATTTTTGTTGGTAAATCAGAAGCAATAAAACCACTTGATTTTTTTTTGGGGGGACCTCAAAGGGCACACAAAAGTTGATGATACATATTTCCTGATTTGGATTGTACGCGACATGGTTTTAGGTATGTCATTATACATCCTATTGTGGTATGTTGTGTCGTGCTGTTGTAGTTCTGTTTCGGGTATGTGGTGTCTCTCCTTATACACAGTTTATCACATCAATGTTTTCTTATAACCAGCGGTTCCTTATTAGGTTCGGTATCGACTCCGAGGATGGCATCGTTCCCCACATTTTTCAGTATAAATCAACGCAGTCTCAAGTGAAATTATTAACCAGAACCATCTAGACAATTTATATTGATGAGGCAGTTATGAACGTGATCAGATAGAAATGACTGCAGCATTTCACATAATACAGTGACTGTAATTTTTGACATAGTAGTGACTGTAATTTTTCACATACATGAAATACGACTATAATTTTTCACCTAACATAGTTTAACTGGAATTGCGATTGTAACCGTACTGTATCGCTGTACACTATACATTATGCCACAGTGCACTGTACTACACTAGCCGTTAGCATGCACCATACCATCACCGTATAGATTCGTACTAAGCTGTAGCGTGATCTTGCGCAACCGTTACGACTATATTGTATCCACAGTATCCATATGCTTCTCCACTTCCTCGGCAAGGCAGGTCGTGTCTGAACCACCCCCTCAACGTTTCCCCGGATTTCACAGGCAAAAATGATCTTTACCCTTAACAAGCAATATCCTCTGATTATATAAGTAGACAGCCATCCCCACCAAATTAGTCTTGTAACTTTACTACTTTCTATAACGTGACGTTAAATTAATTAACGGAACAAATTTAAGTATAAATGTCATTATCGTTTAAAGACAAGGTTGTAATTATCACCGGTGCCGGTGGTGGTTTAGGTAAACATTATGCCTTGGAATTTGCACTGAGGGGTGCTAAAGTGGTTGTAAACGATTTGGGTGGGACTCTTGCAGGCCAAGGTGGGTCCCTGAAAGCAGCAGATGTTGTTGTTGATGAAATCAAGAAAGCCGGAGGAGTTGCTGTGGCTGACTATAATAACGTTTTAGATGGTGATAAAATCGTTGAAACAGCTGTTAAGAACTTTGGTACAGTCCATATTGTTATCAATAATGCTGGGATCTTGAGAGATGCTCAATTTAAAAAAATGGATCCTAAAGATTTCAATTTGGTCATTGATGTTCATTTGAATGGTGCTTATAAAGTCACCAAAGCTGCTTGGCCCTATTTCAAAAAACAAGGTTATGGTAGAATTGTAAACACTTCTTCCCCCGCTGGATTATATGGTAATTTCGGTCAAGCCAACTATTCTGCTGCCAAATTGGGTTTAGTTGGTTTTGCTGAAACCTTAGCTAAGGAAGGTGATTCTAGTAACATTAAGGCGAATGTCATTGCTCCATTGGCTAGATCAAGAATGACTGAAAATATCTTACCTCCAGACATTTTGGAGCAATTGGGACCTGATAAAGTGGCTCCTTTGGTCTTGTACTTGGCTCACGATGAGAATGCCTATAACGGTTCTATTTTCGAAGTTGCTGCCGGATTTTACTCTCAAATTAGATGGGAAAGATCTGGTGGTGCTTTATTCAAGACTGACCTGACCTTTAATGCTGAATTGGTTGCTCAAAGATTTGATGAAATTGTCAACTTTGATGATTCAAAGAAACCGGAATTATTAAAGAACCAGCATCCAATCATGGTCAATGATTACACTTCATTGGTTTCTGCTGCTAAGGAATTGCCTTCTCCTTCAAATGCACCATCTTTGAACCCTGAATTGTTGAAGGGTAAGGTTGCTTTGATCACCGGTGCTGGTGCCGGTTTAGGTAGAGACTATGCCTTGTGGTTTGCTCGTTATGGTGCAAAGGTTGTGGTCAATGACTTTAAAGATGCCAGTGCTGTTGTAGCTGAGATCAAAAAGGCTGGTGGTGAAGCCCATGCTGATCAACACAATGTTGCTACCCAAGCTCAAGAGATTATCGACAATGTCATTGGCAAGTATGGTACCATTGATATCTTGGTTAATAATGCTGGTATCTTGAGAGACAAGTCTTTTGCTAAGATGACCGATGAACAATGGGATGCTGTTCAAAAGGTCCATTTGGGTGCCACTTATAACTTGACCAGATTGGCATGGCCATTCTTTTTGGAAAAGAAGTTTGGTAGAGTCATCAATGTCACTTCTACTTCTGGTATCTATGGTAACTTTGGTCAGGCCAACTATGCTTCGGCTAAAGCAGCCATTTTGGGTTTCTCTAGAACCATTGCTATTGAAGGTGCTAAGCACAATGTTAAGGTTAATGTCGTTGCTCCTCATGCTGAAACTGCCATGACTTTAACCATCTTTAGAGAAGAAGATAAGAACTTATACTCTCCAGATTACGTTGCTCCGCTCTTGATTGTGTTGGCTTCTGACGATGTTCCAGTCACAGGTGAATTGTTTGAAGTTGGTGGTGGTTGGATCGGGAACACCAGATGGCAAAGAGCAAAGGGTGCTGTATCGAAGGAACCCACTCCAGAGTTTGTCAGAGACCATATTGCTGACATCAGTGATTTCACAACGGGCACTGCCAACCCCAAGTCCACCACTGAATCTTCCATGGCCATTTTAGCTGCTGTCGGAAGTGATGATGACGAAGATGAAGATGATGACGACGAAGATGACGAAGATGAAGATGATGACGACGAAGATGACGAAGATGAAGGTAACCCCGTCTGGGACTATAATGATAGAGATGTTATCTTGTATAACATTGCCTTGGGTGCTAAGAGAACTGAATTGAAGTATGTCTATGAAAATGATCAAGACTTCCAAGTGATTCCAACTTTCGGACACTTGGCTACCTTTAACTCCACTGCTTCTCAATTGTCCTTTGCTAAACACTTGAAGAACTTCAACCCTATGTTGTTGTTGCACGGTGAACATTACATCAAGATCAACCAATGGCCTATTCCAACTGAAGCCAGTGTCACTACTGAATTTGCACCTTTGGCCATCACCCAAAAGGGTACCAACACCATTGTTGTCCATGGATCTGAAACCAAGGATGCTTCTGGTCAACCATTGTTCACCAATGAAGCCACCTTCTTTATCAGAAAGTGTGAAGGGAAGAACCAAAAGTTTGCTGAACGTAAATCCTTTGCTACTCAAGCCTTTAATGCTCCTAGTTCATCTCCAGACTTTGAGACCGATGTTAAGATCTCTCCAGACTTGGCTTCCTTGTACAGATTGACTGGTGATAGAAACCCTCTTCATATCGACCCAGCTTTTGCTTCCGGTGCTGGTTTCAAAGACCCTATCTTGCACGGTATGTGTACCTATGGGTTGAGTGCCAAGGTCTTAATGGACAAGTTTGGTCCATTTGATGAGATCAAAGCAAGATTCACAGGCATTGTTTTCCCTGGTGAAACCTTGAAGGTTAAGGCTTGGAAGAATGGTGATGTGGTCACTTTCCAAACCCATGTTGTTGAAAGGGGTACCATTGCTATCAATAATGCTGCCATTAAGTTGTTGTCCAATAAGGCCAACCTTTGATTATAAAATTATGTTCGTATTTATTATAAATGAGAGTTGAGATTAAGTAATACTGTATTAGTGTCATTAATGTACTGATGGTATTAGTGTAGTGATGCTATTGTGAAGTAATGTACTTGGTGTCCTGCACTTTTGGTGTGCGGGTCTTTTAATCATCGTCATCCAACTCGTCTTCATTAACTTCATCGATGTCGATAAACCCATACATCATTTGCGACGACGAGTTCAAGAGCGACGTCATTCTGGTTTGTTTCTTTTGGGACTTAGAGCCAAATGTTGAGCAATTGGTAGGCACTGAAAAGTCCACGGGAGTGTCTAATATGGGGTCAAGGAACGTATGAGATGAAAAGGGAGTGGTTGCGGAACTGGGGGATGTTTGGGAGATCATCGGTGACAATTTGGGGGTATTTTTCAGAAGCCGTGGGGGGACATCCTGGATAGATAATGTAATGTTAGTGTTATCATTAGGGAACTTGAAGTCTTTACATGGAGGCAATTGGGGTACTGAAACACTGGGTTTCCTGGTGATGGGTCGTAGTAAAGACTTGGACTTATGAATGATGAGATTATTGCTGGAGTCAAACAACGAGTCAGATGTCATTGAAGAAACATCAGTGAGGGAATCTGTTAGCAGATAATCTGAATAGATGGACGATGAAGAGGAGTTGATCGAAGTTGTCGATGCGCTGTGACTGCTCCACTTTCTATGAAGGGAGTTGAGCGACGGCGGTTGGAAGTCCTTTGGCTGGAAGTCTTTATGGCTAGGGCTTTCACCCGTGAAGGAAGATAATTTGGAGATGGAACACGAGGACGTTTTGTGCCGAAGCCCTTTCTTCCCATTAGACTTTTGTCTCTTAAGGGTTGGGATCTCTGGTGTTGAAGAGCATAATGACGAAGATAATGAAGATGCAAGTGAATGTGTGGAGGATGACGTAAGCAACGTGTTCAACGCCTTGGCGCGGGTTAACTTGTTCTCTTGCCGAACCTTATCCATTTCAAACTCGCAGGTCGACTGGTACTGTGAGTCGTTCATTTCAACGTAATCCTGCGGAGTGCACAAGTGTTTGTGGGACTCGTAGAACTTCTTGTACCCTCCGTCAAGTACAACGATGTCCGGATATGATAAACGAGGATAGTTGTTGCTGTTGAAGGTACGATCACATTTCCTCAAGTACGTGGCAAGAGCTGGTCCTCGGTACTTACTGAACTCACAGTGGAATACGAGTAACGACCGTTCATTGTTACTACCAGTAGTATTAGTAAGTTTCGCACTGGTCATGTTTGATATGAACCGTTCGTGTAGCTGGTCTTTGTTACTGATGTTGATAGCCCCCTTGATGTGGCCTCCATCAAACTCGTATTTGAATCGACAATCAATGATGTGGATCTGACTGTACTCATGCAGGTGATAGCCGTTCATGAGCCTGACCATCTGTACGACGTCTATTCGATCAAGCAAATCATCCTTCACCTTGTAGTGGACTATGGATGACTGTGTGAGGAACGAGTTGTCGTCAAACACAAAGTCTTCCTTCTCCTTGTTGGTCTGACATAGCGACTGGATTCTTCTGATCGTCTGTCGTTGCAGGATGGGCGACCCGTCGTTGATTTTGATTTGGGATGCACTGGCAAACCGGTTGACCGTTGGAGTCGGGTCGTCTTGGTCGTGTTCGTGCTCGTGCTCGTCGTCTTCATCAGTAAAGCTGTCTTCATCCAGGTACGCGGGCATTCTAGCCTTTCGAATGGAGGCCTTGGATTGAATCACTACATTGGAAAGATTCTGAAGCGGCGATCGCCGATGCTCGCTGGGTGTTGATGTAAGGCTCGGACGTGGGAATGTTCTTTGTCGAGTACCGCTCTTCTTATGCGTCAAAGGTGAATGGAACAAGTCGTCGCTCAGGAATAACATTAGTGAGCGAATGAATAAATGAAGGTATGAACGAGTGAATGAATGAATCGAACTTGTCTGACTTCTGATACGAGTCCAGAGTCAATCCATAAACGACTGAAGAAGAAGAAAAGATGAAGAAAAAAGGTACTAAACTAAAAGCAAGGAAGGAAAAAAAGTTAACCCATTCTAATCATATTGGTGTTCGGGTGCAAGAGGAGAACCCACTATCAAAAAAAAAAAAGATTATATTGTGTGCATTATTATATAACTCGTGACTTTTATTGATTGATTAAATCAAGTACATATGCATAATTAGGAATGTTACACTTGCTTGTGTTAAATTAATTCTTTTAAGTATATTATTTTTTAGCACTATTTCTATTGTTAAGCTATCAGCAGATTAACACCTGAAAGTTCTTTGCGTGACCTCACTCCCACATTTCATATACTATAACTGAAGGAATGTTGACAAACCTTCTTTGTACGGCAGCAACTAATATGGAGCATCACCTGTATGGAATCGAAACCGCAATCACATGAAACGGAGATGAGACGATCCTTGAAATGATTCACAACAATAAAACTATATGTGGAGATGAATATGGTAGCTGTGTACTGTGCTGTGTTGTGCTGTCCGATTGTTGTACGATACCGTTGAGCAGCTGTGCACTGCTGTGCACTGCTGTACTTGTATCAGCCTTACCTCTCACTCAATTACGCCACACTTGTCATGCTTAACCTTGACCAACCATCAAGGCCCCTCGATCCGTAACATTTCGACCTTGCCCGAGCCATCAAACTCATTCATCCCGCAACTGGCGTCCTTATACCGCATCTCATGTGTGAAATTGTGCCTTCCCTCAGATGCACCGAACGTTATATTGTTGTTCCAAAACGTGTCGTAAATAAACAACACTAGGAACTACAGATTCGCGTTTTGTGCCACGGACGACAGCAAATATCCCCGATCATATAGTCATCCATTCATAATCAAACCATAAAGTAACGTAATCACATTTCAAATAATTCTAAGGCAGCCGCAGTACAGATATTGATCCACCACATTTGTTTTCCTCATTTACGCATCATGTGTTAATGTTTCGATTTAAATATAGTAGTTTGGCTTTTCTCGTATTCGTTCATTCTCGTACATGTGTTGCAGCTGTTATCTCGTTTCATCCACGTTGGTTGTAAAGGGTACCATCTTCTGAACTTCCGCTGGGGCAGTTCCTGTTGGTGGTCCCAGTCAAAATTCCAGCCCCATCCCATAAAATAAGCTTCGCTAACATATTATGCATTAAATAACCATTTTTGGCTATACGGTACCCTTTATTCAAACCCCGTGACCATTTTCTGGTGATTCAAAATGGTAATTCCCCCACATTAAGCCTCGCTAGTTTCCAATTAGGAAAGTCGTAAACAGATGTATAACAATTGATGATCTCACCGTTGTTAAAGGTCAATTAATTGAGATGGAGTTTGTGTCAAGACCCCCAAGCCAACCTTTTGTTGAGACAACAAGCAGTATAGTAACAATGTAATCATGCACTGACACGGTCATTAAAACCAGAATACTGAGCCCATTATTACTCACTCAGTATACGTGATTGCTTTGCTTGCTATTCCAATTGATCCAAGTATTGATCCATGGTTAGTACGTTGAACAATGGCGGCTCCAGGGTATTATCCTTCAAGACCAATGTGGTATTATTTGCGTCGTCGTCGTCGTCGTCGTCGCTTGATTCGCACTGTAGAGACTCTTCATCTTGGTTCCATTTGGATAGTGGGATCACATCACTGTATAACTTTCTGCGTCCTTGCTGCCTCTCGTCCATGTTGAAGCCACTCAAACTCTGTGGTAACAGATCATCGGTTAAATAAGCGTTCAAATTCAACAGCGAACTGGACGAAGTAATCCTGCTGAGTCCAACAAACCCACTCCCATTCGCATTACTTCCACTGAACGAACTGGTTCGACTATGGCCATACTCGGAAATGACGCTTCCATTACTGTATCTTGAAGATGGTGGCTTGGAAAAGGCAAAATCCTCTTCATCTTCAAGGGCTTGCTGCAGTAACTGTGACAAATGAGTACTGCTTCCGCTACTTGGAAGATTTCCATTAATATTATTACTGGTGGCTTTGGATCCGGATGCAAAGAATGATCGAGGTTCGGCAAAATCTCGTGCATTATAACTCTCCTTCTTCACTGGTGATGCTAACGAAGTTATAGTGACATTATCTTTACGATTGTCCTCTTCAGATAAACTTGATCTCAACTTTGAACTTCGATAATCGCCAGATTCTCCACTATTGGTGCTGCCGTTGCTGTCACGATTCTGGTTTTTAAACCTCCTTGCTGGACTGAAAACAGACTTCAACGAAGACGGCGATGCTTCTCCAATCATAAATGTAGTGTTTGTAGTCGGAGTTTCCAATCCACCTGGCCCTGAACTTTTGCTGTTTTGGCCGTCTTCTTTATATGCAATTGCTGGAGGAAGTAATGTCAATGGTGGAGGTCTTGTCTTTAAGTTATTCTCATCTTCATGAGGTACAAACGAAGATAATTTAAGAAGACCCGAATTGACTGAAGCTTCGTTGGTGCTATTAGTGTATTGTTGTTGCTGCTGCTCCATGCTATCTCCTCGTAATCCTTGAAGCAAGTCATCCGTATCGATGTTCTCAACTACACTGCCGTATGATTCGTCTTCTGAGGAAGAATCTAGATATGAATCTAAAAGATCATCGACTTGCTGTAGTGTCTTTGTGTCTGGAGGTCGAGATAAAAGCGTAGGAGTTGATTGACTAATTGGAGCAGATATTGGTGCTTGTGGTAAAGCAGCAGTCTTATCATTCCCAGCAAAAAACTTTTTGATCTTATGTGCTAACCCAACACCGTTCTGTGAAGATGCAGAATCTGATCCAAGTTGTTCTTGTATTATAGTTGAGTTCAACTTAAGAAACTTCTTCTTGTCAGAAGCAGACCTTAAGTCATGTAGTGTAAAGGGATGATTCTTTATGCCTTTAATGTCTATTCTCTTTTCTGGATCTTTGATCAAGATCTTCTTGATTAGATCTTTCAATTGGGTGATCTCTGTCATGTCGTCTTCTGTGGCTTTTGATTTCTTACAAAACTTGGGGAATCTTAAATCGTCTTCGACTATCTTTTTGAACAACTCAAACTCGTTGAACCCGTTGAACGGTAGTTCATTGAACATTAAGCAATATAGGATGACTCCCAAGGACCAGATATCTATTCTTGAGTCGATCTTGACTGAAGATGATGTTGATGAAGTCTCGAGATTCTGAATCATAGAAAGTCTATTATTAACAAATTGACATAATTCTGGAGCATAAAATGCTGGAGTACCTACTGTTTTCCCCAACTCTTTATCATCATTAGCATTATTCTCCAAGATCAAACTCACACCAAAATCACTGATCTTAATGGTGTTATCGTGGCTTATAAGAAGATTGGACGGCTTCAAATCTCTGTGGATAATCTTCCGACAATCATGAAGGTACTCTAACCCGTTTAGGACATCTCTAAGGATCTTATTGAGTCGTATGCCATTCATTGGCTTGTTGTATTTCTCGTAATAATGACTGTAATGTTTCCAATCAATTTCTCCAAACTTGCAGTACTCCAATACTAAAAGGATCTTATCAAACTTGAGATCGTCTATCACCACATAAAGTCTTACCACGTTGGGATGACTGCAATTCTTCATGATCTGGATCTCTCGTTTGATCTTGGTGGTGTGACTGAGATATGTCTTGGTTATTAAGCGAAGACGGTCTATTCGATTGATCGTCTTGATAGCAACGAGCTTGTGATGGTGATGATACAATGGAGTATCATATTCTTTGTTACTACTCTGTTGCTGCTGTTGCCTTCCACCTAAGTCTTCTGCTAATAGAACCTTCCCATATTGGCCTTCGCCTATTTTTTTAACTATTAGATACCGATCATTAATGATCTTCCGTCGGAACCTGCCGTCTGTGGCAATAGTAAGACTGGATACATACATCCAGAGGCGATTGGTCTGAATCCTTGGTAGACAATAAGGTGTACCTTACTTACGAAATTAATGTCTAATAATAATGTCGTCGTATTTGGTTTGTCCTGTATATAGCAAAGTAAGATAAGCTCTACTATATTCTAATATACATTAACACACTAACAATAATAATAATAATACAATTAATCAACATGGACTTCTTTGGCAACATCTTTGGACTCTGCTTGCTCTCTATAATTCTCTTCGTTAAGTTCCCTGATTAACTCCTCTTCCTCGTCAGTAAGTCCGGTTAAATCCGGTGGAATCTCTCTCATCTGAACTGATGGAGCATGACTAAGATATCGTATCTGTTCCATGATCGTTTGTCGAACGCTATCCAAATATTTCTTGGAGTTTTTGTTATCTATTCTTCCATCAAGTTGAGGATGGAGTGAAAAATCAGGTCCAAACCATTCATGTGATGGTAAATCATTGGGAAGTTTGGCATTCAATGTAACATCATTTAATACTGATGTTTCATAGCACCATAATCTTGAAACGTTCCTGGGGGTGTATCCACCACCGCCTAACACTAACATGGGGATCCCAAATGACTTCACATACTTAACACATTCTCCATGGGCTCTGATGTTAAGATTAAAGCATCCCAATCTATCAAACCCCAAGGAATCAGCTCCACACTGTTGAACAATACATGTAGGTTGATACATGGTAATTAAAGGTTCCACAATCAGTTTGAACAATCTCACATAACTTTCATCATCGATACCATCTCTTAATGGCACATTGATGGCATAATTTTTCCCCTTCCCAATGCCCTTCTCGTCCACGGATCCTGTTCCCGGGAAGAATTCCCCGTTATATTTATGGAATGAGACAGTCATCACTCTATCTGTGGTATAAAATGCTTCTTGAACCCCGTCTCCATGGTGTAAGTCAATATCTATATACATGACTCTGGGATGGACCCTTAGCAAATTAAGAATACCCAAAACAATATCATTGACATAACAAAACCCACTGGGTTCGGCCTTTTTGGCATGATGTAATCCTCCAGACCAATTAATAGCTATATCTGACATTCCACTCATCAATTTCCTGGTAGCATCTAAAGAAGCTCCAGCATATATCAGTGAATAATCATAGATGCCATCAAAGACCGGGCAATCATCTCCGATATTAAATCGTTGTAGCACATTATCCACATATTTGGACACTTGGTCAGGGGTTACGGATTGAAGGAAGTCGATGTAATCTTGCGAATGGAACTCAAGCAACTCTTCTTTGGTTGCTCGTCTTGGAGTATACAAGTCCATTAATTCATATAGCTTGTAAGAGATGACCAAATGGTCTGTTAGCATGAGTCTAAAGGGCTTCATGGGGTGTCGAGGTCCATAATGGTATTTGCTGACATCAGGATTGAAATGGTATGATACGTTGGGTTGTTTGACTCCGTTCGGTTCGTATAAGGGTTTATGTGACTCTGTCTTGGTGTCTGTAGTGAAAGTATCACTTTCAGTTAACGGCACTATCATAGTGAGACATTGACTCTGGGTCTATTTTGACTCTGGCTGCAAATGTGAACTTGACGTGGACTCTGAATATGAACTTGCTGTTAAGGTTGACTTCTGGCTATGAGTCAAATGATGTATTGATAAGCAAGAGTACCGCAGAGCTAGTGGAGACAGTGGATAGTTGTATTGAAAATTGTAAGCTAAAAAAATGCGACATTCTCCCAAAAATTAATGTCGCGCTTTGTCGCAGATAGTCGTGATAATGCCAACCCCAAAATATATCCAACACTCGCCACCAACCAACCCTTTCAGTAACTTCCACCCACAACCATAACTAATAGACCAATCAAGTCATGTCTAGTAAGTAATTAGCATTAGGCGCCGATAACGAATCAATTACCATTTCTGTTACTAACATCTCAATTAAAGGTGCTGGTTTTGATAGACACATCACTATCTTTTCTCCCGAAGGAAGATTGTTCCAAGTTGAATATGCATTCAAAGCTATAAATTTGGCCAATATAACATCCCTTGGTGTCACCGGGAAGGACTCGGCCGTTTTAATTTCCCAAAAAAAGATCCCAGATAAGTTGTTAGACCCTGCTACAGTATCTTATGTATTCAATATTACTCCCAGTATTGGTATGGTGGCTACAGGTTCAATTGCTGATGCTAGATCTTTGGCCATGAGATCGAGATCAGCAGCTGCGGAATTTAGATATAAATATGGTTACGAGATCCCTGTAGAAACTTTATCCAAACAAATTGCCAATACTTCTCAAATTTATACTCAAAGAGCATATATGAGACCATTGGGAGTTGCTGCTACTTATTGTCAGGTTGACTTTACTGATGAAGGAAGAGGTCCTCAAGTATTCAAGTGTGATCCTGCTGGATATTTCACTGGGGTTAAAGCTTGTGCCACTGGCCCTAAACAACAAGAGGCTACAGCATATTTGGAAAAGAAGTTAAAGAAATCAGGTGCTGTCCGTGGAGATTGGAAAGAAACTGTTGAATTTGCTATTACAGCCTTAAGTTCTGTATTAGGTAGTGATTTCAGAAAGAATGATATAGAGATAGGTTTGGCTACTGAGGGGAAATTCCGGATCTTAACCCCTGATGAGATTGATGAAAGATTAATAGCGATAGCTGAAAAGGATTAATTATACAAATATATATATATATATATGTATATTTATATGTATATGTATATGTATGTATATGTATATGTATGTGTGCATACATGTATGTGTGTATATGTATATGTTCAATTATACGAGTATGTATATGATATTTTACCAGATATATGGAATGAACATGTATGGACAAGCTTCCAAATATCTATCCCAATCTTCACCATATTTCTTTGCACATTTGCGTTGATCTCTGTAAGCTCTGTGGACCAAGACAATAAAGAAGAAGACGGGGAAGAACCATGGGAATGGAGAAGCAAATCCACAAATTAAACCCCACGTTAATGATTGGGTAAAGTCAGCAGTGTAGTGCATCTTCCGAGCATAAACATACCAACCATCAGTCAACAAGAAGGAGCCATTTTTACATTTAATGTACTTGGGGTCAACCAAATCAGAATATGGCAAGTAGGGGAAGGTCTTTCTTATGTTTTTGTTTCCCGACATGAATCTCCTAAAGGAGTTCTTTTGTCTGTTTCCGGTGTCGAAAAAGTAGTAAGCAATGGTCAAGACCACGAACAAAATCACATTGTAAGTGATTGACCATTGGTATTCGGTATAGTCGTGATAGTAAAGGAACAAGGTACAATGGCAGTAGGTAAAGGGGACGCCACCGATGTTCCAAAAGAGAAGCATGAAGCCAAACTTTTCATAGGCCATGTCCCAAGTTGGAACAATCAATTCCTCACCTTTAGCACAAGCATTAGCATATAACCAATGAGCATATAAGATGAAGACTGCTTGGGGAGACACGTGGCCTTGTTCGTATTGTTTGACAACAAGACCTAAACTCATAAAGAATAAGAGAAACCAAGGGATTCTGACTTCAAAGAACATCTTGAGGTCCAAGTACGTGAACAACCGAGGGTTCAATGGTGCACCCATGAAACAGTCATAGATATGGTTTCCGGTCATCCGACTATAATCATGAGTAACAGTCAAACAAACAATGTACAAAACAATTGATAACGATAATCCATAGAAGATGGCGGTAGTCATGATTTCCCCAAAGTGTTCCAATATATAGTACACCTTGAACACCCCGGTAACATGCAAGATCAAGGCAAGGGCAATGGTGGTATAAAAGGACCACACGGCATTACAAAAATATGGCAATTGCTTATTATTCATGTGAGTTAAAGGCTGACCTTTGGTCCAGATCCCAGGCAATGTCAAATAAAAGGCAGCTTCCAAAAGAATAAAAGCTGTGAACACAAACCATGAAGTAAATGATGGGACTCCATGTTCAAGGAATGTGTTGTACAAATGGTGAATGAATTGTCGCCAAGTTTCTTCTTCAGTTGGCCAAGCTGGCTTACCGCCGTAGAATTCGGCACTAATCCACATATACCACATCAATAAGGGGAACCCTATCATCATCCCCAATGCTCCAGCAGGACCACCGAATTCCCATTCGATCTCATCTTTTGGTAAGTACCCTGGCTTAGTTACCTCAGCGCCATTAACACGTTGTTCCAATAAGGGAGTACCTTCCTCAGACATGATTAGATTTTTGGCTCGTTTCGTCTCCGTTTGATTTGAATTGATATCAAGTTGCTCTCAATTCGGTCGGCGCTAGGTGTTTATAATGTTTTTTCAAATTAAAGTTCTCGTTCCCGTCGTATACGCTTCGGAACGCGAATTGTAAACGATGTGAGGGCGTTGTTGACAGGATGCATTGCATCAAATGTGCATATATGCAAACGCAATACAAACGAACAAAAAAAATATCGAAATGTCGGTAGCGCCGTTTTAATGGGTAACCTACCTTATAATAATGTAGGAATAAGTGAAAATGTTCTTGTTTAATAATTGCAGTATAATTATTTAACAATTTAATAAGTTCTAATATATATCTCTCTCTAAGCAAAAGCAATTGCTTCCTTCCCATCGATTTCCATGTATTCGTTAAGATCGTCTTCCAAATAAGTACTTCTAGTAGCATCTGAAGCAGTCAGTGGGCTTTTAACAGACTTTAATTTCTCTCGGTGTTTGCTAATAGCATGCAATGCACTCATTGAACTTCCATTACCTAATTTGACGCACCCCATAAAAAATATTTCAACTTGTTCTAATTGTTCATCATCAAAAGAACATATACCGGCAATTCTTAAAGGTGACTGGACCATGATACACCGCATATCAAATAATGTTGCCGGAAGGTAGAATCTTGCGGTCTCAAGTAAAATATTATTAGACTGTTTGTCCTGCAAGTACGAATCGTCCGTCTTCCGTTTGATAAAGAATGTAGCCTTTAAAACCAGCCGAACCATATCTTGAACTAATGGATGAACTCTGGGAAGATGCATCAATTTTCTCATGGTTAACACTTTAAAAAACACATAATCTAAATGTAGTTGTTCGACTAAATCAAACCACGAATAATATATGGTCTTCCCTTCACCTGTAACCTCTTCACCAAACGCTGCCATTGATATGTTATAGGTGGAGCTTTCTTTATTCTGCGGATGCAAAGGGGACTCGGGGGGGACAATAAATGTCTCCATGTCGCAAAGAGGTATCACTGGGGTAGATCGTGCTGCATCCATACGGGCACATATCTGGGTTAACTTTCGACACAGTATCTCATGGTTATCGACTATTCGTAGTCTCTCTCGACATATATCGGCAATAAGTTCAAAGGAATCGTTGCTATGGCCGAAATAAGTATTGAATTCCTTCGGAGTCTTGGAAAGTAATCTCAGTCGTTGTAGCGCATCATGGATGTCTTTGGTGTTTGTTCCATTGAAATCACCTGCTAGTTTGAATATGTCATTGATTTGAGATTCCTCCCGAAGGACTCCAGCTGTTTCTGCTGTTAATATGGCTATCATTTCGATAGAGGTGAACCAAATAAGCGCCAAAGCCATTCCAAACGAAACTCGTTTGATGTTGTTAGTCTTTGAAAGTCGTAAATAATTTACGAGCAAGTCCTTTGCACCTCTTAAATGAACCTTCCAATGATCTAGGAATTTCCTTTTGGACGAATATGCTATGGCCGTAAATATAGACGTTAGCACAAGTACTGTAAGAACCAAGTTTTCTATTTTAGGGACGGCTTCTTCAAAGTTGGTGGTGTTATCTTTGGCTATATGTTGTGAGAAGGCATCTCCCAATAAGATTAAGCATAAGGTGGCGTATTTGAACCTTAATTGCTCGTGAATCTTGGCTCCTGATTGGTTGTACTGGAAAGTGGCTGACATGGCCAATAATGATGCTAATAAGTACGGTGAATGCTTCAGATTGGTCAAAAGAATCTTCAGCACTTCGTTGCTCTCAATAGACTCTGCAAACGGATATAAGTGATACGACAAGGGCGTGTTTGTCAAGATCTTTAAGTATGGCAAGTGCTTCTCGAATAAAGGGTTATCTTGGGCAACGGCATCGATTAGAGAGTCATTGGGCACAGATAGATCTGGATGCCAGGCATACTTAGGAACACTGGTCTTCAGTCTGTAGTCAGCGACGACGTCCTTAGCAAACTGCTCGACATTGAAGGTCTCCAAATTGTGGAGGATATCTTCATCCAAGGCGTCATGCGTTGAAACGCCATATGGCTCACTGTTGTAGTCGACGAACGCAATTTGATGTTGATGAATGAACTCACGTAACGCATTGTTCCCAATTCTGATGCTTTTCAGCTTCTTCTTACCACTAGACTTGTTCCCGTCCATTCGAACATTCGAACCGAGTCCTTGGTCGCCTTCGTTTACATTGTTTGCTTCGTTTACGTTTGAGGTTGCATCCACTGGCCCTTGGTCGTTCAAGATGTTTGGCTGGCTGTTGTTGCTATTCAAGTTCTGAGCAATGGAGTCCACAGAAAGCGACGTCACCGTAGTGTTGGAGTCAAACGTCTGTAAGCTCGGAACAAAGCTCTCTTCATGTAGAAAGTCACCAATGTCTGTAGCCAATTCCAAAGCCTCGGTGAATAAGGGGTCCATGGCCACGTCCGGAATAGGCAACGCTATAGAGCTGGAAAACGAGATCTGACTAACACCGGGCTCCATCAGTGGAGGAGGGAATGGACCCACTTGGTTGGGATAATTGGGTGATATGTTCTGCATAGGCAGTTGCAGTGGCTGTTGTTGTGGAGGTGGTGGGGCGATGTTCTGGAGAATATATGAAGGTCTTGGTCCTGATCCTGGAGCTTGGTAAAATTGTCCATTATCGCTTGGGGGTAGAATTGGAATCGGATGTGGTGGTAACGCAGGTTGCGGTATAGAAGCTTGCTGTAACACAGGTTGTGATATAGAAGCTTGCTGTAACACAGGTTGGGGTACAGGAGGTTGTCCGTACATTTGTTGCTGATTGTTGGGGGTATTCGCGTTAGAATATGGAAGTACTGGAGGCAGTGGCCTCCCACCACCACCTCCATGTTCAACAGGAAGTGATACAGGTTGGTGTTGATAATGAAGCTGTAACTGAGGTAATTGACTTTGAGTCTTTGGTGATTCCAGTAGTAGCTTATTATTGTCTTCACTCATAGTATAACTCATGGTTGCATCCTTCTTTATAGACACTTCCACCGGCTCAAAGGTAAACTTCTTTGCCATGTAAGTACACTCCTTTCTAACCTTCGTGCAGTTGAAACAAAAGGGTTTGCCTTCGTCGCATTTGATCTTGCGTCGCTTGCATTCCATGCATCCACCTCTACTGTATTTCCTTTTCTTCATTGGTATTCGAGATGTGGTCTTGGTTTCATTCTCGCCTTCGCCATCACCACCATCTACCTTATATTGCTGAATGGTCGTTGAATAACTAGCTACATGATCCGATGGCTTAGAGCTACTTGTGGTACCTGGCATGATGCAATCTCATGTATATGCAATAGAAGCCAATACCTCTTTTTTAGTACTTCTTTCGACTCAGCAACTGTTTTACGTTGATGATTTTAGACACACCAGCTTGTGCCTAATTGTTAAGTGTGCAAGGTTCCCTTTTTTTTGGCATTGTATCGCGGAGACTATACCGGTACGCAAAGCCATTCCGGCAAATAAAAATACTGTGAGCGTATGGCTTGGTAGCATTTTATGGCATGATTTAGATTTAGCTAGCAATAATACTCTGCATCGAAGATCGAAATATATTGTCCTATCCCTTCTGTTTCTATTTTTTCTTCAGGCTTGTGCATCTGCGTAAATGCTGAATTATGGTTTATTCTTTTAACACATGCATATGTGGTTTGGTTTCCACGTCATGGAAGTCGCTGAAACTTCTTCGTTTTTATTAATGCTTTCAACATCGAATAGTTCATTTGATGTGTTCACCCCAAAAGAGATGCTCATCGTCGTGTGTTGTTGCATTTAGACTACGTTTTGAACCCTTCCTACCATGCCTGGAATCCCTAGGGCAACGTAATACTACGGAAGCCCTACACTACATTTTAAAATTATTTTTGTAGAGATCAAGGCCCTTACACTTGTAGTTATCGTATTCAAACATTTCTGTTGCATCTCGTATAATTTAACAGTATTATGTGTGGTCAGTATAGTTGATTCATTTGGTTGGAAGTTTTCACACTACCACTTCAATACAGTCCGAATTTAACGTCTACTTGTTCAAAGTAGATAAACAATTTCTGCATCCACTTGTGGTTTCATCAACAATAAACTAATCTCATAACTGACTGCAAACGCATTGCAGCTAATTCTGTGTAAATTTGCGCTTCATGGTGCAAAAGATCTACAACCCATCGTAAATCACAAGGATGCATGTCTGAGATCATATGTGCAAACATGAGCACACATGTTCAACGGCTTCACTCGTAAATTAACGTCATCAAGGGTCATGTCAACTTATACTTTTTTTTAATATACAAACTAAAATACAATTTAAATATATATATATATATATACAAAACAATCCCCACATCATGTGATGGTTTGCAACTTTTATTCTTTAGCAAACATTCTGGATTTTCGTTAAGATTCTTCTTCCATGGGGAGTATTCTTAATGTTAACAAGTAGTGGTTGTAGTACATTGGCTAACTTGGCCAAATCTCTTCCATTGGCCACATCCAAACTAGTTTGAAGCACATAATTGCCATAAGCATCATTCAACAAATCAGAAAACTTATCTGAGTTTTCGAGTAGTACAGAAATGAGTGATTCTGTCAACTTATTAATTCTCAAAGACTTTTCAATTACATTGGAACCAAACTTATGCAACAGCAATTTGATTGCGTTGGCACGAATATGATCCAAAATAATGGATATAGAAGCTCCATCACCTCGACTTAAAACATATTGTACCACGTAATTTCCAAAAGGATCCAAAGACAAACTGGTAGCATTCTCGGCCACTTTCAACGATAATTGTTCGCGTTGGTCGGCATTTCCATGGTCCAAACACCTCTGTAAGACACAACATCCATGTCTATGGGTTGCTATCTCGTTGCAATGCATTGAAGCGGTTTCAAAGATGAACTGGTTATCCTCCGGTGTTAATTTCTGTAAGCACTTTTGAACAACATGATTACCGTTCAAGTCACGTGACAATGTCACAATGTGTGGTGATAGACTTTCTATGATTAGCATTGACTCTTCCTTGGTGTCAATACATTCCACCAACTTCTGCAATGCTCTGGTCCCATGAGGGTCCAAGGCAATCCGAATGAACTCTGGTGATGCATTTTTAACCAAAATCGTCCGCTGAGCAGTGGAGATGTTCTCAAACAACTTTTGAATCAAGTAGTTCCCAAATGGGTCAACCATTAACTCAATAATTCGAAGATAAATCTCATTGAATATCATTGTAGCAGCTACTTCCTTTGTTGTCGATACCTGTCCATTGATATCAGAGTTGTTGACTCCTGCTTGTTCTAGCTCGTTTCCCAAGTCTAACTGACGTTGTAAGAATCTGCATCCATGTTGGTCCTTGCACAAGGAATAGATTTCTCCCGTGAAATCCTCTAAACGAGCATTGACGTATTTTGAAGCATCATCACCTTTCCTGCGGTTGTTCATTTTACGATGGGAGTTCAAGTCGTTTCTCCGAATACCACCATGATGATTATTATTATGATGATGATTGCTATAGTTATTGGAAGTATTGTTGTTGCTACCGTCGTAATGGGATCTATTAAAGCGGCCTCCATAATTACTATGGTTATTGTTGGTATGGTTGCTGTTATTGATGTTTCCACCCATTGCTGACTCTGGTCCTGCGTTAATATTGCCTCTGGAATCATTACTGCCACTATTAGACAACATTGAATGATTGAGCTGAGCCATGGGCCGCTGCCAAAGAGGAGGGCCACCCATTGGATAATTAGAACTCTTCCCGTTGGCATCAGTAGCAGCAGCAGTGCCGAATGGTGGAACAGGGTATCCATGGTGGTGAATCTGTCCTGCTGGACCATTCATATAATTGCTATGACTATTATCACCAAAGAAAGCACCACCACCATCATTCAAAAATTGTGAATGGGGGACCCTTTGATTGACAAATGGAGGAAAACCACCCAAGTAATTGTCGGTAGAAGGACTTTGCAATTTGTTGTTCGACTTAGAAGTAGAAGTAGTGTCATTGTCACTTTGCTTATTCTCCAGATTAGAAGCATCTTTCGCGTCGGGTTCGGTCGTTGTTGCTGGTGGGTCCAACTTCAAGTGCTGGATGTTGATACCAACTTCCGGTGGATAAACTCCGGAGGTTCCATTCAGAGGTGACCAAGTATTTGGGTTAGGCGTCACGTTGGTACCAAAGGCGTTGAACTGGCCTGGCTGGTTTGGTGGCATATGATGAGACGAGTACATTTGATGTGGTGGTGGTGGTGGTGGCACAGACTGAGTGAAGTGAAACGAGGAGGAAGACTCCACAGCAGTTTGTTGTTCGTTCTTCGTGGTAACCGTACCAGCAGTACCAGCAGTACCTGCGGCAGTGGGATCATCACGGTCACTTGAATCGACTGGAATGGAGAAATCTTCATCGAGATCCAAGTTGTTTAATGCACCCACAATGTCCAAGTTTGAAGCTTTCAATACTTCTTCATCGTCCACTTCGTCTACGTTAGCCGTGGCTTCAATTGCAACAGAGGTTTCCAAGTCATCAGTGCTTGGAGAGCTCAAGTTCTTAAAGAACGTCGTCGACGGGAAGAAACTGCTGGAACCGATAGAAGCAGATCTGAATGTATTTTTCATGGTAGAAGATGCAGATGCAGATGCAGACACTGGAGGTACTTCATTAGTCCTTGGGGACTTCACTCCTGTGTCGATGGAAAACGATCTATGTGACATGACAGAAGGCAGACGGACAGACGGATAGGAAAGTAGTCACACAGATAGACAGGTAGGTAGGTATGCAGACAATCAGACAATCAGATAAACAGTCACTCAGTAACTCACTCAATCAGACAGTCAGTCACTCGGTAACTCAAATATAATATACACTAAAAATACAAATGCTGGCTTAAAATATCGACAATTTAAAGAAAGAACCATGAAACGCGCCGACTTCTCGCCACAACAATTCACGCCCCACACAAATAGAAAAGATCTATAGTATTCGGAAGAAAGGAGGTCTGGCTGATATCAACACTTTTTCAAGTGAAAATCTAATGGGTGATGGTTATTGATTCGCACACCGAAAGTGTGTGTCTATGCAGGACACTACTGGGCATACAAAACTGATCATACGGACATCACACGGTGTATGGGACTATAACCAGTGCTTTTACAGTATTATGCTACTATGCACTTTATTACTTACATTGTATTGCATTGTCCCTTAGTACTATTTATATACTTTACACTATCACCTTTGTATCTCCTGTTCATTCCAATAGCCTTGTCCTTCTCTTATAGTACTATGCTGTTCCCTCTTTTTAGTTATGTCGTATGCTGACTAAGCATGTCACACAAGCTCAAAATAGTATAATAGTGTATGTGGTTTTATCAATGATTATAACGTGTAATTTCTACAATACTATTAAAAACGATATTAATTAAGATGACAATAAAAGTATTATAAAAAATAACTTAAATCAACACATGGGGAAATAAAAATAACCGACCATTAACAATAAAAGGGAAGGGAACAACGCTTTTACGATTGAACATCTGAATTAAATTAATGTCATCCAGCATACACCCAAACTTCTTAAATGTTAAAATGAAAATGAGTCTTTTCTAAAAGAGCGATGGTATCAAGATTGGACCAAGCTTCAAAAAGTTTACTACCCAAACACTTAAGAGGACTTTTCGTGTTGAGTAGAAACTCTTTGCATGGAGACGAGGAAATCTTCCAATGATCTTTGATCCTTTTGAGGCTTGGACTTCTTACCGTTACAGAAGTTGTCGAAAGCTTCAGAGGTGGACATCAAGTAGTAAGCACCACCCATAGCACAGAAGACACCAAAAGAGAAAACCCAGATTCTAACGACGGTAACAATGTCGTTCCAGTTTTGAGACCACCATCCAAACAAAGTGAAACAGGTAGCAATGATATCAACGATACCAACGGCACCAGCCAATTGCCATGATGGAGCTGAAGACCAGAATGGACCTTGAGCTCTGGTAACGAAAATCAACCAGTTTTCTGTCAAGGAAATTTGCAAGAACAAAACACCATCAACAGAACCAAAGTTTTGGATTATACCACCCTTTGGCAAGAACATGGTAGTCAAAGTAATCCAAGTACCAACAGCCAAAATGGTACCCAAAATAATAGACATACCCCACAATCTTGGTAAGTTCCACTTAACTGGAGCTGGGTCGTAAGGAGCATTATCGTAGGCAATAGCCAAGGTAGCAACATCAGCAAAGATAGCAATGAAAACAACCAAGTTAATATCCAAGGATCTGTTCAAGATAGCAATCCACAAACCCAAAAAAATTTCCAAGTGCAAGGACAAAGCGATACGGTAAACAACATAAGAGTACATTCTGTGGAAAATTTGTCTTGAAGTCTTCAAAGCATCAATGATAGCAGACAAACCAGGAGCCAAGAAAACAATATCAGCAGCAGAACGAGCAGCATCAGTAGCACCTTCGACAGCAATACCGGTATCAGCCTTCTTCAAAGATGGAGCATCGTTAACACCATCACCAGTCATGGCAACCAAGTAACCTCTAGATTGCAAGATTTCAACGGCATTATACTTGTGTTGAGGGAAAACTTCAGCGAAACCATCGGCATTTTCAACAAAATCAGCAATTTCGGAACCGGCCATGTCACCACCACCGGACAAACCCAACTTGTCAGCGTCGTAAATGTTAGTACCCAAACCCAATTGTCTACAAGTTTCCTTAGCAATACCAACGGCATCACCAGTTAACATCTTGACTCTCAAACCTAAAATTCTGGCTTCGTTAACAGTGGCAGCAGTATCATCTCTTGGAGGATCCAAACATGGCATAATACCCAAAATTTCCCAGTGACCTTCACCTCTCTTTCTAGCAACACCCAAAGATCTGAAACCTCTGGAAGCAAATTCAGCGACAGTGTTTTGGTAGTTTTCGTGAACATCCTCAGGAATAGGGTGGTCTTCCTCAACAGTCTTCAAGACGAACAATGGAGCACCCTTAACACAGATAATACGTTCTCCTTCAGGAGATTCAACAATAGCGGTAACCTTCTTAGAAACAGGATCGAAAGGTTGGAATTCCAAAACCTTGTACTTTGGTAAAGCATCCTTAGCTCTTGGGTAGTTAATCAAAGACTTCAAGAAAGCCTTATCAATAGCATCCAAACCCTTCTTCTTTCTAGAGGCAGCCAAACAAGCAGTCAACATTAAGTCATCTGGGTCAACACCTTCAACAGTGTAAGGTTCGTACAAAGACAACTTGTTCTTTGTCAAAGTACCGGTCTTATCAGAACACAAGATTTCGACACCAGCCAAAGATTCAATAGCAGACAACTTTTGGACAATAGCTTGCTTCTTAGCCAAGTAAGCAGCACCGACAGCCATGGTGGTGGTAACAACAGCTGGTAAACCGACTGGGACACCAATAATAGTAATAGCCAAAGTGTATCTCAAGATTGGAACAATTCTAACAGTTCTGTAGAAACAAGCAACCCAGACAACCAACAAAGTGGCAATAACCAAAACCAAAAGAACAGCACCAATACCGTTTAAAACTTCAGTGAAATGACCGGTACCACCAGAAGCCTTGTTAACCAAGGAAGCAGCTCTACCGACAAAGGTAGAGTCACCAGTAGCAGTAACAATCATGAAGGCTTGACCAGTCTTAACAGTAGAGGAAGAATAAGTAGCATCTCCGAATCTCTTGTCGACAGCCAAGGATTCACCAGTAATAGCGGATTGATCAACTTGCAACAAACAGTCTTCAGTAACAATTCTACCATCAGCTGGAAGAACAGTACCGTCTTCCAATTGCAAGATATCACCAGGAACCAATTCGTTAGATTGTACTTCAACCAATCTACCGTCTCTAACAATAAAAGCAGTGTTAGCCAAAGTTTTCTTTAATTCTTCGACAATAGAACCAGCTTGGTATTCTTGAATGAAACCAACAGAGGCGTTCAACAAAAGCAAAGCACAAATGACACCGAAATCGACCCAATCTTCCAAACCAGCAGCCAAAATAGCGGCGGCTTCCATAACGAATTGAATGGGACCAACAAAGAACATAACAAACTTTAACACCAAGTTTTCCTTTTCTTCAGCCATTTGATTAAGACCAAACTTCTTTCTTCTCTTTTCAACTTCGGCAGAAGTCAAACCAGTAGCTGGATCAGTTTTAAGCAATTCTTCAGGAACAGCTTTGAAGGAGGCTTCATCAACTTCATCGTCATCATCATCCAAGCCACCACCAACAGATTGCAAGTCAAGAACCAATTGGTCAATGTCGTCTTCTTCGTCATCGGTGTGGACAACTGGAACCTTTTCAGTAGTTGGTTCAGTACTCATCTTGTCTTGTGTAACTCAACTCTCACTTAATAATAATATATGCTAGTAATTCCAATTAAGGAACAGGATTATCCGGTTGAGGAGGTTGAGGGAAGTTAGGAATTGAAGAGTAACGAACTTAAAGAACCAAAACAAGAAAAGAAGTAAGAGAAAAAAACTGAAAATTACTTAGACATTTGTCGAGGATATGGGCATATATTTATATGTGAGGGAAAAGGATTTTACTCGACGTTGACTGGATTTAAACTCTAGTAGTGTTTTTTTTTTTTGTTTTGTATTGACATAGTGGAGAATTTGGACATTTTTGTTACACCGACGTAAAAAAAAAAATGAAAATTTGTGTTCTGCCAGAGCAGGAAACAGAAACAATACAATACATTTTGATAGCAAATAACGCATCCGACACCGACAAAACATAAAATGTTTATTCCTCTTTTCCGACATGCAGACTCTTCCGACATATTTGGGTTTCGGTTTTGCATAAATATTTCTTTTATCTAATACTATCACTAACATGGTGTGTCGATTAAGTATTGTATATAACCTGGCAAAATAGAAAGATACGCCGACATCCTCACTCTTACTGATAGCCTAGAGTGGCTACTGTGCAGGTTTTTTCCATTTCAATGCAGTCCCGGTCGGTTGTCGGCTTTCGGGTGAACTATCTATATGCATATTTGTTATTTTGACGGGTTTGTTATCTCTTGCTAAAAAAAATTGTCGCTACTTTGTAATACAGAAGCACAAAACAATATTTTTTCCTTTAGGACCGACATATCCGACATATCCGACATATCCATATCTTTATGCACTACATACGAGGGAAAAAAAGAAAGGGCCGGTTGGAAATTAGTTAGTTGTCTGTTTATGAACTGGCTGAAAGCAGCAACTAAATGAATTGCTTTGATTACCATGGATTATATGTAGGCTCTCGCATTGCTGTTTTGTGGTTGACCCCTACAACCTTAGGGCAATTGGTGAGAGGACTTTTTTATTAGTGTAGAGGGGTCTTAGGTTACATGTTTGTATATTCCTCCAATACCGAGAGTCAAGGTATAAGTGGGGTATAACAAGCTTTAATCAAAGGAAAATTGCTTATTGCCATTAATTTACATGTTGAGTCTGTCTGAGAATGTCAGACAGACTAGTATACAAGTTATAAACCAACTAGCCGTACCATAAGGCCTTCTCATCCTTTTAAAAATTTGTATACGAGGGGTCCTGCCCTCAGACATAAATAGAATTAAAAGTCGTGTCTGGGGATTTAACCACTACCCCTACCACACTCAATCTCTTCCCTTCCCTTCTAAATACTTTCCAACTACCTCTATATTCGACTACATTGGTTGATTATTGCGACAGTGAAATACACCTCATCAATTACACTCCTTGAAGATAATCGGTTCTGATTATTCTCTCATAAATCCCGCTCTAATTTATAACACTGAATTCAAAATGTAAAATTCTTTCACTGTCGTACCCAAACTAAATTTGCTTTGCGGGATTTATCCCAATTGTCCAATCAGAAACAGACTTTACCTACGATCCACAGCCAGGAGCATGGGTGCAAATACGGTAGTACGAAGCATTATTTAGATGTAGAATTGTGCTGGCATTTAGAACCTTCAATTGGGTTAATAGTGGGGCCTTCCTAGCCACTCTCATTTACTGCCTACGGGTTCATTGGTTAACCAAGTTCCCTTGTGGTAGCGCTATATCGTTAGCATATATGTCTTTCTGTTATGACAACCGTATCTACAACAAATATAGGCATACATGCTGGATTAGTGGCCGATTTGGCCCGATTGAGAGCTGTGTTCAGCACAAAAGGTATCTTCATGCAGGATTCAACCCTCTGAACTACCAGTTCTTGTCCACATTAGTAGACTCAGACACCAGACAGGGCGAGTAGGATTCCCGATTGGGATACTCACCAGAGTTTTTGTTTTATAGCTTACAAGGAGATGAGGTGGCTGAAATGATACTCGTGGGACACCACAGACGTAATCCAGAAAGGTTATGGCTTTAGTTTACTGTAATTTATATTGCGGTTCACGGTTAGTAGTAGAAACCTTCTGCAAGCCTAGGGTAACCTCTCCATACGAGCAGTACCCCAGTTCCACCAATGGAAATGCATTGATTTCAGGCATAGGAAAAGCAGCTGCGAATAGTGCAAAAAAAGTGTGTGTTTCCAGACACTAAGATTTTCGGACAATTGTTAGTTCTTGTATCCATACGCATAAACAACTCAGTTAGATATTACAGTGAAGCAAACATAAGAGAAGAAGTCTCGTAGTATGATAGAGAGCGGTCACCTCGGATGGCCTAATCTGCTACATGGTAGTCGTAAAAATTAAGTTGGGTCGCTCGTTCACCCAGTGACGTTTTCAAGCATAAAACCCCTCGGATTGCGTTCTTTTTTCATCAGTGAATGTCAGGAAAATCCTTCATCAGACAGAATAATTTCACTTAATCCACCATACTTCGGTTCCTGCAAATGCAGGTCAGGTGGGGGGGCTCTTTAATCGAAACAAAAAAGAAATTTTGTCCTCTTGTTTCCATCCATCGACCTTCAGTTAGATAAAAGATCTCGCAACTGGACACAACTTTCCATACATATTATAATGAAACCGAACAATTGATAGCAATTTGCAAACGGTCTACATTGTCTGGTTTAAGTTGAGGCATTAAGAAATCAATGGCAGTAAAATCAAATATTCTGTATGATACCTTTTAGGTCAATTGCTTACCCGATTGTTTAACACCCTCAATTGACTGTCTGCAGTGGACTTTGAACCCCAGAATTGACTTTTTGTCCTTAATGTCTTTCAGTTCAAGTCAATGCTCTCATCGTCACACAAGAGGTTATGCCTTATGGGGTCCTTTAGTTCCGCTTGCGACTTGTAAAGCCCTGACGGTTTCACCACACAATGGAACCGGAGTTCTTTCCCTACAGTTTAAGTAATAATCGCATAGTATGAATCGTCAGTGGTCGAATTAAGGCCATTTTTTATTTAATTTAAAGTTAATATGGTTTGGTAATGGTCGCTTGAGAATGCGACTGCAAGTGTACCGACGTCGTACCGTAGTAGTTAGGAATTTAGTACCTATCTACCAAAAATATACAAAAGACAGTCAATTGTGTGTATACTACTATTATTATTATTGCGGATACCTTAAACCGTTTTGTTGTGTCAACTTCGTACCTGAGCCCACGTCAGGCTTCTCCATTTGACATATCGGGCCGTACGGTGATTTGCAACCGGTGTCCGAAAATTGTCGTGCGATAATACAATCGGGAAGCCTACACCAATAAGTGGATTAGTTGGCAACGTCATCGTGAATGGTTTGAATGAGTTCACTGAACGGCAGTTTCAGTCTCACTACGAACAATCAATTGATCAATAATTTAACCAATAGGAAACAAGAATGCAGTTAAAAAAATCGCTCGCACTTTCCTCATAAATTCAACTTCATTTCTGTTGTCGTAGTAATGACTCTGGAATACACTTGCACCCCACTTTCTGGGTCTACGTATTGAAACTACAACCAACCATTTAGCGGGCCGCCACTAGACATTTCTTTATCTCGTCTGATAATGAACTACTCTGCTGTATAGATTGGAGATGAGTTGCCTAGGGGCCTGACAGCAGAAACCAGTAAGTCTTGAAAACGCTGTCAATTGTGGTATCTCACCTTTTGATCGTGGGGTTTGCTTCTTCCGGGGTTGGCGTTAATTGTTTTTCCGACTACTTGTGCTTGAGCTTAGGTACCAGTTGGCTAACCAACAGGAGATAGCATCAATTACAGGAACAGAAAATCTTTTGTATTCATACACAGGTATAGGTGGCATGAAATAAGTGCCTATTTTTTAGCCTGAGGATTCTTACCCCAACGACAATTATCTTTTCTATTTTATTGCCCCTCATCATGGGCAGGTCTCATCCGTTCAAAATGCACGCCCGAACAGCTGGGTATTGTAGAGTGAAATTTTCTCGCTTAGATTGGTTAACAATTCAAAGTTACGCCGGGGAGGTTGGTTGGCGGAATTAACTAATTAAAAACTCAGGTGGAGTTTACCTGGTTCCCACTAACTTGACGATAAATTGTATGTTTTTCCTACCGCTCTACCCGAAGTAAACTATCTGGTAGGTTGCTTTGACAGCAGGCACCGGTCCGATCTGGTATTTGGAAGATAGAGCCGTATCTAAGGTCTTTTCTCCGTGTATTTTTACTGCCGATACCCGCTCATCTCGGTGTAAAGCTTGCACGTAAGTTGGAGTTTAGTGTATTCACCAATGTAACTGTGGACCAATCGAGTGATAACCACCGAAGCCGACGAACCCGCTCACATCTGATGGTTAATCAATTACAACATAACACATTTTGAGTCATCTGGCACGACCCTCAATGTATAAGGTGACGTCAGGAATTGTTCAGCACATAATATGCTTTCAGACTGTTTTTACAACCCCAAAGCTTTTTTGAGTGTCTGCATATGCGTATTTCTGACATTTTTAGTTGTTCCTTGAAGTCTTGGATTTTTGTCGGCATACGCTGAGTCAAAGGCAGATATTTATTAAGCCGCTCCATTTTATATCAGCTTCCCAAAACGAGGAAACGAAAACATTCAAAAACAGAAATGTGAAAACATAAAAACACCCCATGATGAGCCGTAAACACCGATGGTTCATTTTCACTATCTACAAAAGATCTTAAAGGTCGCTTTCAATGCCGTTGATGAAAAAAAGTGACACCATCCACACCACAAGACAAGAAACTGAAAGGGACTGAAAAACATCAAACAGGACCGAAAGGTTCTGTCCTTAGGATGACCTGCTTATCGGGGTAATCTTCGCAATTACGCAAATTGTGGTATGTGTCCCCACATCTGAATAAACTACTAAGATTCCAGCGAACAGGGACGTGCAAAAAAATAAAGCGGCAAGGTCTTTTTCGTACTAAAGATAAGAGAAGAACTGCCTGGCTGATAAGTGATAAGGTAAAGTTACATTCACATGACATTTATTTCATTAACGAAACTGGCTTCTCCCCTTGGCAATTATTATATCAACGTTTGACTTCTGCTTCTGCTTCTTACCTTTAATTTCTCTTAATGCCTATACAATCCACTCAGCGAGACACTCTTTCATCTTTAGATGCATCTTTTTCTCGGCTTTTTTCTAAACCTGACGTGAGACTGTCGTTCAGTGGTGGGACGCTTATCATGTTATTCCATTTGAGGTCGTTCGAAGCTCAAAAATGTACCTCGACCGAAGCCCACTCGCTTAGTTCTCTTTCTTATTATCAGTGGAACAAACTTTTAGTCGGGAAGGAATAATATCGGTTTGCAAGGAGAGTTTACTTTAATCAATCATCGTTGTAGATTTTATTACTACCACTAAACATCAATGCTAATCTTGGGACTGATAAAATCCTCGCCCTTATCATACGAAGACATTGAATTGTGTCTGCTTATAAGGATGCATGTTTTTGAGGCCGACATTCACTAGTCAGACATCCTTGATGCAATGGAAGTAATACTGTAAATCCCTTGTCCCCACTTATTTAAACGAGAATGGACCAGAGAATATGTTTTCCTCTAATTGTATTTCCTGTCTGTCTGGTTCCATCAGGTGCCGCTCTCTCCACCTTAGAAAAGATAACCGCCCTGCAAACCTTCTCTACATGCCAGGGGGAACATGAAACCACTCAATATGATACCCCAAACTTACCCCAACTTTTCATATCTCTTCAGAGCAACCTGTATTTTCTTTTTTTGATTGGTATTTATCTTACCGAAGTAACCCTTAGCTGTAAGTAAACGTTTAGGTAGTGTAAACCCCAAAATGGTGTTCGGGTGCAAAAAAGACATAAAGAGGTTCAAACAAGTCGTAACGGAAGAAACCATACCAACAACTAAAAGCAAAACCAGTGAGTTACAGCTCGTATCTTATAAGATACTACTATTATCTTTTAGCTTAGATGTTCTCTTTTGCATCATAACTCTCTATTAATTGCTACTACTTTTCTACACAATCATGGTCTATTGCACAAAAAAAGAAGTACACCACAAATAATCCATGTTGTTTATTCATGTGATAAAAAAGGCTATCTATACCTGTTGTTGATGTTGTTGTAACAAAAGGCCCTGCTTCTTAGCTTTCTTATTGGCTTTTTTCCATTTCAATGGCCTGAAACCTTTGAAGATCATGTACATCACTGAACCGCAGAATCTGAACAAAGCCAAAGCAGCAACAATCCACAAGATAACACCAAGGAAAATGTTAGATCCCCCAAGAATAGATCCGTCTGGATTGGTACTGGCTTTCTTAGTAAACATAGTTAACCCACCAGATTGCAACACAACCACTATCAAAATAGCATTGGTTAACATCCATACTAAGACAGTAACCGTACGTAAAAATGCATAGTAGTTCTCTCCAGAATGACGAGGGGTCACTTTCACTTTTTCGAATTCTGGTGGAGTTCTAACTTTGTCTAAAGTTTGGATGTAGGCATCGTTTAATTCTTGGTCGACTGCCGGAGCTACCATGACCAACTCATTATCCTTTTCGCCCAAGATCTTAGCGGCTCCCAAATCCTTCGCCTGAGAGTTGTTACCCTTTGTACCCCAAGAAACATCATGGATGTTACAGAACGCATAGATGTTCAACACATTGACGTATGTGGGTGAGAGCAACAAATAAGGAACAAAGGACGTGAACATGCACAGTGGTTCCCCATAGAGTAACGCACCAAAGAGATAAAGTGCATATGTCAGGAGCAACGAAATTACCAAGTCCCGGAACCTAGAATCAGTAAAGAACATTTGAATTTTGAACCCACCTGGGTTTTCCTTTATGATCAACTTTGTGGTATAAATAGCCAAATAAACGGCTGCAAACATCATATAGGCCATCATAACTGCAAATAAGATGGCCACGACCAAGTAGAACTTCTTTGCACCTTTAGGAGTGTTACCGAAAGATAACACAAATGTCGTGATAACACATGCGACATAGCACCACAGCAAGATGATAGCGATGTATCTGGCAGCATCAAAGTTCATGGCTGCAGACCCCAAGTTAGCAGTCAAGATTCTAAACACAAGGAAAAAGGAGGCGATGGAGAACCACGACACAAAAAGCGTGATCAACTGGTAATAGAACTCAAATTGAAGGAACAATTTCCTCATCAACAGATGTTCCGATTTCCAAATGTTAGTCCAATGAATGACTGCATACGCTGCAGCGAACAAGGACCCGTTAAGCCATCTTCTTCTTTGAAGAACAAACTCATCAATAGATTCCGGAACATCTGTTTCTGCCTTGGCTTCATTGACATATTTAAGCACGTAATTGTGACCCTTCTTAGCAACCAACTCAAAACATAAGATCCGATCTTCGGCCAAATACATATTGGAGGTGAAGATGCCGGATTCACGGTAGTTCTTCTCCTTCAACTGTCTTTCATCGTCTTCATCGCCGTTTATAGAGTCGACTCGTAAATTATCTTCATGTAAGAACTCACCTTTGAAGTACTTTTCTAAAGGACCTTCTCCATCAACGTTCAACAATGCTTCCCATCTATACGCCGAGAAGGCACCCGGCAACACGGAGATAAACCCAAATACGGACTCCATGGGTTTATCCAACACATTGGAGATTTTATATTCAAAGTTTTGAGCTGCAACCAATGGGTTTAAAAGAAGTTTCTTGGAGTTACCCAAACTAGCACGCATCTCTCCACATGCTCCAGCCACTGCTGGGTCTTGGAAGTTCTTCCATAAATGATAGAAGGCGTCTTTAGCCGGTCTGGTACCACAATCCAAAAGAATAATCACCCGAGGTTGCAAAATGGGCGCAATGGCTTGAAAACACCATCTATGGGAGTTGATCTTTCTCTTGTTTTGTTCCTTAAGCACAAATAAAAACTGAACAGGCGTCAGGTTGATCGTAAGGTTGACCTTATCGTTAATAGAGTCAATTCCAACAATAGAAGTGTATTCGTAAATGTGAATTTTGACTTGGTGTTCGTTAACTCTGGATTTAGCATATCCTTCTTGGTAACACCCAAGGGAAAGCAAAAGGTTTTTAGTCCGTTCATTAAGCTCCATACGACCATCGTTAACAATGCATACCACTATCTTCTTCCAACTGTCCTTACCCCAGTTAGGATTGTTTCTCTTGGTCAAGTTCTGTATGTTTTCGAAAACACCTTTCAAGGTTCTGGCCAACAAAATGTCGTCTTCGTTGTACATGGTGATACAAACCATTAGCTCTGTTTCTCTCACTGGGGTGTAGAGGGCTTGTCTGACATTGTACCCAAAGGTACCAAAGTTGGATGGTCCACACGTACAGGCGGTGTATCTCATAAAGGACATTTCCGTACCTCTATCGTTGACTTTGGAACCAAAGTTATCTAACAATGCTTGTGGAACAGGACAATCTATCGAGTAATTCCCATTGACCATCCTGGCCTTTTTAATGGTTTTTGTATAGTTCAACCGAGGTCTAAAGTCATCATCGGCATCATCATTATCATCAGAAAAGTCGTACGGTTTGTCGTCGTCGTGAATCCCTTCGTTCTTTTCCTTTATGTATTGGGTATTCCGTCTACGCAATGTGTTCTTGCGCTTAATTGTCTGGCCACGTTGGATATCTTCTTCTGTTTCCGAGAATAACGAATCGTCATCACCAAAGGGATCTAACCCGTCGTCTTCTTCAGCATCTTCTAATAAGTTAGGCATGTAATCGTCTCCTGTGAACTGCACCGACTTCGCAGCAAAGTTTCCGCCGGCTTCGGACCCACCAGGGTTGGGGAAGTTATCGTCTCCGTAGAACAGCTGATCTCCGCTTCTCATGTAACCGTATGAGGGGGCATATTGCGACCGACGAGGACTGGAACCGTTATATATCATCAGAGGCATCGGAAGCATGGTTTGAGAAGACCTATGGCCCCCGGAGGCGAACATATCAGTCGGGGTAGAATACATTTCTGAAGGAGCGACTGAAGCGGAGGGAATGTATGGATATGGGGTGCTATTAGAACCAGAACCAGAACCAGAACCAGCAGTCGACCCGGAATAGTTGGTTGATGTTTGACGGTAGTGCTTGGCTTGCAATTCGTTAGGACTGTCAAACAAATCACTGTCTTCATCATCATCATCAGCGTCATCGGTACCAACAAAGTTGATGGTAGATGGTGAAGTATTTGCAACGGCGTTGATCCCATTGAATGACAGCATCCGATTATGGTTCACAGACCCTCCAAGACTGTTTGGTAGTTGGTACGGAGTGTACAGTTGCTGGTGATGTTGGCCAATAACGTCAATGGTGTCATGGTTGTCATCGAAAAGATCGTCATCATCTTCATTGTCGCTGACAATACGAGAAGTTTGTTTCATGATTTGATCTTCTCAGGGTCTGCGACTACGTCTAGTGTGAATGAGTGAAAGAAGGAAGGAAGGAAGAATGAAATGGATTTTCTTTCTTCGGTACCTTAATTAATGGCCATCCAAATTTGGAAACCCAAAATAATCATAAAACTACATGGCTATTGTTATCTTTTGGGGAGTGCATTTAGCAACCATATCCAAGCGAAGCCTGAAGTCTATTCTTAGGGCTTCAACACCGCATGAGTGTGATTTTAAGACGTACCTTTTTCTTCAGTGCGCAAATGCAATGCAGTGTAGTACAGGGTGTCTAACCTTCCCTAAAATCGGGCTTATGGTTGCTAATGATCTTAGTATGGGGTTATAGCGTGCTAATGTGGTATTGATTGATAGCTACAATGGTCTATAATGGAGAGATGTCCCTGGATGAAATCTTGATCAGGAATAGTAATGGCTACTTGAGGACATTGTTGACGTTTAATCCGAATAAGGGGTTATTTTTATTTTTGTGCGTTTTGTATCTATTGAAGAGTTTTGATCTCGATCAAATACGGTAGCTTCTTTATGCACGTCCGCCATATAGCCGCTATTTATAGAACTTGGTGAAATAATGATCATCAATACATATATACAGACATATACATATAAATCAGCATATATATATATATATCTATATATCATGACATGATAAACGTGCCCTAATGCGGTAATAGACAGGAGCCAACAGAATTGAGTTTCGTAAGACATTGATAATGATACCCATGGCCACAAGCGAAATATAATAACTTAAGAAACTCGTAATCTTTGGCATTGATATCTTCAAGCCCGTCGATCCGATCTGGCGATCCACGACCAAGTATAACCATGGGATGACTGGTTGAAGCTCCCTCCAAATGCACTGTTGTTTGGCTGTCTATACGAAGAATTTCAAGGGTTTCCCAAGCTTCATAATGTTCGATTGGGATCTTGGAGCCCCAAAGCACTTTATTACAAACACCACAATTCTTGGAGGTGATTTGATGTCCTTGTAATGCATTCATCTTGACAATTCCGAGAAGCTTGTATATCTTTTGCAGTAGCATGTTCTGCATGAGTCCCATAGAGTCCTTTTCAAATGAGTACGTAAGAAACACATCTCGAAGAATTGACCGGACATTGGAAAGTGTAGTTTCATTTTGAGTGGACGCTTCAAGTAAAAGATTATTGAATATCCTCATAAATGAAACATTTTCTTTAATGTTCGATGAGTCTTCACTGATCTCTCGAAAGCAATTATGAATGCTCATATTTAGAAGCTTATGCTCTTTCTCGTCCGCACCATAGTTATTCGAGAGTCTTACTAAGGACTCGACTAATTGTAGCCAAAGTTTTTCATTCAAATTCAACTTTGAATCATCTGTTTCACTTTTCTGACTAGGATCTCCTTCAGCAGAATGACAAATATCCATCGCCAATCGAATAACATTCTCAAAATTTGAAATATCGCTGACAACGACCTCACATGCATAGCTAATCAAATTTGTTAGTGCCTCAAAGTAATGCTTTTGATAAACTAATAAAAGAGACTTGGATTCAATGGCTCCACCATTCTGAAGAACATCCAGCAATTCTTCCTTCTTCTCATCAAAGATATTCATATGTTCCTTCACATATGGATAGACACTCTTAGGTGAAAACATACAAAGTAACTCAATATACTTTAACCCCAATTCCAGTAAGCTAGGGATATCAAGACTCCGTTTATGCTTATCGTAATCCTGGAATAATGTTTCCAAATATTGAAACACCAAGGTATCAATGTCCCCTGAAGGTATTTTAAGGATTTCTGAATGTAAATTGGGTTCATGAGCGTTAAGTAGACTCAATAATGCTTTAAAATCGAGTTCCACAAGAAACTTAAAATTCCTTCTAATCACCTCATTTACACCCATTCTCTCAGTTATTGAAGAGTTCTCAAGACACATTTCAAGAACCACCTTCATGCTGTCATAGTAATCACTTTCGTCATTGTCGCCTTGAAGGGTCTTATGTCCTTTTTCAGGCAACACTCTCCGGTTCTTTTCAAACCAAGTAGCAGCAACTTGAGAGTACTTCTCCTCTGCTTTATAAATGTTCATTAAAATGGAATAGAATTTTGCTTCCTTCAATTTTACTAATAAGTATGTAGTATTATCAGGAAGATACCTTTGAAGAAGACATTGTAGTGCCAATTCACAATCATTAATGCTGATTTTAGTACCCCAATTGTCGTCATAATTGCAGAGATCGTCAATGACCTTGTCCAAAATAGAATCTGGGAGTCTAATAAACTGAGGATATTTGGAATAGTTACGAGCAATGAATATTGCCAAAGAACAGAAATCAAACTCAAGAAAGCTCGACCTGTTAACCTCATAAATATCCAATAGCGCTTCAATAATGTATTGACGATTAAGCTCTTTATCATTGAGTGTATAATCTTCAAAAAACTCATTTAAAGACGAGAGCATTTCAAATGAATCGAACTTGAGAAGCAAAAATAAATAGGGAAAGATGGTGGGCTTAATAGGTTTTGCATTTCCGCTTTCAAGTATGTTCACTGCAAAAAGGATTTCTTCAATTGATTTTCTAGCAAAGGTCTCATCTGCTGGCTGCACATATCTATCAGTCGGGTACTGTCGCCCCGTCAAAATGAAAGATATATAAGAGAAAACCTTGTGCAATTGTTTGTCATCATCCAGCAAATAATCTCCCTTTTCTGAATCACTCATACTTTGAATAATATCACCAATAAAATCCATTAACGGAGTAGCATAGTCATGAAGCACGTAATTCCAGATGTAAATCAAACAATCACGTAAATCATAAAGTTTGCATAGTTGAATTGTATTATCAATATCTAAGGATTTGATATCCAAGATGCATATTATTTCTGTTAATAATTCCCCTTTTTCTTTGGTGATATAATATCTCACCATTTCTTTAAGAACCAATGCCAGAAGACTGGATATTTTTTTTAAAAGTATATATTCTTCTAACACGGCAAAGAATGTTCTCTTGTTATCATCCATGACCTCAAAAATCTCCTCCATAATGGCCAGCAATTGGGGAGAGAGACTAGAATTCTCAGTTGAAAGCTTTGAAATCAAATCAAAAACCATGCTCAAATTTTCCTCAATCAGATCAGTGTCTTCAATAGCCATAGGAGTTTGAAATAATTTAATGGAAGACGTGATAACCCGTAAAACAATAGTCTCTAAAATTTTTTGTCGTGGTTTTAACTCCAATGGTAAATCAGTAGACACAATATTTAAAACGTCAGTGGAGAAGAACAACTTGTGGATTAAATTCAATGCTTTAGAATAATCTCCTCTTGCCAAAGAAATCTCAATTATATCAGACCATTGTAGCTGCATCCCAACAAATAGGTGTTTTTGATTATTGTGATAAGATTCCGTAAGAAGCATAATTCTCCCCTTAATAACTTTTATGGAACCAGTGAAAGAATTTAATTCCTTGTTTAAAAAAATCTTTAAGTCCATAGGATCCGGATTACCAACCTTAAGTAAGCGATTACCTCCGATATAGCTTAATGTCTCAAACTTCAACTCATCATCACCATCCTTTCCATTCAGAAATAATGAGAGTAAGGTCGGGCTTATCCATTGTAAAGACCTAAAACACCAGCCTGTACTGTTTTTCCATCTGCACGTTCGTTTCATAGCAAGTGTTCCGATAGTTTTATCTCTATCAATTAACTCCTTCATGTACTCATCCAGAAAGGAAGAGGCGTTCTGTAATTCCAATACAGTAATTATATTATTCCATGAATAAGCAAGTCTGGTCGTCGTGGTCGTCACCCCACTTCCGTTATCACTATCAAGACAAGGAAACCAACTAAGGCAACCAGTAACTATTGGAGTATCATTAATAATCTTAGGAATCCCCGTCTTGAAGTGATTGACCAAACGTATTTGGTTCGAGTCGTTGAGCGATAAGATTGTGACTACAACGAGCAAATGGTCTGTGAGGACCGCTAAGACTCCCCATTGATCAGTGATTTGAGGAGTGTTTCCTAAGGGTAGAAGTTCACATGCTAAAACGTCATGGCTCTGTTCCCTATCCTTATCTTTATTATCACCAGAGTTGCCTATAATCTTATGGGTGACAAAGTACTTGCGCATAAACTTCTTGAACCCATGGTGATAAAAGATATATCCACTACGATCAGAGCTTACTAACTTATATCTCAGAGACCCAATAAAACTAACATAAGTAATCGGAGTACCAACAATATGGCCATCGACATTTTTTTTAAGACGGTCATGTTTGGCAATGCCCTGAATGGTATATAAGGGTATCACTATTCCTGATGACGACTGTGAAAGCTGCCAAAGATTAATTGACCCATCAGAATACCCTGCTACTAAAGATGTAACGTCTGATGAGAAACATAAGGATGTAATTGCAACAGCAGCTGTAGCAGTAACAGATTCGTGCTGTGATTGACTTGCATCAATATCATTATGACGAGTCGGATGCAAACTATATTCTGCCTCTTGATGATAACTGAAACATATCACATAACCCTTCAGAGTCCCCACTGCAACATACAATGAAGAAGGTTCAATGAGTGTAGCAGTGCCATAGCTCGCCACAAATGAAGACCCTTCGATAGTCTTCAGGATCTTGTGCATTTCATTCCATTGGAAAGTACTATTTTTGGATCCGTCAAAACTGCTGTTGTTTCTTCCAAGTTGACGAGTCAATTTGGATGAATATGAGCGTAACGCTATGCTTATAGAAGTTTGGGAACGATCATCAAACCGGTGCTTTTGTATATAATTTGATCCATTGGAACTTTGGATTGAATCTCCTTCACTAATCTGGGGAGACGGAGTTAGCAAGTTGCGGGCTGGAACATCAAATAGATTTCCTCCATCCATTAAGCCGAGATGAAACCAATTGCTATATATCCTTTTTATCTTTTACAGGTGTATAATTATGTCATGATGATAGCTACTGACTAAATCAATGTTTGCAAGCACACACCCATTGATCCAATTTGGAATCAGTCACGTGACTAGGAAAGAGTATACCGCTACTTCTATACCACTATTAATTACCCATGAATACATATATAAATAAACCATATATAAACCAAATACAATAACGCCTGGACGTTTTACAAAATTTTTTCTTTTTTGAAAAATCTAGCGAGTGAAAAGAGATAACAAACTCCAGTAAGAATTAAAGCACCAAATTGGATCCAAGTCCATTTAAGCACTCGACTGCAAGTCAACTCCGATTGGTCTCTAAAGGACCGTTCCTTTTGACGGATAAACCGTTGTTCTCGACGAATATCAACAAGTTTTTGAGACAAATGCAGTATACGTTCCACCAAGTCATCCAAAATCTGTTTACTTGGTTTCGTATCAACCAACAGACCATCACCAACCTCTATATCAATCTGTAATCGTGCTTGAACAAACCTCAGGTCCCTTTTCGCTAATTCTTCATCTGGGGAATCATTTCGAAGCCACTTCTTACTGTAGAAACTCTTTGGAGTTATACAAATTCTATGTTCTCCTGATGCTAACGCACTAAAGGCAAATTGACCCTTAGCATTGGCTTTCCTATGAACCACTCGATGATTACCCTGGAACAATTCTACCACGTCTATAATCACTCCGGTATTGACAATATCTCGTGGCAGATAGAAGAAATGAGTCTCTGGTTCTCGGATCTGCATTGAATACCTTCCTATAAGAAGCAGGTCTTTCTCTATTTCCTTCTGGAAACACTGGCTGACTCCTTGGTCTAGATAGACGTGGAATAGTCCCAGAACTTTGGTTAAAAGATATAGAACAATCACCACTGAAACTCTAGGCATGTTAAGATTTGTCCCAACAAATATGACGTATGGCAAGCGTTGCCAATAATTAACAGTACGAGTCAAAAAACAGTAGGCACAATGTAGCGAGTTAGAATTAGTAAGATATGTGACAGCTCTCCTCAACCAACTACACAGAATTGATTAACTTCAATTAAACTCCAAGAATGACTCAGATCAACAAAACGGCACTCCACGTCAAATTAAAGCGTATTCTGGTGTAAACACTAGTCCCCTTAATTTGGGAAGACAGTTAACGGGTATTAATAGCCAACAGTATATGCAGTCGATAAGAGAAAGCCCCATATGAACTGCACGCAATGGGATTAATTATATATGGTAGCACCGGTTTGGGAAGTGATGAGATGGGCACGTATTAGGTAGCTACAACGGCCTAAGGTTATAGAACCTGGGTAAGCTGACTGAACAATAAGTAATGGCTAAGAGCAAGAACAAGAAAAAGAGCAAGAGAACTGAACTGGCTGCTCGCGAGATTGAGCTGCGTGTAGCTCCCATTCTCGAAGTGCAATATACTGAGCCATTATTCACAGTTGCTGCTCATCCCACAGAACCAGTGATTGTATCAGGATTAGCAACCGGTCATGTCTACTGTAATAGATATGATGCAGAAGCATTGGAAGATCAACAGCGACGCGAGCGTGAACGTATTGCATCTTCTATCAGGTCTGTTTCCCAACTGAAAAATAAATGGTGGGAGGTAACTAACTATGATGCTGCTAAAGGCTCTCTCTACACTACGCTGTGGAAAACAAAAAGACATAAAGGATCATGTCGATCAGTTATATTTGATCCTACTACCTCAAATGCCGGGAAGTACATCTACACTGTTGGTTCAGATAATGTGATCAAAAAGGCAACAGCAGAGACTGGGAAAGTAGCAAGCAAAGTTGATATTGTCAAGGAATACCAATCGAAAGGTGATTCTGTGACTAAGTTGTGTCATTCTTCCACTCATGATTTCTTGCTTGCCGGTACTGAAAACGGACTGGTTCTTGTATTTGATAGTAAAAACCTTGGATCTTCAATAAAATATTCAGTAGCCGAGGCTCACGAAGATGCCATTAATCATATACTTCCCATGCCTCATGTTTCAGCCTATCATTATTTAACTTTGGGTCTGACCACCTTATCTCATATCGATATTCGGAAGGGTATTATAACTCAATCAGATAATCAAGAAGATGAGTTGCTCTCTATGTGTTATCCTACTGATGATACTATGAACGATACAGTTTTGGTTGGACATGGTGAGGGTATCGTTACTATTTGGAAGAACTCCAAGAATAAGTTTATGGACCAACTTTCACGAATCAAAGTCAACAAAGGTGTTTCTATTGATTGCATAGTACCCAGTATGAACGAAGACCTGCCTGAATCTGTATGGTGTGGGGATAGTGATGGTTTCTTACATCGTTTGGATTACAGGAAAGGGAAGGTTGTGGAAACAAGGCTTCACTCAAATGCTACTGAAAAACATGGTGCTATAGATGAAGTTGGTATACTTGATATTGATTATAATTACAGGCTCATTAGTGCTGGAATGGATAGCTTAAAGATATGGTCAGGGAGTGGTAATGAGGAACAACCTGAAGCCGAAGTAGATGATGAGAGTGATGATGATAGCGAGGACAGTGCTGATGATATGGAGAATAGCGACAAGGAAGATAATAGTGATAGTGATTCTGATATTAACGACGATTCAGATTCAGAATCTGACCTCAACGAAAGCGATTCTGACGGTTCAAGTGAAAACGACTCGAAGGCAAAGAGTGTGAATGAGAAGAAGAGAAAAGTAGTTGATATCAACAAACTCACTGCAAAAGGTAACGAACATGGTGAAGAAAAGGAGGAGTCTGAACCTGCTAGACCCAAGAAGAAAGTCAAGCAATTGAGCACTAAGCAACTTCGTAATCTTCAGAGACATGAACACGGAATCAAGAGATTCGATGGGTTGTAATCGTATAGCTTCGTAAATATACCAGTTTACTGCATCGGGGAATGACCTACGTAATGCCTCATTACCTACATACTTTGATCCAAGCAAGTACTACCGATGGAACGAGCATAGTTACCAGGTATATAAATAAGGGCTAGAGCCTATTAAAGAAGCCATATCAAATTATAGATCCAATCAATGGCATATCATTATAACCGTAATTAAAACTCCATTAGCTGGAATCGAACTGGTGATAAAGTATCGCTCTTTGTGTACTGACTCCCAGAAATCTTGGGGATAAGAAAGCTGCATCTTGAATCAAAATAGATAAGCAAAACGATACAAACCACATCGACACTAGTAATGTCATAGAAAGCATAAAGGAAGGAGCAACTGAACAGCATAAATATATAATATAAACAATGGAAAAAGTATCTGTTATTAATGAAGTGGTGTTAAACCGACGGGGGTACTCCATCTCCGGTACCCTTGTACTTTGTCAGTTTCATTTAGTGTTTAGCTTTAGTAATAATAAGGAAGTGTGGATATGTTATCCGATAATAGAGAAGATGCACAAGAGCAGGGGATCTTCATGTTATACTAGAGACCATGAAACCGGTATAGATTTCTATGCCGTCTCTCATATACGTCTTCAATGTAAGGACTTTACTTACTATTCGTTTGACTTTAAGAATGACGCAGTATGCACGGAAGTATTCAACAAACTTAGTTCCTTGATTTCGGTGCCCAAAGTGAACAAAAACATCCAACTTTTCTATGCATTTGCGTATAAACGCAATGTACTCGAAGAGAAGTTGCCTAACTCCGGTTGGAATCATTACAATCCACTTATGGAGTACCAACGTCAAGGTTTGATCAATGACTATTGGAGAGCTTCCTCAGTGAATGAAGACTACAAGTTTTGTCCCTCGTATCCCAAAGTATTTATTGTTCCGTCAAGTATATCCGATAGTGTTTTAAAGCATGCCGGTAAGTTCCGTTCCAAAATGAGAATCCCGGTGATAGTGTATAAGCATAGACTGGGAGGGAAGAACGGGAATGTTATTGCCAGATGTGCCCAACCTTTGGTGGGTCTTAACTTACAGAATCGTTCTTTGCAAGATGAAAGGTTAATTTTGGAAATATTCAAAACCCAAGAGTCAGAAAGAGCCACAGTATATTATGAACAAGATCTGGTTGTACTTAACAACGAACAACCACAGAAAAACCTAATAGTGGATTTAAGACCCCTTACTAATGCAATGGCTCAACATGCGTTAGGTGCTGGAACAGAAAATATCGATAATTATAGAGGTGGTAATGACCATACTACGAATAACAGCACACAACCAAATGCTTCAGGTGCCACAGGGGGATCGAAAGGATCTGAATCATCCCAAAGTAGACGAAATGTGGATAAGATATTCTGCAATCTTGATAATATTCATGTGATGAGGGACTCTTTGAATAAGCTTTCTGCAATCTTAAACGACATCGATAAATATCCACAACAACTTTTAACCACTACTACAGATACAGATGATACAAGCAACGGGTTAAACCCCCCAAAACTTGCAGAGTTTCAACAAGCATTAACCAAAACTCAGTGGTTGAACAGACTTTCACTTATACTTCAATCTGTTGATCGTATCACTAAGTCGGTTCATCTCAATAACACCAATGTGGTTATTCATTGTTCAGATGGATGGGATAGAACGTCTCAAGTGTCTGCTTTGCTGCAGCTTTGTCTTGACCCATATTATAGAACCATTGATGGATTTATCACTCTCATAGAGAAGGAATGGATAAGTTTTGGGTTTAAATTCAACACAAGAAGTGATCATGGAGGTTGTATTGGTGCATATTTAGAAGTTCCACAACAACAAACTCCAACATATTCAAATACCAATACAGGTGTGTCTTCTTCTCCTCCCCCAGGATATGAAAATACAGCAATTGGTGATACAGAAGACTACTCTACACCAAGACAGGCAGTTACTTCGTTTCTCCAGAGAGCAGCATACCACATTAAGAATACCGCCAGTAGCAGCATGAATGGTTCACATACACCCGGAATGCCACAGTCAACTAATAGAATAAATGAAAATGGCTCCAATACCAATGGTGGATCATCTCAGAAACCACCCAACACTATCATTTACGGTGGGAGCAATGAACGGTCTCCCATATTCCATCAATTTTTGGACTGTGTGTTTCAAATTGTACGCCAACACACCAACCAGTTTGAGTTCAATACCAGACTTTTGAAGAGACTCTTTTACCATTACTACTCATGTCAATATGGATCATTCTTATGTGACAGCGAGCTTGAGCTATTAAACAATGGACTACAAGATAAAACGGTATCGGTATGGGATTATTTCAAGTCTCGACCTCCAGAATTCACCAATCCGGGGTATAACCCAGTTGAGAATGAGGTGCTCTTCTTTAACTTTATGGATGTAAGATGGTGGTATGAACTCTACGGCCGAACGGATGAAGAGATGAATGGACTTTCCAAATCTCTAGAGAAGAAGTTTGCCGAAATGAATGTTAAATGAATAAATGCATGATATTTTAACGATTGGATGAACTAAGCGAATGCACGTTGATAGAACATATTGGTATAATGAATTACCTCATAGTAATCTACACATTCTAGAAGTAGTAGTAGTGGTAGTAGTGGCAGTAGTGGCAGTAGTGGCAGTAGTAGTAACAGTAGGAGAAAATTGAGTGTCTGTCGGTATAGTACTTTTTTCGCCGAAGCCGAGGCTACATAATCACCGAGATCGGCCTAAATAGGCCCTGAATCAAACTCAGCTATCTTCTACCTGATTGCTTGAGTATTAATGCTACGAAGAGGCGTAGTCAAAGCCATTTGCCCGAAGATATGGTATTCTAGTGGCACTTCTGGACCTTTAGGGGTTGATCGTGGACCTCCATTGTCTACTCGAGAACCCCCCCATGGTAGTAGCTGTGACTATGACAGCGACCATCATTACACTGGAAAAGAAGTGGCCTTGACAGACCCCTTTGAAGTATACTTGAACAATGTGAGAGGTGGGCTCTTGGAACGTGACGAACAGCAGTTGAGAACAATGAAAGAAATCCAGAAGCTCTTCTACCGCGTTAGAGACTACACTCCACCTGCGGAGTTGGGGATACGGACTCAACTACTTCTCTTGGAGTTAAAGCGAAGAACCAGACGAGAAAACGAATATTCAAACTCAAACTCAAGCTTGTGGATACGATACGCTACCTCTGAAGCGACCAATAAACGAAAGAAGAACGAGGTCATCAAGAGTTTAAGCGATTTAGACGATAGTGTGATTCACAGTCCCCAGGGTTTATTAGTTAACGGAGAGGTAGGTTGTGGGAAGTCAATGCTTATAGATATATTTGCATCGTGTTTGCCTCACAAGTCTAAGATGAGGTGGCATTTCCACAACTTCATACTATGGGTATTCAATGAGATGCATATACTTCAAACCAAAAGAGATCTGAAGAGAATAAGAGATGATGAAAATGACTTGATGTTGTTTGAAATAGCCCAAAAAATGATCATGAAGAACACCGTCTTGATTCTTGACGAGTTTATGCTTCCAGATATTGCGGCTGCCAATATCATCAAGTATTTGTTCACTTATTACTTCAGATTGGGGGGAGTATTGGTTGCAACATCAAACAAATTACCTGAAGATTTATACTCCAATGACTTTAATAGGAGGCAATTCCATGATTTTGTAGGTATACTTCATTCCCGATGTCAGACAATTGACATGAGATCAAACAAGGATTACAGATCAATTTACAGCGGTGACGGTGAGGGTGCTTCATCCAATATAATCGCCAGGAGTCAGGCTGGTGTTACTCACGAGGCTAAATGGCAGGAAATGATCAAAAAGATCAACCCCTCCGGCCAATGGGGTCCGACTACAGTCTCAGTGTTCAACAGAAGTATAACATTTGATAAGACTAATGGTGAAACATGCTATGTTGATTTCAAGACCATCTGTGAACAAGACAATGCTAGTAGTGATTACATTACTTTACTGTCGCATTTTCATACGGTCATCATTGATGATGTGCCTAAGCTCACAATCAAGAAGAAGAACGAAGCCAGAAGATTCATAACGTTGTTGGATGCGTTGTACGAACAGAAATGCTCACTAGTACTACGATGTGAGGTGCCCATTGATGAACTCTTTTTTTTCAACGGTGTAGTTGAAAAAGAGTCAGATATGTTAGACAGTGAATCATTCGCTCGGGCTACACTTGACTCATCGACACCTTATCGACCCAATGTATCATTTTACAATCAAGTCGATGAGTTCAGTGAACCAACAACAACAACATCGTCAAGTACTAGTACCAAAAACTTTGGCGATCTCACTGCCTTCACCGGCCAAGATGAGTTGTTCGCATACAAGAGAGCAGTACTGCGATTGAAGCAGATGGTGGCATGGAAGTCATGTGACAGGCATTGGAAACCATTAGACTCGAGCATGAGACCTTGGGAAACTGAGCCAAATCAAGAACATAAGGGTACACATAAAAAATCAGCAACAGATACCTGTACCCAACAGACCAGAGGCACCTCAGTTCCATAGTCTACTGCATTTTTTGGGCAATGGGAAACTATGGTCTCGATCAAAGCAAGAGATTAAAGGACAAGATAGCCACAAGATGGACCGGAACCTCTAAAGACGAAGAATAACATGCATACATAAGCAATCATGTAGAGATGCATACATACATATAATTTATCCGAGGATTTATCCTATATATGCAAATGCAATAGAAGGCGATCATACATAACAAGAGGAATGATTCGAACGGTTATGTGGCTGATACTTGTGTTAGCTACTGTGAAGTTTTTGTGCCCCACACTGAAGCCTCGGATAAGCGATCCCCACAAAACACGACATATTCTATTATATTATAAAGTTAAATTCCATTATATACCCTAACTACGTATTACCATGATACTGCTAATGCTGTCGATAGTTAACCCCGAACGATTGGTTCGTCTTGCTTACAAGTACCCCAGTTTACGTCTGACATGGTACATTGTAGCATGCGCTGCCCTAACAGTTGTGAACCAACCTGAAGAGATCCCTAAAGTGTTTCACTTTGCCTTAAGACAACAGCTCTTGGAACATCTGCCTCAACCTTCACTCTTGACAGATTCTCATTTGTTACAATTGGCTTCTGATTCCATTAGTTCCCTGGAAAAGTTTGCAGAGCTTTCTCTGGTTGGTGTCAGATTGCCTGATGTTTTAATTCCTTATACTTACCATGATAAATTCAACTACAAATACACGGCCTCTGAAGACATCAAAAGATGTCAGGAAGAAGTTGCCCGTAAGATTAGGGAATGTATATTGAAATCCAGTGCTCTTTCGGGCTTACCTAAAGCTATCAATGCGCTTATGATTTTGAAGAGTGTCACTCCAACTTCCATTAGACCAAGCCAACACTCCGAAAGACCCTTGCTGGTGGTTCTGAGTGTAGTGGAGAAGTCTTCAGATATCGTACAAGAAGACGTTAATGGAACTAAATTGAATATGGACGATGTGGAGACCATTGATGGGATTATCACCACAGATTGTGTGAACGCTACTCAAATTCAAAAGGACTTGATACGGGGCTCAGAGTTCTGGAATACTATCTACACCAATAAAATAAATACAAGAATTAGAAAGCAAATGATCAATGCATACCCTGATTTATGGCAGTATACTTTCCATCATGTTTATGCTCCATTACTTAGTTTCACTGACGTGTTGACTCCTCCTGAGACCCTGATGTGTGTAGTGGCATGCTTGATTCCTCAAGATGTTAATCCTCAATTGAAGGGCCATTTGAAAGGTGCGATCAACGTGGGGGTCACCAAACAAGAATTGAATGACTTGAGGTCGTTGGTATTTGATATATGTGATTGGTCTGGAGGTACTTATTGGCGTAATGGGAAAGAGAGTGTTGCTAAGTTATGATTATGTACATCCTGATAAATATTCTAGCGTGACAATGATTGTAGTCGATGAGAATACGAGGGGAACGGTTAAATATACAAAAGTAGCAGTCAAGTATACGATGCTAACAGTCTCGTATTCCCTCGGGCTATCACCGTTACTCTACACAACGCCTACAATTTTATATTCATATAATCCAATATGTATTCTCTAATAAACACCCCTTATCATTATAACTGGATTCGACTTTGTCTTTTAATCAACACCACTTGTGACCCACAGAACACAAAGAAAGCAAGATAGACAAACACAGCTCCAAATACCGTCTTGGCTACAGCGTCTCCATCTTCAGGGTCATTAATAGAACCCATCATTGACTCATGTCCAATCTTAAACAAATACCCAATAAACAGCAATATCACAATAGCAAACGCCGATAACACCGTACAGAAGTACGCCTTTCCCGTACCCACTACTGCCTTCATGTTTTATCTTGTTATGGTTTGCGTACTTTTTGTCTGGTATGACTATCACTTTGACTTGATTGACTTGGGATTAGATTATCGTCGGCTACCAACATAAACGGTAAATACACGACTAATTTGGATAAGGTAGTATCTAATGTTGTTGACGAGATCAATTGTGCAAGTGATATAAATTGCTAGCTACAAAACACTGATTACATGACTACTAGTCCATTGACAGACATTGGTTGATACCTTGTTACTAGCCCACATGATCTGTTATACAAGTCCGATATGGTAGCGCAACCGAATTGCAGCCATAACTAATATTATATAAGTTATAAGTGTCTACTATATGCAAATGTAATTAGTATATTGACACGATAGGAGCTAATTTTCTGAAGCCAGCTGTCTGAAGCTAACTGTCTGGGGCTGAGTGACTCGATTTAACAATGTATATCTTTGTAATTTTACGACGATTCTGACATACTTCCATTTTCATTAACCAATGGTGCAGATAGCTCTCTCGTAATAGGACTAGAAACATATGTCATACCATAGCCGCTTTCTAAGTCACGTTCAGCCTTCACAGCTGGCGATATGCTTCTACTATGCAATTCATCATTCTCTGTCAATTTAGTTCCGGGACTTGCCAAGTCCTCTACCTCATCCTCCTCAAAATCCATCTCATCTCTGCTCTCACTATTATTATCCAGGTAAATCCCTAAATGCATTGTGACAGGTACCGTCATGGGATTTCTGTCTGAGACTGTCAAGTATTGGTGGTTATGGTTATGTCCAGCAGACCTTGGCTCTGATGTCACATTTCCTCGATTGGTGGTAGCCTCAGTCTCTGAGGTAGCTGGCATTGTACTTGAGCCTCGGTTACTTCTAACCAAATCTACCGAAGAACTGCTATTGGCATTACTAAGACTACGAGCTCTTTCTCGGAGTTTGCTTCGTCTAAGAATCGCAATGTTCTTGTATAATGCCTTGAGGAATTTCAACCGATCGCTAATATATTCACAGCTATTGAGCCATTCCAAGTCTTCGGCCGGATGTGTGTTACGGGAGTTATACAATGCTGAAAGTGATTCCAACGATGATTGGATGGTTCTTGGCTGATTAAAATTTCTGGATATTCTGGCATTTGAATTGCCTAAATCATTCATGTTTCTTGATGGAATCAAATGCAGATGATCTGATTCGAAAGTCTGTCTCCGTGATCTAGGGATACCGGACTGTCTATATCTCAAAGTCACGATCTTATGTTGCAGCATGATGAATATTGAAAGCAGTACAACAATTGCAACTATGGGTAGAGTATATTGTCAGCGTTTTAAGAGAGGCTTGCTTAGCTTGCCAGATAAGTTCTGCTGCCTAAATTAATCGTGTTAATTAGTTATGCTGTCTCTAATACTAATGTTTAATACAACCATAGTCAAGGCCAAACCTTAAAGGAAGAAAGAAAGAAAGTGTACCTGGCTGCACCAAATAATAGTGTACCATTGCAGCACAAAAGTCTTTAGCCAAAACTTGAAACGAGAAAGTCACAGACCATCAAAAAAGCTCTTTAGTTTAAGCATTACATAAGCAGATTGAAGCGTATCTATTGTACTATAACATTGTATACATTGAGTCATTGAGTTATAGAGGTCATAGTGGGTTGTTCTTCATCATGACTACTTCAACTATTAAACATACACCCGAGAATGAACCTTTGATTGCCACAGGAGAACAACTTCAGAACCTTGTTGAACAACTCATAGAACTTGGGGTGCTTGTTCACGATAACCAAGGGACATTCCAATCTCATACTGCTCTTACAAACAAGGTCAACGAAGTGGTGAGTTTACTCAGTGCCATTACGGCTGCTCCCTTCACCCAACAATATTCCATTCCAGTGGATGTGATCCAGTACATAGAAGAGGGAAGAAATCCAGATATCTACACCCGTGAATTCGTTGAAGTCAATGCTAAGAGCAACGCTAGAATTAAGGGAAGAATGCAAGGATTTGCTAAACTCCGTGATGTTTTGGGCACTAAGTTGGCCCAAGAGTTCCCTCGGTTAACTCCAACAATCAAAGACATTCAAGAGAGAACAAGCTTGCAAATGGAAGATTAAAATTAAGACTCACCATGACATTGAGTCAGTCTACCTAATAACCTTCTTATGCCACTAATGAACATTCACATTCAATGGATGGATACAAACTGTTAACTACTTCAGATACATTATATGAGAGAGTTCTTATATGAAGGCGTTCTTACATGAGGACGTTCTTATATACAATGAGATTGCTTGTCTAATTATCACCAGTTTAAGCCTGATGGTTCAACTATTACCGCACGCACATAATGCATTCAAGTTGAGCAGTATCCCAATTTAGATGTGACTACCAGCAAACCTATAAAGGCATCATAGACAAGTGCAATAACTAACGCCTTTAGGTAGTACTATAACCACTCCTTTAATGGTACTTACTATACCCAAGGTTGGTAGTTGGCTAATATTCTGGTCACAAAGACACACAAAGTTCACGCATTGTAAACTCCGTTAAAGGGCTGGTATCTGGTAATAATATCAATACATTGACATGTCATATGCCTTTTAATTACCAATTTATTTGAGTAGACATAACGTGATACGACATTGGAAACCGGAATCCGTTGAGTTAAAGCTTGTAGAGTTTAAAAACCATTGCGCATTGTTAAGCCAATGCACTATCGGGTAAGGTGTCTAAACTCCAAAATCGTTAACCAGACAACACAGCGCTTGCATGGCACAAAATGAGATATCATCAAGATCCAAGTCAATAAATGTTTTATTACTATCTATATACATATTGTTTTAGATAGGCAACTATCCAGAAGACAGTATGATTAATACGACATACCACTACTCTTTCAAAATTCTACTCTCTAAATAGTTTGATACATTATATTTTGTCATAATAGTAGTCTTTCTTACAAATCGGGACAGTTTGTGATTGCTACACCTACAGTCTTCATACTTGAAAACAGCTAAAGAAGCTTGAATATTATTAAATCCAATCTGGTAACATCAACCAGCAACTTTACTAACACCACCATAGTGTAGTCACTTGAACGCTTGACAACTTGTCAATGGCAATATAGTTATATAGATTAATGACTTTTGTTGTGCGGAGTTTATGTACAGGACATAGAAATGCTTGATGCAATGTCAGATGAAGTAAACCATCAACAATAGAGATGAAGTGATATTCGTATATCTCCAGCATAGAGTTGCGTATGGTTAAAGCGTTGCATGCTTGAGCAGCACAGCCCTTCTGAATATATGAAGTAGTGTTATACGTAATAGTTTTGATGAATCCAGAATAATATATTTTTATAGAGAAAGCAACTGCAACTACAAAGCTAAAGCAAGTGAAAAAAAAGCTATATCGTACACATAATCTTAAACTAGAAGGTAAATTGATATGTAGGGAAACTAAAATGATCTGTAATGCGCGTCGCTGGCTTTCCAGTACGTTTCTGGTTATTGTTTATAGCTTAAAATTAACAACGGAATTCTGGTGAGGTATTGTTATTGTTCCCGAAATTATTGTGGTCATTGGATGATCAAATAAAGCTAGGTAAATATACATCAAATTGTGGATGATGCAGGTAAAATTTAAGTAAAACAATAGTATTTGTGTTACCAAGAACAAACACACAAAATGCAACTTAACTATTAAATCTAACACCAACCTATACACGGTTTTTCGATTTACATGCATACAAAGTCTCCACAATGTAGATTTCTCCGGCAGATGTAACCTCAGACCATCTCATAATGAAGCCCCAAGAAAGAGCATAAACGTACATAAAACAAACCTCCTAATAATGAACACTAAATAGCACGCATAAGAGTTCTCCATACAGCCACCTCCTTCTATTATGAGAAGGGAGGGCAGGTTGAGTCCCCGTTCAAGCTTTATTATTTTTCATTGTCAACAGCCTTATAGTTAATAGTTTGAAGTGGAACAAAACGCTAAGCCCAAAACATTGCGTATTCACAAAGCTAACAAAGACATAGGTAGACAACTTTATAAAAATACAGACGTCTGCTATCGAGGATAAATTTTTTGTTGAATGTTTATGCACTATAAGAATTAATCATTCATTCTTTCATTCTTTCCTTCGTTAAACAACTTGAAGTTAACATTATTTTGTCGTTATAACTTGGACACCAAGTTCCCCATTCATTATAAGTAACTAGTCCATCAAAAATCCCAATGTTGTTCTTGCCCTTAATATTGGGTCTTTCCAAGCTCGTCGTGGGTGCCAGTTCTTCTGAAGACACTACAACTGTTACCGTGACAGTTACTCCCGTAGAAACTGCCTTCACCACTGTTAGTTCTATTGCTAATGTCGTCGAACAAGTGTATGTTTTCACAGACTCATCAAATGGTTCACTTACTACCTTGACAACTCTGACAACTGAATGGTTACCTTTGACTGCCACTGCCACCCTGCCAGTTTCAGCAACCAGTGATTCATCATCTGAAGAAGTTTCCTCCGAAGCTACTTCCTCCTCCGCTACTGTTACATCGTCATCGTCATCTGAAGCAGCCACTTCCTCCGCTGCAGGTGTATCATCATCATCATCATCATCATCCTCAACTGCAGCCACCACCTCGTCTACCTTTACTGGAAACTACTACTCCACTGGTTATACTACTGCCACCGAAAACATTAGTGGTTCCGACGTCGTGGTGGAGTACGTTGTGTTGTACACCAATGCATGTTAGCTTGTGCATATAAAATGACTCCTAAATCTAGATCTTTGACTTGACCTCAATGGTTGTCAGATTTAATACACTTATTTAGTTCATCGCTTTTATTAGTAAAATCATTATTTGAACTCCATTGTAGACGCTAACTTAGCTAGAAGTAGTATTAACTGTTAGCAGTGATACTACGATACTAATTATTATCTCGTTTTGTGGTGTTTATTTTTGAAAGTAATTTTCGCGGGCGCGCGTACTCTTCTCCCAATTTGTATTTGTTCCTCTTCATCATCAACCAATAATAAACAATACTCCCACTGTCCATCAATGAAATGAAGGTAGAAGAGTTGATCATTGATGGCTTCAAATCATACGCTACACGTACAGTGATATCTGGATGGGACCCACAGTTTAATGCCATCACCGGGTTGAATGGATCGGGGAAATCCAACATTCTTGATGCCATTTGTTTTGTTCTTGGGATATCATCCATGACAACAGTTAGAGCCTCAAATCTACAAGACTTGATCTATAAAAGAGGCCAAGCAGGTGTTACTAAGGCGAGTGTGACCATAGTGTTTGATAATAGCGAGGTGTCCAAGCTGCCAATTGGATTTGAAAGCTGTAGTAAAATAAGCGTCACTAGACAAATTGTATTGGGAGGCAATTCCAAGTACTTGATTAATGGTCATAAGGCACAACAACAAACGGTGTTAAATTTGTTTCAAAGTGTTCAATTAAACATCAACAATCCGAACTTCTTGATTATGCAAGGAAAAATCACCAAAGTGTTAAACATGAAGCCAAGTGAAACATTACTGTTGATTGAAGAGGCAAGTGGGACGCGTACTTTTGAAGATCGACGGTTAAAGGCCGAGAAAACTATGCAAAAAAAGGATCAGAAATTAAAGGAAATCAGGACCCTTTTGGATGAAGAAATTAAACCTAAATTGGATAAGTTGAAGCACGAGAAAAGTATTTACATGGAGTTTCAAGAGGTTCAAACTAAATTAGAGAAGAGTACAAAGATCTTATTGGCATATAATTATCAACATTACTTGAATAGATTCAATCATGAATCTCAATTGCTAAATGAGAATGAAGAAGAGGAAAGAATATTGAATGATTTAACCAACAGACTTACTTCCGAAATATCATCTTTAAAAGATGATTTAGCAGTCTCAAAGAAGAAGCGTGAACAAGAGATGATTAAGGATGGGAAAATTAAACAGTTAGAGGCAAAGGAAAACGAATTGTCTAATAACTTAACCAGAGCTACAACCTCAAAGGATATTATAAATGACAACATTAAAGAAGAAATGAAATCTTTGGAGAAATTAAAGGAAAAGTTAAAGTCTCTTTCTGACAAAGAGTCTTCAAATTTAGAATCTTCTTCCTTAGAGGATGCTTATAAGAGATCAAAGGAACAATTAATTCAGTTGAAAGATGACTACAATAGAAAGGAAGAGTTATTATCAACTTTGTCAACAGGTGTCTCCTTAGGAGGTGAAGGAGGTTATTTATCCCAAGTTAAGGATGCTAAAGAGCGCCTAAATGAGTCTCAAAATAAAATTCAAAGTGGTCATATGAAAATCGACCATTTAAGAAATCAGTTACAGTCAAACCAAGAGAGACTTCATCAAGCAAAAGCAGAAAATCAAAATGTACTACAAAAAATTGAAAACGACAAGGTTTTCATTCAAAAGAAGGAAAATGAATTGAAAGCTATTGGTTATGATCATGAGCTATTCCAACAGTTAAAATCCGAAGATTCGTCTTTAAATGACCAATTACGTGGACTCAATCAACAGTTAAGTCTTGTGAAGAGAGAATTAAACAACAACAATGTGAATTCAAGTAATTTAGAGTTCCATTGCAATCTACCTCATTTAAATTCCAAGCTAGTTAAAGGTATTGTTGCTTCCTTGTTTACTTTGACCGATTTGGAGAAAGCATTTGCTTTACAAGTTTGTGCTGGGGGACGGTTATATAACGTAATCGTTGATAATGCCAGTATTGCACTGGATATCTTGGAGCGAGGTCAGTTAAAGAAGAGAGTTACCATTATTCCATTGGATAAAATCCAATCAAGACTGCTTGACACCCAAATGGTTGAATACGCTAAACTGCTTCGTCCTCAGAAGGTGGATTTGGCATTAAACCTTATTAAGTTTGAGGATGAACTTCATAAAGCCATGGAATACGTTTTTGGTACAACTTTTATAGTGAAAGATCCAGAAGCTGCCAAAACCATAACTTTTGATCCAAAAATAAGAAGTCGTTCTATTACACTTGATGGTGACATCTATGATCCCGAAGGTAACTTATCTGGTGGTTCCAGAAAGAATTCGACGGCTATTTTGGTTATAATTCAGAAATACAATAAGATTATTCAATCCATTGGTCAAATTGAACAAGAATTAGCTTCTGTTAGGAATAAGCTACAAGGTCTTTCAGCTTTGAGTATGAAATCACAACCGTTGATACAAGAGATTCAATTAAAACGTCATGAGTTGCAATTAGCTCAGAAGATGTTAGAAAGCAACCCATCTGCTCAAATTGTGAAACAATACGAGACCATAGAGAAGGAAATAGCCAATATTGAACAAGAAGTAGAGAGAGAGAATTCAAATTCAATAGCTATTCAAAAAGAGATTGCATCAATTGAGAAAGATATGAGCGAGTTTAATTCCAATAAGAAGGGAAAATTGAAACAATTAACCAAGGAAGTTGCTCAACTAAAGGTACTTGTACAACAAAAGGATTCCGAGGTGAATGAAACCCTTGAACGATTCCAGAATATTCAAATGGAATTAGACCTGGTAGCTAATGAGCGGAAGGTACTTGAAGATTCGATTGCGAATGGGGAAAGTACCATTGCAGACCTAAATACCAAATTTGAAGCAACAACGAGCTCAATAGCACAATATACAGAGGAATTGAAATCGGTTCAAGGCATTTTAGAGGAAGAGAAGGCAAACTTATTTGGTATAACTGAAGAAATTCTGGAATTAACCAAGATCATCAAAGTGAAAGAGGAGGAGATGGGTGAAGCCAAGTTGAATCTTCAGAAAACACATCATGAACTTGAAAAGCTTAAAGGAGCCATAAAACATGTTAAACGAAGTTTAGATGATATGATTGGAGAAAATGATTGGATTACTGATGATCGAGTTGTTAGTACTATAATCCAACAAAATCCAAATGCCAACGTTCACGAGATTAAAGAGCAGCAACAAGTACTTCAAGATAGATTTCAAAACATGAGAAGAAAAGTTAACAGTAATATCATGAACATGATTGAGAATGTGGAGAATAAGGAAACAGCATTAAAGACAATGGTCAGAACTATTGGTAGAGATAGAACCAAGATCGTTAATACTATTGAAAAGTTGAATGGATACAAGAGAGATACATTGAATAAAACATATAAAAGAGTCTCGACTGATTTTGGGAATATTTTTGCAGATTTATTACCTGGGTCGTTTGCTAAATTGGTTCCAGTTGACGATGAGGATGTTACTAAAGGGTTAGACATCAAGGTTAAATTAGGACAAGTGTGGAAAGAGTCACTTGTTGAGCTTTCTGGAGGTCAAAGATCATTAATTGCTCTTTCACTTATCATGGCACTTCTTCAATTCAAGCCGGCACCGATGTATATTTTGGATGAAGTTGATGCAGCCTTGGATTTATCTCATACACAGAATATCGGACATCTTATTAAGACAAGATTTAAGGGTTCACAGTTCATTGTTGTTTCATTAAAGGAAGGAATGTTCACCAATGCCAACCGAGTATTTAGAACTAGGTTCCAAGACGGTACGTCAGTAGTGTCTGTCATGTAACCAATACAGATGAAGCATTATATAAGATTATGGTAGAGATAGTAATATAGTAGATATTGACAGATTATACTTCTGTGTATTATATAGTATATCATAGTAGAAAGGATTATTGAAAAAGTTACTCCTGGGTAAAACTTGTAGTAGACTCCGTTCCGGAATTGAAAGTGAGTATTTTTAGCATAGCATGAACGACGGCCCACTGATACTGACGGGTTAAGCAGGATTATTATATATTCTAAGTGTAACGATCTAAAAAGTGAGTGTAATTAACAGTTGACTCTTGGTTCCATGCGCAGCCACACACGCAAATAGACATCATATTGATTTACGAGAAGCCGTTACCTATATTAACATGTGTTAGGTTTAAGTTAGCCTTCTGTAAACAGGCTATCCAACCCCCAACATGACTACAACTCTATTACCTTGACCCACTTTCATTCCAAGGGACAGGAATAATGAATGGTGGTGTGCATCCGTAACTCTGGTGTTCTCCACTGTCATTCGTGTCTCTGTTTCGTGAAGTCCAGTGCATTAGTTAAATAATAAATAAATCAATGTACAAACTATCAGATATTCCTCCGACACTCATCTTTTCTAATTGAATATAGATTATTTGAGCAAGTCCTAATCACCTATAGGCAGGCATCACTGTCACTGATATGATGTCTGTAAGCCATTCCTTCTTATCAATACAACCTTCTGTCTTTTCCATCAACATCCTACTGATATCCTACTGATCTCTTCAGTTGCTCAAACAAATCATGGGTTTCTGTTGATTTGAAGAAGAAGCTAAGTCATTCCATTAAGTGATGACTATAAAGCTGGGGTTGGCGTTCTAAGTAAAAGGATTAGTAATTAATTGGATTCACAGAGAATAAGTCATTCGTTTGAAAGGATTATATAGACGACATTTTATCACGGTTTTGCTTCTGAGAATAATATGTCGTGATCTTAAAAGTTAATACTTCTTTTGCTCTCCTATGTTTGACGTCCGGGTAACCTTGTCTTGATTATTTCTATGTTCGTTATTATTTTAGTGTGAACATCGAATAGTGTGCCTACTCAAAGGTTCTTTTCAACATCTGACAATGTATGCAGATCCGTCCGCTAGTGAAAATAAGATTAAGCTCCAAGAGGCGCTGGCTTACGTACTTTGAAGTTTGCCGGTATGATAGCCAGAGTTTTCTGGGCTGCTACTATTTTTTAATACCACATTGGGTTATACAATATTCGATAAGAGTACTGTAGCAGAGGAGTAGTATTTTATAGTAGATAATGGTAGACTGCTTAAGTACATCCAATTATTATGGTAGAGATAGCATTACAGTATATTCAGTACCATAGTAGAGTATAGTAATGCTGTAGATTATGGTAGTATAGTAGTAGAATCATAGTACCGCATACACTTTTTTGTGTAACAATTTGAGATGACATAGATGAGTTACAGCATAATGACATATCTATCTTTCTATCTTGTCATCGCATACACTCTTTAATGATTGCTAGTAAGCGATATATATGGACAGGTGGGCCTCTATTGAGGTCTCTATCTCGGAGTAAATCGAAGCTTAAGCTTAAACCGAAGCCGAAGCAGAAACAGAAAGACGATCCTCGATTGAGATCAAGAGATGCTGTGCTTGGTCTGCCTGCTAAAGATGAGACCATACAAGTGATAACAAGTAGTAGAGACTCCTATGAAAAGAGATTGGAGGATATGACCTTCTATGATCCTGATAACAAGACGTTGAATCTCCGTTTTCATAACTCCAAGTTGTATGATGATATTTATATCGGATGTCAGACCCGAATGAGCAAACGGTATCGTTCGGCCCTGATTGAGTGGCGAAAGAACCTTTTCCGGCTTATACGAGAGTTGGAATTAAAGGAAGAGAACATCTTACGGTCATTTGAATCCTTTGTGTTAAAGGGTGATATCTCCCTTGAATCATGTGCCAGTCCTATAGCTGTAGGTGACCTTGTCTTCATTCGAGAAGATTCCACCGAGGTGTTCATGGTGGCGAGAACCCCTAAAAGCCTTGAGACGGCCGGGTCATATGCGTTCATTGGCTCGAACGGAGAAATTGTGTTTGGGTCGAAGAACATGATAAGACTAAGACTTCCAAGGGTAGTCCCCATAGAATATGCTCCCATAGTCGAAAGCTTTGTACAGCTTGAACAGAAACACTTGGACGTGGCACCCGTGGGGATAAATGATAATTTGTTTTCTCGTTCGCTAGAAGCTTTGCCTAAGGAATTACAGTCCAGCTCGAATGCCAATTCCAAAGGAACGAACGATCAAACGTCTCAAGAAGTTGGGGAATCAGAAGACGATAGTTTTGTGGTTACTCAAGCATCATCACAGCTCTTTATCAACTCTAATATTAATACGTATTATGTCCCCTTGGCAGCACGGAAGCTATATGTTCCTGTTCTACGGAAGTTGCAGCTTCAAATCACTGAAAAGTTGAATGATTATGACCGGAAACTCAATGCCCTTTACTACATTCTACAAAAGAATCAAATTGGTGATCATTTGAATAGCAGTAAGGTTGTCAGTGTTTTTTACTTACTTTCAAGATTACAGGAGTCTTCTAAACAGAAAGAGAAACTCCCTCGATTATCTAAACTGGTTTCCACTATCAACAGTAACCAGCCATGGAACAACAGTTACAATAACTCCCTGATTGAATCCAAATCAAGTTCCCAAAGTTTCCCTATCAGCAGCTACGTTGCCTTGTTGATAACATTGAACAAACAAACGTCTCATTGGTCATTCACTAAACAATCGTCTATCTATCCCGTGACTTCGGTTATAGTAACTGCTAATGCTTCCAGACTTCATCTTTCTAAGATCATCAAGAAGTTCAAGAAAAACGCTGTGTTGGAACAGTTTATTCAGCACTTCAACACACCCTCTGTCAAACCACCAGTAGCGAAACCCGAAGGTTATGATGACATGATCACTTTGCTTAAGAGCTATGTTGGTGGGAATCTTGATAATGATTTGGAATTTCAATACTTTGTCAACAACGTTATAAGAAGATGCAAGTCCCAAGTGAAGGAAGACGTTGAATTCAGTTACGAATATTCCAAGGCCAGAGCCTATGACATTATCAGAGAATTAGAAGACAAACCGTTTTATGAAAATCCAGTGAAATGGTCCAATTCAGTCCGGGGACCATCAAAGGGCTACTCCCAAGTCATTGAAGACGAATATTATACTTATTTGGACTTGGTAGATATTTATAAGTTGAAGAATCACCAGCAGCAACAGAAGAACAGCAATATCTCCCAAAACTTGGATGGTTTCAATGACTCCATTAGAGGAGAAAATACTCAATTCCTACAAGACTTTACGTTTGAAGAAAGCATTACTAGAACAGACTACGGGAATACTCCTATTTATTGCATTGACAATTCCACGGCTCACGAAATCGACGATGGAATTGCTGTTTCAGAGAATAGCAACGACACTTATGAGTTTTCTATCCATGTTGCAAGCCCATCGCTGTTCATTAACAAAACCTCAAATCTTTCACTGATTGCATTCAATAAAGGTCAGACTTCATACTTCCCTGAAGGTGCTGAACTAATGTTCCCTGACATTGTTAACAAGCTAAGCGGACTAGGAAGAGATCAAGAGGATACCCGAACGTTTGTGGTTAAGTTTGAGATGCCCAAAGCATTTCTTGACGAATACATGGATCAAATTAGACAGAATCCTTATTACAAACCAACTCACCAGCAGCTTGATGTCATGGCTCTGTTCATTGATAGCACAGGAATTGTGGACATGGGAATTGTCAGGAACTTCCCTCAAGGCTACACTTATGACAAGGTTAACATGGTGCTAGCACGAACCATGACAATGTCATCAAAGGACCCACACTATGATAACTTGAATAGGCTTTACCATGTTGCCTTGCTACTTCGTTACGTCCGTCACCACATTGGGAACCCCATTGACATGGCATCAACCAGGGCCGGTGTCAGTGTCGCGCAGGCTCAAAGTTCGGTACGAAATGTGTCATTGATAGACAATCGAAGCGAGAAGGGCTTTAGCATGGACACCGGACACCACACCATCAATGTGGTTACCAATTTGGCTCAACTGGAAGAAGCCAAATCTCAACTACTTGTTAGTGAGTTTATGATTTCCGCCAATTACATTCTGAGTGTATTTGCAACAAAGAACGACGTTCCAATGGTGTATCGTAATCAGGAGCTAAACATTGGTCCTCAGCTTCAGAAGGAAATGAACAAATTACTCGAGAAAGGGTTTGCTGATCTTTTAGGTACGTCAGAGTTATCACGACTCTTTGCAGTGATGACTCCTGCTCGATTGAGTAGGTTGCGAAAAGGTCATCAAGCCTTAGGGCTCAGTGGCTACACAACTGTTACATCACCGCTTCGAAGATTCGCGGATATGGTAAACCAATGGAGTTGGCTCCAATGGTTTGGACAACAACAGCAACACAAGAATAATATCAAAATCAAAGAACCTACAGATTTGGGGTTGATAGTGAGTACTTTGAGCAGTCGTGATACCCTCAACAAACATATTCAAAGCCGCAGTAGTGTGTTTTGGGAAGGAATTTTCCTTAGACAATACTGTACGATGTTGGGTTCAGAATTAGTCAAGGAACCGATCTTCTTTAAGCTTATGGTAAGAGAACGCGTGAATTCAAACAAATATCGTGTAGAGGTCATTGGACTTCTGGGCGCGCTAGATTCGTATATTCAAACCGGGAATGTTTACAATAGTGGTGATTACGTATTTTCGTGGAAGATCCAAACAGTGGACATGATTGAGAATGCACTTGTGTTTGCTGATGATGCGTAGACCAATATTTACGAGTGTTTAGTGGGTTAGGAAAACAGTGGACTAAAAGCATGTGGGCTACTATTTGCGATGATATTCTTCCCAATCAGTTTAATTAGGAGCATTTTTAGGAACGATGATGTTTCAGGTTCTTCTACATCACAATTGTTCTCTGGAATGTTTAGTCACAATTTAAGCTCTATTGTTGTTTTTCCCCTAATGGATGGATGAGAGGGGTTCGTTGCGCCACAAGTGTTAAGTTTTATTGGGGATAGTTCTCTCCCATATGGTACCTTGAACGCAAACACGATCTACTATTTAGGCTGATAACACACTCTAATTGGATACCGTGCTCTGTGCTTTTGCATATAGCGTAGGGAATGTGGTATTTCACGTTGGTGATGTTATATTGCCCCCTCTACAGTCCTGCATACGACGACATCTTGAGGATCCGCTCATCGCGATAGTGCATTGCGTCGCTTTAGTTCGCATCACTTTGCTTTGCAACTGGGTTGCATAGAAAATCTTGATCTTAAGCGGCGCAATGTAAGATAGTAAAAAAAGAATGCGCTCACTAGAATTTGAATCACCGAAGTCAAAAACTCATTCTGCTTTGCAAAGCGATAAAAAGTATAATAATCGATAGATAAGCTTACTCAATTCGGTTTTCTCGCTGAATGAGTTGAGGCATCTGATACAAGAGCAATGGTGACAGGAGAAGTAAATGAGCGTCACCATTATTGAGTTCGACAGAAAGACCCAGAATAATATCTTAAAATAATATCTTGTACATATTTCATTAGACACAATCTATATTCGTAAGTTTTTCAGGCATGTAACAAAACTCATATTTCAGATCATTTCTTTCAGATTCAGGCCCAATTCGCATCTGAAGGAAGAAATATATCCTATATATTACACTGGAACTTAAATAGGAATCTCCGAGGGTCGGGCAGGATTTAAGTACTACAGCGACAGAGTTAGGTTATGGTGTGATTCAAAGAGGGAAAATGTAAGCCATCGTGAAATACCGTTATTACTCAAATTTAGACCTAAATTTTGTAGTGGACGTTTGAAGATGTGAAATTGAGATTGTACTATGCCAAAGAAGTTTCCATTACATAAGAAACTATCTCAAACAATTAGTTCAATTTCACCAAGATAGGGGTAAATAGAAACGGTTAAATATAGAGAATAATCTTTCACAATTATTGGTGTTAGGAGCAATGGAAGACACACCTTGATTATATTGAACCTTAAACGTTAGAGACTAAAAATCAAGGATGACGTTAAAACCGAATAAGAATATGATGTAGAGCTTGTAGCCGAAATGACCGTTTTGGGAAAGATAAATATCGCTTTAGGTTTAAAATTTCCGAGGTCTTCAATTTTGTTTGTACTCGTATTATTACGTTCTCGTAGGTCGGATCTCGAATAGTCCAGCCTGCATCCCAGATGTCTATTCGTGTTTTCTATTGTCTGGTATTTTCTGCAGTTGACATAGCAACAAGCATTCCCGAAAATTACATTAGACCATTTTTAGTTTTTTGCTTAGTATCTTATCCCGGGTGTTAGCAGTTTATTCTTAGGTGACAATCAGTAATCTGGTCTTCTAGAAAGGTTGAAATATATGGATCTGCAATGAAAAGGTTAAATTCATCTGGGGTAGTTAAACTTAATGAAAAAATTCAAAGTTGGCTAACCATTATTTTAATTCACTCTGCATAAAATTAGTCAATTATAAGGTATCACACATATGAAATAATGCTGTCCCGCCTATACATCTTTACGTGGTTCCCATCTTACACAGAACGCTGTCATGCAAGCTGTCGGTCAAACAGTACCGGAATAAACCCAGAAAAAAAACGCGAAGATCAAAGCGAAAAGTTACACAAACAAAGGGTTGCACGCAATGCGGTCAAGGGTGAGGCTGCGAAAAAAGCCAAAAAGCCAAATTCCTTCCTTCTTAGCTCCCCCAAATTATAGAAATAATCATTATTGAAAACATTAACTGCATATTCACTTTGGAATGCCAGAGGTAACAATCAGAGGGAATGCACCAGTCCGAGAATGCTTTTCAGGGCAAGCTTTTTGAACAATGCTCCTGAAGAATGGAGGATTCATAAAATATTTTGTGCTAGTTATCAATTCATAATAAATTTATTTAATATAAATAATCATGGTTCCCCTTCCATCATTCTAAGATCAAACTTCCTTTTCTTCTTTTCTTCTTTACCTTAATTAGTTTCCGCCGTATATCTCCAAGCTAATAAAGATCGTAAATCATGAGATTATCTACATTCGTTACTGCCGCTATTGCTTCTTTTGCCGGTGTTGCTTCTGCCGAAGACGTTTCTTGTTACGTTAACGGTCAAGCTGTTGACACTGTTGACTTGGACACTGGTGTCTGTCAATTCCCAATCCCAGAAAGATTACCAACTTTGTTCCAATTCACTTCTTGGGAAGATTACAAGGTTATTTTCTACTACGTTACTGTCTTCAGCAGAAAGTACTTTAACGACATTGCCAACGCCGGTAGACAAATTGGTATCCCAGCTAACTTATTATACCAAGATGCTGCTGTTAGGTTGTTTGGTGTTGCTGCTGTCAAGGAACCTGCTACAAACTCCACTGCTTTCTTGAGAAAGAGATTCCACCAAGATACTGAAAACTTGTTCAAGAGAGATGACCTCAGTGACTTCCTTGCTTACTTGCAAAACTTGACTGGTACTGAAATCAGCACATCCGACACTAACGTTGAATTTTCTGTTGGTGCTCCAGTTTCTTCTAGTACTGCTACTTCTGTTCCAGCCACTTCTGTTCCAGCTACCACTGAACCTACCACTGAAGCCACTACTCCAGCCACCACTGAACCTACTACTGAAGCCACTACCCCAGCTACCACTGAACCTACTACTGAAGCTTCTACCCCAGCTACCACTGAACCTACTACTGAAGCTTCTACCCCAGCCACCACTGAACCTACTACTGAAGCTACTACCCCAGTTACCACTGAAGCTCCAGCTACTTCCACTGAAACTCTTTCTTCTACTACTCTTGTCACCATTACTTCTTGTTCCGACGATGCTTGTCATGCTGTTGTTGTTCCAGCCACCACCACCGTCTGCACTTCTGCTGTCGCTCCATCTGAAACCACCATCTACACCACTGTCTGTCCAGTTGAATCTGCTACTCCAGTTTCTACTGTCTCAACTATCACCACCTTGGTTGTCACCACCTGTACTCAATACACTTGTACTGCTGTTGTCGTCCCAGCTACCTCCACTGCTGTCACTACTGAAGCTAAGGGTTCCACCGTTATCTACACTTCTTTGGCCCCAGTTTCTTCTACTGTTCTTTCTACTGTCACAGTCACCACTATGACTCCTAAAACCGAAGCCGCTTCTACTGCTGCTGTCACTACCCCAGCTACCACCCCAGCTGTTGTGACTTCTGCTTCTGCTCCAGTCTCCACTGTTGCTCCAACCATTGCCAGTGTCACCTCTTTTGGTGGTGCCGCTAAGGCCGGCTCCGTCGCTGCATTGGCTTTGGTCCCATTGGCCTACATGTTGTAAGAGTGGTGACAGATTATTTATAATTCTATCGCCAGTAACTTACATTTTATATATTATCATAAATTTTTCAAATACCCATTACCAAATCATCGGTACACTAGAACCCAAAAAAGTCATTTGTTGATGTGCTTTGGGGTTAAAGGTTAGGCGGCAGATGTTAGTTGAACGGTGCTGGCTGTATATCAAATTACAATGCTTTATTGTTAAACAACACAGGGATGAATACAACGCTGGCTAACGGCATTCAAAGCTTTTTGTTCTGTTATCACAATGGTTGTTTCCGTTACTATTTTTACTGTCATCATCGTCTTCCTTCGTTGCAGTTTTTTTTTTGTTTTGTTAGACATATTCAAAAGGCATTATTATTTTAATTATTGTTATTATGATTGTTAGTGTTTGCCTCACTATCATCATTGTTTTGGCCACTACAGTTAAGTTAAGTTTGGCTGTTTCGTATTTAGCAGGTCCTCTCCTGATAGGAACCTTGAAGGCTCGTTTATAAGTCACGTTATACTATGTTCATGTACTATAATAACATATTGTACTGTTATATCTGCTTTATGCACACAGTAATTATTGTTTTGTTGGGCTTTGCCCAATTTAAGGTACCTTCCACACTGAAGCCCACTTTACTGTGTGACTTCAAGGAACGCACGATTGTAAATGTAACTACTACTACTGATAATTAGAACAATTTATTATTGTGTGACATATTCAGTAAGCCAGCCATTTCCCTACAATTGAAGGGGTATGACTTATTATTAATTGTTAATTAAAGGGGGTTGCTGGGTTGGCCCAATTGAATTCAGGGTTGTCTGCAACAAGTACTGGTGTTCAGATGAAGAGGTTTATGCTTGAAATGTTGACTTGCGCATGCAAAAAAGTGCATTTCAAACCATATGCTTATCTCTTCACATCGCACCTTGCTTCTCCTGCAAGATCTAATGGTTTTTTCCTTCATAATAATCTAATTTTCTTTCTTCTGGTACTTGACGTCCTTGTCTTGCACGTTGGTAAGCGCCATTTTTCGAATGGCGTTTTTACGAGTCCACGACCTTCACGTCACTGTGTGTACATATATACAGCACCTTTTATTTTAACGGAAGAATGCACCCATCAAAGTGGATGTTTTCAGATTCGACAAGACAGGAATGTCCAAAACGGAATAATAGAATAATGACTTCCATGAGATCCCTTATGATTGCTGTTGATAAAGATAATGTACTCATTGATAGCTGGAGCAGCAGAAGGCGGCTCTAAAGTAGTGCTGCTCCACAACCAGTTAGTACAATATTCACGCTTTTCATCGGGGGATGGATGCCAGATTTAAGTTTAAAGACTGTCTATATTTTTTTTGATTTATATTGGAAAGCAAGAAGGATCTCATTCGCTTCAACTGAAAATCAGTAAAGTTCAAAGCTGAACACACCGAACCGCAAGAGACATAATATTCTCCAATGCTTTTTGTACTTAACAGTGGCGCAAGCTTGCGTGCTAAGGCCAAATTTAGTTTATCACTGCCTAGAATTGTCCTGTCTAAAGGCCTATAAGATTACAAAGGGCCGGAACCGGAATCGGAAAGTCTGTAGAAAACGACCGATATACTACGAGGGTATATTCGAGGGTACCGGTTACTCTACCTCATTTGAGCCCTCCATTACGCTGCAAGCTTAGATTATAGTTTAAACGCGATAGTTAGGATAGATGGTTCGTTTTCTAAATAGTATTAGACTTAAGTTCTGTATGCATCTATATTTTTGAACGAATAAAACCAATTGAACAAGGGACAAGTGCAGCTGAACATGAACGAGATCACTGGTGACCGAGCACCTATGAACGTGGGATTTCAGTAGAAGGTGCATACGTTCGTGCCAGACAAAGAATTTTTCACTTATCATCGAAGATAAATCCGTCGCAATGAATACAGCAAAAAAAAGGGGTGAAGGAAAGAAACAAAGGTGGAATTTTCATATTTTAGTAGAAGGCTTAGTGGGGATCAAATACCTCATGTATTAACAACATGCATGAATTTATTATCTCATACCACAGCTTAAGATTATTTGAATTCTAAAAGGAAACGCCAAAGACTCACCGATTCCTGGTTGTCCCGTGATGCTAGAATCATCCTTGCCTGAAATACCATAAAAATGATATGGAAATAGTTTACTGTGAATCGCGTTGGCCCTAAGTTCCGGGCTTTATGTGAGCGTAAATTTCTGACGCTAAAAGTAACATAAATCCGAGACATCGTTTTATAACGAAGAACATATCATTTCTCGTCGCTGTACGTCCTCGTTCTTCTCTTACGTAAGCATGAGCAGGAGCATAAGCATGTGGAGGAGCATAAGCATGTCCTTCCTTTGCTTGCTTACTGTGGACAGTAGACGCACTACGCACCTTTAACTTCAATGTACCACATCAATCACAACCTCGTTCTAAATCAATTCTTATGATCCACACCAGTTCTCGTTTGTACTGCTCCTCGCCACACTGGATTGTCACGTAATCGTTCACTCAAAGCTTACAAATCAGAACGCTAGCTCGCTCATTCCCTAGCATAGTCCCCCACGAAGTCCCCCACTAATTCCTCCACAGGTCCTTTACAAAGGAATGTACCGGACTGTACCGAACAGCCCTAACGATAATCCCAAAAGATTAAAGGGGACTTATCATCGTCAATATGGATTCAACAACTATCAAAATAAACTTCTATCATAACACTTAACAATGACCAAAATATCCCCTTGTACCAAAACTTACACTTTGAACAGTGGCTACACCATTCCGGCTATCGGATTAGGGACCTTTGTTGCCGATGATGGGAAGGAGAGTGAGGTTGGAGATTCAGTGAAATTCGCCCTCCAAAACGGCTATAGACACATTGATGCTGCTATGTATTACAAGAACGAAGAGGACGTTGGAAGAGGGATCAGGGAAAGTCGTGTTCCTCGTGAAGATATCTTTGTCACTACTAAGAACTGGAATGATGAACGTGATGACATTGAAGGTGCATTGAATGCCTCTTTAGCCAGATTGGGGTTGGAATATCTTGATTTATATTTGATCCATTGGCCAGTTAGTTGGAAGAAGGGCACTGAAGATGTTGATGAGACTTTGGATTATATTACTGTTTACAAGAAGTTGCAACCGTTAGTTAAAGCTGGTAAAGTCCGTTCAATTGGGATTTCCAATTATTCCCAGCCAAAGATTGAAAAATTATTAGCTGACCCAGAAGTCACTATTAAACCTTCTGTTCTTCAAATTGAAGCTCATCCTTTATTACCTCAACCAGAGTTATTTGATTACTTGACTAAAGAGAATATCATTGTAGAGTCCTATTCTCCATTGGGGGCCAATAATGCCCCATTGCTTAGGAATGAAACAATCATAGAAATTGCTGAAAAGAATGGTGTTGAACCTGCTATGCTTTTAATTTCTTGGGGTGTTCAAAGAGGCGCAGTGGTGCTACCAAAATCAGTCAAGGAAGCTCGTATCATCAGTAACTTGAACACCTTTACAATTCCAGAAGATGATTTTGCAACCTTAAACAATTTGGCAAATGTTGAAGGCGTTCACAGAGTTGTCAATCCTCCATGGAACGACTTTGTTAATTAGATAATACACAACTGAGAGTCGTATAATGATAATGTAATCGAATCAACTAGAACATCTCTACACACAATGAGCTTGGACGGAACCGAACCTAACCTAACCGATAAGACCGAGCGCCGATCCCCATAGAACGGTCTTGCGTACCATCAAGTGTATTAATGATATCATCCTGCTGACGCACGACTCCACCACGATGAGTTGTCTTTATAGTCCTACCACAACAGAGTGTTTTTAGTAGTGTGGCTCAGGTTCATAGTGATTAATAAGCAGGAGCCGTTTTTGGGGTACTCCAAACCCCAACTACCCCCAACATTATACACACGACCGACTGAATTGTCCATGGAATTCAGCCATAGTAATATTTAAAGAGGAGCCAGTCGCATGGACAATTACGTTTAGTTTAAGTTTGTTTTGCTTGATCCAATTGAACTTTACTTAATTGCACTGAATTCAATTGCACTATTTAATTGACGCAATGGTAACTCCTACAAACAACACCAAGACTTACACCTTGAACAACGGTACCGTCATCCCAGCTGTGGGCTTAGGTACTTGGCAAGCATCTGAGGAAGGTGCTGCTTACAATGCAGTCAAGGTTGCCTTACAAAACAATTACAGGCACATTGATACTGCTGCTATTTATGGTAACGAGGAAGAAGTCGGTAAAGGTATTAAGGATTCTGGTGTTCCAAGAGAAGAGATCTTTGTCACCACCAAGTTATGGAATGCAGACCATAGAGACCCTGCCAGTGCATTAGATGCTTCTTTGGCCAAGTTAGGGTTGGATTATGTGGATTTGTATTTGATTCACTGGCCTGTAAGCTGGAAAGCAGGTACTAACGATAATGAAACAGACTGGGATTATGTTGATACCTACAAGGAATTGCAAAAGTTAGTTGGTAGTGGCAAGGTTAAGGCTATTGGTGTTTCTAACTTCACCAAGAAGAAGTTAGAAAGATTATTGGCTGATCCAGAAGTTACCGTCAAGCCTGCTGTCAATCAAATCGAAGCACATCCGTTATTACCTCAACCTGAATTGTACGATTACTTGAAAAAGAATGATATCTTGCTTGAATCTTATTCTCCATTGGGTTCTACCGATGCCCCTTTGTTGAAGAATGCCACTGTTCAAGAAATTGCAAAGAAGAATGGCGTTGAACCTGCTGCTCTTCTTATCTCTTGGGCTGTACAAAGAGACGCAGTTGTTTTACCTAAATCGGTTACTGATGCCAGAGTCATCGCCAATTTGAAGACTTTTACAATTCCAGATGAAGATTTCGATGCTTTGAACCACTTGGCCGAAAAGGTGGGTACCACCAGAGTTTGTAACCCACCATGGAACAACTACGATGATTAAATCAATTAATACTACAAACGTATATAGACTACAGAAATTGATTTAGATTATCTCAGCTAACAAAATGTAGTCACGTGATGTGCGATAAAAGTTAAAACGCAACGTAATCAAAACTAAGTACAACCCTACTTCTGCCCCACTTACTCATTAACAATTGCACACGTGAGGATGAGCCTGAAGCCTAATACATTTAGTGAGTTCATTGTTGCCGATGAAGAAGAATTGGCATCTCCATCTTACAACAATGCCGCTTCTCCTCCACCATCACCAGTAACTGGTTCATATACTACAAACAATCCTACAATATCTTCGGCTAATGATTTCTTTAAACCTGGATCATGGGCTCCCAAAGTCGATCTCTCATCTGCATTCAACCCCTTCATGACTCAGCTGAGTGGAGCTATCAATGAAAACGACCAAGTACGCGAAAGACAATACACGGGAGGTGATACTTTAGACGAACCTGTTTGGGTTACTCTTAAACGAGATCTTGCACAGATTGGTAAACGGTTAGTGATAGTGCTATGGCCATTACGATTAAAGAAATTGGCCAGACTACAACAAGGTCGCTTAATTGATTTTGCTGCGAGCAACGGTATTAGCATCCCCCAATCGATTATTAGTAGTCGTCGGATTTCTGTTGATGAGAATACCCGTGATGATGAAGGAAATGGTGGTGGTGATTTTAACACAGCTATGATGGAAAATAATCTCACTTGGGATTTATGGGGACCTTTGCTTTTTTCCTTAACTTATTCTGTGACATTAGGTTTAACAGCTGCAGGTGGAAATCTGGCCAATTCAGTGTTTTCTGGGTCCTTTGCATTTACATGGCTTTTATACTTAGCAATTGGATTGAACATTCAATTGTTGGGTGGTTCGGTTTCATTCTTGTCTGCCATCTCGGCTTTAGGCTATTCAATGTTCCCAATTGTTATTGGTGGGTTAATCTGTGCACTAGTTGTACATTGGTGGGTATTAAGATTGCCATTAATGATTATAATGACTATATGGAGTGTCTATGTCAGTGCCTTGAGTCTAGAATGCTCTGGTGTTTTACCTGGTAGAGTCGTGTTAGCAATTTACCCCGTATGTTTGTTGTATACTTTGATGAGTTGGCTTGTTGTCATAACATAGATTAGATTAAATATTAATAGTATTAAAGTATAGTTGCCATATTTTCGACCATTCACCGGTGGTCGGAACTCTTAGGTATATGCTCAGTCACATGTAATGAATTGTACTCCCTTATATTTTCTACGCGCTAAACCTCGGTAATCTTTCGCTGTGGACTAGTGGACAGTGAGAATTGGAGCGCCTAGTTGCCTTCAGATGAAGGAAATATAGATTCTAAAATTCTCAGTGTTACAAGTTCGAACCGCGCGACACACATTCTTTCATGATGAATAAAAACGGATGAGTGAACAATCTCTGAGTATCACATAGTGGTACGTGGATTAAAAACCCCTGCCTTCCTACTGACAATGAATGTATTAAGATTACAAATATTTACTCTTTTTATACGTGCTTGAATGGACTCTGATTGAAACGTACTTAGTGAAGTAGTATACAATAACGTTACAACAAACTTATCTTGTATGCAAAATGCCAGCTGAATGCAATAATCATGAATAAGCAGTAGTAAATCTCTATCTCCCTCTCTCCCTTAATTATCTGTCTTTCCATGTCAATCAATTAACATCAATGACCCTTTCTTCTCTTCTTTCTTTCCATTTGAGCAATCTTCTTCAAGTCATCTTCACTGGGTTCATAAATATGCCAGATAGTATAATGAGGTAATCCACCCACACTAAACTTCATGACTTTAGCCATTTTCCCAAAGGCTTCGGTTTCAGCATGATTTAAAAAGGTGAAAGCAGGGAAATGAACACCTTGACGGAATATCTTGGCTCTAGCCAAGATGGAAACTCCTCCAACACCATCCATTTCTACTACTTCATTAGGATCACCTTTAGGTTTTCTTATATAGGCCAAATGAACTCTCCAAGTCGGGTATTCAGCATAACCTTCCACAATAACATCATCTTCATCCAATTTCTTGGCCAATTCTATAGCAGGATCACTTTCAATCCAAGTGTTCAAATCGTAAGCTTGTTCGTTACCTAAAAAGGTAGGTAAAGGTCTCCAAACGTTGGGGACCATAACATCAAAGTTATGTTTCATTAAATCTTGAATCACAGAACCAGGAGCAGTTTCAATATCTACATCTCTCCAATAAATCCACGAATGATAAGGTTTTAAAGCACTCGCAGTTAACCAATTTCTTGCTCTACCCATCAATTTCCGACGGATCCCTTGGACTTTGACCGCGTGTCTATCGGAGAAACCTTGACCAATAACTTGACCAAAATCTTTTCTGAAAATAGTAACTGATCTAAAAGGTTTTTGGAACCCAGGATGTTGCTTTTCAGGATGCAGATATGATTTTTCAACATTTTCCATATAATCTTGAGGCATATACAACTTGTATAATTCCGATGATCCTTGGACGTTAGCATTTCGTTTCTCCTCTTCATCAGCTTGTAATTTAGCAGCCAAAGTTCCATTTTGTAAAAGCATAGAATATGAAAAGACTGTTTCCAAAGTTGTATCTTCAGGAGAACAATCAGACACTAAGAATGCAATATCAATCAATGAATGATCGTAAGTCAAGTTCATGATGTTGAAAAAGGCCATTGGTAATACATGTTCTGCATTTCTCAAAGGCATCAAGAAAAGAATATAATCTCCTTCTTTATCCCCTTCAGACAGTCCAGTATATTTATTAAGATCATAGAATTCAACATTCAGTTTATAAATGTCTGGTTCTCCTTCTTCATCCAAGGGATACTCCTTAGTGAGTTCTTCAACTTCACCTTCTTTTTCTACTTCACCATCCTTTTGTGTATCCGAGCTAATATCAACAGCTTGACCGTCAACTACTGCTTCCTCCAATTTAACTCCATCTTTAGTAACCAGATACTTCTCATAAGTGTCTTTGATATCCTTGAACACGTCTGGCTCCTCCTTGTTCAGGAACGCCTTAAAGATCACCAAAAGCGCCACAAGGGCAATAAGGCCTAGACCAATTCTCTTTACCACCTTCAGACTCTTTCTCGGGCTCAACTTATGAGTGTGACTAAAATGTTAGTACGGGAATAATTCAAAATATTTCTATACATAATGTGATACGTACATTGGAAGATCGGTTTTCTTGCCGTAATCGTCCAACACCATTGTTGATACTCGGAATCAACTAAACAAATATAAACACAAGACCAGGGTTTAATACACGTAATATCCAACACAATGTATTAGCAGCCACCGGATAACAATCTCAATTACGGGTTAATGAGTGGGCAGCTAATAAGGTATCACTATGAATTTCTTCTTCTTAATCGAAAAGCCTGGGGGCTCTGAGTTTGTGCTTAACGATGAGTTTAACTAAGAGACAACCAAACGACTTTGTAAAAATCTATTTCAGTATGTGTGCGTGGAAAAGTTGCTTTTGCGTCGTGTGTCGAGGTAAAAGTAGGTGCACGGGTGTAAGGGTGTAAGGGTGTAATAGGTGCTTGTATGAATGTTTGTATGTATTACGTGTATTCTATACAACTTCAATGAGCCCATAGATTTCAGGCTTAAACCAATGTTCTCGCAACGTGTCCCAACACAGACGAGCAATCTCAGTGGCTTCTTGTTCATTGGTTCCACTGCCTTCGATGTACACCTTCAATTTAGGCTCAGTTCCTGAACCTCTACAGGTGAAACGAACACTGTTCCCCGTGGTCTCGTCTGTTAAAGTAGCAGTAATCATCTGTGAAGTTGGATCTATGGGCAAAATAGGTATTGTGTCTTTGGTAGTTGAATCAAAGCCAACAGTCAAGTCTCTCCAACTTGTCACCTTGAAGAAACCTATGAGTTGTGGGTATTTCAAAGGTTCATACGACGCTCTGATATCAGAAAACACTTTGGTGGCTTTGCTTAAGTCGTCAAACTTGTAGTAGCCGTTACATTCCTTGTACCATCCGTACTTTTCATAACCTTGATGCAATTTGGTGATAGGGTTGGCTCCAGTGGTGGCAAACCATTTCTCATAAAGCTGTAGCCATATAGCAAGAGCAGCCACACCATCTTTATCGTCAACGGTATTGAACATGAAACCTATGGCTTCCTCGTATGCAAAGGGAACGGTGAACCCTTCTTTCTTATAATGAAGTGCTCTGTTCCCTATCCATTTGAAACCGGTTAAGGTATCTTCAAAGTTGAACCCTTCAATATCAGCCATGCTTCGTAAGATCTGTGAAGACACAGTGGAATTAAGTAGAAACACTTGGGAGAGATCGCCAACTGGAATGGTTTCAATGATGTACACGGCAAACAAAAACCCAATCTCGTTACCAGTCAACTGTTGAAACTGACCGCTTTCATTGCGTACGGCAACACTGAATCTATCGGCATCAGGATCATTGGCAACAACAACGTTGATGTTAAGTTCGTCGGCTTTAGCAATGGCCAAATCTAAAGCTCCTTTTTCTTCCGGGTTAGGGAACCTCACAGTAGGGAAATCGGGGCTAGGAGCCATTTGCTCCTCAACTGGAATTCTGTTCGAAGTCTCAAACACATCTTTTAAGACTCGATCAACTATCTCCAACCCAACTCCATGCATTGGAGTGTACACAAATGGATATGAGATGGTCTTATTGTTGATCAACTTCTTAGCAATGGTATCAACATACTTCTCGGTCATCTCCACCTTCACAGACACCAATAAACCATCTGCTATACCCTTTTCAAAGTTACGCTTAACATTCCATACCTCGCCGTCGTCCCAGGGTATCAAGTTCTCATCAATTGACTTGGCTATACCGGAATCTACAGGTGGGATGATTTGACATCCATTGCCATAGTAAACCTTATAGCCGTTATCATTTGCAGGGTTATGGGAAGCAGTCACCATAACACCAGCTCCTGCACCGGTTTGGTTAATAGTGAACGGTACCATTGGAGTGTGCACATATTCTCGTTCAACATAGCTCTCCACATTTACGTCAGATAAGACATTAATGTTCCCTAAGTAGTAGACAGTAAACCCCTTTGTTAGGGCCACGCTTGCAGTTATCTCTGCAAACCTTTGGGAATGGTGGCGATGATCATACCCCACAACTATCGAACGATTGCACTGATTGGCACTTAGGTAATTAACTAACCCTTGCGACGCTTGCATCACGGTCACATCATTCATATGGGCAAACCCGGCTTCCATAGAAGACCTAAGGCCGGCTGTACCAAATTGAATCCGTTTACCAAGTTTCTTATACAACTTTTCATAATTATTGTGGTCCACTAAAGCTTGTATTTCGTTTCTTGTTTCCGGATTAACATCGATTTCCATCCATTTTGCAACCAAGTCGTTTATTTGATCCTCTGAAATCGACGTCATTTTGCAATTAGTTCGTTCTTGGTGGAAGATGGTTGGTTTATTTCATGGTGATGATGCGTGGAGACATAGTAACACCATTTACCGAATATAATCCTGCATATGTCATAATCACAGATTATACATTTTGTCTCATCCATAGTCATCTTTTGTTCAGTGGTTGCAAATGTAAAGTGTGATTCTCTACACTGTGAACCCGTGAGTGTTTCCTCACTGCCATTCCAGTTAATAACCATGTGCCTTTACGCATGGTATTACAACGCTCATATTGATCGTTGACAACTTATCATAATTTTATACTCAAATGTGTTACCTCGTATTTTTATTTCGATGCATTGATTCTCGTACATTATGCATGTACGTCCAATGAATCAGCTGCAAGCTTACAAAACTACTATCACCCTGACGTACTCCAGCACTTTCCCATCATCTACTTTCTACATTGTAGTTTACAGCCAACTATAACTTGGTAATTCACTAACGGCAGGCCAATCAACAGTGTATAATGGCATTCCCTGTATATATTTTAACTAGTGGCCTCTAACATGAATTCTAACAGTTCAGTCCCAGTAGAGCCTAATAACTTTAAAGGAGTTCTTGAATCAAACAGAATGAGTTGTAGATCCGATGGGGCATTCTCCACTTCTATCGTTGTCCATTTTTTTCCCTTCTTAATATATGAATACAAGGATACTGAGTTTGAGACTGTGGCAATTAAAGATGAGGATGCATCAAGCGTGAAGTCCAATATCTCTTTATCAGAGTTAATGGTGTGGATGCTAACATTCTTTCTTAAGTCAAACACTTCAAGACTACTTACCTTGGATTCTTCTTGTATGGTGGATTCAGAAAGCAGTGCCATCCAATATCCATTGAGGCCAAACTGGATCTTCTTCACCTTCAGATGCTTTGTATTAAATGATGACGCCAAATTCCCGTCGGCTAGACTGTAAATCTCTATCTGAGAAGTCTCTGTTCCAACAGCTATAAGTAGACCATCAACATGGAAACTGATGGTAGTGTATGAATTTGTAGATGCTGGTGACTGGAATAGAAGACCCCTTTCACAATCATATAACCCCCATCGATTGCTCGAAAGTCCCACAAATAAATCAGGAAGCAGCGGATGGCACTTGATTTCAAATATATGTTTCCCATCTATCTTTGTAGAGTGAGCTTCAAAGCATATGGAGTCATCATGGACTGTAATCAATTTATTATTAGCAGAGATGTCACACGCGTTCACGGTTGAACTGAGCAGTTTATTAATGGTGCTGGTGTTTTCATCGTCGTCGTATTGGTTAATGTTAAGTGAACTTTCAGAATACGAAACGATAGTTCCGTTTGAAATAATTGTCTTTGAATTTTGAATTTTTTGATCCTTTGGTTCAGACTTCACTGTTGCCAAAGTAACATTCTTGGACGTTCCAAGAGGATTGCTAAGTTTCTGTGCCTTATGAAGCTCAAACAAATGTGCTTTGGCTTCATTTAATTCTTCAACAGGTATTCCCACAGTGGTTATACCGTTCAGTTCACCTCCATCAACAGTGGAGTCAGGTCCCGATCCGTTAGCAATAGCCAATGATAATTCCCTCAAAGCTTCTCTTGCATCGTCTCTCTCCTTTATGGATCTAGCAGCAACTCTCACAGCTGCATCGTATTGGTAAAGTGCTGAACTCAACTCTTCTCTCGCAGTAAAAAGTTGCTTTCGTAAGGTGAAGACCTCCAACGCCAATGCATCCCATTCGTTCTGGAAATTGGATAGCATCGCAGGTATCGAAGTGGCACTGGACTGTTGGGGCGGCACTATCACATTAGCTTCATTCTTTATTTGTACGAGTTCTTCTATGGTTAATGGTTCATCATTTATAGGGTCTTTCCCATTGGCTTGCACGTAGTTCACAATGTGCTTTCGTTCAAAAATAGAGCCGCTTTTAGGCGACACCACCGGCTCTGTTGTCTCCTCTCCGGAAATAGAACACCTCATAGTATCAGAAGGCTTAAATGGCTGCACATTGGTCTATTATCATATCATCACAGTTGATCTTTCATCTTGAACTATTTTAGAAAGTCGTGCGCACCTCATAGTGATCACGTGATATAACTATATGTGTTAACTGTGCGCCAGTGATACACCTACCTGTATCACTACTACTACTACTACTACTACACAGTAATTCCCAAAAAAAGTAATTATATTAAGGTCCGTTTACAAATAAAATTATACTAAAAAGAACTGAAGATGAATGAAAACATGCAGTAATCCAAATTAAGCCTCTGCCCTCTCAATGGCTTTCTCTACTGCTTCTTCGACTGCCTTCTCGGTCCTGACTCTTCTGTATCTCTTTCTTCCAGTACCAAAAAGTCCCAAACAATGACCCAAGAAACTAAACACCACAATCAAAAGGGATGCAGCCACCACAGCCCACACATAAGCGTAGAAGTTGATGGAGAGAAACGACTTGACACCCCAAACACTCGTGTTGTCGTTGACCTGAGACCTGACAAAAACATACACGGCTGTGACCATGGCAGCACTGACTAAAGCGAACACAAAAATAAGACATTGAAACGCATAGTTGAGAAGTGAAAGTAAAAAGCTTTCGGGTGAAAGGAACATCCCAAGAAGCTGAACAAGTGCGGATATACATCCACATAAGCACGTTAGTAAAAGTAGTCCAAAAGCGGCTTTATTAAGTCCATTGAGTCTTTTAATATTGCTTTCAAGATTCCCTGGTAAGTTGATGTTATCGTAGGTAAGTCCATTGATTACCTCAATGGCACTGTCCTTAGTTGTCTGATCTTGCTGCGAAAGGAACACTGTATCTGAATGAGCAACTTCACCGTCAACTTGACCGTTCAAAGAGTTGAGCATCTCATGTTTGATAACTTTAATTGGACTAAAGGAGTATCCCGCTTGTGATTTGGAACACCATATCCATTGGACCTTGTTATTTTCAAAAGCAGTTTTTGAGACGTCTCCGGTGATTATTCCCCGACAATAACCCCAGAAACTTATGGAATAAACATCGGCAAACCCTAAAGCAGCATAATTAACAGCTGGCTGAGACAAGATCTGCCGCATTGCTTGCTTCACCGCACCAGCTGTTGGTGATACAGAAGTTGCACTAGTTCCTGAGACGGTGTTAGTAGCCCCGGTGGATGTAGATACCGTGTTAGTTCCCGAGGCAATGTAACCTACAGTGTAGGTGCTAGTTGCAACAGCATACATGGTACTGGTTGTGAACACACTGGTGGCAACAGAGTATGTAGTAAAGGGGTCGTTACCCGCATTGATTGCAGGATTATTAACTCTGACTGTGTATACGCTTGTCACTAAAGAATAGGTTTGAACATTGGTACCGTATACGGCGTACGTGATAGACGAGACGTCTCCATTTGCTTCTGCTTTAACACTGATAAAGGAAGAAAGATACGAATTACCATAAGTAGTGGTTGCAGTATCTCTACCATTAAGATCAACTAAATTATACAGCTTGGTAGGTTTTTTTTCTTCCTCTTCCACAATAAAGTTTTCTCTTTTTGATTCAAGTTTATTGGTACCTTTTTTGGAGTCAGGAGTGTCAATGGCGAATAGCAAGCTCAAGTTGATATTCTTAACATGGAAATCAATCAAGTACGCGGGTGTTAGATACGAAGCTTTTTCATAAGAACCGGCAAGTGCAAATGCTGATAAGATAGCCACAACAAGCGAGAGAAGAAATATCACGATTCTAAACACTAGAAACATGATTTAAGATGGTGTAAGACGATAAGGTAGCAGAGCGCTCGAAATAATGTGAACAGAAACCAAAGAAGAACAAAAAGTTTTGGTTAACCCTTATTTTCGGTGTGGATCGACCATCTTGACTATTTATACTCGAATCAAATTTACATTAACCTTATTGCTGGGTTGGATCATTCAATTGCTACAACAGTGTTTCTCAAACAGGACCAGTGTTTACCCCTGACGGTAAGTTATGGTTGCGACTCTCGCTAATACCCCAGCCACCTCGTGTATTCGTGTCTTTTTAGTGGCTGGCTGGCTCATAGTGGGTTGCAGATCATCACTGTTTATATTTTGCACCCATATGTTTACGGGTGGCTGGCTTGGGTGCGAAAACGAAAAAATGTGTCATTGCGTCTCAGGCACGTGATATTTGAGATGCAACAAATATATACACAAACTCCAATACTTCTATACAATAATTAGCACAGATTAATTGAAACATAATCCACTAGTAGACCACTCAGACGGGCCCTCTTTACTCATCTAATTCCACAAACCCATTGAGCAACTCTTGCTCCAATTCATCAAGATTGTTATCAATTGTGGTGGAAGGTTTCTTATTGGAGTATTCTTCTTCTTCTTCAGATTCAATATCACGCACCTTTCTCTTCCGACTCTCCTTATACAAACCTTTGATAAACGAATTAGAACCTACTCCATTTGCTTTCAAGTGGTCTTCTTCATCTTTGTCTTCATCCTCATCTTCATCTTCGTCTTCATCTTCGTCTTCATCTTCGTCTTTTTTCTGCGTTACAGAATTACCATTAGTAGATGTGGAACCTGTGCTTGTATCAGTACTAGAAGAAAACGGATGACTATTCCCAAAGTTTTCATTCCCTTCGTCATTATTACTGACATCATTTTCTTCTTCGTCGTCGTCGTCATCGCTTATACCTGCAAGGAAATCATCAACTTCTTGGTTTGCCGCTTCTAAATTATAACTATCAAACGATGCAACAGAATCAAATCTTTCTCGTACTTTCTCTGATTGCTCTTCGTCCATTCTTGCAAGTTTAATCTTATACTTCTCCACATCTGATTCACTAACTTCCCAATCATTGTCATTTTCAGCATAAATAAGATAGTCATTTTCATTGGCTTTCTCCCATGTGCTCAAACAAGAAAATATCCAATCAGGACTCACTATTTTCACTTCTGGAAGTAATCTCTTTGCTAGCCTTACCTTAGCTGTAAGTCCACTGCCATTAATGGGTTGTCGGCAAACAACATGTGTGACATCTGGAGTAACTTCTTTTACGATCTTAACTCCAAACTGTCTACACCATACTACAATATCAGCAGACTCAAAAGACATGTTCAAAGGTATAAATCCGGAAAATAACACAACAACACCTGCTAGTGCCTTGCTTTTCAATGATGGTATTATTTCTGTCAAATCAGGCTTATGATTTTTTGATAACTCATCATAATAAACAGAATGTATTCTCTCCAATGCCTTATTGAGCAGATGCAATTCATTATCATCATCATATAGTAAGTTGTCATCATCTTCCTCGTCTTCATCCTCTCCACCACTTTCAGAATGCAATTTATCTAAATCATGTTGAAGTTTGGCCAAAGGTCTATCATGTTGTTGCTGTTCAATTGATTGGTTTCTTGTCATTTTCTGTTCTATGAGCAATTCTGTATTGCCTTCTCCACCACCCATTTCCAAAATTCTATCCACAGGATTTGCTATGCCATTTTGTGAATCCATATCGATATCTTCATCAGTTGGTGATATTTCTTCATCTTGTGTAGTCTTCTTCAGCTTCCCATCCAGTGGGGGGGTGCACTTTTTGGATTCCTTTGCAGCTTCCTCGGCTGCTTCTTCTGCAGCTTCCATCGCTTCCAATTTGGCAATAGTCTTTCTTCTTTTGGTTGGCCCTGTGAGTTGACCATTTTTCTTAGGAAGAAAACTAGAATTAATATCTCCAATCCCCACGAAAAATTCATACGGTACTACTTTAATTAAATTGCTTTCCCATTTCCAAACATCGCCTCTGTCATCAATTATGGCAACCATGGATTGATCCACTGGAAATAATCTTTTCAAATTCTTGTGAGTTAAGGAGCCACTTTCATCTCTACTTAGGATCCGATCTCCAAAGTACTCTCCTGTAGGATCGATGATTTTGGCTATTTCAAGAGCATAATTTCGAGTAGCCATGGTGTAAATATGTAGTTCATAAAGCTGACTAACATTTTTCAAAAATTGCTGTAATCCTGGTCTTAATTTCACGTAATACCAACATTGTGAAGGCTGTATTCTAGAACCATTCCAAGCTGGTGATGGAAGAATTTCTTCATCAAGACAAAAGCTTTGAACTTCTTTAACAAAAGGATAATTGGGATTGGTTGGATCCAGTTGCCATTCCCCAACAGTTGGATCCACTGTTGCGTGGATTACTGTTTGATCTAAATCAACCACCAATATCAATTTCTTTTGTTCTATTAGTCTATCTGTTGTAGTTTGCTCGATTTTTGCTGCTTCATCCAAACTGACTTTCAATCCACTAGCATCATGTGACATCAGAATTGTGGCTCGATCTTCGAGACTATAACCAGAATAATCCTTTTCATCATCTAATGCTTTCCCACAGAGGGCACAGAGTCCACCGTATTGAACAGCATGGTTACATGGTTCAGCTATGAACGCTATATTAACTCCACTATGGGCAACTTCATCATTTAACTCCACTGCTACCGTTGTGATTTGACCTTCAATAGGACTCTCGTATGATCCTATTCTTTCCACTCTTATTTTAGGGGGTTCTTCATCTTTGGAATTAGGATCATCTTGATAATCCCAATACTTGTATCTGAATAATGGGGTATGTTTCTTGATTGTGTCACCTTCTTTACATAGCACGGAAGATATCGTAATAGGAAACGGAACCGATCCCGGGAGTCTTACTGGAGTTGGTTCAGACATGATATAATAAAGTGTATTCTTATACCGCAGTGTAATGTAGTGCAATGTAGTGTAGTGTAGTGTAGTTTAGTGTAATGAAGTGCAGTGTAGTGCAATGTTGTGTGGTACAATGGTGACTTCCACTGTGTTTCTTTCGTTTAGCGTAATGTGAACGAGACTGAGGGATGTTGTTAAATTGCTTTGGGCCGATACTATTCTTTTATTCGACTTATGGTGGCGTCAATACATGCAATAGACTTTAATATGAATTCAATTGGTTGGCTGGTTAAAAGGAGATAGCCAACTCTTCAAGGATCACGTATCCAAAGAGTTTTTTCTATGTTTTGCTTCTTCAATGCGAAGTGTCGGCATTTATTCCGAGGGTGATTCCGAGGGGTGTATAACAACAATAGGAACATATAAATGTAACACGAGTTGGCGAAGCTCCTCTAACTTCTTCTAATCTTCTAATCGTTCTAGCCGTCTCCCATGGATCAACTACAAGGTTTAATTGACAGTCATTGTCACTTAGATGTGACGTGTACTAAAGAAACTGTAGACCAATTGACTCAATGTATCCTATCACTAGCTAGCAACAAAAACACAGCCATAAGTCCACACTTCTTCCATTTGATGAGTACCAACTCGATCGATCTCGGTTACTTAGATCAACTACTAGACGGATTGAATGGATCTAATGTGATTGTTCCATATTTTGGTGTACATCCATGGTATAGTCATCTCTTTACATTAGAACAAGATGATATAGTTGACAAGAAGAGGGTACATTACTCCAAGGTACTAAAGCCTGAGCCTGAGGAAGATCTCATTGCAGTACTACCAGACCCAATACCGTTAGAAGCGTACATGGATCGTATCAAGCTATTAATTGAAAAACATAGACACAACAATCACTACGAGTTTGGCATTGGAGAAATAGGATTAGATAAATTGTTTCGAGTTCCTAAGAATGGATTCTATGGTAATCCTAATGTTTCCTTAGATAATGTAACAGGTGATAATAAAATGAGTCGTTGTAGGGTGACAATGGAACATCAAATTTGTATTTTCAATAGGTTTCTAAGCTTTGCTGAAGAGTGTCAAAGGAGTGTATCCATACATTGTGTAAAGGCGCATGGCATACTTTATGAACAAGTGAGACAGTACAACAAGATTCCTACAATAATACTCCATTCCTATTCTGGTTCAATAGACCATGCAAAGACGTGGATCAATCATTATTACACCAATAAGAGTCGCATTGATAAACCCAAGTTGATGTTCTCATTATCTAATTGTATCAACGGTGCCAATAGACCAAAAGTGGTAAGTCTACTTGAATTGCTACCTCAGCAAGCAATACTAATAGAATCTGATTATCCGATTGACCGATACCTAATTGGGACAGATCGTAATCGATATATAGACGATCTAGGCTCTATATCTAGGTTGATTGCTCATACTCGGTCTTTATCAATGGAAGATCTTCATCTGATAATTGCTGACAATCTATCCACGGCATTGAGACACATATGTTAGAATACTGCTGGTAACAGTATACCACTAACATATACTGTTAGTAATAGAACGCTAATGGTAGGGTTACACTATTCTATTGGGGTTACACTATACTGGGTTATGCTATACTGTGTAACTACGTCATTGTATACTGTTATCAGTATATGTTGTCATGGTTGGTACCTTTGGGCACTTTTGTGTCACGTGCAATCAATAGGACATCATGATTTGGGGGGACATGACATGCACTACAACTATAACTAAACAGCACTTTCACCATCCGCTCTTAGTCGTAACTATATTGATGCTAGAGAGTCCATATATTACGATGACTTCTAATCAAATCCCGCTATACGATGAAGAGAACGACTATATAAATGAAGACCACATCCATGCATTTGCCAAGGCTCTCTTGTGGGAAGAACTAGAAGATTCTTATGATACAGGTTCTTCATCCACTAATACTAGACATAACTCCATTTCTGCTTCTTTAAATAATGCATTAGGAAGTGTCATAGGTGGTGGGACTCGGTCAGGAGCTGCCTCGCCACCTGTCGTTGATGATATGGACAATAATGACCTTGACAATGGCATCGACAATGTCAATGTACAACTTATAGATGATGTGGCTTTGAATCCTACACCTAAACCAGACTTGATCACTTCCAAAAGTGACTGGTACCCCTTAACCAATAGATCTGTTCCGAAACTAAATAAAACTGGTGGTGATAATGATAGTAGTAGTAATACTACGAAACCTGTGCGGTCAAGACCTAAACCAAAATCTACTATTAAGACTCCATTGGTTGATGAGTTCAGAGCCTCGGCTGCATACACATTTTTCCGGTGGCCCGTGCTAATTGGAATACTCTTATGGATACTATTCCTATGTATTTTCTATGTTAGCGTACGGTTCTATGTGGCTCTACTGGAATACTACTTTACATGGGTTGGTCAGAGAAGGAAACTTAGAGACAAATTAAGGCAATCAAAGTCTTACGAAGAATGGATCGAAAATGCCATTACCTTAGATAAATATTTGGACTTGGATAAATGGTCAGATATCACCAAGTTCTCCTATTATGATTCTTTTACTTTGAAATTAACCGTTAGGAAGTTGAAGTCCTTAAGAGTGAAAAAGCAAGACCACGAACTTCTTTTATTGCTTCAAAGTTGCTTGAAGAAGAACTTTGCTGGTATTGAAAATAGACAATTATATTCCCATAGATACTACGGAACAAAGACTTTAGTCTCCAAATATGTTGACGAAGTTGTTGAATCCATTGATTATATATCAAGTTCAACAGAAATCACCATCGGTGAAAAGAGAATGTTTTTCAAGCTTGTGCTGAAGAATTATGGAAAGACTGCATTGTGCCTATCAGGTGGTGCTTGCTTTGCTTATACTCATTTTGGTATAATAAAGGCATTACTAGACAATGGACTTTTGCCCAACATTATATCTGGTACAAGTGGTGGGGGGTTAATTGCTGCTTTAGCTTGTACAAGAACTGATGAAGAACTCCATAAGTTGTTGGTTCCTCAACTCGCACGTAAAATCACTGCTTGTGAAGATCCATGGTATGTTTGGATACCCAGATGGTGGAGGACTGGAGCAAGATTTGATTCTGTTTCATGGGCAAGAAAGTCCAATTTCTTCACTAAAGGTTCAACAACTTTTAGAGAAGCTTATAAGATATCTGGAAGGAAATTGAATATATCAACAGTTCCTGCTGATCCACATTCTCCAATTATCTTATGCAATGACATCACTTCTCCTGATTGTATCATATGGTCAACATTATTAGCGTCATCAGCCGTCCCTGGGATTTTAAACCCGGTAGTTCTTATGATGAAAAACCCTATAACTGATAAGGTTACTCCATTTTCACTAGGAAGCAAATGGCGTGATGGGTCTCTAAGAACAGATATACCTGTTGACTCATTGAACGCCTATTACAATGTGAATTTCACTATTGTTTCTCAAGTGAATCCTCATATATCATTATTCTTTTTTGCACCCAAGGGAACCGTCGGAAGACCTGTTGCAATGCCTAAAAGAAGAATCACCAAGGGGAAGTATGCTACTCTCAGAGGTGGATTCATTGCTACAGCATTAGAACAATTGTTTAGATTGGAGATAACCAAATGGTTACAAATGATCAAATCATTGGATTTATTACCCCATTTTCTAGAACAAGATTGGTCCAATATTTGGCTTCAAAGATTCACAGGGTCAGTAACCATCTGGCCACGGAATAAGTTGAAGGATTTTTGGTATATTTTAAGTGACCCCAATGAACAACGAATGGAAGAATTGATCTTAAAAGGTGAACGGTGTATGTATCCTCGGTTATTGTTTGTAAAGAACCGATTAAGTATTGAAAGAGCAATTGAAAAGGGTCGTAAGGCAGTGAAGATGTCTACAGACATTACAAGCTCTTTAAACAGTCGAATTGGTAGTCCCTTTGCTGGTGGAGGACTTGAAGTTCATGATGTGAACTACGAAGATGATGGTGAAGATGACATAGGACCCAACGACATTGAAAACTCCTCTCAAGAGGTTCATTTTAAGGCCCCATCTCCAGACTCCATACCTCCACCATTCACCGTGTATGATGGTTATAACGATGATGAAGATGACTTTGATGACGATGATGATGACTTTGATGACGATGATGATGACTTTGAAGACAATGATGAATTTGAAGATGAAATGATCTCCGAACCAAGAGTATCATCTACCGAAACAGAAAGCATTCATTCGGACGATGACGAACGTATGGCAAGATACAGAAGAAACACCATTTTATAATACAGACATTATTACTGCTAACATTATTACTAAGCTTTCTTTATTAATTGTCGTTACATAATTAGATTCTTGATCTAACAATGTCAACGAATTCTGGCTTCAAACAAGCACCACCAACCAAGAATCCATCGACATCAACCTTGTCCTTAAAGTCAGGAGCGTTCTTACCGTTCACAGAACCACCGTACAAGATTTGGACCTTCTCAGCTTGTTCAGCACCAATGGTCTTAGCCAAATGAGCTCTGATACCCTTGTGAGTTTCTTGAGCATCTTCAGCAGTGGCAGCTAAACCAGTACCAATGGCCCAGACTGGTTCGTAGGCAACAACGATACCGGACCAATCAGAGATGATCTTGGAGCAGGCATCCAATTGTCTGGCACAAACATCCAAGGTAACACCTGCTTTTCTTTCTTCCAAGGTTTCACCAATACAAAGGATAACCTTTAAGCCTTGATCCAAGGCAAACTTGGTCTTGGAAGCAATGAAGTCGTCAGATTCCTTAATAAGGGTTCTTCTTTCAGAGTGACCAGTTAATGTCCATTTGGCACCAGAGTCTAAGATTTGAGCAGCAGAGATTTCACCAGTGAAAGCACCTGATTGCTTGTCGTAGACATTTTGAGCAGAGATTTCGACATTCTTATGGGTGTTGGTGTCAACAGCTAATGACAAGTAAGGAGCTGGAGGAGCCAAGACGACTTGGACGTCTTCAGGTAAATCGGCACTGTTCAAGTGTTCAATGATTGATTTGATTGAATCCTTAGTACCGTTCATTTTGAGGTTACCCCCAACGAAGAATTGACGAGCCATTTTATTTGATGTTTAATTGATTTAGACTATGGGCAAGAAAAAGGAACCAATTGATATTTCTTCAAACGGACATTCCCCATATATATACTTTGTTCCGAGAGTGTGCGACTTAATCGCATGGGATTCGGTCGGCCGGATAAGTGCATAATTTCCATTTCTCGCTCATGAGTGGCCCGGCCAAGAACGGATAGTGCTACCAGAACGATCATATGATGGGGTATGCATAACATTTTACTCTGGTGATGGTGATGATGCTACAGTATGATGATTATATAATAATCGTTCTTACTGTACTAGTGTTTGCCTTGGTGTGTCTTCTATCTTATACCTAAGTAGTAAAGTTAACATATTTGTTAACCTTGCTTGACTTACATACTATTAGTATTTCATGTGATCTCACTAAGTGGTAGCATCGCTACAAACGGGCTATTAATAGTAGTTACATATATTGTTCACTTAAGCATTCCATTCATCTCTGTATAACTATACCTTAACATATAAACTTGTTCTACCCTTGCAAGAATCATAATCTTTACGTCGTACATCAGAACATAAACGTGTACATACTTCATGTAGTGAACACATGTTAATAATTGCATTACAAAGTTGCAGCATTGGCCGCACAGCTTAAATCTAACTCCGAGTTTGATGTGCTTTGATTCGTTTGGTCAAACTTACCATACAATATATGATTTAGTGTTGACATGTCTGTTCCGGTTTGGGGTAGTGATTGTCCATTATTTCCATTAATAAGTGGCTCATGACAAGACTGCTTCAGAATACGAAGAGTATTTGGATTATCAACACCTAATCCACCTTGAGATTCAAACACCTCAATCAGGGGAGTTGCAGGTGACGCAGTGGTATGATCAGTACAAATAGCTCTATTAAATGCCTCTCTAATTTGATGATCTTTAGATCTTGCCTTTCTGATTGCGTCTCTTTGAGCTCGGATAATGTAGGTGACATCCAAATCATCAGGATTCTCCAATTTATTCTTTGAGTTGAATCTTACCTCGTCCACTGTTTCTTTTTTAATTAATTCTTCCATCTCTTCGTCGTCCAAATCGTCCCATGTCAAAAGCCTTGTTTTAAGACTGAACTTATGAGTTTCAACGTTCCGTTTCATAATTAAGTATTGGCAATGAGGAATATTACGCAACGCTTCAAACTCTTCGTATTTCCACCTGAACCATTTCATCAAGAAGACCCGTGCCCATATTCCATGTGTAACAAGAACTAAAACATTAGGGAAATCTTCTTGTTGGAACTGACGGAAAAGAGTCTCATTGAAACTTGCAACACGATCATAAACATCAGCCGCACTTTCCCCATGAGGAATCCGATAGAAGAAATGACCGTAATGAGCTCTTTCAGTCCATATTTTCTCCATTCCTTCAGGAGTGCTTTGGAAGTTACCAAAGTCTTGCTCTCTCATTCTTGGTTCTTCATTGATATCGTATGATATTTCAGGAACGTCTTTGATTTGGTTGATGATATTTTGGCACGTTTGACGAGCCCTGACATAAGGCGATGTATAGAACATTACCAGTCTAGGATTTCTATTGTTATTAGGACATTTGCTATTGAAGCATGGTTGTAGTAAGAAGTTTCGAAGCACTTCTCCAGCTTCCTTTGCTTGTTGGTGACCTCTGGGAGTTAATGCAACTTTGTGGTTGGGAACAACTGCGTTCACTGTCTTATCACAGTTCCCCTCTGACTCTCCATGTCTGACTAATAGAATGTACTATGAACAATATTGTTAGTATGAATTTTACATCCAATCATATAGCAGTGCTTAGTAATACGTACTGTTGGTTTTCCCATTTTGAAGTGTATAAAAGGGGTTCCTTGTGTTCCAGTTTAGTATGAGGAAAAGCACAATATTCCGTTGTATTTATATGTATTTCTATGTCTATCAATATCGTTATAGAAATATATAGGAAGAAAACAGTTAATTAGCAATTAGTAAATAGTACCTTGCTTAATGCCGATGTCTACTTCCTTTGACCCAGAGATCATGTGTTGTAGGCTTAAACTCCGAGTTATAGTTTTGGGTTTTGCACGACTTTTGGAACATAGTATACGGATGCAAAAAATTTGGTCCTACTGTTGCACAATTATCATTTTACTATGTTGTTGCCTCCTCTTAAAATAATATACATATAAGTCTAGTTTTGGACCAAGTTTCTCTCAATAGCAAAGGCATTGGTTAACTCATGGTCGCACTTCTTTAAAATGTCATCAGCCAAAACATCAATAGCATAAGAATGTAAAGTGCTATTGTATCTTGAAGGTTCATTTGGTAATCTGAAGAGAGATTTCCATTCTTCTGGATCCAATTCCTTTTCTCCGTTCTTTGCTCTTTCCAAGTTATCCAATCTTCTTTGGTTCTTCCATTGTTGAACACGGCCCATTTCCTTTTGAAGTTGTCTTTGGTAATAGTTGAAGATACTCTGATCATAATTCAAAGCATCAACTTGGCTATACAATGATTCCAACAATTGAGTATTGACGTTTTGATTGGATGACATGTTCAAAATATCATAGGAGTCATCCAATGATGGGCCTTGAGAACTTAAAAATAAGTTGACTAACTTCAGATTACGGATTATCACTGGAATCTCTTCGAAAATGTTTTGATAAGTTAATTCATTTGTAGCCAATTCTTTAGTCTTCCATTTACCATCGATATAAGTTTTAATGAAACTTTCAGTTAATCTAAGGGCCTTAACATCCAACTCTTTGTTTATTGAAACCATATCAAGAATCAAAACAAATGCATTGGCGTTACTTAATTGCTGTTGAGCCAAAGAATCAACAAGTTGTGTAGTAACAAAGTTACCACCAAAAGTACTTTGGAACCAACCTTGGAATTCAACTCCATATCCTAATCCTTTCAAGGTTTCTTGGATCTCTTGTTGATACTTTGCGCCACTTTTAGACTTGAACAGACCACCTTCGTATTGGTCTGGATAAGGATATGGATATGCGTGAGTAATGTCAATGGTACCCTCATCGCTTCTGAATCCTAATAAAGTACCAGAGAATAACGAAGGGTAGTTACTTGATGAGTGTTTCACAACACTTAACAAGGCGCTTCCTTCTATCTCCACTGATGTTGCTGTAGGAGCTGTGTATACCTTCTGTGTAGATGCCATAATATATATGGGTGTTATGTATTATAGTGTACGGATGTCTTTTAGTGTACGTCTATACTGTAAGTCTATGCTTTAGACTCAGGGTCGTATCTGAAAATTTTTCGCTGTGTTTTGGTAAGTACACGAATAAAATTTTCACTGAGAAAGATACGGACTATCAATGAGTAAGATTCAACCAGCTAAATGTACTTCCTCTTTTAGTATAGGATTAAACTATGTCTGACGCAAACAAAGTGGCTGAAGAAGTGCAACAGAAGTTGTACTTGGACGAAGAGACCGGAGAAAATGTGTCCAAGTCCGAGTTGAAGAAGAGACAAAAGCAAAGAGATATTGCTAGAAAGAAGGCTGAAAAGGCTGAAAAGGCTGCAGCCAATGCTCCAGCTAAATCTGCTTCTAGTAAGAAGAAGGATCAATTGGCTGATTTGACTCCTAACCAATACTTTGAAATCAGATCTGCTCACATCAACCAATTAAGAGAAGCCAACAACAAGGACTTGGCTGCCTTCAACCCTTATCCTCACAAGTTTGAAGTTGGTATCAAGTTACCTGAATTTGTTAAGGAATATGGGCATTTACAAAGAGGTGAAACCTTACCTGAAGTGGAAGTTCGTGTTTCCGGTAGAATCATGACCAAGAGAGAATCTGGATCCAAATTGAAGTTTTACTTGTTGAAGAGTGATGGTATTGAAGTTCAAATCATGGCTCAAGGCCAAGATGCTTCAAGTTTTGAAGCCTACGAATCAATGCATGAGTACTTGAGAAGAGGTGACATCATTGGTGTTGTTGGTTACCCCGGTAGAACATCTCCTGCCAAGGGTGGTGACGGTGAATTGTCCGTGTTTGCAAAGACTGTTCAATTGTTAACTCCATGTTTGCACATGTTACCCACTGAACATTTTGGATTCAAGGACCAAGAAGCAAGATACAGAAAGAGATACTTGGATTTGATCATGAATGATGCCACTAGAGACAGATTTAAGGTTAGATCTAAGATTATCTCTTATATCCGTAGATTCTTGGATAACAGAGATTTCGTGGAAGTCGAAACTCCTATTTTGAATGTTATCGCCGGTGGTGCCACTGCTAAACCATTCACCACTCACCACAACGACTTGAACATGGAAATGTTCATGAGAATTGCTCCTGAATTGTTCTTGAAGGAATTGGTTGTTGGTGGTATGGAAAGAGTCTACGAAATCGGACGTCAATTCAGAAACGAAGGTATCGATATGACCCATAACCCCGAGTTCACCACTTGTGAGTTCTATCAAGCCTATGCCGATGTCTTTGACTTGATGGACACCACCGAGTTGATGTTTTCCGAAATGGTTAAGGAAATCACCGGTTCTTATGTCATCAAATACCATCCTGGTGCTGCTGACGGTACGGAATACACCTTGGACTTCTCTAGACCTTGGAAGAGAGTCAACATGATGGAAGAATTGGAAAGAATCTACAAGGTTCAATTCCCAGCTGGTGACCAATTGCACACTGACGAAACCAATGCTTTCTTACAAAAGGTCTTGAAGGATAACAACATTGTCTGTTCTGCTCCTTTAACCAACGCCAGAATGTTGGACAAGTTGGTTGGTGAAATCGAAGACACTTGTATCAACCCAACCTTCATCTTTGGTCACCCACAAATCATGTCACCTTTGGCTAAGAAGGATAGAAACATCCCAGGTTTATGCGAAAGATTCGAGGTGTTCGTTGCCACTAAGGAGATCTGTAATGCATACACTGAGTTGAATGATCCCTTTGACCAAAGAGCTAGATTCGAAGAACAAGCAAAGCAAAAGGATGCTGGTGATGATGAAGCTCAATTGATCGATGAAACCTTCTGTAACGCTTTGGAATATGGTTTACCTCCAACTGCCGGATGGGGTTGTGGTATTGACAGATTGGCTATGTTCTTGACTGACTCCAACACCATCAGAGAAGTCTTGTTGTTCCCTACTTTGAAGCCTGATGCCCGTGAATTAGATTAAATTAAACTACTTACATAATTAATACATAATATTATACTCTTTTAGAATTGGCTTGTCCCAACCGCTTCAATTCTAATGCTCGCTTATAAGGAGGAGCAGTCGGCAACTGAACGGGGTTTAAGGACTGTATCTTGTCCAGTGTATCTAAAGTGTAGGTTGCATCGGAGTCAACATCATTTATGTCTCCACAAGCAATGAACTTTGCTATCAATCTTTCATCCTCAGGTAACTCCAAATACTGCATGTTCTCGGCCTTCCCTATTCCTGACCCTCTAAAGAACTCTTCTGTAGATTTGTTCAACTCAAGTTTGGGTTGCCAACCAGCCCGAGGTTTATATCCTAAACAAACAATAAATGCTTCTAAACTCGTACCTCTAGAGCTTCTGGGTTTAGCACAGATCACTTGCTCAAATAAGTAACTCAATTGCGCATACAATAAATCAATGTCTCTACCTCTAAACACCTTGGCAACAAACTTTCCTCCAGGCTTTAGTATACATGTCGTCAACTGTAATGCTGCCAATATAAGTTGTGCTTGAATGTACTCGTCCAAGTCATGAAGTCCAGTCACATCTGGTGCTCCATCGCTACAAACAAAGTCTGCAGGTTCACCTCCAAATACATTCAAAATCTCTTGCAATGTTTTGGGATGAGTAATGTCTGCTTGTATGGTGGTAACGCCTTCAATGGGCACCATAGGTTGTAAATCCACAGAAACAATCTTGGCATTCTTCTTGTCTTGCTTTTGAAATAACTCTCGACTTAATACTTGAGACCATGAACCGGGTGCAGCACAAAGATCAACCACTCTTTCAATGTCGCTGAACAAGTCAAACCGTTCGTTTAATTGGAGTAACTTGAACGCAGATCTCGCTCTCCAGCCTTGTTCCTTGGCCTTTCGATAATACAAGTCTCTTTTGTCCTTGCTCGACTTCCCCATGTTCTACTATTAGCTATACACCGCTAACTCATCGATACCAAAACCGTTTTCAACTTGAATCTCTGTATGAAAAATGTCGTATCAAAATGGACTGCATATACGTATCACATACTAAATTAAACATACTTCGAAAAATTTTCCACTACTAGCCAAACCCACACTATACTACCAACACTGTCAATCATTAATAGTCGTGATGTTGGGACGTTTATCTGGTTCGGCGTTGTGTGTCCGTGGTATACGGACTTTTTCGAGTTCAGTTGCCGTTTTGAGTGGAGGCCAACGGAAGTTTCAAACACCACAAGAATTTGTCCAGCTGAAAGCTACAGAAGCAGCACAAGATCAACAATTCAAAGAACACCTTTTACATGAGGCAGCCAACACCGAATATAAACCTAAGACCATCCGTGGGAATGATATTAACCCCGTTTCCAAAAGACCTGTACCTTTAAATGTGGAACTCTTACAGTATGAACCCATTCAACTCCCAAAAACTCATGGCCATAAGGTCGCAGTGCTTAAGTTCAGAGGGTACGATAAGTCAGAGCTCAGTAGAGCAGGAGAATTTGCATTACGTAGTGCTTTCTTTTTAGGGATTCCAACCCTGAAGCTTGCCAATGCAAAGACTGAAAAAAGATTATATACTGTGATTAAATCTCCTTTCGCCCAAGCTAAGCTGAAGCAGAATTTCCATAGAGTCACTTATAATAGGTATGTGGTAGCATACGATGCCAATCCTGAGATAGTGGATTTGTGGCTCTCCTACATCAACAAGCATGCCATTGAAGGTATCAATTATTCAGCAGAATTGTACACTCAAGAAGGACTAGACTACGCTACGCAATTGGAGAACTTGGCTCTCACCGACATGGCATTACCTGAAGCATACGCTGATTTAGATGACCCTATTGCCTCCAAGGTTGAGGAGTTGTTACAATCACAAACATTCAGTAAGTTGCTTGAAAAGGAGTAAGAAACACCACCACCGTCATTTACATGTATATAGTAATGTATAATTTATATGGTAATAATTTATATGGTAAAGAATAGTTTATGACATTTGTTTTCTTCCAGATAAAATGTCGTTGTGCCAATCAAATATCTAACTTATCAATGCCTGTCTTGGTAATCCTACCAGGTACACCAACACAAAGAGAGTTGGCAGGAACATCTTTAGTAACCACGGTTCCAGCTCCAATAACCGCACCATCACCAATGGTAACACCTGGCAAGATAGTACAGTTGGCACCAAACCATACATTGTTTCCTACGATGATTGGCCTAGCAAATTCAACTCCTGCGAGCCTGGTTATGGGGTTAGCTGGGTGAGTAGCACAGGTGAACACTGTATGTGGACCCACCATGACATTGTCACCAAATTTGATCAACGAACAATCTAAAAACGTGACCCCGTAATTGGCGTAGAACCGGTCTCCCAACTCAATGTTACATCCATAGTCCACATAGAAGGGATACTCAATGAAGACGTTGTCTGTACACTTACCAAAGACCAGTTGAAGATGCTCGACTCGTTTCTTGTGGTATTCTTCCAAACTACCAAAGTCACGAACTTTGATGTCACCGTATTCATCAACAAGCTCATGAGAAAGTGTCCGGGCGTCTAGTAACGTTTTTTCAAAGCAATTGTATGGTACATTCAGAACCATCTTCTCATATTCAATACCTTTTGGAACATGCTTGAAATTGTCATAAATGTATTTGACTAATTTTTGGTCGATTTCAGTGCTATTTTGACCCATAATGAATGAAGTATTGGCTTTAATGATGGAATAAAAAGGTCTAATGTAGAAAAGAAGAATCAAATCTTTCTCTTTCAAACTTTACAGCCGTATTTAATAGGTATACCAAGAAAAGCATATTAGGAAGCTTCATGCGTTTCGGATGCGTTTCCTATTTTGGATCGAGACCAAAGAACCGCGGGGTAATCTGGAAAAATATGGAAAATATTCATTTATAAGGAATAAATTTTCCGATCTACGTACCAGAAAACGGCGTCTTAGGGAAGCGATCACGGGCAACGTTTAAAGGATAACATATAATGGCTGAAGCAACGTGGTTGACTTAGTCAGGAAAGTATAAACTATTTGCATCTACTTCCGTATGGAATTTGCTCTTACTATAGGGCAAGCTAAGTCGATTTTAACATCACTTTATGTAAAACTCTTCCTACTTTTCCTTTCAAGTAAACAAGGAACGTAATATCAACTTACAATGTCTTATTGCACATTTCAATATACAGCATTGTAGCTGTCTTTGAGAAAGTCGGTGGTGCCATATACCGTGCGATGAAATCGATAGTAACAAACTTAACTCTATTATCTTTGGTTACAGTAACTAAAATTGTCAGCCTTTGGATGCAGCCAGTAAGTGGGGTAATTACTGGAGTTGTAGTTGGTGGAAAAGAACCTACAGTAAGGTTAAAGAGGACTTAGAGCTCTTAAAGAAAGTATCCCCACTGTGGAAGTCAATACTGCGAAATTGTATAATTTAGCAGCTATGTTAACCAAAGATTGTATCACAACAAAGACTTACATTTGCTGTGGAACACATTCTTCTTTTGTGCACAGATTCACTGAATAGAATGCCAATGATAATAAACAAAAAGCAGAATTGGTCGTTGTGACTTTGAAATATATGCAAATGAAGAGCAACACTCAAATATATTCTAACGGTAAAATACAACGAAAAAGAGTTCATAGTAAGACAAAGGGAGCACAGCTGGTAATTTCAAATCCAGAAAGAAACATCAAATAGGAAGAGAAAAGACAACACATGAAAAGATCCGAAACGAAAAGATTCGGTTAATAGCTGTCGAAAGATTTTACAAGTAATCCTGAGAGCATTTTGGTACAACTAACAAGCTCCACCGAAGCAAATAGTAATTCCTGCAGTCATTTTCAAGAACTTTGAATACAACAGCTGGAGTCTAAGTTGGGTCTGAATAAGATGGAGTTAAGATCTGGCATTTCCTGCTTACTCACCATTTTTAGTTCATATCCAGCCTTATGAAAGCCACGTCAAGAGGGGCAAACAAATACAGAGGAAACCTGATAATAATTTCGATCGTCACCTGGTACCAGAACCTATAAATGAAATGACGACTATTGGGAGGAGTCCATAGGCTTTCGTCAAACTTTGTACAGCACCTTTCACTTCTTTAGGTGAGAACATGCTTAATGGTTCCAGGGTATCGATGGCCAACAACTATTGCGGAGTCAAATAATAACTCTGGTGGTCCTGGTATCAAGAGCTGGGCATGTATCAATTTTCATAATAGGGGACCAGAAACCGCTGGTCAGAGAGGGAACCTGGCCAAACCCCCTTTTGCTCAGGTAGGATAAGCAAAATCCTCAAGCTTGCGAGTTGTAATTACAAATCCCTTACCGCTAGAAACATATCAATTCATTAGATCCGTTAGCGGTTAGGTGATTTGGAATGAATTCTTGGTTGGTAGGAAAAGATGCGTATCCATAATACTTAATACTACAGAAGGAGTGATGTAGTGTGCAGTTGTTTATAATTACCAACTTGCTTTATGAAATAGAAAAATATAGCTATTATATGTGACACTGCAGAACATGTGAGACTGCAGAAAAACGCGAGAGATTACTATAACTGTTAAGCACCTTTAGTAGGCAACTCGACCAGCAGTGTTGAGTAACAAATTGTAGCTCGGCGCTAATTCAAAATTGATTCAATTGACTCCGCGGCTGCGAAATTACTTCAAACTAATGTAATAGAAAACATTGTCACTTTCTGAGGCGGCTTCAATAATGGACACATATCAGTATTGATTAAAGTTTTTCCTATCATATCATGTTTGAATAGCAGTAACATATCTTTGGTTAATTCATTAAGAAGAAAAGTGTGAGTAAACAATTAGAGATCTTCCCCCTTAAGCATGGTTCCAAAGACAATCAATTTTGTGCAGGTAGATAAAAATGAGCGCTAGATTCATCGTTTGTATATAGATGTGTCCTAATAGGGACAGCGACATTCACAGATTACCTAATTAGGATGTTTGCCTACCAGGTAATGTTCATGGTAATTAACAAAGAGAAGTAATGCCATTCAACCGTATCATGACACATCTTGAAGGGAGGCAATAAGAAAGCCGTCCGCCCTAATACGAGCGGCTGATTTTGAGGATAATAGGTGTTTTGAACCTCATAAAGCTCACTTAGGACACGTACTTAGGGTCAAATCAAGGTGATATCCTGCATATGTTGATGATAATGTGGGTTCTATATTGGGTCTGTTGAAATAGACAGTATGCATATATCTTACATAAATGGGCCATCTCCTCCGTAAGCAAATCAGCTATGCCGTCAATATGCCGTCAAAAGGCCATCAATGTCTTCAACACGGATCCCAAATCTTAAGCTAATCAGTTTTCAGTATTTCTACATCAGCTCCAGACTGTTCCATAATACCAGCTATTCGTTTCAGTTAATGTGCTCGGATGGTTTGGAGGCAGGTGAAGGCAAAAGCATGCCCCTATGCGGGCCCTTGCTCTGTGCCACCTACTTCGTCCTCAGTTGTCACCAATAGTCGCAATGCTGTAAGTTGAAGACCTGGTCACCAATCCATGAGATTGCGGGGATGCATAAATAGAATGCTAACAAAATTCTTCTCTGGAACTGGCTTCAGATTATATCAAACGTAGCAAACAATATTGATTTCAATTCTGAGCTTTTGTAGTTCTTTGCTCAGAATATATTGAGTATCAGTAAACACCACGGAGTGTGTCAAGAAAGTTAGCTCATCAATAGTAACGGCAATAATTCAAATCCTGAACCCCATCCTGGAATACTCATTGGTAATGGGATTTCTAATAAGTAATTCGCACCAATAAACAAGCAATTACGGCTGTTGCGGCTGTTAACTCGTTACAACCTTCATAATACCTCCTTTTGCCTTAATTGAGTACTAGCTTCGAGAGAACATCGATTGAACCCTGGAGAAATAACATAATTCACAGATATTGCCCTTCCCAAAATTGAATAATTAATGTAGATCTCTAGTAATATTGAACAGCATCTCATTCTCAATTCGTGTGTGTGTAGTTTCGTACATCAACCGTACATTGACCAATCTTCATCGTCATCTTCACTGTCTTCTTCCTTGATTTTATTGACTTCTCTCTGCAATGCCAATTTTCTTTCCCGAACAACATCCAACACGTCCACACGGCACAAGGGACAAGTGCTGTTCAATTTGAGCCACGGTTCAATACATTCCAAGTCAAACAAGTGACCTGCCTTACATGGCAACTTTATCACCAAAGGATGCGGGTCATCTTTGAAGGCATTAGTACAAATGGGACACTGATCGTATTTTGAAGTATCTGAAACCTCTACACGAGGTAAATCTGTAATGAATTCTGGGGGTACACCTTTATTCTTATGTTCTGGAGCCAAGAACTCTGCAAAATGGGGATCTTCAGTAAGAGATTCTGTTAAGGCATCGATGAGAACTTGAGATATGTCACTTTGAGGAATCTCTGCACGAATTGTGTCTGCTAATTGCGTTGTTGACGACATTGAACTAGTGAAGAAATTATTGAGAATTGTTGCTAAAGTTGGATGTGCCCTTTGAGACCCAGATCCAGGACCTCGGTTACCATTACCATATCCAGAATTGGATCTGTTTGTCGTAGTCGTAATGTTATGTTCCACTGCGGTGGCGTTAGTACCAGAAGTTAGCCAAGACGTTAAGGCGTATCATTTTCACTTACGTTCGTAGGTTGACATTTGGCTACAAAAGAAAGATGGTGGTCGATAAATTTGTGCGAGTCCGCCACCGAAAAAAATATCTTAAACTAGCATGAACACCATACCGCAGCATTATTATCAACGACTTGTAACATCCACATATTTAACATCAACAGCTTATACTCCTTTACTTACTGGAGTCTATACTACTGTAATCTGTACTCTCACTCGTCTTTTGTAGCGTGTACTGTGTACTCCCACTTATCTACTATATTGTTCCAGCTTGATTCTATTAAACTTAACCTAAACTAAATATGCTTCAACTATACCCAAGAACCATCCCAATTATTCAACTACAACGTGACCTTTACCTTCATATCTGAAATCCACCATTAAAGTACTCGGTCTTTTGACCAACTTCTCCTGCCGATGAATCGGTTGGATTCAAGTCACCCAAATACAATGGAGTCATAGGAGGTTCTTCCTTTGGTGTCTGTACGGGATTGAGGACAGGACTGCCACTAGACTTGAAGTGATCTCCCCCAAATCTAGCTTGGCCTCCAATGGCAATGGGTTGTGTATGGCTTCCTCCTCCATGTGACATAGCCATCATGGATGTAGGATGGGTTAAGGACTGTGGTGGTGTTTGCGAAGAGAGCCAGAATCGAGAAGGTGATGCTCCCAACGATGTAGGATTTAAATTAGGTGAATCTGGAACTCTTCCTGCAACATTGATCCCATGTATTTGTTGTTGATATGCCATCAGGTGAGGGACTGCTTGTTGATATGACGATCTTATGCTTATAGGTTGGGTGGAAGTCAAAGAAGCGTGTTGATCATGTATCTGAGGAGTGCTAGGCAATGTCACAGACGAGGTAGCCGTAGAGTTGGATATCGATGTAATTGGTCCGGAGATTGCAGGCCCTGAAAGAACACCTGAACCATTGGTATTAGCAGGAGGAGGTGAGGTCAATCTTTGTTGATAAGGATACATTCGAACTTGATTCAAATGAGAAAATGATGAAGTCCTATTATATGCATTCATTGGAGCTTGTATACCTTGACCTGAAGCTATGTTTAAATGTTGAGGTTGTGAAGGAACAACAAATCCTGTCTTAATAGGGATGGAGGGAGTTTTACCAATAACATTTGAGGTCATTGTAGGACTTGTCAATGTATAGTTGGCACCAAATCCCATGTTCTGACCACCCTGCTGTCCTATAGTAGACTGTGCACTTTGCATTTGTTGTTGTTGTTTATCACTAAGAGAAAGAAGTGATATGGTTGACGATGAAGGTATCAATCTACCACCGATTTCCTTCCCAACAGAAGATGCTAAGAGTTCCGGTTCTGGATGGTCATCAACAAAATCATCATGTGCCATTGAATCATTAGACGTAGAACCCAGTGACCTAATCTGGATTCCGTTACTTTTTGACACTTTCTCATTGGCAAGGGACGATGTGAGAAGTGATTCCTGCGGTGACATGGGACGTGCCAATAACGACGCCGAAGGAGGTAACATTGTAGGTGATGTATGACATGATCCTGTTTCTGATATGGGCGAACTAGGATTGGACATATTCAGATGAGGGAGCCTTTGGCTTTGTTCGGAGTTATTCAAGTCGAATCGCTGACTATTATGCTCCAAGGTAGCTTGCATTGGATTACGGTCTCAATGCAGATAAACTAGCTGAATAAAAGCTCTATTCTTTATGCTTTCAAGAAGGAAAGTCGAGACAAATAGAAGAAAGAATGAAAAAGGCTATAAGCCAGGGAAATATACTAATGAAGAGCCCTTTAAATGGAGGGAAATCTAAATTAGGTAATGTTCAACAAAAGATTTGAATCTTATTACTGATGGTATTTCACTTCTTCTATGAGACACTTAAATTGTTGAAAGTGGAAGGCTCGCTAAAGGTTGACAGTCTAGAACGTTAAGTAAAGATCAAGCCACGGAAATAACCAGTGTAAAATCCGCCACACCCAAAATAAAGTATGTTTGGCCCAACAAAGTTGATGTATATGACTTTGGTGATCGATCAAAAGCTAACGCAAATGAGGATGGCAGGCTTTTTTAAGTGTTGCAGGCCATAGAGAAAAAATTGCTTCGTGACAAATAAAAGTCCTGGGTCGTGGCCAGTGCCATTGACTGATAAACCAGATAATGCTGCACACAGATAACACTATAGGAGGGTATGATAGGCTGTGTGCAGTTCGAAACGAAGGTGTTAAGTGGCGATGGGATTCCCAATCAGGGAGGATGACACTAATTGTTGATTGTAACCCAAAATAGAGGGGATCAAATGCACTGGTCGATTTTGTAAAGGAAGAAGACGTAATTCCTTTAGAAGGAAATTAACTTCAATAGCAAACTAAGCCTACAGAGCAGAGTAAAGAACGCATTAACCAATGATAATATGGAATGGTATGAAAATGAAGATGAAATTTCAGATAATCGATAACATGCTTGACATGCATGACTGCGAATTGACCAACATCTCTTCCCTCCTAATCATTCACCAACAGAAAAAAAAATTGGAATAAGACGATTACATAGAGCAATTTGTGTAGCAATGGTGCGACTCTTGGATTGAGGTTGCAATTTTCCACTACACAAACTTTGTTGGTTACAAGACCCAGAAATAAATGGTTGAGACCATTCGGTATAAAAGAATAATAATCAACGCTTAGCATCCTTGGCCCTATCATATTTATTGTAATGCATTATTATATCATGCCTTCTATACTCAGACAGCAGCTAGTTACACCAGCATATAACACTGAAAAAATAGTCCTTTACTTCGCCAACTTGCTCGTACATGAAAATTCTGCCACGTACATTCAAAGTGAAAAAAATACCTGCAATCGCGCTGTTGCTGCTGCGTCAATAACTGCACTACAGATACCAATGTAAATATGTAGGATAAGAGCAGCTGACGTGCGCAGAGGAAAAAACCAATTGGTCGTCCCCGTTTTGCGGCTTTTTTCCTGATTCATCCCCACATGAGTTTCTTGCAGCGAGATAACTGCATATCATAGTTACAAAATGATAAGGGAATCTTGACTCAACCTAACCTAAAAAAAATTTGGGTTCATACTCTAACCGTAATAAAGCCATAGTTATAATCTTTCATTTCCGTCACTGTTTAAAAAAAAAAGCTTCAACGTAAATATGATTAAATTGCTCACACCCGAGCATCCCAATATCGTTCTATGATCCCCTCCTTCTCCACAATTCAACTCTGTTATATAAATGATCACATATATGCCAGTCCTACATATATCATGTGCCTTGGCCTTCTTTTAGTTTGTTATCGAATCGTTCCCCTCTGCGCTCCCACGGTCTCCAATGATTTGACATAGCACGGCTGTCTATCTAATCCTTTAACCTTTGTCCGTCCGTCCATTTGCCAGTACCCCACCCACAATAGCATTGTGAATACGAATAGATACTGATTTCTCCGCATAGGAATGGTGGTCGTTAGACTGTGGGGTCACTCACGTTAAGTGCATATGTCAATCATCTTGAACTTGTTGTCCAAAAGCATATGCTTTAGCCCAGGGGTAGCCTGTCGTCTGCGGCTTTTGGTTCGAATTGTCAGGTAAACTCCTTTTAACATCTAACATTATTTGCTGCTATCGGTCAATCAGCCATTCTTACATTTATCGAAGAAAAAATTCTAGAGGTTCAATGTCGGTGCCATTCTTTATTTATTATAGGTGGTCTTTTAATTTGACATCATTTTACTACTAACTTTTCTATCAGTCGTTTTGGATTAGTCACTGCATGTACATTAATGACTACTGATTTTGTTCTGCAAACGATTTCTTCTCACCTATTGTTCTTCTATTTTTCTATTCTATTAGTAACGACCAGAGTCTGAAGGATCGATTTTGAAGACTTTGTCAGGATTCAAAATCCGTTTGGGATCAAGTGCTAACTTGATCTTCCTCATCAATGAAATGGCATCCTCGCCTAATTCATCTACTAAGTAATTCCTTTTGGCGTTCCCAATACCATGTTCTCCAGTACAGGTACCCTCGTTTGCAAGTCCAAGGGCTACCATCTTCTTAATTATCTTCTCACATTGTTCTTTCTGTTCGGGTCGATAATAAACATCAGCATGGAAATTGCCATCACCCACATGTCCTAGAACAACACTGAAAAGTCCTGATTCCTTAATCATTGTATTAATCTCTGTTAGAACCAGAGATAATTTAGTAATTGGCACAGCAATGTCTGTCACCCAAATTCTAACGTCCTCTCCAATTTCGTTAAGTCCATAATTGACCATTGCATAAAAGGCGTTCTTCCGCGCACTAAATAGTTCCTCTTCTTCTTCCTTACTGTGTGCTATGACGAATCGATTCACATTATGCTGCATACTGATTTCTTCAATCATCTTCCTCTGCTCTTCCACAACAGAAGGATTAATTCCTCCAACTTTGAAAAAAAGGGTAGGGATTTCGAGCCATTCTCGGGTCAAGTAACCACTGTAATTAGTAACATACATCATGTCTTTATCCATTAATTCAATGGCATTAGGCTGAATCCCACTTGCAAACACTTGTTGCACTGTATCTGTGCAATCACGTAAACTAGGGAACTGGCCTACGACAACCAGCTCATATTTGGGACGAACGTGTAGCTTAACGGTCACCTCTGTAACAACACCCAAAGTTCCTTCGCTTCCAATGAATAGGCCAGTGAGATTATAACCTGCACTTGTCTTCCGAGGTCTTTGGCGAGTCTTAATGATTGTACCATCGGCCAACACAACAGTGATATTGACAACATTTGAAATCATTGCCCCGTATTTGTACGCATTGATTCCGGAAGCATTGGTACTTACCATTCCCAGTATAAGACCATTGGGACCGCAATCAGGGCCGAACATGAGTCTCGTGCCATCCGAAGCTGTTGCGTCTAATTGCGAATTCAAGTCCATCCAATTGACACCTGCTTCTACAGTAGCATCCATGTCATCACGGTTTACTCGAAGGATACGTTTCATATGCGAGACATCCATTACAATGCATGGTTGTCTCGTTGAAAAAAAATGGCCCTCTAATGAAGTTCCACCACCATAAGGTACAACTGGTACTGAATATTCATGACATACTTTGAGAATTTGACTAACTTGTACTGTCAGATGAGGATAAACGATAAACGATGGAATTTCGTATTCCAAGGGAAGATGTGGAGTAAAGTCGTTCTTGCGGTGTCCTTCAAGTTCAACTTTGGAATTACGGATTTGATCTGAAGAAATTAATACTGATATTCTTTTGATGGCTTCGGCCAATTCTGATTCGGTTGCATATTTTGGGGAAGGCACAGATTCAAGGGAAGCAATAGATAAAGCATTTATGTCTGAAATCTTGTTTTCGTCACCTGTACAAAATTTACCGGCTAAAAAACCGAAACCTCCCACTATAACCGATGTTGCCAAAATGTATGGGAGACTACAGTTAGTCTTTCTTGACTCAAAACCCGAACCTAAAATAAAGCCATGTTTCTTGGTAACGTGTCTTTTCCATTGACAAGACGGAGGGGGTCTTAAACGTGTTAGATAGCAAGTTGTTCGAATCATAGGAGTAAAGAAGCAAAGAATGTGGAGGGGGAATCGTAGTGCAAGCAAATCACAAAAATGGTCCAAAAAGTTCGTATCTAGATAAGTGATTCAGATAAAGATAGACCAATAGATAGGGGAAGAACGATATGGAGAAAGATAATTGAAAGTGGTAATGGTTACTCTACCGTACGTGGTATTGGAATAGTTTAACCAATAAATTGTCTTTAATAAAAGATATCTACAACACGAGTACTGGATGTCTTCCACAAATAAGAGTTATGATACCGTAGATCGGAGTCAACTATCCGAAATCTATTTCATATCACATTGATCATATTTGGCATGCGCATAGTATCTAATTGTATGGACATTGTTACAAGCAACTGATCACCAATGAACATTTTTGTTTCTGATAAGAAGTGTGGTGTCAACAAGATGTAAGCCCGATAAATAAGGTCGCCGCAATGGGAAGAAGCCGCATTCCGCTATCTATTATCTCATATATAAGTTCCCAATTAAGCAACTGACCCCAGCTAGTCAGGTAGAGCGGATAAACTTTATGTCATATCTAATATCATGACAGCACTTTATCCGGAAGTTGGGGAAGCTCAAACATAGCTTTGGTCAAGTAGGCTTAGATCAGTGTCGGATGTTTCCACCAAAAATGGCCGGCTTGCTTCTTTTAGTGTAATTTACCACGGGAATTTGTGTTGGATAAAGTGTAGAAAATGTTCGTTGGTGTAGATTCAGTAGATAAGAAACTACACACAGCAAATACGATATCATCAGCATCTTTATCTATTGTCCACCAATAAATTCTATATTCTCCCAGTCATGACGTAAGGATTTCAGGTTTGTTATCTCCAATACAACGATTGGACCGCGCAGTTGAATGCATACCACGCCAAAATTGTGGTTGTTGTTCAGTTATCTATATCTATATTTAGGTTTTGTCTATCTATCTTATCATGTCAATGTTGATGAAGCTTTGCTCTTAAAGTTCAGGGTGCCGTAGGCCTTTATGGCATGACATTGAACACTTGAACTGCGATGGACTGCATTTGACTCCAGTAATTTTTTGTCAGCCCTATTTTCGTAGCTTTCTTAGGGTTTGTAGGGAAAAGATCAATTATCGTAGAAAAAAGCAGCTAAGTTGCCCTGTATTTACTTTTAACAGAATAATGATACTCATAATGAAGTTACTTATTTCATAAAGTCCATGTATTAACTGTTCATAATTGAAGAAATTCGTTGGAACACATCGAAAATTGTCATAATGCCATTATATGAAACTGGTTGTTCTTCAAGAACAAGATGCCTGCGTAGCGTAATGGTTAACGCGTTTGACTTCTAATCAAAAGATTGCGGGTTCGACTCCCGCCGTGGGTTCTTCTCTAATGCGGATTTAGCTCAGTTGGGAGAGCGTCAGACTGAAGTTTAAACTCCAGTCACAGTTAATCTGAAGGTCCTGTGTTCGATCCACAGAATTCGCATTTTTTTGTTATCCTCAATGAACTTTCTAGTTCATGCTTATCAAGATGGATCAAAGGTTTAAAGACGATGTCCGTAAATGATACTCCCATCCGTTTTACTACCCAAAAAATGCTAAAAGAAATGGCGTTTCAAAGTAATTATCCTGCCAATTTTTAATGCATGAGATAATAAGGGTACGCCTCAAGTCCCCTTTCCGTTAATGGCAGGTATGTTTCATGATCTTAATTAGTGCAGTCGAATTTTGGAAGGTACCCCTTTTGGAAGCATATTCAAATGCTCCATTGTATTGAAAGCAATGCATATTTTTTTGTCGTTAGAAATGGTTACTACTCATGTCCCTTTGCAGGGGACCTCCTTAACCGGGAATAGATGGTGGTGCATATGTAGTAAGACCATAGATCTCGTTCAATGAATCAGGTACGACAATAATCTACTAAAGAATGAAGTTTTCTTGATACGAAAAATACTTGGAAAGTCAAAGGGTATATATTAGTCTATGTAGTAATACAAGTCTTGGAAGCAGAAAGTAGGAGATCGTTAAGGTCGTAAGAGAGTTATGAAACAATGTTTTTGACTGAAAAAGTGTGAAATCATGGAGAAGATCATCAACAGATCATGCCATCAGGGATGTGATATTCTTCACTGAAAATATCATCATAATCAATGTTATACACCAAATCCCATCCTGGTTTTTTAGTATTGACATCTGGATGGGTGACGGTCATAACCACTGTAGAATTATTTTGTCCAACCAAAGAAACATTCAAATCATAACTTTCATCTGAATATTGGTAATTGAAGTTCTTCATGGCCAGTTTTTCTGACTCTAAACAAGATTCAGTCACCAATGGATTCAATAACGTTAAATTTTGAATAATACTCGATCTTGGGAGTCTGAAGAAGTCATAACTTTTAGGGATTTTGGTGTGACTAAGGAGTGTGGGTTTTCCTGTAGAGTCTGGAATCTCTTCATCTGAAATAGTGATTTGGTCTTCTTCAGATTGCAACACAGAATCCATAAGAGAATCTCTGGAATCAACGGTCATTGGGGTTGTGTTGGTCGAAGGTGCATTATTAGTCCATTCATCTTCTGTTGATTCATCTTCAGTAACTATTGAAGTAGTAGAAGTGAAATTCAAATTGGTAGATGGGGGAAAGTACATTGATTGTCTTTTCAATGATTTATTTGAAGTTCCATTTAAGTTTGGAGCAGACAGTCTGGTTCTTAATGTTTTGCTTCGAACTGGGACTATGTTCTCTTTCTCTTCTTGATCAACCACCACGATAGAAGTATGTTTTTGGTAATGCGATTTCGTCAGCAGTTTCAGTTTCAGTTGCAGTTGCTGCAGACGACCCATCAACCTATCGTTATATTGCTGGTTGAGGTTATTTGTTGATACCGAGGAACTAAGGGGACGTGTAGATTTTCTCCTCAAAGAGTTAAGAAACGATTCCTTCCGTGAAGAAGAAGAAGATGACGATGGGATGGAAGTAGGTGTCGATGTAACAGTAGTTGTAGAGACCCGGGGATTAGAGGTCAACTTATCATTCAAGCTTGAATATATACTTGAAGATCTGAACATTTATGATGATTTTCTTTATGTAATAACGAATGAGGGAAAGACTGTAGGATATTTATATACTATATTATTATACTTTTAATATAACAAGATTATGATAACGAGAATGTAAGATGTGAGGTAACTTTAATTATTCCTTAGTCAAAGGACCCTGATTGTAATATATAACTTTGCTGGTGCTTCAATCCGAATAGAACTCAGTGCTATTGTTGTCAGATGCCTGACGTGCAGCGGCTCAATAAGGAAAAGCAAAACAGTGGGTCTGTACTCGGAAAAGAGATGTTGAGATGGACTAAACAAAGAATACAAACACCAATTCTCAAAGCCTTTAATCTACAGGAGTACGCCAATCCTGACCAAAGAAAGAAAACTGCTTTGAAAGTAGTGAGAAATTCCCAAATTTGACAAAGGAAACTGTATGTTAATTCAATTTAAGAAGTCTAAAACGTAAAGCTACTTTTGTTGAATGGAATTACTAATACAAGGAGGCTTCTTAAGTTGCTCTTGTAGTTTACAATTGCTGTCTTTGAATTGCTGAACATGAGTGTTCTTTGACACCATTAAGTTGTAGTTGATGATGATGAGGATGAAGGTGATGAAGAAAAATTGATGAGATGTTCAATCAGTGGTGTTACCCAATATTCTTGTATGGTGTGGGTGTCTTCATAATATCTTATTCAAACAAGATTCCATTATATATACGTGGTACCATTTGTGTCATTCTTGCAGAAAGTTAACTTTTTGCTGGGTTCTAGACATTGCTAGGAAAATGAACTAGATCAAGCTTTAAGTATCAGACCCTTAAAGTACCAGACCGTTTAGCCTGATACACCCTTTAAGAACTGCATTAGTAGAATCATGGTCTGTCGTCATAATACTTACATCTATTCTGTATCGTTTCAATTAAAGGGTAGAATAAGAATGCCTCTCATAATACCGATTATCCTTTGTGTTGTACTTCGGTCTCCAAAAATGGACTGATCTATTCACAAACTATTTACAAGTAGGATCAACCTTTTTTTATTCTAAATAAAGAAAGTGACCCCTGAGAGAAGGAATATAAAACCGTGTCTCCACCCCCTTCGTATACCTTTTGAAAACGCGACTGGCCCCAAAGAATCACAAAGCCTACGTGCACAAGATCCTTTTTCGTTTCCTTCACTCTAGCCAGTATTGGAACCGATTACCCCAAGATACCTCGCTATTAGGCGAGTAATCAATCCCTGTTTCAACTGTGACGGCAGCAAATTCGTCTTCGTCTGCTGGTCTTGGGAGCGGCGTAATAAGCTTCAGTGAAAAGGGCTTCTCAGGAGAATATGTCTTCAATTCTGCAATACTACGTTCACTCCATTTCTCCTTTTTGAGTGGTGAGCCATTCTTGTCTCGTCCCGCTAATGTTTTCCTCGTGTAAGACACCAATGGTTCACGAATACATATATCCTGTTCAGATATACATTCGGGAATGTAAACGGTGATCAAATGATTACTACTTTTTCTTCCTGTAGGGGTCAAGGTAATGTGACCGAAATCCTTCAACACCAAATCAATTTCACCAAAAAATGGTGGGACATACAACTTTTTAAGCTTAAGTCCTGAAACCGTAAAATAATTCTCCAATTCCGGAGATGGTCGTTTATAAACCTGCATGGCCTTAGACATGTCCCGGAATACGTGGTGGGGGAAGTTTATACAATTCTTAAACCGAATCACAGTATCATTGGGGATTTTAACAAAGAAGAGCCCACCCACTGTCAATACTTGGTTTGACTTCATGGAGTAATACCGTGCATCGTACGTTCCACTCTTAAAAATATCAACACCTTTACTGAGACGTTTTAAGTCTGTCGGTATCATGTGCTCGTATATTCCTGTTCCAGACACATTTGAAAATCCTGGAACGTCATAAACAGGTTTACTATCAAATTCATATTCTATGAAACCTCTTGTAAACCCAGGCATGTGAGAAGTTCCACTCCCATTCTTTAATTTGAATAACTCTGCCTGCTTCCTCTTTTCTCGTATTTGCCGATAGTAGCCTGCTCCATCTTCCTTTTGAATTTGAAGCTTTTCTCTCTTATTATAAAGCTGTAATTCTTTTGCAACTTTTTTCTCTTCATTTAAATACAACAATGCGTTTAATATTGTTGATTTCCCACTGTTAACATTCCCAATGAAATAACTATTGAAGTCAAGAAATTCTCCTAATTGCTTGATATTCCATCCCTTTTTGCCACTAACTACAAGAAGATTGTCAATACCGTGCTTCCTTTTGAAGTAGTTGGAAAAAAATGTTTGCCCATACCTATTGGCCAATTCTTTAGACTGGAATAACAAATCAGCTTTATTGATGATAATCCGAACCTTGTTGTGAGGCCTGTATTTGAATACTTCCTCATTAACTCCTAGAGGGAAGTCAACACAATTAATTACATACACAAGTGTTCCATTCACAGGTATAGTGCTCAACACTCGGGTAACAGATTCGATTGGATGTTCTTTCAAATTGAAATCACTATTAAAATTTGCCTTACGACATCGGAGACATTCAACTTTATCTTTAATGGAAGAAGTAGCAGGAGTACTAGTAGTTTTTGCCTTTGGCACTTCTTCAACTGGTTTGATATCTGACAGAAACCCTAAAAGTTCTTTATCCTCTTGAGACAAATTATTCATATACTTTTCATATACAGCATCCTCCGGTCTATTTAAAACAGGTTTAGTAAAAGTTCCAGGAAGAATATAGTAGCCTGGTTCTGAGGGCTTAGTATTTTGTAGTTGGATTCCACAAGATCTACAATGAGGAAATACTTTCGCCATCAAACTTGGTAGTAACGAAGACACGGTCTCATTAGCCGATGCAACATATCTTCTATGAAATCTTTGTATACACCATGCTCTCGTCCAGGATCGCATCGTATTGGGATGGGTAAAAGTGTAAGCCTTACAGCTTAGATAGTCCTAACCTAAAATTTTAAATTGGGATGGGATCGATAATGTTTTCGGTCAATAGTCACATGACATTTTACCAAGTCGGAATAAAGAAACGGGGTCATTTGTATCAGTGAACTCACTAACAGCAAGCTTGAACGTTTCACATAGAAAAAGGCAATAAGCCTAGAGTTTAGATGCCAATGACCGAATGTAATCTCCTTGTTGGTAACTATAAAGCAAAGAGACAAATCATTATCGAGACTCAAATCATTCCTTACAAGTAAAATCTGGATCGCTTCTGATTGCAATGTTGGTTGCCAGTAAATATGTGGTCTGGTTTAAATGTAATATTTGTTAGACGAGTGACATGAAAAACCTGTGGTGCTGGTTATATGCTGCAAGTAGGGCAACTCAAAGGGATGAACCATCTACTTTGAGCATTCCCCAACTCCAGTGCGAAGTGGGGAATATGCGTATTATCAGATCTTCATAGGAGGAGGGACTAACAAATCACAGGCTACAAAACCTAAATCCAATACAAGAACACAGAGTCCGAAAAAATATGCTAACTCCGAAAAAGGAACCACACTTTCAATTTCTTACCGAAACTAATGGGATCCTTGATGATACGAAGTCTACGATCCTTAGAGGCTATGCTATTTTTTTGTGCAGAGCCACTAGTGAAGAAAATCGTATTACCATTACTGTTGAACCTTCTAAGATAGTTTCAGACCATGGAAAAAGACCCAGTGATCTAGCTTACATGAGTTGAGACTTACATGTGAAATACGTAAGTCAAGGGAAGAAATACCAACTTGGTGATATTGGAGTGAAATTTCCATATAAAGTAAAATGCGAAAGAGTGTAACTAAGTGGTATGGTGTTTAAGAGAAATTCATGGCTATGCGCAAGTGAGGTGTTCCATTCTTGCAAATCTATTTTATAAGACAAGGCCATGCAATGAAAGTTTAAAAGGTAAGGCACGCAACAATTGTGGACCTTATCTTAAACAGATGGGAGGCTTTTCAATTGTCTTGTGATTGTTTGCATCGCAATCGGTCAAACTTATATACGTACGCTATTGTAACACACATAAATTTACTGTGCCATTCTGAAGAGAGTGTGAACCCTATTGAGTGTTCAAATCATGGTCATGAACCAAGTCAAATATGCGTGTCAAAAATATTTTTCTACTCAATTTTTATGGTTCTATTATATTAGTGAGTGGCCGGGAGATGAGGGTAAGTGTTTATCAAGTTAACAATTGTTCAATGAGAGCAGCCCATTTTTTTTTGAATAACTCCGATTACCCTTCGTGGCTTTGAATTCTTAGACAATCCTTGCTTATTTCGGTGCTTGTTCCAGTGCACTATAGGAAACCTACGCAGCACACATCTACTTCTCGCCGAGATTCTGTGAGAATACAATACTGGATCCGTATAGGGGCACCTTAATGGAAAAAGTTGCATTACAGAGCATGCATCGCATACTAACATGTATATATGCATTATTCGGCAAGGCGATAAATCTACCGTATTCAATTTGAAATTGATGATAACCGGTTTAGCTCGTGAATCTTCAACTCGATTCATGGCAACCATGGCAATTTGGGGATAGCATCTTTAAGAACATCGATACCCTTTGAATTGCTCGTAGCACTTAGCCACCAAGATATACCAGATATTCTTTTACAATAGGATATATTCTCCTGCAGTCTAGTGAAAAAGAAATTCAAATTCAGGCACACGCAGACACAGCTATTTTTAAGAGACGAAGGCTCGACGCAAAGGTAACAATTATTTTCTAAACTAGATCACGAATATGCATTAACTTTATTCGACGCTTTACTATGCAACCTTATATTTTTTTCATGCCTGAAACTCAAGCTTGTCTCAAGATGAATATAATGCGACATTTAATAGGTTGCACGTGTTACCGCCGGACAGGTTATTATGAAATTACAACAACTGGACTCAACGTTGGTGAAGTAGTACTCTGTTAAAGGGGTAATATAAACAGGGCTACACAAATTAAGCGGGACAGGAGGGCACCCTGCCCCACCATGAAATAATATACGATTGTAGTCGCGAATAGGCTACTACCGTGTTGCTATTGAAGTTTGAGTAAGCTACAAATAAGATCTAGGTTGTTTGTTTCCATTCCCACATAACACATATTTTCAACAATAAGAGCCGAATGGTGGCTTCACATCTTTCGTAAATGTGATGATATTTTATAAGCAAGACATTGACAATGCTAGTTTTTACTGAGTGAAGCAGCGATCGCTTGAATTCTTGCAAAATACCAAGGTAAAGTTTGTAGTGAGTCCATCTCTTATCTCCGATTGTAGCGATAATTATTAAGGTAAAATGGAGTAGATCATATACGTAGAAGGCAGCAAGCCCCCCTTTTATGGTTCTCATGGTCATGAAATGGCCACTCAATTTATCTTTCAAGTTCGCCCATTCATAAAGCCCAAGAATGATTTTTTATAGCCCACAGTTCCCTGCGATCCGCATCGATACACACACACATATGCAGATGTACTGACATTCTCATATACGCCATGCTACAAAGCCCCCATTTCGCAACGAGCCGTATATTGAAAATGAGACACATTAATAAATTTTTTATAGAACCTAACAGGTAAACTATTGTAACATATTAATGAAGGTTAAAGAGCACTAGGAAAAGCAAAATATGCAGAACATCCCAAAGAGCTGCAGCAAAATGTAAGTGAACCACAATTTGCGCAATTATGCATTGCGGAAGTGCAACTATTGTTCCCGCCCCACACTTGCCTTCTTAGGCCCATCCCAAAAACTTCAATTCCGAAAGAGAAAAAAAAGTGCACCCATACAAACAACTTTGATTTAGCAGCTTAGCATTGCCTGTAGTGGATCTTGCTGAACAAGAAACACAAACTAGTCTAACAGCTTTCAAACACCTAGAATAATACAATCACAATAAAGGGGTGCATACAACTTAAAAAATATTGGGTACCTACTGAATAATAAAGGCAGAATGACATTTTGTTTTCGGTTATGCCCATTATTGGGTGTTTCAAAGTATCCATACAAAAGCCAACATTTTGACCACAAGAATCGAGAACAAGAACTTTTGTTAGAAGAAGTTAGTGACGACGGCAATAACGCCTATTGTTACAATCTCCTTGCAGTGCATGTGTAAATAGCCTTCATCCTGGCTTTTCCCCACACAAATTAAATAACCTAACAACAGACATGCAACTTATTTTTTCTCAGTTGTAAACAAAACCTTATGATGCACTACATCTACGTTGCAATAGTTCATCTGCATCTGCAGATGAGGTAAAAAATTCTATTTCGGAACAATGCTCGACCTTACTACCGGCTTTAAACCTAAATGGTACAGATAAAAAGGCACTTTACGTCAGAGCAATGTACGTACTCGATGTCATAAAAATTGTTCAACAATAACCATTATGAGAGTTTCATTACAAATAATAGGGCGAATGGTTATAACAGTTATCTTTGAATGATTTGCTAATAGTGGCCTTATTTGGGTGAATAACCAGGTACCTATTACAAGGGTCAGATGATAATTAAATATAGATGTAGTCAAGAAGTGACTGGTCTTTTCCTCAAATATAGCGCGAATCAAGCAGATATTATTATACACAAACCAATGACATCATGAGTGACATAAAAATTGCTTTGGTTGTCGGATGAAGCTTATAATATTCTTCGTATGTAAGATTCTCAAGTGCATGTTCGCTTTACATATGAAGTCACTGTCACTTAGAATCCATTCTATTAACTTGGATTTAGTAATGTTTGTATTTTAGCTATTTAGAGTTTTCACTTTAAGTGGCGCATTCTCCTGTTCCTGCTGATTGACATTAAGACGCGGTCATGGACCCTGAGAAATCCCTTGATCAACCACTGCTCTCGATTAAACAATTGTTGAAACCACCTTTAACCTCCTTTAAGCCTAACCCCGCTGTAAAGTTGGGTTGTAGTATGTGGTCATTTTGTTTCAGTAATGCCATCTCAGTGTTAGTTTTTGATACTCATATCCTGAACACTAAAAGAGTACTAAAGTTAGTGAAGGATGAGATATGTACAACTATGTATTGTGTGACATTACGCCGGAGGTTTTTATGCATGTTTACAGTTACAGCCGAGAAGCATAATAAGGCCGTTCCCCTTTTTCAATTTGACTGATGTAGTGCACCTTTAGTGTCATGCCATGTTATTACCTCCACCACACAGATTAATCTAATTGTGCAGCACTCAACATACTTCTGAACAGGACATCTTTAAATACAACAACCAGTAGTATGAAAATTGGCCACTTTTTTAGTCGTCTGTTTTTAAACCTTTTTGGGTCGACCCAAAGAGGTTTATGTTTTTTTCGTTTGGTAATATTGTTGCTTTAACGGTTAAAAAAAAGCCACCAAGCTTTATAACAAACAACCACTTGGTTATATATGCTCGTTTGTTAGTTTGCTTCTCATTTAGGATATGTGCACCAGTAAAGCAGATGACGGTAGTATTATTCCCAAACTGTGTCAAAGTTCTTTGTTCCGAACAAATCAAAATTTATCGTAGTGCAAAGGGGCTAACCCTAAAAAATATATTTCTGAAAATAGTAAATCAGCACACAGCATTGAGAAACGAACCCTGGCGCTCTTGCATCAATACGATCGACTTTTGCCCCTGACTGACAACCTCCTTGACCTTTTCCAAGGAAAAAAAGACAACACTCGCATGCGCACGCATCGAAGTGCAAGTGCTTGCTTCTGACAGCAGTAAATGGCAATTTCACGTCAGATCTTCAATGAAAGTGCATTTGCGTTATCTTCAATATAGCCGCAGCCGAATGTAAAATCCTTCGTTCACAATCACAAGTTACCATATGCGTCACATTTGAAAACATGCAGATACATGTGTCAAAAATTTCTGCCTTCCATGTAAGTAGGTAAACTCAGAAACAGATTTACTAGTATCCTCTGGTTGATTAAGAGTATAAATGTGGGCTTTGAGATGTTTCAATTGTTAAAGACGACGCACAGTGGGTGTGTTTGCAGAAACGAGCAAACAATTTGGTGTTGATAAGTGAAATTTATATTTCGAGCGCAAGTTTATTGTTTGCATGGTTTAGTGAGTTATTATGAGTTGACTTGTGGAAATTTCGTAAGGTCATATTAGGTCTTTGCGCGCGTGGTATTGCTGGTGGATGTGATGTTGTTGTCTCTCATTTTTATGTCTATTTTTATTTCTCGTTTTGGGACACTAGATTTTGTATTACAATACTTTAAGTAATTAGTTTTTTTATTTTATTTTATTTTATTTTATTTTTACTTTATTTTTTATTTTTTTCTGTTTCGATTTCGTTTCCAAAAGAATTTCTCACCTGGTCTAATGCATTGCTCTGCACAGCGGCTACTGTAATAAGCATTCTAGTTTATAATTTGGGCGAAATAAACGATACAACAATTTGGTGTTGGTCGATGATATGATAATGCCGATTTTTCCAGGCATCGGTATACAATTTTTCTAAGCCAAGTATTACGACAGTTTTCCCGAGATATACTGAGGTATTGGTTTAATTCACGGAAGAGCCAAGATTCACAAGTTGTTTAGCCTCATTAACGTGAGCCTCAGATAGGCAATATTTTGTCTGAGTTTATATCTAATTGAAGTAGTGTGGAAATCTCAGCTTAAATCCCCAATCACAAGTCCAACAAAATGCAGGATGTGTGCCTAACAATAATCAAAAAATAAATATTTAAAGGGCTAATCAAAACAATTATAGAAGACCTTATTCAATATTCACAACCGCCCTTATGTTTGGAATGTTCATAATTAACGCGATGCAGGTATGGCAATCAGTCACTGCCAATTTAAGCGTTTATGATCTAATTTCCCTTGTTTGGGTAATTGAATCCTCGCAAAAATGTGTTGGCGGTTAAATCTTGATTTGGGAACGAATACGCTCAACTACGGTTCAACTACGGCTAAGATTTGAAAGCAGAGTGGCTAAGTACTGTTGTTAAAAAAGAGAGTAGTAGAAAAAGAGACGTCCCGAAAAAAATGGCCAAACCATGTAGAGGCTGTTTGATGCACAAATGAAACTGCCAGTAATTATAGTTCGAAGAAACTGGATGCCTTAAAAAATCCTCCCCAAACGTCCATTTAATATTTATTATTATTATTAGGAGGTTATTGTAGCCCTGTGTTGATAAACATTATTTCGTGGTTTCCTTTTCGATGTGCATATGTTGACCGGCTTTTAATGTTAGCAGAAAACATAGGAGAATAAACCTGATCCCCTTGTAAATGTGGGAGTGCGTCTACGCCTACATATTTCAAACCTAATTAGTAAAACTAATCACCACTTCAACTTCAAGGTACACACAAGCGAGTCTGTTCCAAGGGGAAAAATCTTTCCTATGTTGGAGTCTGCACCCATTCATCTTTCATCTTCAGCCATTAGGTGTTGTGTAGGGAGTGAAAAAAACAAGCTTCTGGGTTGCAATATAGAGTAGGCTGGTGTTGTACACAATATGGGGTTTAGAAACCTGTTTACGTAAAAGTCTGTTACAGTTCATGGAAACGGAAATTCAACGCACTGCGATTCCAAAAATTATGCTATCTTCTTCGACATATGATCCCTGCTTCAAGAGACATTTGATAACTTTTGATTACCTGGCCAAGAATGTGTGCTAATAAATGGCATAAGTGATGAAGCAAAAGAAAAATGACATACCCTGCTGCATTCTGCATAATTATTTTTTATAGTTCATCGTCTACATGTTGGTTGGTCTATGCAATTTATTATAGAACGGTGGTGTATGACAGAAGACTAATTGGACTTAAACGTTGATCGAAAAATATTGTTATCTGTAAGTGAGCCTGGAATTCTTTCCATGATGGTGTAAAGCAACAAAGGCTCATAGTAAGGTGTCGGTGGCTATGGTAAAAAAACTGCAGTAACGTTTGGTGTGTGATTACGTAAGAAACACTTAGAAGAAAAAATAACTTAGAGTAAATAATTCTCTTTACAAAGAAAGAAGGAGATAAAGATATCGAAAGAATCGTAAATAGTTACCTCTTTTATGGGATTTCTCTCTTCCTAATTGAATTCCCTAGAGGAATAGAATAGAATAAAATTGAATAGGTATGCGTTGCTAGCGCCGCTGATTAATGTTCAGTAAATTTCCAAAAAGGCACAGTTATGCGCGAAGTTTTTGTCCTAAGTAGAATAGCATAACATGGAATAAATGTGAGAAAAAAAGTATGTGTATTTGCATCATGCATTTATTGTACAGATGCAATTCATTTCTTTTGTACTTGCATTTGCTTGTTTGTTCATGCATTACATAGTGCATAGTGCATTGTACAAAGCTTTGCATATAGTGTGAAAGCATATCCACAATCGATGCAGCATTTACCTTGGGAGGTACGGGGCAATCTATTATTAACTTGTTTGACTTGTTTTGTTATTATTTAATTGTTGTTTTAGAATGCTGCAGTGGATGCAAAAAAGCCCATTTAGATGACAATGCAAGTGTCCATATTATTTCCATTGTTCGTTTTATTATTTCGCATGTAGAAAATGGTGCGTAACAACTTCCATGGGAAGCAAAATGTTAACTACCTGGAACGGATCCCTTGCTTCTACTTCTCAAAGATAACAACCAAAAGTTTGTTGACACTTTCTTATAATCATTTACTCTTCTTTTCTTTCTTCGTTCTTATCCCGTCTTTAATTTACTTTATTTAGATCCTCATCGTTAACAGTTAACGATTTGCAATCAATCAATTTAAATCCGTTACGTTTATTTTATTGAATGAAATAAGTGTCCGTCCCTTTAATAAAAACTTACATATAAAAGATAATAATAGTTGACTATGTCGAAACGTTCCATCGGTGGTGGATCTCCAGTGGCTGTTAAGCGCCAACATCATGATCTGTATGAAACATCATCTTCATCCAATTCAGATTATAATTCTGAAGCAGTAGAAACTTGGATTGCCTGTGGTAAATGTGCCACTACTTTGGGATTATATGTGTTGGCTATAAGAGCGTTTGAAAGCGCCGCCCAACATAATCCTGGCAGTGTTGATGCATTAGTTGGATTCTCCCAATCGTTACGGTTTAATGATATCCATGTGAATGAAACCTTGGGTCTGCAAGCTGCCATAGAGAAGTTGAACCGTGCCATAGAATCTATTCCCTCCCTTTTGAAACGATTTGAAATCTTCCAAGAGTTGGCTGAATGTTATTTGTTAGTTGGTTTCAACGAACAAGCTCATCAGGCCATTCAAGCAGCAATTCAATTGAATGGTAGTAATCCATCGCTATGGCTTCTTTCAGCTCAAACGTTAATAAGAGCAGGTGCAAGACAACATGCAGCAAATGCTCTTAATAAATGTTTATCCCTTTTACCCGAACAGTTGATATCTCCTGTTAAAGAAGAATTTGGTGGTCAAAACGACCCCAATCAAAATGTCGAAATCGCCAGAAGAGCCCATGCGGAATTGGCAGCTATCGCAGCAGCTGATGGGAACATTGAGTTATCAATAAAAGAGTTGACCCTGACATTATCCTTACCTCCACCTCCATTATCTCGAATAGATGAACATATTGCATTATGGTGTGCTCTTGTCACTGCCAAAGAAAGAGACGGTGATATCCCCGGGGCCTTACAAGCTTGTGAACAAGCAGAGGTCGCAGTTGGGGAATCACCAAGAATATTATTACTCTATGCATATTTATTATTGTTGACTAGCGAGGAACAAACAAAGAAGAGTCAAAGAACCCCAGTTGAAGAACCAATATATAGAGCAATCTCATTGTTGGAGAATGTTATTGACTTGGAAAGAGATCCTAAGAATCCAGCAGCCCAACCACCTTCTAGTGACGGTGACTTTTTACCTTGGTATTTGATGGGTAAAGCATATTCCCTTTTGGATAATCCAAGAGCAGCATATGATTCTTATCAAGTTGCCTTAAGAAGGGCTTCCAGCTCACCAATTACCTGGTTATCAGTAGGGAGATTGTATTTACAGTTGAATCAATTGTCCGATGCCCTTGATGCTTATTCCCAAGCTCTTCGTGTTCAAATCGACGAAAACTCAACTGGAACAGCAACTGCTTGGGATGGTCTTTCTTGTGTCTATGAAAGATGTGACGACCAATTGATGGATGCAGCAGATGCTTGTGCCAGATCAGCATTATGTTACAGAAATATTGGTGATGTTAAGAATGCTCAATACTTTGATGATAGATCTAAGATTTTAACCAAAGCTTCCAAGAAAGAAGGACCAGTTCCTCCATTAAGAGACCCACCAGATGTTCCACCATTCTTTTTACGTGATTTGGTTGCTTTGTTACCGTCAGAGAGAATAGCATTTGTTCAAGGTTCTCAACTCCGTCAACAGCAAATCCAACAACAGTTACTGCTGCAACTCCAGCAACAATCTTCACCATCTCAAAGTCAAATCCAACCACAACATGTTCAAAAGGCTTCACCAGGACAATCACAAGCACAGGAAGTAGTTCAACAACCCGGTCAACAACACAGCACTCCACAAGTTCCGGCAGAAGCGAAAGTTGTTACTGCTGCTCCACTACCAGGATCATCTGGGGGTGGTGCTGCTACTCAACAGCAATTCCATCCTCCAGGCATTCAACCACAGCCAACACCAATCCATGCTGCTCAACAACCTCAACAACAACCACAACAATGGTCTCCACTGCAACCAGGTCCTGCTCCACAGCCCACCCAACAGCAACCTTCACAACAACAACCTCAACAACAACCTCAACAGCAACCTCAACAACAACCTCCCTTCCCCCAATACTATTATCAACCGGTACCCGGTGCTCAATTCTCTCCACAAGTTACTGGAGCTCAGCATAATGGTGGTCAAATACCCCAGATTCCTCCAGTGCCGCAAGGGCCACCAATGGGACAACCTATGCCTAATGGAGCTCCAATGTACCAACAGCCACACCAAGGAGGGCAACAAAGATCACCATTGGTTCACCAGTTGATTCCAAATGGGTATCCTTATCCGCAACAAACACAAGCTCAACAATTTTTCCCTGGAGCACCACCAATGTTGCCTCATGGTTATAGTTATGCCAGTCAATGTGGAATCCCCATCGGACTTCCATCTCATCCTCAACAGCCAGGACAAGAAGCTTCTGCCATTGCCAATGGGAATGCAGTTTCCAGTGCTACTCCACAACCTCCATTCCCCCAACACGCACCTTACGCTCCTTTAGTTAACACTTGGAGGTGAACAGTTCAAGATATGACATGAAGCCGGTTCTTCCATTTGACATTTGTATATTAGTTTTTAGTCTATAACATTATCTACGCATGCAACAAATCAAGTACATCTTCCCATGTTCCTTCGTATATACATTTCTGGTTAGCAACAGCCGTGGATAAAGGAAGCACTCTTAATCCCAAGTCCAATGCCTTGCCCAAGCCTCGGCCCGTAGGGACCATCACTGGTACCTGAGTCTCTAGCATTGCTAGCAAATCAGTCAGAGAATCTCCAACGTACCAAATGTCTTCTTTGGCGATGTTGTGCTCTTTCATTAACCTTTGGACCCAACGACGTTTGTCAAAAGCCGTTCTTATCTCCCATCGAGGGTCCCATGACCCCGTCAACCGATCTTTGGCAGTGTTGGTTTGTAACCTGTTGACAATGACTTTCAGCACTGGGATCTTGTGTTTCCTAAGAGTGTTGTAGATGATTAACTCCGTCCAATTGATACTTAAGATAACCAAGGGGATGCTCATTGCAGCTGCTTCAAGTGCAACAGCTTTGAACCCCTGGTCAATGTCAACTGTGACGCCATTGAACGACTTAACAGGCACATCTTTGAAGAGACCATCGGTTTCAATGGCTTTAACGCTGCTTACCTCCACCTGGTGGAAGTGTCGTTGGAACTCCTCCTCTGATTCCAAATCTACAGTAGGGTATTGGTTCCCTTTGCTTCTCCAATCTGAAACATATGCCTTATACAGTTGTGTATAGACGTTTACGTAATGGTCGAACGGCTTTGGGTACTCGGGTTTTGCCGTGTAGGCCACTTGGGCTACCGTCGCAATGGTGTCACGTACCGTCACTGTTTCATCCCAGTCGCTGATGATCAACTTGGGAATAGTGACAGGTCGCATTGATCTGCTTATCAGACGTATCATATAAAGGGAGCTCCCAGTACAATAAAAAGCACACAATACAATGGTCGATTTGTTCTTTATTACTTTAAGATTCTATTTCACGTAAAATGTCAAAATACTGCATATAAGAAGTGCCGTACGTTCGATGGTCATCTGCATATAACCAGACCCACCAACCCATCCCCCTGAATTAAATCAGTGATGGATAAGAATCAAGCAAACTTCTTCCACTGCTTCTTCTTCTTCTTCTTTGCATACTGCTGCAGCGAAACAATATTGTTACTAATATGAATAAGGAATTTGGCGAATTAGGAAATCTCTTGACTTCAAGTGTCAACACCGACAATGAGAAGGACAAGCAAACCGTTGAGAGTTTCCTTTTGAAGTCTTACGGTAAATTTGGCTCCAAGTACGAGAGTGCTGAAGGTAAGGATAAGGAAGAACTTAAGAAAGTAATTTTGGGTAAGTTTGAGACTTATAAGAAGGAAGCATAACTAGTGTATATAATTTAATACCAATTGAATTGAAATGAATGTGATCTGACATCATTATGGTGTTCCGTAAAATTACCCTTTTGGGTAGTCAATAGAAGAGAGCAAACTATCATTATCTATCATTATATATAAACGGGTACCAGGCCAATTGTACTCGCATCTACGTATCTCTTTCACTCTCATTAACTCACCACATTTGTATCTAATTATGTCTGAAGAAGAAAAGGCCAAGGTACTTGGGGTAACCCCTGAACAAACCCACCAGTTCCTTGATATCATTAACAGAGCATTCAATCCAAACCACAGTGAAAAAACCCAAAATACCATCAAAAGTATTTTTGATTACATTCAAGATGCGGTCTACAAAATGGAGAAGACAGACGATAGAGACAAAACTTCAAAGGAGATAGTGGAGGATTTGGGTAATAAGTTTAAGGCTTGGGCCGATGGAGTTAAGAAAAGAGAAGAGCAAAGAAAGCTTGAAACAGAGGGAAAAAAGGAATAAATAAGAATATGTATGGAATACAACAACATGTATGAAATATAACAATAATAATATAATTATGCCTAAATGTGATTAGTATGTGCAAATACTGGTTTCAATGAACTCTATGATCTTTTTATATCACGTGACTTAATGATCACGTGACATGCATTCTCTAATATTTTGATTCTTCAACTAAAGTAAGACACATAAACATAATCAGTCTTTACCATGAAGTTCTCCACAATAGTAGCCGCTGTTTTTACAGCTGTTGCTTGCGTTGATTGCCGTGTGACACCTGAAACAAACAATCAGGTCCTATTACAGTTTGATACAGGATTGAAGGATTACATTGTGGACGACAAGTACTCTTTATTGCAATTACATAAGTCACTCGTGGACATCTCCTCGGTTAGTTTCAATGAAACTGAGGTAGCCAAATATTTGGAACAATATTTAACTGATGCTGGACTTACGGTAGAGTTGCAGCTGGTGGAAGAACCAGCATATAACCTCAAGAACAAGAGATACAATGTCTATGCTTACTTAGGTGACAGAAGGGATACTAAAGTTGTGATGACCAGCCATATCGATACCGTGCCTCCTTTCTTTCCGTATCGTGTTGAGGGGTCAAAGATATATGGCAGAGGAACGAACGATGCCAAAGGGTCAGTGGCTACACAGGTGATTACATTCCTAGACTTGGTTTCCAAAAAGATGATTAATGAAGGAGATGTTTCACTCCTATTCGTTGTTGGAGAAGAAGTCAATGGCGGTGGTATGAAATATGCCAGTGACCATTTGAATGCTAATTGGTCAATTGGTATTTTCGGTGAACCTACTGAGCTAAAGCTTGGAGTGGGTCACAAAGGTATCTACATATTTGAGTTGTTTGCAGAAGGTAAAGCTGCTCATAGTGGATACCCTCAACTAGGAGTTTCAGCTACTGAGTTTCTAGTTCCCTTATTGAATGATATTCTTCAATTACAACTTCCTCATTCTACTTTATTGGGACCTTCTACCATTAATATTGGAAGAATCGAAGCTGGCGTTGCTGCAAATGTCATTCCAGCCAAGGGGTTCGCTCAAGTATCCATCAGAGTAGCAACAGATTATGATAAGGTTGTTGAATCAGTTAAAGAGCTTGTAAAAGATCGTCAACACATAACTTTCAAAGAATATCAAGGAGTTAGACCACAATATTTGGATTACAAGGTTCCTGGGTTCGATTCAATAATATTGGCATACAGTACAGACGTTCCTAATCTCACATTACCATTAAGCCATAGGTTTCTATATGGTCCAGGGTCAATATTTGTTGCTCATGGAGATCACGAATACGTCGAGAACCAAGATCTTCTTGATGCCATTGATGGTTACACCAGGCTAATTGACCACGCATTGCATTTGGACTAATGATGATGATGGTGATGTATACAATCTCTATATCCATTATGAGTGTAGGAAATTTTCAATAACGGACTCAAACTTTATGTATATTAGTTTCTCTAGCTGGTTGCTTCACGTTGAAGTTTTCGGAAATCAACAACGATAAAAGTGACAGAAGAACCGAAGTACTACCATCGCACACATTTCAGCAAATATTTTACATTATTTATGATTAGTACTTTTGTATTAACTATTTACGTTGAAGAAAGAAAGAAGTAAAGGAAAATATTTTATTGCGTATATACTTCTTTCTCATTTACTTAAATGGAAATTCACGTGTTACCCGCAACTTGCGCACCCATAGTAAATAATTGAAGAGATGAGATCAAGCAGTTAACTTCATTAGTGGACTAAAGCACACCAATAAGCATGTCTGAAAAGGTTCCAGCATGGAAGAAGCTCGGACTTAAGGTCCAGGAGGCACTCAGCGAGGATCCTCTTGCATTAACAACACACTTAGGTGGAGATAAGCTCACCAAGAAGGAAAGCAAGGCTCTTCGCAAACAACAAGTGAAGAGAAGCCATCCTGAAGGAGGAGACGAAGATGGAAAGAAGAATAAGAGTGTTAAGAGGGTCAAGTTACGGAAGAACGAAAGACCCCCGCCTCCGGTGAAAGACCAATTGACATACTTGAAACAATATAGTGAGGATCGGGAGAATTGGAAGTTCAGTAAGCAGAAACAGAATTGGATCTTGAAGAATATAAGGATGGTACCCCAAGATTACGAGAAGGCATTGTACAGTTATTTGGAGGGGTTACAGGGAGGAAGCCGGAAGTGGGTTGTTGAAGACATGAAGAAAGTGGTGGAGAGATGGAATGTTATTGCTGCAGAAGCTGAACGGAAAGTGCAAGAGAAGCTTCTCCAAGGCAGTGGATCTAAGAAAGAAGAGGAGGAAGAGGGAGAGGGAGATAAGGAAGGAGATAAGAAGAATTCCAAAGCAATGCCCGCCCCCAAAGTATCACCGAAGGAAGAAGATCCAGATTACGACTATGCTGTTAGATGTAGAGAGATTGTTCATATACTTGAAGGTGAGAAGATAGTGCTTAAGGGAGTTGATTCAATTACAGAGACAGTCACGGAAAAGTTTGAAGAAACAGATAGCGTTACAGAGACCATCACAGAGACAGAGACCATCTCAGAGAATGCTACAGAGACAGCAGTCCCATCTAATTTGATAGTTGATCATGTTGATATTGAAGGTGTGCGACTGAAGACCAAGAAGGAGAAGAAGGAGAAGAAGGAGAAGAAGGAGAAGAAGGAGAAGAAGGAAAAGAAGGAGAAAAAGGAGAAGAAACACAAGCCAGAGTAAATAGTGTAAACATGTAATATAGAACATATTGGACTGACACTTGAGCGTACTTACCCTAACATATCATAACGTGTGTTACAGCACGTAACCTAATACAGTTTGTATTATTTATGTACTACGCATATATGATGTGCCAGTTGAATGCACATGCTATGCATAGTATGCATAGCATGTACGTATGTAAACATGTACGAACCGATAGCATGTACACATATATACGCACACATATCTACTCTGTAATTTGTGCGACTGATCACCACACTTCTTTATCAACCATGTCGTATTCACTCAAACAATTGAAGGATAGAGCCCTTGATGTAGACCCGGACATCAGGTACATGGCCATAGAGGATCTTCGGAAGGCTTTAGACGATACGTCGACCAATGTTGATCCTTCGGCCTTATTGCTGTTTATACCTATCTTATTGGATATGCTCAAAGACGAGAATCCCGATGTCAAGGGCAAAGCCATCCAGGTCTTTGAGCCCATAGCAAGGAACTTGAGTGGCGACAAGCAAGTTTCACTTATAGGTGATTTGTTTGATTTGGTCAATAAGGAAGTAGAAGCCGGCAATGACTCCGACACGCTTACCATTTCAGTGCCCACGTTGGGGTTAAGATCCATCTTCAACGGTAACATATCGTTTACCAAACCTGTATCGAAGCAGATCATTGATATCATCTCTCAAGGGATTCATAGTCGGTCAATGAACATCGACTATGCTGAGATCTTATGTGACGTGTATAAACATTTGGGGGTTGCCTTATCAGATAAGGAGATCCAACGACTTGCTACGGAGTTGATCAAAGTTGCTTATTCTAAAGGGGGGATAATTGGTAAGAGATCTATCACATCTTTTTCGTACTTGTTGAAACATTTACGGTCTAGTCAGGTGTTCAATGGTCTTATCGAGGAGATAAGTACAAGTTCACCTTCAACGACAACTCTTGCACTTTATTCTGTAGTGTTGAATAAAGAGTATGGTGCTTATTTCCAGGAGGAGTCGGTCAGACGGATCTTTGAAGACATTAAACGGCTTTTAAAGTCCGAGTCCGTAAACGAAGTCATAGACTACGAAGAAATGGATCTAGACGTCATTGTGCACGATAATGGGATAAGAGATGAAGCCCTAGGCACTTTGAATAATTTCGTGACATCCCTCCCTTATCATTTGGTGGAGGATTACATCACAGAAGTAGTACAAATTGTTCAAACATTCTTGCAGTATAACCCTGGTGCCAACAATCAAAATGAAGACTATGATTATGATGATAGCGAAGAAGATAGTGACGTGGAGTTCAGTGATGAAGACGATGCTCTCAACGATGACGCCAATGATGATGATTATATCTCTTGGAAGCTCAGACTTCGTTCCTTATCAATTATTGATTCAATGTTGAAGTCTTTCCCACAAAATTTGTTACCATTGATCTATTCAGACTTGGTGCCTCTTGAGATTAAAGCTCTTGACGATGAAAACGAATTGGTATCAGTTGAAAGTATACGGACTTTAACCCACTTGATAACCAAAACTGCGGACGTTCACAGGGTGAAAAGAAGAAATAGTGATATAAGTATTGATTCTTCTTCATCTCCATTGAATATCTTGATTGATAAATACACTCCAGGTCTTTTGAATTCAGTTTACAACCAATTATCAACTGAAAAAAACTTGAATAAAGTCCCCATTATATTGGCCTTAATCGAATCGTTAATCAAGACAATCACGACTGAATTTGATCCAGATTATTTAACTCAGCTTTTGGTGAAATCAAGGGAACTAAAAATTGAAAATGATTCTATTGATATCCTTCATTTGATTAAAACTTTATTAAAAGTGTATCTGTTTGATGATATCCCCCCGGATTTTAGAGATTACATTGTTACCAGCATCACCAACACCATTTCCAAGGAAAACTCGGCCCATATTGCCTTGATCGAATGTTCTTCCATTGCCAGAGAACTTTTTAAACAAATCAAATTGAGTCATACTTTGAGCTTGAAATGGGATTACGTCAATGATCTTTTCCTGGCCATCGAGGAGAAAGTATCAAATTATAAAAGTTATTCCAGTGATATTCGTCAAAAGTTCATTCTTGCTTATTCAGAATGTTTGAAAGAAGTTGAGGTAGTTGACAAAGCGAGATGGTTTAGAATCTTTGAAACCTTCAAAAATTGTCTTAACCTCGAAATTAGTGTTAATGTGACTTTGACCTGCTTAATTGATTTGCTAGGTGGTGATAAAGAAGCATCTGTGAATTGGGATCAATTCAATAGTAACGAAGAATTTATCAACTATCTTTCAAACCGTTTGGTTGGTTTTTTAAGTACTTCTGATTCTGCATTATTCAATTCTTCACTTGTGTTGCTTGTGATTTTGAATGAACACCATAAGATGGACAACCCAAGTGCTTTATTAACAATATTGACCAGAATTCTATTTGGTGAAGAGAACAGTACACTTAATGAGAAGCAACTTTCAAGCATCTTTGAATTATTAAAATACAACATTTCCCAAACGGATATTACTGAAGAAACGATCAAGTTGTTTGCTACAAAAGTTGTTAACAATTTATTAAATAAAGGAGAAGATGAAGATGATATTGGTCTAAGTTCCTTCGAAGGGTTGCTTACAAGTTTATCAAGCCTTGCAACGTTTGATGTATTCGAAGTGTTTAGTCAGAATTTGGATTTGAAATTAGCAGTCAGTTCCAGAATTTTGGCAACCATAACTCATGAAAGGCAATTGAATGAAAGAATTACTTTGTGTGAAGATGCCATTCTTAATCATTTGAATGGAAGAATCCCCTTATCAGAGGACAAATTGCTATTTGATGTTCAATTCATTGGTAACATTGGATATTTGACTGCTTTGGATAAGATGAATGTCGAAGTACTACTTGAACTTTTGGATAAAACAGATAATGAACTGGTGAAAGTCACTATTGGTCGCTCGATTGGGTTAATTCTGTTTCGGGAAATTGACACAATTGTTCCCAAGTTATTGGAATATTATGTTGAATACCCGGATAAAAGAACTTATTTGTTACATGCAATTAAGCAATCATTGGTAAAATCTGAAACAATTTCGCCTGGTTTAGCAACCAAAGTATGGCAAACGGTATGGACAACTACTGAAAGTTATACCGATTTGAAGCTTACCAATATTCCTGAATTGAGATGTTGTGGAGATGTTTTGGCATTAGCAGATAAGTTTTTACCTTGTTTTGAACTTAGTCAAGTATTACAACACGCATTGGAAGCATCAGGTAATAATATTTCGGTCATTTATGTTCTTAATGTTATTCTTAAACATAGAATAACTTCCAAAGAAGAGATGGCTTTCACAGACAAGGTGATTAACCTCTACATTGATAAACTTCCAGTGCTCTTCAATATAATGGATGTTGATGTCCAACAAATTCTTATGGGCAACTTATTAGCATGCTTACATAATCGTCAAAGGGTGTTTTTACCCAAGTTAAATGATTTGGTTATACCTTTAGTGTTACAGGAATTAACAGCCAAGGAAGAATTCAAGAGGATTATCCCCATGGGTCCCTACAAATACGTTTTAGATGAAGGTCTAGAAGCAAGAAAGTTGTGTTACGAGTTCCTTTATACAATCACGTCGATTTCATATGAAACTTTAAAGGAATATGATATCAATTTAAATATCATCGGAGAAAGTTTTATCGAAAAGGGATTATCCGATAAGGAGAATGACATTATAGTGTTTTCGACTATTAATTTGAAGAATCTATTGAACAATCCTATTGCTAGTGAGTATCAATTTTTAATTACTCAAGACCACCATTTGCTTAACAAATTAATCCAGGGCCTCAATGGGTGCTTGAAGAAACCACTAAAGGCCAAGCCTACAAAGCAAGAAGTTGATAGTCATGAAGAAGTTATCAAATCTGTTATGGAGTTGATTAAATCTGTAAATAGTTATTTGTTAGCAGAGGATCACGTGACCTCGAAATGGCCGGACTTCTATACCAGCTTGAGGTAAGCACAATCCATATGCAGTGCCAAGCTGTCTTCACATGGAAGAAAAAGGTCGAACGGCTTATGTGACGGAGTTTCACCTTACACCTTATTGTCTTTAGATTATCATATGAAGTGGAATCATAAACAAGGCTTTGTGTTATCGAAGGTGACCATTGGATATAAATAATTGAAGGTGTCAGGAAGAAGAAGAATAGAAGGATAAAAAAAGAAGGAAAATAATAATAATTGCCCACTTTTAAGCTTGGTATTCATGATGGCAGTTTACGACTCGCTATCGTTATTGATGGACCATATCATACACTACGCCATGTTCTTATTGCTGATGAGTTCTAGATTTATAACGAGGACCCATGAATGCTGGGCTACACTTTTATGTTACTATCATGCTGTAGTTGCTACGTGGGAGCATGGGATGAAGAATATAAATTGAGGTTGGTCATTCATGGTGTTCGTTTTGTTTGTGACGCCTGTACCCCACATTTCGGAGTTGCTCGGGGATATCCGATAGAACATTAATATATACACATATAAATATACGACAAGAAAAAACGATACTAATATAATATACGATATTAATATAACATACGAAACTAAATTAGTTATGTCTCCATACAATCTTTTCACCTGAAGTCTTACCCAGTCTCAAAAGATCAAGAGCTTCATTGGCACTAAGTAAACCGGGCTTTAACACAGTTAAAGCAGGGGTTCGCACTTGCTGGAGGAATGAAGCCCAATGATTGGATGAGAACTGTTGATACTTGGCCTCTAAGTCTTTGTTGGCATTAATACCGAATCCAATGGGTCCCTGTGATTCAGGAACAATTTGGTACACCAAGGTTTGCTTAAACTTGACGTCATCATTGTCTCTGGAAGGATCAAGTCGAAGGTTCCCTGCATTCAACATCAACAAGTTGTCTAAAGTCACGGGTGATGAACCCTTTGTGGCATCATATAACGATTGCCATGTTGAAGCGTCGGAAACTGTGTCCAAGGCATAGACGAACTTACCTTCTCCAGCAGCCTTGATTTGTTCAATGGCATCAGCATCATGATAGTCAATTACAACATTTGCACCTAGCAGTTTCAAATAGTCATGGTGTTTTCTTGATGCAGTAGCGATGACCTTAACACCGAGTAACCTACTGGCAAGTTGAATACCATAGATTCCTGCAGCAGTGGCACCACCCCAAATGAGAACGGTTTTGTCCTTATTGGCTTCCTTGTCCATAGGAATTCCCGAGTTGTACAAGAATGAAACTGCCATTGTAGCCAGACTTAATGGTGCACTGGCCGCGGCTTCAAATGAGTCAATTGCACCTGGGCCATGAGAACCAGGGCTTAAAACTTTAGACTCGTCAATTCCATCAAACAACACAGTGGCAGGTGCATCAACAAGAACATAATCCTGGAATGCACCATTGACAGATGAAATGTTTCCATGTAATGTCAGTCCTACCTTATCTCCGACCTTGAAGCCATTAACTCCGGATCCAACCTTCTCCACATAACCAGCCACATCACTACCAATGACATCTCCCTTCTTTCCCATACCTAGTGCAACGTGCTTCCAATCAGTAGGATTAGCTGCATAGGCTACCGCTTTGACGAGAAGCATACCAGCGGGGACTTCGGGAACACCAATCTTCCGAACCTCACCCCATTGGCCAGTCTCCAAAGAACCAGTGAATACAATAGCTTCTTGTGACATGTCTTACTTAACAATATCCAAACACCTTTAAGTTATTACCAACAATCTTGAACTTTGAAATCACTAGCAATGCCCTCGGTATTTATACTAAAAACATTCGCGGGAAAATCGTAGAGACACTATTGGTAAGCATAGATGTTGAGGGCATTTTAGTGGTGGTGTTCAACTTACGATGCTGACAAATGCCACTGCGCCTACCAATCAAGAAATTGTAGTTTCATTGTAACGACTATTAGTGTCACGTTTGGAGTCAAGTCGAAGGTTCTTGGGACTGTCCAATTGAGTATGCGTTAAGTGCGGTACGTTTTTGTTGTAGTACTACTTGGTGTTACCCAATCGAATATACTTTAACTCCGGGGAATGACGGCTTATCTCCGCAGAAATGCTTGGGGTTATCCGGTCATATCGGCTTTCAGGCGCACTACTCCGAACCACTCTCGGCATCATCTCCCAACTCATCGTTGTTGACCGAAACTAACTTCATACTGTCTTCCTTGGAGATTAGTCTCATCTTCCGAACCTTGTTATTGTCGTTGTTGATGATGTTGATGGAATTGGAGCGAGTTTTCTTTAGATCCTCCTTGCGGTTGGATTCGTAGATGTCATCATCGTCGTAGAGGTTGGTCTGTGTCTCGTCTTCAAGGTTGACTTGAACGTGAGCAGGTGACTCGTGGTTGTCTTCTTCCTCTGCTTCCTGTTCCTCATATTGCTCCAACTGTTGGTGTATTGCCAGAATCCTTGCCTGCCTGGTATCAAATTGAGCCTTTAGTGCTTCGTAGCCAGCATTCAACTTGCTTTGTAAATCGTCTCCTCCTAAAATATTATCAGGAACCCTTCTCTTGTAAAACAAAAGATAGGCTCTGCTGTTGACTACTTCCAGAGGATTGGGCATCTCGGAAACGTGACTGTCGTTGAAATAGTGCCATTTGTTATCTCTAAAGTTCTTGACACAAGCAGTATAATGACCACCTCCCAATCCACCATAATGGTTATCAACAGCTATCAAATCATAGATCTCATTGCTCTTATCCATGTTATGAGGTTTGGAAATAAACTTACCCATGTCCAACCCTTCAATGGGGAAGTCAACCAAAGCATCAATCTTATCACTGAATGCCCTGGCACTGTGGAATCTCTTCAAATGTATAGTCAAGATATCTCCAGTAGACCATAATTGAATAGTCTTTGTTGCTTGCTTGTGGTCCTTACAGTTAGGACAATACCATAAATCATGTTCACCAAGAACTTCCGGTCGGCTAAACTGTTCTAAACAGTCATATAATGATATGGTTTTCACTTCCTTCTTGTGTTTAGTATTGGTGATACTGGGGTTTGGAATTCTAACGGGTTTGGCCCATGCTTGCTTGTCACTATCACCAAACAATTTGTCATAGCATGCTGGATTCCAGCAGCAGATCAAAGTTGTTCCTTTGACTATCAATGGGGTAGTTTTATTGACCACCACAGCTTCTTCAGAGCAATCACCCATTTCTTTCTGTGGAGAGTTGATATTGGAAACACTAACACTTTCAGAGTCCAAGGGTGGTTGAATGGAGGACGGAGATGGTGGTTGATGATCACTAGTATCATCTTCCAGTAGTACAGGCAGCTTCTCCTCGGATTGGCCACTTTTACCCACGATTATAAACCCATCTTCAGTCAGATCTGATGAAGACGAAGGCCCTTTATTACTATCGTCTGAATCAGCAGCAGCTGTAGCTTCCTCTATATGTTGGTCAATTTCAGCATAGTAATAGTACTCTTTCTTCTTCTTAGGTAAGAGATCAATGAGATTAACTGCCTCTGAAATGTTGTTGATCTGCTGTAAGGGCACGTACGACAAGCCAAGCTGCAGTTTATCAGCTGGTGCAGCTGTAAGTCGAGAAGAATATTCTTGTCCCAATCTGTACTTTGGTTTGTAGTCTATGTCCTCGGCATAACGTTTGACTTCAAATCCAAAATTACCACTGATATAAGGGTTAGCCAATGAAACGTCAGAATCATATTCCTCTTCATCGTCTACAGGATCAGAGTACATCTCTTGGTCATCGCTGGATTCAATTAAGCTGGGGAAGTCTGATTTCTTATACCACTTCTTGTGAGTCAATTGAAGACTTCTATATTCATCTTCAAAGTTAACGTTGGTCAATACCTTTATAGCAGTTTCCAACTTGCGTCTGATGATACCAAAGCTTTTGGTATCAGCGTTGTTTTTCTTATTTAACACGATGAACAATGGGAGTCCAAAATTAATATCTCGTCTATAAGAAAGATCTTCATCAGGAACAAAGTTAAGCACGGGAACGATGGTATCTGATTCCGGATCATGAGGAATAATGTAGACCACAACTTCATCTTCCTTTTTTATCAAATCACCTATGGGAACAAACTTGTTCTTAATGTTATCAGCTTGAAAGTCAGTGTAAAAGGAGTTTCTAAAGAGCTCATATAAAAACAAGTATTCCTTTGGAATGTTTAATGAGTTGCTCAAATAAGATACCAACATTTCGTAGTTGGAAGAATAGTCCAATTCCACTTCAAACACCAGGATCTTATTGATGAATTTACTACCAAATTCAGTGAGATCAACTATGGTGAATGTATGGTACCATTTCTTCTGAACAGGCAACGGTAAAGTCAAGTCATTGAAAGGGTCAAAAGTAATGGAGGTCTTGGAACAATCAGGACACACCAAAGTAGATTTATACATTCCAGTGAACAAATCTACTATAATAGAATCGTTCCTTAACTTGTGCAAGTCCCAACAAATATTTGCCAATCTTACTATAGCAAGAGGATCGTCTATTTCATCGTCTTTCAACTCGGGTTTATCGTTATAGGGCTTCACATGGATTCTATTCAAGTCTTCATGAAGGGCATCTAACAACCAACTTAGAAACTCCTGTGAATCCTGTTGCAAGTAGCCGTAAAACATTGACGAATATCGTCCGATAGTTGACTTGAAGTCTCTGGGTGCTATCGACTGTGGAGGCTTAGAACCACAGCCAATATCAAACATCTGTTTAAGCAAGTTGCCAAACGAATTGGCAACGGCTCCCTTGTATCCTAAAGGGTTGTCATTATTGAGTTCTTGCTTGTACAAGTTGAAAAGAAAATAACTATTGATCTCTGGAACATGCAATAGACATTGTAATGCTGAGTTCATGTAGCAAGTATTCCCAAGGTTCTGTAAGCCCGTGACACCACCCATAGCCAGAATCTGGTTGAAGGTGGAGGCATCTTTGATCATAGAAGCAACGTAGTTGTCCAATGGGAAGGCCGCAAGACTCTTATCGTATTGTTCCACTACTAAATGGTACACTTCATGGACAATTCCATTAACACGTAAAGTCTGAGATAAATGATTTGGAGTGACCAATCTCTTGTATTCCACGTCAAACACAAATGTTGAGGGACTAATAATTTGGGGCCATTCACCACCACCATCAATGAACCAAAGTCTTATACCTTTCTTGTCTAGTTTCTGTTCTATAGCAGACACCAACTGGGCCATCGTCTTGGTTCTCGACACAGTTACCAACGGAAGCGACTTGGACTGATGGTTATTATAATGGGACTGACTATGTGACTGACTGTGATGACCATAATGATTATGACTGTGATGATGACTCTTCTTGGATGACAACTGGTGTACATGAAACATAGCAGGGTACCTCTCCACTTCCATAGCCCCCGATTCAGTGTTACTGATCAAACTTCTGACTATGGGCGTCCCCAGCACGCCAAACCACTCCCTAAACTTATGGAACACCAAAGGAGGAACATTAAACGTCCCCACAGGCTCAACGTCTTCTTCATATAAACGGCCATTGGAATCTACAATGGATTTACAATCAATGGGGCCCAAAACGTGACAAAGCTCTTTGAAAGTGCCAACCTCAACGTTAAAAAACTTGTCCAAGTAGACACTGGGTATCAAATACCAATCGTCGCCTTCTTGTCCACGTGTAGTACTTAATAAGCTCTGGATCTCTTGTCTCCTCAGGTCAACTTCAACTTCATTCAGGTGATTCAGTTCATTCTCGCTCAAATGGGTTCCTTCTTCTTCCGCATCTCTTCCTATTTGAACACTGGGTTCCCACTCTTCACTATGATCCATTTCTAGTCTCATCTTGTCTGTATTGGTTGGCGCTTTATCTATGTGTGTGTGGTTTGTTAGTGTTAACGTTAACTTTTAGTCAATGGTCGTGCGGAACTCATAGATCCCCACAATATTGGGTAACAGTATGCTGACTATATTGCAACTGAAACATAAAGAACACTGTAACTAAACAAAATACCATATAACTGTAATCAAATTACTTCTGTAAGTTCTACTGTCACTACTATTGCAGACACTGCATATACATATATATATATATATATATATGTATTTGTCGTCCTAATATTGGTGTTAGGGTGTATTGGTCGTGCGTCAACTGTATATTACATATCTATCCATTGAATAAACTAATAGCAATAGACAATAGTTACTAGTAGATAGTATAGTAATAATACTAATATTTATTATTATTAACATACTGCAAAATTCTAGTACACCAATTACAATTACTTGAAGTTATATCTAATAGCTGGTGTTCGGGTGTCGCACTCATATTAAATCCGTGGTATCAAAATCATCAAAGGAGTTAACAAAGTACCCCATACAAAACCGTCAATTGCCCCCCACTCACTCACCCCGAGCAAATGAGTGGTATCAACAATAATATTATCAATACTGATGATGAGTTTATCCGATGGGTGTGCATAGATATCTTCAGTCAATACGAGTTTGACGTGGAATTGTTGACCAATTGGCAATTGGAATTGATCGATTACGTCAATGACGCACCCGCTTTAGCATCCATAATACAAGGCCAAGTTATCTTGGGAACTCCTAACCGGAACGTGGGCGTTGAGTACCAGAAGGTTCCAGAAGCCATTGACAAGTTGTTTGCCGCTGAAATGATATCAATTGAGTTCAGAAACATCATGTTAGCTCTCATAGTGCATGTATGTGACCAGTCATATTTTACAAAGGTAGGGTTACATCGAATAGGCTACCTTGATCGGGTAATAGTGATGATTATAGACATAATGGGCACAAATAGCAGTGGTGTACTGACTAGTATAACGCATTTGATGCTGTTGGCGTTGATCCTTAGTGAGTTTGGGGTAACTCATCACCAACTCCAATTGCTAATGGATGTAGTGTTTAGTAGTACCACTAACAGTGGTACTACAAAGATTGTGGTAATGGATCTCCTTTCCCAATTGTTTGCTGCGAACCCTTATAATGCTAGGTTATTCATATTCAACTACCAGAACCCATTGCCGTTCCCCTTGGTCAAGGAAATGTCTACTGGTTGTTTCACCATCTTGTCGTGGTTCAAGTTGGTTAGACTCGACGGTAGTGATAGTTCTCCGGTGAGATTGATGTCTTTGGCTGGCAATGATAAGCTGTTTCTCCGAGTTCAAATCGTCAATTGTAACCAAATGTTGGTGGAATTGATGGGTGATGGTGGTTCAACGTTCCAATATTACTTCAATAAGATTTTGAATTTGGAAGATAAGTTATTACATCTTGCCTTTACCTTCGACAAACACTCAAATCTTAGTCTTTATGTTGATGGTGAATATTGTGAGTCTCTACCTTGTGCCCAGGTATCACGAGTGATCCGATCATGGAATAAACTTTATCTTACTAACGATGAACCTTTCATGATAACTAAAGAGGAAATCATTATCAATAACTTAAGTCTACTCGATACTACTCTTCCATATGAGTGGATCTATATGTTATATGCTTTAGGACCGGACTTTGACTTTGACTCTAGAAATCTTCCTAAGGAGAATATAAGAGATTTATTGGGCCATTTGTCAAAAGAGAAATTGGTCAATCTAGCTTATAAGTTTAATGACAATTGTCTACCGCTGATGCTGATGCTGCTGATGCTGATGCTGCAGTTAGCCAATAAACCTCTCGTCATGAACCACCAATCATCATTATTATTCCGATCTGTGGATCAACAAGCTATAATCAAAAAACTATCTCATAGCATGCTAAAGGCAGAGAATTACTTGTTTCAGTTGCATGACACCATCAACAACAATATCCAGGAAGTACCCAACTCATTATTGACTCATCAAAATCCAGCTTCACTCTATGGGGCATTTTTTGCCATGGGAGGAACGAATCTATTGCTTCGACTATTGGAAATTTCTATAAATATAAAGGACGAAACATTTAGAGATACCATGGTTTACAAAACCCTTGAATTGACATTTACAACATTGACGAATTCAAGACGTTTATCGAAAGAGTTTGAATTATCAAGTGGTCCAGGAATACTTTTGTTGTTAATGACAAAGTATAAAGATGGGTTTAGTAGTAAATGCGAGTTCAATTTAGTGCCAGAGTTAAAGAAAAGTGATTACATTCCAAATTTACTTGATATGGTATTGAGTTACTGTGGGATTGATCGTTCTAATCCAGAAGATGCCATTATCTACGATGCACTGATATATAAATCGATGATATTGAGTTTTGATTTATATTCCAAGAGTCAAAGATTTGATGACTTGATAAAGCACATAAACTACCTTCTTATCGACTCCAAATACTCTGATTTCAATATACAAGAGTTAATAAGGATGAAGTTCTTAAGAAAGTTCATTACCTTCTTGGAATCTGAGGCATTAACATACTACAACGAAACCACAACCAAGTCACTACTATTATCGGCTTGGAAGAACATTATTATGGCTGATCCATCTGTGGAATCAATTAAATCCATAGCCAGCTTCATTTTGCATTCTCTATATGCTTCTGAAGGTAACACAGAGATTGGAATTATTGTCTTAAATGCCCTAGCAGATGTCTCCTGTGATAGTTCCTGCTCAATCAAGGTACTAAGAAAGTTCTCAAGAGCAATAACCATACATTGGATACTCTTGTTGTTTAGATTCGATGAGTCCTTGGATGTTGTTCAATATGCTTATCGACTTTTAATGAGGTTATTAAATGTTCTTGGTCCTCAAATATGCAAGCAATTTTTCCAAATGAATAGTGGATTGGATATTTTAACCTTCCATCTCAAGGAGTTTTGGGCTAATGATGGATTATTTGTTCGAATCTTCATGTCATCGTTCGGCATTGATATTGGCATTTATAATGGAGAACTGCTTGCCAATGTTATGGAAAAGTTCTCTAGCTCCATCAAGAAAATAGTGATACCTGAAACAATAGTTCTTTCCAACAGCATGGTACTAAATGCTCTTTATCGCCTACGGTTTATGCATGGAAGAGCATTGAACTCGCCAAGAAATAGCTTTGATCCTGATGTCTTAACTACGTCCTTCGATGCCTTAAGACTTACAAATGTCTATCTTGATGCTATCAATTTTGGATTTGAAAACATTACCTCATTACATGAGTTCTTTAAGTCGAAAGTATGGTTAGATGGAATTGTGGAGACCTTGGGACATCTTCGGCTTTGTAAAGATTTCATCAAAGGAGAATTGGGTGAGAACTACCAGGAAAGTTATAAGAAACTCACCAGAATTATAATGCACATAATTGTCAGTGATATTCCTTATTTCACTCAGAATGTTTATTCCCAGTTGGATGAATTGACCAAGAAATTGATTTTGGAGAGCATTTTGCCCTTGGTCTTTGAACATATGAACCATTTTTTGGCAGTTTCAAAGCATATAACAAACGAAGGGAAGTATTTGAATAATTTGGTTTCTATCATTGACATTTACAATACATTTTTGATGTCTGGTAACATCGCCATTATGGATAAAGATTTGCAATTGTTTCTTGAGTGCACTGTTTGTGTTATGGAGCAGCCTAATGCCTCCAAATATAAGAAATTGAATGGGATTCTAGGTGAAGGTTTAATTCGTTGGGTATCTCAATTTGATGAAGATTCCTTAACTGCTGAATGGGAAGTGCTAACAAGATTCTTTCTCTTTAGACAGTCAACCATAACGAAGAAGGAAATATTGGATGCTAACACTCTATTCAAATTGATTGTCATTTACTTTGGAAAGTTTGTTAGTGCTGATGAGGTGATAAGACACCAATGTTTCCATGATGTGTTCAACTTCTTAAGAACGTGCTACATCATGTATGGGCCGAATTTGGAGGGCCAACTCAATAGAATCGACGGTGACGATTATAAAGATACGTTGCTCGACTTTTTCAACGAGCTTTGCGTCAAAAATGATGAAGAAATGATTCTGAAACTAGAACGATACCCATTCATATCAAGGATCATTGCAAAGTTGGGCCAACAATTCCAACGTGGTTCCATTAGAGATAATTGGGTTAGCATCAATGGGATGTTGGATGTGGCTCAAAGTCAAGGTGGCCGACTTTTTCATTTGAATTTTGTTGAAATTGAAAACTTTAGGAAGGAAAGTGAACAGTTGAAGTTACAAATCCTAAGCATTGAGCTGCGTAACATCAACAGATCAAATCAAGACAGGAAGGAGAATTTTAATTTCTTCATTTCGAATTATCATACTATTAAACTTGAAGTATCAAGACTAATGGAAAGCAAAATTAGACATGGTAACCCTAGTCTTGTGGTTGACTTGATTGAGAACACAGAACGTATGAGAAGCAGGCTATTGGTTGAGAACCTGCTTTCGGACTCGGAGAAATTGCTGTATAATCTTGAGATTCCAATTAAAGCCGGTCCAGTTGAACATTCTATTGAAAATTTGAGGGATAATATAAATGGTTTGAGTATATCAAATGTCTATGATCCAACAGATAGAGAGTCATTTGAAATAGTTGACGATTGTGATTACGAACAATCAACCGAATCCAATGGAGATGAGAATAAGAACAGGAAAGTCATCAGAAGCTTATTTATGGGAGATTTGATAGTAGCCTTATGGAACGTTAGTCAAATCAATGGGTTGGTTCCAGTGGAAAGTCTATTAATTCTTGGGAAAGACTTTTTATACTTGATTCTGAATTATTATCTTTGTTCCAATGGTAATGTCATCGATGCTCTGGAAGCTACCGAGGATATAAGGGATCTGTATGTTCAATTGATTAATTCTCAATCCAGCAAGCTATTAAAGGATGAAGCAAGGACTCATGTGACTAAGAATTGGCCCTTAGATAAGATAAGTTGTATTTCCAAACGACAATTCCTTTTAAGGGATGTTGCTATGGAAATGTTCTTTTCTGATGGAGCCAGTATCTTGATTACCTTCATTTCCTCACAGGAAAGAGACTCGGTTTATAATAAACTTCAAACATTTGCAACTTCCAATGGTATCGATGCTGATTTATCTGAAGCTTTAGAGATGTCGCTGTATTTGGCAACTTCATCAAGATCATCCTTCAATGTTTCTTCACATTTCTTTTCACAAACTTTCACATCTATATCCAATCCATTTGAAGCAACCAAAAAGTGGAAGAACGGCCAAATGTCCAACTTCTATTACTTGATGATCATTAATACTATTGCTGGGAGAACATTCAATGATTTAACTCAATACCCAATATTCCCCTGGGTTATTGCGGATTACACTAGCGAAGAATTGAACCTCAGTGACCCCCGAACTTATAGAGATTTGTCAAAGCCTATGGGCGGACAGTCAATAGACAGAGCAGACAGATTCAAAGAAAGATTTGAAGCTTTGAATAGTTTGAATGATCCCATGACTCCACCGTTCCATTACGGAACCCATTATTCATCTGCCATGATTGTTACCTCCTATTTAATAAGGTTGAAACCATTTGTTCAGTCGTACCTATTATTGCAGGGTGGTAAGTTTGATCACGCTGAACGACTATTCAGTTCTGTTGAAAAGGCATGGGTATCAGCATCGCGTGATAATACAACTGATGTTAGAGAGTTGACTCCGGAATTCTTTTATTTGCCTGAATTCTTAATGAATGCCAACAATTTTGAATTAGGTCACTATCAATCTGGTGAAGCTGTCAACGACGTTGAACTCCCTGCATGGGCTCATGGAGACCCTATGATATTTGTTGCAAAGAATAGAGAAGCGTTGGAAAGTCCTTATGTCTCTGCTCATTTACATTTATGGATAGACCTTATCTTTGGATTCAAACAGAATGGCCCGGAAGCTATCAAGGCATTGAATGTGTTCCATCATTTGTCATATAATGGTGCTATTGATTTGGACAATGTTAGAGATGAGCTTGAAAAGAGAGCCATCATTGGACAAATCAATAACTTTGGCCAGACTCCCAATCAAATCTTTACCAAACCACATCCTGAGAAAGTGGTATTGAACACTCCAGGCCTTTACTGCACATTTTCAAGTGTAGAACCAACGCTTGAGTTTGTATCCAAGTTGAACCAACCCATCACCAGCATTGAGAGAAGCAAATCAAGTTTAACAGGACGTCCCAATTGTGTATCCTCAGAAGATGGAATGTTGATTCGGAAAGCTTCCTTTTCAGATCAGTGCCGGTCACTTCTGATTGGCAATTCATTATTCCTCAATGTTCATCAATCACCAATAACTTTTGTGAAGCCAGTTGGATTCAAAGTAATACTAACCGGTTCCAAAGATGGCTTGATTTGTGTGTGGAGGTATGTTTCCAAGTCGCTGAATTTATTGTTGATCACCTGTTTGAGGGGCCATTCTTCAGCCATAGTACTGATCAAAACCAGTAAGAGTTTCAAAGTTGGTCTAAGTGTGGATGAAAATGGGTTGGTACTTATGTGGGATTTAGCCCGATTCAAGTTTATTAGACAATTCAAACCACCACCAGATGTAAGTCCCAAACAGGTATTTGCAGCCATATCCAATGATACGGGTAATATTGGTCTTTTTTACAATGGTGATAAAAAAATCCTTCTCTTGGTGAACATCAATGGTAGGCAAATTTTGCAAGAGAAGTTCACCGATTTGGATAAACCTGTAGTAGGCATTGGGTTTGGAACCATAAATGATACAGCAGTGCTCACTTCAGGAAAGAAGGTCTTAAACAATCATGTGTATTGGGCACATGATCTTGTGACCATTTGGTTGGAAAAGGGTGTTCTTGTGCATGAACTTGGATGTAAAGACAAATGGACACTTCGATGCGTTAATGCACTTGACTTCTCCGAACATGTCCACGGAGTTATTTCTTCGTTAGAACTTTTGAAGATGACACAAGTGGATTCTCATGATAAGCTTTGCAGAGGTCATTTAAAGCTTATCTTGGGGGATTCCAGGGGAAAAGTGTATTCATGGTAATATAATCAGCAGCCTTTAGTGTAAGTAGAATGAATGAGTGCACCCATTAATGGGTATTAATTCAACCCCCGAAGTCACCCCCTGCATATAACGTTCTTTCTCAGGGTTAGTGCTTATTCCGGTGGCTATAACATTATTGTTTGTCACGTTGACTAATGACACGGATTATCAATTGCTTCTTCACAAGAAATGAGAACATGGAAGATTCTAGCACTTAGTGTTGTTTGGTACGTGGTATCTTGTTTCACCACTGTTGTGTCGAGGATAATACTTTCCCAGGAGAAGCTCCCGTTGTTCTTGGGTCAATGTCAGTTCTTGATCACGGGGTCAATTGCCTTTTGCATACTTGTTCTTCGACAACGTCGGCAAGCAGAAACAGGCACTAGTAGTAAGGGAGGAGACAATCAGCGTATATTCAATGGTGTTGCACTTGCTATGGTTGCCCCATTGGGTATTTTCCAGTTTGTAGGGAAATATTTTTCACTTCATTCTGTGCCGTTGATATCGTTGGCTACAGCCAATAGTGTACGATCCATGTCTCCTATACTTGTTGTAATTGGGTACCGACTTGTGTTTGGAGTCCATTTCCCTGTTTCCACGTATCTATCGTTAGTGCCACTTATAGGTGGGGTTATCATGCTTATAAGAAGCACCTCTAGTATGGGACAAGCCACCTCTGCTAATGAATTAGATCCTGCAGAACTAAGGGGTGTGCTTTACTGTTTAGCCAGCTCCATCACGTTCACGGGTCAAAACATGTATACCAAGCTGTTGATCACCAATAGGTTTCAACCTCCTAAGGAATTAGCACTCAACATCAACAATACTAATAGTGTTGATTTTTCTGACATAGAAAAGGATCATCATCTTCCCAAAGGACACTCTGGCTCCACAGTTCAATCGCCATACAATGTGACCGTGGAGTCCAATAGAAGATTTGGGAACCCATTGACCTATTTCACAGCAAACTCAAACTCCAATGTCCCCATCCAATCTCCAGATAAGATGACCACCATATTGTATTGTTCGTTGATTGGGTTTATCATATCACTGGTTGGAGTGCTAGCCAATGAAAACCCATGGCACATAAGTGCTTGGACCATGTTTCTTATAGTGGTTGATTCCATATCTCATTTCATTCAAATGTTTCTTCTGATCTACTTGTTAGAATCAGTGCCAGCTGTTACATACCTGATTTCATCCATCATCAAGCGAATAGCAGTGTTAAGTTTCAGTTTGTTGATGTCCGAGTCTCATCAATTTGATTCTTCACAAATTAGTAGTAATCAACTCTGGGGGGTTGCACTTGTTGGCATTGGACTATATAGTTATAGTCATTGGGGATCCAAAGCAAAGTAATATTACGTATCGTGTTACATAAATCTACAATTAACATGTTTGGAAAGGCTAGAATGCACAGAGGTCATCGTCAAACGGATTCATATACCATCGTAAAAGATAACAATCAAGTATCTTCTCGTACAGTATACAAATATCATCCTTCTAAACCTACCACGCCCGCATCTTCCTTGACTACCCTCATAAATAATAATATGTGACTAGTATACTCTAGTATGCGTTGTAGAGAGCCAAAGTCTTCGAGAATGTAAATGACCTACGTCATCAGAGAACAGCAGCTCCACAATAATACGCATACATGTACAATAGAGAAGAAAAGAGACTTATACTGCTCTGAATTAAGTAAGGGCAGTTACCGTTTAATTTATAGGAAAACTTTTTCGCGTGTGCGAACCAAAGGCGGGTAACGGCCCCTAGTTTATTTGACAGGATGAATAGTGGTAATACTTACCACTTACTATTCTACAACGGTATTCTACTAGATAATTATGAGACTTCTTACGGCTATACGGACAGTTATATCAGGTTCACTTGCTCTTGGAGCAGTACTTAACGGGAGAATCACCCATGTTCCCGAAGAAGGGGCAGTTGAATCATCCATGCCTATTCTCAACGTAAACAACTATCAATCCCGAATAACAGTTAACTTGTACGACTTACAGAGTCGTCCAACATATTATAAGCAAGTGGCATTAGTAGATGAGAACTGGACGTTCAAGTTCCCGGAGCTAAGCGATGGTGACTACGAATTGATAGTTCAATCTGTTGACTTTGTATTCAACGAAGAACGGTATAGAATCTATGTGATCAACGACAACATAAAAGTGTATGAGGATCCATTATGGGATGAGCACAGAAATAGTACCATTGGGAAGTCGATTGATATTTTGGACATTGAGATCACCGAGACCAAACAGTACTTTGAACATGCACTGGGATCAATTCATGAAATGCTCTTGAATAGTCCTTTAGGGTTTATCTTTGAGAATAGAGCGTACACCATCATGTTTGTGTTGACGTTAGTGCTTGCACTGTTTCCCTATGTATTGGGGTTCATCAATCCTGAGCTTGCAGCTGAGATGAGAGAAATCCAACGAGGCAACACAAAAGTATTGGAGAAGTAATGGTATAGACTGTCTATATACTACAGATATATATATATATTAATGTAGAATATACTGTATTTTACTCATTGCCTATGTATACATCCTTGCTTGCCTTCTCGGTGTAGTCTACCTTTTTAGTGTGAGGAGATGTCCAGCCATTGACGTAGTCAAAGTCTGTTTCTGCCCAATAAGCAAAGGGATACGTAGGCAATGTCTTGACGGGAGTTTCCTCTTGTATCAACCCCTTATCAATTTGTGCTTGGATACATTGATCCAAATAAGGTCCAATATGGTCTCTGTGAACACTAAAGTTCTTATACTTGATAAAGGGCTCTGAGGCTTCAAAGATGATCTTCTTCAATAACGAAGGAACCAAAGGCTCATCTTTCATTTCATCCAACGAATAAAAGATCGGATGGTTGGTGAAGATGATGGCTCGAGATTTGGGTAGCCGTCTCAACGTTTGACGTTCCACTCTCACCACGAAATCCTTAGGGTCAACCTCGGTAGGATCTACAACCGGTAAGTTCTCTTCGCTCTGATACACATTGTTGATTCTTAGCTTATGGTCCCACGTGATGTACCAGGAAGCCCTCTCTACAGGGTCATTGGGCCCGAGTCTTTCAAACCATCTTTCCATTGATTTCTTGAGTTTCTCGTGGTAGTAAGGCACCTCGGCATGGATGATGTCCAAGTTCTTTCCTAGTTTTTCCGAGACCTTGAATGACCCCCCAGGGAAGGGCACAGCGGCCGCCACCAAATAATGAAGTCCAGTGACAGCATCTTGTTTGACCAAATAAAAGTCTTCCTTGGCCATCTTACTAACATATATTAAAGGATGTTGTTTCATGGGATGAGTCATATCCAACACCTCAAGCGTCATCTCGTTTCTTACGATTTTCCCCTTACCAGGTCCCTTGTCTTCCAACAACGTAAACAAATACGGATACCGGGCCACCATGTGATCAGTCACAATCTCCATCAATTCTAGTGATGCATCCTCTCCTTCAGGCAAGCAATCAACGTTCTCCTTGCCATAAGTATGGAAGATCCGTTGCTTCTCTTCAATATATCTCCAGTAGTATTTGTCCATATCCAACCAATGGTTGATGTCCAATCTGAAAATGGACATGGTTTGGTGGTATGGCCATCTGAAGGGTCTCCAAGGTCTGTCGTCGTAGTTCTTCACCTGTTCCGGAGTAATAGACAAAGGTGTGGCACGGGGCAACGGTTCATCAGAAGTGTACAGTTTGGAGGTGGACTTCTTGGAGTCATTTGTGGTGGCAATCGTCTTCTTCTGGTTAGCACCTACTAATTTTCTTATCTCACCTTTGGTTAAATATAAGGACACTGCCACCGCAATGGCTAATAAGGCGTACTCCTTCATGAAGAACCAGCTTCAATAGTGATCTATGTAACGATTGATCTATGTACAAGAATGGCTATGTAATTACGGGATTAAACCTGGTTTATATAGCAATATCAGTGAATGGTCAGAGTACCATATTTGGTTTAAGTTACCCTCTAATGCTTATGTAATATGTCAACTGATAAGAAAGTGATCCCTTGGCTGCAAAGAGTATTAATTCACCGAGCGGGATCGCTTTACCCAATTGGGAAATGTTATGTCAAGTGCGACATTTTCGCAGCCATTTCCCGTTCACGGTTCACACTTCATCATTTATCAGTCCACTGTTCCGATAACCCATGCTTTGACCTGAAGGCTTGAATGCTAGATAATGGATGGTCCTTGGTACTAAGTATATGGTCCACTAGATGTTGTAACCAACTATCAAATCTAAGAGGATCATAGTATATGACACTGGCTATAAGTTGTCTGAATTGCCAGTTATAGTATCGAAGGTCATCGTATGGGTTTCTAGTAGCTTTCAACTTTAACAATCGATATTGTTCAGTGGTTTCAAGTTTGGAGTACCCCGGTGAATGTTCCACAATGAGCTTTCGAAACTGTTTATCCTGAAACAACGATTTGACAGAACCATACAATTCATCATTGGTAGTTCCACCGAGATTTTTTTCAAGCCGGTATCGAAGATACGCTTCCCCAAATGAACTCATTTTACTAATAATGTCTCCCATCTGGAGACATTGCTTGATCGACAGTTTGGTTGTGGCCTTGAGGTAATCTCTTGAAATGTTGTAGTTCACTTGTAGGAGCGTAGATAATGGTGGTGTGTGTGCAATGACTGGGATGCTTAAAATATCTTGTGTATCAGTGATGACTTCATTTCCAATGTCTCCAAATTGTCTTATACTTGGATCATACAATTCAAACTTATGGCCAATACATGACTCCAAATATGTAGTTGAAATGCCATTTAACGCAACCTTATCATCAACAGATAGACATTGACCTATTAAAGTATCTGGCTTCAGTTCATCTTGCAAAATATGTCCAATTTTAGTCAAGAGTGTATCGTTTAAAAGAAGAGAGACCTCCTTATTAGACTCAACAAAACCACTAATGTCTAATTTCATGTTTAAAATCAATCCCATGACTTCCCAGTACAGTTTTCCCAATTGACGTAACCGTTCATTTGAAAGTGAACACTTATAAGTCTCTCTTGCTATTCCATCAATATTTCTTTCAAATTGTTGTGTAACAGGAGTAGCAGAGCCAACATTATTCAATGACCAAGTAGATAAAATGTATGGTTCATTCTTAAACTCTTGAAGCAACTCTTTGTTCAATAAGTTGCTATCAGTTTCTGAAAGAGTACCATACAACTCACACATAATAGGTATGAATTGATTAAGCCAATTAGGTACTTGGTTATCGTAAAGAGTAAGTATTGCCATGATTTGCATAAACTGTGCAGGTATCACTCCACCTTCAAATCTATGTTTTATCAATAGTTTTCGATACTCTTTTGCTTCAATTCTTTCAAATTGTTCCCTTATAACATGACGATAGAACAAATGATGTCTAAACAAGGCTAGTAATCGTGGGAAGTTCAACTCAATGGTTTCTAATGGGAGATTTTGAATCAAAAAACGCCGTAAATTGAATTCATAACTGGAATGCCCTAAAGAATACCCATCTTCAAGTAACGCTTTATATCTTGATTTATTTACAGTGTTCTTGTTAGTCATTAATGTTGAAGCAACACTCGTTCTTGGAATCGGAGGTAATCTGAATATTGATTCAATATCTTTAATGCCTTTCATATTATAAATTGGAAGCTGATTCTCGTACATGGTCCATTTTATCCTTTCTGGCCACACATCATGATCAACAACATTTATAAATTGTTTAAGGAAATCCTCCGTGAGTTGTGGATCTTGAAGAGAACAAAGTGCAATATAGGCCATTGCTGTTGCTCTGTTCTGGTGTGTCTCTATAGGCAATTTGATATCGTTGGACTGTAATTTCGTAGTGATAAAGTCAGTAACATTATGCTTAAAGACCTCAAGTGATTGTCGTGGATTCATAGCAGTGTATTTAGCTCCTACTAGATTTAAAAAGTGTTCTCCAATCACTTCCACTTCAAACCAAGGTATCATCTGTATCTTAGCAATTAAGTCTTCATCAATGGTTAATGATGCAAGTTCAGTAGGAAATTGTGCATGATGCTTTAAGGTCACCGGTTGTAATTTATGAGATTTGACTGGACCTAATGATCTCCACCATTGACGTAACTCTTCATCAGACTTCTCTAACGAGAGAACCCCCATCGTCCGCCTCAACCCAATTTTGGTGATATTATTCCACCCATAATTAAATGCTACAACCTTCTTACTATTGGCAGAGCTAGCGAGGTATCGACCTTTACCACCACCAAACTTTAGTGTGGCTAGATTACCTAGCCTCTTCAACTGGTAATCTGTGTCTACTTCAACAAGCATATCGGGATTATCAACAAATGGAAGCTCAAAACTATACACCTTCTCTTTTGGTGTTGACTTCACACCACTGAACGAATCATAGAGCCCATATGAGTACTTGTCACTGTTCGTTATAGACCACCATGACTTCCAGCTCAGTGACATGGACTGGGTCTTACTGTCTTCACGATAGAACCGGAGAAGCTCCTGCTTGCTCTTGGGAAATTGACTGGGAGATATTTGATGCTGGAACTTGGTCACTTGTGAGTGTATCCAATCATTAACGGTCCCAAGATCCACTTGAGGTCGAGTGTTAATGATGTATCGCAGTAGATGAAACGATAAGTCATCTCTTTGTTTCTTGGTAATGCTGGGATTTGTAGTTGCTTGTTGGGTCGTTTCTACGTCATCTGGAACGGTAAACGTAGGGAACGGAACTGTCCTTGGAGGGATCTCTAATTGAGATGGTAATGGCTGAGATTGCTGTTGTTGTTGATCTTCACCTTTGGGATGGACAATTGCTTTCACCACTTGATCAATACTAAAGGGTCGTCTGAAAATCAATGAACTGTTTCGTACACATAGCCTAGACATTGACAACAAGTATGTCCGATTGGAGGACCAGCTGATACAAGTTGTTTGGTTATGTATAGAAAATTGTAGGATAATTCGTGCTAATTTTTACGCGGAGTGCATACCCAGATTTACGCTTGACAACCATCTACAATACAATAATATTTTCAGTATGTTAAGTACATTAATATATATAGAATATCAAATATTTGGTACTAATGCCATGCGTCCGTCCCCTAATAGATTTGATGTGTATTTATTATATAAATGGTAGAGTACAATGTAAGTATAAGAAGTATTGAAAGATAGCACAATCACAATCTTCTACCTCTTCTACCACCCTTTCTTCTGGTGGAATCAGATGGAACTGGGGTAACATCTTCAATTCTACCAATTCTCAAACCAGATCTGGCCAAAGCTCTCAAGGCAGATTGACCACCTGGACCAGGGGTCTTAGACTTGGTACCACCGGTAGCTCTCATCTTGACGTGGACAGCAGTAATACCAACTTCCTTACACTTAGCAGCAACATCTTGAGCAGCCAACATAGCAGCATAAGGAGATGATTCATCTCTGTCAGCCTTGACCTTCATACCACCAGTAACTCTGGCAATGGTTTCCTTACCGGACAAATCGGTAACATGAACGAAAGTATCGTTGAAAGAAGCAAAGATACGGGCAACACCGAAAACTTGGGTACCGTCTCTAACTTGACCTAATAATAAATGTTAGTAACAAAGTCCACTGTCAATAATTAAAAGCACAGATAAAATTGGAAATGATAATTATGGGAACTAATAAAGTCAATGAAATTTTTCACTCCAAGACTAAGACATCATCCATGATAATTTTGTAATCACAACTATCAAAATATCATAGTCAAAAGGATCATCAATATATTGATATGAAATCACCAATATATTACTTCAATATGAATATGAACAAAAAATGTAGTACTTCAGTATGCTCATCAAAGGGTAATGTCCATCAATCAATCTATGAACTTCATTCAATGGCTCTCTTTCATCTTCAATCTTCTACTGTCTCTCTGCTGCTCTCATGTACATACCAGAAGACATGTTTGCTATTATGTGTGATGATACTCTGGAAAGATATATGGGTTATCAAAGAGAGGTTGTTTTATAAAATGCAATGGGTGAAAATTTTTTTAGTTTGTGCAAACGGTGGGTGGATCCGCTATAGAAACTTCGCACTGACCAGAATGGAGAAGGTGAGTTTGGAATACAGGATGGGGATTGTGTTATTCTACACGACGCCATGTGTCCGGGTAATGTGTACTCAATATTATTGTGTGTTGAGGGTGATGTCATGTGACCGTATAGAAAACTTTATGAAGGCTATACCTATGCATGTGCGCGTTGCCATCGAACGTGAATTTTTAGGTCTAAAGCCCTAAATGAGGTGTTAGGGTGTTTTGATGGGGGAAATCTACATAGTGTTCCATTTTCATTAATGGCTACTAATAATTACAGACATTTATAATCACAGTTTAAAAGCTACTGTATATTTAAGTTTTGTATAGTACACTATATGCTGCTAACGTAAAAGTGCATTCCTTTTTTGTATTGTGGAATACACTAAACATGCGTTGGACAACCTAATAGACGAAACCCAAGATCTTACCAGAAACGTGCTTTCTTCTGGCCTCTTCGTGGTCCATAATACCAGCAGAAGTGGTCAAGATAACGTAACCGAATTGTCTGGCTGGCAACAAGTTGTCAGTCCATCTTTCAATGTCACCAATCTTAACGTTGAATCTTGGAGAAATGACACCACACTTGTTTAATCTACCGTTCAATTGAACGACGATCTTACCGGATCTGTGGTCATCAATGTATTCGAATTCACCAATGTAACCGTGCTTTTGCATGACGGACAAGAACTTGATGATAACCTTGGAAGAAGGTCTGATCAAGACTTGTCTCTTACCGGTCTTTTCGGCGTTGTTGATGGCGTTCAAGGCATCAGCCAATACGGAGGATCTGGTCATCTTGTATAGTTACTTTAAAGGGGTCTGATACGGCGTAGTACAAGAGGAGCTTTGAGTTGGAGAAGTTGGTGATGAAAAATTTCCAGAGACACACAGAGTGTGAGAAGATGCGACTTGGAGCTTTTGTTGTATGCACTCCCGGAGAAAATATTTGGAAATAAAGCAGTCACAAGTATGGGAGCGCAGGAGTTAACTGAAATAATGTTCGTTCTCAAAGTTGAAGCATTGCACCGTCGAAGCACAGTAGCAGTATAGATTTCGTTTGTTGTATACAGGATCGTTTATTATGGACGTGCGAGTTGACTATGCCACCCACAAACAATAATTGTTATGGTAGCGCGCGTGATAATTTTCCATGGTAGACGAGCGGATGGCCTGCCTCAATTTTTACCAGTTGAAAATTTGTTTAAAGGTATTCTACTGTTTCACTTTTTACTACTATTCAGTCAAAAGATATTAAAGATGCCAGTATGTTAGAACTTTACATGAAGCAGCACGCAGACACACATGCGCAGATACAGACACATACACAGACACACAGACACACATGAGTTACGAGGGAATACGAGATGTTTAAAATGAGAACCCATCAGTGATGAGAAAAATTTTCAATGAGAGTGAAGCACAGGGGCACACCGTTTACAGTGCATCAGAATACACTGTGCTTAATGTACTTACTTTGTTGATGTGTATTATGTTGTATTTATCATACTTGAAGTATTATACTAACGATTTAGTCTCAAAAATCTTTTAAGACCAAGCAAAAGTTGGCCAAGGCCCAAAAGCAAAACAGACCATTACCTCAATGGATCAGATTGAAGACTGATAACACCATCAGATACAACGCCAAGAGAAGACACTGGAGAAGAACCAAGTTGGGTATCTAAGTGTGTTTGTCTACATTGGACTGCTATGGATGTACATATTGTACTATAGTTGAATTTGGATTCTGACTGTATATTTTAATACTACAAAGTTATCAAAATGATGTAGACCACAGACCATTACTGTATGACTAGTACTGCTATTACTCGTACTCGTACTATTATGACTTGTATTATTGTGTCTACTATTATTACCATAGTATAACGTTATTATATTAGTACATATTATACTTCCTCTTCAAAAATAGTCTCAATGGGCTTCTCCATCAATGAGGCATGAGAAAAGACAGTCACAGCACTGGCACCAACTAACCACAACATAGTATAAATAGGACCGGCTAAGAACCCTAATGGAACAGCCACAATCAATAACCCCGTATACAATTGAGAAGTGTTGAATCTTCCAACTGGTAAAACCAAATCTTGACCTCCCAACTTATTAATTCCATAGATCCCTCCACCGACAATTACAATCACAAATAACAATAACAAATTGGTAGCCAAACAGTAGATGAAAAACATCAACACTACTGCCAAATAATTGGCAGAAAAGTACCCCAAGTTGTATGTGACACGGCTTTGTATTTCGCCAAAGTTGGCGGGCTTGCTGATTCTTCTGATGTCGAAGAACTCTTGAGGCGGACGCAACTTGGAGATGGACGATGAGATCGTCCCTACGTCTGAACGGATCCGCTCCAAGTTTAATCTGTCAGCGAAAGATGCAAACTAAAGAGTTAGTAAACACTGCTGTTATATATAATAGCAGCAGCACTATTGTTGTAGTGCGGCTGCAGTGCAGTGCAGTGTTATACATACGTTTCCAAGTGAGATCGACATGCTATAGATATGTGTGTGCTGTTGGTATGAATGTTATTTTAGTGTTTGTCTTGATATCACCAAAAAAATTATTGTGTTGGTTGACGTGTCTTGAGTTAGTGTGCAGCACAGATCATTCGCAGCCTGTGATCACTTCCTGTGAGGCGTATATTATATTTCTGTGAAGTGCTGTGCACATCGCAGTATAAGGTCCTACTGTAGAATACTACTGCAGTATCGTGTGTTATTGCATGTGTTTTTACAGTGTGAATTATTTACGATACGCATAAATACGATAACTTAGTGCCGTATATTGTATGTTAATATAGTACCGTAGTGTACTAAAGCCCCAAATCCTTCTTAACTAATGATCTACAAATTGGATGGTATCTCGACTCAAACTCATGAAAGTATGATACAGCCAATTCATGATCAACAGTATTAAGTAAAACATACCCTGGTCTGACAAACTTCATTCTTCCAACAGTCCCTAACCAATCACCTAATTTGGTATAGTAGTCAGTGTTATGTCCTTTAACTTGTAAATAGTACCATCTGAAAAGGACTTCAGAATTGGCTGTACATGAATATGGGGTGTAAATAGTAGCCATAGACTTGAGCGCATCAACATGTCTGGACCATTCCAATTTCATGCTGGTCAATGTGTCCAAGAACACAACCGACTGATTGGAAGAGAACAGCTCGATGTCCTTTAAACTAAAGTGATGGTTATAGTCACCGTCCGTGGTAATCACATGATACCATTTATCTGCCAAAGCATAGCATTGGTCAACCAAACTAGTATCGAATTGAGGCTTAATAGGAGGCATTCCTGGTTTATAAAGCCAAGTGTTCCAATCAATGGTGTCCAACAAATCCTTCTTATCGTCAAAGAAACCATATAAAGTATCCATGAATTGATAAGTATCAAGAGATTTATACTTGAACTTGTTGAAATAATGAGGAATAAAAGCATCAAATATGGCTGTACCTCCAAGCACTTGTTCAATATGCAACAACAAGTTAAACCCTTTCTCATAAGGTACGGTACTGAAGGCATCATCAGGATCACATTGATCCTTTAAATCTTGAACCAAAGTTGAAAATCGATTGGCAGATTCTCCCATGGCTTTAATGCTATTTTCCAAGTCATTCCACCCAATAATAGCACTGAAATGACGGGTTGGCTCTCCATGTAAATTTCCCTGGATTCTTCTTTCCAAATAAACGGTCCACCCTTCATTCAACCAGAAATGCTCCCATGAGCAATTGGTCACCAAGTTACCACTCCAAGAATGGGCCAATTCATGAGCTAAAACATCCACACATCCATGGTCCCCAGTAATAAGCGTAGGAGTGACAAACGTGACGTTGGGGTTCTCCATGCCTCCGTAAGGGAACGACATTGGAAGTACTAAGGCATCGTATTTTAGCCATTCATAATCAAAGATCAACTTTTCAGCAATTTGAATGAAATTCTCCATATCATCTTTAAATTCCATTTGACATGCTTTGACATTGCAAGGTTCACAATATACATCTGATCTTGGTCCAATGGGCTTCTTGGTAATATCACCCAGAGCAATGGCCACCAAATACGAGGGAATAGGAATTGGCTGTTCAAATTTATAAACCCCGTTGGCATCGTCATCTTCTTCTTCAATTGGCCTACCAGACATCAATGAAGTATATGGAGATTCAACAGTGAAGTCATATGTCGACTTAATGGCTGGGGTGTCAAAGCATGGGAACAAACTTCTAGCATGAATGGCCTGACATTGGGAGAACAAGTATGGATAAGATTTACCATCTGTTGCTTCTTTATCTAAGAATTGCAATGCAGTACACTCTCGGGTGGTTTCAAAATCAATGGCTAAAGTTATGTCAGCGTCATGCTGCTGAGGTAATTCGATTCGAAGTTTGCTTCCTAACGGTTCAAGTCTATCATCGACTTTAAAGGAAGTGGTGGATGTACCATTAATGGCTACTTTGGGAATCTTCAAATACGACGTGTCCAACGCTATACAAGGATCTTTAACGTCGCTTAACTTGAATTCAACATGGCCATGCAATATTTTTTCTTCAAAGTTGACCTTAAACGTTAACACGGTATGATTCAACTTAAGATTGAAGTAGTTAGAGAGTGTTGAGGGATCTCTTTCAGGCGACGTAGTAGGTCTATGACTCTTAATAACCGATGTCATTTTTAACACTGAAAAACTTGGTGTAACTCTTGATATAGGTGCTTAGGATATTAGCTGTTTTGAATTTTACCTGTAACTGCTTGATGAGATGACTTCAAATGACACCTATTATTTAGGAATGTCGATGCCGTATTGTTTAGTGGTGCCTTAGATATCAACGGCTTCACTTGTTGAGAACCTGTGAGTTTGTTCCACCCTCGTATGTGCGCACGTGAGTTCCCGCCGGAAATCTTTCTTTGTTATCAAATCGTGTCGTGTCTTTGCCTTGTCGAGAAACCCTAAACACTAATAGGAGAAAAACCAGACTTTTACACTACCCCAGGTCAACAAAGGAAATGTAATGATAAGACAGGACAGAGCATCTAAAGCCTTTCAATATATATAACAGGAAAGTAGAGGAACTCTATTTGAGTGAGCCTGTTTCTGCATCAGTCATAGTCGGGATATCAGTGTGCGTGAGCGTGCGTATTAACCTGAGTCTGCATCAGTGTTCGTTCGTCTGCATCTGCCACACTATGCCGCTAAGTCCGGAACAACATGGTGGATCACCGCTACTGCAACTTGAAAAGGAAATTATGCAGAAACGAATCAACTTCAACGGTCCAACTAAGTCATCACTGTCTGTCAATCGATATCCCAGTATCAATGGAGAGCCAGGTTCCACTAACAATACTAATAATAACAGTAACAATGGACTACTACCATTCCAACAACACCAATATCTAACCCAAGTGGGTCGGTACTTGGAAAATGCCAGTGATAAAGAAAGTATCTATCTGTTTGAGTCTGTTAGCACCAACAGTCGATTGTTGGACCGATTGGAAATGGCTAGCATTTATTCTAGTAACGAGGATGAAGCGCTCAAGAAGTTACATCTTCCTCCAACCACAACATCATCCAATAACGTTTCAAGATCAAATTCGAGTTCAAGATTATCTCGTACTGAAAGTGGGAAACTGCTGGAAGTCAATCTAAGGTCCGTATCTCAAGCACATAAGATCCTTCGAATGTCCAATGCTTCTATAGATTCCCTTCATGCAGACTTGCTGGCCTCAATAGCCGAGAGTGACCATATCTATGAAGAAGACAGTGATGACGACTCAAGACTCCAACAAGATAGCCATAGTGATGATGATGATGACGATAATGAATTTACATTCAATAATAGTTCTGCTGAAACTTTAGAAATAGATAGGAAGCAGCAGAATGATATACTTTATCTTCCAAAAATCAAGCCTCAAACTTATGGGGATAGTCATAGTCATGGTCATGGTTATGGTCATGGTCACAGCGAGTCCATTTCTCATATACCCTCAAGAGTGCCCCCAGATCGTTCGTTAACCCGTTCTAAATCAACAACTAATGCAGTCAGAGGTATTCCCTTGCAAGCACAACGGAGAATAATCTCCGAGAATGACTCAAGTCCTTCCACACTGCTGCAGCATCAGTTCATGGAACTTAGACCTTCTTTCAACCCCTCAATGTCATCCACAAGTGTATTGACAGTCCCCATTAGTCATATGTCGGAATCGACGACCAGTTCGCTTAGATCTTCAAATGATAAGCTAAGTGCTCAGTCTCGAACCAATTTAGCTTTGCAATTAAGAAACATGGGAAAATATAGAGAAGCATCATATCAATTGCAAATAGCAGCCAACAGTCCTAATAATTATCCCCGAGCAATGTTCTTATACGCCATGGCCTTGAAGGAAGGTTTGGGTGTTAAGCAAAACGACAGACAGTGTCTCAAATGGTTATGCCGGTGCATTATATATGAAAGTTTTGGTCTGGAATTGCTTGATCATGAAATAGAAAAGATTTGTGACAGAACTTGCGATGATATAGTCAAATTCATAATTAAACTTGATGTCAGCAATAGTTATGATCCTATTGATTTAATCAAATATTATAAGCTGCTTCCCGCCGCACAATTCCAAAGAATAATTCAGCTTTCCACCAATATAAATATATCTTCATCTACCATTGATATCAATTTAAATGAGACTCATTCAAACTCCAGTGGAGGTGAAATATCTGGTTCACGCATTGGTAGCGTGGTGTTAGGGAGTTGCTTTCATGAATTGGGTAATGCATTACTAACAGGCAATGGATTAATGAAAAAGGATGAAGTACATGGAATTAAAATGATCTCGAGAGCCGCATCTATGGGTAACGTTGATTCCATGCTTCAATTGGGAGAATTATGGTGTCGTAAATCCAAACACCATAAGAAGGATTTGTATTTAGCCTCTGCTTGGCTAAGATTAAGTGAATTGTTTGGAAGTAAATCAATTGGTAATAGTTGGATATATAAGGACAAATATTTGAAAGATAAGTATTGATAATATTATTATATCCCCTTTTGGCTGCATGCAAGACTATAGTTGATATTATTTGATTCAATGAATTCTCTTAGGATATTGTGAAGTAAAGCAGAAATGTCATTCAAACTGGAAAAGTTACCCAATGGAAGGTAATAGGCATTTGAAGTTGGTCTTAAATCATTTAACGGTTTGGTAAGGTTCTGGATATTGGTGGTACGGTGATACCAAGTCTTTGGGAATTTAGATGATATAGTGGACATCATATGATTAGGATTACCATTTAAAAGATAATCCAGTATAAGATTTCCATTATGAATAGCTTGATATTGAAGTTCCACCACTTTGTTAATGATATCTCCATCATTTCTTTTGGTATACAGATCAATAACTTTGGTCAAGATATTGTTGATTCTCTTGAGTACTAAACCGTTGGTATGGTATAATAAACATACAACAAGCACATAAAAGTCTTCGTATTGATTCTTTTCTTCTTGGGTTTGAGTGTTCTTTAAAAAATCATTGATATCATCAAACATATTTCTCCATAGTCTTTCACTGGGTAGAATATCATTCATGATCTTGATTCTTTCGTCAAGATCATTGGCTACCATTTGTAGAATCAAACTGTCCATCCAAAGAAGTGTCTGTTGGAGTTTATTTCTTCCTTTGGACACTTTGGCTCGGTTTTCTTTGGCTAGCTTCATCCAATTGGTCTTTCTGGTGATAAGGACCTGCTTATCAACGTTCTTGGTAGATATCGTATTGGGGATGCTGACAAACCCAGGAATCTTGGGTATTTGTATGGTGTTTGTAGGATGTTGACTAGGTAGTGATTTCACCGGTGATAGCTGTCTTTTAGGTGTAAATATAGATTTTGATGACGATATAGATGTAGACGTAGCTGTGGACGCAGAGGCAGAAACAGCTGCAGACATAGACGCAGACAGAGCAGACAATGCTGAGTCATTCTTCAATGGAGACCCCTTAAGGTCCTTCTTATCGTATATGCCTAACCCCATTGGAGGCGGTGAGACTGACGCTGAGTCTGATTCAACAGCCATCGAAGGAGACAGGTCTTTGATAAGATTGGCATATTCTGTAATGTTCTTATGGAATGTGATACGTAACACTAATCGAGGTTTGACGGGATCACCGAGTCTGTTGACCCATCGAACATGTTTCAGCTTAAAGATCTTTGGCAGAGACGTGGACGTGGACTGCTTTGATGTTGGAGGAGTCGGATGCAAAGGACCTGAAGGCACAAATGGCAGCGCTTTACCTGCTAAAGGTTTCTTAGGAGACCTTTTGGTATTCGAAAGAAGTCCAAGGGGTATATCTTCTTCATCGGAGTTGATCATAGCGTTCGACCCATCATTTCTTTCAAACTGTTTAGGGAGAGTGGGAGAGAGGATGGGGGGGAGTTTTCCTGTGGTTGTATAGTTCAGGACCAACTCATCAAGACTCGACCAAGTTAAGCGACTAGTAGAGGTGGTAAAGGACGTAGCAGTAACAATGTTATTACTGTTATTTTTAGCGGTACCAGTTCCTCTTCCACTATTATTATTTCCGTTGTTTACAGCTGATTTCCGGGGTTTAACCAGTGATCCGTTTGTTTGTCGTGGTGGACGTCTGGAAGGAGTAGCAGACTCCCGCAGAAAGATAGACGACTTCATTACTATCGGTGGTTCTTTTAACGAAGTAATTAGTGATAGCCGTAGTGATAATAAATTTTTGTGTATGAAACATAAACTTTTGGTGATAATTAAATATTTCAAGGTAGGTACATCTGGTACCTTACGTTTCCTTTAAAAGCTATACAATTATGAGCTACAACTCAGTTCAACCAATCAATTTGAATAGAAAGAAAAGAAAGAGATCCAATGGAACTTCTTCTACATCTGCATCTGCATCTGCATCTGCATCTGTGTCTGCGTCTACGTCTACATCTTCTGCGTCTACATCTGCTTCTGTTGCATCTCAAATCCCTGGTTGGCCATCTTCATTAAAGGAATTTGTAGCTTCAAGCTTCACCCGTTCGGAATCAGAACTCTCTCCGGAAGAGCAGAACCTCTTTCGGTCCCAGATAACGTCTATAGTTGACATTGCATTGAAAAAGAACATGATATGGACCAATGACTGGGAGAGACAGTCGTTACCTGTGTTTGATGGAGGTGACTTACAATTGATATCCATCAGTGATCCAATGGGTAATAGTAATAGTACTGCTACTCCCAATACTACTGCTGCTATTACCACTACAGTCAATACTACTACATCATATGCTTCCAAACAAAGAAAGAAACAAAGACTTGAACGATTCAGCTCAGAGGAACCAGAACCTTTTAGACCCATGTACAACAGCTATACCACCGATACCGTTGCAGCTCCAGTCAAAGGCACTAGCCAACAGATAGAAAAGACCTATTTAAGATTGACTTCCGAGCCCATACCGTCAAACGTTCGACCCCAAAACGTATTGGAAAAATCATGGAAGTTCGTGCTCAACAAGTATCGGCATGGCCAACCGTACACTTACTTCATTAGTCAGTTCAAATCAATAAGACAAGATTTGACTGTTCAAAACATCCAGAATGACTTCACCATTCACATCTACGAAGTCAATGCCAGAGTGTGTTTGGAGAAAAAGGATTTGGGGGAGTTCAACCAGTGTCAGACCCAATTGACGTTTTTGTATGATCATGTTAGAACCAACACCAATAGACACGGTTCCTATTTAAGCCAAGAAGTGGAATTCATTGGCTACAGAATCATCTATATGATCATCTTAGGTAATTATCAGGATGTCATCAAATTAAGGCTTCAAATGGTAAGAGGAACGTACTCCAAACTAACCACCTCATTCGATGGTCAAGAAGCATTTCTAAGTCACATTGACGATTTGTTTAAAATTAACGATTGTCTTCTTCTGGGTGACTACTATAATCTCATAAAGCTTGTGGAACACCTCAAACCGGTTCTACCTTTAGCCTATGACCTTCTCAACGATTTCTTATTGGCTAAGGAAAGGATCAGGATCTTGTATGTGGTCTCGAAATCATACCGGAAACTCAACCTACATTATCTCCAAACATCAATACTCTCAATACAGTCTTCACAATTCGACGACTTCATCAGCAAAAGAGGCCTAACACATTGCATCGTGGGAGAAGACTTTGATTGCGTTCAAGCAAGACCCATCTTACTGTCAATAGTCAATCAGCCCAGTTTCAAAAGGGTAGACATTAAGGGGCAAATATGACATATACATATAAATATATATATCAGTCCACTCATCTGTTTAGTCCATTGATGGTGCTAATGCCATCAACGAGAAGTACGCATTCTGTTCTCCAGCCATGTCCATGTAGTATTGAATCTTCTCTACAACTGTAGGATCCTCAAGTACAGAAGGAGACGATGATGGTGTCGACGATCCAGTCAAATCAATGGGGCCCTTTCGCCTACCATCTAATTCGTACGAATGGTTATCTTGACCTTTGATAAAAGTGATGAAATGGAAATTGATATCATCTTCAGACGATGGTGCTTGAGTCTGCCCTTGAGACCCAAAGTTATCATCTAATTTGATCGACTTCTCCAAATTCTGGATTAGATGGGAGTACTCTACTTCGTCATTGCCAACCAGTTTAAGCTCAGTGAGAAACCTGTCTAAGGGACTGTTGTTGATAACCAACGACTTGCTTACATTGGCTAAGAGATGAAGTAACGCATACAACCCACACCCATTTTTAATGGTCTGTTTGAACCAATTAATACTTTCAGACCCGAGAGATACGTTGGTATCTTGAGCCTTTCTATACGTCTCATATTGTTCAGTAAGGGGGAACAAGAGGATCACCCCATAAACAGGTTGAGGTAAGAATGCTAGCAACGAGGGATCGGAGATTGAATAAACATCATGGAATCCTAGGAGTGGAGAAAGTCCTAAATGCCCAGCCAATTGAGTGAAGATCTCGGGGTTTGATTCCAAGGGGATAACTGCAGGTTCCATCTTAATAAAGCAAGGAGTTGCAATGGCAAATGTTATGGCAGTTGAAAGCTGTTTGAAATGCTTCTGGGTTTTTTCCCGGACATGTAAACTTCCTATTTGGGTAATATGGTCTCCGGTGTACGGGATGAATATGCTAGCTTCTAATTATACACTGATATTACGTTATTCTGGTCGACTGTTGTACATTTTCTCCAAGACACTTTCATTAACAAATGAAAAGCCCTTGACTTGAAGGATATCTTCGTCTAACGGAGACTTGTCTGGTGGAGTGAACGGCATATTGGTGAATTCATCGTCGAAATTCTCTGCTAAGATTGGGTCAGTAATCACCGGTAAAATAGGAGGTATTATGTCAGTATCATTAAGGGTCTTCCAGTCCACAGTACGGAAGAATCTATGCTGCATTATCTTTTTAAATTGTGTTTCGTCATCAAGATCCACTCGTTTCATCGGATTAACCTGTAGAAGTTTCCGAAGAAAGTCTTTAGCGTCAAGTGACAAGTAAAAGGGGAACTTCAAAAACTTTTTGGCATTCATCACTTTATCCATAACCTTCTTATTATTATTTCCTGTGAATGGTGGAGACCCCGTAAGTAAATCAAAGCACACACAACCTAGAGACCACCAATCCACCCCAAAGTCATATTCTTCACCTTTCAAGATCTCAGGTGCCATATATTGAGCAGTTCCTGCAAGCGAATTCAATTTAACGTCATCAACAGTCTGTTTAGAAAGTCCGAAGTCGGTCAACACCAAATGACCGTACGAATTCAACATACAATTTTCAGGCTTCAAATCTCTATATATCACCTTAAGATTAACATGAAGATACCGTATAGCCACAATAAGTTGTGCTATATAGTAACTGGCCTTGGTCTCTGGCATGTACCGCTCTTGGGCCAAATGGTGGAACAACTCCCCCCCGTCCAAATACTCCAATATCAAATAGAGCTTGTTATGGTCCTGGAAGGCGTAGTAGAGCTTAACAATGTTGGGATGGTTAACGGATTGCAATATGGTCTTCTCATTAACGGTACGGTTGTAGTTGACTTCGTGAATGGTGTTGTTGATGATCAACAGAGCCTTCTTCAATTGTTTCATGGCATACAACTTATTGGTAGACTTCTCTTTAACCAAGAGTACCTTACCGTAGGCCCCTCTGCCCAAGACTTTTATAACGTCAAAGTCACTGACCTTTGGCTTATCAAATCTAGGAGCTAACGAGTATTGCTTCAAGGGTATCTCATACAGTGATGATATGGTCAGTCTTCTCCTTCTGCCATTACTGTGGCTTCTGCTATCATACATAGGAACAGGTAGCGATTCTCCATAGTCATATTCGTCTTCCGATTGTACTGCTAACAATCGGTAGTTTAGCTCCGAAGGTCCGCTATTATTGTCGTTCACGTCCAAAGATCCAATCCCGTCCTCTAATTGGACCAAATCTTCATCATCTAAGAATACACTCATAACCTCCTATAGTGTGTCTTCAATGCGTCTTGATGTCATTAGTAGAGGAAATTATCAACAGTATACAGATTAGTTTTGTCCCACGTTTCTCAAACGGTTATACTGTCGGAGATAGGCAGAACGTACTCGGAGATAATGTAACTATAGAGGCACATAAGAAACAATTATATACTATTATATTACATCAATTATTACATACTAACTACAAACATACAATGTAACATCATATGGTCCTTATACGACCCTTATTAGGCGCTTTGTCGTCTCTTTATACGGTCTTAAGCCATGCCTTATCGTTGACCTTTAAGAATTGTACAATATCTAATTTGATATCATCAATGTTCTTAAAATCTTCATAGTTAGGTAACTTAATAAGTAACTTATTAAAATGTACCTTCTGCTTTAAAAGCAGCTTGAAATCTTCAAGGCCTCGTATGAGAGATTTATCCAATTTTATAGCAATAATCTCTTCATTCAATTTGACTATCTTGCACTTGACATATTCAATGGGAGCATCTCCATGCATGTGCACCTGTCCAGCAAGATGTTGGTTATAGTAACCCCCATATTGTACATGAGTTTGTTGATGAGATCCTATAGACCCCTTTCGACTACTGGGTCTCCTTCCCGATAAGGAGTTCTTCCGGGATGTAGATCCACCAGATCCAGTTAAACTCCCATTGGATGGTGAGTAATGTGTATATGCGTGAATATTGGGCTGCGGAGACCCAGAAGGTGACATAGGTTGGTTGTGTTCAAGCATATTCAATTTTAATGGAGCAACGACTTTAGGTGAATGTTGAAGTGGATGATTCACTCCTCCTTGAGTGTTAGTAGTTGGCAATGGAGGGGCAAAACTGGCTTGATTAGGAGGACCAAGTATATGACCATGCCCATGGTTTTGAGATGGAGCTCTGGATGGGTTTTGACTTGAGCCAGCCAGTTTAATTGTGGATGTATTGGAACCAGTACGTTTTATACTGTGATTGCGTAAGCCTTCAAAGGAATTAATTTGTTGATAATGGTTATAGGTGTTCTTAGATCTCGTTCGACGAACAAAATCTGGACTTCCAGTTGAATTATCAGGAGTTGTATCTGCTGTTGATTGTGCCTCACTTGCGGAATTTGATTCCTCCGAACTATTGTCATTAATTTGAGTTTCATCACCATCAGTTGAACCTTGTTCCAGCATTTGAGGGAGTTCATCTTGCTTTATGTCGTCAGCTTCAAAAACCTTCACAGATCCCTTGAGAACCTTCTCATTTATATCATCATTTTTCATGTGAAATTTAGACATTTCCTCCCGTTTAACAATAAATCCTGGAGCATTCTCATTTGTGAGCCAAAGAAAGAAATGAACAGACAATTGAGACTCTCTATTCAGAATCAATTCATTGATATATACATGCAAATCATTGCATCTTTTCAAAAGCATATTGTTGAGTTCTTTTCTATCTTTTTGCTTTGCCAGAGGGATGGGTTCTGGAAGTTTTGGTAACGAAGATGAAGAACTGGTTTCCAAAAGGGAGCAATGCAAATTGTAAAAATCTTGATAGTAACGTCCTAAATACATTTTTGAATCATCGCTAAATTTCACGTCAACTCGATACCAATATCTTTCATTGTACAAAAGAAAGTTCAGTATTGAAGCACTTATTGGATAAGTTCTGTTGTTAAATGTCTTAGCCTTGTTACTGGTGATCAAATCTTGAATTTGAGCATCGTTATAAGACTTTGTAACTGAATTTATATCAGAACTCGACGATAATGCTGAGTAGGAAGAATTATGAGCAGTTATAGTAGCCGAAGGACTGTGAGGTTGCGTTGGTTGATTCCCAAACGATGTAGAGTTCAAAAAAGGACTACTACTACCATCAATGGGGGATGAACCCTGACCAGAATTTGTCTCACGAATCCATGACAAGGTAACTGGGTTTATTGTATCATTAACAGCAATATCAACATATGAAGCAGGTACTAACCCAGGAGTTTGTAGTTTTTCAATAGATTTAACGAGAACCCAACCATTTCCTGGTCTGTCTAACAACTTCAAAATGTCACCCTTATTGACCGTTAATTCACTGGAACCTTCTGCCTTGAACAGATACTTCGCAACTAGAATGATATTTGCCTTGATATGTTTCTCTTGGAGCTCCACACACTGGGGCTTGGAGATCTTAAGTAGCTTAATGTTGGTCATGGGGATGAGAGCAGATTGGTAGTTAAAATGAGTGGAAGCGAAATCGAGTTTCTTATAGGCAAAAGCAGTTATATTATTGTTATTGATATTGTTATTGTTATTGTTATTATGCGCGTGAAGCTCTGTTCAACTCAGTGGGTGTATCTTCGCTGCAAAAGTTTGTCTGTTTGCTTGTTTGGGTTTGGCTTATCCGTTTGGCTTATGGTTATCAAGAAAGATATTTTGCTGGTGATAATTGGGGGAGAAGCCGTGTGTTCGTATTGCAGGACACGGCGTAATTGTTGTTGAAAATAAAACCTTTTGACAATGGAGACGCGGTTGTTGGGGACAATGCGGTAACTTGGCTTATTCAAGATGTAATACGGAATGAAATGAGATAACAACTTTGATATTACTAACTAGCTTGGAGTAGTAGACGAGTCGTTAGTCGTAGGTAGATAGATGTTCGTATAATTAACTTCTGAACCGGTAGCAAGGGGATTTTAGTTGATGGTAGTTTGAAGTAGCAGTATCGTGAGTAGAACTTTCGTTGGGACCTTAGGGTAGATAAGTAATTGTTTTACGTGTTTTTGTGTTCTAATCTGTAACAAATACCTGATGGGAAATTATGTAGGAATGTTTGAGGTTAGGGTGTCTCATGAAACACCATCAGCTCAAAAACAGATAGGAATTGGTCCAATTGGTCAATCTCGTACTAACCCCATATTAGGTACTATTATTGTTAATATTATTCTTAGTACAGCTACTAGTTTTGGCACCACTATTACTACTATTAGTTTTATGTTATACTACTACAATTAACATCAAAGTATCAGCGTTGCTAATTAACTTTGACTTGTACACATTATGCGAACCGCCGATGACATTTCAACAAAAAGTTAAACTTCTTGTCCATCAGTGACGGATTATTAATAATGTGCCAAGGATTAATCTCCTTCCGGCCATTTGTGCTTAACTCCATCGATGTATGGGAGTGTTGCTGGTAATCCAGAAGTGTCAGTTTAATATGTGAAGAAGAAAGAAGTGATGAGAATTAAAAATTGCCTTCAATAATTTTTTTTACCACTATCCATCTCTCCAGATTCATTCTTGTGTCACGTGATCCAGTATATGCAGTTTTGTTCATCCTCTATACCGTTTAAGCTGTAACAACTTACTTTCCATAACAATTACTTTCCACATACCAAACCCCTTCAGTTTCTCTCTGTCTTCTACCTATTGCTAATTATTCTCTTATTTGTAATTATAAAGATTTTCTCCTTTCATGATTGTGTTCTTTATTCTCTATTACTAAGTTACAAGTAAAAGCCTTTAATTTCACAGCAAACTGATACTTTCTGCCTTAAATTTATGTGCTTTATACTGTTTGCCTTATTTTGATGTACTAATACCTAATATCAAAAAAATCAATCTGGGATCGCCTTTCGAGCGATCATAAAACTTCTATTGTTAGTGTGTTACCTCCAAAGACCGCCCAATCTCACTTGGTATCCCATGCAAGAGAACAGGTGACATTATTCTCTTGCCCACTTTATTGTCAAACAATAATCTTGCCCTGCACTATAAGATTGAGGAGACTACAACGCTTAATCTGCCGCTAATGTACTAAGGATTGTTTTACAATTAGTTGCGCTTGTACCTTAATCTCACGTACAAAATGTATACTATTGCCTTGTTATAATCATGCATATTTTACGTCATTGAAATCAGTTCTTTACAACAAATGCCATCACATGCCTATCAATCACTACTCTAGCGGCGCCATTTCCCTTTTTGAATAATGTAGAGAAGACGTCCAAGGCAGACGAGTACATTCGTGGAAAAATCACAAACCTTCACTGCACAATTACCTGTTGGATCAAAGTAATATTTTACATGCAGTAACAAAAGCGTACAGCCCTTAGGTGTAAAGTGCTTTCCTTTGCTTTTTAGTCTTATCGATGTTTCTAATACCTTATTGAAACCAAGAATGACCAACAATCTTGAGTAGATATTATATTTCTTACGGACAAGCTTTTTATTGCAATATATCTGGCCATTAGACTACAACCCCTTCAACACCAGATACAGATTCAAATAGTGTCTGAATTAGGCGCAGCTATTGTTTGATCCGGTGCATTTGGTCAAGCATAACTGTATTGGGGCTCTCCAGCAGGGCATTATTAGGGTTCTCCAGCATAAGCTTAATCATGCCTGCAGTCTGCAAAGTTAACAAGCTGAATTACATCGTTTCATATCCTACAATTGTTGTTTATATATAATAGAAGAAATAAAGCAACTTAAAGGTAAACGTCATAGTTACCATAATATCCCTTGTATCATCCGACCTTATGGCAGAGGCTTCGTGGTACGGAAAAATGCTTTTCAAATGCGAAACCTTAGGCGTAGATCTGCACATATTTTTTATGACTACTTACATTAAGGTTTATTTTTCTCTAGGTCACCGTAAGCATTGTATATTCCGTGGATGGAATGATTGGTAATTCAGAAATTAATCGTATGACGTACGATAATAGAGAAAGATGTAGTGGAATGTGACTGAACATGTTTCACAGTCTAACAATTTTTTACGTTCTCAGTGATACAAAAAAATTCCGCTTCCTATTCTGCTAAAGAAACAGCCCTTTTGGCGATTGCTAACGGGTAAACATTCTCGAGCGTATTTTGTCCCATTAAAGATGCATCTGTAGAAGAAACTCTTGTTGATCTTCCAGTTTAGGAAACGTTATTAGACGCATGGCCCCCCCCCTCACAAGTTCCAGACAAAACTGGGGTCAAACAAACGTATGTAGGACGTTATATTGTTAGGAGAAAATGTCTGATTTTTGTTCCTATACATTTTGGTAGTTTACAAACAATGTGATAGAAGAGAGTCTAGACGTATTTGCGCCTGCTTGTAGTAGAATTTCCTTTTACAGGGAACACTGGACATTAATAGTTGGCAGCACCCAATTTTCTTATGACAACCATAGCACCCATTATTACCTTTTGCAATACCCCTATGCTCTGCTGTATGGTGCTTTACAACCAAACTATTACGCTCTATCAACGAGGTGTAGTGATTAGACATCACCAAGTATTGTAGTAGGTGTTAATCTGAACAAAATTAAAAAGGAATCGTTTAAACACCAAGGTCTTAGCTTCAACTGGTTGCGAAAATAGATCCTTAATTGAATGAACCCTCTTTGTTTTTAATTATGAGCTTAATAGTTCCCATTCAGATCTCTTACTGATTCTTCCAATACATACATGATTGTTTCATTAGATGGTGATGTTAACTGAAGCAGATGTTGCTAGGTAGAGAATATCTATGATACCGTTTTTGTATGGCTAATATTTTTGATCTTACATGAGAAGTATTGTATCCTTGTAGAAGATAATCGAGTTTTCGGTCTTTTTTTCCAGCGTCTAACAATGTTTGGCTTCTTTAGACATTTCCTATATATAATGCGGACTGGGTCGCAAAAGGGTTCCCCTGATACTATCAAATCTGCAGACAATTAAAGGTTGAACTTAGACGAATAGACGAATACAAAATCTGCAAGGTCGACTAAAACTTTATAATATACAGTGTCATACACGTGACGCCCTAAATAGTGGACTAGATGTTTGGGGCTTCGTACCATCATAACTAAACTAAAAGAATTTGTAGTAGATAAAATTAATAACTTAACAAAGAACTGAAGATAAGTCCCCTGAAAACTACACAGCCTGTGAACCAATTCTTCCTACTCCCACCACCTAATCAACAATAGTAAGAAGGTAAGGTCGGAATAATACAATTTTCATATGCAATTGTGATATGCTGTGGTAACAATATACTGTTGATAATAAAAAGTACTAGGCCATATTCATTGTTTAAACGTTTATAAGCAAAAGGTTGAGTCACAAGCCACTCGATCGATTATGAATCATTTGTAATCATGATCTAATCAGGTGCAAACATTGTCCAGCAAATCTGTGACATTAGCCCGCAAAATATACTCCATCATATTCTGAAGGTTATTCTATTATAGATAATCAATAGCTTATAAAATAATCGAGGATACATGGAGTCCAACGAAGAAGAAGCATTATTTGAATCCCAATGACTTCACAATGTTGAAAACTCTAGCCAAATTGGCAACTACCTTGTTGGCTAAGAGAAATACCACATGCTGTCTTGACATAAGCCATATCGTTTGATTAACACTCTGGAAATTACGCATAGATGTGGTAAATAAAGTTTGCGCTTGAGGAATAATATTCAAAGTGGTTTATTGTTTAATCTTTTGATTTCTGGATTCATTTATTTATCGTCTGAAAGTGCCATTTGATTGGTCAAGGGAGACATTCAAAGCACACAATTGGTAAGACGTTGTACAAAGTTTGAAACATGCTCAGAAAGTAGGGCCCCATGACGACGCTTTAAAAATCCTCACAATGGAACGGAAACAGTACAAGTATACCGTTGACCTTAGAGACTTGATCTTGCAAATTGAGGAATAAAAAATACCCTGAGACATTTTCCACCATTATTCAAGATGAGCTGATAATACTAATTCGATCGAGACTCTTAACAATACTAGGTGATAATTTCGCGTTAAAGTATGAGCTCATCCTCGCATTTACATAAAGGAGACAAAATGAATAGAAAAATCTACAACCTACGTTCAATTGTATTGTTGTACTTAGTTTTCTCGTGCCATAAAGAAAGCGTATGTTCAAGTAGTTTGGTTTTATTAAGGTATGTATGATCTACGATTCCACCCGGCCGAATGCTGTACCTATCGCAGCGAGGATGGAACAGTAAGGTACCGCTGGTTTCTGATAAATATGCCGGAAGATAGAGTTAGAATTGATCAGGTCATTGTTTAAACTACGCCTTAGTTGCAGGTATTCCACAAGTATAGGGTCGCATCTCCAAGGTGCATATCAACAAACTTAAATTGTAGGATAGGGTAGGGTTTCGTATTTGATGTAGCGATACACCATTCTTCTTCATAGTCTATGACGATGTAAGAATAATAATAGGAATATATCCGAGATGGGCTGGTTCAATGGAGGAGGCTGATTCACTGATTACCACATTACCACTTGGGGTAAATGTGTTCATTTATAACAAAATTAGACTAATAAACTACAAAAGAGGCTAAGTATTGAGCAACAGTATTTCCAACGTCTTTTGTAAACGTTATACATTTAACCAGTAGGTATTTATGACTCCTTTCTATCAGAAATGCAACAAGGGAATGTCGTTAAGAGGAAGAAGAACGGTTCCCTAAAAAGGGTCCACTTGATTTGAGAACGCAGGCCAAATACATCGAGCCTCAAAGTTTTATCTATCATGTATAATTGGAAAATTCCATACGAGGTTCGTAATGTACATCTATAGCTGTCGTCTATTGACAACCATTTGCAACGTAAGCAATGGGATGGCCTGAATCAGATTAGCGAGCTTACCCAACCCACAGAACACAGAAGCAATCCGTAGTACCGTTATAAGTTCGTATGGAGCCATCAAACGTTATGGTGGTAACCTTTAAGAGGCATGCATACGCAAAAATTGAACATGTAGCTTTCGTATGCTTTATATGGACGTTATGCCGAAGGTCAAGTTCGAAAATTGACTAGATCTTTTTCTTGATTGTTTTGCTCTTTCTCGAAGTTAGAGGATGACGTAAACTTATTTATAGAAAAGTGAAATAAAGATGTTCAACTGCAATGGTGCCTATTAGTGCCCTAAAAGTGATGGAAACTTGCGAAATCAATTACGAGTTTAACCGATCTAGTTCTGTCTAGCGGGTTCAAGAAATAACTCTTTTGGGAAAGTAGCCCCGGATCCCTCTGAGAAGGCGCCGGTGGCAAGTGTTTACTCTAATGGGAACAAATACACTTTCCACTTCGAATACAATTGAAAAAGAGAGTACACGGTTGGGCGTTTCGTATACAGAGATTTGTTTTCTAGGTGGGTGAGGTTTCGTATGTATGGAGTAATATAATATCTTAACAATAAGCTATTATCAGGTACTGACCAAAAACTTTAATGCACGAGAACATTACAGACAAAAAATAACATGTAACTCCTGACAGACATTTTTTTTTGTTAACCGTACATGTATGCCATGAGACGCAGCTAGGTCCTAAAAAAAGAACCAAAAAAAAAAAAGGAAAGGAGAAATGTAAATGAATCTTTCCGAGGCGACGCATCCGAAGGTTATTATACTGGCGCCTTATTCTGAAGTCTGCTTGTATTCATTCATGTCCAATGCTTAGAGCTGGAAGAAAAAGCTTACAATAATGAAGTAGTCAACTAGTAAATCTTCTGTAAAACAATTCACAGCCATATTTCCCCGTCGAAAGTCCAAAAGTTGGCTTTTCTGCGGGAAGATGATTGTTAGTAAGAGTTTTTTTTTGTCGCTTGGAGAATTTTATTTTTTAGACAAGTATATGCACATCGGCCATTGTTATTTTGCTTTCATGCTGATTCTTGCATTTGCATTTTTTATTTGCATTCTATTTGAATATTCTAAAATTTGTTTTGAATTGCTTCAGGTCAATGTGCTTGGGTGTTATTGATTGATTGCTAAGAGAACATTCAACTTAGAAAGGGACAACTCATACAAAGGAGAATCACCACATTGTGCTGTTATGTTCAAGTAACCATGCGATTGAGCATATCAAAGAGAGTTACCGAAGAAAGTTTCAGCCTGTAATTACGCTTGCACTAAAAAGCCAGTTCCTGCTTTTCTGCAGAGAAACACCAGGCATTTGAGTAACAAAAACTGATAGGCATTGGAAGGGTCCTCTGTTTAAGCTGCCTTATTTTTTTTCTCTTTTGTTTAACTTTGGGGTTCGTTGATATATTTAACCCTTTTAACCCCCACTGTTGCCTTTACCCAACAACTGACAATTTTACAAGTCTTCCAAGACTGACTAGTTCAAGAAGTTTTCTTAATCTTGGTTGTGATTCTATCTGCAATTGCAAACCTCATTCTGCAACTTCCCTCACACTAGAACGTCTTCAAGCTTTCCACTCCTAGTATCATTTCTGTTGGACTGTGGATACTTTTTACCTTTCAAGTTCACAAGTAATCGTGGGAAATCTGTTCAGTTCAATATTGTTTGTTTCAAGTGGAATTCAACTGGCAAATAATAACCCTTTTGAATGTTGTATTTAATTTCGAAATCATCTTTCCTTCCTAGATACTGGTTTAAGTTAAATCGAAAGGACCTTCTGATTCTCTTATAGAGTTTTCATCCCATACATTCCTCAATCAAACATACACACAGTTATCATTGTATATTATTGCCGAGATACTAAATGGAAAACCATTCACATACTGCAAGTCCAACAGTTGCAATTAGAGTAGAGGAATCGCCGTATTCAGTAGGATCAGCTCCCCAGTTGACAGATGACGACAACACAATCAATTTGAATTCGTCATTCAATCAAATTAGTTCACCATCACCACATCAAGTGAATCTCAATCACCATAATCGAATGAGTGCTCAACAAGATTCTCCCTATGAAGCAGAAGATTCTTTATCTGTCAATATGAACCAAAAATGCCATCCTCAAGGAAAGCAAATATACCCCAAAGCTGGACAAGCAGGTGTAAGTTATTCCGATCCAAATTCGAATGCTTTTAGAATTTATCAAATGGACTACAACAACAATAACAACAACAATAGTAAAACCGAAGAGCCAAACAGAGGTGCATTCAAGCCAATGAGACCGCCACCTTTACTGATTTCTTCACAACAAAAACAATATTTGCATCAACAACTAATCAATCATTATTCCCCTACATCATCGTCCTATCTCTCTTCTGCACCACCTTCAATCCTTTCCAGTACTCTGTCGTCAGGGTATAACACATCTCCAATGATCCAACAACACCATCAAAACCAAGAACAAAGTAATCATGGAGGTCCAAGAGGAGGGCAAGGGAACCCACAACTATCGACAACAATGAATGAACTTCCAGGAGCAATGCACAAATACGGCGGGCCCAGTGATAGCTTTGATGAAGTCCATGGATTACATACTGTAGATTCTGATGCATCATTCAATTTGCACCCTCCAAATTCATCTTATCTCGACTATCATTATGGTAGTGGTGGATCAATTTCAGGCGGTTCGGAATCAGGTTCAGTTAGTGGTATCCCACCCGAACCACCAAAGGAGTTATACGGGAACCTGCTAGCCATGAGTTCCGATAGTTCCTTATATGAACAAACAGTAAATCGACAACATGCTTTCCAACAACCATTATTCAAATTGAATATGGGTGATTCAAACTCAGACATCTTAAGTGATTTACGTCCAGATCACAATAATTATAGTAACTTCAATTCCAGTTCCGGTGATCTTGCTGAATTCGAACAAAGTGAAGTTCTGGTAGATCATTCTATACATGAAGATAAAATCACCACAACCATACCCCCAAGTATGATTGGGAACAATAATGCAGAAATAGCCACTACGACCGATAATAGAAACTCCCAAGCAACCATAACTGGGATCCCGGGAGTCCCTGGTATGACAACACCCAATATTGGCTATGCAAATCCTCAAAACGTTTCTCTCGGATTACCAGGAGAGTTTATGTACAGTTTAAGTGAATTAGAATTTGGGAATCCGTCATTTGATCTGGTTGTTGATTCTTCATTCGATGATACGTCTGGGTTTCCAACGTTTTCAACAACGTCGCAATCACAAGTCAATGGTATGCCAAACACCAACCTTGCATATGTACCCACTGGGTCAAATGATAGTGGTGGTAGTCAGCATCCAAATGGTCCTAATGGAGCCAGTAATAGCAAAGCATATCCACACCAAAATCCATTGTTAATGACAAGACATTTACAAAATAATTCAGACTCTGCCACAACCCCCTTAACATCTTTTGATACTTACTTGTCAGATAGCAACAGCCATTCATTTGTACCAAGGGAAGGTAATGCAAATAATAATAATAATGTTCAATCAAACAATTCCATTTCCCAGAGACGAGTATCACTGAAGAATTTGATGTTGGTGCAAAATTCACCTTCATCAACTTCAGCAGCTACTCAAGAAGATGATATCCAATCATCCCCTTTATTAAATTCGGGAACTGATATTCAACAATATTCTCCCCGGCATTTGATTCAACGTCGTAGACTGCAACATCAAAGATCACCACTTCGAGAACACACCGAAGCCCTACCCCCCAAAGAAGCTGCTTACCACCATGGTAATTCCTACCACCAGAGTACATCTCAAGCTGCAGAATTTGTACCACAACTGCAGCAGCAAGCTCATTATCAAAATCAATTCAATGAGTTGGCTCAACAACAACAGAATTTGCCTGATGGAGGAAACAACAACAATAGCCAGCGTAAAACAATGATGTACAATGCAAGTAATGGTCATATGTCTCAACAACTGCTACAAATGTACAATGGGTTCCCTTCAATTCTTTCCAATGTTCCCACGTCGGCACCTCCCCTGGCTCCATTACCACCGTTGCCACCCTTTGAAAGTGGTGGTAACGAGGAACAACAACAACAACATCATCATCGTCAACAACATCACCCTCAACATAGAGAACTGAGTCATGGTGGTACCTGGCAAAAGAACCCATATCCTCAATTAAATACCTTTTATCACAATGGGAAGAAACCCAGCAATAATAGTTTCAACATGGAGGGACCAGGAATCCCCATCCCACAAGGATTCCCACCTCCTCCTCCCATGGGAATGCATCCAGTGGGAAGTAGTGGAGCCAGTAGTGATCGTTCCGACAGCAGTGTTGGGTCAAATGGCATGATCAAAAAGAAGCACACCAGACGGAGACTACTACCCCGGTCTAAAAACGGCTGCTGGATTTGTCGGATCAAGCATTTGAAGTGTGATGAAAAAAGACCAGTGTGTGCTAGTTGCCATAAGTTTGGAATTGTGTGTGATTATAGTCCTCAAAAGCCAGACTACGTTCTCGATAAGAATATCAGGAAACAAAAGCTTATTGAGATTTCTTTGGTCCGGAAACTGAAACATAAGGATATTGGCCGTAAGAAATAATCATGGAGTCAAATCATATCAAATCACATCATGTAAAATGACCCTGACATGACCCCATTCATAGTTTCTGTTCTTCTTAGTTAATAATTTTCTAGTAGTTTACTTCTTATTTGGATGCTTCTCATCCACTCCTCCTTTTCCTCCTGGTCTGCTATATATAGGTGTATACGTCAAAAGGTATGTCTTATACGGTTCCTAAGTGTGAGTCTAGAATCATCAGTCACCTATAGTCAGATCAAAAATATCAAGGGGTTACCCGGAACAAACTCATATATGTAACGGAAGATATACCGTCAAATGTTAATTGAAAAAATTAGTCAGTACATATATATAAATAATAGTAAGTATATATATACGCATATATGTATTACTGTCAATCAAACTCTATCAGATGTCTTGATATCAATAATCATGCTCCACAATACCACCGTTTACGTAGAGAGGTCCACTGATTGCATGCACCAGAGTTAGTAAGGTAGAGCCCCCATTCTTTGTAGCCTGACGCAAACCAATGCATTCAACGGCAAGGATCCCAAACGACAAGAGAGAATACGGTAATCTCATATGACAGATCAAATATATGCTCACTAGTATGGTCAATGTATACTAAGTGAGGTATATATATATATGTAAGTATGTATCTGAAGTGTAGTCCTATCTCATAGTCCCTTTGTTGACCGCGTGTCCGTTACGGTGTTTCCCGTGATATATCATACCGTATATATGCTTGCTATCTTTCGACCCGGGAAACTGCAAAGGTCGTAGGGTAAACAAATCTATCAAAAGGTTGGGCCGTTGGTATTTGATTTTAGACGAGAAACCTTATTCGTCTAAGCGAGTTTGACGGTCATTGTATTGCTCATAAGTCTACATGGACTTATTCGTCTAATGAATAAACAAATCAAATCTATCAAATCTAATCAAGTTCAATTAAGGTACAAGACACAAATCTATTCCCATTCAGCTACATGAAGCTCCTTTCTAACAATCTGACCATCACCAATTTCCAAATCTGTGGGTTCAATTACTTCCGTTGAACCATATCCACTTTGATCACCATCATCGTATCTGCTACTTACCATATCATTAACTTCTGTATCTGGATATCGTATTAAATACGCAAGATCTCCTTCAAACCCAACTAATGGCCCATTAAGTGCTTCTAAAACATATGGATAAGTATAATCTGCATACAATTCTCGTTCCTCATCAATGGTCGACCGTCTGGTCAGCAGTCTGTATAAAGGTATCTCTTCACTCATGGAGTCTACCACAGTTGTTATTCCATTAAGTTCATCTTCGGCTGCATTAGATCCTCGTTCATTGGAGTCCAATACTGCTATCGAAGGTGGACCTCCTTCTCCACTAAAAGGGGAGGGAGTAGTGCTTTCACTATGTGTAGTGGTAATAGCTCCTTCAACAGAATGTTCATCTTCCAACATCTCATCATCAAACTCTGATGGGTTCAAAATGGCTCTCAAGGCAATAAAATCATTTAATGGTAAGTAATATTTTTCATAATGCCAGGATACAATAAGTGTAATGACTATTAAAGGCAGTACAAGAACCAGTAACAAGATTGCACCTTCTAAAGCTAAGGTACCACACATGAATATCTGGAAGATTATTAGACCCAACATTATCCGTCTAAAAATCATTGGCCATACCTTCCCGCTTGAATGAGGAGGATGAACAAAGCAATAAATCAATTGGTATTTGTAGACAAAATATCCAAAGACAAAGTAAACTAAACCTGAGCAAACAATTTTTGTCAGTACCACTGAGTAGATTAAAATAATGATAAAGATCAAAATATGTTGGGGCAATTGTAGACCAAAATCGAATATCTGTGGGGTATAATAAAAACTTCTATAATCTCTGGGAGTTCTTAAGAAAAGACTTCTGAAAAAGAAGAGTTTACCAATTATATTCAAAACAAGGAAATCACTTATTTGTAATAATCTAACGGGGAACATAGTTAAACCTTGAAGTAAGATCAAATTAACATAAAACAACAGGAGTTTCTTCAATGATTTAGCCAATTGGTATGCAATCTTTGTAGTGTCACTGATATATGATAAATAATCCCACACAGTTCCTGTAACGATGAAAACCAAAAACAAATTAAAAAAGATGAAGAAGAAATTCTTCAGCAATGTTGATAGTTCAACTTCTCCATTAGATGAATAACCTTGGAACTTAGACAAGTAAGCATAGAAATAAGGTAAGGAGATATTAATGAGTGAAAACAATAATGGTGGTAATACACCGGTAACAAAAGTAGTTGCCCATTTTGATTTGTTAATTAACTCACCCAATGCGGGCCAAAACTTGGATAAAGTCTTTGGATCCAATAATGTAGTCAATGGAGTAACAAGGAATATGACAAACAAATAAGATATGACAATAAGGAAAGTAACAAAATAACTCTGACAAACCTTTTCCAAAGACGTCAATTTGAAACTACTCCATAAGACATCCTTGGGAGCCGGAGCCAAAGTAACAAATAATTTATAAAGTCTTGGATCTAATACCGTTTGAGCAGCCATTTGAGCACTGGCAACAGAATCCATAGTAATGAAAGCCGATCTTAATAGTTTGATCTTTTTATGTTTAATGGTAGACAATGTAACATTGTATTGACTTTGTATTGTTCTAATTTTGTATTCAACTTGAAGCAACTCCTTTGAGAGACACTTGACTTTCTCTGAAGTCTTTGCATTAATGGGAGTTTGGTCAGATATGTTGTAGAAATTATCCAATAACTTGATGACACAAGAAGGAGATTTCTGGTTATTATAGACATCCAAATCCAAACCATAAATTGAAGTATATAACCGTTCCAATTGTTTTAATAAAGAATTACGCTTCTCCATCAAATTGGATAATGGAGTCCAGTCATAGATAAGCTTGACTCCTTCAACTTTACCTATGCCCAAATCTTCAATATATTTTTTCAAAACAAATGGATTATTATCTCTGATTAACCTATTAGGAATCCCGTCTAATCGAATGGTTCTATCGGTTATAGAGTTTTGACTGGCCAAATATTTTTGTCTGACCTTCAATACTTGTTTAGTAGTTGCAAACACAAATTGGTACAAGATAATTGAGAACGTATACGTTGCCACAGGGTAGATCCAAATATAAGCAGGGAAATCAGTTGACATCGGTGGTGGTTTGCCATCATCAAGTAATGACACGTTATCTTTATCGTAATTACCGGTGAAGTAATATCTGACTGGACTCAAAACAAACACCGATAACACTGATAACACAGCAAAGATTTGAATACCCATTTTGAAGAATTGTAAGTAGACATAAACATCCAAACCACTAAACTCCAATACTTGATCATCAGTTATGGCATAAAGAGTACTTAACCAACCAAAGAATCGTTTCGGTAGGGGTTTGATCTTAGCATTATGTGCTCTTCTAAATAGTCGCGTAGCATATATGTTTGGCCATCTGTATCTCATCAAACAGAAGCAATAGAACAGAAACAACCCAATGACCGAGCATATAACCAACTGAGTAGTAAACACTCGTTGCAGACCTCGCATAGATATTGGGTCCGTGACCGGGTTCTCTTCAGACATATTAATACTAGTATTCACGCATACAATACATATATGTATATAGTATATTATACGTAAGATATATGGTTATGTATGTTTGTATAGTGTTTGGTTGTACGCAATCGTACGTATTATACTTGTCTGTCTGGTGTTATGGTGTCTCCCTAAACGCACGCTTACCATAACAAAACGTGAACCAGCACAAAGTACTTTATTCTGTTATCTACAGTACAATTACAAGGTACCTACTCACTGGCTTTAGTGTGGACGAAAATTTTTCAATGTACTACCAATGATTTGGGTGGGGGTTTGGGTAGTGTCAATTTCCACTTGATAATTGAAATAAAGCCAGTCATTAAATAAGATCATCTTTACTTTAACCTTGAAATTAAATCACTCCAAGGGCTTCCATAATCATAAGCATAATCATAATCATTTCCATTACCCTTCCCTATGAGTGACGTTTACGTGGTTATACATGCAGCCACTACTTGTGACGATTCTAACAACTATGTCACTAAGGACTCTACCGAGTTGATAGAATTGGCTTGGAGTTTGGTGGATGCAGAAACACTAAACACCATAACACTGGATTCAGTTTTGGTAAGACCGGTCAATACTCCCATCACTCCATATTGCTCTCACAAGTATCTGGTTTCTTGGGAACTGGTGAGAAATGCTGGTTCTTTTAAAGATGCCATCACCAAACTTGATAACGTAATCCAAACTCATATTTTATCCAAACTGTTGGAATTCTCCTTTGTGGCCCATGATATCTCCAAATTAAGAGTTCAAATCCCAAGAGAAGCAAGAGATAAATCAGTGGTGTTGCCTCCTTATTTACAACATCCTCGAGTCTTTGATTTAAGTAATGAGTATTCCAAATGGCAATTATCTCATCCAGAAGCTCTTAGTTACACTGCAACTTCCTTCACAAACATTATAACAGCTTTAGAAGTGGAGTTGGATAAAAAGTACAAAGGTATCATTTCCCCAGTCACTTCAGCTTCAACAACCCCCCCACCGCTGCAGGAAAGTGAAACTGTGGTTATTCCATCATTAGAACAACAACCAGTATCCACTGATGATGATAATTTTGCCACCGAAAGTTCCTCCTCATCTCCAGCCATAGAATCTAGAACCAAAGAAGCTGTGGATTTATATTCCAAAATATTGGTTCAACTTATTAAGAAATCTGTTCCCTTAAATGACCATCCTCTTGTTTTGACTAAACCTTATGATACAGCTTATGACATAAAGATATTTTTGGCGGAAAGATCAAAAATCTTATATCTTTCCAACTTGCCTCATGATACAACTCAATCTGAATTGGAATCATGGTTTACTCAATATGGAGGCAGGCCAATAGCATTCTGGACTTTGAAGAACTTGGATGAGAACAACAATAACAACAGCAACAACAATAATGGCAATAACGGCAACAATGCTAGCAATGCTAGTAATAATACCAATAATCTCAATGCCAATTCTGTTCCTGGTAACGAGGGTACTCCTCAACCTCCATCAAGTGGTTCCGTCAATGAAGCAAATACGTTGGGTGATATTAAAGCGAAAACCAAAGGAACCTGTGGGTTTGCAGTGTTTTCCACACACGAAGAAGCAACCGAATCTTTGGCAATGAATGGAAGAGTATTGAATGATTATGCTATAGAAGTACAAGCTTCCTCCACCAGAGTTCTTGATAAAGCCAGTGATCTTTTAACTCCATTCCCACCATCTAAAAACAGACCTCGTCCAGGTGATTGGACTTGTCCTTCCTGCGGATTTTCGAATTTCCAAAGAAGAACAGCATGTTTTAGATGCTCATTCCCTGCCACATCTGCTGTTGCCATTCAGGAGTCCATGTACTCTAGTGGTGGGAACAACAGAAGAAATAACAACAACAACAACAACAACAACAATAACAACAGTAATAATAGTAACAACAGCAGCAATAACAATAACAATAACAATCTTAATAGCAACGGAAATGCCGGGAACAATCAAGATAAATTAGGGTTGAACTCAGTTTCTATGAATTCAGCCTCTTCATACCCTTATTCCGATCAAACATTCTTAAGTCCCGCAACAAATGGTGGTAATAACTATCAAATCAATCAAATAGGTGGAAACGATGCTACTGGTAACTATATCTTGGGTGGAGGAAACTCGAACAACAATTCTGGTAATAATAATAACAACAACAGCAGCAACAATAACAGTAACAACAACAACAACAATAATAACTACAATAATAGTGGCAACCAAGGAGGAAATAACGGTGGATCTAATAGACATTTCACTGGTAACACTGTTCCATTTAGAGCAGGGGATTGGAAATGCTCAAATGAAATTTGTCAATATCACAACTTTGCAAAGAATTTGTGTTGTTTGAAGTGTGGGAGTGCAAAGCCAGCTAGTGTTGGAAACTCCATGAACAACAATAATAGTCCTGCAATGATTCCAACGCCAGGTCCAATCATGGGACTTGGTAGTGGCAATCAAGGAGGATCTGGGTACATGCAAACACCTGGAGGACATCAAAGCAGACATGGATCTGTTAGTGGAAAGCATTATTCGAAAATGCATTACAATAACAATAACAATAACAATAACAACAACAACAACAACAACAACAATAATAATAATAATAATAATGCAGCAGGTAATGGGAAACAAAATTATAGGAATAACCATGGAAATAACGCGGTTAATCCTCAACAAAATGCCAATGGTTTACCCCAACATATGATGATGTTCCAACAACAACAACAACAAGGTTCAGGAGTCCAGTTGCCACCTTCACAATCGTTTCCTCTTCAACACGGTGGTTCGCCTGCTTCGCTGGTGGTGAGCACTTCGTACAATCAAAAGTTTGGTAGTCAATCAGCTTCTAATTCACCAGGATTATACGGGTCGTTTGGTCCCCAGCAATTCAAACTCGGAGGTGAGAATCCTAGTACGGCAAATTTAAGCTCAGGAATTAAGACTAATGACGGTGGTGTCAACCCTACTAACCACCCCAGCAGCAACAACAACAACAATAATGGTAGTAACGACAACCCAGTGTTCAACGCTCTCACAAGTCAGATTAATTCGTTAAACTTGAACTTTTAACAAAAGTAGGGCATCTTTGCTATATTTTTACATTATGGTCGATATTTATTTATACGGTATATTTAATAAGGTTGAATTCAATAGTTACTATTATGGTTCTTAATAAAAAAAGCGTTTATGTTTGTATGTCATTTTGTAGAGCATTAGTAGTAGTTGTAAGGTACTGTATTTCATTTGTCGTGTGATTTGCTAGAGGTGTCCAAGGTTTGTCCGGGTAACCATGTCAACAGAACACGTAGAGAAACCAAATACGTATTGCAAAACATAGAATATACGTTCTAGCCATTAGAATAATATAACATAGTATAATATAATAGTAGCTATAACCAAGATGCCAGACAAATACTCCATTATTCTTCCCACTTATAATGAAAGAAAGAACTTACCTATTTTGGTATACTTAATTGACAAGACATTCAAACAACATCCTGAATACGATTGGGAAGTGATTATTGTTGATGATGCTTCACCAGACGGTACCCAAGAAGTGGCCAAGGAATTGATTAAAATATTTGGCTCTGATCACATTCAATTGAAACCTAGAGCAGGAAAGTTAGGATTAGGCACTGCTTATATTCATGGGTTACAATTTGTTACTGGGAACTTTGTTATTATTATGGATGCTGATTTCTCTCATCATCCTGAAGCCATTCCACAATTCTGTAAGCTACAAAAGGAAGGTGACTATGATATAGTCACAGGTACCAGATATGCTGGCGACGGCGGAGTCTATGGATGGGATTTGAAGAGAAAATTGGTCAGTAGAGGTGCAAACTTTTTAGCCTCTACATTATTAAGACCTAATGTTTCTGATTTGACTGGTTCTTTCCGATTGTACAAGAAAAACGTTTTAGCAAAGATTATTCTGGAAACAAAATCTAAGGGGTACGTTTTCCAAATGGAAATGATGGTAAGAGCCAGGGCTTTAGGGTTCACTATTGCTGAACAACCAATTGCTTTTGTTGATAGAGTCTATGGAGAATCCAAATTAGGTGGAGATGAAATTGTTGGATATTTGAAGGGTGTTTGGAACTTATTTATTTCAGTGTAAGTTCATCTTGTGTATCACATTTATATGTACGTTATTGTAGTTGTTGATACCGTCCCTCATTGTTAGTGATAGTGTAACGGTATAGTATAAATTTTTCGCATCAAATGAACGATAACGTTTTCACCAACCACAACCAAATTCTGTTGGCAGACACACAATGGGTCGAGAAACATATTTAAAGAAGATATATGGCGAAGAAGCATACAAGAATTTGAAATCCAAAACCATTCTTATGGTGGGAGCTGGAGGTATAGGATGTGAACTCATTAAAGATTTGATGTTAAGTGGATATTCCAGCATTCATATAGTGGATTTAGATACTATCACTCTTTCCAACTTGAATAGACAATTTCTTTTCCGACAAAAGGATATTGATCAGAGTAAGAGCAAGACCATCTGTGAAGCTGTACAAAGTTTCAACTATTTTGATTGCAAATTGACAAGTCAACATGGTAACATTATGGATACAAAACAGTTTCCAATATCATGGTGGCGTCAATTCGATATGATATACAATGCATTAGATAACTTAGAAGCTAGAAGATTTGTTAATCAAATGTGTCTTTTTTTAGGGAAACCTTTAATTGAATCGGGTACCACGGGTTATCAAGGTCAAGTTCAACCTATTTTTCCTTATTTATCGGAATGCTTTGAATGTCAAGCTAAAGTGACTCCCAAAACCTTCCCCGTGTGTACAATTCGTTCTACTCCTTCTCAACCCGTTCATTGTATTACTTGGGCCAAAGACTTTTTATTTGTGCAATTGTTTGATGACTCAACAGCAGCAACAGGCTCAGAGTTGTCCCATGTTACTAATCAAGACAGTCAAGATAATGATGAATTGGAAACCTTAAAGAAGGAACTCAGCGAACTTCAGGGATTAAGAAACCTATTCGAATCAGGTAATAAAGAGCTTGCTTCAATATTAGTTGAAGATATTTTTGTGAAAGATATAGCAAGATTACTTCGTATTGATGCATTATGGAAGCTGAGAGCAAAGCCTATTCCATTGGAATACAATAAAGAAGATCTTGAAAAGCTATTGATGGACAATAAAAGTTTAGAAATTTTATCGAATGATACCCAAATGTGGTCTGTGGTAGAAAACGTCTACGTGTTGTATAAATCTTTGCAAGCATTACAAGATCGTTATAAGGTTGACCCTAAAATCCCAATATCTTTTGATAAAGATGACGAGGACACACTCAACTTTGTTGTCTCTTCAGCCAATTTAAGAAGCCATGTTTTTGGTATTGAGATCAAATCTAAGTTTGATATCAAACAAATCGCTGGGAATATCATACCTGCAATTGCTACTACCAATTCCATCATATCTGGGTTTTCAAGTTTGGCAGGTATTAGGGCACAAATCGGTGATAAGATTGATATCTCCAAACACTTGACAACTTACATCAGTATTAAGCCCAATAAGTATATCACCTCAGCTTCACTTGTGCCCCCAAATCATAAATGTGCAAGTTGCAGTTTGGTTCGGAAGGGAATTGCCAGATGCTCAATAGGTACTACAAAATTGTCACAATTGCTTCAATTGGTATGTAAAAGATATGGGTATGTTGAAGATGCAACCTCTATAATAATTGGAAAATCTAAATTGGTTTATGATATGGATTTTGATGATAATCTTGAAACTAGTCTTGAAGATCTTGGGGTTTTCAATGGCCAAGTGATTTTAATTCAAGATGATGATGATAACTTGGAAAACCTTGAATTGTTAATTGAAGACAAGAAGGGAGAAGCCATTTTACCAAATATTCAATTGAGAAAGAAAACTACAATTATTACAGCTGAACCAGGAGGTCTGAATGATATTAATGATGACCATTTAAAGACAGTAGAGAGTGAAAACGGTGACACGATGATAGTTATAGATGAAGATGACGAGAGTGAAATTGAAGAAATGACTATCGATACTGATGGAGTTCATGCAATCTCTTCTAAAAATGGAGATGGGAAAGTGGATGAAAGCTTTCTGGATGATGTTATTGAAATAGAAGATCTCGATGATTATGGTCCTGCTACTAAGAAGCAACGCTTACACTAGAAGTATCAATATATATTTAGCAGTTATACTAAGTTACTATGGCATTTACAGAAGCTATCACGTGACTACAGTTATTATACATGGTCTTTAAATCACGTGACTTTGTCCACCAAAAACGGGAAATGATGTACGAATCAAAAATTGTGAAAGGAAAGAGAACAGTTTGTAATATTAACTGGTTACGTATTCAATTGATTACTTATATAAATAATCTACAATGTCCTGGCAAGCATACACTGACAACTTAGTTGCTACTGGAAAGATTGATAAGGCCGCTTTATATTCTAGAGCCGGTGACTCATTATGGGCACAAAGTGGTTCTTTCCAATTGGAACCCACTGAAATAGCAGCCATTGCTAAAGGGTTTGATGTTCCTGATGATTTACAGGTACATGGCTTACATATTCAAGGTAAGAAGTACTTCCTTGTCAGAGCGGATGAAAGATCCATTCAAGGTAAGTTTAAGGATGATCAAACTGATGTTGGCATCATTGCTGTTAGAACAAAGCAAACCATTTTGATTGCCCATTACCCAACAGGTATTCCAGGTTCAGCAGCTACTGTTGTTGTTGAGAAGTTGGCAGATTACTTGATTTCTGTTCAATATTAGTTAAAGGCGAGTTGGAATACGCCCATATATATTTTGGTTCATTGAGTGTACTGGAACTCTAGTTATATAAAATAATACATGAGTATGACAATTATATGTTTCCAGATTTACCACATATTGTATGCATAGTTACTAGTTACGTTATACTAAGCTAGGTAATCAGACTACATTAAAAAGTGAAGCGTACTCTCCACTACGATTTTGATCTTTAAGAGTCAACAGAAGCTCACCAGTTTGTCCTGGTTAGTGAAGCCTGCAGATGGACTGGGTCCACCTTAACTCGTATATTAAACAGATATATCTAAAAGAACTTTCTTACTTGAGTAGGTTGAAATTTTTTCTTATCGTAGTTTTTCCGATTAGAGCATTAAAACAGAACATGATTCTTTCACTCCTTATGAGCCCCCCTGAATGTTATTACACCCTGAAAACAATACAATACTAATTCAAACCTTAAACAAAAACAGTAGAAGCCCAAGCCCGTGTTACACAATGACCTAACTTAAGAAAAATGTCCCCTACCGATGCGACATTAATACGGGTGTTGCACGACTTATTAGTATTTGACTTTCCCAACTGATTTTATTGGACAATTGTGGGTCCGACATTTTCAGGTTACTTTTCAAGTACAAAAAAAAAACTTCCATATTAGTTGGTTAGTCCTACCAGACAGAGTGTTTGAAGGAAAGAATAATAAGGGTTTCAGATAGAGTCTTATATAACATCGTTTAACTTTTATTTCCCCATCATTTATTTCCCCATCTTACTTTCCCCTTCCCTTTCAATACAAAAGTTCTACAGATAATCATGTTGTCAAGAGGGACCAGAGCTAGCAAGCAAATCAGTAGACAGTTCAAGAGATTTAACTCTCATGAACACGGCCACCATGATGTTCCTGAAAAGACCGTGGAAATTAATATTACCAAGATATTTGGTATTGCTGCTCTTTTGGGAGGTCTTTTGGTGTGGAAGAATAACGATCCCTTTGCTGCACCATTAGTACAAACAAAATTATATGACGAAGAAGATAACAGAGAAGAAAAAAGAGTGGCCAACTATAATAAGAGATACAAGGAATCATTAGTAAAGCAATTCATTAGAGATAATGGTGGATTGGGTCAACGGATTTACAGAAGAATTGGTTTGGGCCCAGTACCTCAAACTGTTATCCCTGCCCATTCTCCATATGGTACTCAATATGGTGCTGGTATTGATACCGCAGTGTTGGGACCTAGAAAGGAAAGAATCCCTGTTTACGCTCCTATTCAATAGAAGACTCACCAAAAACAAAATCGTTCATTATTTGGTTTTTAGCACATTCAGAATTTGAAATCTTTTCAGGTGATGGTTGTTACCGAATTGATTAGAGGTGTCAATTTTCTATATTTTTGGAGGATTTTGTTATATTTATTCCCATTAACCATCCACAAGGTCAAGCCTGGTTTTATAAATGATGTTCATTATTTAATGGGCGTTATCTTTATTGCAGAGCAGTTCGATACATCATTATACTAATCCTGGTACCCCCATCAACAGCACAAATAGTAAACTATTACTGTTACAATAACAAACAACAAACAACTACCATTATATATTTTTTTATATCTTTGCATTATAGTAAATACAGAAACAACATTTATTACCTTAAGTAGTTACTGCACGTGACCATGTCTTTTAGAATGGGTAATTTTTTCAGAGTGTATAAATTTCTCCACAAAGTGAGTCAGTACTAGCACTGAAGTTAAAGGTTTCAATTAGATGCTCAGATTGTCCAGACTGTTTCATAGCACACTAAGAAAGATGGGAGAGAAAATTGAATGGAACGTAATTATTTACGATAAGCCCAACACTGACCGTACAGGTGTTAGACCTCAACATATGGCTGATATTCCAAGCGCAGTCAATTCTGGAATTGTGAAGCTGGCAGGTGCTATTTACAAAGATGCATCCAAGACTCAGTTTGCTGGTAGCGCCTTTCATTTGATGGCTGAAAACGAATCGGAAATCATTGAGTTCTTGAAGAAGGATATCTACTATAGAGAAGGTATTTGGGATATTGATAATGTTATCATTAACCCAATAGGTGTTGCAATCAGATCAACCAAGTACATGAATGGTACTGACGAATCATTGTATAAGATCTAATGGGATAGTATATTTATGTAGAGAATACATCAAAGATTAGTTCGACAGTACGAAAATGATCATAATCCATTACTCGAAGATCTAGCATTCTAACCATGCATCATAGTGGATTTTCAACAACGCGTACACTACAAAAATACACCAGCGATTGCTAAAACTTAAACTAGAAGTTTAACATCTTGATAAAGTGCATTTCGATGTGCTTGAAACGACGATTCATTGGCTGTACTAAATTTTATTCTTGAGTCACGTGACGCATTCATGATCTTTGAAGAACATCCAGCGTCTTTTACCCATTAGTATTACACCATCGTCTGTAGAAGTTATAAATTTCATATTAAGAAAACTCAAAGCCAAACACATTGAAAGTGGAGCTCAACCTATTTGGAATAACTACTAATTTTAAAGTTCCTTGCGCATCATTGATCTTACGAATATAATTCTTCAACGTACAATAAAATTAATACGACGCAAATAATTACTGATACCAGTTGTGATACACCTATTAAAGACATCGAAAAATGTGTCAATGTCTACTGTCAAGAGGAAAGTAGTTAATTCACGTTTACAGTTGTTGCATGAGGGGCACATGCAATTCTTCCAACAACTAGTAAAGGCTGAAAAGCAATTGATGATAAAACAGTGCCTCGTTCCCGGACATTATGCTTAAGGCCGTGAATTTCTAAGAACTAAAGTAAATGGTCCGGGAGCCGAGGAACGCTCCCTATGTTTAACAATGCACGGATGGAAATAATACGAGAATCACCCCAGATATTTCGGATACGGCTTAGAGATGAGGGCTTAACTTCACACCGGACAGAAAACCAATAGATGAAAAATGCACACATTCCGATAAATTAGGTGCCAGGAATTCAATAGTCCATACGAAACGGGGTTAGACACTGGAATAATAGGACAATGCGCACGTACCTTAAACAATGCAGCAGACTTAATTAATGTTAGCTAGAGTTGTTGTAAAATAGCTAAAGCTGTGGCAGCATAAATGATGCGCTCCATTACAATGAAAAGGTAAGATCACAATAATACTATAGTAACAGCCGTAACAATGTTAACATTAGCAACAATGATTTGTGGAGCTGTAATAACACTCTTAGTAGCGAGAGAAACAAGTATTCTACTATGGCAACAGAATAACTTAACGGTTGTTAACTCCGTCTCGGTCTGCAACCAGACCTGCACACAATCATCCATCATGACTCAAGTGCCAATAAATCACCAGACTGCGTTTTGCAACTTCATGTGGCTCTATTATAACCAAACAAGTTATTGGATGTTAACCTGTGTACATGGATTTACATGAACTGCTAACTGAACCATTACTATGTTTAATGTGTGTGATTCAGCGATTTTGTGATGACTACTAGTGGGACAAAACATGGCACTTACAAAAGTTCCTTATGGAAAGTAAAGTAGTTCCGAGAGGGTTCCATCAACAGTATATAAAACAAGTGATACTCTTAGTGTCTTAAAGGGATTAGCTAATAACAGACAATACTATACTATTATAACACTATACTAACATAATATTATATTTGGTATCATTAGTACCATCGCATACGAATCCAACACGTTTATACAAGTGTATCGAGGCACTGCTAACTTCATTAGAACTTCAGATTTATTAGTCAAGAACTATGGTTACTCAAGATCAACTAACACCACAACGACCACCCACCGCACAGGTTGATCGTTCTTTTATAGGAATAGACATCTCTGACATGGATGATGCCTATACTGGAGGTAAAGAAGATAAAGATAATGTTTCAGGTTCCGATTCTTCAAATGAAGATATTGTTAACGATAGCGTTGCACCAGATGTAAATGATACTCTGTATCATGGCTTTGACAATGATGTTCGGAATGATATTCTCAACTTGACCAGAAGGTTATCTACAAGCTCCCAAACTCTGTTGGCTAAAACGATGTCCAACCAATCATATGCTTCAAATTTAGGTGATCATATCAAGAGACAAATTGAAATTGACCCAAGATTGAATCCCGACTCACCGGAGTTTGAAGCAAGATATTGGGTAGAGTGTTTAAGGAGATTGCAATTAAATAATTCTGAAACTTTCAAACCAGCAGATTTAGGTATTATCTACAAAGATTTGAGTTGTCATGGGTTCAAAGTAGATGAAGATTTTGAACTGGACTTTGTAAATGCTCCTTATAAGATTGTACGGAATTTTATTAGAGAGAAATTGAGTTCTGAAACAAAAAGAAGAAGTCAAATGTTTGATATTTTAAAACCTATGGATGGAATTATCAAGCCAGGTGAATTGACTGTTTTATTGGGGAAACCAGGAGCTGGTTGTAGTACCCTTTTGAAAACTATAGCCAATAATACTTACGGATTTGAAGTCGATGAGAATTCAGTTCTTTCCTACAGTGGCTTAACTCCAGATCAAATCATAAAGAATTATAGAGGTGATGTGGTCTATTGTGCTGAAACTGAAGTCCACTTCCCTCATTTGACCGTTGAACAAACCTTGCAATTGGCGGCATTGTTGAAGACTCCCCAGAACCGACCTGAAGGTATTACTCGTGATGCCTTTGCAGCTCACATGAGAGATGTTGTAATGGCTACTTACGGGTTATCGCATACAAGACACACTAAGGTTGGAAGTTCTTATGTTCAAGGTGTGTCAGGTGGTGAAAGAAAAAGAGTATCTATTGCTGAGGTTGCATTATGTGACGCACGATTACAATGCTGGGATAATTCAACTAGAGGTCTTGATGCTGCTACTGCCTTAGAGTTTGTACGGGCTCTAAAAACCTCTGCAGAAATAGGAAGAGCGACTCCTATCGTTGCTATTTATCAATGCTCTCAAGCTGCCTATGATTTATTTGATAAAGTTATACTTCTTTATGAAGGCCATCAGATTTATTTTGGGTCCTCGAAGACTGCAAAAGATTACTTTATCAACATGGGCTACGTATGTCCGCCAAGACAAACCACTGCCGATTTTTTGACTTCATTGACAAATCCCAAGGAAAGAATTGTCAAACCCGGTTATGAAAGGAAAGTCCCCAGAACTCCAGAAGAATTCTATCAATATTGGCAAAAGTCTCCAGAAAGACAAGCTGTGGTGAAAGAAATCGATGAATCTTTGGCTAAGGACTTGAAACAAATGCAAGAAGCATTCCATGATTACCACACTGCTAGACAAGCAAAGGGATTGAAAAGCTCATCACCATACACTGTTTCATTCCCCATGCAAGTAAAATATGTTTCTTTGAGAAACTGGTGGAGATTTAAAGGTGATCCTTCAAACGCAGCATTACAAGTTGGAGGTAATATTATAATGGCTTTTATTATATCTTCAATTTTCTACAATTTGAAGAAGACCACAGGTTCATTTTATTCTAGAACATCGGGTATTTTCTTTGCTTTGCTTTTTAATTCGTTCTCTTCTCTTTTGGAAATCTTCACCATTTATGAAGCAAGAGAAATCGTTGAAAAGCACAAGAAATATGCCTTATACTGCCCGGCTGCTGATGCTCTTGGAAGTATTGTAACAGAAATGCCAACAAAGATTGTTATTGTTATTTTCTTTAACTTGGTGTATTACTTTATGATAAACTTGAAGAGAACAGTTGGTGCATTCTTCTTTTACTTATTGGTCAACTTTTCGGCAACATTATCAATGTCTCATTTGTTCAGATGTGTAGGTGCTTCTACAACCTCACTTTCACAGGCCATGACACCTGCATGTCTTTTGTTAATAGCTTTAGTTGTGTTCACGGGTTTCGTTGTCCCCACCCCACATATGTTGGGATGGTGTCGGTGGATCAATTATATCGACCCTATTGCATATGCATTTGAAGCTTTGGTCGGTAATGAATTCCATAATCAAGATTTTGCCTGCTCTGAATTCATCCCCAGTGGGGGGAATTATCCTGTTGAAGGTCCTTACCGTGTCTGCGCTTCAGTTGGTTCTGTGGCTGGACAATCATTTGTTAACGGTGATGTCTACATTGCCCTGGCATTTGATTATAAGTTTAGCCATAGATGGAGAAACTGGGGTATTGTCGTTGGTTATATAATCTTCTTCCTTGGCTTCTATCTTCTTCTTTGTGAATTCAATAAGGGTGCCATGCAAAAGGGTGAAATTATTATATTCCAACGTTCTTCATTACAGAAGATCCAAAAGCAAGAACGGGAGTTACAAATGAAGAGAGATATGGAGGGCTCAGGTGGGGCGAATGAACATCAATTAGTTCCAGAAGACTTTGATACGCCATTAACAAGAGAGAAAACTTATCTCAGTGAAAAGTTTTCTGATTCCTTTAAGCAGGAGAGTATATTCCATTGGAGAAACATTGTTTATAAGATCAGGATTGGAGATGAGGACCGGACAATTTTGAATCAAGTTGATGGTTGGGTCAAACCTGGGGAAGTCACTGCTCTTATGGGTGCTTCAGGTGCCGGTAAAACCACACTTTTGAACGCATTATCTGCGAGATTAACCGTTGGAGTCATTACAGATGGCCAAAGAATGGTTAATGGGAGACCATTAGATAAATCATTTGAAAGATCTATTGGGTATGTTCAGCAACAAGATTTGCACTTACAAACTGCCACTGTGCGAGAGTCACTTCGATTCCTGGCTTATTTAAGACGTCCCACTAGCATTTCTAAAGAAGAGAAGGATGAATATGTTGAATATGTGATCAAGTTATTGGAAATGGATCATTATGCGGATGCTATTGTTGGTGTTGCCGGAGAAGGCTTAAATGTTGAACAAAGAAAGAGATTATCAATTGGAGTGGAATTGGCTGCAAAACCCAAACTTTTATTATTCTTAGATGAACCTACTTCCGGGTTGGATTCACAAACTGCTTGGTCTATTTGCGGTTTAATTAGAAAGTTAGCAGATCATGGTCAAGCCATTTTATGTACCATTCATCAACCATCTGCACCATTAATGGAACAATTTGACAGATTATTATTCTTGAAATCTGGAGGTGAAACGGTTTATTTTGGTAAGTTGGGTAAGAATTGTCAGAATTTAATTGATTATTTTGAAGCCCATAGCTCTAAGAAATGTCCACCTGATGCTAATCCTGCTGAATGGATGCTAGAAGTTATTGGAGCAGCCCCAGGTTCTCATGCAGATAGAGACTTTTTCCAAGAGTGGAGGGAATCCAATGAATACAAGGCTGTTATTGATGAATTGGATGAAATGGAATCAGAGTTAATTAAAAAACCTGAAGATGATGACCCACATAGATTTGAAAAATATGCAGCTCCATTCTGGTTACAATATACTTTGGTTACCAGAAGAATCTTTCAACAATATTGGAGATCACCATTTTTCATTTATAACAAATTGTTTTTGGCAGCATTTGCTACATTATTTAATGGGTTTGTTTTCTTCCAAGCCAAAATGTCTTTACAAGGAATGCAAGATCAAATGTACAGTATATTCTTATTTACCGTGCTTATTATACCTTTAGTTCATCAATACTTGCCTCATTATGTTTTCCAAAGAGATTTATATGAAGTTCGTGAACGTCCGGCTAGAACATTTAGTTGGGTATCCTTTGTTTTAGCCCAAATCACTGCAGAGATACCATGGAATGTTGTAGCCGGGACATTGGCCTTCTTTTGTTATTATTATCCCGTTGGGCTTGATAGTAATGCATCTTATTCCGACCAGACTGCTTCCAGAGGTGCACTCTATTGGTTCCTTTGTGTCTTATTAGTTATCTATGGTACCACATTAGGACAAATGTGCATATCATTCATTGACTTGGAAGATAATGCTGCCTTCTTGGTTGGACTATTGTTCTCCATACTTTTGGCCTTCTGTGGCGTTTTGGTCAGCAAAGAAAAGTTACCAGGTTTCTGGAAGTTCCTTTATTACTTCAATCCTATGACTTATTTTATTGCAGCATCTTTTGGAGTCGCGATTGCCAATACTCCAGTTAAATGTGCAGCCAATGAGGTCAAGAGATTCCTCCCTCCTCTGAACTACACTTGTGGTCAATACATGAAACCATTTATGGCTGTTGCAGGTGGATACTTGTTTGATTCCAATAGCACGTCTGTGTGTGAGTACTGTGCGATGAGCAACACCAATGCCTATTTGAGCTCCATTAACGTCAAGTACTCTCAACGGGGAAGAAATGTCGGATTGGTTATTGCCTTCATTGCCTTTAACATGTGTTGCACTGTGTTGTTCTATTATTTGGGTAGAGTGCCCAAGACCAATAGAGAGAAAAAGAGTCTTACTACAAATAAAGTGTTGAATTGGGCCTCAAAGTTAGTGCCCAAAAAGCCCTACTCTCATGATTAATATATACAGCTACAAATATAATATAATACACTGATACAAAGTTAATGTAATCCTGTAATCCTACATACCTGCTAATAAATGATATAATATGATATTATACATACGGATACTATAAAGAGTATAATGTAGTATGATAGAAAAAAGGGTATACAACTGAAATGAATATGAGGGGAAAGCAGCTTCAACTCTCCAATGCAAATTACAATATCAAGGATGATATTGTTTTAGTTCCCACCAGGGAACGATTTAAACGTGTTGAACCGCGTAGGGTTTAAGTTTTGACTCAACAGAGTGGTGATCTTCAGTTGACCTCCAACCGCAGCAGAGCTCGTTCTGGAACCACATCTGCTGATAATGAACTCGGTGGTGATAACAATGGCTGGAGCCAAGTATAAAAAGGCAGTACTAGTGACTTGTTTCATGATATAATGTTATGCTAATGTGAATAGTGTATGCTGATAGTGTACTTGAATAAATATGAATAAAGGTGATTCCTATTTGCTTATGCTATGATGTTTAAATATGTCAATGCTGTGGGGATATGTCAATGCTAATAGGTATATGTCAATGCTAATGGGTATATACTAATGAACACTTCAGTGTGTATTAATTTTGTCTATGTTCAACAGAAAGATCAACTTTAACTGCTGCCCCAGATTCCCCTATATATATTCAAGTCATACACTTATATGGGAGGACCCTAACTGTTGCTTTTCATATACCTCTTCGGAAATCCACTTGAAAATTTTCTCGTGCCGTCTGCAAAAAGAACTTTAAAGGGTAGATCACCTGCCCCACAATTGCATAATGTGGGGGAGACACAAAATGCACAGTGAACTACTACATCCTACACCAGCAATACATCAGTACACCGCATTACATGATCCACTATACTAAACAAAGTTTCATTAATGTGAATACATACACCCTTAGTATACACTTATTCAATCTTCTCTTGCTAAACGCTACTATGGTTTAACTTTCTAGCTGTATAAATCTTCTTCATCATCAGCTGCAAATGCAGCTCCAGAATTGCCTTCAGCTTCGGATTGAGTGGCTCCAGATGAATTGCTATTGAAATTAAAGTTGGCAAATTGACCTCTGGATGCTTGCAATTGCTGTGCATATGCTTCATAACGACGCAATTCAGCATCTGAAACCGATCTCTTGGCTGTTTTCATGGCTTCCTTGAAATGTTCCTTAGTAATAAATGGAACAGGATCTTCTTCCTCTTCTTCTTCTTCAGCAGCCGCACCTCCTTCAGTTTCACCTTCAATCTTCATCTCAACATCTTCCCCTTCCTTGGCTTCCTTTTCCTTCTTTCTTTTTATCTCAGCTTCAATTGAATCCTTAATAGCAAATTTGGCAGATCTTTGAACAATATATGATAAATCAGCACCAGAGAATCCATTGGTAATCTTGGCAATCAGACTTAATTCTAAACCAGGCTCCAATGGTGTATTTCTTAATTGAGCTTGTAAAATAGACAATCTGGCAGCTTCATCTGGTAATGGAACATAAATCAATTGATCCAATCTACCAGGTCTTAACAAAGCAGGATCAATTTGATCAGGTCTATTAGTAGCACCAATAACAAAAACATTCTTCTTGGCATTCATACCATCCATTTCAGTCAATAATTGATTGACAACACGATCAGAAGCTCCACCAGCATCACCTCCATGAGCTCCTCCTCTTGCCTTTGCAATAGAATCTAATTCATCCAAAAACACAACTGTTGGAGCTGCAGCTCTTGCCTTATCGAAAATGTCTCTAATATTAGATTCGGATTCACCATACCACATACTCAACAATTCAGGACCCTTCACAGAAATAAAGTTAGCAGAAACTTCAGTAGCAACTGCCTTGGCCAACAAAGTCTTACCAGTACCCGGAGGACCAAAGAACAATACACCCTTTGTAGGAGCCAACCCAAACTTTTGATATTGTTCAGGATGTAAAACAGGGTACTCAACTGTCTCCTTCAATTCATCCTTAATGTCATCCAATCCACCAATGTCATCCCAAGTAACATTAACATTTTCAACAACAGTTTCACGTAAAGCGGATGGATTAGCATTACCCAAAGCAAATCTGAAGTTATCCATTGTAACTCCCAATGAATCCAAAATTTCAGCATCAATGGTGTCTTCTTCCAAATCAATCAAATCCATCTTTTCTCGAATTTGTTGCATAGCTGCTTCACTACACAATGAAGCAATATCAGCACCAACAAAACCGTGAGTTTCCAGTGCAATAGCTTCCAAATCAACATCATCAGCCAACTTCATGTTCTTACTGTGGATTCTCAAGATCTCCAAACGACCAGCAGCATCAGGAACTCCAATATCGACTTCTCTATCAAATCTACCGAATCTTCTTAAAGCAGGATCAATGGAGTTTGGTCTGTTGGTTGCAGCAATAACAACAACGTTTGATCTAGCCTTCATACCATCCATTAAAGTCAATAATTGAGACACAACTCTTCTTTCGACTTCACCATTGGTCTTATCTCTCTTTGGGGCAATGGAATCGATTTCATCAATGAAAATGATGGCAGGAGCATTCTTTTCAGCTTCTTCAAAAGCCTTTCTCAAGTTAGATTCAGATTCACCAGCCATCTTGGACATAATTTCAGGACCATTGATTAAGAAGAAGAAGGCACCTGTTTCATTAGCAACAGCTCTTGCCATAATAGTCTTACCAGTACCAGGAGGACCATACATCAAGATACCTCTTGGAGGTTTTATACCAATAGACTTGAATAATTGAGGATGTCTTAAAGGTAATTCAACCAATTCTCTAATCTGAGCCATTTGTTTCTTACAACCACCAATATCATCATAACCAACTTCATTGATACTACTTTCTTCATCTTCTCTATTGATTGGTTCTCCTTCACAATGAATAATTGTATCTTGAGCCACAATGGCAATTTCATCGGGATCAACATCCATAACTTTGAATTCCACTTGTCTCATACCTCCTCTAACAGTGAACAAATCACCCTTTCTAACGGGTCTATAAGCTTCCACGTAGTAAGGCTTCAAATACATGTCGAAAAGTGAACCTGTCAATCCTTCGACGGTATCAGCTATAGGTAAAACCGAAATTCTATTAGCGTACTTGATATCAGGACAAGGGTGAACGGTAACAATATCACCTAAACGAACTCTTAAATTGTGACGAGCAACACGGTTGATTCTAGCGACACCGTCTTCCATGTCATCATCGGCGAGAACGATCAAAACAGTATCCTTTCTCCGTTTACCCTTAACAATAACAGTGTCACCACGGAATAATTGTAATAATTCCATAGTGTTGGATGACATGGTAATCACTGAATTATCATCATTAGTGGCATCGTCAACTAAAAGAGCATTATCCTTCTTCTTCTTACGCAAGATAGCAGTAGCTGTTCTATCTTCAGCATCATGAGACCCCAGGGCGTCAACGATGATATCTTTCTTTTCGTGCTTCATTAAGTAATATAATCAATCAACTTTTATCAATAAAGGGGGTAGGGCAGCAAAGCGTCAAGATTCGATCAATTCCTTGTCTGAAACTATTTTTCAAATAAGATTGTTATATCAACACTAATTGGTCCTCTTTAATTGGTTTATTCGATTATCGATTAGTTATCTTTGATTCCTTGGATTAACCGTGTTAATTATATATGCTTTCAAATTTTTATAACGTCTCCAGTTCGCCACCTGGACAGTCGACAAAACGAGTTCCGGGTAACCCTTTTGTAATCGCTGTTTCGTTTCGTTAGACAAGAGGGCGCTACCCAATGGAAGATTCCACGGTTGGGAATAGTTGGTTCAAGTAGTAACGATTGAGTGTGGGTCGTGGGATGGTAAATGAATTACCAAGAATAAGGCATACAAAGTTTGATTTGTGGGGAGGTGAGAGATTTGGTTGAGAAGAACAAACGTTGGGTTAAAACAATACTAATTCTCATAAACGTTAATACACCTTGACATTTACATTAGTCGCATAGTTATCAATTCATCATGGCCTCCAATGCAAGCTGTATTTTTTGTAAGATCATCAAAGGTGAAATTCCATCATTAAAGTTAATTGAATCCAAATATTGTTATTCATTTTTGGACATTCAACCAACCGCTGATTATCATTGTCTTGTGATCCCTAAACACCATGGTGCTAAATTACACAACATTCCTGATGAGTACTTGGCCGATATTTTACCTATGGTTAAAAAGTTGACGCATGTCTTCAAATTGGATGAAAATAACACTCCAGAGGGCGATGGCTATAATGTGTTGCAAAACAATGGACGTATTGCTCATCAAGAAGTTGATCATGTTCATTTCCATTTGATTCCTAAGAAAGATTCTGAGTCTGGGTTAGGTGTTGGCTGGCCAGCGCAACCAACTGATTTTCCCAAGTTGAAGCAATTACATGAAGAGATCTTAGATGAATTGAAACAATATGAAGAGAAGTTGTAATAATTGAATCTACTTCAAGTATAGTATTATTTTTATTAGTGATATATATATGTATATGGTTCATAAATTACATGCTAAAATGTACTAGAGAATTCCTCCAATGAATCCTCCAACCCATCCAATTACATAACTGGAGAAAAAGGTCATTGTCAGAGCACCAAAAGGAAAATAACTTATGCAATAGTAAAGAACAGCAAATAACTCCACTATGCATGCCAAAATCGTCAAGACCGTACTTTTCAATACTCCAGCACAATAAAGTGTCAGGAACACCAGTCCAAAAAACACCAGAGTAAACACTACCCGACTTGGACTAAGTAAATGCTTAACATAACTATAAGGACCTTGAAGTACTCCAAACAGAACAACAAATAATAATGAACCCATAGTCCACAACAAGGCAAATTTCCTAGGCTTTAATGCCAATACAGGGAATGTAAATATACATATAATGAAACAAAGTATAGATGCACTTAAACAAGCACCGAAACCTATCATCTTTTCCATTCGACTAAGTTTAAACCAACTAGGTTCATGTGTTGCTTGTTCAGCACTGGAATTATATGTGGGTAACTGGTTGTATAAGTCATTGGCGCCTGATTTAACATAATCTGTCCATTCAGCCAAGGTTGGCTTAGGGTTAGCGCTATTTGATGGTCGTGAAGACCAGTTTGCAAACAGCTGTCTAAAGGCACTTTCTGGTTCAGCCATATGACTATGTGATATTAAGAAACTGGTTCCACAGGACTTTATGATACTTAATGTTATTTTTTATCTGGCTTGCTTCTTGGGGCCATTATTGTTTATCTGTCACAGGATGCATAGCTATCAGCGTTAATAGAGTCACGTGACAGTATATGGGAGTCACTGCAATTAGCCTTCCACTATTTCCACTATACCTTACTTCTCGCCACTGATTCCCAATACAAACATGTACTACTCGAACCATCTGGTTAATGTTTTCTTGTGCAATTTGTCATGTCATCTGCCATTGTTATCAAACGGTGGCTGATGTCTCTTGTGAAATGATTAGCCTGTTTTTGTGGGTGACGTCTCTACTTGTAGTACAAATAGGGCCTGTGGTAGACCAGGCCACGTCAAAGTTTTAACTCATTGTAGTAAGTAAAGTGTTCCATAGAATGTCACACCTCATCATTTACGCCACCTGAAAATGTTGGTCATGCTTAATTTGCATGATTACTTACGATATTTTTATTTCATCTATTGCAACATTTATTGAGTGCCATATCTACTGTACTTCAACTACAAAAAGACAAAACATCAAAGTTATACAAAGTACAAATAAACAATCCGATTGGTAAGAACTGAAAAGTTAGCATAATGAAACAACGCTAGACTGTGTGTTAACAAACACGTGGTCATATTATGTTGTTGAAGTCTCCATTTGAGGCAAAGAAATCGTCTGGGTTGAACTGATTGCCGTTATTTGAAGTATCGAAGTTCTGAAGCTCCCCAGCAAAGCCTTGATTCGTCATAAACTGTTCTAGTTGTGGTGGTGCTTGACTCAGTGCGATTTGTTCATATGAGTTCTCAGTAGTGTTCCAAGATTGCTGTTGCTCATTTTCGAATTGTTCTTGTTTTATTGATCGTGGGGGTGTAGAAACACGTTGTTGTTGTTGTCGTTGTTGTGGAAGTGGTTGTGTTTGCGACATTTGAGGTACACTTTCTCTTGATGATTGACCTTCACTTCGCCTACCTTGATCAGATTCACCTTCCAATAAAGCAATTTCTTCCTCCAACTTCTTTCTTGCCTTGACTTGCTCTTCCAAAACATATTTCAAGTGTGACATATAAACGACAGACTTTGATAAAATGGTATTCTTGTTGGCCTTGGTTTCCTTAACTTTCATAGTCGCTGCAAGTTCTGTCAATTCCTTAGTCTTGAGATTTCTATTTATCGCCATTGCCTGTAAAGCACACAGTTGTGGATTCAATAAACTTGGAGGAACAATAGCATCTAATTCCTTTATCCGTTGTTTGATCAAGTCTCTCCTACGCCTTTCAACTGCATTATGGAATTCCTTTCTTCTCTTAATCTTTTCCTCATCAGTTAACAACTTAGTAGGGATGTCCCGGGGAGGAGGAGATTTGGCAGCACTATTAGATGGAACCGAAGTACTCAATTGAGAATTCCCTGGCGGCGATAATAATTGATTAGTATTGGGGGTGCTAGTGCTAGTTTGTGGAATAGCCATGGCCATGGGCTTATTTTTAGGCGAATAAAGATAGTTGGGGTTGGTATTAGGTGATCTGAGTGTGTCATATGAATTATCATTTCCAGAGAGAACGCTATTGGCACCTGGGGGAGAAAAAAATCCATGCTGATGTGGAGATAAGTAGCCTTGATTCAACAAGTCCAGTTGTTGAGTTGGGATAGCAGTAGGACCTAATCTAGTAGTATTTTCCAGCTTGAAGGGGATTCTTTGAGAAGGGGAAAAGTGCAAGTATGGGTCAGGTGCAATTTGGTTATTATCAGGAGAAACAAGCCCATCTAAAGTATTGGCAGCACTCATTCCTCCAAAGTCTCCATGAGTACCAGTAAACGAAGATGAATTATCATAGATATTCCCAGTAGGCATAGGTATACCTCCAAGTTGAGGTGAAACCTGGCCATTATATTGGTTTGATCCCAAGCCTTGATTATCATATCCGACAGCCATAAAAGGAGTATCATTACCTAAAGATGAACCCAATTTATTTGAGGTTGGAATACTAAAGTTGTTACCGGAATCTGGAGACAAATATTCATTCTCACTCAACACCGGATTAGAATTCCCGGTCAGTGGTGCGCCTGTGCCTGGTCCTCCTATAGCTCCGTACCCCAAGTTAAAGTCAAAATCTGGGTCCGTATTGTTTTGTAAGTTTGTAATGTCAAAGTTGTTGAGTGGGTCTGTAGCAGTATCCAAATTATTATAGTTATCAGCAAATTGGTTTGTAGGTCCAAGACACTGCTCTCCCCCATTACCAACTGGGAGGAAATTGTTATTATATTGGATTGGACGATTGATATTACCTCGTTGATTGTCGTTAGTTCCGTTGTTACCGCCAACTCCACAACTTCCGTTGTATGGTGCGTTAAGATCAGCAGGGCTGTCGTTCAAATATTGCTCCATTTTGATAGTGTAAAGAATAATCTCAATGTAGAAAAGTCAATTGTAATAGTAACAGCTTTAAAGTTGATGGCAGTTTGCCTTTGTCGGAGCCACTTGTGATTGGTGGGCCGTAGCAACTGTTGATAAGTGTTGAAGTAAAAGTAATAAGTAGGTTAATATATACCACAATATTTATTAAATGGTGTGAGCTTCTTGGTGACTACCTGGTCACTGTCAAGTGTTTCAATTGTATACACCCGTTAATAGATCCTTGCCTCCGTTCTTTAATTGATTCTTGGGTTTACTTTTCTGTTTGCGAAAGTAGATTGATGTTCCGGTTTTGTGTGAGATTCCCCAGTCACGTTCTCTAAAGGGGTAGACTAGGCTGTCATGGTTTACAATCTAAGGCAGTTGGGGAACCAGTCATTGTATTTATTGGTGTCCCTGGAGCCATGAAAACAAAATATTGTGTTATAACGGTTTTCTGTCCCCTACTAATGCAATATCGGTATAAAATGCATTAAAGCCCCCAACGGAGTTAATGCTATTAGGTTAATTGCTGGCTTTCGTTATGCTAATGTTGTACTAGCAAGTGATGCAGTCAATTAAACTGCTGTCAATTAAAATTATACAACATACATTAATTTATTCTTTCTTCTACTATTACTATTACGTGTTTCCCCGAATACCCAAACATAGGTTTGTCTCCCTTTCGATAACGTGCACTCCTCGAAAGCCTCCTTCTTGGGTGCAAATTGCTTTTAATTCTGAGAGTCATTCAACAGAAACTTTGCATCGATGTAATCCATAAACTCCACCACATCGCCAAATATTGTGTCACAAGAAGACGAACTACTCTTATTCTGATTCAATGGAATATCAGGCAATAAAGGGGGACTTAATTGGGAGAAAGATTTTGAAGCAACTCCAAAGTGAGGTTTGCGATGTCTGTGTCCGGGTAAAACTCCCTTAATTAGTTTCCAATAATGATGTTTAGATAAGGAAACAGGTAGCGAGCTTGTTGTCGATTGTGAGTCTCTTCGTAGTGTCTCTTTAGAAATTATACTAACTTGCTTTTCCAGATTATCATTCGTGTGCGGTTGTATTAACCGTTGCGAATGAATGGCATTTGTGATTTTTTTAGAAGTAGCACCCAAATTCGTTGGTTGTTCAATATTTGTATTTGGAAGCACATCTTGAGTACACTCTGAAATAGCCCTTTTGCGATCCATAAATGGCTCAAGGATGAGATCACTTCCTTCTATCAAAGGTGCAATAGGTGACTGAGGTGCTGTTCGGGGTGTTCCAAAACTATCTTCAAATGGTGATGCACTTCGCATCTCAGGCAGAGAAATATAAACTCTCTCGTGACCTCCTGAAAACCGTTTTCGTTGTATTAAACGTTTAAAAAATGAAGGTGTTCTTATTGAACCTGATCCATTCTCAGCTTCAACGCCCACTGTAATTGGCAAGTTGCTCTTGGGAGTTAAGGGATTTGAGCTAATATACTCACACTTGCGTACAGTGTCACCATAATCGTCTTCTAAATCAAGAGTGTCCTCGACCCTCATTATAGTTCTTGGTGTAAAGTATCGCGTTTGCTTGTCCAGGTTTTCTAAGTTATGTGATGCACTCACCCCAGTACTCAGCTCAGTATCTTGATCTTTAGTATGATCTAATTTCAATTGCTCAATATTTGAGACTATAAGTTTGGCCCCGTTAGAATGGAGCGAATCAACAGATCTCAGACTGGGGGTTGATTTCTTGCTTGAGCTACGTATGACATGGCTATTCTCAATTTTATTGAGTGAAATGGCTTTCGCCTTGAAAGTTGAAGGCGTTTCTGGCGTTGGTGGAGTAGAGAGATACAGATATATGCTAGATGGTAGCCTTTGAGGATTTCTAAGAGGAATTCTCTGGGGATTTGCTGGAGAGTAAGAGGAAGGAGTTGGTGCCTTTCCCTTAACAAAGAACATTTTCTTATGAAGGAAATCCAATACCTTTTCAACGTCATGTAATAGTAGCTCGTTCTCTTGATTAAACTGAACGTTACCAGTTGTGAAAGATTCAAGAAGAGCATCAACCGATCCCTTTACTTTCAATAGTGTGTCATGAATATTTTGATTTCTAAGTGCTTTTTCATCACCTTTAACATCAAAGTTTTGGATCCTAGTTTCACTGTTTTCTACTAATGAGTCTCCCTTAGAGCTAGCTGGGAAAGGATTAGAATATCTCCTTTTTTGTTTTTTGGGATATAAATTGCCTAAAGTACTCAACTGTTGACTTTCAGTTCTGTGCTTAATAAGTTCGGGAGCTTGAGACAGTTGCAATTCTTGTAAATTACCAACCTCATGATGATTGGGTGTACTTGATTCAATTCTTGGGGGGACCTTCGCCTCCCTAATATTGTTGTCTTTAATTTCCACATCAGCCACTCCGACATCCTGCGAGTGAGACCGTTCAAGAATAAGTGGTAACATTAATGACTCTTTTGGCATATCACTTCTGTCGTGAGAACTTGAAGAGGTAGGACTCTTGGATTCAACGGTAAGAATATCCTCAGTAGCGCCTTTGCTAATGCTTTTATCCAACACTCTATTGGTAAGCATATCATCAGTAGGCGCTTTGCTAGTACTTTTATTTAACAGCTTTCTGCTAAACTTGTCTGTCGCCTTTGAATTAGTCACGTAGGCGGATATGTTTGGGTTTGGGCTGATAATATCTAGGAAAGCGAATTTCCCCTGGCAGTCTGCCTCTTTCTTGTGATCAAAGCTCTTGTGATCAAAGTTCTTGTGATCAATCTCTGACTTAGGTTTTATTTCTCTTGGAACCTCGATGTGTGATGTTCTTTCTATCTTATTATCAACTGCATTTTGCTGCGAGTGAGAACTTGAAGGTGCCTCTTCATTTTCCACTGGTACTCTAATAGTGTCATCAGGGCTGTATGAGCTGGAAGGACGACTTGGCTTCTTTGTATCTGTAACAATACTCTTATTCTTTAAATTTTCAATAGTTGATTTATTGTTGGCATTATTATCGTCTCTTATCTTCCTATTAAACCTTTCTGTTCCAATTGGCCCTTCAACCTGAGCGAATCCTTCAACTGAAGTAGATTTCTTGGTTGGAGGGCCTTGATCAAATCTTGCAATCATATCCCTTACACCCATAATGACGCTGGTATTATCAATTACAGACAAAAGGAGACTCAAACGGCTTTAAGTGCAAACACAGATGTTTATAATGCTCGGACTGGGGGTTTTGTTCTGCATCAACCTACATCTTTTCGCAGCCAAAGTTTAGGTTTGCGCAGTGATTACTAAAATAGGTATGCTGTTGTGATTGTTATGCTAAAACTATGAATTTATACCTATTTAGTACTCTTTCTCTTGTTAACCAATTTCTTCTTGAGATTTTTCTTCATCTTTGTCTTTCTCTTTTCCTGCTTAGCCAATTTTGCACTCTCCTTTCTCTTCTTCTTGTCTTCCTTCTCTTCGTATTTCTTTCCCTTTAACACCGCGTTCTTCTTGGGACGTTTCTTCTTTTCCTCTCCACTTTCAGGATCAGTTTCTTCATCTTCGTCGTCGTCCTCTTCGTCATCATTATCTTCGTCATCGTCAGAATCCTCATCTGAATCTTCATCCGAACCTGTTTCTGATCCCTCATCTTCATCAGTGTCATCTTCTGCCTCCTCTGCCAATGCTCCATCTATAGTTTTCGGTATGCGACGAGAACGCTTTTCAGGAACAAGATCTGTTAAGGTATCAAGCTTCCCCTCTCTGAATTTCTGGAAATCACGTTCATCAAGAGCATTCAACAGTCGAACTAAATGTAATGATCTGAAAATTTCGTCTTGAACTTCGTCTTCGTTATCTTCATCATCTCCCTTTAATGGTAATGTCTCAAGATACTTTGATAATGACTCATCAGTATTATCTACTATATTGAGCTTCTCGTTGCTTTCTGTAATGTACTTAAAAATCAACCTCTCTGGATAAACATTGATCTTCTTTTTGGAAAAGAAATCATTCACGTTCTTAATATCCATCCGCAAGAAATCTAATGACATGGGATGTTCAGGTTCAACAGACTGAGAAACATCGATAATATACAACTTGTCGTTGTGTACAATGGAATTGTATTCACTCAAATCAGCATGAACTAAACGACAATCACGATACATACGTCTCATATAGAAAAGCATTTGATGGTAGTAGTGAACAATTTCATCAATATCTCTAAATGGGTGATCTCTTAATTTAGGTGATGGCTGACCATTTCCTTTTGTTAAAAATTCCATCACCAACACATGCGATCTCAAATCAATGGGTTCAGGACAAGGTATTCCACTCAAGAAAATACGTTTAAGATTTCTAAATTCCTTTTCAGCCCATAATTTGACCATTTTTCTAGGGTTACTCTGATTTTTCAGGTTTCTAAATCTAAATTCACCATCAACATACCGTTCTCTGTCTTTAAAAACCAAGATGGAGGTCTTGAAAATCTTTACAGCAAATTCTCTCTTAGTACCGTCGTTTCCTTCGTGATCCGCTTGATAAACATTGGCTTCTTTCCCAGTGCTAATACATCCATTAATACCATTTATTACTCCTTTATTAATAAGTTTTGTTAAAAATCTCATGGTTCTTGGATCTAAGACTTGTTCGACTGTAGCCCTATTTGCTCTGTCTTTAGTAATTTTCGGTCCTTTCTTCCCTATATCATCAAGCTTGATTCTATCTGCATATTTTGTGACAATTGCAACTTTGTCATTCAACGTGTTAACGGACTCAGTATTATTGACCGCATTTGTAACAACTTCACCATCACTTGAGTCACTATCTGAATCTGAGTCTGAATCAAAATCTTCGTCGCTTTCAGACTTGTTTGTTAAATTGTATAAATCTAATGCTTCTGTTATCTCCATAACCGGAGCTTTATCCTCGTCTTTGGCCATACTTGTAAGTACAATCTAGCTTATATAGTATACGCTTTATGCTTTAGCATCATTAAGCATATGCGATGAGATCAAAAGTAATTTCCGGGCACTCTCTCTTTTTCATCACGTGATAACAACAGGAATTGATCATATAATTTTCATGATGGATCCACATACCAAGACCTTAACGTCAGTTGATAGGGTTTAAACTTAGTTTTTGACTTTCTCCTATTAACATATAAATAATAATAGAAAGACTTTACAAATGAGATCAAGACCTAGTACCCTTGTGAGGATTTTACCACTCAAGTTTTTTGGAGTGATACCGCTTTATTTGGGAGTGGAAGTCATCTTAGGAATCACTATTTTGAACAAGGCCGGAGGAGTTTATGGCTTTTTTTCATTGATCACAGGGCATCCCATTAACTTTTGGCAATGGGTTTATAATTTTCTCTGTGTTGCTGTGTTGCCAGTCTACGTTTCATCTTTAATGAATGTAACTACTAAGGGCAATACAAAGAAGTTCTCTCTTTGTTGCATCACTTACGTCTTAGACACTATAATTGGATTGTTCTTTACGCTTCATTTTGGCTTATGGTGGTATTTCACAGAGGGTAACGTTAACTATGGAGAACGTTCCAGAACTTCCGATAGTGTTGCAATGCATTTCAAAAGAGCTAACCAAATAGGTTCTTCTTCATCACAGAAGTATACAGAACCCCAAATGCCAATGCCAACATATGGTGAATCATCACTTAGTCGTGAAACTTTTATTATTCTTGCTTCCACCATCGTCGTCACACTTTTCCGGTTGTACTTCACATTGGCTATTGTGTCTTTCACGAGGTTATTATTGAAACAAGAATCTGTGGCCAGAAGAAGTAGTGAACGTAATGAAGTTCAGGCTCAAGGTTTTGAGGTATACGACGAAGGAGATGGATGGATAGCTTGGATCAAATATGAGTTTAGACATCTTCGTGATGACTTGGAACACCATTCAAAACACCTCTTGGATCGTTATTTTGCCATCCAACCATAACTTGGCAACCTGCTTGCCTAACTCCGTTAACCACATAATAATGCGCATATAAATATAGGAGTGGATTTCGCACACTTCCCCCACAACTTCTCTTAGGAGATTTCATGTATACTACTAACCCTTTTAATAGCCCTAATATTATTCAAAACTTGCTATATGATATCGTAAGCGCGGGTTCAATATCTCTGTGTTGTTCTACCATTTCCCAGCAAAACGTTGCATAATTACACTTTCCACATCGTCAAAGTTCGTTATCAACAAGACGTAACTAGACTCTTCACTAAACTGTTGACTTTATAAAACAATGGGTTTGTCTACTAGTACAATTGCAACCAACCCTGGTATGGTCACCAGAACAGAGTTGATAGGAAAGTTTCGCCAGGATCTTGTACGCAATGACAAGTTACGTATCTTTCTTACAGTTGATAAGGATAAACAATGGATAACAGAACATGAATTTGCAGAATACCTTCGGCTTCTGTCCAAAGTAAATCCCAGAATATTAAAGCTCCTATATAGCGCAACCAGCATTCTTGGAGGATTCCCCTTTCTTGCAAAGTCAGAACAGTTATCTAGACCAGAGTTATGGATCGCTTGCCAGATCCATTGTGGAGACCATGGATTGTTTGATTTACAGGAATATGCCAAATTGGTATTCCAATCATTTGCATTGGCTTCCAATCTGACTGATGATATAAAGCAATCATTGGAAAAGACTATTCAAGAACCAAATGAAAAAAATGCTCCAGAATGTATTGAATCAGATGAAAAGGATGTAAGTGCTATAATATCCAGAGAGAGGGGTGAGAGTACTTACAAGTTACCTGAAAATGCCAGATGGGAAAGCTACCTTGAGCCGTTGGAAAAGCAAGTCATGAGAGCTTCAGATATGTTACTACTAACAACTCTCTTCTTGATAGTTAGTGCAAATGAACCACTTGATAAGCTCAATGCACAAGTGTGGAATACTTATGAACAATATGCCATGCTGCTAGTACGATATGTGGATGTACAAATAAATGCAAAGAATATTAATGATTATTGGATAAACCAAGATCAATTCATTTCCCTCCAACACTTCTTTGGTCTGGTATTGAAAAAATTATTCAAACCTTTAATTTTGAAGGTACAAGCCAAAGCTGATTCTGTAATTGACTGCACTATACGACATGCTTTAACTGAGGAAACAACATTGGTTAATAACTCCTCTTTTGCATACATGAGTCACGCTCTTTCCGGAATAATTGATGTGAATTATGATAATATGATCAAACTATATTGCGGTGCTGAATCTGGCTTTTCTATTCGGTCTTTGGAAATGAAGATCTTTAAATGGCGTGCTCCAACAATATTCATTATTGAGGGAAAGAGAATATCTGAAAAGGCACAGAAGAGTAACAAAAGGTATATTAATTTTGCCGAACGCTTTCCCTACAAGTTATCCACAAAGGACTGGCAAAAGAATGGTGAAACTATTTGTTACGCAGTAGTGATGAGATCGCCGTGGACAGTCTCCAATAAGAGCAATTTTGGGGATAGTGCAACTACAATTGTTTCCTTATCCCCAAGATTTGATGTTTATAAGGCTAAAAGGTCTGCCAATGTATATTTCAACACTTTAGGAATGGGAATTGGGTTTGGAAATGATCAACCAGTTATTAAGAATAGTGTTAAAAAATATATTGCTGGTGGCGTTTCATTGACTCTTGATTCTACACTTGAATTTGGCGTTTTTAGACACTTGCTGGGATCCAATTCCTTCTTTGAAACCTCTAATATATTACACGAGGATTTTGAAGACCGACTTATTATAACGGATGTTGAAGTTTGGGGGGTAGGAACATCGAAAGAACTTCAGGAACAAAAGAGACAGTGGGCATGGGAGAAGAAAGTAGCTGAAGAGCGACAAAGTGTGAATATTCGAAATATGGGGGAAGAAAGAGCTTTCTTGGAAATGGCAGGTGTAATCGGTAACCATGGTAGTAATGGTGGATCAGTATAGAAGTAAGTGAATCCCGAGCATTTTGGTCACGTGATCATTCACACTAAGTAGTCCTTTGCCATTTCTTTGGAGCCAAGCTGTACGAACATATATATATGACGTTAATATAGGAATAATATGAACAGGGATTGGGTATATCATGTGTATCAATAATATAGTTATTCAATTGAACTGTGGCTGTAAAACCTGATTGTGTGCCACTTTAGTGCGTACTATGGAGGTCTACCAGATGCGAACACATCAAAAGAGATGAGATTGAAAAATCTAGAAGCTCATCGCAAGATCAACCTCATCGTAGAAGAACATCAAAAATGGCTAAGAAGGAGGAACAAAAGAAGAAGCCTGTGACTTCTGATGAGCGTTTTAAATCTGTTCACAATGATCCTAGATTTAAATTACCCAGTCTGAAGGATTTCAAGGTCAAAGTTGATGATCGTTTTAACAAGAAAGTGTTGCAAAAGTTAAACTCTAATAGCTCTGGAAGAAAAACTAAGATTGACAGATATGGTAGAAAGATAGAAGAAAAAACCGTATCTTTGGATAAATATTATGAGGATGAAGAGGAAGGTAGTGAAGAGGAAAATGCCCCAAAGAAGAACAAGAAGGATGTTGAAGAAAGTGAGGACGAGGAAGGAGATAATGATGACGATGACGATGACGATGACGATGACGATGACGAAGACGAAGACGATGACGATGACGATGACGATGACGAATCTATTAGTTTGTTAGATCGTGCTAGAGGTGAAGGATACGATTCTAACAATTTGGATACTACAGATGATTCTGCCTCTGATTCTGATTCTGATTCTGAATCCGATTCTGATGCTGAAGTAGATGCCTTAGAAGAGGAAGGAGAATCTGATATTGAAATCGAAGAACTGAATCCCGAAGAAGGTGATCCCTCTGACACATTCGCCGTAGTTAACATGGATTGGGATAACTTATCAGCCGTTGATTTGATGGCCACTTTTGTTTCCTTTGTTCCTACTGGAGGTTCTATTAAATCTGTCACAATTTATCCTTCTGAGTTTGGTAAAGAACAGATGCAAAAGGAGGAAATTGAAGGTCCTCCTAAGGATTTATTCAAGAGCAAGAATAAGAAGAAAGACGATGAAGATTCTTCTGATTCTGATGATGATCTTGATGTTAACAATCCAGATGATTTTGCCAGAGCAACCCGTAAGTTGTATGAAGAAGAGGATGGGAAGGAAGATTATGATAGTAAGGCATTGAGAAGATACCAGTTACAGAGATTGAGATACTATTATGCTGTTGTAAGTTGTGACTCTATCTCTACTGCAAAGGCTATATACGATAACTGTGATGGAACTGAATTTGAGGCAACTGCCAATATATTTGATTTGAGATATGTTCCAGAAGGCATGGATTTTACTGATAATGAACCTAAGGAAACTTGTACTAAAGTTCCTTCAAATTACAGACCTCAAGCGACATTTGTCACCGATGCATTACAACATTCTAAAGTTAAGTTGACTTGGGATGAAACCCCTAAGGAAAGAATACAATTATCCACTAGACTGTTTTCACAAAATGAAATTGATGATATGGACTTTAAAGCATATTTGGCATCTGATACTGAAGATGAAGATGATCAAGCGGTTGCTGGAGATAAGTATAAAAACTTATTAGGAGGACTTTCATTGGGAGGTAAGAAGAGCGTGTCTAAGGATAAAGAGAATGAAGATAGCGAAGATGATGTTGATATGGAAATCACATTCACACCAGGGTTGGATGAAAATGCCAAGAGCGAGCACAAGAAAGAAGAAGAGGCTACTGAAGAATCTACCATTGAAGCTTATAGAAGAAAAGAGAAGGAGCGTCGTAAGAGAAGGATGGAAAAGTTCAAGCAACAGGATAAGGAAGATGATAATGATGATGATGGTGTCGAGGATGATGATTCTAAGAAACTGAAGGCAAAGAAGGATAAGACGGATAAGAAGAAGAAAAACTCCAAGGAAGACGCAAAGAAAAAAGCAGAATTAGAGTTGATCATGATGAATGAAGAAGACGGTGATTCCAAATCAGAGCATTTTAGCATGAAGGATGTTATTAAGGCAGAAAAGGCAAAGAATAAAAAGGGTAGAAAGAACAAGGCTAAGAATGTTGATGAAGAAATGACTCAAGATAATTTTGAAGTGGATTTAAATGATCCTCGTTTCAAGCAAGTGTTTGAAAGTCACGAATACTCAATTGACCCTACATCCAGTGAGTTCAAGAAGACAGAAACAATGAAGAAGATCATGAAGGAACGTTCAAAGAGACTGCATCGAGATGATGGTTCCCGTAAATCCAAGAAAGCTAAGGTCAATCAATCTGTGACTTCTGATAACCAACTATCATCCTTAGTTACAAAGTTGAAGAATAAGAATCGTCGATAGATGAGGGTGCATAGAATTAGCTAACGTATATACTACAGTATAATGTCTTTCTTCCAACTATGGCTAAGGAGGTTGTAAACAGCTGTAAGCACTTTCATTACCTAGGCTCTAATGGACAACTAGTATGGATCAAGTTTATCACGTGACAATAAATACGCGTTTGAAATGTGTTCTCTCGAAAATTTTTTCGTTGTTAAATAAACAGAATCAGCCTTCGTAAACTTACCTACTAGTGATCAGCACCACTATAAACGATGTTTAGCTTATTCAAACTTGTGGTGACATTGTTGGTCGCATTTACTCAGTTGGGGAGTGCTTTGCACTTTTATTTGGATACTGCCCAAACCCGTTGTTTCTATGAAGAATTACCTGCTAAGACTTTAGTAGTAACTAAGTTATTGGTCCATGAATTGATTGAAGGAACCAATCTGTATGCACCTAATGATCAATTAAGTTTGGTTATGACTGTCGATGAAACATTTGACAACAACCATAGAGTGGTTTCTCAAAAATCCACTACAAATGGGGATTTCACATTCACATCAACTGATGAAGGTGAACATAAGTTTTGTTTGACCCCACTCTACAATGATGGATCAATGGGTAAAAAACATAGAATTTACTTTGATCTTGTTGTTGGTTCTGCCGATGAATACGTTGATTCGAAGAGTTCTAATAAGGTTGATCACTTGACTAAACAAATTCAAAACTTGAACAGAAAACTACAAAACATCCACAGAGAACAGGAATCTATCAGAAACAAAGAAGCAATCTTTAGAGATCAATCTGAGTCCACCAATGGCCGGGTGTTGAAGTGGACTGTTGTTCAATTGATTGTTTTGGTTGGAACTTGTTTCTACCAATTACGTCATTTGAAGAGTTTCTTTGTTAAACAAAAGATTGTTTAAATGAAAGACTATTCTTAATAATATTATTTTTACATATAAATCATTGATAGTGTCAGTTAATTGAATTAAGTGTCACTCGTAACCAAAAATGGAATTTTGTGCACCGCACGACTTACATCATCACGTCTATAACTGTAGAACTTAAACAGTGAATGGTAATGAAGCCTGGTATTCATACATACCATAAAATGGAGGAAGATCTTCAGCAAAAGGTTAAACGTTTAGAAGAAGAAATCTGGCGTTTGAAAAATCAAGACACATACACAGCAGATCTGTGCTCTTCAAATGCTCCTCTCACTAATTTGCCACTAACTCAAGATGAATACAAAAGATATGGAAGACAGATGATCGTAGATGGGTTTGGATCCTTAGAAGCCCAATTGGAGCTTAAGGGTTCTAAGGTGTTGGTTATAGGGGCTGGTGGCTTGGGATGCCCTGCTTTAATGTACTTGGGAGGTTGCGGGATTGGAGAAATAGGTATAGTGGATAATGATACCGTAGATATTAGTAACTTACATCGACAAGTACTTCATACAACGGACGCAGTTGGCCTATTGAAATGTGAGAATGCCAAACGATATATCAATCGATTAAACCCTCATGTCAAGGTAGAAACTTATCCAGTTCGTTTAAGTAATGATAATGCATTTTCAATCATTGAACCATATGATCTTGTTCTTGATTGTACTGATACTCCAGCTGTTAGATATTTGATCAATGATGTTTGTGTTATTCTAGGGAAAACCATTGTTAGTGGCTCTGGAGTTAGAACAGATGCTCAATTGACTATTTTGAACTATCGTTCTTCAGGACCTTGTTATAGATGTTTTTATCCTACCCCACCATCACCAGAATCAGTAGGTTCCTGTGGAGATAACGGTGTTATTGGTCCATGTATTGGGTTGCTAGGAGTCTCCATGTGCGTGGAAGCCATTAAGGTCATCACTGCTTATTATGACAAGGACGAACCTTTCACCCCATTCCTAACCGTATACCAAGGTTATCCACATCAATCATTTAGAAGATTCAAAATGAGACCGAAGCAAGCCAAATGTGTAGTTTGTGGAAGTTCTCCAGTCATAACCCGTGAAACTATTGAATCAGGTGCCATTAACTATGCTGTATTCTGTGGTGCAACAAAGTATAATGTGTGTCAAGATTCTGAACGAATTACTGTTTCACAACTTGAGCAGTCATTATCAAAACAACAACAATCTTACATAATTGATGTGAGGCCACAACTGCAGTTCAAGATTACTCACCTTCCGAAATCAATAAACATTCCTTGGCAAGAAGTGCTCCAGAAATGTGGTAGCATTGACCGATATTTACCAGAAACATTTAATAAAGCCTCCGATGAAGTCTATCTCATTTGTCGTTACGGTAATGATTCACAATTGGCAACACGGAAGATGATTGACGAATTAGGTTTTCAAAAGGCAAAGGATGTAAAAGGTGGTATTAATAAATGGAGTGAATTAATAGATCATAATGTACCCATATACTAATTGGCTGGATCTAATCTTTCCACTAGAAGCATTCCTCCAAGAGTTCCCATAGAGTATATAGAGCTTCCAATAACATTTTCATTCCATTCTAAGCTTGAAATAGTGATCTCAGTGGGGGCAAGTGACGTAAGTGATGCCTCATCCGGCAGCACAGGCAAATAACTATGGTTGAATATTTGTTGTTTCAATTCATTATCAAAGTCAACTTTCCATAATCGAAGAGGAAGTGAAGATTTATTTGTAGTTTTATTCCCATTCAATAATTTCCGAGCAAAATTTAGAATAAAGACTTCACCCAAGGAGTTTCCCGCTAATAAAAGAGGATGTGAAAGCCATTTTGATGCCCCTAAAGCAGTAATTTGTCCACTCATTCTAAGTAATTGGTTTGGACTTTCCAGTGGTACACGAGGAAAGAAGGACCCCACGAAATCACCAAAAACACCAACACACACTCTAAGGGCCTTGTTGTAGGTGTATGCAACCATAGACATGTTTGTAGTCATATCAACTCTGTCTAAAATAAAAGAAGAGTATTCAAAAGCAAATGAAAATGTTCCTGTACTATTGACAATAACATAATTGTTTTCATCTTGCTCTGCAACAGCAACTGTGGTGATACTAGTCTCTGCTACCCTATGAATAAAGGAAGGTATGGATAAATCTGTGACATGGTGAGACCATGGGAAAATGAATTCAGCAATTGAACCATCAGAAAGACCCACAAGTGCTTTATCAACACCTAAGAACGAAAAGCACGTAATTCTTGTTTTTAACTCATACGAAAAGGATGGTTGTATGATTTCCATTACTGGTTCCTGCCCATTTAAAATAGCATCTGTTATCTTAATCAAATGGAGCTTCCCATCTGAGAAACTTCCCACTAAAACACCTATGGATTTCTCGTTATGAATTGGGACCCAATGCAAATCATGAGAAGGACCTAAATTTGTGGTTAAAAGGGTCTTCTTTAGTAATATAGTATTGGTTGAAGTGTCATATTCAAATATCTTGATAGCACTCGGTAATTCGTTGCAGTTACCCTTGTGGAATAATGATAACATTGGCAGGTTAATTGCATCATCAACATCGGATAAGATAACTGATACTGCCAAATATTGTACGGAAGTCAAAGGATTAGAGTTTATTAACCATTTCATGCTAGTTATCGGACCACCACAATTTATCATCAAACAATTTCTCTGGGTTTGTTCCTTCAAATACATAGGTATATCAGTTGATACATCCACCAGCTCAGGTTTGCCATTATCCTTTGTGATTTGAAGTGTACTTGTTGTTATGGGAACTGCTAAATCCTTCGATGGTTTACCAATAACGATGTCTTGCAAGTTCAAGTCTGTCACCGAAGACCAATCACTTTTGAAGTCATCACAGGAATCTTCACTGACATAAAATAACTTATCATGCCATGCTTCCCGGTATTTTAGAGTATACTGGAAATATTCACTATCTTCGCCATGGTATAGAAGAAACCGTTTGGAATAGGGGAGATCTCTCAAGTACTTGCCATTGGCTACTCGCTCCGAAAACATTTACCGAATGAATACAACCAAATAATATCACCAGGCAGAAGTAGATTTGATATAATAACAGTAGGTAAGTAATTGAAGTAAACTGTAACTACGTAGTCTTTGTTGATCTTGTGTGAAGTAGATAGGAACGTTTGTTGTTTTACTTTGTGTGCGAAAATCATATTTCGCGTTTACCCCATTAAATATATAAACTGTAATCAAAAGGTTAGGTTGCTACGTAGATGTAGTTTTGCTCGATACTATGAATGGTGCAGAAGAGGGTGGGCTAAAGGCATCGAAATCGTCTCCTAAACGCCAGAAGAAAAAGATCTCACTTCAAGATGATTTCTTTGCTCATTCAGATGAGCCAAAGTTGAAACGTAAGAAGTATAAAAGCAAACATATTCAAGAGGCATTCAATAAGATCAAATCTGATGATGGAGTTTTGACTTCAAATTTGAATATGAGCTCCAGCCAAGTTTCTAATTCAGTCCCTGCAACGACTCATGAAGATGGAGACGATAATGGAGGTTTGGAGGACATTAAAGCTGGCTCGTGTGAATACGACAATAATAACGGAATAGCCGTTCATAATAGTGATGATGATGATGACGATGATGTTCTATTGGAAGTGAGCTCTGAAGAATCAGATATAGAGCAATTCTTAAGATCAACATCAATGGAAATCGGTGATAAAGATGGGTATGATTTCTCGTACAAGAAGGAAAAGAAAAGAAAATATGTTATCCATGTTAAGAGTAAACTCGCCATTCCTCAAGGAGCTCCTCCTGGAAGCCCAACAGAAGCAAAGTTTCTGGTTAATGGAACAAAATTGTTTGATAGAATTCTAGAATTGATAATCTTACATTTTAATAGCATGTACCAAATGGCGGACTCCAATGAACGATTGCGAGCGGAACAAGCCGTTTTGGTTTGGGTCAATGGTCGAATGGAAGTGAAACCTTTCTTTAAGCCATCAACACTTAGAATTCCACTTCCAAGTGATGTGGTAGATTATGAGGATCCTCTGAAGTTTCCTACTACTGAATTTCAATGTCTACTTATACCGACAACCCATACGAAGGATTTCTTAGAAGTTTATCCTGAATTCAATAATGGACTATTGTATAGAGTTCGCGATGATGAAGATGAGCTTTATATTGGTGCTGGTAATCAGCAGAATAATACTCGTGGAAAGGATGTGGATGAGGACGATGATGATATTGAAATATTGGAAGTCGTAGAAGGGATACTACCAGAATCAATACCACAAGATACACCGCAAGTTTTCGTTATTGGCTTGAAAGGGGCAGATAACAAAAGAATAGAATGTCAAGTGTCGAAATCAACATCATTTAAAAGCATTTTAGATCACTACATTAAGGTAAAACAATTACAAAATATTGACTATTCAAAAGTTAAAATGATATTTGACGATGAACAAATACATTTAGACACCCTTGTGGAAGAAACAGAATTAGAAGAAGATTTTGAGGTACAAATAGTCCTATAATCAGTCTGTATTAGATAATAATTACATCACTAATGCACATTCCATATCATTAATTAATCAAAAAAATTTCCCTAATCTATATTTATACACCAAGCCAGCAGGCTATGACACTCGCTAAGTAAAATTTTCATACATCACATACTTGAATTTCAGCAATCCTGTCAAGGAATCCAAATGTGCATTCAACTCTTGGTCTTCTGGTGTTTCATAGTAAAGATCAGATTCAAAGTCCATATCTTGAACCTTGACAAACTTATCTTTGCATCTAGTCCAAACAAACCAAGCAATATAGCATAATGGGAAAATAGCCAACTCCAAGTATGATTGGAAGAAATCATTAGCTGAAAATGGTGATAATGTGGACCATCCTTGAACAAAAATGATAAAAGTTCCGAAAATAACCACAAACCAAGGACCCCATGGATAAGTCCAGTTAGGGAATAATAATTCACCTTCCCTTCCTTGGAATTTCAATCCTTGTCTGAATCTAATAGAAATTATACCAATAACCCACCATGAAATCAAGTTACTTAGACCAATGATAGCTTGTAACCAATTCCATAACTCACCAGCTCCAATGAAAGAAGATCCAAACCCTAATCCACCAAAGAACCAAGTAAAAATGACTGCAATATATGGAGTTTTCCATCTGTTAACTTTAGTCAAGATCTTTGGAGCATAACCTTGGGTACCCAAGTTATATGCCAAACGGGAACCAGCATATAACGCATGGTTACCAGCAGAAATGACTGAGGTAATAATGACAGCATTCATAAAGTCTGCACCGCCTTTAGCACCAACTAATTTGAACATAATTGTAAAAGGGGAGGTAATAATGGACTTTTTATTTAAGTTTTCATAGTTATATGGAATGTTCATACCAATGAAAAAAACTGTAAGGATGTAAAAGATCAAGATACGCCAGAACACGGTTCTGACAATCTTAGGCATAGTTCTTGTGGGGTTTTTCTGTTCACCAGCAGTCATAGTAATTGATTCAGTTCCACCATAAGCATAAGCAGCAGTTACAAAGACTTTGGCAAATCCTCTAAAGCCATTGACAAATGGAGCATCACCAACACCCCAATTTGAAAACCCAATATATTTATGTTCAATATTATGACCAGCATTGACCACAATTGAGATAATGAAAAAAATAATAATGGCAATCACTTTCAATAACGCTAACAAGTATTCGGCTTCCCCATAGAATCTAACATGGAAAACATTTAAAAACAAAAGGAAAAACCAAAAGATCAATGCCACAACCCAATAGTGGAAATCTGTCCAATAAGATAAAAGAAGTTGTAAAGCAGTTAAATCTGATGCCACACTTAAGGCATCATTTAACCAATAATTACTTAAGATAGCAAACCCCAAAGAATCACTACCAAACCTTTTAGCGTATGTTGTAAATGAACCAGAAACTGGATATTGAGTAGCCATTTCACCTAAACTTAACATAGTGAAATATACCATTATTCCAATGATTGTATAACAGATTAATAATGCACCTGGACCACCTCTAGACAATGAAACCCCAGTACCTAAAAATAATCCAGTACCAATAACACCTGCAATTGTAATCATGTTAATTTGACGAACAGATAAAGACCGGTTCAAGTTATCCTCCCCCAAGGGCTGTTTCCCATCACCCACTGCTCTTGGACCACCATTCTCTTGAGAATCAGTACTAGACCTCTCCAAGTCCAAGGTTGAATTGAAAAGAGTATTGTCGTTCTTCAATATAGACATATCCACAACTAAATACTAAAAGACGATCACCAGGGAAGAACTCATCGACTGGATTCTAATGCAGAGATTTTTAAAGGTTTCAAATACTAACGTTTTTGATTACAAAGCATTTTGAAGCCATTCCCCATTTTTACTTAAGGAATAATGCTCTTCCACAAGCTGCACATAAAAAGTAATGATTTATCCGAAAAAAATACTTTACGCCGTGCCATTTTAGTCTTCTTCACAGCCATGTCATGTTCTGGCTTATCGGGACAGAAAAGCCCCTTAAATTCTTCTAATCTTTGCTCCACATCTATAGAAGGTTCAACCCTACCTGGTTTAATAGGTATACTATGTGTGTTTCTTTTACCTACTAAACGATAGCTTGGTAAAATGCTTTTTAATACCTAATTGAAGTCACAGGGTATTGCCTTCCGATAGAGGATTAGATTACTGCAAACACCTATTTAGTGGTTGCACGGCGGTTGCTTTTGTATAAGATGACGATAGATCACGTGTTTATTGTATTCCACTTCAAGGTTTCAACGGTCATCCTGAATACAAATTGACATAGAAGATCAAGGGACTCTTTGTAACGCAAAGGTTTAGCTAAAAGAGACTAATTAGTTGTGAGCGAGCAAAAAATATATACAAACTGTTAGACGGTTATACAGTCACACGTATGCACAACAACTTTACGATTCATGGCGGATTATAAAGGTTTCGTCATTTGAATCCTGCACACCCTGGTGATAAGGGTGTCAATGACGGTCGCATTTCATATCATAGATTGGAGTTCTCTGCAGCGATCAACCCTTGAACCAACTCGTAAATCAATACAAACACAGTGTGGCTTAAAATATTCCCTATTCTCCGCTAAATCAGATCGTTGGAAAGACAATTGGATACACTTAAATGATTATCTAATTGCCACAACTGTGGGTGCAATTGTTTACTTATTTGTTTGTGGCCATATTGCGACATCCACCCCATGGGTCGATGTTATTCACGCTTCTTGATTTATATTTTTCTGAGCGTCTTGTGTTCTTTGGTTTATTTGTGCCATTGCAAGTGCATTACTGTACAACAAAGCAACAAACTTTAGTTCGGGACACTCCTATCAGATAGAGCCAACTATTACAAGTACAAGATCATTGGAGGCATTAGCATAAACTTGCACTATTTAATTGATTAGCGGTCTTGTATCTCCGTTACATCCTTTTGAAAATTAAATCTATAATGCCACCCCCGTAGAATAGATTATTCAGACATATGGTCAGGCGACTCTTGACTATATAAGTTGAATCAAAGTTGAAAGTCGCATTTAGGTTTGATACTAACTTTTCTTCAATCAGCTACAAAATCAAATGGGTTAGGTGATGATAGTGCCAATATATTTATTTGAATTCTTTCTTCCCCTCTAATAGTGAACGGTATCTGCTTTTAATACCATCTATCTAATTCACAGCTGACAATTTCATAATTAGCTGTTGCAGCCAACCAACTGTACGGCAGCCTATAATTATCACTTACCCGGACGAATTCGCGACCAGCTTGATTAGTGAACCTTCAATCGACATAGATCTCATATTCAAGACACTTTAATGTTTACCAATTCGGTTGGATTGTATCAATAAGCGATGTCTACCAATAACACAGAGTTGAGCTTTCAATACGCTCACGAATTTGTGGATTTTGTTAACGCTTCCCCTACCCCTTACCATGCCGTTAAGACCTCCAAGAAGTACTTGATTGAAGCTGGGTTCATTGAATTGTCTGAAAAGTCATCATCGTGGGACTTAAAAGCAGGTGGTAAGTACTTTGTGACTAGAAATAACTCATCCATCATTGCATTTAAAATAAATGATTCTTTTGTGTGGGGTGAAGGTGGAATTGCTATCGTTGGTGCACACACAGATTCTCCATGTTTGAGAATCAAGCCAATCTCAAAGAAAGAGCTGGAAGGTTTCATTCAAATTGGTGTGGAACAGTATGGAGGTCTTATTGCTCATTCATGGTTCGATCGTGATTTATCTATTGCTGGTAGAGTCTACGTAAACGATAAAGAAAAGGGTGTCTTTATCCCACATCTAATTAAGATTGACAAACCCTTGTTGAGAATACCTACCTTGGCAATTCATTTGAATAGAGAATTGGGCACCAAATTTGAGTTCAATAAAGAAACTGAATTATTGCCTATTGCCGGACAATCTAAGTTTGGTTCCGCTAAAGCAAAGGAAGAGGAGGGTAAAGAATCACCTCATAGCTGTGCCGATGACCCTGAACTCCAGTTTACCCCTGAGCAATTTGAATCTGTTCAATCGGTTATTTCAAGACATAACGAACTGTTGGTTGATCTTATTGCTCAAGAATGTGGTGTAACTCCTGATGCCATAGAAGACTTTGAATTAATTCTCTATGACCATCAGAAATCCACATTAGGTGGTTTGCATGACGAGTTCATATTCTCCCCTAGGTTGGACAATTTAACTTCATGTTATTGTGCAGTAAAGGGTTTGGTTGAATCTACTTCTGAAGGCAAGAACTCAATTTCGATGATTTCACTTTTTGATCATGAAGAAATCGGATCTGCTTCTGCACAAGGTGCTGATTCAACTTTTCTACCAGACATTGTCCAAAGAATCCTGGGAGATTATTTCCATTCAACAGTTTCACGTTCCTTTTTGTTATCCAGTGATATGGCACATGGTGTACACCCTAATTACTCCAGTAAGTATGAGGCTCAGAACAAACCTCAAATCAACCAGGGCCCTGTTATAAAAATCAATGCTAATCAAAGATATGCTACAAACTCTGCAGGTATTGTTTTGTTGAAGAATGTTGGTCAAAAAACCCAGGTACCCCTTCAATTGTTTGTTGTTCGTAATGACTCTCCATGTGGATCTACAATTGGACCTATTTTAGCAGCAAAATTGGGTATTCGTACTTTGGATTTAGGTAACCCTCAATTAAGTATGCATTCAATTCGAGAAACTGGTGGTACTCACGACATATTACATTTAGTGAGATTATTTGGAGGCTATTTCAGTGAATATTCTGATTTACAAGAACGTATTTTGGTTGATGGTGTCTAACGGAATAGATTCATTATATGTGACATTTCTTAGTGTAGCCATCTTGTATTTAGATTGTAGGGAATACATTAGCCTTTCCTTGACCAATAATGTTTCCTTGTGGATAATAATTACATACAATATAGTAAGTATTTGCAGAACAATTCTTCACAGCACATCCTAATTGTGTACTTGAATTCCATACCATTTGAGTGAAATGGTTATATTGATTGGCAGCTATATAATTATAATCTGACGATTCATTAAACCATGCATACATTGCTTTTGTGAAGATAGTAAACCCGGAAGCGAGATTTTCTCCATAAAGTTTCCCCAGATGTTTCAATGCGCTGCCGCATTGATAAATCGCAGCATTCTCCTGTGCAACACTGGCGACCGAAGAATTCCACGCCATGGGTTGAGATTGATGTAACTGGCGTAATTGGTTGTGAACCAGAAGAAACTCTTCTGCATACCAAGGATCTTGATTAGAAGTTCCAACCGGTAAGTCAATTGCGCTGCCGCTGGCAGCTTGCCCTGGTAGAGATTTTGGTACTGTTTTTGTAGAAACAACAACAATTTCAACAATTTGTACTACATGCACCGCGTTGATCACGCTCATGACGAAACCAAGACATGAAAGATGCATCTTCAGTGGTCAACTTTAAGTATTTTAATTATTTACTCCAGTTTTGAATCTAAGAAAGCTGATACTGGTCAGATATAAATACTGTAGAGGTGAGACCTGAAACTTGTTCTCCACAAGCGCAGAGAAGACAGTTCTGGTTCCTTCCGCTGTAGATCGTCATCATCATGTTATAAATGCTGTAGCCAAGAATTTCACCTATTCGCTATTGAGTTCTTTGACTATGCTCAAACTGTGGTGGTACAGGTCACACAAGGGTTCCATGTTCGTTTTACCGATCTCGTATATTTGTTTGACACATTAGGACTGCACGCAAATGAAGCTTCGATAGTTGAAGTTCATAAACACATTAGGTATCGAAACATGATTATAGTAAGCCTAGGCCATATGTATCCGTCTAATGCTAATAGATAGTTTGTATAATAGAATTTAAAGAACAGTATTTCAATCATCTGAGAGACATTAGCGTACTGATTCCTATGGAATCAGTGTAACCTTCGTTATTGAGGCTTTCAAATTGAGCAAATTGTATGTAATTGTGAGTATTCAAACAACTAACCGTCTAGTGTGCTTTTAAACTAGTAATCTACGGATACATTGTTCATGAAGTGGAAGCATTCTAGATGTGATTTTGAGATTCGCGAGTTCCCAGAACTCTGAAGAAAAATGAAAGTCAAATCGTGTCAGATCAATCACTATCGTATAAAAACAAATACTATCGTGTCAGATCAAAACCTACTTCGATTCGATTATCAAATAAGGAACTTCCATTCATATAATGCTATTAGGAAATAAGAGGGGGGCTTATCTCAGTATCGCTATTGCGATTATTGGTATGTGCCAAATGGCTTTAGCTTTTCAATCTGTTCCATTATTGGTTGCATCACATAAACTCATCCCCCAATTAAAGTCAGAGATATTACTACCCAATGGAATGAAACTGGGTCTGTCAGAAAAGGCAACCAATATGATTAAACGTGCCATTACAGCATGCTCACTGGATGCATATGTTATTGCCAATGTTCCTGGTTTAACTTATGAGGATATGACACCTGGCCATTATGATGATTGGATGGCGGTTAGAAGATACCTTTATTTACTGCTGACGTTAGTATCAGTCAGTAGAATGGTAGAAGCAGTTGATTTGAAGTATTTGAGTAATTACATTGTGATGACATGCGATGCTGAATTAGCATCTTATGATGAAATTGACGCTAATAGTTTTTTCGATAATCGTCAACAAGGAGGACACCTTGATACTCGGAAACGGGTAATTAGTGTTGATTTCAGTCCTATGGATGATGAAGACCTCAATAGACGCAGAGAACAAATTCGGTACATAGATCTGGTGATCCGTAAAATCATTAGACAACTTCCACTGCCACATTACATGTTAATAATTACCGGAGACACTACAGGTTTTACCCATCCTCATCCTGATATAATGATGCAAGAGAATCCTGAACAGTTTGAAATATTTAATGATCTTGTGAATGATCCTGAAAGAGATACGGAGAAGGAACGGAACCAATACCAGTATAGACCTGTTGCCCCACAATGGAACGATTTAAAGCCCAGTGATTCCCGTGTTCAACGGAATCGCCTTAAGGATGAAATTCACATATTTGAGTTCAAGGCTTGGGAAGAAAGAGCTGGGTTATTATTTTTGGTTCTATTGGCAGCCTTAGCTATGGGTGCACTTAAAAGTTTCAATTGGTATCGTAAATACAAAGGCGAATAGAGAGTCATAAGGCGTAAAACGGAAAATAAAAGGCGTACAGTTAGGATATTTAAAGTAGTTCTTATATTAAGAGGTTAAAGGATAAACGAATAACCAGTTTATAACAACTTAATGCGGCTGATTCAGTGGAAGAGAAGTTAAGCCCACTATTATTCAATATCTTTAGGCTTGACGGAGATAATTTCCTAATTTGATATAGCTCATTTCAGAGTTTTCCATTCTGCGTTAATGAGAATTGGCGGTAAATAACCTTAAGTTTATGCAGAAGTCAAATATTCAATGATGAAACGCAATACTCCCCCCTCTTTCAATGAAAGATATTTTAATCTAAAGGCAACATAGGTCCGATGGAATAGTTTAGCAGCCCCAAGTACCTGAATGAAAACCATTACGAAGATAGCATACGAATCTGATACATTTAAGCGGACACAAAGTAATCTCCCAGACATTTACAGCCTTTTTTCCCAACTAAGAATTCCATGCCTGCGCACAAATATTCGGGAAATCATCTGATTTTTGAGAATTTGTCTGATTTTGATCACAACTTAAATAATATATTATACTGCGAATGTTTCTATGACACAACTTAAGTGGACGAAAGCCTGAATCGAGTGTTAAAGGTTTAAGATCAAATACCTTTAGGCCTATAAAAATTTAGTTTAAGAAAAGATATAACTTCCGAGCGAAGTTTCTGCACTAAATTTCCAGCAAATTGGTGTACAAATTTACAAATCCATCCCTCATCACTCCTCTTCGTTAAGTAGTTTATAATACAAGACTTGCAAAAAAAATCAGTTCATATAAGTGTTCTTGTTTCGAGACAAAAAGCAAATAATAAGCACCAACATTAACCCGTAGTAACGGAGACCAATGGGCATCTTTTGACCCATTTTTTTAGGTCACTCCAAATGGTGCAACCAAGAATGACTGGTTATTTTGACAATCGAACCACTATTAGCAATTGCAACTTGTAATTGCTGAGCGCAATACAAGGTTTTGCTTTCAACTCCCTAAACATTACAATTTAGAGGACGTCACCACCGGAACATGTGCGAGTTGGACTATCAACGAAGTCGTTGATACTTTGTGATGAACAATAGAGTTGCTGCGTATCGCTAACTTTATTTATTTTTTTTTTAACAAGAAGCGAGAATTGTGTTGGCTATGCTGACATTTAAGCTTTGATTTATTTTTTGCTCCACAGTATTGGCTTTCTTCAATTGACTCTACTTATAGGAACTCTTTCTATCTTATGAAATGGGAACTGGTATCATCATCATCATCATCATCACGAGATGGTCATTACTCCCTCCTGCTCCTCAATCAAATCAATGGAGTCTCATGTTCTTAGTAGTAGTCTCTAACACTATCTTTCTTTTCAATCCCGGTTCCGCCACGCCAATTGAACAATTTTGTCTGTCTTAGCACTCTAGAGGGGAGATCAATACAGGAATGTACCCACTTACTGACAAAAATTATTCAGAAGCAAACCTAGCTCAAAAAAAGAGAGAAATTAGAAATCTAACCACTATCTTGGAGTAAACGATTTAATCCATTTCTGATTTTCTTCACTTATAAGAGTGTTCAAATCACACCAAAGCTGAGTGCGTGTTGCAGTGTATTGCAACAGAGGCGTCAGGAAACGAGGATATCGTCTCACACTAAGTCTCGTTTGAGTGTTTAGGGTGGTCCGTTACCTTAACATTATTCAAAGTGTTTATCACAACACTACGAGGTGTGATTGAAAGAGAATATAATAACCAGAAGAAATTTGTTTTTTAGTCCTTTATTAATCAGCTCCTAATTCTCCCTGATACTAAGGATTCAATTACATCAACGTATATCCCTTTTATTTTATTGAAACTTAATTCTTACATCAAACCATTCCAACTAAAAAGACAAACAGTGTCTTGTGCATTTTTCTTATAGATCATTTATTGAAATCATTATCACATACAGATTTATTACTGGCTCAATCTCAAGTATTTATTTATTAGTTGTCACGTATGCCCACAGATTATCTCAAGTTTCACTCCATTCCTTCGGGAAGACATAAGGATAAACACCACATTGTCATCGTAGGCGCTGGTATAATCGGTGTCTGTACCGCATATTATCTTGTTAGACATCCCGATTACGACCCGGAGAAATTCCATATTACAGTTATCGAATCCAAAAGAGTTGCAGGTGGTGCAAGTGGTAAAGCTGGTGGGTTATTAGCTCTATGGGCTTTTCCACAACAATTAGTTCCATTATCTTTTGAATTGCACCAAGAATTATCCGATTTGTATAACGGTACTCAAGAATGGGGTTATCGTCGGTTAACCACTGTTCAATTGGAAGGTGATCTTACCCTTGTGGATTCATCAAAGGATAATGATAACGATAATTACACCCATGCCGATTCTAAACATGATGGTACCAATGTTAATGGGTTTGTTTTGCATAGTAGTGATGAAGATGACGATTGCTACGAAAGTTCAGTTGACCCTCTACATCGTGGTAAAGATTCTCTGGAAAATGAAGAAATATTTAAGAAGACTACCAAGCAAAGAAGCAACTCAGTTTCATCATCGTCATTAACAAGTTCTGATAGACCACCTAAAAAGACATCCAAATCATCACGTTCCAAACTTAGTGGAGCAACTTCCACTCCTCTTGAAAATTCTGCTTCCAATCAGGATAATAACGGATTAATCTCGGATTCAAATAGCTCAGCTCGTTCAAGCATGTCGAATGCTCCTTCTGGGTCGTCAGCAAATTCAACCTTTGATGATCATGATTTCAGCCATACAAGTAGAACGTCGTCTGCTGCAAACACTATTAGTAGTAACCATGACGATGGATCAAACACAAGCGACACAAGCAGTCATAAGAGTACTCGTCTGCTGGTTACTCAAGTTGGCCAAGGGTCTACTACCACATCTCAATCTCAAGGGGGATATAATACTCGCTCTAGACGTCAATTACCCAGTAAGCTTCCACCCAACTTGAATTGGATTGACTCAAGTATCATTACTAACTGCTCATCACTTGGTGGAACTGATACTACAGCACAGGTCCATCCATATAAATTTACCAATTTCATTCTTAAAAAGGCTGTTGAGGACTCTAAAGGATCAATTGAATTGATTCTAGGGAAAGTGGGGGAAATTACATATTCAATGGAAACTGGTCAAGCAACAGGAATCAAATATAAACCCACTTCAGTTAAGGATGACCATAGAAATAAGAGACTGGTAGCATTATATGGTGATCAAATTGTTCTTACAGTTGGTCCTTGGACTTCTAAAATTCTACCAGATTGTCCTATTCTGGGATTACGAGCTCATTCCATTACAATTAGTCCCTACGAAGATCAACCTGTTTCCCCATATGCTATATTCTCAGAGTTTAAAACTGGACCTTATTCTTACATTTCACCAGAGATCTATGCTAGACAAGATGAAGTGTATGTATGTGGTGAAGGTGATTCTACTGTTGATGTGCCTGATACAACCGATGATGTTGAAGTTGTGAAATCAAAATGCGATGAATTATTCAAACAAGTTGGCAAAATTTCCCCAAATTTGCGTAGAGGTCGTATTTTGAAGAGACAAGCTTGTTATTTGCCTGTGTTAGACGTTCCCTCCAGTAGTGGACCTTTAATTGGAGAAACCAATGTCGAGAATTTGTATTTAGCAAGTGGACACAGTTGTTGGGGTATTAATAATGCGCCGGGGACTGGTAAGATTATGAGTGAATTATTATTGGAAGGTGAAGTGACTTCAGCAGATATTCTGACTTTAGATCCGCTGTTATATTTTGATGCAAGTGTATTGATTAGTGACGAGGAAGATAATGATGAGGAAGAAGAAGATGAAAGTTAGGAAGGGAAACAACTTTTGATGGTATTTAAGGCAATTTAAGTGGCAGTCGAAAGGGAAATGAAGTGTTAATTGTCTTTTAAGTTGCATGATATTTGTTAAATTACTTGTATATTTCAAATTTTGTAGATAAAGTTATCTACACTAAAATAGAGATTTAAGTAGAGCTCTCTATCAATTATTCAATAGAACAATTATGATTTGCTACACTTTTATAAACGAAGGGTTTACCTTTATCGTATAATTAAATAGTATACATGATGATATACAAACTACTTTTCAACGCAAAAACATACTCGGCAAGAAAGATTTATAACCAGAATCTAAACATACACTACGCTTAGTTTCTCTTAGCAAATCTTCTTGGACCTCTTTGAGAAGAAATAGTAACAACCTTAACAGGCAAGTTCTTGAAACCCAAAGCCTTAACCATGGTGGCGGTTTCTTCATCCAATTCCAATTGGTTTTCGGTGTGAGACAAGTCCAAAGCAGAGACTTCTGGAACGTATTGATCCTTTCTTTCTCTTTCTTCTTCTTGCAACTTGAAGGAGATACCTCTAACTGGACCCTTTTGGATTCTCTTCATCAAGTGGGTGGTGTAACCAGCAATCTTGTTTCTCAATCTCTTGGATTGGATGTCAGCAATTTCATTAGCCAATCTCTTGTTGGTTTCAAAGTCCAAAGTCAACTTTGGGTAGAAACGTTCAATCAAAACCTTGGAGGCTCTCTTAACTGTCTTTGTTCTAACGCGACCCTATATCACTTGTTAGTATTCTATTTACATCACTGTTGTATTATTGCCATATCTCAAGTACAACATTCATATAAAACCAAAAATAGAGTATATCAATCATATCAAATCAATAGTTAAATAGCATATCACATTCTTGATAATTATATCTTCAACTGTTTAAAAGGATACCACTATCATTACTATTATTGAACTCACGACATAGCACACTCTTATTGAAGTTCAATCATAATTTTTAACTGTAATGCCAACAAAGACATTTCACTCCTAAACAACGAGGAGTTAGATGATCGATAGTCTCATCTATTAATGTTTTCATGTGTTGTAATTTCGATATCCCACGTTATGCACATACCATCTTGGAAGTTTATTTGATCTAAAGGTAGTTGCTAAAGGAATACACCAAAAACTAAAAGCTTCCTTTTTGAAAAATTGTTGATAATTTTCACCTACTCCAAACTGGTGCAGTGGTTTCCCATCGTCCCTACTGTTCTTCCAGCCAAAATTTTCTCACTACCGAAAATTTTTCTCCTCTCACCTGCACATGAATTCCTCATTTCGAGGGCAAATCCCACCGAGGTTATGGCGTGCTAAAACATAAACGGTTGCCGAATCGTCCTCGGAAAAGTTAGGAATCTTAAACCTGCACACAATCAAAAGTCTTGTTTCTCAATCGTGTAGAACGTGATAATAAGGGCGTAACCCTAAAAAGATTACCCAGTTTTGTAACTCTCTGTTCTCCCTATCTGATTAGGTTTGTTATGTGCTCTTATGAATATCAAACATATACTCTACGCAGGAAACGTCAACCAAGTTGCTGTAACTAGGGTACTTTTGTTGTTACCAGACGGACACCCACAAATAGGTAATTAATTCCCTAGATGAAATCACAATAGAATTACCAAAGATGCTATACTTACCATTCTTCTTTTTGTCTTTCCCTTATTTCTTTATAATCGTCTCTTATATATGAATGTAAACCGTGGATCAGAGAAATTGTCATTCCCAGAACGACATTAAAGTATGTCGTACACACAAAAATGTCGCGCATTCTGTAGTGTTTCCACAACGTAAAAATCAACACTAAATTTCAACCCAAAAGTGAACCTAGGGCGTGGCCCAAACCCCAGATTCCATAGTACTAATAACAATAGACTAAAATAAAGGTCTTGTATGACATAAGTGGATACTGGTTATTCCATCTCCTTATTTGCTGACTTTATTATACTGGTTAGTTTGATTGATTAATTGAGGATTACAGTTGATCATCAGGTCTTGAGGATTTGTTATACAGCGTTTTTGTGCTACATTTATCTGTTTATAGTAGTATAATCACACTTTAGTATCATTGTGGGAGAGACAAAGCCCGATAAGGTGAGGCAAGGTAATCAGATAATATTAGGTAATATCAATGGAAGCAAAACGATTATATCATTGTGACGTTTGTTCTTCTGATTGCACTAATCGTATACGAGTACAATGTGCAATATGTGCTGATTATGATTTATGTGTACCGTGTTTTTCAGCAGGACTATTTTCTGGAACTCATCAACCGCATCATGATTATAAGGTAATAGAACAAAATACGTATCCTATTTTTGAAGAGGATTGGGGTGCGGATGAAGAACTTTTATTAATTCAAGGCTTAGAAACATTTGGATTTGGTAATTGGCAAGATGTAGCTGATCACATTGGGAATAGATCCAAAGATGAAGTGGCTAGACACTATGACGCAATTTATTTAAAATCCAACGATTACCCTCTTCCTGAAATGAATAAAGATTTCCATCATATATCACCACATGAATTTTTAGAATCAAGAAAGAAGAGATTGGAGATTCGAAAAAATCAGCCATTACCTCCCCCTAAACCCAAACCTGTTCCATCGGTTCCATTATGTCATGAAATTCAAGGTTATATGCCTGGTAGACTAGAGTTTGATCACGAGCACGAAAATGAAGCAGAAATGACTGTCAAAGATATGATTTTCTATCCTGATGATCAAGCAGGGGATATAGAATTGAAATTAACAATTTTGGATATATATAATTCAAGATTAACTTCAAGAGCAGAAAGGAAACGAGCAATGTTACTAAATAATTTGTTGGATTATCGGAGAAATATTGCTCAAGATAAACGGAAAAGTAAAGAAGAAAAGGATTTATTAAAAAAGATCAATGCATTTATTAGGTGTTTATCACCTTCTGATTTCACTAGTTTTTCAAATGATTTACTCACGGAATTAAGGTGCCGTATGAGAATACAAAAGTTACAAAACTGGCGACGTCATGGTATAACCTCATTAGAAGATGGAGCAAAGTATGAAAAGGATAGATTAATTAGACAAGCCCATTATCAAAGAATGGGTAACAATGGACTCTCTGCACGTCTGGCAGCAGTTAATGGTATTAATGGACGTGATCTGAGTGTTGGTGTTGGTGGATCAGGTGGTAGTTCTGGTGGTAGATCTTCATCTGTTAGATATAATGGTTCTACTCCTCAACCACCGGATTACAAATCGAGAGGTGGGACTACAAATGGTAGGACTCCATTAGATATTTCTCATGCAGCTGACTTTGATTTACTTTCAAATGAAGAGAAGCAATTATGTGCTACACTTAGAATACTTCCAAAGCCGTATTTTGCAATTAAAAATCAATTGATGAAAGAGGCCATTAAAAACAATGGGATCCTTAAGAAAAAAGATGCTAGGAATGCATTAAAGATTGATGTCAATAAGGCTTCAAAAATATACGAATTTTTTGTACAAATGGGTTGGTGCTCTCAAGGTTAAAAAGAGCAACGCGTTTGTCTTATTAATTCACATAAAAGGACAGGTTTCAATTATAAATGAAAGAATTATATGGATAGTAGTGAAAAGAAGGGAAAGTAGCAGTTACCGAGCTATATGATACATTACTACAACTAAACATAATACAACATAGTATCATATTCAACTATGTTCCGCAGCCATCATAATCAAAATACTCGTATTCCGAAGACTTCGGTCCCTATAAGTAAATGCATAGTCATGAACCGAAGTTTTGTTCAATACGATGCTTTATACCACATACACTCAGAAAGTCATATTTTACTCAGTAGAGTTCGTTCACGTACAATGAGGCTAAATGTTTAAGCGTAAACCAAAGTAGTGAATGTGATGTCATGTCCTGTATATCAGAGTTTGATTTAGCTCATGTAGAATAATGGTGGAACAAGTGTCTTTCTACTTTAATATCTACCAAGTATCCTCTTTAGATATTGCTTATTACATCTGGTATGAAATGGCAAAGATGATTGGAATAAGAGCATTAATTTGTTTTGTATTACAGTTTGCAGTTATTACTGCGCAGTTTTACCCCTTGAACAAAAACGGTGATATACCTGAGAATGTGATTCCCTATAATAAGGGACAACAAGTACCTTTGGAATGTATAAGTCGAGATATTGAAGATGGTAAACACAAGTTAGATAATAAGGGAAACATCATCTATAAGGCATTTCCAACGTGTAAGGAGACAGGCCAACCTTTAACTTTGGCATTTGGGATTAATTCAGATGTAAATTGCACCATCCACATGACTGATGAATTATACCACTTATTCCAATTTTATATTCATGAAGATTCTCCATTTAGTTGTCGTGTTCCAATAAGCAATGAGAAAAACTACTTGGAACAAGGAGGTGCATTTGTTCCACTTGCATTCAACTTCAGAGGTGAGATCCATGAGTCCCATTTAGATATTGATAGCAATCTTAATGTTCTTACGTTGGTACCCAACATCATGAATACTTTTCTTAGCACAACAGCTTGGTCTTCGGGAACAGAAACCACGAGAGTGGTTATTGGGGAAACGTTAACCATTCGTTTGGCAATGCGCTGGTTTAGAACCAATGATGTTATGTCTCTTAGTATTGAATCACCAGCATTTAACGGTTTGGAACAGCCCAATGAAGTGAATGCCAAATTGAGTGATGTTTATTCGCGAGGATTTTACAAGTTGAAGGACTTTTCCAAATCTTATGTTCCATTATCCATTGTAGGAGTCTACGTTATATGTACCATGGTTATTAGTGTTATTGGAACTTTGGTATTATATTCTTTGAATGGTAAGAAGTCAAGAAATACTAAATACAGACCTATACCTGACGCCGAAGAAGGTTGGGTGAAGAACGATTAAAGGGTGGGTAACTTCTTGATAATAGCCCTAATAAGTTCAATGATTGGTGAATCTTCTTGCTCCTGTTGTTGTTGTTGTTGTTGTTCATTGACATCTTGTACATTAGATAAATATTGCGTTTGCAAATAGTTGATAAACAATTTAGTCAATTGCTCCTTATCAAGATTCAACTTCAGCTTGTATGCTCTAAATTTGTTGACAGACAATTGTAATACTTCCGATAAGTCACTTGAATTAATACTGGTGGTTCTTATAGGGAGGGTGATATCTATCAAGTAAGTTCTCAAATCATCTGGATATTGAGCTTGTAAATATTGAATCACATGCGAGTACAAATGATCTTGATTCAAATCTTCATATTTATCAAAAAGGTTCAAGAACCGATCACAAATCTGGAATACTTTATCATCAACATTGACATTTTGAGGTAAATTCTTTGTGAGCTCTGGAATCGACAAATCAAAAACAGTTAATGCAACATCACCCCGCAAGGCAGGATTAGTCTCTGGATTACCCAAGATATTCATATCAGCTTCTGGTAACAGATTTAATTCTTCCTTCATGTCTTCTCCACTAGGTAATTCTATAGTATCTAAGTTGAAATCATCGTCAGCAACATTAGAGTCTTTCAATTGTTTCTGTAATTGACTTTCCTCGTTTTGTAAGTTCTCCAATTGCTGTTTCTCAGTAATTAACCCTAATACCTTTCTTCTGGCTAGCAATCTCGCTACAAAGGTCAATTCAAACTGAGTGTAGCTATACCACAATTCAAATGATTCGGGGTTTAATCTAAGAGCTCTTTGGAACAATGATCTAGCTCCCTTAGCATTAGCATTAGTTTCGAATTCATATTTTGCAGCAGATAACCATGCATCGACATTTCTGGGTTGTAATTGTAATAACCTGGAATACACCTTATATATAATCTTAATGGCGCCGTTGGATTTAGCGAATTTTAAATATTGAGCCCATAGTTCTACCTCTGCCGGGTATCTTCTAGTACCTCTATCCATAATGAATAAAATTCTTCTAATACCAGCCCAATCACTTATCAGTGGTTTCGTATTGATGAGTCCACTCACTTTACTGAGTCTGTTATATCTCTTTCGTCTTAACTTCTCTAAGTTCATTTCAAAAGAAGCATATCTAATGAAATCTTTTGGCTTACTCCCTCTACCTTGAATACGGTGCTCAAAGTCTGTTCTTCGTCTCATAATCATGGTGATTTCTTTCTTGTCAAAGAGTCCCTTCTTCTGTAAGTCTTCAAGTTCAGGAACACTTTGTTCTAAGTAGTATCTAACTTTGTCCGACATAATGCTGCTTGTTAATAAGTTGCTTCCTGTTCGACAGTTAATGTTTCGTCACTGTGAGAGTTTACGATGTATAGTTATTAAATGGGATGAGATGAGATTTTTCACTTTAGTCTTATGTGCACACCAGAAATAATGTCAATACCTTTAGTACCTGTAACGTTTCCATAAGTCTGGATAGATAAGTTAGCTTGAGGTTACATGACAATTATGGCAAGAACATCGCTTTCATAATAAAAGTTACACTATGAGTGTTATCATAAACAATTTATACTTTTAAAATAGACTTTAGCATAGAATAATACCCATATTCTACATTTTCATTACCCTTTTCCAGAATAAAATCAGCTGAAGTAACTAAACCCAGACTTAGGCCAAGAGCCAAAACACTACTCGTGTTAACTAACTATAGTATACTCATACTCCTCTCTTAGTAATTCATCATGGGCTGCAAAAAGAGAAGTAAATGCTCCAGGAGGGGTTTGAACCCACGACCGTCGCGTTCCTCACACGACCGTGACCTATGGATAACCATATCGTCGTAACACGGCTATAAGCACGAAGCGCTAACCTCTGCGCCACTGGAGCAACATCTACCTCAATGAGAGTCGAACTCATGACCAACCGCAAAAGTTTCCAAATGCGATCAGTTTAACCACAAACACGACTACGAAATTAAACCCTTAAATTTAAAACATCACAATCAATTTTCAAATTCTAATCACGTGTGCATCTTATATGAAGGAATATATTTTTGAGGTTATTCCGTTTTAAGTAGTTTGCCATGAACGTAAGGAATCCTCTCTTTAGATAAACCATACACGAATGAGTTTAATACACCAAAATATAACAAACTGCTTGAAATTTAGTGATCATTGCATTGTATTAGCAAATCATTTTCAATGTCACACAAGGTTTCATAATGTAATATTCGGTCTGAATCTCAACATTTTTGAAGGAATTAGTTATATAAAGCACTAAAACCAAAAATGTCTACCTTTGAAGAATCATACCAACAGCTAAATGCGCTTGTTGATAAGAAGGTGAGATAAGAAAGTCTACCTATTTTTCTTAAATTGATTATAAGTATTTCTATACATTATTAATATTGCTATTCATTGGTTTAATTATTCAATAGTATTAGGAGCAAAAAACCAATTCGGTAAAATGTAGATAATACAATAGAATTGAACTTTTCTAAAATGCAGATATTAATTTAAAATTATATAAGTAAAACAATAAATGCCCCTAGTACCAACCATCTTAAAACTTTAAGGGTATTAAGTCAATGTACGCTTACTACTTAAATTTGCACCCATTGCATTCACAGCCACATAATGATAATTTTCAACCGAGCTAGTACCAAGATTACCCCACAGTTCGCACTCGGATAAAAGAAGAACTGTTGACTTCGCAGCCAAATAAAACTTCTGAAGGTTTCTTCCTCCAAAAAGGATAAGCATGAATAAAACAGTGTTCGTATCCGGAGCTACCGGATTTATAGCACTTCATATTATCAAACAATTGATCGAAAGAGAATATGACGTTGTGGGCTCTGTAAGAACAGACGAAAAGGGTCAAGATCTCTCTCGCAGGTTTGGTCCAAAATTCGAGTATGAGATAGTTGAAGATATTGCAGCTGAGGGGGCATTCGATGAGGCCATAAAGAAACATCCTGAAGTGACGACTTTCCTTCATACTGCTTCCCCCTTCACTTTTGACATTAAAGATGAAAATGATCTACTTGTGCCTGCTATCAATGGAACAAAGAATGCCCTTGATTCCATCATAAAATTTGGTCCCCAAATCAATCGAGTAGTGATAACGTCTTCTTATGTTGCAATATTTGACGGTAGACGTGAATTCAAACCAGATGCAGTGTTCACTGAAGAATCATGGAATCCTATTACGTATGAGGACGCAAAGAAACATCCACAATTAGCATATTGGGCATCAAAGAAGTTTGCTGAACTTTCTGCGTGGGATATAATTAAGGAAAAGAAACCCAACTTTTCCTTAACTACAATCAATCCCCCATTTGTCTTTGGACCTCAAGCATTTGACTCAGAGATTAGAGACACATTGAATACATCGTCAGAGATAATAAATCAAATACTTGGACTTCAACCAGAGTCAAAGATCCCAAAGATATTCTCCAGTTGGATTGATGTTAGGGACGTAGCTAAAGCACATATACTAGCCTTTGAAAAAGATTCAGCAAAAGGAAAGCGTTTACTTGTCCGTTCAGGTCAATTTTCATCGTTTAAAATAGTTGAATATTTGAAAGAGATTCCCCAAATAAAGGACGCACTTCCTGAACCTGGAATCGGTGATCACGAGAAGGCTATAAGAAGCTTGGCTACTGTTGATAACTCCAAAACAAATAGTATTTTGAAGCTTGATTATATCAATTTACATGATAGTATTATTGACTCTGCCCAGCAGATATTATCTGTCCGATCCAAACTATAGATCTATATAAGTTATCACTTTGATTGCAATGTTACCATAATAAACGAATTATTTTTTGTATTATCGTACTCTTAGAAAAAATGTCTAATGACATGCTAATGACCGTGGAGTAGCAAGTCCTGAGCCCCAAAAGAATTTACCCAAACCAGCACCAAGAACAATGGCAATCCATAACCAACCTGAGTATGTCATGAACACCAACATCAACAAGAATGAATAACCTACTTGGATACCGTAGGTTATAGCTTGTTTCACTCTAAACTGTTTGATTGTTCTTGAATCAGAATCTGGTGCTATTCCAGCGACGTTTTGAAGGTTGACTACTTCCCAATGAGACACATATGCCTTCAACAATTCATATAACATGGTAATTATCACTATGGCAAAAAAAGATACCAAAAACTGAGGTAACGTCTTGATATGCCACCATTTAAACACAACACATGTGTTCTTCCAATCCCAGGTGAAAAGCATGTTCATCAGACACATGTCTTCCATGGGCATATGAGGATCCATGGGCATATCATGAGATTTAGCAAAGTTATGGCGGCTTGAATGGGACATAACGGGTGTGAATAGAAAAGCTGTTTAAGGGAGGAATATAATTAGGTAAAAGTGCCTTAGTGTGTTTTAGTCCACCCGCGAATCAAAAGTCACTACAGAATGAGCAAATTTGGCACCACGCCATGTTAGTGAACTAATCAGAATTGAATCTGTGGTATACAGAATTAAAACTGTTTTAACACTTTTGTATCCTTTTGTATAACTGTGTTAAAAAGATTTAGTTTCTTAACCTCTATATATTTTTAATACTTTCTAATGAAGATCCCTCGTGCAGAAGAGCTTGAAGCTCACTCTCAATATGTACTCGCAGAAGGTACTAAAGGGTTGTGGTACGGAACATTCGGGGCACTTGTGCTTCAAACCTACTTGAAATATGGACAACCAGCTAAATATAAGGTGATGAATCCCTCAGTTAGGGCTGCCATTATCATCTGTCCCGCGATTACTGTCAGTGCCTTGTGGGCTGATTTGGGCTCTGTGGAATTCGATAAACGGATGTATTCGAGTATCTATTCTGAGCAAAAGGTCTTAAAAGAGTACCAAGACTGGAAAGCACTCTCAGCTAGCGGGAAAACTCTACAAGTTCTTGATGACCATAAGAATAAAGTGATTGCTACAACATGGGCAGGTTCTCTTTATTATTTCAAAGCTAAGATCTTTAGTAAGTCCTCGCACATCCCTCAACCTCAAAGATGGGCCAAGTTTCAGACTTTAGCTGCTGGTTCGACAGTGGGTGCGGTTGCATTAGCATTAGGGTTATATGTTGCGGAGGGGTCTCGTCGTAAGGCCCATGCTGAACTGTTAGCTAAAGCACCTTCACAAGAAGAGATTGATAGATTGCAACAAGAACATGATTTAGAACAATATTTTAGTGCGACAAAGAAGTGAAACATTTTAAGCAATGTAACAACAGTTCCACCACATTGATAACATCAGCATTATCAACTTCTTCCAATTGATCCCCTACCATGTACCTGTTTATCGAGGATACTTGCTGCATTGTATATATATATATGTTATGGAGTTTAATTTCCATAATTACCTGTACATAGAATATCTAGCATTCTCATCATTAGATCATAGGTTCAAGCGAAAAGAAAATTTTTAGACATATGTAATCGTTAGTACATGGTTTGATTATAAGCGTTCAATAATAGCAAAGATTTCTAAATATAGTCATCCAGTTGACTCAATTCGTACTAGCGCTTCATTCCACATATATATCTGATTAGTTTTATATAAGATATTGTCTTACTTCAAATGCCACCAAAGAGTAAGAAGCAAAAGGAAGTAGTTCAAGATGAGCGTTTCCAAGCGATCGTTTTAACCGATTCGTTTGAAACTCGGTTTATGCCGCTTACTTCCGTTAAACCTCGATGTCTTCTTCCATTAGCTAACGTTCCTTTGCTTGAATATACCTTGGAATTTCTTGCTAGAGCCAATGTTAATGAAGTATATTTAATGTGTTCATCCCATGCTGACCAAATCCAACATTATATTGAAAAATCCCGTTGGAATGGACCTCAATCTCCATTTCATATTACAACAATTATGGCATTAGAATCTCGTTCGGTGGGTGATGCAATGAGAGATTTAGATAGTAGAGGATTGATTTCAGGAGATTTCCTATTGGTTTCAGGCGATGTTGTCACCAATATTGATTTCGAGAAAGCATTACAATTCCACAAGCAAAAGAAAGCAACTGATAAAGATCATATTTGTACAATGGTATTAACTCCTGGAAGTCCTACCCATAGAACAAGATCCCCTGTCGATCCTGCTACATTTTTATTAGATAAAAAGACAAGCAAATGTTTGTTCTATCAAGGAATCCCCACCATAGAGAGTAAAAAGAAATCCGACATTTCCATCGACACTGAGCTATTAGAAGATGTCACAGATATGGCTCTTCGTAATGATTTAATTGATTGCCATATTGACATTTGTACACCTCATGTGCCTCAAATTTATCTGGAGAACTTTGATTACCAACATCCAAGAAACGATTTTCTTAAGGGTATTTTAGCTTCTGATTTATTAAGGAAGACAATTTACGCATATATTATTGGTGGTGATGAGTACGCAGCCAGAGTCGAAAGTTGGGCAACATATGCTGCAATTTCTCAAGACATTTTGGCTAGATGGTGTTATCCACTTGTTCCTGATTCTAATCTTTTAGATACCAACACTTATTCATACGAAATCGGTCATGTCTACAAGGAAGACAAAATTGTGTTGGCCCAGTCATGTAAGATAGGTAAATGTACTGCTATAGGAACTGGTACATCTATTGGGGAAGGATCCAACATTTCAGACTCTGTTATTGGCAGAAACTGTCTGATTGGGGCTAATGTAACTATTCAAAATTCTTACGTGTGGGATAATGCTATTATTGAAGACGATGCTCAAATTAGCCATGCTATTATTGCGTCTCATGCTACAGTTAAGAAGGATGCATCATTATCTCCTGGAGTTGTTGTTGGGTTCAACGTTGTCATCGGAGCAGGCAAACATATTCCTCGTCACACACGTCTTGTGGAAAGACCAATAATACGGAACGAACAATTTGGAACAGAAGATTTCAGTGAAAACGAAAATAGCGACCACAGCGATGAAGACTATAATCAAGTGGAAGAAGAAGAAGAAGAAGATGATGATGAGAAGACCATGAAAATTCCTTATGTCTCAGTGCAAGAAATTGATGTTGTAGGAGATGAAGGGGTTGGATATGTTTACCAATCGGAAGATGACGATGAAGATGATTACGACTCCGACGATACTACCGCACCTAATTATCATGGCATTGTATACCAATTGAAGACATTGAATATTTCGGATGATTCTATTTCCAGTCTTTCGAGTCGCCATCGTGGAAAGCACAGCCGTTCGCACTCAAGATCTCGGAGGTTTTCTACAAATTCCGCAGTGTCTGACACATATGGAGATGCAGATGATGTAGAGGAGCACTTTGATCTGGAGGCATTTGATACTGTGAAACGTTCTGTTGACAATAATCACGAGCTTGAGTCCGCTATGTTGGAGTTAAACACTTTAAGAATGTCTCACAACGCCTCTTATCATGATGTGCGGATGGCTACAACTAAAGCTCTTCTCTACAAAATTGCAGCTTTGATTGATACCAACATTAGTAGTGCAAAGGAAACAGCCACACGCATTTTCTCAACATGGGGTCCCATGTATACCAGACAGGTGTTTAACGATGAGGAACAAGTAGACTTGTGCCTAATCTTGCAACTTCGGATAAGTGAGATGGATCGTGCTTATAGTCGAGTAATTCTATTCGTGGCTATTTCCAAATTATACGAGTTGGATGTCCTTGAAGAAGAAAATATTATACGTTGGTGGGAGTCTCCAAGTTCTAAGAATTCAGCGGACTTAGAGTTTGTACGTGAAGCAACAGGGCAATTTATTGCCTGGCTTCAAACTGCCGAAGAAGAATCGGATGATGAGTAATAAGTGCATATAAATATACGGAAAAAAGTTATACTAAATAATTACAGCTACAATTTTTGAACAATAAAATTTCAACGTTGCTAACGTTGATAACGCCATAAATAACACAGCCATCTTGCTACAAGCCATACTGGTACTTTGATGAATGGTACAGTACCTGGCCTTCGTATACGAAATGGTCCGATGGATTTTTCACATGGCACGATTGGTTAAAGCACGATCGAAAAATCTATACGATATGCACTTAGACGTGTGCAGATAATATATATAGAAGTAAACTTCATCTCTAGATTAACCAAGAAGAATAAGCTCCATATAAATCGTGCTCTTGCGACACTATTGATCTACCCTCTATTAGTTAACGTTATTGTTTATCCTTCTGTGTTGGGTTAAATATATTCATTTGTAGCGTTGTCTAGCATAAATATGACAGAAAGTGACAGTTATGATGTGATAGTTGTTGGTGCCGGAGTGGTGGGTCCTACAGTTGCCACAGCCCTAGCAAGACAAGGTCGGAAGGTGATGATTGTGGAAAGAGACTGGTCTATGCCTGACAGAATTGTTGGTGAGTTAATGCAACCTGGAGGATTGAAGGCACTCAGAGAATTGGGGATGATCCAAGCTATTAACAATATCGAGGCCATCCATGTTTCTGGTTATTATATCCTGTTTGGTGGTTCTGAGTTAAATATTGATTATCCTGAGAAAACCGATGCAAACAGGACTAATCAGACTATTCCTGTTCCAGATTGTGTCAAAGATGATAATGATAAAGTACTCACGGATTCTACGATTAAATCCGAAGAATGGGATAATGACCCAAGAGTGAGAGGTGTTGCATTCAGACATGGAGAATTTCTCATGAATTTGAGAAAGATCACCAAAAGCGAACCTAATGTTACTGCTGTTGAAGGTAACGTTACCCAAATGATTAAGTCCCCAGATGATCCTAATAGAGTTATTGGTGTTAGAGTGAAGAAGAATAAAGATGTATATGAAGAGTATTATGCTAAAGTGACAATTGCTTGTGATGGAATTTATTCGAAGTTTAGAAAGGAACTTGGTGAAGATTATGCCCCTACTGTTGAATCGCATTTCGTTGGGTTAAGTTTAATGAACTGTGACCTTCCTTCAAAATACAGAGGTCATGTCGTATTGGGAACAGAGCATTTTCCCGTAATAATTTACCAAATTTCTCCAGAAGAAACCAGAATATTATGTGCTTATAAGTCCACTAAAACTCCACCTCAAGCAGAATTATACCAATACTTACAATCAAAAGTTTTACCTGGGTTACCCAAACCCATTAGACCCTCATTTAGTGCGGCATTAGAAACCCGTAAATTCAGAGTCATGCCTAACCAATATTTGCCTGCTAGAAAGCAAGGTCGGGATTTGAAAGGATACATTTTAATTGGTGATTCTCTCAATATGAGACATCCCTTAACAGGAGGCGGTATGACTGTTGGATTAAATGATGCGGTTTTACTTACAAAATTACTCCACCCAGAAAATATCGAAGATTTATCTAACCAAGCTTTGTTGGAGAAGCGGTTGCTGCAATTTCATACCAAAAGAAAGAATTTGGATGGTGTAATCAATACATTATCCATTGCTTTATATTCACTTTTCGCAGCCGATTCCAGACCATTAAAAATCTTACAAAAAGGATGCTATCAATACTTTTTACGTGGAGGTTCATGCGTTTCTGGTCCCATTGGATTATTAAGTGGGATGCTACCATTCCCAATGATTTTATTCAATCATTTCTTCAGCGTGGCATTCTTTGCTATCTATTGTAATATAGTGGCACGTGGACTTCTTGGGTTTCCAATGGCTATTTACGAAGCTTTTGAAACATTATACACAGCCGTGGTTATCTTCACCCCTTACATTATTCGGGAACTTATGTAAAGTACTGAACATTAATTAATTAGTTCAGATATACATATATACAACAATAGAAACGTTTGAACGTTAGCAATTGCTTCAAGATGAAGCCCGTGAATGAGCACTCACAACCGAGAACTTCCTCGTATACACCCTCGGATGTCAGGTATCTGCAAATGGCACCTTCGGCATTACTAAACTAGTCGCGCCTCAACTTCCTTAGTCCCCGCCCCTACTTTAACAAAGGAATTCCAAACAATACACAGTACAGCAGGGAAACTTACATTTTAACCTATGATGAAGCCTTTGTTTTGCTTTATCCAGCTTTCATCCGACCCTTCTCTTTAATAATAATTGCAAGGGGAACCAATAGTACTAAACCAATGCCTAGTCTTGACACTCCCCTTTTGCGGTCTGAGCCTGCTTCATCATCTGGTGCGCTTGTGAGCCGTCTGCTTAATGAAATTAAACGTACGACCGTGTTGACTTTCAAGTCTTCTCCAGTCAATTATCTTGCAATCTTTGTTCCTATTGGTATTGCAGCTGGTATACTCGATTGGTCAGCCAATGCTGTTTTCTGGATTAACTTCCTTGCAATTGTTCCATTGGCCTCAATATTAGCCTTTGCTACTGAAGAATTGGCCGAACATGTGGGTGAAACCGTTGGAGGCTTACTTAACGCAACTTTCGGTAATGCCGTTGAACTTATCGTTTCAATTATCGCTTTGAAAGATAACCAGATTCGTATTGTACAAGCATCAATGCTTGGTTCTATTTTATCTAACTTGTTATTGGTGTTGGGTTGTTGTTTTATAGCTGGAGGCTTCACTAGAGTGCAACAAACTTTTAACCAAACTGTTGCTCAAACAATGTCTTCATTGATGGCATTGGCTTGTTCAGCACTTCTTATTCCTGCTGCCTTCCATGCCAGTTTACCTACTACAAAAAAGGACGATGATGGTTTCCCGGTTCCTGGCTCCAGTGACCAATTGGTGTTATCACTTTCAAGAGGTGTTTCAATTATCTTATTGGTGGTTTATATGCTCTACTTGTTGTTTCAATTGAAAACTCACAAACAATTATTTGAAGAACAATCCAATGAAGGTGACGATGTTATTATTACTGCCTCCACTTCAGAATCTTTTGAAGATAACAAGACCAAAGAACCTTTACCTATTGCTAGTTCCTTCACAGTTCTCGTAGTTGCTACAGTTTTAGTTTCATTATGTGCTGATTACTTGGTTGGTTCTATTGATGACATTGTTGAAAGTTCCGGATTATCCAAAACTTTTATTGGTTTGATAGTCATTCCAATTGTTGGTAATGCTGCTGAACATGCAACTGCTATTATTGTGGCTATGAAAGATAAAATGGATCTTGCAATTGGAGTTGCAGTTGGGTCTTCATTGCAAATTGCATTATTCGTTACTCCATTCATGGTCGTCGTAGGTTGGATTTTTGATGTTCCAATGTCACTTTATTTCTCAACGTTTGAGACAGCCATTTTGTTTGTATCTGTTTTCATCTCCAACTTATGTATTTTGGATGGTGAATCCAATTGGTTAGAAGGAACCATGTTGATTGCTACTTATTTAATAGTGGCCATTTCCTTCTTTTACTACCCCGATTCTGCTGGAAACTTGTAAAAAGGTTTTTCTGATGTCATAACATATACGCCAGAAAAAATTAAACTTCGGATACCATGAAAATAAAATGTCTGTAGTTACAAAGTATATATCTTTTACTATTTCAGCTGCATATTATCACCAATAGTGTTGCAACAACAACACATACCAGAGTTTCATATAAAAGACTCATTTGTAAACTTCAAACATCCATGAATAATTGTCTACGTTGTAATTATAACTGCAGTAGAGTTCGTGGTAGTAGACACTCGATTAGATTGGCATACTCTGGATGGAATTTCTTGGTCAAGTGCTTCACAACTACTACTAGATTCATCATTCTTGTTTCAGGGGTACGCCATAAACAGATGTCCTACGCAAACCACAAATGAGACGAAGTGTCGCACCAGAACGGAATGGTCTATTTTATAATCCTCGCTTACCACTTTGAGAATATTAATGATGTAGGTAGATCGTCTGATTGGGTTGCAGGATCCATTATCGGAAACATACAATTAACGGTACATGGAATATATCAGACAACTAACTAACCTGGGCTACACTAAACACCAAAAATACATAAATAGACAAATTCATAAACAAACAAGTGAATAAACAAATAGCTGAACAATGATATGTTGGGAAGGAGATGCCACAACGACTTGAATAACTGTCTCAGAAACAATAACACTTGGAGGAACGAATGGTTAAATTTCACTAAACCATTATGGTTACCATAACAAACATCAAGTAGCTGCATAATTTCAAGAATGGTTCCATCGAAAAAGTCTAGATGATATTATTGTGAGGTAGTTGACAGGATTGTACACAATTCCTTCATAACTCCGGGAACACGAAAGAAATTTGTAGCTTCTCAATTCGTGTCGTGGGCTATGAAACAAATCGCGTCCCAGGAGTTGCAAAGTTATGGATACATTGTGTGCGAGGGAAAAATACTAACAAAAGTAACATGAGATGCATTGTAGTACCATAAACAATATCTCTACAGTATTATATTTACCGTTATGGCCGTTGAACAAGTAGTAAGCCTGGCTATGCTATTAGGTCAAGTATTTAGAAGGAGTAGTTAATAAACATGAATACCTTAAGGCAGACAGCAGAGCAACCTTTCACCATGTTATGTATGTAAGACACTGAAAGTAACTACTAATTCCATAAATTATCCCAATACGGTGCTCTATTATTAAAAGTACCACCTTTATGTTATCATCACCCTTTGGTCCAGTATCACAGAACTCAACCCTTCCTTCCCCATAACGCGCGCGCAAGTACAAAATACGGTTTTAGTGAAGAATATTTTTTTTGTTGCACAATACATTGTTACCACTTCCCACTATGGGTACCTGTTTCCTACTTGTGCAAGACACCATTGTCATCACCCCTGACACCGACTGGGTTTTGTACTTGAATATGAACCACTTTGGTGTATTATATATGGAGACGTGAATACCTTGGGAATTTTTCACATTTTTTACATTACAGCCAGAAGATATCTTCATACTAAGACCCAATTACATTCCTTCTACTTCTTCTTAATATATTTCCACTCCTTTTATTCAATAATAATCTTAATTATGTCTGACAAAGAAGCTTTGAAGATCTTCTCCAGAAAACCTGTTTCTGATGACATGATTGAATTTCTTGTGGCTACTACAAATTCTACCATTCAAGTCAAATCGTCTTCTGCTCCTACATATTCAAAAGTAGATGGATCTCGGATGGATGTTATGGTAACTTCAGTTCCTCGTGGTTATGTTAGCTTGACTACATTCATTAAGAACCTTATCAAACACTCTAACGTTCAAACCCCTACATTAATGGCTACTTTGGTTTACCTCAATAAAGTGAGAAATATCTTACCAGCCAACGCTGTTGGTATGGAGACTACACGTCACCGTATCTTTTTAGCATCTTTAATTCTTGCTGCCAAGTCTTTGAATGATTCAAGTCCATTAAATAAGCACTGGACTGCTTACACTGATGGACTTCTTAGCAACCAAGAAGTTAACTTAGCCGAACGTGAATTAATCAGCTTGTTGAAATGGGATATTAACATTAAGGAACGCGAATTGCTTGTTGCCTTACAACCATTCTTATCTGTAATCAAAGATCAATTGCTGGCAAAGTTGCAAAGAGAAACAATGGAGAAGGCGAACTACTACAGGATGTCCCATATGTCATCATCATCTTCAAACCCTACATCCAGATCTTCGTCTATCAACTCGTTGGCTTCCTATAGCTCACAATTATCGTTATCAAACTCTTTGTCTTCGCACTCTTTACGCAGTCAACCATCTTGTCACGATTTATACAATAATGGCGTTGGTAACTCAAAGAGAACACCATTGGGCTCTAAATCACTCAATACAATTTCAAAGCAACCAATTCGAGTCAAGAGATCTCTCTCTAGTGACTTCAATCTTGCTGAAGCAGGCCAGATTTTGGTTTGAAGTGGTGGCTTTGTTTTAAACTGATGATGATTGATAGATTTTTGGTGTTTTAGGTTTCTTACATTGTGTTTTATTTCATGGGTTTTATTCTTTAGGTTTCTATTTTATTTATTTTTCAAGAACAATATACGGGCATAATTTCATTTTACATATGTTATACATTGAATGTTAAAGATGTAGCAAATATCAATTATTCTCTATAACCTTACTATACATTACCGTCTTGCTCAATGCTGATGAGGGTCTTCTTTTGGTGGTTCAGGATGAACTGTGATCATGGTATCAATTCTCAAGATCGAGACACACGCTTCCAAAGCACTCTTCAATGATTTAATCTTAGACATGGTTGGTTCCAAAACTCCATGAGTCATCTCATTAACAATCTTACCTTCAATTAAATCTAACCCATAGTATTTGTAATTACGACGTTTGCTGTCGTTGGCTTGCAGAGCTTGCGAAGCTGCGTGATAAGTTCTCAACTTAGACACTAAATCAGAACTATCTTTAGCAGCATTGTTTGCCAAAGTCTTTGGAATCACCAATAAGGCATTGGCAAATTCAGCAATTGCCAATTGCTCTCGGGAACCAACAGTAGTAGCAAAGTTTTCCAAGTAAATGTTTAATGCAGTTTCTACAGCACCTCCACCGGGAACAATCTTCCCAGATTCTAATGTTCTCTTTACCACAGATAAAGAATCGTGTAATGATCTTTGCATTTCATCTAAGGAATAATCATTGGGACCTCTCAAAACAATCGAAGCAGAAGAATGTTGTTTGGTGCCCTTGATCAAAATACATTCATCATCACTAATTCTGGTTTGTACAACTTCAGCAGCTTGTCCCAAGTAAGAACTTTCAAATGTTTCTTCACCTTCTAAATTTGATAAACTGTTGACTAAAGTGGCACCAGTGGCTCTTGCTATTCTTCTCAAATCTTCTTTATTGCATCTTCTAACAGCCATGGCATTGGATTCCACAAATTCCTTCAAACATAAATCATCTATTCCCTTAGTTGTTAAAATGACATTGGCACCTGATTTCAATATCTTTTGTATTCTTTCAATGATAATTCCATATTCTCTTTTTCTGATCTCTTCTAATTGATCAGGATCTTCGATATTGATTTGAACACCCATGGCCATTCTAGCCTTTTGTAAATTGATATCTAAACAGGCAATTTTTGCGTTTTGAATAGATTTGGGCATGGCTTGAGAAGCAACAGTACAATTTAAAGCATAACCATCAATAAACATCGATTCAGTTGATGATTTCCCATGAGCCTTTAAAATGTTGACAGCCTTAACAGGATACTTGGTTTCGCCTTTAGAGTTAGTAGTTTGTACAGCCAACATAGCATCAACCACCATTTTGGAAAAGAAATCAGAATCACTACCAATAATCTTTGAACTCATAGAGGTCTTAGCCACATTGATTAAAGTATCTTTACCCAATTGATCTACGCTTTGTGACAAACATTCATTGATATAACGAATGGCCTCTTTAATAGCCAATCTATAACCATTGATAATAGTTGTAGGATGTATTTTATTTTTCACCAATTCATTAGCTCTCTTTAATAATTCAGCTGCGATGATGACAACAGATGTTGTACCATCTCCAACTTCACGATCTTGTTGTTGGGCTAATTCCACAAGAATCTTACCAGCAGGATGCTGGACATCTAAAAGAGATAATATAGTGGCACCATCATTGGTAACTGTAACATCTCCAATATCATCAACTAACATCTTATCTAAACCAACAGGACCCAACGAGGATCTAACAACGTTGGCAACGGATTGAGCAGCCAAAACATTTTGACTTCTAATATCATCACCACTAATCTTTTCACCCCCTAAGAACAACGTATCAGAACGTGCGGTAGAAAACATCCTGGATCGTCTTAGAACTTACAATGGTGGTTAGAGGTATTTAGTTGGTAGTAGATCAACGGTGCACTTTAAGTGATAAATTTTTTCGTTAGTGAGGTCGCGGTAAAGACACGACTTTGGAAGATTCCATACTCAAGTGTATCCAGAATCAAGGATATCTTCGACACAAACCACAGCAACATTTACAAGTACAAACTCAATATGAAGAATAATATTTACAAAAGCCAGTTAAGCTTAAGCACAAACTTATTGTGTAGGCCACATTCTTATATATATAAAAAGAATGAATGACTGTTGCAAATGGCGGCGAAGATTTATCACGTGACACACTGACTAAGGTTGACTAGTAAGTACGTAATCATTATATATCTTTCGTAACTTTTCGACTGCCAAATATACCACTCATAATATACTAGAATCTGGATGTTGTGGTCAAACCTTTGGTATTGTAATATCAAATTCATTGACAAGCATCAGGATAAGATTAACATTTGTTCCCCTACCCCTCACAAATATGTTTTGATGTTGTGTCCAGTTTACGTTGACCTGGTTAACATTTGAACTTCTAAATGGTGGCTTCAATCACATCTCCACATCAACTGCAATGTGTTCCCATTTGAATTTTCTACAACAATTGTATCAGTTAGATCTTAAGTAGTAGTCTGAGCACCAAAGAACTGAAACTTCTTTGCAACTTCTTTGTGTATTTTGCTTTCATTATATATTGTAATTCACACGACAACTAATTTGGTAGCGCATTATATGTTCTCCAATGTCAAGTTCAAATGTAAACATCACACAATTAATCCAAGTTAATCCAATTCGTCCTTCTCGACACACTAAAATACTTGAATTGATTATCACCAAGAACATGATCTCCATTAATTGTGCCAAAGGCGCGTTATCCACGTCTATGCGGGCTTTTGTCTTTGCTTCGGTTCGTACAATGGGTACCAGTGCTGTTTTGGCATACCCCTTAACTAAGACGGCAAGTAGTACTAAGACTACCACTGCTGCTGTTACTTCATTGAAGGGACAACTTAAGAAGGAGAAGGAGAAGTTGACTAAGTTGAATTCTAAGTTGAAGGCCAAGGAATCCGCATTGAAGACAAAGCAAAAGGAAAGAGCTGCAGATGCTAAAGCAAAGGCAGCTGCTAAGGCAAAACAAGTACAAACAAAACAAATAAAAGCACAAGTTGTTCGTAAAGCCACCAAAACTATCAGGGGTATTAGTCCTTTGAATGCGTTTATTAAGGAAATCACTGGAGGTACATTGACTGATAAAATTAGTAACTGGAAGACATTGGCTAACGATGAAAGAACTATTTGGAAGGAGAAGGCTGATGAAATCAACGCTAAAACAGAACAAGTTTTCAAACCAAAGCCCAAATCTATTGCTTCAGGTTACCAAAATTTTCTTGCTGAAGAACATTCTAAGGATAGATATAGAGATTTGGCATTTGGGGACAAAAGTAAGCAAATTGCAGAAAGTTGGAGACAACTTTCTGAAGAAGCTAAGAAGCAATACAACACACCTGCTGATGTACAAAAGAAGGCAAAGGAAGCATATGATGCTTGGGTTCAATCAAGAGTCGATGCTTATTTAAAACACAAGGCAACCAAGAAGGAAATTGCTGCTTTTGAGTCCAAGTAATCTTGATACTAATGATTAACTCAACTCTCTTTCACTTTTATTAACGTGTGAATGTGAATACTATAAGTTGAATACAACATTATTACTTCGTATTAATATTATTCTTGTCATATTATTCTTGTCATATTATTATTATTATCATTTGTTGAGAATAGTATTATATAGTCTATTCACTGTAAACAGTCTTTCCTATCTTGGTGAGCACTCTTTCTAATTCACTTGGTAGAATCGGTTTAGATATAAAATCTACCATTCCGCATTCAAGTGACCGTTCTCTATCTTCACCAGCAACATTAGCTGTCAAAGCTACAACATGAGGTAGATAAGCTTCTAAATGTCTAGCCTTTAATTCTCTTTGAAGTTCAATGGTAGCAGCTATACCGTCCATTCTAGGCATTTGAATATCCATGAATATAATGTCATATTTTTGCTCCTTCTCCAAAAGGGCATATAGCTTCTCCAAGGCATCCACACCATCTTTAGCATGGTCTACTTGATAACCAAACTTTTTCAAGTGTTGAGTAGCTACCTTGGTGTTGATGAAATTATCTTCTGCTAGTAAGATTCGAAGTGGGTACCTTTCGCCAAGCTTAAGTATAATTGGTGCTTCAACTTCTGGCGGTGGTAGTACATCCTTGAGACTGTCACCAGTAGATAATGTGAACTGTACACTATCATCGTCTGTAGGCGTAGGGAGTTGTAAGATGGTCATACCTTGGACCAGCGACAACCCATTAGTAACAATAGATGACAATTCCTTTGACTTCAAGTAATCTTTCAACAACCCCAATACCTTAGCATCATGATAGGGGAAAGTTAGAATAACTTGTTCATCAACAAAGTTATCATTAGCAGTGGCCATATCTCCAAAAGGCGCAGTCATATACTTGATTCCTTTTATAAGGTTATCATGTTTCTTCAAGGTATCATATGATCCACTATCAATAAAGGCAATAGAAAACTCATCTAAGTTCTCTCTAATTTCATTAAGATTTCCAACCACAGATGCCTCAATTCCCCAATTCTTAAGAGTGATTCTCAAGTCTTCCCGTATAAACTCGTGAGTATCGCAAATTAATACCTTCCCGATAGTCAGCACTTGTTGTGGAGTGAATTCTGGAGCTTGCCTTAATTTGGCTTCAACATTCAATATAAAATAGAATGAACTACCAACACCGCTTTCACTTTCAAATGATAATTCACCACCCATTAATTCTGCGATTCTTTTAGAAATAGCTAATCCAAGTCCACTACCACCATACACTCTTCTTGAGGATCCATCTACTTGAGAGAATGCACCAAACACTTTATTCCGAGCTTCTTCAGGAATCCCAATCCCCGTATCCTTAACAGATATGGTTAATTGATATCTGTCGTGAATTAAAGGTTCAGCAGCCACTTCCACGATGATATGACCATACTCTGTAAACTTGACTGAATTCCCGACCAAATTGATTAAAATCTGTCTGAATCTGGTGACATCCCCGTTAATAAACTCAATTTCAGGACATTTGTTATAGAAGACCAATTCCAAGTTCTTGGAGTTGGCTTGCTCACTAACAAATTGAACAGCACTTTCAATGCATTCGTTAACAAGGAATGGTGATGTTTCCAATGCAAAGGACCCATGTTCCATCTTAGAAAGCGATAATATCCCATCTATAATATTCAACGTTACCATCGCTGAATCTCGAATCGTTTCCACATATTCCTTCTGTGTTCTGGTCAAGTTCGTATCCAATAAGAATATAGAACATGAAAGTAACGAGTTGAAGGGAGTTCTGATTTCATGTGACATGTTTGCAAGGAAACTTGCCTTCTCTGAAGTAGCATCTTCAGCTGCTCGTTTTGCTATTTCCATTTGAGCATAAAGAGATACTTTCAATAACGATACAGCCGCCTGGGTAGCTAATAGTTTCAACATGTTCATCTTCCGGGAGCCAAAGAAGGGATACCTTGGCTTGTTTTCAAGCTGGCATTCCAAATATATGGCCCCACAAACCCCAGTTTGGTTCACAAGTGGGATACAACACATGCTGGAGCACTTGTTTGTAGCATAGTATAGATCCAGGGCAAATCTATTCTTGAACGTCATATAATCCTTGTCAAGATTAAAAGCCTTCCCTGATTGTAAAGTGTATTCCAAAACAGTGTGGGGTGCTAAATCATGTCTTCCATGCAAAGGTTCACGTAATCCATGGACACTATTGGAAGTACCAATAGCTGCAATGATATTCTCATCATTCTCATTAAGGGCAACCACACCATATTCTACTCCAGCAAAGCTAATGGTACTCTTCAATAGTTTGACCACAATCTCAGAAATGTCTTCAGATTCAGATAAACTTAACCGTGCCTCAACAGCTTTTTCCCACATACTTTCTGTAATTTCATACTCTTTATCAGCCCAGTGCACTCCTCTCTTGGAGGTTGGTACATCACTTTTAGACTCCTTAGCTGCTGGAATCTTAGCAGACAAAATAATGTCGTGCTGTTTCTTAGTATTAGAATGATCATTGTATGTAATGTTATTGATTGCTGTCAACTGTGACGGACTTACAGCAACGGTGCCTGTGCCTGTTCCTGTGCCTGTACTTGATAAAGGTTCATTGTTCGCCACTCCGGCCCACGTATACTTGTCATCGCTCAAATAGTCTCTAAACTGGGTAGTAAGACTTTTGGAGAAAGTATGGTAGTCAGCTGTCTCAAACATAGCTATGGCTACTTGGAGATACCGTGAGATTCTTTTACTCTTTGGTACCTCAGTGACAAGCCAACGAGCACACCAAGCATTAGCCATGGCAGAGTCATACCAATTTCCGGTTAACAAAGAAGCATCGATGGCTTCTTCAAATTTGTCCAATGTCTCCAATGTAGGCGTCTCCTTTGAACCCCGCAAGGCAGTCAATGTTAAGTGCTTTGATTTGAAGTTCAATGGACATACTTCGTGCCATATACAGAATCTTTGATAGATATCTTCAAAGATATCCTTTCTAGCTCCACTATAAGTTTCAGGGTTGTCAATACGAGACCCCTGGATAACTAAAGCAATTAGAAAGTAGCCATGAACATGGATAGTGGTGTTCAAAAACAGATCGAGCAAATCATAAAAGAAATCCAATACCATTGTCACTGCTTGCTCGAATTTCCCGGTATCATGGAAGTATAGCAAAGTAACCATATAGAAGACCAATTGATAATCAGTTGGCTTTTCATCTAACTGACCAAAAATATCCGAAAACAGTTCAAATGTCATTTCACCGTTGAACAATTTCAAACATGAATTTATCATATCTGAAATAAAGTTACTGGACATGCCTAAAGATTTGGCATAATTGGTCAAGAAGGAAACGGCAGAGGTGCCTCCTAAAAATCTATATTCCATCTTGCTGAAGGACATCATAAACTCCATACCATAAGAACCGCTGTTAACAAATGGTGAAGGCGTTATCATTGAGAGCTCTAAAACATTAGTTAAATTTGGAAGGGGATCAACATACACTGCTAAGGTCGTGATGTAAGCCTCATAAACACTTTGGACAAAGGAATAAGGTAAATTTTTGGAATCCAGTAAGAATGATAAGGCTACTTGTGCAAACTCCTTAGCCTGAACGAAACCTGATGAGGTATTCTCCTTAGCCATAGTATTTGCAAGATCAATCAAAGGTATAGCACAATGAGGTGACAGACCTCTTGATGTCATCAAAGAGATAATTTGAATGACAATGGACTTCCGAAGATCATTCTTACCAAGAGCATAGGAGGGAGCTATAATTTCAGATATGATTTCGTAAGCCATAATAACTGAAGACCGTTTTGTTCGTTTCAAAGTCATTAACTTCCGGATTTCATTGACGGATAATATCAATTTCTTCATATGTCTGGAATAAATCTCCTTACACTCTTCAGGGTCCGTGCTAACTTCTAAACCTAATCTCTTTAATTCGTGAACGGCAATGGAAATGGCTTCAGTGGAATTGTTCAACTTGAAGTGGCATCTAATTCTGGTGATAACAGCCAAAGACTTGTCAATGTTGTAAGTCAGTGCCACATGATCTATGAGCTTTAAAGCATCTTCAAACTGTCCCAAATAAAACATATTCTGACATATAGCCAGGTTTACCGACAACATATTTTTAGGATCGATAGTGGTAACAAATTTGCCTGCTAATTCATAATATCTTAACGACATCTTCAAGCTGTATATGGACATGGCATGTTTTCCTGCTTTTAGAAACACTTTATAGTATATTTCCTTCTCTTTTAGACACTCCACCGCAGTCCACGATTTATAAAAGTGATGTGCCATAGCGAAGTAGTTCAAAATGGGTAAAGAAGGATCATGCTTCCAAGTTTTAAAGAACCTTAATCCAGCTAGTCTGTGATACTTTGCCAACTGGTTGGTGGATTCAAGATTTGAATAGAAATATGATCTTAAAGCTGGATAAGCAAAACTGTAAGTGGCATATTTAGTAAGCTGCCAAACTTCAGAATCACTTAAATCAAATGGAAAGTTTTCATCTTCTGAAATTCTGTGGAATGGAATCTTATAGTAAATACTATTGGACATAATAATCCGTCTTTCAATCAACACATTCATAATTTTGAATACTTCCCCAATTGAAAGATTGCAAGCAATTGATAAATCATTTAGTGAGAAGATAGAGTTCTCACATATGATACATGCAAAGTTCAAGACGTCAATATAAGTTTGATAATTGTCTTTGGGGATAGACAACTCAATGAAAGCTTCAGAAGAATCTTGGGAAAAAGAGGCAACAACTTCTTCGTCAAAATTGAAGTCAAAATAAACAGTTGTTAAGGAAGAAAGTCGAAGATCACTTGTACCTTGAGTTGCAAAATTCAATGTCTTTGGTGAAAACTTATAGTTGGTTTGATTATTCCAAGAATTTAAATATTGAATTGGACAAACTTCAACCTTGTTCATTAGAATAATTCCCCTTATCAAAGTTCTGGCATCCAAGTAATTCCCCTTAGTGATCTTGTACACGTTCTCCAATATTGATTGGTTGGATTTCTCTATCTTTGCCCAAGATGACTTCCACATAAGTCCCTTTTCTGTTTCTGGAACCATGGCCCCCACATCTTCTAAATAAGTCCGGAGCTCTTCCTTTGTTCTCAAGCCAATATGGAATTCATGAACATCTGCCTCCAACGCCTTTGTTGCACCTCGAAGCTCATCCATGCTAATAACATCAAGTGAAGATGGTGGACGTTCCTTCTTGTTGAAAACCACAAACATGCAGAGCTTGAATTCATCGGTATTTTGTTGGAAATAATCAAAACATTCATAGATGAATGACCATTGATCTCGAGTACAATAATGGAAATCATCTAAAAAGATCGATAACCCATTAATCACAAATAAGAGATAAAGTGATTTTATAGCATAACGTAATTTGGATTCCTTATTAGACAAGCCATTATTCTTTACGTCATTCCATTGACTTTCAGAGTCTGATGCAGATTGTTCTCCTTGGTCCGACATAGGTTGTTGCTGATGAGGGCCCTGTGATTGTTCATCATCTTCCATTCCATTATACAAATTGGAATATTGAGGACCCAAGAATTCCTTCAAATCAGGGAACATATAAAAAAGAACTCCACCGTCCAACGGTAAGTTGTCAAGTATTAATTTTTTCCACCTTCGTTTGGCTTCCATAGGTTGTCCCATTATTTGGGAGATAATTTGTCTTAAACCATGAACAAAACTGGTATATGTTGAGATCACCAGAACATCATGTTCTTTCCCAAAGGACCAATCACAAATTAACAAGTTTCTCTCTAAAGTTAGTGGCTTGAGATGAGATACCAAATAAGACTTACCTGTACCCGATTCCCCGTCCAATAAAAACACATGAGGTTTGGAGACGTCATCAAGACATTTCTCATAGGTATCCCGCATTTCTTTAAAGGTATCGTTCGCAGAAAACCTGGAACTGGGTGAAATAATTGGAGATATACTCAGTAATTCAGTTTCAAATATGGGTTGTTTCCTAAATCGGTCCCGTAAAGTAAAGTTTGAAATGGCACTCAAATTTACAGTATCAATTAATTGGTTTCGAACCACATGTAAATCACTCATAAGACTGGCAGCTGACAGATACCGTTTTTCAGGAACTTTCTCTAATAATTTCAATATGATAAAATTCAACTTACTTGGGAACCAATTTGGAGCCAATGTCTTTGGAGCAACAGGTTTCCTCAACATTTGCAATCTTACAATTTCAAATGCGTTATCATCATAAAAAGGTAGTTTCCCTAAAAGCTTTTCATACATGACAATCCCAAGGGAATATAAATCCGATTTGTAATCCACTAAGTCTGATGCTAATTTACCATATGTTTCAGGTGACATATATGCCACCAGATCTGGGAATTCTTTAAGGTGTTTGATGCGGAACCCATTCTTAGTAGATTCTGGTTGGTAGGTGAAGGAGAAATCCCATGTAGTCAACTTGATATCGGAAGGGTCAATAGTAGATTTAAGAATACTATGACTTGTTATGCCATTATGAACAATTCCTAATTCATGGATCGCCTTTAAGGTTTGACAGATGGAAATGAAATCATTCAACATCTCAATAATTACATAAGGACTTAACACTGGTGGCGCTTTCTCTAAAGAATGACTGGAGATGTTGTCAGTGTAAGAAGTGGTACCATTTTCTGGTAATGAAGGAATGGAAAGACTTCTACCTGACAGATGCAGTTTATCGTCATTAAAGAGCCAAGCATTGGTGGATAAAAATGGGTTGAGTTGTTGACTGTGAGCAAGCAGAACTTGCAGCAGAATCAGACCAAGGTTTAGAGACAGCGCATTTGCACTTGAAGTTGTAGTTTTATCTTCAACATTAAGCATAACAGATTCATAATTATATGACTTTATAGTAACATATTCATTATCAGGATACACCATCATAAATCTCTTTTGTTGCTTATGTTTAATGCGGGGTTCATGAGTGCTTGTATAAGAATCTTGATCTTCAATAGTTCCTCCTTCAGACATTGGTTCACTGGGTGAAGTATTCAACCCCACGGAAGCATCAGTTGAACAAATTGATGATGATCTAGACATACCACCAAATGATTTGTTAGTAGGTTGAATATTGAACTGAGCATCGGCAGAATGACTTGGGAAGAGCACCCCTGGAAGACTACTAGGGAGCGTTATCGGTATACCACTTGCATGAAACTCTGAAGAATTCTTTTCATAATCAGGATCATCTTCTGGGTTAACCAAGTACTCACTTTTGGCATAATTGTGACACCATACTCTCTTGTATTTTGGTTCGTTACTTCTAGATAGCAAATACCATTCATTTAGGAACCCTGCTATAGATGCGACATTAGAGTTTTGTGCAACGTGATTATCACTATTTGCTTCATTATTATTAACCACAAGAATGTTGGAGGAGAGTCGAAGTATCACTTTATCACCAGTTAAGTTGTGAATAGCATGATACAGTAACATGCACTCCAGCGATTCATGTATAACTAGTTGACTGATTAAAGTGTACCCAGGAACCGAGTCTGGAGAAATGTATGCATAGTCATTATGATAGTTAACACTAGCCGTTGGAATGGCCATGGAATCAAGTTTTTCATGGACATATTTAAAGTGGTCATCCAAGTTAGCGATGTTACGGAAAATAGGCTCGTAGGAACGTTTGGTGAACAGTGACGACGACAGGGTAGAAGGGCTTATTTGATTATTTGTACCACTTGAAGATGAATCACTAGCAAATGAATGCACTGAGGAAGTTGTATCAGATATCTCATCGGTCAGGAATGTCGTCATTGGTGTACTGAGACTTGCATTTGATAACGATAACATTGTTGGTACTCCACCTGAAGATTTCCGTAAAGGGCCTAATTGAGGTTTCATAGGTTTAGAATCAGCATGACGAGTGGTTGGCCCTTTGGCCATTGAAAATGTTGGGCTTGACGGCAATCGCTCCATAGTAGGTCGTTGAGGTATGTCTCTGTTGGTCATGAGGATGGAATCAAATCGAAACCTTCAAGGCGATTGGCTGACCCAACTGTAGTAGTGATAGAAATGATAAGAACGATTTATGTAACTCAATGAGAATGTGAATATTCGAGTCACCCTCAAATAGAATATTATGATAATGCAATAAACACTATAATGTAATTATAAATTGTAAAGAAATAGTTTTGTCTGTTTTGTTTAAAGTAATTATAGGGATGAGCAACTAGTATACTTATTTTAGTTTTCCTAGTTAGTGACTGTCATGTAGAATTCTTTCACTGTGAATGAGATAAAGGACCATACATAGAAGTTAAGCCTAAATTACCCCCCGAATAGATTTTTAAGAACAATATATGCAATCCTGTTCATGAACTGCTTATAATGTAATTTTTAACCTTCATTACTTGTGTTGATTGTGTACGCCTGTGTGCGGTCTTTGTTCGATACCTCCTTATTATTACTGTCTACATTGTCTTTGCTCGGCTCAAACACACAACTACATTCACTAGGTATAATTTTTGCTAACAGAAGAATGCTGACACCGCAGATAATCCGGGCCCGAAGAATTTTTCAAGATAATCACAGACAGCCGGACTTCCATTCTACTCTTGTATAATACTAAGTAGCAACTAATATAAATCGCTTTAATAGTGGTACAAAACAAAGGTCCCCCAGAAAGAGCAAGCAAAAACATTAACCTTGATATTATGATCTCACTGGCTGCCATTTTCTTCGTCGACCAAATACATAAAGCATGTCAGAGTAAGATATCAAGAGATACAAGGCTTAACTCGTAAACATACAGCTAACTCCAAATATTATACTAAAGATCATTCTAGCTTTACATCTTTGGGCTTTATCTCGCGGCATTGGTTGTGTAAGGTCGTACATTGCATTAAGGTTACGGAAGCGAGTGCCGTTTTACCTTATCGTCAGGTGACACAATTCTTCAATACTTCATTTAATTCATACACTAAAGAACGCACAGACGCACAAATATTCGTATAATTACATCCTGTTCTGTATTGGCAAAATATTTAAACTTCCTCGTAATCATGATCTATACGTATCTTCGTTTTCACACTGATGAGCTAACTGAAAGGTTCTGCTCTTTTGTTTGTTAGGTTTGTTGCGATGCCAGATTTTGTTGAAGGTGTCAAACTTCAAAGTTGAACATACATGCATATGCCGCCTGAAAAAGTCCTCTATAAGAAGCCGCCTCGTCGGTGATCGTTCCCGCTATTAAACTTTTGTAGTGCACGTTGCACCATTCTTTATTGGGAAAATATGTAAGGAGCTGCCAGAGGATTGTTGATTGGTTCCAACGCCACCCAACCATGCAAGTCTAGCAATGTTTTGAATAGATTTCTTTAGAGATAATACCCAATATAATACCCAATATGCTTATTCTTTCTTACTGGTGCCTTATTTTCAGCACCAAAAGTTATCATAATTGTGTCGGTAAAGGTAGTGGGCTAAATCCATTGCTTTCTTGTAAAGGTAACTACATATCATCAAAATATCTTTAAACTTACACCAGATCAAGGTATCACTAACTTTGATTCGTTCAAATTAGGATTCCAATAGAAGCGCTTTTCTCTTACACCTTATACTCTAATTCCTTAGAAAACCTTAAACTTCATTTTAATCCGCTGTATTTATTGTTTCAGAATGCACAAGTTGACAAAGCAAGCAAACTTCTCGGCTTAGAAAATATATGGTACAAACTAAATAAGCAATCAGCTACCATGTTTCTCTTTCGGTTAAATGTTTAACCTGTATTACTACCATAGCTCACCCTTATTGGGTATTGCCGAAAGAAATTGGCAGAAACCGGTATTCTGAAACACGACCTTTGCTTTCTGTAACACTGTACATACTTAATAGGCGTTTATTAAACATAAAAACTGACATACAATAATAATAATAATTATAATAATAATAATAATAGTAAAGGGGAAGTGTGAAGTGATTGTAGAAACAGAACATGGAAAAGCAGCGTACCTAGCTTGTATTGCCCTTATTTGTTAATATCAAAAATACAAAAAAGGGAATAGGATTTATTGTAAAGATTTTCTTCAAAACAGACTATGTAATGCTGTGGGTGACGTGGAATGAGGAGGAACAATAGTGGTTATATTGATTTCAGTGGATTTCTCCCAACATTGAAAACCGAAATGATTGAAATATAGTGAAATTTTTTCAAATACCTCCAGATTAACTTGAAATCGATGCGATTGAACTTATCAACTAATGAACGCGTAAAACCCCAGATTTGATTTGAACTTGAAACAAATCATTTAGGGACAAATTTTATAACGATCTTTTCTAAAATAATAGTAATAGTAATAGCGAGAATACTTGTTTTTTTTTGTAGAGCGTGTATAAGATGTTGTAAAATATAACAAGCCAGTTAGAGCCATAAAGATCTTTTGTCCTTAGCTTACAAAATGGTGCACTTTTTCGACTTCTTTAATACTGGTGGTTCCAAAGCAGCCACGATCGCTTCATCGAATACAGTCTTTAATCCTCTTTGTGTTAAAGCAGAACACTCAACATACTTAACGGCCCTCAATTCTTTGGCTAACTTTTCTCCTTGTTCAGTTGTAATTGGAGATAACTTTTGTCTATGTAATCTTTGTAAAATCACTTCATCGTTCCTTAAATCAATCTGAGTTCCAACAATCAAACAGGGAACACCGGGACAATGATGATGGACTTCGGCAAACCATTTTTCCTTAACGTTTTCAAATGATGCGGGCAGAATAACACTGAAACATACCAAAAAAACATCAGTAGAAGGATATGACAACGGTCTTAATCGATCGTAATCTTCTTGACCAGCAGTGTCAAATAGTCCGAAAGTAAATGGTTCATCACCTATCATCACAGTTACGGCATAGTTATCAAATACAGTAGGAACGTAATCAGCTGGGAACTTAGAAGTAGTATAGGAGATCAATAAGCACGTCTTACCGACAGCACCATCACCAACAACAACACACTTTATTGATTGCATTATTTATACAAAAAACACGGCTTCTTTAAATGGAGAAAAACTTAAGGGTAACTGGGTAACCAAAATAGTCGTTCAGATAAAAGTAATTAGGTACTTTAATTACTAGTAAACAAATCGTGAAGACTTTTTTAACACGGGAGGAAAAATATAGTATAAGGCGGTCTCGACTAATATAAACGAAAGAATCCACACTTCAACAATATCTAATAAGCTAATAGAAATACGCCCTGGAGCTTATTCAGCAATATTTATGTACTTGGTATTGTCGTAACTGACTAACAACCTTGTCGATAAGGAATCAAAAAAATTTCCATGTAAAAAAATCAAGATAAAGAAAGGGACAAAAAAACATCCTTACTTGTGCACACTTGGTGCGACTGTAGTAATGGTACACGATAATGAGTTTTAAGCTACTGTAAGCACACATTGATACAAACTGCATGTCTTATCAGTTATCTACGAGTTTCGGTTTATTGCCTGTTGCTGTATCTGCGGAACCTTGTTACGTGAAATGGAAAAATTGATCTATAGAAAGTAGATTTAGCTAACTAACAACATGACAACACACAGAACAACAAAAACCACTCTAATATGGTTACAACACAAACTTAGCCAGGCTGCCTAAATTTGAAAACTCAACCTTATATGTGTACTATAACTTAATACCACTGATTATCTAGTGATTATGATGTGTGACAACCTGAATCAAATAGTTTGTTTACAGAGCCCATAACTATGTATACAGACCCTTTTTTTACTATGAGCAACTACTGCAAAAAGAATTAGTTTACGCGAAATTCTTTTTGTTTTACCTCGTACGACTCAATGTTTCTTTTCCCCATGCGCCTTTCACGATAATACCGCTAGAAGAATTTGCGCTTAGAAGTCTAAATAGTTTTGAAACCTTTTCTTAATTACAGCCTTAAAATTAGTTTGATCAAGCGAACAACGGTTAGAATAAATAGACAATCTAAATCTGTAAACCTTTGACTAATTTAAGTAACTACCCCTCTTACTCATTTAATTTTAAAATTATCCGTTTAGTTCTATATATCAATCATTGCAACCTCCGTAAATTTATTTGAAATTCATTAAACCACTATCTCCCTGCATAACCTCTAAATTACTGGTGATCTCACTAGGTAAATTATCAGTATCTTCCAAATTCTTGGTCAATACTCCACTAGGATCAAATTTGTGTAATTCATCAGCCATTTCATCATCATTTTCAATAATTACAGGACCTCCTCCAAGGAAATCCAACATCATATACATCCCACCAGCACCACCAGCATATTCTTCGACATCCACAGGAAGTACCAGACTAACTCCTTCTAAGAACCAAACCTTGTCCTTCATTTCTGTAGTGAATGACCTTAATAATTTATAGTATGATCTCATAATTCTCATGGCTTTCACATCTCCCATCATTAAAAGCGACATAAATTGCTTTTCTAATAATGCAGGGAATGCAAAAATCCGTAAAATAAAATCTGATTTGTATCTTTCCTTGTGAAGTTTATTCAAATATGCAAGGGTAATCAAGTATGGTGAATTAATTTCCACTGGGAAAAGATCAGCAATTTCACTGTCATGACATTCCAAATCAGTGTAAAACTTCTTCTGTTCTTGAACCTCGACTACTGTTGTTTCAGGCATTCCAGGTACTTGCTTCATCATATTTATAGTATGAGGAGAAGCTAAAGTAGGACTGGAATGATCAATGAATCCATCGTCTCTACCAATGGAAATATCTTCAGCAGGAGAAGATGATCCTTGACACCTGGTGGTTGTAGTTGTGGTGGTGGTTGTGGTAGTAGTAGTAGTAATCCCTTTGCTTAGATCGACTTTTTGATTTAGCAAATCTCCCAAGTCCCCTAGATCCACAGAAATAAATTTATAAAACCTACTAGATTCAGTTAATGGCCATACGGCAGTTAAAATTGTTGCTGCACCTTTAACATGGAAAATCCAAGCCAGAGCAGGCAAAGACTTTGGCGATGTAGAGCTTGGTAAACTTGCATTTGCAAGAGAATCCATAATCAATATCAATGCCGAAGCAACCAAAGCATCGGTATTTTCTGGATTTATATCTAAAACTGCCTCTCTCAATAACCTAAGTGCATCACCACGATGTGCCGTAATAATATGATCTAAACCTGTCTCGCTTCTTGAAAGATGTGTAGCACTAAAGGCAAGGAGCGAATGCATGAGGAAAGGATGGTCAAAGGCTAGCATGGGTATATCCGTATTCCAAATGTTGGTATCAGAAATACCAGCACCGGTTATCGTTTGAGAAACTTGTGAAGTGTAATGGAACATAAGTCTAAGATCCATCATGTTTAGTTGACCACCAGGATTGCTTGAAGGTCCTTGTTCAGTAGACGAAGCATTAGCTTCCGCCGATCCTGGTCCTAATTTAGGTTCAATTGAAGGATCAGTATTAGATGAGGGGATTGACGCACCATTGATAAATGCTGAAGCAACATTAGCCAAGCTAGGAGTATCGGATAAATGAACTGAAGTATGGGGTCCTTGAGAATCATTAGTAAGATGAGCTTCTATAGCAGATGTAGATGTAACACCACCTAAAGTTGACTCAGTACCAGGTTGATCGATAATATTAGACAAATCCAATGGGAATTGTGCCATAGTTGCCAAGTTGCTCAAGTTTGACAAATTTGATAGTATATCATTGCCACCTGCACCTGAACTTGCAAACATGGATGCTAACCCTCCAAGATCTGCGCCAGAGCTAGCAAGATTGTTGACCAAATGGCTTAAATTAATATTATTGAGACTTCCGATGTTCAAAAGACCAGATGAAAAGGCCGAAAGAATGTTTTGAGGTATACCGGCAATTGCAGCAGAAGCAGCATTAGTGGCTGTGGCTGTAGTAGCAGCTGCGGTAGCGGCTGCGGTAGCGGAAGCAGCGGCAGCAGAGGAAGCAGAGTTAGCACCAACTCCTGAACCTTGAGCTCGGGGGTCGTTGATATTAGAAGCTGTTGAATCTGAGGGTTCCAAATGAGACTTGGAAGATTTAGATTCTGATCCAGCAGTATTAATAGGATTAATTGGTGTAGGCGCAGATGTGGCTTGATCATTTTGACGATCAAGAATTTGCCTTGAAGGTGAGCTGGCCCTAGGTATTCTTGAAACAGGAGACAATTTTGGAGTACGTTGTTGACGATGTTTATTAACATCTATCAAAGGAACAGATAACAATGAAGACGTTCCATGAGCTGAAATATCGGCAGCAGTTAAGTCCAAATCTGTAGACGGTGGTGTTAATAGGGTCTGATGCTCCCCATCATCATTATCTGATATCAGATTAGCAGTCGAATCAATTGACGATAAACGTCTCTTCTTTTGACCGGATGGTGAAACATCATTTGCGTCATCGAATGAGTTCACATCATCTGGAGGGTATCCTTCAGTGGTATAACCACATGCTATCTTCGTTTTCTCACAACGTTTGCAAATGGGTTTAGTTTCATCACATTTAACTCTTCTTTTTTTACATGTAGAACAGCCGGAACGGGATTTCAGATGGAATTTACGCTTTCCTGTGGAAGATCTTGATTTTTTGGTATTTTCATCGCCACCCATTCTGCTGCCCTCGTTCTTGTTATGGATCAATAAAACTCAATCTGTTGAAGAATATAGAGTTGTGTTCAAGCAATTTGCAATATGTTTAGGAGGGAATTAAAATTCAATGGTCTTCGTTCAGTGGCAAGACTGAGTTTTGTAGAGTATCTCGGAGCTGAATCAAAGAGAGCTCTTATCGTATACTCAAATGTACAGTGAGTGTCTATTTGAATCAATACATAGGACACTGGTATGATGTCTAGCAGAATATCAAAGTATGGAACAACCACAAAAAAACTTAACGAAAGAAAGAAGGCAAGAAATAATCACAACAGAATATGAGAACTCCGAGGTATTCTAAATCCAGTTGTAAATGCAATATCACCAAACCTTGTGATTTCCGTTTGTGCTTAGCCCGATTCTATCTTTATTATTATTAATATTATTGTCGTTATTCTTATTGTTGTAATTATTGTAAGTACGCTACTATGCCGCGACTTTTTTTTACGCTATACAGATGAGAGTCATAGGATGTTTGCTCCTCGTATAGATAATGCTCGTATAGAATTTTTCGACTGGTAATAGTGAAAACTTTTTTCGGCAATTTCGCCGAGAATACTAAACGCATATAAACCCTGATGAGGTTTAAAGATGTTTGGTTGATACACGCACTTTGCATGCAAGTTGTTTACAGCCCACAACTGGTTACTTGGTAAAGATTAACTATGATGGCTTCATTTCCGCTGACCCTAGACTTGAAATCTGGCAATCATGGTGTGATTAATGAAGGCGCAATGGTATAAGTTTGGTCAACTGTGAACAATTTATGGCGCAGTTTACAATTGTAGGACGTTTGTAAGGAGTAATTGAGCATAATATGATCTTAAAGCCATACAAAAAGTAGTCATTAAAGGCATGTTAGTAAATCACAAGGACGCTAGAATTAGGGGTAAATGTACTGCTTCATAACAAGTATTTGTCTAAAAATCTACACGCAGGTTCTGGGTTTCCGATATGTAATTGAATATGACAGTAGATGAATTAATAGTTGAGCAATCATGTGTAGAAGATCTGTAAATTTAAGTCACGTGGTTATGGCCGTGATCTATCTTTGAATCTGAAGCACTGGAATCAATTATGTCAAAACGTAATAATGTATGACAGCCAACAGATATCTGCATATTCCATATAAATAAAATGTCACAAGCTAAACCACTCTGGTTACAATGGGCTCGTGTCTTTGCTGTAGGAGGTCTTATCTCCGGTACTGGATTTGTTCTTTACTACACTTGTGTTCCAACTGATGAAGAATTGATTGCTAAGTTCAGTCCCGAGATTAGGGCAGACTATGAGCGGAACAAGTTGTTGAGGCAAAAAGAACAAGAATTATTAATGGAAAACGCACGTAAGACGGCAAATAGTAATGAACCGATTTGGAAAACAGGTGCTGTTCCTAGTCCATTTGAAAAGGATACCAGAGGAATGGCCAATACTGTTTTTGACTTGAAAAGCTGGGAACTAGAAGAGGCTAATAAGGTGAAGATGAGTGAAGTTGAAAAGGCTAAGAAGGAATTAGAACAGGTTGAACAAATTTCTTTGGCTCAGAAGAAAAAATGGTGGATTTTTTGAAACTAAAGTCTTGTTAGTCGATTCAATTCATTCATTATTATCTCTCACAAGATGGGTACTTTCATAGAAAGAAATAAGTCATTGAATACAAGTTGTGTTATCAACAAATTTACTATACTGTGGTCTACCTTCAGCAGTCCTATTTAGGAAGGACTTTATACATTATCACTTACCCAATCTTTGTATTAGTATATAAATATATATCTGTAAATAGTAGCAAAGCATGCCTTCAATTGTATTTCACCTCCAGAATCCCGAATCTTTGAAAAACGTATATCCAGTTCCAATGCTTGACGAATTAGCATTTTTTTGACTGTTGGCCTCATCAACTGCAGCTACTATCAGGTTAATGTTTGTATCTAACACCATTCCCCCTTGTACAATCTCTTCCAATACTGTTTCTAATACCTGCCACCCAAAAACCAAGTCTTTTTCGCATACATTAGTAAAACACCTATCTAAGCAGTGTACAAATACTTGAATCAAATCAAGAATTCCAAGCTCTGATTCTTGATCATCCACAACAAGCACAAAATAAAGAGTGGCATAATTTCGATAGATTACTTTAATATCATCGAGCTCTTCAAGTAGTTTGGGAGGCGTAATAAATGAACATTCACTATTAGTACGAACAGATATAAGGTTAAATACTTGCTGTAAAAGTAGTTGTTGAGTATTAATATTCACAGGAGTATAGAATTTCATTAGACGAGGTAAGCCATCGTTATTAACTTAATTCCATTATTGTTAATAAAGTGTCATTAAGCTTTAAATGTCTTTGCATGTATGCATATTGAGCACATTCAATCATCCAAAGAAAGTTCGAACTTTAAAGCTCCTTTGCACGATGATCTAATGTTCCCTATACAATACATTCATGTGATACGTACATATTAAAACAGAATGGATCATGTTCCGAATAACTCTAAACAATTGTCAATGTGCTCATAGTATTACTGGTGATAATTGTTGGTGCGAATTCATGTCACCTGAACGTCCATGTAATTTTCCATTTGGGACTTGTAATGGCCAAAAAATACTTGGTAAATATAAAGGGAATCTCACATATATATAGTCGTTAGTTATATTTAGCACTATATCGTATCCATTTTACACATATTGTTTATAGTCATATTGGCAGAATTAATTAATGACACTTGCCAAAGCTCAGGAATTGGATACCCAGTTTCCAACATATCGTGAAGAATTTGAAATCCCCACGTTTGGTTCTTTAGGGATTACATCTCCAGAAGGAAAAGCTTCCACAGATCAGTCAACATATTTATGTGGCAATTCACTTGGATTATTGCCTAAGTCTACAAGGAAGTATCTTCAGGATGAATTGAACGCTTGGGGTGCTAGAGGTGTAGAGTCTCATTTCAATCACCCATTCAATGATGAAGATCACACACCGTGGGTTGATATTGATTTACCTTTGCTACCATTATTTGCACCAATTGTAGGAGCCAAAGAATCAGAGATTGCCATCATGGGATCATTAACTGCAAATTTGAATGCTTTGTTGATTCATTTTTATAAACCTAAAGGTACCAGGTCCAAAATTCTTTTCGAAAAGGGTGCTTTCCCCTCTGATTTTTATGCATTATTGAACTTAGTTGAAATGAACGGATTTGATAGCTCTAGTTTGATACAATTGTCACCAAAAGCTGGTTCGACCTATTTGGAGATGGATGATATCTTTGAAGCTATTCAAAATCATGCAGACGAATTGGCTATGGTGATGTTCCCAGGTATTCAATACTATACGGGGCAACTCTTTGATATTCCTGCTATCACCCGCTTTGTGAAGAATTTAAGTTCAGATATTATTGTTGGTTGGGATTTGGCTCATGCTGTGGGTAATGTACCTCTTCAATTGCATGAGTGGAATGTGGATTTTGCGGCCTGGTGTAACTACAAATACGTTAATAGCGGTCCTGGTGCTATTGCAGGTATATTTGTTCATGAAAAATATACTTTAGATAATGATCATTCGAAATACGTTCCTAGATTAGCAGGATGGTGGGGAAACAATTCTCAAGATAGATTTAAAATGTTGGAGAAGTTTGATCCCATAAAATCTGCTCTTAGTTACCGTCAATCTAATCCAAGTGTATTGGATTGCGTTTGCGTGAGGTCAAGTTTGAAACTCTTTGCCAAAGCCGGTGGAATTAACACTCTTCGTCTTAAGTCGATTGAGTTGACTAGCTTTTTACAAGAACTTTTAACCAAATCTCCATACTATATTGACCAGGAATCGACTGATAAATCGCGTCTTGGGTTCCAGATTCTTACTCCATTAGTACCAGAACAAAGAGGTGCTCAATTATCATTACTTTTCGTCCCTCATAATGATGAGCCCTCTAAAAACGTGATGGAAAAGGTATTTGGTTACTTACATTCTCATGGCGTCATCTGTGATGAGAGACGTCCAGATGTTATCAGATTAGCACCCACTCCATTGTACAACACTTTCACTGAAGTTTGGCAAGCAGTTGAATTGGTTGATAATGCTCTTGGCTTAATTAAAAAAGGAAATTTATAGAGGTCTATACAACGGTTATATCTACCATACATTAATTGCTTTTTACCGTAAACTTTAAAAGAGTGCTTAATAATTTTCAACCAAGACAACAAGTATCCAAATCACTTGATATGAAATATTTACAGTCTTAAGTTGTGATAAACCGTACTCTTAACTACATTGTTAGCGTTGGTCATGCAAGCTTTGTGAAATGTTTTTCATCTAAGAATCAGACCCTCTCGTATAATTCATTGATTAATTGGATTAACCACTCTTGTAATACAAAGAGGAACAGCATTGAGGCGATTTTTCAACCATCTTTGTATTCAACATAGCGGTTACAATATGCGCTTATAAGGTTCATACAATTTACACTTAACCCATGTACACGTAAATCGTCAATTAAAACTAATAAGGAAACGAAGCTGTTCATAGCCAAACTTTAGGTTGGATTAAACATTAAACTTCTTACAAAGTTTGAGCAACGTGGAACTTCTTACCTGGGTAGATAGCCTTGTCACCTAATTCTTCTTCGATTCTCAAGATTTGGTTCAACTTAGCCAAACGTTCAGATCTAGCTGGAGCACCAGTCTTGATTTGACCACTTCTCAAACCGACAGCCAAGTCAGCAATGGTGGTGTCTTCAGTTTCACCAGATCTGTGGGAAACCATAACACCCCAGTCAGCAGCATAAGAGTCCTTAGCGGCTTGGATAGATTCAGAAAGAGTACCAATTTGGTTAACCTTCAACAACAAGTTGTTGGCAGCCTTCTTTTCAATGGCAGTCTTAATTCTGATAGGGTTGGTGACAGTCAAGTCATCACCGACAATTTGCAACTTGTCACCGACCTTAGAGAAGAAGTGGACCCAAGCATCCCAGTCATCTTCACCAAATGGATCTTCAATAGAAACAATTGGGTATTCAGCAACCAATTGAGCGTACAAGTCGGCTAATTGTTCACCGCTCAACCACTTAGAAGCATCGGATTCAGGGTTCTTGAAATCCAAGTCGTACTTACCGTCCTTGTAGAATTCAGAAGAAGCAACATCCAAAGCGATGGAAACCTTACCGGTGTATCCAGCTTGAGCAATGGAGTCGACAATCAAGTCAAGAGCTTCCTTTGGAGAACCGATATCGGGGGCAACACCACCTTCATCACCGACGTTACCAGCTGATTGACCGTATCTCTTCTTGGTCAAAGACTTCAAGTTGTGGTAAACTTCGGAACCAACTCTTAAAGCTTCGGAGAAAGATTCAGCTCCATCAGGAACGATCATGAATTCTTGGAAAGCCAAAGCACCACCGGCGTGAGAACCACCGTTCAAGACGTTTTGGAAAGGAACTGGCAAGACAAACTTGTCAGACTTGAAACCAGCCAAGTCAGCCAAGTGCTTGTACAATGGAACGTTCTTTTCAGCGGCAGCGGCTTTAGCAGCAGCTAAAGAAACACCCAAGATAGCGTTGGCACCCAACTTACCCTTGTTAGGAGTACCGTCCAAAGAGTTCAAGAAAGCATCGACGGCTTCTTGGTTGGTAACATCCAAGTTAGCCTTGAGGAAAGCGGGAGCAATGACGTCGTTAACGTTAGCAACGGCCTTCAAAACACCCTTACCTAACCACTTAGATTTGTCACCATCTCTCAATTCCAAAGCTTCGTGGATACCGGTGGAAGCACCGGATGGAACGATGGCTCTGAACAAACCCTTTTCGGTGTGCAAGTCAACTTCAACAGTTGGGTTACCTCTGGAGTCGTAGACAGATCTAGCGAAAATCTTGGTAACAGCCATTTTTATAGGAACTTTTGTTGTAGTAATTTAAGGTGATTCAACAATTGATATCAACTGATGTTTAAACAAGAGAAGAATTTCTAATTATATGTTTTCCAAACGGGGGGGATCAGTGCATATTTATACCAATTGCACAAGGTACAGAAAAAAAAAAGTGGCCATAACGGTAGATCCACCACGTAATGAACAATCCCATATACAGACTAATTGCATCAGGGGCTGTATACTCATAGTCAATAGAAAAGGTTTTATTTACAGTTTATGGCTATATTCACGTTGTTTAGAATGCTTGTAATGCATTCTAATTTCCTAAATCTAATTCATTCTGTTTCATTTGTTCTAACTAAACTACTGGGTTTTCAATTATTGAAATTGCCTACAAAACTACATCTTTTCTACTCAATTGGCTCGAGTATGGTATATATTATTACTACAGTAGTTGTAATTGATTCAATTATGGCGACGTGACTCAATTGCAACCTCCAGCGGAGACTATCACTGTCTGATATTACCTTTCACATCTATGATTTTTCACTTTCTCGCACCCTAGCTATAATTGCTGTAATAACCTACCATTCCATATAACCTTACTCATTCTATTTCGAGCTCTGTAAAATTCTCTGGTGCTTACTGAACACAACATTACCTTATTACATCAACCTACCGTGGTGGAATGTTGTTAAAACATGGTGAGGTGATCATAAAGCATAACCGCCGAAAAGGGTTTTGTGACACCAAGTTAATATTCATTAATATGGATTGGAGACGCCCATGCGGTAAGCCGGGCAATAGTCGTCCTTATGGTGCAGTAAGCGCATATGCTCTCTAACGGAACTCATGGATATTCTCGACTATTCCATAATTTTGTAGGCTTAATCTTACCTAATAGACATGGTGTGGATTATGTTTACACATCAACCACTATTACCTTTGTTATTTACTTGAAAAAAAGAAAATACAATTTAATCTACACATCTTTTATTAGCTACTTGTATTCCGAATTGGAATACCATGTTGACAGTTTAGGTGTCAAGGCCACAATAATGATTGCAATTGCTTGAAAACAAAGGCATCAGTCGTAAATTAGGCTTTACTATGGAATGATCTTGATGCTGTGATTTCTATGATTTTTTATTTTTATTTAACTTCGTTAATGAGCCTTTATACTTTAATAATATCTCGGAGTTGGATGGTCCATGCGCTTGGGAAGAATTCATGAAATTTAGTGGCGCTACCACAATCCTAAAGTCGTAAACTCGTACTAAACCTTCCCGGGGGCTTTCGGATTACATTTTACGACTTTCCCCGGTTTTTATATGGATCAGCGGAAATTTCAAAAAAATAATATGTCACTTTCTTACCATAGAATGTAATTCAATTCATTTTCTATTCACGTGCTTTTCACGTGATTTCCCTGGTTTGTTCTCACATCAACAAATTTTCAGAGTTCATGCTAATAAATACCCCAAGGAGGTGAACCATACTTAGCATTCGTATGCCATGTCTAAAGAATCCAATGCCGATGGCAAAACTTCCAAATCAAGGACGACCGAGCCACTGACACCAAAATCCAAGAATTCCATTGACACAACTAAGTCCAATATTAATAGCAATAATCAGAATCAGAAATCTCCTAGTTCGACTGCTAAACAAGCACCCGCACCAACTATCGAACAATACAATTCAGTTAAACAAAAACTCACAGCGCAAATTCTTCGAAAGCAGCTGATAGATGCCAAACTTACTGAATTGGAAGAACGAATTTATGATAAGGAAACTGGGTATTTCCAAGAGTCTTCATTTGGAAATATTGTAAAGGGGTTTGACAATTTCGGTAAAACAAGTGGTGGTGGAGTAGTAATAAGTGGCAGCGGATCTAATATAGGGGGCGGATCCAGTGGTGGTGGTTTATTAAATGGAAGTTATGGAGGAGGAAGTGGCGGCGGAGGTGGTGGAAATATGAAGAGGAAAATAATATACACGGATGATGATCATATATTCAGTTTAAGCTCCACCTCATTCATGAAAACCTTATTACGTCGACAGGGTATATCAAGAGACGATGATGTTGATGGAGATAAATCTGGTAATGGAAGCCAAGGTGGACATGCTCCAAACGGAGACGGGAATAACGGAACTAACAATGCTGGAGAACCAGATTTAGATGATTATGAGGATTCTGTAGACCCCTCTGAAGCAGGTCAAGGTTCAACATCACAAACAGCTGGAGAAGGGGGGGTATCAACTTCTGGTACTGCAACACCCAACAATAATTCAGCTATTGCAACAGGAAGTGGTACTCCTACAAGTTCCTCAGGACGAAAAAGGAAGATTCGATCGTTTGATGATTAATTTATTTACAGCTATGTACATTAATGATAGAGAGATAAAGGGATAGAACTGATGAATAGTGATAGTTGAAAATAAATATATCAACTAATATGAAACCATTCCTAATAGTCACCAATTTTACTAAGTAACAATTGTTTTCTCCAAATTGTGACAATTGTGAATATTTAGGAACGGCTTAAAGTTCCGGATAATCTATTTCTTTACGTTATAAACCCAAGGTTGTGAAGGAGGATAATCAGTTGGAACTCTTAATTGTAATGGGAATTTCTTGTTGGTTTGCTTCGTGTTAGCCCATACGTATAATTCAGGCTCAGATTGTTTCAAGTCTTCCATAGCATCAACAATGGATTGATATTGCTTGTTGAGTTGATCACGTTGGCGTGATACCTTTCTTCGCCTGTACAAGTTCCATGCATTGACAATAGACTTGTGTTTGATCAAGTCTTCGTTAGATAATCTGATAACTTTGGGTTGTTTCTTGGAGGCAGATAATGCAGACATTTGACCAATAACTCTTTGAGTGGAAGGACTTACATCAGCCTTTGATTTGAAACGAACAAACGTTCGCAAGACAGGTAAGACCGCCGACTTTATCGATGAAGATAACATATTTGGTATGATCTGTATATGTATATATGGTTGTATTAGTAAACTACTGAAGGTTACTGTGTAGTTGATGAAAATTTTCCAAAGTCACCACTCTTGTATCACGTGACTATTCTATTTTGTGTGCCAAATTATTACTTCACATTCACATGGTTTATGTAAAGCATGTATAATAATTTGTGCAACAAAAATGATCTCTAAATCGCTAACACAAAATATTTACCGCTTGGCCCGATCTGTGTTAATTTGAGCGGTCTAATTTATCAGAGCTTTGATAACCAATGATTGTCCCTTTCTGTCAATCTTTCTTATCAGAATTTTAAATGCAGGCATCTATCCTAAATCGACAGTGGTGGGGAATTGGATTTTGATAACTTTTAAAGGTGACAACTATATCATGGTAATAGAAATCATCGCTGTGTTCCCATTTTTAAAAGGGGTTGGAGACATTGCTTCTCGACATTTGAAGCTTCAATCTACAATAATCCCGGCTTATTCCAGGACAAACAAATGATTTGTGTCAACAACTAAGGCATCGTGCACACAGTTGAGAGAAGAGCAACAATAAAATATCATTAATTTGCCTTATCCAATATCCAGTTTTAATTTTTTTGACCTTAGCTCGCTTTAGCTCAATTTTGTACTGGGCTTTTTGGTATTGCATGTTTTTTATGGTCATCTCTTTAGATCTGTATCGGATAGTATTATACTTCTTTTGAATTAATAAAACTCAATCAGTATAAGCCTTTTTTATAGGTCTTGGGGGTCTTCTACCGTCCACATTTACAGATGTTTCCTCGAAAAGCGAACGATATTCGTTTGTACCATCACTTTTATGACGTGGGGGAAGACAGGCACTTGTTTTTGTTTCACAAGAGTGGAGATGAGATAAGTTTTGGAGCAGGAAAACTATTACAGTTCCCGAACACCTGCTTGCGTAAAAACTGATGCTAAATTACTGTTATCAATATCCTGATTAGCCTGAATAAGAATAGGAGTAACAATCAATTTTTCTATCGATGTAGTACGCAGTATTATCCTAAGCCATTGGCCCGTTTTGTTTCATTTGCAGAGCCTTGCAAGATAACTGAGAATGAATAATACCGATCAACTAGATTCATAGTCTAATCTGCTGTTACAAAGTACTCGATAACATAATAGGAACGGCATGTGGGTTTCATCACGCATACTATCAATAATATTATCTCAATGCACTTCTTTTGGAGTTTGAACCCTCAGAAGTTTTTCCGGTCCACATGTAACTTTTTTGTGGACTTGATAGGCCGGTGTCTCATACAGAAAGACCTGCACTACCTCTTTAGGAGTAATACATCACGGACTATTGTAGTTCACTAAACATATGCAATGATCTATTGGATCATAGTAATAATAATCACGTTAGAAAGCAATTTAAACCTGAGTAAACTCAACCATTACTTCGTTAATTTTTCATTCCAATTACATATCCGTGGTAGTAAAAGAAAATGCACTCTTATTGACATTATCGCATATTGAACATTTGTTTCGAACACTAACGCGGTGTTAATGCCGTCCATTTGGTGCAATAATTTTTCCTTACTGTTTTGTGCGATGCTGTTTTTCTAGAGATAAGGGGATTATCGCACACCACAATACCGCAAAACAATACACCTCTCCACCGCTTGCAAGAAAATCCATTATATATTTTTGATTTCGTTTCCATTTGCTCTTAAGTATTAACGTTCTCATTGGAATTATTTCTAATTTAAAGGAAGAATCGCTATTTATTTATTTGCTTTTTTTTGGATCAAATCTTCTACCAAATATACCGTATTCAGTGAAGATTAAATTTTTAAGGCAATCTTATCGTTTCGAGTTTGCATGGCACTCTTTATTTTTTGATTGTGATTCAACACTATTCATTTCAACTATCACTTGAGCTCTGTATAAAGCAAAAAGTTTTGATATTACTGTTCTAAAATATTAGGAATCCCCTCTATATTCTACATTTATAACTTGTGGCTTGATAACTTTAAATTTGTTAGAATCTACCATAACCTTTGCTAGCCTTGCATCCCCATCGATTCCTTCGGGAATAAATTGATTTGATAAATATGGCCTCAAATAATATCCAGAATATTATACCGATACATGCGCCCCAACTGAGATCTGAATCTTCCATTTCAAACATTGCAACTTCTTCAATGGCTACTACTGTATCTCTTTCTGCGGCTGCCTCGACACCTAATAATCAAACAATAATATCCAGTCCAACATCCTTTAGAGCTACTCCAGCATCGGCTACTTCAACTTTACAAAGAGGAACTTCATCCAGCGTTTCTTCTACAACAAGTGTATCAACTGTGGAATCTTCCTCTACATCCATTTCACACACTACATCACATTCGTCCAATTCTTCAATCTCTGGACCATCTTTATTAGCTAATAGGGATGTCAACAAGTCAAAACCTACTGCATTATCAGGAAAGCTTCCTAGAGCTACTCTAGAACAAAAGATTCAAGTCATTGATTATTACCATCGACTGAAACTATCTCAAGTTGATGTGGTTGAACAATATAAAGATAAATTGTCAATCCTGACATCGTCGCTCTCTGACTGGATTAAGAACGAACATGAATTAAGGTCAAGACTTACTTTAAGCAATAAAAATCTGCGTCGGAAGGTTAAGTTCAAATATGAAAAAATAAATCATGCCATGGATTTGCTTGTACAATCATTCCAAGCAAATAATAAGCCAATTAATGAACCTATTCTTAGAGAATATTGGTCTATTTATGCACATCAGTATGGTGTCGATAACCCTCGTCGATTAGTTGGTTTCAGCCATGGATGGTTGATGCAATTCAAGAAACGTCATGGCTTATTCAAAAGGAAAAAGTATCAACCAAGTGTAAATCCTTTAGATTTCCCTAAAGTTGAAAATGAAGATGATTCCTCAGATAGTAAAACATCAGATGACTCAAACGGTACAAGGATTCTACCTGGATTATCTCAACAACCTTATCTGTTGCCAATTCAAGTATCACCTCGAGTGCAAAATCACAATGGCCTTTATCTGCCTAATCAACAAAATCATGTTCATTTGCCTTTACAATTACCACTTCCTCAACGACTGCTGGTGTGGCCAGAATATCAGACTAAAGGAAATCCAACTTCAACAACACCAAATTCAGTGCATTCCCAATCACTTACCACTTATTCGCATCATATTCAGCCACATCATGCTCCAAACCAGCACCATCATCATCATCAAATTCACTCTCTTCCTGGAAGCTATCTGGTACCAGGGTCCGGTACCCCAATTATGCATCCTACTACCAATCAATATTCGACACATGGATTCACAAACTCAATTTTATCGTCTAGTAACATTCCAATACCTTCCAGTTTAGGTGTCCCATCGACACCTGGTTTTCCAAAAACTCCTTCACAACAATATCCCATTTCATTTCCACAAATACAGTATGACTTCAACAGAGTGCAATCTACTTCGCCGATTCCCTCAAACTCGTCCACAAGAGTCAATGAAGGTAATGAAGAAGAAATGGTTAACTCTCAAGGTGAGGTAATTAAAATGCGTTTGGACAACATCATCAACCATCATGAGTGATTTGATTATTATTGTAATTGTTACAATACCTTTCATTTCTGTGTTTTTCATTTACTATTATTCTTATTATTCTTATTATTATTAACCTTATGTATTATTTCTATGATTTATTGGTGTATTGGAAACCACCAAGCACATTAAATGTGATTATTTCTATTTTTTATATACCTATAATAGACGGTTAGGAGTGAACTTATTATCAAATCCATTATCATACTTCAATTTATACTTGTATCTTATATATATTGTTGACTATATGTGTTATGCTTAGTTAAAAGCAGTATCACCGTTGTAAGTCCAGCCACCAAACTGCTTTTGAACTGATTCCGATAAGAAATCATCAACAACAGAATCTTGAGGCTTTTCATTGGTAAAATCACTATCAAAGTTCAGAGTGTCCAAAAGATTCTCAACATTAGGTTTGAAAGGAGGTAAATAAGTTTTGTTCAATAACTTTTGCCAATCGATATCTTTGAAGAAGGGATGTGCTTTGATCTCACCAGCAGAGTTAAGACGATTTTTAGGGTCTTTCTGAAGTAATTTGATCAAGAGATCCTCTGCATCTGTTCCCTTAAGGAATTTGGGGAAAACCAATGGATTATGTAAAATCTTTTGGTACATGAGTTTAACGTTATCGTCGTAGAAAGGAGGTAAACCAGTTAACATCTCATATAACAATGTCCCTAATGTCCACCAGTCAACAGAACGAGTGTAACCTTCGTTTAAAAGCAACTCAGGAGCCAAATATTCAGGTGTACCACAAAAGGTATTGGTGGTATCCTTATCTGACATGTTAAGCTTACACAAACCAAAGTCACAAAGTGCAATGTGGCCCTGGTAATCAAGTAAAATATTCTCAGGTTTCAAATCACGATAAATCACATTCATTTCGTGAAGGGATTCCAAGGCCGTTAAAAGTTCAGCAGTGTAGAAACGAGATCTATCCATCAGAAACTTACCTTCTCTTTGAAGATGCCAAAAAAGCTCTCCACCATTAACGAATGAAAGCACTAAATATAATTTCTCTGGTGATTGAAAGGAAAATTTCAATGGAACAATAAAAGGATTGTTAATTCTTGCAAGAACAGTACGTTCTGCTAATGTATGGGTAACTTCCATACGTGAAACAATATGTTGCTTTCTTAATGTCTTTAACGCATATATTTGTTTCGTATCTTTTTTTACAACTTGCATAACCTTACCAAACGATCCCTTACCTATAACCTTCAATAAATCAAAGTCATTGATAGTTAAGTGATCTTTGAAACTAGGTTTAAAGTCAATTGTAAGCATAATGTCACCCATCTTCTGATCATCAGGCCCACTATTCTTATTAAGTGATTCATTTCCCGAGGATCCATTGAGAACTTCATTATAATTTGAGAACTTGAGGTATTGATGATTCATTAACCTTATCGGTTGTTGATGATATCTCAAATTGAGAGGAAGTTTGATTGTCCCAATCAAAAGGTCCCCAATGTTTCTTGAATGCCCATGGGGGTTATTTGCACCACCAGACGGAGAATCATTATTTGCTGCTAGCCCTGTGGAATTGCCCAGGCCCCCAGTTTCATCGGAGTTACTTGGTGCTCCACCAATACTGTGACTGTTGGTAAACAAGTTTTTCTTCCCAAGCTTTTCCTGGTCAGGAATCAACAAATTGGGTAAACGAATGAATAAGTTTAAGTTAAGAAAGTTCGACAGCGTTGTCGAGCTATTGCTAAGAGCCTTTGTTACATCAAAAGACACTACCTGGTTCCATGTAGACTGGTTGACTGTTCCCTTTTGGGGTTCAATAACCAAAGCATTATTTTCAAATTCTACCGTCAAATAAAGCAAAGACTTGACCAAATTATCCCCGTTAGGGATAGTTATTATGGAAGGTAAATATTTCAGAGACACTTCAGGGTTCAAAGTAGTCTCTTCCAACAGATCCAACATTTCGAGATTCTTAACAATCTGTTGAACAGTCAGCTCATGATTAGCATTGACAGCAAGCGCATGAAGTATTTGTTTGTTATTATTAATCTTGACTGGAAGTTGGACGTTGATAGAGTTGTAGATCTTCACTGTCAAAAGGCCGGGTGATCCTCTAGAGGCTGCTGAAGTGCAATTATCAGTTGCGGAACCATCGGGTGTTTGATTAGAAGCAGCTGTGCTAGATTGAGATGAAGAAATGGCAGATTTGGACTTCTTATTGGGGGACAGGTCAGTACTAGTTGGTTTGATGGTGTTTGGAGTTACTGTAGCAGTTGAATCCAATCTTGGGTGTGATTTAGTAGTTGGAGGATGATTCTCTGAAATCAAGGATTGTTGCTCTTCTTCCTTAAGAGACAATTTCTGAAGAGACTCGGAAATCACAGTAGTTCTGGAGTCTGTTGAGGCTCTTGGAGAAGATTGAGAGCCAGTAGTCGGCAGACTTGAATTCGTTGGGGAAAGTACTGAGTTCCCCGTGGTTGGAGTTTTTTCTTCAGGACTCTTCGCTTCCAGTGAAGAAGATGAGAATTTGAACTTGTTCTTTAGTTTATACATCCTGAGAAGAAACTATTCCAAAAGTCTTTGATATAAAATCTGTTTATTACTAATGTTAAAACGAACTGAAATATGCTTATAGAACTTCAGATTCTGTCAGATACTCTGATAATCCTTAAAAGCACTTAAAAAAATAACCAGAATATTATTCACAAATTGTCTGCCAATTTCACTTTATTATCTATATTTATGACTCTGAATCAGGGTGTAGTATGCTTAGAGGGTTTCCAAAGTCAGAGGCCATTATTTACCACCCAGAGGCGCTGTGCCGACATTGACATCAAATGACATGATGGAGCTACCAAACAAGCAGACAAAACGTCGTGTGCGTGGGCTAAAATTGAATGATATTCTGTCTGAGTATGTAATAGATTGGTGAAGAACGTTTCAAGATGGGGATTATACTCAACTCATGGTTTCAGGTTGCCGAAAGAAATGAAAGAGATTAAACAGATGAGAAACTTTAGTCTTTGCAGAAGAATGCAGTTAAGTGATGCTTCTTTTACATCGATTTAGTTTGCAAGAGATTTCTTAGTTTCTGTAAATATAAGCATTGATAAAGTAACGATAAAGAACACCAACTGAGTGTTGAAATAAGTACCACACCTTCCTTTTATTCTTAGCTTCAATTATATGCTGATAAGGATGTTGGCAACTGCATCACTTAACTGCAAAAAAAGTTATGGAAGAGGTGTACTTAGGGGTGAGAGGTATGGCAAAAGAAATAAGAACAGATATAGACGGAAGTAAGAAGCTCTGTCACCATTCAGGAGAAAAATAGAAGTATGATTTTTACATTATTTGAAAGTGTTTCGTGGCTTGTTTCTTTTTGTGAGTGTTCAAAATCTAGAGCAAGTCTCAATTTTGCACCCATTTGCGAAAACTATTACTTGGAAAGACATTCCCATTCATGCGCTAGGGTTTCGTTTTTGATAGATTAACTGAGCAAAGGTGATATTGATTGCTTAAGTAGAATGGCTCGACGAGAGATCAAAGTCATGCACAATATCCACGAACGTAAAACCTAATGGTATTTTAAGACTTTAAGTTATAACTAGTAATGGCTGCCTGTTTAATAAGTTAAATTGCAGCTCTAGTATAGCATACAACTAATAGTTGAACTTTGAAATTATATATATATATATATATATATGTTATTGTTTTGATATTAACAGCGTCCTTTGCTTCACTGGCAATCTTTGGTAGTTGTTTCTCATCATAGGATTATTATTATTGTTGTTGTTGTTAACATTCTTACAGTAGTAAGTAGACAGGTATTTCAGGTTGAAAACCTCAAATAATCAAGGATTCCTGAAACCCCTGAAACCTTGATTTGACCGTTATACACTATTTCCATGGGTCTCTAACGTTCATACCATACTATTAAAGCTTTTCTCTTCCAAATAGAACTGGGTCAATTTTGAGAGTAACTGTTTCCACCCAAAATGTTTGATTTGTGTTATTAATCGCAGAATGTTTGAATTTAACTCTAGTACCTGTTGATTTCGATGAATTCATTGCTAATAATGATGAAAACGAAGTAAAGGCGATTATAAAAGTAGTCATTATAAGACGAAAGTCCAATTTTCTTTGTGTTCACGTAGTTTTACAGAGAATATCTAGCTTTTAACTAGAATCTTGCGCTACAAGTATATAAGTATATTTCATACAAAAAGCGAGCCACACTACGGACAAAGAGTTCTATCTCAGTAAAGTATATCAATCTAAATTATGTCAATTATCATATTGTAATTGCAGGAACTCAAAAATCAACAAAATCAGAATTTATGCTCGATTAAAAATTCATAGATAACAATAACTTATACGGAAAACTTTAACAATTGACAGAGATCTCAAGGCTTGATCTGTAATATATATACTTTAGGCAATAATGCCATCAAATGACACCTCTGTAATTGCTACTATGATCTTCCAACCTCCATGACATAATTTTTACATATATTATCATACAGTCGTGTCTCTGCTGTTTTCATACCCTTGGCACACGTTAAGCAAGCAAGAATACACTAGAAGTCAATTTTTTGCAAATAAAGCACTGCCTGCGCTGATTTCAAGAGTATGTTACGGAAACGGTAATCTCTGGCGTAGGTGCTAATAATAAGAGCTTCGCAGTTTGGGATTCTTTGAATAGTGAACATCTTACCATACTTGAGCGTGCTCCTTGGTCGGCTTAGTAAGTCACTCGGACCCACAAAAACAATGGTCCTTGCCCCTAACGGAAGTGCGCGGGATAGAGAGCAATTGCAGGAAAATGAAGACTTGGTTGCCAGAAAAGTAAGGCTGGTTAGACGATCATGTTTTTTCAAAACACCCTGTAATAATCTTCTTGGGATTATAAATACTACTTCAATTCCTTGTAATCATTAGCATTGCTGTTTTATTGTTCTGTTATTTGAAATTGAATCCACAACAATTGTTGATTATTGCGTCTTTACGTTTCACTAGACTCCGTTCACCCCAAGAATTAATTAAGTCATAGTTATAATGAACTCCGAGAAGGTTGTTGCCATCATTTTGGGTATGTATTTCAATTGGATATAAATTCACATCGGATTAATACTAACATATTTTAAAAAGCTATTTTCTTGCCTCCATTGGCCGTTTTCATGAAGGTTGGTTTAGGTGGTCAATTCTGGTTGAATTGTCTTTTATGTTTGTTTGTTTGGTTCCCTGGTATTTTGCATGCCTTGTACGTTGTTATGAAGACCTAGGCATGTCAGTTACTCATAACTGGTGACTTTCTTTTCATCACCTAAGTTCCATTTATTATTGGTTATTGCGTATTTTAAGAACATAGTGGGTTCCTTAATGAAAGAATTAACTATTCTATTCAACTGAGTAATTGTGTTACTAGCAGGTCTACTGACGATGTCTTTCTTCTTATTAATTCTTCTTCTACGATTTATATACTTCTGTATTCAATAAACTTGTTACTTTGTTATTACAGTTCATTTTCTGGAATTATGGAGATGTTCTATGTGTCGAACTATATTCTGATTTAAGAGGGTAGAGCGGGTCCAAGTTCAACGTTTTATGACACACCTTGCCATGAATGTAAATAGTAGACAAATGTACAAAACCCATTAATACCTTTTGAATGATACTGCATATCTTGTGTTTGTTTGAAATGCAGGTGTTAGAGATACAACATTGGAACTCATACTGGTGTAACGGCACGACTTCCACGAATAACATATGAAATCATAAGCCATTTGCATTTATGGCGGGCTTCCATCCAAATGGGTCAAAAAGACATAAACCGAATTAAATTGTTAAAAAAGCCAAAAAAAGCTACTATTGTTTACGTAATAAAAAATTGAATAAACGCACAAGAAGCGATGGTTCAAAAACTATTGGATTAATAAATTATCGTAGACTCTGTGTGATCGTGAACAAGAGAAGTTTGAGTTCACATCTACGATATAGAGGAACAACATTCATTATAAAATATATCCAATCAGCTACAACAAGTAGAAAATAATGATAATAGCACCACATATTACTCATACCTCCTTTCCAGAAAGCATAAAAAATTTGAACTTTATTCGTTGAACTTAGATCTAACCTTCAACACATATTTTTTAAGAAATTTGTACACCCATTGTATGAAGGAAAGTATGTCCACTGAAATGTCAGCTTTTCGTCAACTTTTGCAATAATCAACAAGGAATATTATGAGAACATGGGCCCCATCTAGAGCGTATTCATTAGGGATATATACCAATTTGTGTTATGTAATTTGAAAGCAGTTTACAACCTTATTTAATAGCACGGCTTTTCAATTGTCTTGTGCATACTTTTCGCAAATTCCCTTTGATGGGTTTGTTGCACTTTCATGAGCCCCCCTGTACCGGCATAATAGCATCCTTCTTTTATCATGGTAGTGTAAGCGACCATACGAGCGTCTTCATTTGTCAATGAATAGTGCGATTTTGTATCATGCATGTCTATAATCGCTTATCAATTCCATACCATTTGGTGCGAAATTACTAAGAAGTAAGTCACTTGCCCTTCCTTTTCTTTTGAACTCATTGAGATACTATCCTGCTTTATCGATATTCATATTCATACCCCTAATTCCAAGATATTACTATTGTATTGCTGCATGCTATGATAGATATGTCAGATAGTGGTAACAATACCAGAGGGGTAACCACTACAAAAATGGACATTCCTCCCGCTGTTGGAAGCAGCGACCTTCAAGCTTGTGTCTCTTCGGTAAGGGACAACTCATCTTTAGCCGGTAAGGAGCAAGATATCCCTACAGAGTTACCTCCATTTTCATTTAGAAAGAAACCTATCATGTATACTAGCATCCACTCAAAGTCGAACATTTCGGATATAATCCCTAGTGGTGGTTCAAAACCTTCCAGTAATCAAAAATCAGCCTACACAAGCTCGTCAAACAATACATGCGGCCGCTCATCCTCATCTACTACTAGTATGATATCTGATCATAGCACTTCTAGTACAAACCCTACTAGCTCGGGTTCCAGTATCATTTTTAAAGATTTTGACTACGATGAACAAATAAGAGCTCCCAGAATGGCTAATTCCACCACTGCAGCTGCCATAGTTAAGAGAAGTGACGATGAACAAGATTCAACGCACGAAGCGTCGCCTTTAAATACACACATGCTTCCTCTGCCTTCATCAAAGGATCCACCTGCAAAATACCATCCAGCTATATTTGATTTAACAAAGCCCACAAGAAGATTCAGCGTACCCGAAGTACCAGAAGGTGATGACTTTATTTTAAACTACACCACCAATAACTATATTTATAATAAAGAAAACACAACCACTTACTTTTCAAACTTAGGGGATGGCCGCATTCGAAATCAACCATCATTGAATAATTTGACCAGCAATACTAATGAACCGAGCACTGTTATAAGCAACGATAAGTTGAAATGCATGTATGAGCTAAAAAAACCCATGTGTGTCCCTGCTGTCCTTCGTCCGAATACTGCTACCTCAAATGGTAATTTTCATTCTCATCTCATGGCACCCAACAATAATGAGTCCGGACTGGGACTGGAACATGCTAGTTCTTCATCATCACCCCTGGAGTTCACACTTAATTCATCAGTGATGGCTGTTAAGAATGACAACTCCCCTACTGGTTCCCTCAATACTTCCCTGGTTTCGGGTTTACTAATTCACCCAATGTCAAGCAGATTTCCTGTGTCTCCAGAGCTTGAAGCGGTTAGAACAAATTCAACTTCTATGTCCTTAATAACAGGCACGACTTCAGGCATATTTGAAGGGTGCAATACTCTTGATAAAGTTGTAAGCCATGATCCAGAGCTCACATCTGACTCTAACTGGAGAAAGGATTCCTCATTGCAATTATTCTCGGGTGAAGATATGAAAGAGCCAACTCATATTCATTGGAAACCTCAAAATGAGTTTTGTATGAAATGCTTCGAGTCCTTTGGGTTGCTTAGACGTCGGCGTCGGCATCATTGCCGATTTTGTGGCCTTCTTATTTGTTCTTATTGTCTTCAAGAATCCAAGGTCGAAACTAATACAAACATTAATTTCGTTGCTTATGGCTCACAAGGAAGAGATGTTAAGAATAGACCGAGAACTAATGAAAGCTATAGAAGCGGAAAGGAAGGAGACAATATAGCACCTAAAGGAATTTTACTAGATGGCAATGCTAGGTTTGTCATTCCGATCAATAACGCATTTGATGTATTTTCACACTTTAAGGCTAGTAAAGTGTGTAAAAATTGTGGAGAGCTTTATGGCAAGCTTTTAACTGATGTACGTGGACAACGCCTTCCATTCAACTTTGTGTTTATAGAGAACCCATACGTTAAGAAAAGACTAGCTGGTGGACCAAATCCAATGTTATCAAAAGGAGAACGAGGTCAAAGTGTGGTTGTCCTTACTGGTGGAAATGGTACTGGCATTGGTAGCACTAACATCTCTAGTGATTTTCTAACACCCAGTACAACTACTACGAGCACTAGTAGTAATACAATTGTTGTTTCTGATCGTGAAACTAAACATTCCACTACTGGTAACGAGGGCATTTTAACAGATTGGACCTGGAGTTCATTTTAATGCACTTTCATATTTGAAACAGAAACTAGTTACGTCTATCGATTAGACGAACTCCACTAACTTCTTAATACTGATTATGTTTATTTTATTATTAAAGGACAGGGTAGGTTTTCCTGGTCCAAATTGACGACAGCAGAAATGTATTAGTTGTCATAGAAAGCAAAACTTTGGTGAATGTTAATATTATTCTTATTATTCTTATCCTTACACTTATATTCATTTCTACATTTTTTTCTATTTAAATCGTGTCTTTAACTTAATTTAAATTACTACTTGTTATATTCAAAATAAAAGTGTTACGTACCCACATTCCAAATTTGATTTCGAACGGAACTTTTAAGCCAATTCTTGTGCCTCTTTGGTATAAATGGAAAGTGCAATCGTGGGAATACACTTTTTTTTGGTTATGGCACAGCACGTTAAAAGGCTTTCCGTTTTATCAACAGCCAAGTCTAGCCCCTCAACCTGCTTGTGAAAACCATTCCAATTCTGACCTTATTATTATACAAATTTGAACACTAGAAGGTATGGCTCCAAGGCTTATGTTATCAAACAAAAAAGATTCTCATACATGCCTCACGAGCGTACGAAGGTGAAGTTATGCGTTGGGAAACTCCAGCACAAAGCATCTTATCTGAAATGCGGCCCTCGCGACAGTAAAATTCATTAAATTATACCTGATTAGGAAATACCAATTGAAGGTGACGTTCATCAGTAGGCATTGCGAGAAAGCAAACAGTCCGTAGGGGAACTTACCACATAGATACAATGTGTAGTGTTTTCTATAATTAACTTGCTTTATCCTCCCATTTGAAAAGGGTTACGTGGGTTGCTGCTAGCTTATTTAAGCTTTCTTAAACATCACGTTGCATTAACTTTAACCACAACTTCACTAGCCGGATTTCGAACTTATAATTGGATGGAAGCAGCCTGTTAGGCATTAAAGTTACAACTACCGTCTATTTCCGCCCAATGGTGACTTATTCATAAAAAGGCGATTGCTTGTAGTACTTTGCGCCCATACATGATCAAGAGTGCGATTTTGTGACACGTCTTCAATAAAACCAAAACATTCATAAAAATTTTGTAAGCAGTTCCAAAGTGAAGTAACGTACATCTGGTCTCCTTTTCCCTAATCAGTAAGAATAACAGTGAAAATATAATTGAATCTTTTTTTCTTTAACAAATCTTCACATCTCTTAGGCGATACTAACGTTTTACATTTATCCTTATTCAAACTAACATATTGACTCCTCTACTGGTGGTTGTTGGTCTAGACCTGAAAGAATAACTTCCATAGGATTTCAAGATTGAACAGTTTAATTTTTACAATATTGAAAAAGCTGTATTCATATCTAGCTACCACTGAATTCCTTCTACTGTGTTGTTTGATAGTTGAATATTCTATTTAATACCAACACAAGAAAATGTATCGTCAACCTCCAACTATGTACGGGTCTAATGATTCCGTTAGACGATTATCATCAAATAATCCCTTCCGTCAAGGATTACAAGATCTTTCAGAAGATCAGACTGTACGCACTAGTATTGCTACAAGTGGTGTGTCTGGAAGTTCGTCTGGAACTCCAACTCAATTAGGCTTCCAGCACACTAACATAAATACATTATCACTGGTTACAAGAGTGAGCCCTACTGGTTTCGATGAATGGGTTCAAAAAAATAAACAGTTGATCGACATGCTGAGTGACGAAGAAGAAGCTTACTACGCTCATCGTGACTCCTATAAAAATCAACGTCAATCCAACGTATCTGAATCTGAATCAGATTTGCTTGCCTTGTATGGTACCAAATCACTGTCTACAGTGAATTCACCTGTCAAGACTGGATTCGCTCCTCCAAGTAGACCGCAACAACCTGCTAGAAGCGGAAGTGACTCGCTAATTGATTTTCAATCAAGGTATGTATAATTTTTTATTTTCGAGTATGGGACCTATAACATAGACAAATGGTGGATAGATTTCTGCATTCAAAAAATACCGTGGATTAATTTTACGTGGACTAGAGAAGTATACTTGCAAATATTGCGTTCATACTACGGTTGAACCTTAATGTTGTGGATAATTCTTCGGGAGATTCTTAAGAATGGCGCAATTACTTTAGAATAATTCGCACTGCCGATCACAGCCTAGCATAGGAATCTAGATGCACGGTGGGAAAACCGTGATCATTGCATTGTTGCAGAAATCACCAATTTCTCAGCACTTAGGTCTAGACAAGTTTGAGTTTATTAGGATTTCATGCTGTGTTAAAGCTTTCTACGTGCGTTTGACATTGAAACTGTACCTTACCTTGTAATTAGTTTGTGCCTTACATGACTATTATCATGCATAAGACTCAGACCACAGTTACTCACGTGAGTGTTTTGTAACGACCGTCTTAGTGACAAAAAAAGTTCAAATGTCGGGTGCGTTTTCCGTCTAGGAAGGAGTACCCCGTTTCATACAAACTGGTGGCCTAGAAGTTTTAGTGTTATTGTATGCGACGGCTGTGGTTTAGGTACAGTACAAAGAAAGGGGGCTTATCTAAAGATCTACAAGCACAACAATAAGACAAACTTAATAGGGAACGGTGAAGAATGGAATATTAAGCAATGTGGTACACAGTGCCTAATGTTGTTGCCAAAGTTAACGGTTACTAAATAAATTATATTGGAACCAAAATTGTTCGCTAGGTATTTCTTCAACGGTGTCCACCGAGAACTGTTATAATGTGCGAGAAATTGAACACTGCTACAGACTCGGTAATAGTGTTTCTTCGTGGGTGCTTAAACGAAAGCCTCTGTATATTACAGTGGATATATCTTCTTTATCTTTGTCAAAGTTGTTGTGTTGTGAATGTTGTTGAAAGCTGAAGTCATTAATCCCCACAAGTGACACGTGCACGACCCTTTTTTAAGGCTCTTAGAATGTCGAAATATTTTTGTTTTATCGTTTCAGGATGAATCCAATCTGGTTAATCAGATTTATAGGTATTCTTTGCTTATTATCAGGTTGATCAAATCTTCCCCTTTATCCCATTCGAATTTGTCTTTTTCATATTTCCACCATCACTGTGCTACTTGCGATCCTAAACCCTTTATCTCCTGATAATGTATACTAACCAGAGTGAATTCTATAGACCGGTATCGTCGAATAATCCGTTTGCTTCGGCACTCCAAAGCTCAACACCCGATCCACCACAAGCCACAAGAACATCAAGAAATGGCTCAGTCCCACCTCCCAGACCTCCAAAGGAGCCAAATATGATGGCCCCTCCTCCGTCTTATGAAGTGGCAGCTGGCCAGGAAAGAGCAAAGGCACCGTATAGAGACGAGAAGCTTTCATCAAGTAGTAGTCCATCAGCACTGGAACTTAGCAGCCATAGACCTCGTAGATCTAACAGTGAAGGTGCTGCAAGGTCGACTAATGATAACCAGAAGGCATATGTTGAAAGGAGTGATCGGGACAAAGATAAAGAACGAACCCGTCGTCACCATTCGTCCCTGAGAGCAAAAGACAAACTGGAATCAAAATCGCGTTCATCATCTTCAAAGAAAAAGAAGGACCCCGTACCTGTTAAAGCCAAAAATCTTGATACCATTGATAAATTAGATGTGACTGCATTTTTCGGTGGTGGATTCCACCATGATGGCCCATTTGATGCATGTACTCCTCATCGTAACAAGAATAGGAATAATGCTCCAGTAATGGCCTTCCCAGTGGATGGACCAAACAATTCGATAAAAGGATTGGGAGGCTACAATAACTCGAAGAGTGAACAAATGAATCTTGCTTTTGGTAAATATGATGCTGAAGCTGATGATTTCAATGCTAATAAACAAGTAAACCCTATTCAAAAAACAGTTTCTCCAATGACGGCTCCTGCTTTAAATCCACCAACTTCAATTCTTGCGAATAATAGTGGCAAAAATACCCCAAGTCCATACAACAGTAAAACTCCTTCAGTTATAAACTTTGATTCTAATGTTAAATCTGAACCAATTCATGGCATTGTTACAGGTGGATTAGGATCTTCTACATTCATAGATGGTGCACCTGCACCGAAGTCAGTACAAGACGAACATGCCTATTTGGCTTCTACTGGTGCTTTGGGTAGAAAGAAGTCGATAGTCCAGAGATTGCGAAAGAATAGTTCGTCTGCAACAAGCCCACCAAACAATCATGCGGGATTGTATGAAGATCCATTATTGCCCCCTACTACTACACATCATAGCCAGGAATTATCTAGGCGTAATAGTGCCGATGCTAGGTCGGACTCTCAAAATGCGTCTGGGGGTAATTCATTTATGAGGAGAGTCAAATCTTTGAAAGTTAGAAGATGAAGGGGAAGTGTTTTTTTATCTTTTGAAGGTACAAAGTCATTCATTGTTTCCTTACACTTTCTTACTATTCATTTCGATTTTTGATTTCATATTTTGACATTGCGTTTATTTAACTGGGTATCCATGTTTTGTTTTTCATTTGGGGTATGGTTGTGTACTACTAAGGATCTAAATGCTACTACGACTTTTCTTGAATTCCTTTGGTTTCTTTTTATTATTTTTACTTCATGCAAATGTATTGTGACTAGAAAGCAGAAAGTCCACCAACGGTGATTATCTAGTATTATATATTAGTTACCTTATTTATCGTATTTAGCCTTTATTTTATTGTTCATTACTAAAGCATAGAGAAAGTACATGGAAATGTAACGGTCTAGGCCATAAATTCAAGCGAATCCGATAATTTGAATGCGTAGTTGACACTTTTCAGGAATATTATTTTGCTGAGGAATTAAATATCGACTGCTTTTCTGCCTTCTGAGTCAGTTTTCCAATAAATTTGATGAAACCATTATTCTAGGTAACATGTGACTATTCATTAATCAGATTGTGCTTTATATTTGTGCCTACATACAACGGTATATCAACAACTTTTTTTCCTGTGTGTGAAGAATTAGCACTGCAAAAATTTCTCTGTTAAAGATTGACATTAAGTAGTTCATACCAACTATCAAGTCCAATATGCTTAAGAATGGGATTCGTATAAAGAAGTCCGGCTTGTCGTTAAGACAGGTTCGGAACTTTTCTTTCCAATTACCATCTATTTCCACTTTAGACCAAGTCAAAGCTGCAAACTCCGACTACGATGGACTTTTCAAGAACTCTACTGTTAAGCAAATCTGGTATGAAAGAGGACAACATCTACTTGATGGCCTTAACCAAACTATGGAAGATCATGGATTGGATAAAACTGGTACAGATTTACAAACTATTATTACAGGGCTGATCAGTAAACCTCAATTATACGGTGTTTACTCATACTCTGCATCACTTTACACTTTGCAATTCTTTTTAGAGTCTTTGAAACCTAATAATACTTCTGAGATTTCAACTCCCACCGCAGATACACTCTTAAAAACTCCCGCATTGAATGAATACACAAATGTTCCTACAAATCCCGTTCTAGTTGATTGGATCAATCAACTGTTTGGTTCTATTGATGAGTTTAGAACTCTTTTGTTGAATTCCGCAAGAGGTATCAAAGGTGATGGTTATGTATGGCTTGTTGCCAAACTGACAGTTAGTGGGAAAACTGAAAACACGAAGTACATTTACAAGGAATTATCTGTTACCAATACTTATAATGCAGGTGTTGTTGATGATGGATTAAGATCTGGCCAAGTTACTAAATTAAAGGGCCAAAAGCAAGCTCGTTTAGATAATTTGCGTAAAAGAGCTGATGAATTATCCCAGTTGGAAGGTAGTTCTACTCAAAATACTGAATTACAAGCAGAAATTGCACAATTGGAAGATGATATCAATCTTAAGGAATTAGGTACTGTTGAAGAAGCTGAAGATATCACAGTATATGCGAACAAGAAATTGGTTCCATTGTTGGCAATTGATGCTAGTCCTAGAAACTATTTATTGGATTATGGAGTTTTTGGTAAAAACAAGTACTTAGATAACCTTTGGGAATCTATTGATTGGGATGTGGTGGCCAAGAGAATGCCTCCAAGATCTAAACAGTTTTTCTCTATTGATTAAGGGCATATAGTCATTCTGTAAATAGCATACATCTGTATATATAAAAATGTCGAAAAAAATTATCTACAATTATAGTAACAAGTAAAATTAAATATAATAAAGAGCCAACTCAAAGAAACCCTAATTGGGAAAGGATTGTATGCTCCTTCCCTTTGCAAATATCATATTAAAGAAATATATATATATATATATATATAAAGAACTTTAGATTATAACAAATCATTTCCCCTTAATAACACTCTTGACTATTCTCTCAATTTCATCCCAATCATTGGTGGGAACTCTAGTAATTTCAACACCTGTACCAAAGTATTTGATGATATCCATCAAAATGTCATAAGATTTTCTGTCATGAATAAAAGAGATCGAAACACCTGTTCTACCAAATCTACCTGTTCTTCCAATTCTATGCAAGTAAGTCGAAGGGTCTGCTTTACCGTTAGGAGTTGTAGGCAAATCGTAGTTGACAACCATAGAAACTGAGGCAATATCAATACCTCTGGCCAAAACGTTCGTTGTGATTAAAACCTTTGATCTCCCCTCTCTAAAGTCATCAATTAACCGATCTCTATCTTGAGAAGTCAAATCACCATGTAATACAGAACATTTATGGCCTTCTTTAGTCATCTTACCATACAAAAGATTGGCAGTGGTTTTACGTTCAACGAAAATAATGGATGATCCAATTGTCAATAACTCATATAATCCACATAAAACCTCAAACTTATGTGCTTCACTATCACAATCCATGTACAATTGTTTGATAGCAGCGACATTCAATTCTTCTTGTCGTAATTCTAAACTATTGGCATTAGGTACAACCTTTTCCGCGTATTGACGAACATGAACTGGGAAAGTTGCAGAAAATAATACCAATTGGGCAGTCTTGGGGATTTGTTTTTTAATTCTGATACATTGATCAGATAATCCGGAAGCATCTAACATGTTATCAGCCTCATCCAATACATAAACTTTTAATGCACTCAAATCCAAAAATCTTCTTTTAAGCAAATCCATCATGACACCGGGTGTACCAACAACTACTTGGGCATTTATGCGAGTATTCTTTTCAAATGCATCTGGAACAAGTAATTGTGTGGTGATGTCAGTAAATTTACCCATGGTTGTGATAACCTCTAACGTTTGTCTGGCCAACTCTCTAGTTGGTGATAAACAGAGACATTGGGTTTTCTTAATTGAAGGATCCACACGAGTTAACATAGTCAAGGAGAAGGCGGCAGTTTTACCTGTACCTGATTGAGATTGACCAATCATATTCTTGGGAGGGTTTGAAATCAATAATGGCAAGGCTTTTTCTTGAATCTTAGAAGGTTTATTGAATTTCATAGCATATAAGCCCTTCAATAATTCATTTGACAATCCCAATTCTTCAAATGATTTAACTGAGTATAAAGGGGAATCAGGGTCTGCTTGCAAATCAGCCAACTTGACTTTAACTTCATATGTCGATGATATTAAATTGGTATTAGCAGCTTGTTTCTTTTCCTCCCCATCCTCAGTTGGTTTTGGTTCTGATGCTTTCTTTTCCTCTTCGACTACATCTTTCTTGTCCTTTCCATCGACCGTTTCTGTATCAATCTTCTCATCGACTTTGGTATCTTCTACAGCTTCTTTTGCTGGTGCCTCTAGAGCAGTATCCTCAGCAGGTGCTTCTGGAGTAGTAGTCTCGTTGCCTTTTATTGACAACGAAGACAACAACTCAGATGCGTCCATTTCGGCCTTCTTTTCAGAGCTCATTCTTGATTGTTGATCAACTAACAATAACGTATCCATTTATCCTTCTTCTCTGGTTTACGTTGAAAAATTAACGGAAAACTTTGAACAATGTGCCACAAAATTATCTTTGGATTCAACTTGAGTCCACCGATGTCTTTCAAGATTGGAACCATAATAGCATTATACGAGGAGAAATAAATCGTAGCCATCTTTAATAGATATATGGTATATCACAAGTTTGGGATATGGGTGCTTGTTTAATAACTGGTGACATGGTGCTTCGGGAGGTATTTCAATACCGAACATTCAAAACTATTCACACCAGTGCTAACTACAACTATCAACATTTGTGCTGAGTTATAAGCCATATGAACGTAGGCTCAAGAAGAAACTTCGATTAAAATGACTTCTATTGGAAGTATGTCTGGTATTCTTTGTGTTTAGTGGACGCAATTAGTATTGGTAGTATCACGGCCAGCAAACAAGTCAGCTTTTTGCAGGCCAAATAACTACAGTTCCTTCAATTAGCTACGACTGCATGTATGTAGCAGTGTTGAATAGCAAAATGTATTGCACGAAGATATGAAGAGTTGTCAGTTCATTTGCAGCTAGAGTGCCAATTTGGATCACTTTTTCTGCGAGTAACTAATTTTGTGTGGTAAAAAAATACAAAGGTAATGAAAACTAACGATGTTGTGTGCAATTGATTCCACCTAATAATGGCTTCATATATCGATGAGTTGGTTTCGATATGTTGGTCTAAGGTGACGAGGGGATCATATTTCCAAGATCATATCTTTGCTGATCTGATTTTTACGTTCATTTCTGAATTGGAAAACGTTCTAGATTTAACAACACCTTTGCTTGAAGAGAATCAGAGTCAGTTATTAAAATCCATAATATCAAAGTCTCCCAATAAAAGGATAAGTAAGAATGAATTAACAGATTTTTTAAGCCAATTGGTCGGAGATGGACTTGAAGAATGGATTTTGAAACGTTCAAAGTTAACAGTATATCAGCTCCGTCAGTTATGTGATCAAAGGTTTAATAGAACTTCGAAATCTACAATAGAAAATCAACCTCCACTACCCAAGAAAAGATATCAGTTTCAAACCCCTCCATTGACACCTCAACTTCCTCCATCGATACCAAAATCAGAACCGAAATCGTTCAAAGGTTATGAAAGTTACGACCATGCACACCAAAGGTTCGAAAGAATTGGTGATCATATCACAACTTCATCTAAAACGTCCTGGGAGCTCCGGCGAAAAGATGAAAAGATAAAAGAACTCAAGATGGCTTGCTTTAATTATAAACAAGCCTTGGAGATGTTAACAGGTCAAAATGAAGAAGCAAATATTCAATTAGAAGCTCACTTAAAGAGAGTAGAAAAACAAAATGAACAAATTAAAACTTTAAGTATGAAGCTAAAACTTAATAATAGCAAATACGAAAATGTTCGTATAGATACACAATCACAAACTACCATTAAGCTGCTCCTATTCAAACTTCCTACCCTAAAACAAGTATTAGCTATAAAGGAAATAGCAAACGATCGGTGGAAATTTCGATGGTACGTTTTTTGCCTCTTATTGATATTAATTGTCTCTATTTGCATTACAACGGTGTTACAAAGCTTTGCACTATTAAGTCATGATATTATACAGCTCGTAATGCGACTGCGAACCAATGATAACTGGTATGAAGTAACCAATTTTCAATGGTGGAAAGCCTTTTCAACTCTTGAATCTACAATATATTCTTTAGAAGATTGGATCTACTACAATTCATAACTTCAAAAGTATGCCTCTACAAACTTCAAATACGACGAATGCCATGTTTCTAAAAGATCAGATTAAATTTGTAAATTAAAAATACACTGTATACACTTAGCCTAACCTTTCAGCTCCAATAAAAAAGAATAAAATAAAACATTTTGAAAAACCCAATAAAACATCAAATTTAACAAGTTTAGTTCATCTTCTTGATCAAAGTGTTGATGGCATCTTCTCTGTTACCAGTGTCACCACCTTGGATGTAGTGTTCGAACTTTCTAGCTCTGAAACCACCGTTAGGGTTAGACAACTTGAATGGCCACAAGAAGTTGTTAACTTGCTTGAAGTTAGGACCAACAGTGTAGATTTCGTGGATCAAGTCTTCAATAGACAAGATACCGTATTGACCCAAAGAAGCTTCAATGATAGAGTTGTCAGACAAAGCAATTCTTTGCTTGTTGATCTTACCGAAACCTCTCTTGTAAACCAACTTTCTGATGGTAGACAAAGATGGGTAACCGTAGGCAACGTAAGGTTCAGCCAACTTGATCAATTCTTCAGTAGCCTTGGTCAATCTGACAAAAACACCGGCGTTGATTTGAGTCAATCTCAACAATTGCATAACCTTTCTTGGCTTTGGTGGGATCTTCATGATACCCTTGATTCTGACAACGAAGACCAACTTAGGTTGAGCATCAACGTAGTAGGAGCCAGCAGCCTTGGCTTCTCTCTTGGCTTCAATGACAGATCTTTCGGCATCAGCGTACTCCTTGGTGTAAGCAGCAGTTCTGTCGTAGATAGTCTTTCTCTTTTCAGCGCTGGTCTAAAAATGGGTTAGTAACTATAATCTTAAATGAAAAGATCGGTAACCCAATACACAAATGAATAAAAATTAGTCAGTCCCGAAAGATGGTTAACTGAATGACAACATTGCATCGCTAGTCAAATCAAAGTGGTTGGTTTCATCTTCAAATTATATTTCATTCCAATGGGTTACTTTATCTTTCGTTCTTGTACCATCTAATAGTACAAGCTAAGATCATGATAAATACATACGACTTTTCTGGCAGCCTTAGCAGCCTTTCTGTCTTCAGCAGACTTTTGTTGAGCCTTAGACTTCTTGATTTGAGATTCTGGTTTCAAAGAGCTAAAATAAATGTTAGTAAATTATATCACCTAAAATAAGAATATCAGATTTCAGACATAGATATCAATTCATCGTAACTAATTTCCTCTAGTATATTTTTATTAGAATAAGCGAAAGCAAATCTTGGTGCTTCACCACCGGAAAGGTAGTGAATAGAAGATGGAACTGAATGGCCAGATTCATTCCACTTCACACCCATTGCATTTCAAATACACAGAGGAAATCAGATGTATCAGGCATTGGCAGTAAGAAGATAGTTTTTATCTGCAAGATAATCTGAGTTTCCCTTGGTATGATGCTACAGCTTTGATTCAATCTGTAACACTCAAACAAGTACTCAACTATTACTTCACACACCAAACAATACAGGAAGACATTGTTCGTATGGCGTCTGAGATATAAGTTGTTCATGGTACATACGTAGCCATTTTTGATGATCAAGTTTGGTGAATTGTTAAGTAAAATATTTTTCAGTATATGTGGGAGAGCTCTATTTATAAGATTTTTCAAAGTGCCAATCCATCGCACGAAAAAATTTTCCATGAAAACTTTGTTCTCAAAATAAGATTATGTTATCACGTGCGCTAGGGCATAGCCCTATCACAATATGTCGTTTTCCTTACTTTTGATTGTGGTTCTAAGTTAATTGGAAGCTTTGAAAACGATTGAAGCTGTATAATCACTTATATATTTAACTTTATGGAGCGATTAGTTTGCGTACGCATAATCACCGTTGATCCATCTGTTCACCATATCCAATGATGCTTCAGGCTGGTTGTAAGGTACCATGTGACCAGCATTGAAAATTCTCAAGAACGTAAAATGACCGTAATTCTTGACTTCACCAGCATGTTCACCGTAATTTGTGATCCAAGGTCTCAATGGGGTCTTAGAAAACCCATCATGTCCAGAATATTCTAAAGCATCTGACCAAGCATGGTTCCCAAGCCAATTACAAATGAAATCTTTATCACCAGCATAAATTAAAACTGGAACACCATAATCTAAAACTTCAGCAACATATTGTTGGAAAGGCTTGGCTTCATCACCACTGAAGAAGAAATTTTGGAATACAGGACCAGAGCAACCAGTAAAGGTTATTTCTGGGTCTGCTCCAACAGCTTCTTTAACGTAATCAAGATTCATGTACTTGTCAATGTAATCCATATTAGCATAACACCCTTCAGCTTCACCACAAGGTATTCTGATATCATAAGGATTCAAACCAGTAGAGTCATACGGACCATATAATTTTGTATTGCAATAGTAGCCAGCGGGGATGCATGTAACAGGTGACTGTCTTGAATAGCACAACTTAGATAACACCCGGCATCTGGGTTCAGCTGCTTCCATTGCATCACATTGTTCAGTTGTCAACACCGGAGGATATCCACCTTCGCCACAAGCCATTGGTCTATAGTAATCATTTTGAATAAGAGAGTCGGTAATTCCATTTCCGATTAAAATTGAACTCAATTGAAATGATCTATCAGCATGATTGATAATTTCGCTAGCAATATTTGGGATATAATGCCCCGCATATGATTCACCAGCAATGTGGAAAGTATTCTTCAACAATTCCGGGAACTTTTGAAAGAATAACTCTAAAAAGACAAACACATCAGTTGCTGCGGTTGCTGTGTCCTTCACATCGTCCCCACCAGTATAGGAATAGCCTACTCCAACAGGTTGGTCTAAAAAGATAACAGACGCATTAGTATTCCATGAATAGGGATTGAAGACAGGTTGGAGAGTTGCATTTATAGCAGAAGGACCTAATTCAAAAAATAAACCAGTACTTGAGGAGCATCCTGGTCCACCATTTAACCATAAAATGACAGGATCATTTTTAGGATCATTTCTAGATTCGAAGAACCAATAAAAGAAATGCTTGTCCAAGTCAGCGACATCCAAATAGCCGGTATATGTCTTGACGGTGTCTAAACCTAAAGCCTCTGGCTTGGTGGACTTGATTCTCAAACCATAATTCAGGTATCTCTCATTTTTAACCATAGTAAAGATTTCATTGTCATTCGTAGACTTGTGAGTTGGCTTCTTTGGCTTATTACCACTAGGTGAATTCATAAATGAAGAAAACATTGATGGCATTAACAAGGCCGAAAATTGGGTTGGATCCAATTCACGCTTCATGTCTTTCCAAGCAACTAAAAGCAGCAATTGATCATCCTTAGGTACCGTCAGTAAATCAAAGGACTCAATTAAGTGATCAATTTCCTTTGGCCAAAAGTTATAGTCAGCCAGATCCTTCTCCTCCTCAATTCGAAACGCAACCTGACCAGGATGTGCAAATGCAGCGACAGCGATGCCTAAAAGTGCACCAAGGGCACAGCCTACCGAAGTTACCTTCATAATTCTAATACCACTCTTTAGCAGCAAGAAGTAGATTATCTTGGAAATAGTACGCTTTAGGGGTTATCTCGGGGTAAAAAAGATAAAGGATAAGCGCGGAAGTACTTACCAAACCAGGAACTAATTGTTACTAGTACACGACGAAGGTCATCAGAGGATATCATGGTTTGGTTGACCTCACCTAGTTAACAGGTAGCTCATATCCAAAATAATCGAAGTATATAACATCAGACTTATTTTGAGCGAAGGAAAGAGATGGTAGAATGCTCTTCTAGCATGTCTTCTGATGCGACATAATTATATTTCTACTCATACTCCCTGAATTTCGCATAAATAGGATGAGTTTTCCTAAAAAGTATTTGACGTGTAGTTTCTACATTTTGGGAAAAGATCGTAGTTTAGAAAGAAGATACTTCTTATTAATGCGCTCCCTCAATTCTACAAAGTCAAAAAGATGCCTTACTCCACACTCTATAAGCATGTTAAGGTGCAGCACGGGAAGAGTCTTCTTGTTGGAACTTTGGAAAACTATAACTCCTTAGTGCGCATAAAGTAGTGCACGACACAAAGATGCGAGTTCTGTTGAAAAAGTCGAAGATGCCAAATCTACGACGCCTAAACATTCAAACCAGTATAAATTTGGGCTGCAATTCAAATAAACAGGAATTGTTCGGGACAATCAAGATGACTGAATCCGTGTTAAATCCAATAAGTATATCTCAATACAAACGAGTATTAACCTCCTCTAACAATAACGGTTATGGTGGTGCTAATGTTTTCCGAAACCTGACAACAACAATCGGATCTGGTCACCATGGAACATCTGTATTGAATCGGATAATAATGTCCTTACAATCAGGCTTAGATAGTGAAGTGAGTTGGGCGTTGTCATATATGACACAGGTATCTTGTACAGAACCTCTTTCTATTGAGTTAGAAGTGTTACCTTATTTGGGAACTGAACTTATAAAGTATTTTGTCAAACCCTTTCAATTAATTATCGAAAATAAGGCTAAAGATGTCACCCATAAGCAACTTGCATTGAGTTTAGACTCATTGTTGACTTTAAGAAACTTAGCTCAAGATTTGGGCAATCAACAATGGCTTTCACAGGTTAAAACATTGAAAAAGAGCATTGTTGAAGTGTTGAAGTTCTTTATTCATTGGTTCTACCAACCATATAAACGAGATTTTTGTATGGTTCAATTTGACAATTTATTCAGAGAGGGTTTTGCATACTTGATCGATTTACTAGAACCATTGAGTTGTTATTATATTGATAACTCTAAAACAGATCCATTATTTGCTCAATTATTATTGACTGCGACACTTACTAATGACAAATTTCTCTTGGTGAACATCTTAAACTGCCTATCTCATTTATTGATTATAAAGGATGGTTTTAACAGCTCACCTGAAGAGAATAAAACGGAATACAACGAGACCGAGGATTCTACTCCTAAGGATATTAAAGTACTAAATAATGTCATAGACACCATACAAGAATCACATTTGCAGAAATTTGTCGAATTGCTTTTGGTAAATGACGATGAATTAACTACAGCAGTATTTGGATTTCTCAAGCAATATTTATTATCAGAAGCCCCACATCCACAATATTCTAATTCCATCAAAAAAAGCCAACAAGCAAGATTACGGAAGCTTTTACAACTAAGTTCTACCAAATCTAATTTTTCAATTTTAGCTAAACAATTACCTTTGATATTATTGTCAAGTTTACCCTTAAGCGACCCTAATAACATAAGCAAAATGCCTCCTACTTTCTTGTCTAAGAGATCACAATATATCAGTGTTCCAAACACAGTACCAACCTTACCAGCAGACTTATTCAATGTTATAGTCAGGCTTCCTGAACCTCTTAGAGCTACTACATGGTTAAGATGTTGTTACGAACCAATATACGACTTCAATGTTAAAACAATTGATCCCAATGTTATTCCTGGGGAAGTGACTCAAATTTCTTTGTGGAAAGCGTACGAGAAGCAGTTTGAAGATGTTTGGCAAGATAAGGAGAAGGTGAATCCTGAATGGCTTCCATTATTGCCAGCACTTGAATTTATTCGTAATGTGAATGCTGCGTTCCCTAACTCCGAAGTTATGCAAATTACAGTCGATAGTCCTGGTCAACCTCCCAAAAAGAAATTCATTATCAAAGGTATTCAACCTAGACAATTTGCAGTTGGAATTGATGATGGAAACTATGAAGCATTTAGACATTTTTCAGATTCAACAACCCAGCAAGGTCTTGAAAGTGGTGAAAGTTTACCAGTGGGCCACGTTGACATGCAAAAGTTCAATATAAACTTAAATAAGGTCAATGATTCTTTGGCTGCAAATGGTACCCAGGTCACAGAAAATGATGTTTCACCTTTGAATCAATCTGCGTTTGATTTATTGGATTTAATGATAACCAATGTATTAGAGACTGAAGATAACGTTGAGGATTTAGAGGCAATTTTCAAATTACATAATTCTCACTGGTTGCCAGAACTTATCTATGCTAACCCTTGTCTTGTGGATATTGGCTTGGTCAAGGGATCGTGGTTCAGGTACTTATTGTAAATGTGGCTGTAAAATTGTTTAGATTATGTTGTAATAATAATAGAATAATACTTGTGAATTATTTTAAGATGGCCATTATTACGTAATAAAAAGTAGATGATATTTTGTAACCATCAATTTCTCAGTGCACCACGACATAAATAATCATTTGATTATTTATGACCGAAAAGATAAAATACATCGATCTTATTTGAATAACTCACAAATATTCAAAAATTATGGCTCAACAGAAACTTCCTTTAGGTGTTAGAATCACTGATGTTATTCACAGAACTACAGTCCTCAGTTTGTTTGGTATTTTCGTAGGTACCATTGGAGCTATTGGTTACAACATGTATGTTAACAGTGACTTTGCTAAGATGAACGACAATAAGTTGACTTTCCTGAAGAGTGATTACGACAAGTTACGTGCTCAACACGAGGAGCAACAGCAACTCGCTGAAAATTCTACAGAATCTAAATAATCATCAAGGGTGAAATTTCATTTTCTTCCATTCTCTTGTATATATCAGTTTAAAACAACCGTCTTCACTTTTATTATACTCTTTGCTTTTTAGTTGTAGAAGCACATGACTCACTGCTACTTCGCTTTTTAGTGTCTAACGATTCTTGAGCCCCTGAACCTATTTTTGATTTTGTTTTCTTTGACTTCTTCAAAGATCGCTTAGAGTGAGAAAGATGTTGTGCTTTGAGTTTCTCGTAGCTATCGTTGTTTACTCCCATTAAGTGAGTATCGCTTAGTGGATTTAGCACTACCATATCGTACTCTCGATTGAAAGGTTTCTCACAAAGGGGACAAGGAAAAGTAGGTACGGAATTCTTGTTTGAAAGTTCATTTATAAACGCATATGACATAACACACCCACAAGATCGTAAATAGCATAAACTCTTATTTGTAGTTCCGGTAACTGGACATTCAATTTGAGAAGTAAGTGGATCCCATGAGATTTTTAAATCAACGAGATCTTGAAGACCTTTGATGTGAGCCATATCATTTTTAGCTGGCTTGGTTGTATCACTTTCCAAACTAGTTTCTTTCTTGGTACGAGCTAAAGCTAATAAATACTCAAGTATTTTCTCCTTTAGGTATAATTTCCCTTTATAATCACTAACTATGGGACTTTTGTATAAGGGTTGACAAGATAGAGCGCATATTCCAAATGCTACCTCTTCATTATCTTTGCGGGATTGTTTTTTAACATTATCGTTCTCCTCTCGTACGCTCCTACCTGTGTTCCGCCGCTTTATTATAGTTCCACCATCATTACCCATAATGCCAGTATTCTTATATCTGTGCAACAGTCTTCTATTTATTTCTTTTAAAGTTAGGAGTACGATTTTCAGATGCGCACACAATTTGTCTTTCAATTACAAGTGGAGAAAATAGACCAGCTATAAAACTATGTAACATAGCCTTAAACTACTTGGAATTTGGTCTTTGGTAAGTCAAGAAACCACTCTTGAATCCAACCTTAGTATATAACATTTGGGCTCTATGGTTTTCAAATTGAGTGTGCCAGTAAACTCTGCAAGCACCAAGCTTATCAGCCTCAGCATACACATACTCTATGAGCTTACGACCAACTCCATGTAATCTGCAATCTGCGCTAACAAACAAATCATTTAAATAAACATAGTCTTCAATTGCCCAAGTTGTTCTGTGGGATAAGTAAGTAGCAAACCCAATAACTTTACCAGTTTTGTCGTCGACAGCAACCCCACACCAAACAGGTTCAGATTCATCAAAGAAACGTTCAAAAGTGTTGTTACTTACAGCTTCAGGTAGTTTTGATTTATAGAACTCAAGATAACCTCCAGGACCAGCCCAAAGATGTAACCATACTTCTTTATCCTTCTTTTCAATTGGTCTAATAGTGACTGACATGGTTTAATTGTACAGTAAACACTCAATTACTTGCTAAAGTTAAAGAATACTTCAATAACTACGTCGTATGCAAAAACATGATCATCCTAGCAGTAATAGTAGGGGGTATTTATAGTTAATATATTGTAGAGTCACATTACTGAGCGGCTGGGACTTCCAAATCGAGATGGTCGACCCCGTATTGTGGCCCTTAGCGGGTTTCCTCGAAAATGGATAGTGAACTCTACCCATAGCATATTACAAATCTTTGTGTCACGAAGGGTCTATGAGGTAACAATCCAACCATTCTTGTCCTTATCTACAGCATACCATTTGAAGCAATAAAAACTTTAACATAATGCTAATTACCGAATCAAGTAGCTCTTCCAGCAATTTATACTTTGACACTTTTCTCCTTGTACTGCTCTTCAACAGTCTCCTTTAACCACTTCAAGTGGGGAATGAACACCTTTTCACATTTAATGCTATTAGCTTCCTCATCTCTCTTAATATAGGATAAGTACTCTCCCATATATTCAGACTTATCAATATTTGGAGTATCATCAATTGGAGATCCAACCTTATCGTAAAAGTTTTTACAGATCCCTTGCGTAAAGAACTGTAAAACTCTCAAGTCAAAATCGTACCCCACATTTTTGTAGATTGATCCATACATTCGAATATGCTCTCCAAGAGTCTTATAAACTAAGTCATTGTTATCAGCTAACCACCCAGGGTAAAATTTGGGGTAAGACAAGTGCATGAAAAGAATATCAACACTGTCATCTGTAGTTTCTAAACATTTGATAGGATCATGATGAGCCAAGGCTTTAGACTGAAATTTATTGGTTTCTTTGTTGACATAACCAGTCCACCTAAAACCCTTAGCTGTTTGATAGTAAGATTGATTCATAACATGAGCAGCTGAAATAAATGTCTCTTTATCACCTTCACCAGCTGACCCTTGAGTCATCAATGGATAATAGAACTTAGGCCCAAAAACATTATAATAAAGACATAACAACAACGTTTTTAAATGAGATGTTTTATTGATTAAAAGCATTCCTGTTTCCGAAGTGGGGTTAGGCAAAGTACCTTCAAAATCATGGAAATGAGAATCTTTAAAAGAATATTGGTCGAGTGGTTTAACATCATCTAGACCAAGTCTCTTAGCTTCAGCATGATCGTATTTGGAATATCTGATCTTCTTTTCGTTGACCTTTACACCTGCAATATCAAAAAATTTAGGATTTGTAGTTCTTGCCCACGCATCGGGCCAAAGAATGAGTCCCTTTTCTTTATAAAGAGTCAGAGAAAACAAATAATCAGGATTTCGGGCAGGGAAATTATCAGAATCCAAATACATAACGTTTTCAAACTTAGAGCTAAGCAATGCTAACATCTTGTATTGGTAACCATTGATACCGTAATCAGCTTTTAAGCTTTTTGTTAAATCATAATCAAATATGTTACATCGAGCATTGTACCTGGGAAGAACAGTATTACAAAATTCTTCATCATAATCTTTCTGAGTAGGAATGAATAATTCAATTGGGTATTCAGCACCAGTTGCCCGTAATTGTCTAATAACAAGATATGACAACCAAGAATACTTATCGCCTCCAATGAGCACATACCCATTAGTCTTTTCATAGTCATTCCAGGACTTATCTCTTTTCAAGGCACTACCAAAGGTATCAGCGGATTGCAATATTTTAGGAATTTGCTCATTGACGTATCTTGTGTGGGAGTCCTTCAACTTATTAAATGTATCTTGAGGAATATCAAGAACATTCTCTAAGTATTCTTTTGAAAAAAGAAAATCCTTATCTCCCGCAAACTTTTCATGCGCCTTCCTGTCTTTGTACTGATCTTTTATAGATTCTGCATCAATCTTATAATTATTGAAATCATTGAAGAATATACTAAGATCTTTAACAGATTTAAGGGAGTTACCCTCCTCCTGAGATTTGAAAGGTTCAGCCTTAGAGCCAGGTCCTTGTTCAGCTCCATTACCTTTGACAGAAGGTTGTTTACCTTTAGGATCATCAGTGTAATTGACCTTCTTAAACTCCTCATCTGTAGAGTCTTCCTGATTTGTATCATTTGACGATTCGTTATCTATGTTAGGCTTGGATTCTTGCTTAGAAGTGTCTGCTTTATTTGGTTCTTCCTTGAAAAGACTTTCCATAGCAGGATTCTCTTTGGCTGGGCTTTCATTACTCGAATGTCCGTTAGAAGGTACTTTCTTCGAGGGCTCTTCATTCGTTAAAGCCTTAGAATTGTCAGCTTCTTGTTTGCTTGGTTTTTCATTTGGAACCGGTTCTTGCTTCACTTGCTCAACCTTAGATATTTTGGGGGGAACAACATTAACGTTCTCTTCGCTGCCTGTGTCTGCCATGAACATCAGCATTGGTTTCATCCAACGTGACGCGGTGCCAGATCTGTCACCAAACGAGTACAGTAACTGGATCACCTCCAACACAAAAAGAACGGCCAATACTATTCTTATCTTACTGGAGAAACGTACAGTCATTATGGATACTACTTGTTTGGATGTTCACCAGGACAATCTACCAAGCCTTTGGTGGTGTCCCCTCTATGTAATTTTACTTCCTTCTGAATTTTAAGCAATCAGAGACTGAGATTTCATGCACACAAAATGGATGTAAAAAAATAGGTCAACGCATTAGAAACACACAAGACGACTTGTAATCAAACCATGAACAACCTACTAGAAATTTACCAACATACTTACTTGGGTGCTACCCCAATGTAATTGTTCTTGCCAGTAATTAGAGCTGACTGTTTTTATTCTAGAATTTGTAGTTACGGAATTAAAGTTTTCGCTGGTATTTTACTACTTTTTTTGAGTTACCAAAATAGTAAAATTGATTAGCCATGGAATAAAGCTTGATTTGAAACCGCTAAAGAGCATCGAGTATAAGTAAGGACACTTGATATGTACAATAGTGTTGCGTGAAGACACAAAATTCAAAAAAAGAGTCTAAAGCAGTGCACCGTACTCTTGACATCAGCATTCCATAATAATTGATGAGAATTGATGAGACAATGTTCCATATATCACAGATCAGAAACTGAATATACTCTCCACGACTTTGAGGTGTATTATATAACTTGCTCCGCTTCTTTAATGCCTTCATCTAAAGTTAACCCTAGACCAAATGAGTATCGTGAATATTTTATTGGTTTCAGTTACATTAGCAAACACAGGATTTAGACCTGATGAATTGAAACAGCTTTCGCAGAATAATCGAATCTTTGTAATGATTTTGCCATTAACGAGAGTTCATAATATTGTTAATATAGTTCTGTCAATATTTTATTATCGGACTTTACAGAAAGCCAATTCTTTGTCAAGCACGGAATAATTGTAATCAAAGCCATTTTAAAGGTCGTACAGAAATCTTATACTCTGTTGAGTAAATCGCGCTATAGAACTCCAGTTTTTCGCCGAACTTGTTAGAAATGTCCACTCCTTGTTAACATTTTTGTTAGTACTTCCTTAAGATTCGAACCCAATATTTAATAATTGGATAGCTTCTATTGAATAAGCCATATTTGTAGTTGGAATAAGGATAGTCTCTAAAATCGTGGAAATGATGTAGCATTTATGGAAGCCTCGGTTTTCTCCGTATGTACTATACGGCTTTGTACCAATTATTTCTCTCTTATCTCATTTCTTATCGGTTTTAACCTTATTAATACGGCCAAGCAGTCGTGTACATGCCATTTTTCGAAATGCTCTCTGAGATTGGCGAGATGCATTGTGAATGAACAGCATCCAGAACAATTGATGGAGTTGACCGACGAAGCTTCCTGTAATAAGCGATCAATCCGTTAAGAGAGGCCCTTCGTTTTTAGTACAAACTGTTAAAGCCGAAGAAGAGCCTTATATAACCTTTTAACTGACGAACTTGCTGAGTTTTATAGGCCCAAGTTTACATCTTATTCCTGGGAAAGATCATTTCTTCTTTGCATTCTTTTCACTCGAGCATAAGAACCTGAATCTTTATCACAATCCATACATAAAGAATGTTGCATAACGAAGTGCCTTTGGCCCGTAGGTTGGTACAGGTTGGTGCTGCCATCTTCTGGTGTTTACTCTCAGGTGGTCCTATTTTTGGATTTGCTGCTTTGAAGCCGGTCTTAATCAATGAAGGTATTTACGAAGACATATGCTACGCAGCAAACTCAACAATGACCGATAACTCAATTTCATCATTTGGCTCTATTGACTACCTTACTACCTTGACACTGAAGGTTGCCGGGTCAGTAATTGGCGTTGAAGGAGCTTCCACTGCCGCATGTACTGCTCAAGATTTGAAATTAAATATGATGTTCACTGTGGGTGCTGTTACTACTAATATTTCAGCTTTAGTCATCGGTAGAATTTTGGATGTGAAGGGTCCAAGAGTTTGTTGTCTCATTGGGTCGTTTTTTTTGTATATTGCATGTGCTGTTTTCATCTTTGCAAAGCAATTATCTCCATACTTTGACCCTTACTTAGTAGGTTATGGTGCTATGGCTTTGGGCGGTCCCTTCTGTTACATGTCTTCTTTTAATTTGTCAAATGCATTTCCTCAATATTCTGGTTCCATTTTAGCTTTAATCACTGGTGCCTTTGATGCGTCTTCAGCAGTTTTCTTGATTTATAAACTCATTTACGTCAAACTGCAAACATGGTTTACATTAGATAAGTTTTTTAAGGCTTATTTATTTGTTCCCACGTTTATTACCCTTTGCCAATTTTTTATCATGTACGGTGATTCGTATAAGGCCGAAGGCTCATTATGTGATGATGCGGGCGAAGACACCGATAATGCTATTGTTAGCACTCCCAATACTATTGCCGAAGTTCTTGACGAAAATACCCATTTAGTTCCTTCAACTTCCCATAAGGGCAGAAGAGATTCCATGGGTGATGCTATTTTAACTCATTATGCCAGTGAAGGCGAAGCTCAATTGATTAAACAAACCGGTGGTATCTTTGGTGTATTACATGGATATTCTGCCTCTTATCAAATCAAGACTCCTTGGTTTGCTCTTATGGCCTTCTATGTTATCTTGCAAATGTTAAGATTGAATTATTTTGTTGCCACTATCCACTCTCAATATGTTTATTTATTCAACTCCATCAAGAAGGCAGATAAAATTAACAAGTACTTTGATATTATGTTGCCATTAGGTGGTGTTATATCCGTTCCATTTGTTGGAATGTTGTTGGATAATTTTAGCACTGAGTTTGTTCTTTTTACTTTGATGGGATCGTCCGTCTTCCTTGGTGTTTGTGGATTGTTAAGACAATGCGTTATCGGGTATATTAACGTCAGTTTATTTGTTGTCTTCAGACCATTGTTCTACACAGTCGTTTCTGATTTCTGCGCTAAGGTGTTTGGGTTCGAAACCTTTGGAACTGTTTATGGTTTAATGATGACTACTTCTGGTGTCTTCAACTACTACCAATCATACTTGGATAAGTTGACTCACACAACTTTTCAAATGAATCCAATTCCAATTAACTTGGTTTTAACGTTGGCAACAGTTGTTTTCGGTGGGTCGTTGTTGGCATTTGTTGTAACACAGATAAAGAAGAGACAAGATGTGGTTAAAGATGGTCATCACCACCATCACCACGAATTATAGGAAGCTGAAGCCTCCACAATTGATATGCAAGAATACTAGCTGCGTAATCATATTTAGGAACAATACAACGTTCTCATCCGTGATATTTAGATACATAATTATATTCTTAGATGACACATTTTTAAATAGTGAAAAGAGTTACTTTATTTAAGATTCATTGACCCGTTCGTTTGGCTTTTTTTTGTAGGATTCTCACTTGGCAGCTTTTGGTTTAATTTGCGTGTGAGTTCTCAATCAAGATGGGTTACCCGCACCCAAACACAAATCACTTTTTATGCCAAGAAAGGTGTTAGAAGAAGGCGAGAAAATTTCAATACTGGTGTGTACGAATATGTAATATCCAAAGAAGATAATAGGTAACTGCAGCTTTTCACTTCTTGTCAACCGGAAAAACCTACCTTCCTTACGCTCATTAGAGTCGAAAAAGCATTTAGGTTAGGTGGCCAGCGTAATCAATTTTTACCGTAAGAAGGAACCCAGTCAAATATAAGTTTGAACTTCTTGAGCACGGCGGCACTCCGATTAAAAAAAACCGACGCCAAAATTTTTGGCCATGTTTAAACGTACGGCTGTAAAAAGCAAAGCGATTCTAAGCAGATTGTAAAAATATGGAAAATGGGGCTGGTGTAGACCCCAGGATACCATGTCAACTATAAATAGCCGATTATCCGTTGCTGAATCCTTGTATTTGATGTAGTTTTGGTACCAAGATATCGGGCAAAGATGTTGGGTTGAAACCCGGGGATTGGGCGGTCGGCAAATTAAATCCTGTTGTAATAGAGATGCACAAACATTCCACCTGCCGACATTGTTATATTTCTCAGCCGAAGCCTCACAAATCAAAACAATTTTGTTTCACTATTTAATAGCACCTAATGTCCAGATCAGGTCACCAACTACTTTAGACATAATACTACAACTTAAGAATAGACCCATTCTTCACATATTTTCCTCTCTATGAAATAGATAGTAAAATTGCTAAAGGCATGGTCTTAAGAATTGGTGAGCATACGGCTATCAACGACCCCCTATATTTTACTTTCCCCCATTATCATTTGAAATTATATTTTTCCATACCAAACTCATACTCACCAATGATTTGTAGCCAATTGTGAATGAGCCCCAACTAACTCATTCAAACAATAGAAGAAATTGAATTAATCATTTATTCTACTCTCTATTAAAACCTATGCGTCTGTAGCGCATTCTGGTCTAAGTGAGGATCTCAAGCCACATGGGCTTTTCTCGCTGTTTGAGTCAAGTTTGCCGATTGATTTCTGTGGTTGCTGTTTTAAGACATCGCACACAAGTTTCATTTTGTAGTCAAGTTAATTCCCTCGTACTATATTCTATTTCGATATTATCTTTTTTCTTCACCATATTGATATCATTTATTGGTGCAATCAGTTAGGTGATCCTCTGGATTGGTACCGTATAATTTCAAATCAAGTTTCCTCTCATACTATTAAACCAGAAGGTGACTTTCATAGTGGAATCGCACAGTATCTTATCGATCCTTCTTTTCCCTTTGAATGCTATTCGCTCTGATCAGTAGCTAAGAAACTTACCAGCACACTCCTATTAAATTAGATACATTTAAACTATGTCTATTAGTTCAGTATCCAATGCAGCCCCATCTGGAATTGCACCGACCATTGCAATAGACAATGACTCAGCCCGTGAGGTTAAGGATGCAGCTGGAGACAACGCTATTGCGGATGAGAATGGCTACTTGGAGAAACACCAACATGATCATGAGGATATTGACGTCTTAGATATGCTTAGAAAAAGGCAGTCAGATTCCTATAGAGATTTAGTTTTACAGATTCCGGCTCGTTTCAATCCCGTGCGTAAGAATTACCGCAAGAGAGTATCCTTTGATACAGTAAACTTGGAATATGATAATGATGCGGATCTCGAAAATCCAACTGAAAGCAGATTACTTGAAGAACTTGCCCAAGAGGAGGCCAAAAGAAGATCTCGATTTGATAATTTGAATGGCTACATGTTTGAATTAGAAAGAGGAAGAGACAGGTCTCTTTCTCCCAATAGAGCTGCGAGCTCTTACGGTAATTCTCCAAATGCAACTTCTCCCCTGCGATTGCTATCTCCTACATTGTCGCCTACTAGAGGTATGGTGGTGAGGTCTCCTCGTGGTAGTGTATTTGGAAGAAATAGCTTGTATCCCACTACACCTATTATAACACAACCAAGTTGTATTCTTACCAAGACTCATAAGGATTTTGATGCTTTGTATAAGGGGAAACTTCCAGGTATGAAACCAGCATTGCCGGGTAGAGTGATCATGGTATACATTAGTGGAAGAAAGCATACATGGGTAGCTCTTGATTGGGTTCTACGAAACTTCGTTGAAAATGGTGATACTGTGGTGATTGTTGGTGTTCTAGGTTCGGTATTGCAAAATCTGATTAGAAACAGAGGATTATTACCAGGGAAAATTATTGCCCAAACCCCAAAAATGAGGTATAAACTCAGAAGCCATCCACAATATACCAAAATTATAACCAGAAACATTTTAAATTATGCCTTTCAAATTCTTAATCCTCACGCAATTGTTCGTGTTATGGCGGACATGACTGCCGGTAAGACGAAAGAAGTTTTGAAGGCAATGTATCTGTTATATACTCCTAATATTGTTGTGACTGGAGGTAAGATATCGACTACCGTGGGAGCTCCTTTGAGATCATGGACATCATCAAAATTAACCGATCGTTTGGTTAAGAATTTCCCACTTCCCGTCATTGTGGTCCCTGCTTTGACAATGGGATATTTTGAAGAGAATTTAAAGAAAGAGTTGGAGTCTAGAGACTTTAATGAACAAGATGAAGAAAAGGCTCAAATACCTAGGAAAAAGTCTGTCAAGAAACTGATAACTGACAGTCAAGGAAACCTATTACCTTGCATAAGGCCCGAGTCTTCGTCAGTCAACGATTGTAATGAGAAAGATGATAATGACCAGAATTCATACAGTAGTTCATCCTCAAGTGACGACGAAGAGGCAAATGGGAGCATTGACGATAACAGTAGCCTTTATGATGGTAGATTATTGCCTAGGCTGGATGAGGATGCATTATCAAAACATTTACAAGCCAAAGTTAGCCAATGCGCACATTCTATAAACGGCGACGATTCAAGGAGTGGGAAAAGTATTACTTCAAGATCCAAGAGAAGTAGTTTTTCATCAAGATCCAAGAGAAGCAGCATGTCATCAAGATCAAGGAAAGGAGAAAATTCCAGTGCGTTTTCTCAGTCAGAATCAGAATCAGAATCAGAGCCAGAATCGGACGATTCCGGATATTCTGATCGTAGTTCGATAGCATCAAGTGGCAGTTATGATTCTTTCAAAGTAATTTCAGATCTTTATCTTGATTATAAGGATGACATCAACGAGGTCCTTCATAAAACTGAGCAAAAACCTTTAACCGCAGACACACTCATCACACAAATAAAAGCCATATCAGATATGTCAGCACAGCTTTGTCGAGAATTCAAAGAAGTAAACCCTTCATTTTCCGGTAAAGGTTCTAAATTAGCAAGAGAAATAACAGGTTCAAATAAGTTTGGTGAAGTTCCATTTAAGACAAAGTCTTTACTTGAACCTGTTCAACCCAAACCAAAATTGGTAAACAGTACCACTACACCAGCTTACTCATTCAAAGAATTACAGAGGAAAATGAAACAACAGCAGCAATTTGATCAACTGCAAGTGTCTCCTCCACCAGAACCAAGCACTTCTTTAACAAAGAAGATGTCCCCACCACAAATCACCATTTCGGAGGTATCGCCCGTTAGATCACCATCACCAAAAACAGCTGCACCTAAGGCAGGTTCTTTGAAATTTGCCGATTCGGTTTCATCAACTAGACCCAGAAAGTCTATCTATTCTACAACATCGAAATTAACAAAGGCATTATCGCATGAAATTGACACAGACAACAGGTTTACACTTGAACCCTCAAAGTCGCATCCTGATTTGACAGTTGTACACAATCAAAGTGTATCCCCAGATAAGGAGAAGAAAAAGAAGAAGAGATTGTTGAAGTTTTGGAAATAGAACATTATGTAGAAAATCACTTAACTTAGACAGCTATATATTCAGTTTTCAACATTCTCATGTAACTGATCCAAGTTTTGAGACCGAAAATTATCCTCGTTGGAAGTTTTCAAGAACATATATAATTGGAGATATCAAATTCTTCATAAGCAAACGTTTCCATCCACTAATTGCCACCTACAATGGGCTATAAAAATCTACTATGGGGTATACTATTGCAAATTGCAGTAGTTGCATGCTTTCAAAAGTACGATATGGTACAACTGTATGATATTCTTGGAAGCATTGATCACAGAGTAACTAATCTAGGAGATAACCTCATTAACAATGCACAAGGGTTGGGAGACTTCATTCCAATTAATTCTACTATTAAACAAGGTAGTATAGAGTTTTTCCTGTTTGATGTCAATTTGACTACTGGTGTGGGTGAATTCTATGAACTTTTAGTCTTCGTCACTGGAAATATTTGCCGGCAACCACCAGGTTTAACCGAAGATGATCCTTCATTACTGGTATATTATTCTTTCAATTATTCTATGATAAATGATCTATCCGTAGCAAAGAGATCAGAATTTAATTATGGATATGTTGAGATGTTGGCAGATCTTCCCTACACATCTGCGCAAAATACCCTGACACTTTATTTGGCAGTCCAAGCCCCAGAAAATACCAACTCATCTGCAACGTGGAAATATGAATTGGGTGCTTCACAAAATGGTCTTGTATTCCAATGGGATGAACGAGATTGGAGCTGTTTAGTTGATGCAGACGATAAATCAGCGTTGATAGTTACTGGGAACTTGACAGGGATTGTGGATTCAAACAAACCGGACGAGTCCCTTTTCTCTGTTTATTTATTTCCTGAAAGTATTCAGGAGGAGCTCAGATTGCTTAATCGAAGTAGATGTGCCGTGTTATCGAGCGACGCTTTACAGATCCCCAATGCTTTTACTTCTAGTTATACCAATAGAACTGGAATGCTTCAAGAGCAGTTTTTTGTGGATGGTCTTAACGACTCTACAACATATGTTGCCTATGTGATTTCGAATTTCGCAACAAACAGTACCGGAGGCGCCTTATATAAGCCATTTGCATTTGAAACCATGTCTCAAGGCTCTTGTGAGTTAATCTACGATTTAGATTTTTGTCTGCAAGTAGCATACAGTGTTGCTTCAAATTCCACTCTCAATGCTACTGGAACTAAGCAATTGTATGATATTTATGCTCAAAATTTGTACACTAACTTTTCCAAAGCACTTCAACAGGTGGCATGCAATACAACAAGTACTTCAGTATTTTCTCCAGTTCGTACATGCGAAGACTGTGCTGAAAGTTATAAGAATTGGCTCTGTTCCATAGCCATACCGAGATGTACAACAGTGAATCATACAGAATATATGCTCCGCGAAGCTGGCACAGGTAGAAATTCATTTATCAAGGATACAGTGGTACCCGAGACGGACTACTATGAAATATTACCTTGTTTGTCCATGTGTTATAGTATGGTTCGTGATTGTCCCGCTGTCTTTGGGTTCGGATGTCCATCTGGTAATAGTACAATTGCATTGTCATACGGTTGGGATTCTAGCGATGATTATCCAACTTGCAACAGCGTGGGAAAACTTACAAGTATGGCACAAGGGCACATGTCAGTGAATTGGGTATCAATGATAGTGATGTTTGCAGTATTGGGTTTAGTTTTATAAACATAGTTATATAGGTATATGGATTTAAGTAATACACTGCATGGAATTTTTAAACTCACGCGTCTTTGAAAAATATAGTTAAAGAATTGAAAGTTACCAAGGTGGTTTATCCCTACAACGGTCATAACTGATCCACCATAAACATGACAGCAGACATACAAAAGAGTTTACCTTGGTATGTTCTTTGAATCATATATATATATAATGAAATTGATCCACGTACTAACGTTTAATATAGGATTGAAAAGTATCGTCCCGATTCTCTTAATGAGGTGTATGGACAAGATGAGATTGTCACCACCGTAAGGAAGTTTGCTCATGAAGGTAGATTACCTCATTTACTCTTCTATGGCCCTCCTGGTACTGGGAAGACGTCTACAATCATAGCTTTGGCCAAGGAGATTTATGGGCCTAACTACAAAAATATGGTATTAGAATTGAATGCTTCTGATGATAGAGGTATTGATGTAGTTAGAAATCAAATCAAAGAATTTGCAAGCACCATGCAAATCTTTAGTAAGGGATTTAAATTAATTATATTGGACGAAGCCGATGCTATGACCAGTGCAGCTCAGAATTCATTAAGACGGATCATAGAAAAATATACAAAGAATACTAGGTTTTGTATCCTTGCAAATTATGCTCATAAATTGAATCCAGCATTATTATCAAGATGCACCAGATTTAGATTCCAACCTATCAATGAAGGGGCTATTAAGGAAAGAATCAAGAATGTGATTATTAAGGAAGAATTACATTTAAGCTCAACCGCTGAAGATGCATTATTAAAATTATCAAAGGGTGACATGAGACGAGCTTTGAACGTATTACAGGCATGTAAAGCTGGACTTTCTGATCCCCAGGACGATATTGATGAGGATATGATATATGAATGCATAGGGGCTCCTCACCCTAAAGATGTCAAATCAGTGTTTCATTCAATTCTCCGAGATGATTGGACTACAGCATATTTGACAATTTCAAAGTTCAGAAATACAAAAGGTCTTGCATTAATTGACCTTATAGCTGGTTTTGTTGAGTTGCTAAACAATTACAAGTTAAATCCTTCTACCAAAATAGCCATATTGAAAGGCCTCAGTGAAATTGAATATGCTATTTCCAAAGGTGGGAATACAAAAGTTCAATCCAGTGCAATAATAGCTACTATCAGGCAAGCTATTGAACTTCAAACAGAAATTCATAAACCCATAGAGGAACCTCTTTGAAACATAATGCAATCCCGACTGCACAGAATACAATCACAAAACGAATTTTGTTGGTATTCTCAAGCCTCAAAATCTCCAAAACTATGTAGACAATACACTGATAATTAAGCATATCATCATTTTACTGATTTAGAACACTGTTTCCTTTCACTGCAAAACAAATCCAATATTTTTTTCTCGTGGTATTCATTCCAGGTTCACATAATTTTATAGACTAGGAGCCAAGTTTATTCCAAATTACTTCACAAACTAAGTGGGTGAAACAAGGCAAACATGGAATCTAATGAGGTAGTCATAGCATCATATTTGTACAAGCGCTCGAAGAAAACTCACCAATGGAAGAGCAGATGGGTTGTATTACGTCAACTTCAGCTCAGTTACTATAAGGATTCAAGCGAACATAAACCATTGAAGGTAATTCCCATTAAGAATTTGCTTTCAACGAGTGAAGTTCAAGACAGTCAAAGATTCAGATTCGCAATATATACCAATAACAAGGTGATACATTTTAAATGCGAAAGCGAGAAAGAGCTACGTAAATGGATGGAATGTTTACGGGAGTTAATTGACGAGCATGATGACACCAAGCATATGATTAAAGAAGTTGAAAGATTACATATGGAATCAGAAGGACCCATTTCCCCCACAGTATTACCTCACTCACGACAAAATCAACCGAATGGAAATTTACCTGAAATTGTACCGCCGCCGCTATCTGGAGATCAGAGTGATGGCGAAGAGTCATCCTTTTATAGTAGTGAAATCAGTGATTCGGGCTTTGCTCCCAATACTTCTATAACGCACATCCCACCGCCTCCTACGATCCAAGAATTACAAGAGGAAGAAGAAAGAGAAGAGAAGTTAGATTCTCAACGAAGTCAATTGGAAGTAAAAGATAATGAAGCCAATGAATCAGTACGATTATCGGAACATGATGAATACATTGTGGAGCAAGGTTATTTACTAAGGTTAAAAAAGAGATTTATGCAATGGAAAAAGTACTACTTAGTACTTACTAATAAAACACTTTATTTCTACAATTCGAAGCAAAGTGCACTTCTGAAGAATATATTACCTTATAAAACGATATCATGTGACCATATTGTGGATGTTATCGATGTTGATCCATTATCTAGGTCAAAAGTTTGGTGTTTGCTTATTATCACTCCCACAAAAAGAATACGATTCTGTGCATCCTCTGAAGAGGAGGTTGAAAAATGGTTTGCTGCGCTTCAGGCTGTCATATTGAGCAACAAAAAGACAGATTAAACGTAGCAGGATTCGATAAACAGATAGTAGAATGCACTGGATAATTTCTTGATGAGCAGATCAATATGTTCAATTAGAATGATTATCAGATGAATTTGGAATTGGGTAATGAGCACGAATTATCTTTGCGAGCTGGAAAAATAGTACAAATCACAACAGACTAGCTCCTTAATAGATTTGAACCCGTCGAAATTAGATAAGTAGGATATTATGCAAAGTATACTTAAGTAGTACCACCAGGGCGAAGTTTGCAAAATGGGCAAAAAGAATAAGAAGAATAAGAAGAACATTAATAATTCTAGTAATAATAATAATCATAATGGTAGTTGTGATATGACGCAGCTCATGAGAACAAAAGTGGTTGATAGATTAGTAGACATCTTCCCACAATATACCCGTAAGCAAATCGAGCACAGAGTGTCTAGTTTCCCCGTTGATGGTAATGAAGATAAGCTTGAGGGCACGATAGATCGACTAATTGATTTGATTGTGAGTGGTAAGTGTATAACAGAACCTGAGCTTAAAGCAACGGAAATCAATACGTCTCCTAATCTAACACCCGATGAACAAATACTTGTTGAAATGTTTCCCCTGTACAAACCTTGGATTTTACAGTTAGCATTGTGTCAACATAATGGGATATTGATTGATTGTGTTGATGATTTAACCAACAACGAGGATAAGTGGCTACAAGTTCAAAAGGAAGCTGAACAAGCAACCCCCACAGCAGATACAAATAACCCTTGGAAGTCACCAAAAATTGGGAGATTTTGTTATTTCACTAATCTGAGTAAGGCCGAAGCCCAATCATATCTTCATAAAAATAATAATAGTCTTCTGAGAGCTTTGGTGGATTTTATTTTGAATCATGAGAATGTTAAACAAACAGTATCAATCGATATTCCCGCTCTGATACCTTCCGGCGGGCGTGTACAAAGAGGCAATCAAGGAACTATAATGAAATCAAGCACTGCAGTTATGAACTCGAATTGTACTACAGCGATACAGAAATATGTTTATGATAAAGAATCACCTGAAGCCCAAGAGCTTGACTTGATATATCTAGGAACACCCCAGTTTCGCAATAAAATCAGTCACAACTTCGTTAAAAGATCATTGGAATTTTGCGAAGGTGCTACGGATAAAGTTTTGGAAATGATGTTAGAGGTGGCGACTGTTGATGTTGAAGAAACAACACAGTCAAAACTTAGTCCAATACTTGGTGAGATCACCTTTAGTTCTGAAAGCCAAGATATAACCAAGCTGGAATCTAGCAATGAATGGCATTCATATTCATCTAGAGTGTCAACGACCAATAATACTCTTAGTGTTGCAGAAGCCAATGATAGAGCATTTTTATTGCGAAGAAAACTCCAGTCTGTTAACACTAACAACCTTCGAAAATCTGGGGTTACTGGGTATTATACTGAAAGAGTTCTTGAAGCACAAAGTCAAGTACGCGCGGCTATTAATGAGGACCAAAATATGAAAGTGAATAGAATAGTGGACAAGGCCCAGAATACCAACACTCTTGATTTACATGGATTGGATATTACTCATGCCATTCACACAACGCAAGCTGCATTAAGCGAATGGTGGAACGGAGAATTAGAAGCAAGAGATCTTAAGGGAATTCATCACGTGAAGGGTAAGGCTAGACACGCGCAACCGTATATTGTAATCACAGGTCGAGGGCTACATCTGAAAGGAGGCGTTCTGGTTCTCAAAAGAGCCATTCAAAGATTTTTGGACTCTAACAGTTACCAGTATCAAGAGGGCCTGCTGCTGTTTTCAGTAATTGGTAAAAGTTGAAAAAGTACCTACCCAGTATTAATGTGGTGCATATTCAGTATGGTTTTTTCTTTGTCGGGTTATCTTTATTTAGGGGTTTCGGTGTTTGAGCAAAGAATTGAGTTGGCCACAACTATTAAAGCTTTTGCAGTATGTGCTCCTGTTGAAACTCAGTCACCTCAAATTCGAGTTTGTACTTTGGATTCATCAATGACTATTGGTGATTAGTGATTTAATTTAATGTCGAGTAAATCCAATTCTTAGCGTATTAGCAGACTACTGATAATTGCTGTAATTGGTATTTTTACAGATAATAGGAGTATCATCAAATTGTACAGACTCTTAATTAATATTTACTGACCTTATCAAGATACCTTTGGTCAAACCTATGAAGGATATGTATTCTGTATTGTTTTGGTTGGATTATTGTATATAAGCAGTGTAGTTTATTTACATAGGTAGTGAGGTGATTGTATTATAAATTACGCTCCAACGATCTCTCAATCATTAAGTGCAGACCAAATGTATTTTTTATTTCATGCACTTCTGAGCAACCGTACAGCGGCTCCACCTCTAAGCGTGCGACCACCGTTTAAGGCGTACTATGGGCGCATAACTCTTTACTGAGGGAGGTCTTCAGCGTTTGTGCCACCTCTATTGTTCAAACATATGGTGTGTCGCGGATTACCTATCATGACGTTGTAGGGTGCTTCGAGAACATTTGAAACGAGGATATTAGTATATGGAACCACCATATAATTTTTGTTGCGTCTAGCCTACGCGTTGAGAATTTTGCTGTTTTCGCATTTTCGACGCGCATCTGACATGGCTGCAATAGGCTATCCTTACCAGGACCTTCATATAGTGTATACGCAGGGACAACATAACAGAATTATTGAAGCGAGACTAGTCTTTACCACAACCACTCCGTACTACCTGGCTTAGACCATCTATTGTTAGTATAGGCTAAATTATGCCACATTTAACTCTTGGTATCTGAGAATTGTAGATTAGATTAGCAGAATAGTAAGTTATGGCGATACTCGATTTATGGATCACGAATCTGAGTTTGCTTCGGGTTAGTAGAATGAGAACGTCTTCTGTCAACTTTATATAATTCATTAGTATCAATGAGTAGATTCAAATGTAGGCTTGCGTGTATGTTGTTATTACAAACATTCAAACAGCAACCATTATGGCCGAATGCCTACTGACCAATCACTTATCATTTATCTATCTAGCTTTTAAAAATCTAACCATCCCTTGTTGACGGGTATGGGGTTTTGTTATGTTTTACTTTGTATTATGTTGCACGTTTGTGCACCTTTTTTTCTGTGAATTTTTTTGTTGCCCATTTTTGGCCTTTTCTTTCATTGCAATAGTTCAAGGTACTAAAAACAACATATTCTAGATACTATTGCTGTAACTCTTGTGCTTCTTATTGGCTTTCAAACTTACCTTCACTCCACTAATTAAACTGCGTTGAGTTTATACCTTATAATATTCTTTAGATAAACCATTCAAGAGGCTCTTGTTCAATTCCTCAGATTCCTTAAAAGGGGTCTTGCTCACCTATACTATCATGTCCCAAAAATTGCAAGAAACCCCAATACTTAAACCAGTCAACCAAGGAGCTGACTTGGTTTTAAATCCTATGGCTGAATTGGAACCAGAGACTAGTCCTGGTACTTCCTTTGCTAGGATGTTAACTGCTGTTAGTAACTCCGTATCAAAGAGTATTAATCAGCTGTCTCATTCTTTGAATTCACAAGAAAATTCACCTTCTTTGGTTCCAAATAATTTAGAAGAGGAAACAGTTCATGCTTTTTCGTCCTCCCCAAAACTTGGTTTGGCATCCCCTTTAGGACACTCTTCTTCAAGAGTAGAAAGCCTGGCTCAAAGTCTTCACGAAGTAGAACTTCACAATGGTGTCCTCCCTACATTTGATAGTGATTTACACACTCGTAATCACTTGCTGTCAGCACAATCAACCGATACTTCACCTTCAAATCCAGCCACTTCAAATACTACGGAAGAAACTAGTAATTCTCCTACCTCGCCATCTTCGTTTCTTAAAGTGGTTCCTCCAATGCCTGTCAATTTGGACACAACTGGTGAACGACTGGATACTATGACTTCGCTTGATATGCTTACAGAAGATCCTATTCCTGCTTCAGATTTGGAAACTACGGAGCAAACGCCAGATCATGATCTCCAATGTGTACATCGTGAAGAGACTCCCCTTGCAAGTGCTGTCAAGGGTGAAGACTCAGTTGAAGATAATGCTGATGGCTCATTACCAAGAATGCCAGGATCTTTTGATGTTAAGGGTTTGAAAGAAGATGCAAATGAATATGCACAATTGAAAGAATCATTAAGTAAGAACGAAACCCAGGAATCCCTCGTGTTATCAAGTCCCAAATTTACTCCACCGATGGCACAACAAGATTTCAAGTCCATACTTGACCCTGGTAGCAAGAAAGGATCAGTAGTGTCACTTCTTGAGACTAAAAGCAATAAAAGTACTGCTTCCCTGAGGGTGGACGATAAGAATGTGAAAGCAGATATTAATACTAAATTGGATTCTCCAAGCCTTGTTCTGGTAACTGGTGAAGAGCGAATCGTTGACAATACCGCTGAATCAAGCCAACCAACTAAGGTAGTTGGGCCTGAAATTGAAAATAAAAACATACAGCTGGATTCATCGAATTTGGACTTGCCTAATCTCTCGCAAGCTTCTGTTATTAGCTCTTCGTCCAATATCAACACAAATAATAATGCAGATACTTCTACAGCTTCTGACAGCACTGCAATCATTAAACCAAAGTCAAAGGAAGACCGTTCCGCTAATTCGAGCTCGATTGCACAAAAGGGACCTCCATTGGGTTTCAGTATGTCTTCGACAGCAGCAAATTCACCTAAATTAGTGCCAACTTCTTCTCCAGGGAAGTCGACGGTTACGACTCAAAGTCTGAAGGGTACACCTGTTTTTGCCTCTAATGCAAAGGTGTCACCTGCGTTAAGTTCATCCCAAAAATTCACAACTACACCTATAACTGCTTCTACTAGAGAAAACTTCCTTATTGGTGTTCATAACCCAAGCAAGGGTAATCAATCTAATGCAAGTATTAATGGTAAGAAGCGTAAGAGTGGTAACAGAGTCAGAGGTGTATTGAATCAAATGTTTGGTAAATCGAAAATACTTTCTGCCACACCAACATCCGAAGTTTCTTCCATTAATATGAAAATTAGTACTCCCTTTAATGCGAAGCATGTTGCACATGTTGGTGTCGATGATGATGGCTCATACACTGGGTTGCCAATGGAGTGGGAGAGATTACTTTCTGCGAGCGGAATATCGAAAACAGAGCAGCAACAGCATCCTCAAGCAGTAATGGATATTGTCGCATTTTATCAGGATTCGAATGAAAATCCTGATGATGCAGCCTTGCGAAAGTTCACTTACGACCAGCCTGATTTCCAATCCACATCCTCATCACCTAACACGCCAACTACACCTCAAACTGAGTCGTTTCAATTTGACGAAGAGAATGGAAATAGTACGTGGACGCAAACACCTACTCAACATTATCAAGGAAAACCACAATCTCCAAGTCCCTCCCAGGCTAGATCACCATTTACAGGAAGTGGAAATGAGAACCTATTCATTCCTAGTAGACCAGCTCCTAAACCTCCAAGTCAAACGTCCACGCCATTACATGGCACATCTCAGAATCCAGATCAAATTACAGACTCTGTATCCAATAGAAATTCATTGACCTCACCCTCAAAGGTTCATGCATTTGGTAGATCTATTTCATCCAAGTCCATCAAGAACTTGAGAGCTTCCCGGAAGTATTCCGACGCTAAAGCTGCTATCCCAATTCCTTCTGCTCCTTTGCCAATTATTCAGCCTAATGGGGAAATCCAATCGGCATCATTGTCAGGTACGTCTCTGGGCCTTCCTAAGTCTAAATCACACAGTTATTCTTTAAATAAGCAAGTTGCACCTACACCACAAAAGGGATCAACTACTGCTCCCTTGCAGCAGATTCCAAAGTTCAATGACTCTACTTCTGCTCCTTGCCTGGCTCAAAGTAACTCTAATCTTACTTATCCCAAGCAACGATCCGATAAATTTGATTTCAAGAGCCATCGGCCTCCACCCCCACCACCAAGTTCACAAAGGTTTCCTCTACCTCCACCTCCACCACCACCTCCATTGCAGCAGCCACCAGTACCTCCACCAGTATCGAAGGCTCCGTCGAATGGATCAGACTTTGATAATCTTGCATACAACTCTAAGAAACTGGCACCTCAAAGTTTCCAACAAACTGATGATGATTTGACTATCCCTCCAAGAGTTGACAGAACATTACCAAGTAAGCAAGTTCAACAGCAAAAGCAAGAGCAATCGCTTTCACAATCTCAACAACAGCAACAACCAAATGGTGAAAGAAAGAAGGTTACTACACAACAGCCTGTTAGAGATGCTAAACAAGCTGCTATTTTGCAAGCCAAGAAAAGAGAAGAAAAGAAGAGGAAGAACCAGCAAATTATTGCGAAGTTGAAGAGCATATGTAGCGAAGGGGATCCAACAAAGATGTATACCAATTTAACGAAAATTGGACAAGGTGCATCCGGTGGTGTTTATATTGGGCATGATATCAATAATCAATCAAGCACTGTGGCGATTAAGCAAATGAACTTAGAACAGCAACCAAAGAAGGAATTAATTATTAATGAAATTTTGGTTATGAAAGGTAGCAGACATCCTAATATTGTCAATTACATAGATTCCTACTTGATGGGTGGGGATTTATGGGTTATTATGGAATATATGGAAGGTGGATCTTTAACCGAGATTGTTACTCATTCTGTTATGACTGAAGGACAAATTGGTGCAGTTTGTCGGGAAACATTAAAGGGCTTGCAATTTTTGCATCTGAAAGGGGTTATCCATCGTGATATCAAGTCGGATAATATCTTACTTGATATGGGAGGGAATATTAAAATGACTGATTTTGGTTTCTGTGCTCAAATTAACGAGATTATTTTGAAGAGGACAACTATGGTTGGTACACCATATTGGATGGCCCCTGAAGTGGTTAGTCGTAAAGAATATGGACCTAAGGTTGATATTTGGTCTTTAGGTATTATGATTATTGAAATGATTGAAGGTGAACCACCCTATTTGAATGAGACACCATTGAGAGCCTTGTATTTGATTGCTACAAATGGTACCCCCAAATTGAAGAATCCCGAAGCTTTGAGTTATGATATTCGCCACTTCTTGAGTTGGTGTTTGCAAGTTGATTTTAATAAGAGAGCAACTGCAGAAGAATTATTAGCTGATCAATTTATAGTGGATAGCGATGATATTTCTTCATTAGCTCCAATGGTTAGGATTGCACGGATGAAGAAAATTGATCAAGATGACGATTAATTGAATTGGATACAAATCTGGTGAATGAGATTATTAGAACTATTTTGAAGTTGAGTTCACCAAATTAATAAGGTGAGGTTATACTTCTGCTTGTCGCTCGTTTTATGTTTACGTTGTTGGATCACACGTAATCTTTATTTTTTTATTCTTATTCTTATTCCCCATCCTGTACGATTTCACAGGTTTTACAAAGCCTATTTGGATGGGGTATTTTTTTGTATCTTTATATGTATGTAATTTGAGTGTACTATATTTTTGTTTATTTTGAAAGCTGCATTATTTTGGGGCAATTAATTTTGAGCAACGAAGTTGAAAAACTGGCGATTTTTTTGAACCTTTGCATAGGTGGAAGATTTAGGAAAGTCTATCTTTCGTCACACGTGCTGGTAAAGGAGATCCAACATCATAAGCAACTAGACCTGAGAAATTGTATATTGAAAGTTAGCGGTTCGAATTTACTTTATGTTGGAGTGTCACGTTGTGAAATTGAAGAAATAGCAAGGCGCTACTGAAGGGAATTGAAAGCTTCATCAACAATGATCCAAGAAATAAGAAAATTATTGTTTACAATAGATAGGAAATGGAACTTAACATTCCGGTTTTCTTTGTAAATACGGCGATGGTCTGGCTGTCTAATGTTACTTGAATGAAAATCAATTGTTTGAGTCAGAAGAGACTTAATTCTGGTAAATGAGACCACCTTCACAGGAAGTAGTAATCAGATGATATCATAGTTTATTCACTTGAAGGCTTTGGAATGTCAGTCTCTATTAGAACGCAATACGGAACTGCTATTTACTACTTTGAGTCCTTTTAATTTCCATATTGTTGCTGACCAAGACGTAATCGATATTTTATCGTACTAAAATGTTGCAGTTTTGTGTCCAATATGCAAGTCTGCGTGTAGCAACTACCCCACTAGTGTCGAACAAGACTTGAATTTCTACACGACTACACGCAAGACGCATTACTGACCAACTTTGCTCCCGTAGTGTAAACATTAAAAGGTTTGTGGGGTCATGCTTATGACTATTGTGATGTCATATTCCGACACAGACATTTGGAAAATCGTCTTGGGAAGTAGTGCTGGAATGGGTAACAAATTTAAAGAGATAAGTAGCGTGTGTGCGCATACCAAAGTAAGTGCAACACTTATGGTTAAAATACTTGTATAGCATTAAATTCTATCCGAATCTGAAACCACCTCGCAATGGGTGAGCCTTTACTTTCATATTATGTAGCTATAGATCTAGACACCCAACTCCAAGGAAGGGAGATTGAATGTAAAGTTTGCTCCAGCTTTTCACATGCGATGACTCAACTAAACCACACTTTTTCAAACTATCTCTCTACTTTTTCTGCCAGGTTCCATGGTAATTTTCTATGGTGTACCAAAGAGTGTACGGGGCATGGTTTATTTTCAAGTTACCTGTACAGTGACATCATGTAAGGTAACAATAACATGAAGACAATGCATCAAGCCCATTTACCTCGACTAATATGTTACAAAAGACGATAATTAAAGAAATCGAACGTCTGTCCCAAAGTTAACCACTTCAAGGGGTCGGTGATTTCGGGGATATTGCTTTTTGAAAAACTATATAAATTTGAACGTCCCCACAAACCTAAAATTAAGTGTGTTTTGAATTGGATCACTACCGTTAACCTCAGCACCATATTTAATAACAATTTAGATTAAGTTATACTTAGCATATTTGATCCAAGTATTTACTATACCCTTTAAAACAATTTAGTTATCCCCCCAAAAAGTTTACGTTTAAATATTGCATTCATTATGGCCACATCAAGTCCTACTAATACTCTGGCAATAGATGACACCAAGTCTCCCCAATTCCAAAGTTACTTAAACAACGATGGTATTGACGAATTAACTCCGGCTGCTAGGAAACACAGAGTGTCCTCACTTTCCTTGAGTGACTTGAATCAATGGCAAAATAGCTTGAATAAATTAAGCTCTTCAACTTCTTTGAATAAGTCGTCGCAAACGAATTTGAAGAAAGTGGATTCTTTAGCAAAATTATCTCGGAATTCACTGATTATCCGTAGAAAGAGGAAAACAGTGATAGACCATCCCCGTGTTGCCTCCTACGCCTTCTGCTTTGATATCGATGGTGTTATCTTAAGAGGTCCAAACACCATTCCGGAAGCTGTTGAAGCACTTCGTTTGTTAAATGGTGCCAATAAGTACAATATTACAGTGCCTTCTATTTTTGTCACCAACGGAGGAGGTAAACCTGAATCGGCACGTGCTACAGATTTGTCTGCCCGTTTGGAAACAACTATCACTACTGACCAAATCATTCAAGGTCATACACCTATGAAAGACTTGGTTGGTATATATGAGAATGTCCTTGTTGTTGGTGGTGTTGGAAATGTCTGCCGCAATGTTGCTGAGTCTTACGGATTTAAGAATGTGTATACCCCATTTGATATTTTAAAATGGAATCCAGCAGTTACTCCCTACCATGACATGACCGAGGCAGAATTAGCTTGTGCCAAGGATGTTGATTTCTCTAAAGTAGCTATTGATGCTATTTTAGTGTTTGCTGATTCAAGAAATTGGGCTGCAGATCAGCAAATCATCTTGGAATTATTACTTTCCAAAAATGGTGTAATGGGTACATCTAGTGCTACTTATAATGAAGGTCCCCAACTTTATTTTGCACACTCGGATTTCATTTGGGCTACCAATTACAAGTTGAGTAGATATGGAATGGGTGCATTGCAGGTATCAATTGCTGCTTTGTATAGAGAACACACAGGTACGGAGTTAAAGGTGAACAGATTTGGTAAGCCACAAAAGGGTACCTTTATTTTCGCCAATAAAGTACTTAGCAAATGGAGAAAAGGTGTATTGGATGAGCATTTGAAGAAAATGCCTGTGGATGCACCCAATGCCTTAGAAGAAGCTGACATTTTGATTAACGAAGATGGTGATGAGGTCGTCAATCAAAGCAAGTTAGAGAAGTATGAAGCACATGATTCTGAAGAAGTTAGTGATGAAGATGAACAACTTTTCACTGTTGGAAGAAATCAAAAGGTTAAGTTAGAATTACCTCCTTGTTCCACCGTGTATTTTGTTGGAGATACCCCAGAATCCGACATCAGATTTGCCAACTCACACGACGCCTCTTGGCACTCCATTTTAGTTAAAACCGGGGTATATCAAGATGGTACTGTCCCAAAGTATACACCTAAGCATACTTGTGAAAATGTTTTAGAAGCTGTCAAATATGCAATTGAAAGAGAGCATGCTATGGAGTTGGCTGAGTGGAATGAAACTGCGGAAGACGACGTTGACGCTTCAAATCTTTCACGTTCTTCATCTGCGTTCAAGATCAACTTTGAAGAATTCTTAATGACACCTTCCGCTGGTACTCCTCCTCCAGCTTCTGTAACAGATTCTTCTGCTGGTGGCATGTCGTTGGGTCTTAAGAATGCTCAAGCCAGTGCTTCATCATTAGGAACAAAAATCGATTACCCAACTCCAGTTCATGAAATTGAGCAATTTGACTTACCTGATGGTTTGAACGAGGCCATTAAGAAGGTTAAAGATGTTAAAATCAATGGCTCTTGAGCATTTTCTGTCTATATTTTGATCTCTTTTTACCACATAGATTTTTGTGCATAGTATTACAATATCTTTACTCCAGTAATATACATTCCTTAAACATAAATATATCAACTTTATTTCCCAACAAGTAAATCATTTACCCACATTACAAGTATTTCCAATACCAAGGAGCAAGGACGCAATACCTGGACATTTTTGTCCACATGCTTTCTCTTATGCCAAAGTTTCCAAGCAATTTATGTCGCTTTAACGGTTCCAAAACGTGCTTTGTTTGCAATATACGATGGTAGTCCAATAAGAACCAGAACATGTGACCCAAAAGTATTGAAGTTACTGCCCTAACAATTATGGGGTCACGACAAAATAGATTCCAACTCACTATGAACTCACCCTTAAGAATATAATTGATAATTAGATAGAACTGAGTAGTTTTCATCCAGCTAGTTACAATTCGTACAAGAATAATGTACTGGGCTTTAATATTGAACACTATCAAGAAATTTTGGACTAATTGAGGTTCAGTCTTAAAGAATCTGTAAAGAATCACGTCTTCTAAAGTATCAGATAAGTTTTTGAGATATAGACCTGTGAAGTAGTAAAATGTAAACGAGGACATTAAAACAACAACTATACAGCTTAGGAAATAGTAAATAAAATCAAATGTCTTGTACATGTGGAGTTCCTTTTCCATCTTAGCTGATTCCTCATCCGTCAAAGTGTCGATTGTGCGAGGTGGGAAACAATCCCTCTGAGTATAAAACGAAGCTTCAAATGAGCCTAGAGATAACACTTTAGCGTAAATTCCTATAACTGAAACCACACCTAACTCTTCAAAGTCCAAAAATGGCGTGACAAGTCTCCAAACTTCTCCTTGAAGGATTAACGATGGTTCAAAGGACATATTACTTGAAGAAATGCGTCTATATGTTGTTAGATAAGAACCAATTACGGATGTTCCTAACCATGCAATTGTCACAGGATACGACCTTCTATCCAATTGATCCATAATGGTCTACTCTTCTAACGTATGCAAGTAAAAAGTTAACTATTTTATTAAGTATCTTTTGCTATTACGTATCTTTTATTCGAGTGCCAATTTTCGAAATTTGTTTGTAACACGAAAGGATCTTTGTCTGCGAAATCAAAAACACTTGATGTAAATTCTTTCTTGAAGGCAAATTCTAGAAGGTGATCAAATTATACGCTTTATAATCCAAAATGGAAGAACTACGAATAGATGATATCATCGGTGTTGAGGGCATCAGCAATCTCCCTGTTGAGTTGCTTGAACCATATGACTACTTGCTGCTGATTCCTGGCTCTAATAAGAATGTTAGGGCTCTGTTTTTGCAAGCCTTTAATGATTTCTTCTTTCACATGCCCAATGATAAACTTCTTCAAAAGATAGGAGAAGTGATTCTGATTTTCCACAATAGCTCATTGCTTATAGATGATATTGAAGATAATTCTGATTATCGTAGAGGGATGCTAGCTGCTCATAAAATCTATGGTATTCCCTTGACTATTAACTGTGGTAACACCATGTACTTTGTAGCTTTGAAAAAGGCACAGACAGAGTTAATTGATTTGGTTTTAGAAAGTCGAGACGCTATTCAGTTCAGGGGTAATATTGATCCCTTATATTTGAAGTATGAGGTACTGAATATCTTGATTGAAGAAATGTTGTCATTACATAGAGGACAGGGTTTGGAGATATATTGGAGAGATAATTTATCTGCAATTAAAGAGAATTTACCAACTTTAAGTGGGTATATGTCGATGGTCCTGGGGAAGACGGGTGGATTATTTCGTCTTTCAGTGAAATTATTGAAGTTGATACTGTGTCCTAATGAAGATCTTGATGTACTTCTCCCCATTGCTAATTTGATGGGTATCATATATCAGATAAGAGATGATTACTTGAACCTTGTGAGCGATGCATATGCTAATGCTAAGGGGACAGTAGGCGAAGATTTGCTTGAGGGTAAGCTTTCTTTTCCGATTTTACATTGCCTCCGACATACTAATAATTCTCCTGTCCACAAATTGTTAATGGAAAATGGTGATAGAAGCCAGGAGAGTATTGCTGAATGTATTGCATATATGAAAGATGAATCAGGTTCGTTAAAATACTGCTTAGATACGCTTAAGACACTTGAGGCCAGAACAAAGAAGTTAATCAATGACAATGATAGTAATTTGGCTCAATTGTTAAGTAAACTTTGTTCAGTTTAATTTTCGTACTATTTTTTTGGTTTTCATTGGAGGTTTTGCTATTTTTGGCTCTAATTTTACGTGTGGATTGTACTGTTGTTTTGTATAGATATCTCTTTTTTAAGAAAGTGATCTTATAGTTTGGTAATTGGTATTTATAGGTAATGTTAATATACGTTGTTTTGCATTAAAAATCGGACTTTTAAATTGGTGTCTGCACAATAGCGCCTGGATTGAGTAAAGTAAGTCGCACCCCAGAGATGAGCATCAACAAAATTCCAGCCTCTATGTCAAAGTTGAGTCACTCTTCGTCACTGTTGCTTTAAATATGTTGTACTTGATTGGATTGGGTTTATCCCATGAGACAGACATTACTGTTCGTGGTTTGGAAACTGTGAGAAAATGTAAAAGGGTGTATTTAGAAGCTTATACTTCGATTTTGATGGCAGCTGATAAAGAATCATTGGAAAAGTTCTACGGTAAGGAAGTCATTTTGGCTGATAGAGAATTGGTTGAAGGTGGAACAGATGAAATTTTAGCAGGTGCTGAAGTTGATGATATTGCATTCTTGGTTGTCGGAGATGTTTACGGGGCTACAACTCACACTGATTTGGTTTTGCGTGCTAAGGAAAAGGGTATAAAATATGAAGCCATTCATAATGCATCCGTTATGAATGCTGTAGGAGCGTCAGGCCTTCAGTTATATCAATTTGGACAAACGATCTCCTTGGTATTTTTCACTGACTCCTGGAAGCCAGATTCATTCTACAGTAGAATTATGGAAAATAGAAAGATCGGCTTGCACACTTTGATTTTGTTAGACATCAAGGTCAAAGAACAGAGTATAGAAAACATGGCCAGAGGCAGATTAATTTATGAACCCCCAAGATACATGAATATTGCTACTGCTGCTGAACAATTGTTGGAAATAGAAGAGATAAGAGGTGAGAAAGCTTATACCCCAAACACTCCATGTATTGCAGTTTCCAGATTGGGATCCCCTTCTCAAACTTTCAAAGCTGCTACTTTGGAGGAATTGGTCAACTATGACTCTGGAGAACCATTACATTCATTAATTATGTTAGGTAGACAGGTACATGATTTGGAATTAGAATTCTTGTATCAATTCTGTGAGGATCCAGTTGCCTTCAAGAAGTTTGTTGAAGAGGATCAAGAATACTTCAAGCCTCCACCATACGTTCCACCTCCAGATGATGCTGATGATGATTTATAATATTGAGAAAAAAATAATATTTATTAAAGAAAGTAGAAATTATCACGAATTATAAATTACAACGGAATTAATGCAAATAGTCTAATCCTCCTTCTTAGAGATAAATGAGGTTATATCCTTCCAAATGTTCTCATTTACATCCCATAGAACCCAGTCGTAGTATCCGTAGTACACTGGGATGATTGTAACAAGATGCCAAAGACTGTGAGCGTCCACCAAATCATAGATGATTGGCAGGAAGTCAAATATTTCAAGGGACATTCCAACTATTACCACAAATGCAAGAAACATTGGATAAAGACAATACAATTTGGCAGATGTTGAGAAGAAACTGGGCAAAATTATTTTAGAGATGTATTTCAGATGGCTGAGATTGGTTTCATTTTCCTCCACCTCTGAATTATAGTAATCAGAGTATAAGTTGTAACATGCTAATGAAAGACAAATATTTTGAAGAATCGCAACTCCAACATTAAGTTGCATATTATAAGTATACAGCCAATCCGTTTCCATGCGGTATATATGAGCCGCGTAACATGTAATACAAATTAGCAGTACCAACCATCTTGCTATGACTCTATTTGGTAAGTAAAGTCTTGCCAAACGCGCAAGAAACATGTGCAATCCCGTAAATACTGTAAGTGCAGCAAAGTAGTAGTCTAGTTTCTCAGTTAACTCAAAATCTCTAGTATGGAAGATAGCTGAAAACATCCATGCAAGAATAGTAACAACAGACAGTAGGAGAATATTGGTATATTGATATTTTAATCTAAACGGCACATCCTTGTCTGAGAGTACTCTGACTATTTTGAGGAAGCCAATAAAATGGATAAGCATGTTTCCAAGTGAAAAGATGAGGGAAGCTAACTCTTGAATACCATAAATACGAAGAAATGGCCATTTGCCATGAAATTGTAAAACTTCTTCGTTATGGTCCTTCCTTTCCTTTGTAACAATTCTTTGGCATTGATAATCACAATTGTCGACACAATTCCATCTCAAGGCCTTCAAATGTGATGACAATGGCATCGCATCAAAACTCCAATTCGGATTATACCTCCTGAACTCATGTGTAGAGCCCCCAGCAGCCTCAATTCTATCTTGATTCTCATGATAAGGGGTCTTGAGACATGTCAATTGTTCGCATTGATATCTGCAATCAACAAAGTCGTCCAAATCATCTCCAGGAGAAGCCCATGTGGTATATGCCAGTAGGAATATTACGAATGCAATACCCCAGTTTATCATTATTACCGGGATGGTGCCGAAACAGCTTTTTTTCAAGGCGCTTCTGGGTAATGTATAGTCAGTCTAGACAATAATCTCAACCGGTATACGAGATTTGTAGGTTAGTGGATGTTAACTCCGGGTAGCAGGTAAATTTTTTCTCCAGGCACGTAGCGAACACACTACTTTATCCCTTTAGTTCTCAGGTCAATAATTTCGATAATAGAGGCTCGCACCAAATTTTGGTACCTTCTCATTCATCATTAGCTTGAGATTCCATTGAAATTCTCTGAGAATTTCGTCGTTGTTGCATAGCTAAAATAATTCGATACATTACGCACAGAGTACAAAATGTGCTTGCTAAATTTCCCTTCTCAAATATTGCGTAAGCTAGTCTGGCAAGGTCCAAAAAAGCCTTTCCAAACTATACCTATCTTTACCAGCATTACCTTATAGCCATTGATCGGCTAATAAAGGCAAAAATCTATCGTAATGTATATTCATACAGATACGGTAAAGTTTAACGAGATTAAAGGAAGCGAGATTCTACTGAAATTCATTGGTTTTCTTTGTTACGTGCACTAAAATAATTCAAATGCGAACCGTATTAAGCTAGCATTGGCATAATTCTATTATAAAATGGGAGATGCATAATGGGGCTCCAGTTATTGTTATTACCAAATACCGAACTAATTTCTCCTTCAAAATTAAATGCTAATCAATCAGCTTATTGCGTATAATTATGAACCATAGATATGTACGCCTATATGATGCAGTCTTTACACTTCTGAAGACGGATTTGTTCTTGTACAATATATCAGTAATTGTTTGCCTTTGACTTTAAGGTTCAATATAACTGCACTGCACCACATTTTGACTTACATTTGCATGTATTGAATACAATTCAAAGATAAACGTAACCTTTGGTCCTTTTGGGCTCGTTTAAAACCAATAACAACACTTATTCTCTTTACTTTTAGAACATACTTGCCAGAAAAAAATTAACTGGTTGTTGTTTGATTGCCAATTCCATCAGACTTGTGTAGCTATACGCCTTACAATAAAAGATTATGTGCTTAAGGGTGAACAAATCGATCGTTCTTACTGATGGTTTTCCTAGTATGGCATGCAAGCATTTACTTGAGAGTACTCATCTGCAAGACTGAAAATAGAGCAAAATGTAATGTCATGCAGACGCAACTCGACGCGGAGGTAGCTTGATTCGTAAGATAATATCTTTACTTCAAGTGGCGAAATCCATTTGATCACATGGGGAATCTCAACTTCACTTAGCAACAACAAGCAAACTCTGTGTAGAGGTGCACTCCTTTAAAATGTTTGCCTTATGAGCCCAATGTTGAAGAAGCCATGGTGCATGACCAAACCACCCTTCCAAAATTCACAATCCTTTGTATTGTCCTTGAAGCCCCTGAACGAAGAAAACACTTTCTGCATGTATGCACGTTAGGAAGTGCGTAATTAGCTTCAACACGGCAGATTACGAAGCCATGATTTTAGAATCGAATCTGCAGGACAATTAAAGGAGGAATCATTAAATTGAACTAATAGAGCTACAAAACAAAAGAAATCATAAGGCTCGATAGCCTTGATTGATAACAAACCACTACAAAGGTGGGGCCGTAACTTACGCCTGCAACCCTTCATCAGAAAGATAACACGCTTTAGCGGTATACAGCTTACTGTGTCACGTCTGCTAGTTCCATCTGTGACCCTGCAAACCTATACCATCATCAATACAACGGACTGCGTCAGCTTCTGGCGGCTCAACCATTGGCACTGCAGAGGTAGGGTAACTCCTGGTCTCAAGACATTCATAAATGAAAGGAGTAGATTCTCAAATCTGCAAAGATCGACTCGACGAAAATAGAAGCAATCATTATTTATCTATTTTCTTTCCATTCTCATTGCTTCTTCTTATTCAGATCAAGCTGCTGTGATTACATTGAATTATTATATAAATCGTGATTTAGTATTTTTTGTTTTACTTTTGTCATTGGATATCAAGATCTACAGATTGTGTGCTACTAATATCATTGGCATCTCTGTTGCTAGGTGAAAATCTGATTATCAGCATTACTACCTTTTCTGTCTCAATCTGGGATTGGTCAAAGGCAAGATGTTTTCCTTATTGGATGCCACATCTTTGAAGAAGGTTGAACGAAAATCAGGCTCCCAAGGTTTAGAACTGGTCATTCCTGGTGGCGTTACTACACTGCTGACTCCTAAAAACGGGTTCCAGCAAAAACGAATTAAGAGCCAAAGCTTTGTTGGGGGTAAGTTCAGATCAAGAGACGGTTGTCTTTGTTGTCGTAAGAGAAAGAAAAGATGTGACGAAGTTCACCCTGTTTGTGGAGCATGCAAAACTAGAAATGATAACTGCGTTTGGCCAGACCATGATAAGTCCTCTGGAAAAAAAAATACTCGATCAAGTCAGCAACCAAGAGCCAATCGTGGATCTTCTGGCCCTGCAATTGTGGTAGATACCTCAAATATAAATCATGAACCAACGTTACAAAGTATCCCTAGACCTGCTTTCACATACTCAAATGAGCCCATGCCAGGTAACTCAAATAAAATGACTACTCGCTCCAATTTAACAACCCCAACCTTTGAAGAATTCGCAACTCCAACAAGTGAAAGTCCACCAAGTAATAATGACACAAGGATAGAATTGCCACCTATCTCTCCTTATATTGCTGATTCCTCAGGCAATCATTCACTCACTCGTGGAGGTCCACTTACTTATCACAGGCATTCCCACTCAGAGGGTACGTTAGGGTTCAGGCCAAAGCTTTCGAATGCATTTGGTCAATCCCATCAAACTTTACCTTTTACTGCTGAGTCTCTCAACACACCAATTACATCAGGTCCATCTAGTGCATTGAAGATTACCAAACCAACGGTGACTGAATCAGCTTTGGATGACTTATTTCGCATTAGGTCAAGTATTCCCTCGTATGCTGCCTGCAATCCTCACCCTTTCCTTGGAGAGAAGGGTATTCGGTTTTTGGATTTTTTCAAATATAAGGTTACTCGTGTGGTTGCCGTTAGTGGCGACGAATCAAACTACTTCATCGAAACCTTTCTCAAACTTTCCATGAAAGATGAAGCTATTGCCAACCTCTTGGCTGCGTGGGGAGGTGTTTTCTTAAGGGGTTCCATTAATCAACCAGAAGTTGAGCAATTCCGGCAAACGTCACTCCAGATTTTGCGGACCACATATCTTAATAGGATGCAGTTTTTAACCAAATACGAATACTTTATTGTTCTATGTTATTATTCTGCAACGACTGGTATGTATATCTGTGCTGGCGACAGCAAGCTTTGGTGGGAAAATTTGTTGTTAACTAAAGACCTTGTTGATGCATATGGGGGTTTCTATAAACTATGCCAGGATTTAAACTGGTCAAATGATGCGGTCTTCTTATGTTCCTATTTTCAATATCATGATTTAACTCTGAGTGATGCTCTTCTTAAGGGTACCCTTTATCCAATATCAAAATACCGTGAAGTGTTTGACCATGTTGATTACAAAGTATTTGGTGTCAATCCTTTGCAGGGAATTAACCAGAATGTTTATGAATTATTGGGTGAAATCATGAACTGTAAAGTAAAGATTCATTTAGTTAAAGAAGATGTTGACCATTTACTTAATAAGGCAGAGTCTTTTGGTTTCTGTGAAGAATTCCATAACCTGCAATATAAGGCGGGACGTGAAGGTCTCGTAACATTAAAGGAATCCCTATTCCAGACTTTAATTATGAAAGTTGATAATTTACAAACTATACATGGGTTTTTAGTGGAGGACGACAAAACAGAAAAGCAATTGCATTTTATGCTGTTTGAGTTGTACCGTAATGTTTGCAGAATTTATTGCTACATTTATATTAAGGAGTTGGCACCACTGGCCAATTGTGTTCAGAAATTGCTCTGGGAGACATTGAACATGATTGATGATTTGGTAGAATCCAAGATGATTGTTGTCATGGTTTTGCCACTTATTGCATGTGGTATTATCGCAACAACTGCTTATGACAGGTTTAAAATTACTAAGACTTTCAAAACTTTAATTTCTTCATGTCAAGTCAATAATGTGGAGAAGGCTTGGGAGACAATACAAGTGGTTTGGAGTTTAAATCCTGATGGTGTCAAATATATTGACTGGTCTTCAATATGTAACGAACACAATTGGCATCTTTCAGTTTGTTAATACAGTACAATAGATTTCATTTCAGTTTTGGTGACACACGTAAGTGTCATTCTGGAAATCTTTTCATTCTTTGTTTTCGGTTTCTTAGTATCCGATGCTGCTTTTTACAGTACTAATGTTCATAGTGATTGACCCTGGAGGTCCATACAAAGTTGTGGTTAGGGTTGTGAAAGCCAAAAATATTCTACGCATAGTCTGTGCCCTATGGTAGGCGCACATCTTATTTTCAAGATTTATATCTTGAAGTTATATAGACAATCAATAACGTTTGATCAAAATTACTTCTATCAGGCATCACCTCCTTTTTGTAATCTCAGGATCCTGATTTCGAATAAGTTTTTTGGGAAAACTAGCTAGACCCTGGACTTCTCTTTGTGTGATTTACAGTCTCTCAACTTGAAATTCCTCCTCGTGTACGTAATATTCGCAAATAAAGCAGTCTACCCCCCTATACCTGTGGAATGTCTCGTTGGCGCGTTCAAGCGTCCGGGGAGATACACCGAGATCTTCTCTATAGAAAAAGTTATCAAGAATTTTAGAAAGTTTCGTGATTTTGAGTTTTTGACTTTATTTTCTCAATTTGGTAGCAACAAATTTACTACCCCATTGGGAAGTTTAAATTACTCGATTGGCCAGCAAACTAGTTTTCTCGTAAATCGAAAAGTTGTTCATGAACAGCTTATATAATTCTATGCTGCCCATTCTATCTAAACATTCTATCTAAACATTCTATGCTGCACCCTTAGGTGTGGGATAAAGCCAAATTTACTTGGAAAGGTATTAACAGCACAAAGTAATATCTTCCCTCGATAGAAGAAAGTGCATCATGAGTGTCTCAATTAATTCCTATAACTATCAGTCAGAGTAACTCTTTTGAAAGGTGTTGACGCTTTGACTTAACTTTTTCATTTTTCGCTGTCTAACATGAATCGTTTTTTTCTCACATGTTATTATACATGTGATTTGGGTTTTCATGTGAAGTAAATTGAGGGGTCGGCTCGGACAGTACCTTTTTAAGAAAGAGAAAGTAGAGTGCAAATTGTACCTTTGGCGGGGTGGCTTATCTCCGTTTCCCTCTCAATTGTTACCCATACCTGCCAACTAAGTAGGTGTTGTAGTCTTACTTGGCAAGCTAATCTCGAGGGGTCTCTAAACTCCGCTTTGTTGTAGATTTCAATCAAGAAAATAGTCCTGGAGTTGCATACGTTTTCACACTTCTCCTCACTAAACAATAGGAATTTCGGGACGCATGTCTCGGAGTATCGGCCTTCATTTAATAAATATATAAGTACTGATGTTGTCTTAGGTTACTAATTAATGAATTGGTAAATCATAGACTTTGATAGTAACATGTGGCTTTATTTGGTGGCATTCGTAGCACTTTACTGGCTAGTTAACACCATCCAATATCACTTTCTACAATGGAAACTTAAGACTCTGGAACCTTATCATTCAGGGGACTGGTTTTTTGGATTTAAAGTGGTTCATGATCTCCTTCGGATGAGAAGAGAAGGTACTTTATTGAAATACGTTACTGACCAATACGAAACACTTGGGAAGGACACCATTAAACTTTTGGTGGCAGGTAGATACTCAATTTCTACTCGTGATCCGGAGAACGTTAAGGCAATTTTGGCAACACAATTCAATGAATTTGAATTGGGACGTTTTGAGAAGGTGATGCCTTTGTTGGGATCTGGTATATTCAGTCTTGACGGACAAGGCTGGAAGCATTCACGCCAATTGTTGCGTCCTCAATTTGCTAGAGAGCAAGTAGGGCATGTACAAATGTTGGAACCACATATTCAAACTTTGAAGAAGCATATAATGAAAAATGGAAAGCAGCCTTTTGATATTCAAGAATTACTCTTCAGATTCACTATTGATACTGCAACTGAATTTTTATTTGGAGAAAGTTGTGACTCTCTTATGGATGAGCTGATTGGAATGTCACCTCAAAACTCATCTGGTGTTGGTAATCAAGAATTTGCTCAAGCATTCAGTTACGCTCAAGTATATATCAGTAAAAGGGTTATGTTCGATAAGTTTTACTTCCTCCTCAATGGTAAGAAATTTAAAGACAATAATAAGGTTGTCCACAAATTCACTGATTTCTACGTTAATCAAGTCTTAGATATGACATCCGAAGAATTGGAGAAGAGGAGTGAAACGCATTACGTTTTCCTCTATGAGTTAGCTAAATGTTCTCGTGATCCACAAGTGCTTCGTGATCAAAGTTTGAATATTTTGTTAGCTGGAAGGGACACAACAGCCGGTTTGTTGAGTTTCGCCTTCTATGAGTTAGCCAGAAATCCAGTAATTTGGAATAAATTGAGAGAAGAAATAACTCTGAATTTTGGCTCAGAAGATTCTGAGGACATGAATATAAAAGGAGTTACCTTTGAAAGTTTGAAAAGATGTGAATATCTTCGTGCAGTTGTAAATGAGGCTTTAAGATTATATCCATCTGTCCCTCAAAATTTCAGAGTGGCTAATAAGAATACTACTTTGCCTAGAGGAGGTGGCAAGGATGGGAAATCTCCCATCCTTGTGAGAAAAGGTCAAAACGTTTTCTATAATGTGTATTCAATGCACAGAAATCCTGCAGTATATGGTAAGAATGCTGAAGAATTTATCCCAGAAAGATGGTTTGAATCAGATGTTCGCAATCTTGGTTGGAACTATTTGCCATTTAATGGTGGCCCTCGTATTTGTTTGGGTCAACAGTTTGCTCTTACTGAGGCAAGTTATGTGATTGCTAGACTTTCTATGATGTTTTCAAAGATCCAAAGTTTCGAACCAACATATCCTCCTGTCCAATTGAATCATTTAACATTATATGTAAAGGACCACAATCTTCTCACATTAACTACATAGATTGAGTATAAGTACAAAATGTATGATTACCTAGTTTTAAATTCCACATTGGATCTGGGAGACTCGTCAACCGTTAGTTGAAAAACGTCGCTTCTAGCGTAATGTCCAGAAACATCAAAGTCATACCGTGATTCAGGAATTATATCCAAGTCTATTTCAGCGTGAAGAATTCCTTCCTCTCCAATTAAAGGGCCAGCGATAATATCTCCATACGGGTTGACAATCACAGAACCACCATTGATACAGTTTCTTTCCTTATCCCACGTTGGAACGTTCAAGCCAACTTCTTCAGGAGTTCCCAAGAAGGGAACTGCAGAAACAACAAATTGACGACCTTCAAATCCAATTGTCTTCATCAAAGATCTCCATATCTCACGTTCGTCAACAGTGGGAGCAACCCAAATGTTCAAGTTCTTGGCATAAAATGATGCTCGAAGCAAGGGCATAAAGTTCTCCCAGCAAATAGCCCCTCCAATGTTACCCAATTTTTCAGAACTAGCAACGTAAAGAGTTGATCCGTCACCTTGTCCCCAAACCAATCTTTCAGCAGCAGTTGGCATAAGTTTCCGATGCTTACCCACATACCCACTGACAGGGTCTATGTATACCATGGTACAATATAACGTTGAATTGTCACGTTCAATTACCCCACATACAACAAATGCTCCAGTACGGCTGCTGAACCCTTCTAGTTGTGATACTTCAGGCCCAGGAATTGTAATTGCATTCTTGTAATACTCAGCAAACTCCTTTCTCCCACTATCTGTGCGATATCCCATGTAAGTGCCGAAAGTAGAGCCCTTAGGATAACCTCCGAGTGTAGCCTCAGGCAACACTACTAATTCGACGTTGAGAGCTCTCACTTGATCTTCATAACTCAAAATCTTGTCAACTGTGAACTGCGTACCTTTGGGTGATGCCCCAATTTGGAGGGCTGCCACTATATGCTTTGACATGTCCTAAAGAATGGTGCTGTACTAACCTGGCATAAAAATCTTATTAACGCGTTAAGATCCAGTATATATACTTCACTATCTTATCCTGTATTTGAAGTGGTGATAATTTACATATGGAGCACAAAACTCTAAACTTGGGGTTTGTGCTATGCCCAGAATTTCTTAGACGATGATGAAGTATCGATGAGTCAAAAGTTACTCATAGGGCAGCGGAGTTGGTGAGTCAGGTTTGTGGCATCGAAGTGGGTAATAAAAAGAAGCAACTTGTTCCGTTGCTAGGTAATTTTTAACTCCGGATTTGGGTTCCATTTTTGAACACTTTAACTCCGTTAAACTGCTTGCACTTGAATGATAATCATTGAAATCTACCCAAGAATACAGACTTCAATGACTTTCATGAGAAAAGTATGTAAATATTGTGCAGTTATTTATGAATGAGAGAACTTTCGTGGATTGTTAATCCACAAGTAATACAAATATATTTGTGACACCAACATTTTTCATTGTTGCTCTGAATTTCCTTCTCTACATCGGCTAGTAAAGTAAGCAATTTAGTTTTAGCGTCTCTATGAGTGAAGTATTGGGCAATGGCTTTTATGAACATGCCTAAGGCAAACAAAGAAGCTGTGTGTGTGAAGCCAACAAAATATCTTGGTGCATTTGTTGAAGTTCAAAGCAATATGAGAACTCGTGGACCTGAGACATAGGCTACGGTGTTGGTACACGCAACGACAAAGTTTCTTTTCATATCGTCATGATATAGAAGTCTATTGAACTAAAAGTAAATTTGTGGTTGACCCCAGAATGTTGAAACGCCAAATAAGTATGAAGGCCAATGGTGCCATCGGGAAATATGCCAAGCTGACAAAAATGAACAACCAAGTATAAGCCATACAAAGTACAAGAGCACAAAAAAAAGTTCTTCTTTCCTCTAAAGAAATCGTGAATATACGAAAAGTGCAAAGTTAGAGTAATACTGACTGCAGTCAAAAAATTGATGGCCAAGTGTTATAAGCATGAGACGATAGCTTCAAATCATATTTCATCCATGTAGTGAAGGCAGGCTGATTTAAGGCAGAATATGTGTTATTATAACACAAGAACAACATAGGAAAGACATATATATGCCAAGTACCGAAAACGACTTATTTTGGCCCATTCATACTTTTGTCTTGTGTTTAACTGAGCCCCAATGCGCCTTCTTCTTTCTAAAGGAACCAGCTTATCTTCTTTTGTAGAATACCAAGCTTCAGAAGTAGATGGTGTTTTAGGGGCTGTAAAAATTGTGTATATACCTATAGTAACAGCATCGAAAACAAACATACATCTAAATGGAGCAAAGGAGCTTTCACCAAACCTTTTTAGCACGGCTGTAATGGACCCGAGATCAAATCTGATGCATTTCCTGAAAAATATGAAAATCTCTTGCTCAATTCTTCTGCGGAATTAAAAAAAACCGACCAAATAGTCTAAACCTGAGAAGTAACCAAATTCAAGCAGACCTAGAAAAATTGTAAGAGCATAAAAACCTTGAATTTTGTCTTTTCCGACTGTAATCATTAAAAGAGTAAGAACTTACCAAATTATCTTTAAACCACCTAGATGAAATTTCGCAGAGATTTGATGTAAAATCAAGTTAGGTGGACTTTGATCAATAATATAACCAACCGTAAACAAGACAAGCATGTAGTTGTATTGGTTGCTGTTTATTTCATAATACTTTTTCATACCATTAACATAAGCCATGAACACATTAGACTGATTCAACTTTTTAATAAAATATCCCAACATTGAACAAAGCAAGAAGAAATCCAACTTAGCCAAAGCCTTTTGCTCTTTGGGGTGCTTTCTGTAACAATCCCAAAAGAAGCGGTTGAAAGGTAAAATTTTCTTCTCTGTATCTAACTTTTTCACCTGTCAAGTTCGAAGTTATGTCGATGTAAAGCTCAACATCGGAATCCTCAAGTGACACAGTGCCAATGGCGTTATCACTCTTTGAGAGATAGATAAGCTTTTTATTGTCTGTTTAGCTGGAATCTCGATTTTCAATAGTCATTTCAAACGAAAACTATTGGTTTGTTTGGTGATATTTCAAATTGAATGCTAGAGTAACATCTAATTTAATTGAAGAATCATCAACCCCTTTATAGAAAAAACGGTCCAAGAATATTGTTGCACTATTGGTATATGGTCTTTGAAATCATTAGTTTTATCCCTGCTTTTGAATCCATGTTCAATTTCTGCATGATTCCTCGTAATAATGCAGTGGCTGTCTCATCTCGATCTTTTATGGCTGCAAAATCCCTCTGGGATATTCACGACCGAAAATTCCCACAATTGACACCATTGATTTCGCAGCTACTCTTTTCGTATGTGAACCGTGCTTGTACAGGAAGATGGATCTGGTTTATCAAGTGTGGTTGATGCCACATTTGTATAAGTTTTTCAATTCACCCAAACCTTTCGTCAAATGAGTACACAAGCAAAAAAACGTTAACAATTGTACTAAAGATAGTATTCACATAGCTATTACTTTAGTTAGCATAAAGAATCAATTTGAATCAAGAAATGGCATTATTATATCATTATATTGAGGACTTTTTTAATACGCTGAGTGATCAATCAAACTTTCATGGTGTAATGATATCTAAATCCTTTTCCAAGGCTCAGAAATGTAAAGTTAAAGTATAAAATCTAAACTAAAATGCAGTTTGAACATTATTTCGAATATACTCTTGCGATGACTGTAAAGCGCAAAGTCTGTCCACAGTCCTTAATACTTACATTTTTGCTGATGAAAATAGCAGATAAACCAGATTCACGTCCAAATTCATACTGAATTAATAACAAGAATTCTTCTTGTATTCCTCAAAAAAAAAAAGGACTCTCCATAGACTTAACATGTGCGACTAAAAGTGACGTAATTTTGAGATACTTATTTGACGTTCATGAAAGGAGTGCTGATATTCAAGTTAGACTCAATATCAAGCAAACCACTATGGCACCTCTGCTATCTGGGATAACAGAGTCTCACAGCACAAGTCGGTGTATGATCATGAAGGCAAAGAAACCAGACACGGTACCAGAGTAACTGTTTTGGCTGAAAAGCCGTTCTTCAATCCTGAATTTAAGTCTCAAAGAGAAGCCTTTGGATTGAAGTAAGTTTTTTATATAGGTTTGTAACCTTTTGAATAGAAATTTTTAGTATTAAAGAGGCTGCGAAAAATTATAACATTCAAGAGAATGTCAACGAACGCCCACAATAGGAGTACATATGTGCTACTCGCTGTGCCTTTTACGGAAGAAAAGCTAGGAAAATTCCTCTAATATTACCACATACTTAATAAAGTATACAAAAGTTTTGTACCTTTAGGTATTGGAACTTTTATTGTCGATCAATTGAATTTGTAATAGTTTTACAACATTTCAAAGGTAAACTCAACATTAACAGATGAACGAGGCAATTTCGTTGTAATAGATTGATATGTGATGAGATCTATCGCTTGCCCGGTTCCGAGGTGTTGATAGCTCATCTAGATATTGTGTTCATACATATTAACTATGTAGAGATGAATCAAAAAAATATTGAAATTTGAGTACATTAAGAATAAATAATTATACAACTTTTAAAGCTCAATCTTCATCGGAGAAATTGAGAACGACCTCTTTTCTTGTATAAACAAAAACATCTCTCCGAGGATGTTGAATATGTCTACGCCCGGTAGTGCTATCTGGTGCGATTTCTGGTGTTGGAGACCTATGTTCCAACGATTCCCTTGGTACATTGGGATCCCTTCCCAAAGCATCTAACGGAAATTCTGGCTCCTGATTTAAATAATCCATTGGTATGACTGAGTGCGGGCGAGGTGTTCCAATACTTGCTGACCGTGGAACGGCAAAACCTGCAGCAATTATCGCATCTGTGAGTTCTAAGAATCTCCGCTTGGAACTATGAAAAGTGTCGAGTACATTAAAACCAAAATTACCAGTATTCGAATCATCGTTTGTTGAATTTGCGTCGTTATTATTAGTTGACTTTGAACTTTTACGAAGATTTCTATGACTGTTTTGGTTATCATTGTTATGCCCTTCGTGATTATCATTGTTATGCCCTTCGTGATTATCATCGTCATCATCCTCTTCAACAAACATCGGCAATCGGTCTACCTGGTATAATTCATCCTCGTAAAATCTTCTACCTAGAACCCCTTCTTTTTCTATAATTCTCATTATAACGTTATACTGATTAACCCATTCCCAAGGTATAACGACACAGGTGACATAAGTCACCACGGAGAAAATTTCAGAAAGCTCATTAACCCAGACGTTTGCTACATCTGCAACAAAGAATGCGACTGGTGAATAGACAATTATTAGCGTGAGGATGGATAAAAGCCATATTCGACGATTCTCAAGAATTAAATGAATTTTCATCAATATGAAAACTGTAATTAATGCTGAATAACATATTGATAGTGCCAAACGAACCAAATATATCAATGTGTACAAAATATCAGTTTCTTCATCGCTAGTGAAATTTGCTAATCTACTTATTGCCCACACAGTTTGAGATCCTATTGCGGACAAAGTACCCACATAAAAAATTGTTCTCTTGTCATCTTGTCGCAGAAATAGTCTCATTATGACTTGGGTTTGATTTATCTGTAGCATTAAAACTGCTAATAAGTCCAATAGGTTTAGTGACAACGATGAATTCACGCGGTCTAAAAATGCCAATCCGAAGAGGTACCCCTTCCGCTGTTGATCATGCAAGAAAGATGCTGATTTACCCAACAAGACAGCAAAATACACCGAGGACAATAAAGTGGAAACTCGTAAGATGATAGAAGACTTTATGGTATAATCTGTAAGAACAAAGATGGTTAAAAACCATGTTACCACCAACAGCAGCGATATACTGATAATAATGGGAAACACACTGTATGAAAATAAACCATCACCAGATTGAGTGAATTCTAACCAAGAATCTTCTACTGCAGGGATTAAAGAAGTCATGCTATTCCTAACAATCTGCGATGTTGTAAGCAATACAGGAACCTCGTCCCTATAACATAATAATTGGAATATTGCAGATGTGGAATATACGACATTTGTAGTTGTGTTGTAGGGTATGAAAAGACCATCAGTCAAATTCTGGGGAAGGCACCCTGGATATAAATCCACATCCGATGATCGATACCTCCAAGACATCAAGTACACCTTTACTATAATATTACTTTTCTATCACCTAAACATTTGCTAATAGATAGGGAATGAATGAGGAGCTAACGGTTTATTGATAGTGCCAAGATCGCATCAATTATGGTTATGTCAATGAGTAAATGTATTATGTGTTCTGCACTCACCACAGTGCATGTCTGCGCTACCTATATTTTATAATTTGAATAGAAATGACACAAATCGATTTTTTTTTTTTGGTGTTAACTATGTTGGGATCAATCAATTGAGGACGATATTGAGCGCAAGCCTAAGACTAATATTGTCTTAGATCCCTAATTGGTAAGAATCTCTCCAGTACGCATTTACAAAGTTTGATTTACTTAGGTGCACACTCTACTCCAGTAAAGGAAGGAAAAGATTCTGGTAGTAAATTTACGGAGGTGTTGCCGGCCTCAAGGAAGTTAACGGACGATTAAACTTAGTAATTGCAGGTCTCGATTTAATCACTTCATTCTTAACTCATTCGTCTGACTTGGACTAAGTAAGGTGACACACTGCACCTAAATGAATCAGGAGTTGTGTGTTCAGTTCTCAATCCGGAATTTCAGACATTTATGAACAGTAATGACGAACGATGTTAGTGCGTCTACACATGAAACAGAAAACGGTAGGGCCAATTTTCAGTTACTACAACACTCAATAGATCAAAAAGGTGCCAAAGAAATTTGCACAAATGTGTCAATACCATTAGAGGTAGCAACTATGAACGTCAAATCAAATGGTGGTCTTTTGCACGGTACCCCATCAATTACAATAGCTGGTGGTGTTGCGAATAGTGATAGTACTACGCCTGACAAATCAGAAGCATCACTTTATCCCACACCAAGTTTCACTCATCCGGATCTTTCTCTGTCGTCACAGCTGTGTGTTAATCATCAACGAAATAATTCCGCCTATTCTGCTAATGTATCTCTAATTGATATTTATGGTGCAGACTCTATAATCGAACTTTCTCCGAAGAAAGCCCAAGAAACAGAAACGCCAATGAATGCAAATATACTTGATTCCTTAGACACGGAGGAGGGGGATACAACCGATGAACTATCAGTTCAAAACAAAGTATCCAAATCCTTCTCTACAAACAGAACCATCTCCACTTCTTCAATTATTCCTCCTGGATCTGTCAAGTCGTCTGATTATGAAAGTGAAATGAAGCGAATGCTGTTGCCTTACCCCATGTCAATTTCAAAGGTTCAAGATATTCTTAATTCTGAGTTTGATATGTACGGATTCAAAAAAGAGACTTCTTTGCATGTCATTTCACGGCAACGATATGATTCCTGGTTCAAAGATTACTCTGAATATTTGAATAATCGGCAAAAGAAATGGGAGCTATTGATGAGAGCAAATGGTCTAAGCGTTCGCACAGGTCAAATACCGACAAGATTCCCTCCAAAGTCTGATAAAGTTAAGAAAATGATAAGAAGAGGAATCCCACCTGAATGGAGAGGAAATGCGTGGTTTTTTTATGCTGGTGGTTATGAAAAACTCAATAAGCATACTGGTATTTATGCCCAGATAATTGAAGATACAAGAGGATTAAATAATAAGGATACAGAAGTGATAGAAAGGGATTTAAATAGAACATTCCCTGATAATATTTTATTCAACGAGATGGTTGTCACTAAGCTGAGTAAAACTTCCAGCACAAGCTTTACTAATGTTGAGAATGAAAGCGAGACACCAATGATTCAATCATTACGTCGTGTTTTAGTTGCTTTCTCTTATTATCAGCCTCAGATTGGGTACTGTCAGTCTCTTAATTTCCTTGCAGGGATGCTTTTGTTATTCATGGACGAGGAAAGGGCATTTTGGATGCTTGTGATTCTAACAGAAAGAATTATTCCGAATGTGCACTCTAAAGATTTAGAGGGTGTTCACACTGATCAAGGAGTTCTTATGTTGACTGTAAAGGAGTATATCCCATCACTTTGGTCAATTTTAGGACGAACATATGATGGGGAAATATTAGAGAAAGATAAAATTTTGACAAGACTACCTCCGGTTACTCTTGTTACATCTTCATGGTTCATGTCTCTTTTTGTTGGCATATTACCAATTGAAACTACATTAAGAGTTTGGGATATTTTATGGTATGAAGGTTCAAAGACTGTCTTTAGAGTATCTTTGACAGTGTGCAAAATGTGTTTAGAGGATCCCGATTTTCAAAGAACAGGCTCTTCATCAACAATGGGGGTAGAAACTGAGCAGATTGAATTATTTCAATTTTTACAAAATTATCCCAAATGTTTGTTGGATCCTAATGAAGTTGTTGATAAATGTTTCAAAAAAATTGGAGGATATGGATTTGGTTCAATATCTCAAGATGAAATCAATCATTGCCGAGATTTTGTATCTAAACAGCGTGCTAAAATGAAAGATAGGAAACTGTCTGCTCTTAATGCAGAATTGACAGATGAAGAGAGATCAATTTTGTTAGCTAACTCCAATTTTGATAATGAAATTCACGATGTTTATGGCTTCCATAGATCCATAATGAGTGGGGTTGTATGGAATCGAAACATAAGCAGTAAAATGAAGAAGAAGTTCTCTCGAAAGCACTCAACTGATTAAGTAATGGTAAATTATTAATACAGTTGTAATATTACATAGATGGCTTATGGCTATAATAAAATTTAATTTTGGTTCATGCACGTTATTGGTATTTAACTTGATAGTAATATGGGGAAGAAAATCATAATCATGAATGGATGGTATAAGAACCATATGAGAGTTCAAATATGCAATATCCATACTTAATATCACGATTGGGGGATCCTATTATAGCCGTCTCGATTGGTGTTGCTGCTTACTATTTGCATGAGAAGAGAGATGGTAGAGAAGAATCTCATCGTTTACATAATTTACTTCTACAGAAGTATAAGTCTGGCGAACCTCAGGCCTCAAATAATACAAAATAAGACAATATGTTAGTCATATATACATAATTCACATATAATATGAATAATAATAATAACAATACGTTTGTTAATTTAACTTTATTTAAACTATGGAAGACTTAAATTTACTCAAGACCGTAGTAGCATCTTCAGTATTCAACTCCAGTAGTAATGCCTCTTGAATCTTGGTCCATGTTTCTGACAGGATATTAATTGGACTCTTCTCATCAGTTTTCTCTTGTGTGTCCACAGTTTCCAATGACGCAGATTGTTCTATTTCTGGAGTGGCGACCATACATGTAAAACTCAAATCTTGGTCCAAGTTTAATGAAGACAATAATGACAGATCGTGCAAAACTTTACCTTTTAACAACAACTTGATATGTTTAGGGGCCACATGAGCATCTTTTAATAATGGTAATGAAGCAATCAAATCGAGCTTTGTTTTATAAATTGAATGAGATGAAGAGTATTCATTTAGACTAGTGGTAAATTTAAAAGGAGGTTTTATCGATTTAAAATTGATATTAATGAACGAATCCTTCTTTTCGCTTTGTTCCTTATTAGGTAATGGGGTATTAACTTTTGGTAAACTGGGACCTAATGATTGCACTTTAGAATAATCTGAAACCGAATTGAAATTATCAGGAGTAAGTGGTGTTGCCAATCCAAGCAATTGAACATATTTGGAGACAAAGTCCCTTTGAGAAGCAGCAACTGCAGACATTATAAATGTGTGGAGTATTGTATGGAAATATGTGAGTAATCGGGCCCTCCTACAACAAGAGTTTGTAAACGTTTTCAATACCTTTTCTCAAAATTTCCTCAACTTTCGTGGGGATCAAGTGAAAGGATATACACGAAAGAGAAAAAGGAGGCGTAGACTTCATTCAAACGGATCAACCAAGTTAACTACTGTCCTATATGAATTTCTTCAGGTCCTTCAACGTGGGAACTGATAATGGTCTCAATTATGCGCCATTATCTCAATCAGCTGGCCTGAATAACAATAATGGTTTACCTACTCCCGCCACACAACCAAGAAGCAAACCAAGCTTTTCTCAACGGCTAAAGAAATTGAATCCATTTGGAGATGATTCGATTTACTTAGAAGATGAACTGAACTACGTCACAAGTGAACCAGGCTACTTTGAGTTATCACGATGGGATCGCATGCTTATATTTGCGATAACTTTTGCAGGTTCGTTTTCATGTTATATGATCTGCATTTTTTTGTTCCCCGTATTAAGTTTGAAACCACGAAAGTTTGCCTTCCTCTGGTCTTTGGGATCGATATTGTTCTTAATAAGTTTTGGAGTCCTTCAGGGATTCCAACCTTATATGTTACATTTATTCCTGTCTACTAGAATCATTTTTACGGTGGTATTTGTTTCCAGTATTATATTGACCTTGGTAAGTAGTTTATCATTGAAAAGTACCATTCTCCTGATCATATTTGCCATAATTCAGTTGATTTCTGCCATATGGTATTCAGTCAGTTACTTTCCTATGGGTAAACAAACATTAAACTTGGCATCTTCGATTGCCAGAAGTCAAGCTGAAAGTTGGATTAACTCATAGTTAATCAATCTGTGTCTTCTGTATCTACAATTATATATAAGAATTGGTCCATTTATTTGGTATTACTAAAGTATGTAGAATCTAGATAATATGTTTCATTATTGACAGTAAATAGCTAAAAATGCGTCGGGTGCATCCTTCGTAAATTCTGGGAACGCAGCAATAATACTTTTGCTAACAACTTGAGCAATAGCAGAGTTGATTTGAGTATCTTTATTAATTGATTCGTCCAATTTCAAAACATATTCACCAACTAATCTCGATTTGGCTGAACCCCTACGAGTCATGACCTTCTCTAAGCTACGGATGGCTTGAAGGGCCAACACGTATTTCCCTTCATTTAAATATACGTTGATGACAATTTCCCATGGGGTCTTCAACATTGGATCTTCATCTGAAACAGTTTTAGCCAACTCAAGCAAAATATCCATAATCTTACCATTCGCATTATTTTGTAAATCAGAAAGCGCCTTCGATCCAAATGGATCCTGGTCATCCTTTTCCAGTTCTACCAATGGGACCAATTTAGATTTCTTTTTGATCAATTGAGATTTGGGAGATTTCAGTTTCTTCTTCCCATTGGATTTTTTCTTTGACTTGGTGTCTTCTTCTTCTAATAGCTCCTTTAATTGAGCATTGTGCTTTCTTACTTGATCATCATAGATTTCAAACATAATTCCGGATAATCCCTTGATAACCCGGATATAAATTGGAGTAGTATGGATCTTATCCTCCCACTTCAACGTTTCCACATAATCTCTAGGAGTACCACGCCTTGGACAATAACTATGGAAATCGTATTGATCTTGGAAAAATATCTTAAAGTTTTTGACAATTGCATTGTATCTCTTCAAAGCCAATCCCATATACATATCAATGTTTTCCAAAATTTCTTCCTTCTCTTCTTCAATATTCTTATCGCCTTCTTCATGTTCATCCTTAGCTTCAAGGGCTTGTAACTGCTTAACATAGTTTTTGTATATTCTAACGTAAGCCTCAGCACTCTCGACTAAAACCCAGTTTGCTTGCATAACATGTAAATCCTTCAAACCATTGGCTGCATCCTTGTCAAGCTTTGTGAACAAGGAAATAGTATCAATAGCCTGGTCAACCTTATTAGCTCTGAGAAGATACTTTGTTGATTTAGAATTAATGAACCGATCCTGCAAATCTAACTCACGGCCCTCTTCCATAATAGCACTTGCTAATTCATAATCGCCCTTGTGCTTTATAATTCTAGCCTTAAGAATATACAATTCAACTAAAGTGGGAGTATGCTCAATGGCTTCATTAATGGACTCCTCTGCCTTTTCTAAATCATTGACATACAAATAATGTTGGGCAAGAAAAAACTTAGTCCAAACAGCAACGGTAGGATCAAACTGAGATAACTCAAGGTTATGGAATTCATTGACTATGTCAAAAATAATAGCTCTCTTGGCCAGGTTCTTGTATAATGGCTTCAAGTTGACGAAAGTAGCTGGAAATCCTCTTTTCAATTGAGACAACAAATATTCTCGCACTCTTGACTTGAATTCAGGATGAGAAGCAGGTAAGAATAATAAAGGTACAAACTTTGGTGGATCTGATTTAGGATAAAATGAAGCTAATTTGTCAAATAATTTCAATCTTATTTCAACTGGTTTTGAAGCAGATTCCAAAGATGTTTCGAGCAAAATGTAAAACTGGACGTTGTCGGGATTACGCTTCAAAAGTTGACGGTATACCACGCTTGCTTCTTTCTTGCGGTTTAACATAAGCAAATAACGACCCTTCATCTCCAAAAACGCCAACTTATCCTTGATTTCCCTCTCATCTTTTTCAAGTTGGTCTAACGCCTTTTCAACTAATCCGCTTTCACCTATCAATTGAATTTTATAAAGAATACATTCACTTTGTTCATATCTGTCCCCCTCATTCAAGTGTTCTCTAATGATATCCTCAATTTTCTGTAATGTAGTGTATGCTTGTTGATGATCACCATTCATATGGTGAGCAACTGCCACACTGGTCCAGTTTGCTCTATAACCAGGTTGCTTCTCCAAAAATTGTTGTCTGGTAACCACTAAGTTCTTGTAATCTCTAATCTGTGTTTGAACATAAGCCAAATCTCTAATGATTCCCGTATTAGGGGAGCCATTATCAACTGCAGCCTTCATCCACTTGGCAGCTTCTTCGTAGTTATCGATTAACTTATAGTACATTCCAGCCAAGTGATTAACATAGTGATTTCTGGGTTCCTTTCCAATTGCCTTTAAGATTGGAGCCTCGGCCTCGGATTTGTTGCCAAGCTGATAGTTGAGGCATCCTTTCAACGCCAAACATGCAGCATGATTACTATTTTTCTTCAAACTGGCAGTCACAAGTTTTAAAGCTTTTTTGTGCTGCAGCTGATCGTATAACTTCAATGCTTCATAAAAGTTCTCATCTTCCTTATTGGTCAAGATGGGTGCACCCACCTTCTTCTTTTGAATCAGCTTTGACATCGTTAATGATGGATGGTGTTAACGAACTAGTTTCGCAGATTAACAACTGAATTTTTTTGATCCATTTTTTTTTCGTTGGTAGAGTTGTTGATGATTGTATGTCGGAATCTTGATCTTCTGCCAAACTTTTACAGATTCTAGTACTATCAAGTAGTTTTCACGAGCTGTTTACCTTGTAATTGTAGTTGTAATTAATGAAATGTTCTGGAGGACTCATCTAATGATATTCATGAGTTTAAATTTTGCTTTTTCAATACAGCAGCGTACTCATTCTGTAGAGATGTTGCAACTGGTTGCAAATTTTAAATTTTCACGTGATAAAATCTAAATAAGCGGTTAGATAGAAACACATTAATGTAAAAGAGGATTATAAGGCATAAATGTATTCGGAGCACATATCTTGAATATATATAACGTCATCAACCAACTTAGCCAAAAATTAATGACTGTGATATTAAATTGTAGAGTATCTGACTCTTACTCGACAATCTTTATTATTGCTCTAGCTAAATACTCTTCGAAGCACCTCGATTGACTGCACAAACACAGCGCCATAGTAAGTTTGATTTACTATTTAATAAGCCAAATTGCATGGAATGAAAAGAAATTAGGGTAATAGTTCAAATCCAGTTAGAAGAAGGACGAAGATTTGGTAACACCAAAGTTGACATTTTTACTTTTGTTAAGAGTAACGCTATTTTTTTGGGAATTTAATGCATATAAAAGGGAATATTGAGATAAAATCAACTTTCAATTACATTATAAGTAATTTTAACTTGAATATAGAGAATATAGAGTGATAGTATATTTCAAAAAGAAAAATCAACAACATCTACAATGAACATATTGAAATTTTTACAAAGCAAATGTACATTTACGTGCTGAAAATAGAGTTACCCTTTAGCCGTATCTTGTGTTCGACTCAATTCAACAATTGCATCTGAGCCTGAGCCTTTAATTTCACCCACAATGGGTTGCAGACGACGTACACCAATGCTTCGTATAGAAAAAACAATTGAGAAGAGACTGTGATTTTCTCCTAATACGATTATTCGGCTGTTTGATAGATTAGGCTGTAAGTGTTTTAGATGACTTGTTTTATTTCCGCAAAATCTATCAAAGAAAAATGCACATAACGAGGTATTACAACCAACAATCGCATAAGGAGTTTGCAGAAACTAAAACCGACATACATAAAATATAAAGAAAAAATGGGGATATATGGAGATAAAATAACAATCTGATTATAATTCTACGATCCAAGCAACTGAATTTTAAATTAGGAGTTACACGTTGCATAGATAATAGGGCAACAAATAATAGAAAGAAGGTAGTGTTGACGTAACTATAATCTAAAAGTCTAAACTAAAATATGGCTATGGAAACTAGTTGATGTACTATGTTATTTCCGTTGCTGTGGCGGGGCTGGTATCGGATGGTTTTTTACTTGGTTAGAAAGTAAGTTGCTTTTCTAAGGTAATGTCATGAAACAGAATACCGTTGGCAGCGAAAAACTGCGGATCAACATCTAGTGCAACCGGAAGTTAAAATCGGTTTTTCGGAATATAAAATTAAGCAACCCATGCCAAAATTGTCTCCATAGTACCTTTATCAAAAGACGAGATTTCGAAATACCATGAGTAATCTGATCGGATTTTGTCGGCAGTAAAGTGCATAATTGTACCAAAACGTTTCTCCGAATACTCATAGCTTTTATGTAGACGCTTCGTGAAACCTCGGTTCTAATTACCAATTGGGCTTAACTCCATGGTTCAAAGAGCCCTACAAAAGTCATTCAACCTGATCGCCGACAAACTCCGTGAAATCTCCGTTGGATTCAGCCGTGAATTTAGTTATTGTGGATTTTGGATTGACATGATTTAACGCATTAGTGTATACAAGGTTTTGAAAAGGGTAGCGCAATGATCCCACCCCTCCTTCCATTATTGAAAACGTTTCATGCGGTGAAACACTTATCACCGCTTGTTGAAAGTCCACAACCGTTGACACTTATATGTCTCATAAGGAATAGAGCCTGTATCGAACGCTATACCGATATCGCTGAATCTAAATTCGTTCCTTATGGTTTACGGACGACACATTTGGTTAAGCACAGCCCGAACATACCCTATTACGAAGTCATATAATACTAATTCTTTGTTGTAGCCTTTCGGCCTTTGTTGAAAGCAATTCAGCACCCAGTTATGAACTTTATGCCCGATGTAAATGCATCTTTGTGACACCTTCTCATAGACTCTTGCACCCTTAATCTTCCAGTAATGTTAACGAACAAGAATACTATTTATACAATACCAACGTCCCGCATAAATTTGATGCCTTGCAGATTAGTTTATTAAAAATTTTATTAAGTAGATGTACGGCTTTATGTCGTAACTAAGGTTCTTAAAGACAGAGTCAAAGTATTTATCGAAGCAATCTTGGCAATCCTCATATATTTTCAGCGTCCGTTAAAACCATTTGCCAATTCAATGGGATACAACACTTAAAGTCCCTTCAACCAGATCTATTAGTGCGACTTAGTCAAATCACCTAATCGAAACTTAAGGAGCTTTTTCACTCTGTGAACTAATTGCGTAAGCCTCTAGGCACATTTTTTTGAAAATTGATCATCAATAGATTTACCGCCTTGTCCTTTTAGACTTGAGCTTTTCACACACGTTTCAAAGGTATGGCGTATAACGAAGATAACGCGTTCCAAACACACAATAATACAACTAGGATCAGCGTTGAAACAATATCTCCATATACACCGTCTTCGGTTCATCCCTCAACTCCCCATTCCTTATCTACGACAGCTTCGAGCCTTCACAATATGGATAACCCCAACGAAGCCAATTCCGATAATAACGGCAGTAAGAAAAGAGAACGAGTGAGTAAAGCTTGTACCTTTTGCAGAAAGAAGAAAATCAAATGCGATGGGATGATGCCATGTGTTCACTGTATCAATTCCAACAGTTCCGATTGCCACTATGCGCTTGATGTTGTTAAAAAGAGAACAAGGAAAACAAAGGCAGCGATGGCCGCAGCAGCAGCAGCAGCAGCAGCAGCAGCAGCTAATACTACTAGTACAGAGTTGAACCAAAATAACTCCCGTAGAAACAATAATATTGGCAATAATCGTTCAGAGATATTAGAGACATCGACCTCTCGTGGTCTGACAACCATTTACGAGCAAGATTATTTTTCAGCTTCCAGTAAGGATAAGATCTCCAAAGCTCCAAACCACAAGAGATTCGATGATTTGGATTCAAGAATGAATAGACTAGAAAGTTTATTGGTCAATTTAACCAATAAAATGGATCACTCAATCATGCGTATTTCAAGGTCCTCATCTGGAACGAGAAGAGGTAGTTTTGAAAGCGAAGACCAGCTGTCTCTAGTAACTACTCTGATCAATGGCCCACCAGGTCCTCTTGGAGATGAGTATATTAAAAATCATGATGATCAAATTGAAAGCAATTCACGGAAAAACGGAGGGAAAGAGCGTTTTTCATTAAACCCACTTTCTCTGCCAGGCAAGAATAAACGCCTGGCTGGTGATGCGCCTACAGACACTTATAATGGCTTGGATATGTTTTGTGGGAATCAGTCTATTCTTCAAATTTTCACTGATAGTTCCATTGAGTGGTTGGAATCAAAAGTCGGTCCTAGTAACGCCCAAATAGTTCTTCCATTGAAAAATCTAGGGCACAACTTTGTTCAGACTTTAGATGAATTTGCTAATAACTTCATGGGCCCTTTAACCGAAGGTAACACTCGCTATGATTTTGGTAAGCTTTCCCTAGATCGTGACGTGGCCCTCTACTTAGTCGATAAGTTGGAAGATGTATTTCTTGTTTCTTTCATCGTTGATCAAAAGCAAATAAAGACGTTGGTCAAATATTATTATGATCAACAATCGAATCCAAATCTTCGAAAGAGAAGATTGTATTTTTCAGAAATGATGATGATTAATGCAATCTTGTCTGTATGTTTAGGAGAAGAAATAGATTATCGCATTACTCAAGAACGAGCTCTGAAACCTAAACCAGGTAAAAGGGAACCTTTGGGATTGGAAAAATTGTCTGTTAAGGAAATGGTTGAATATCAACTAAATTTCTTTCGAAATGCGTTATTTTATTACACCAGAGTTTGTGTGGTAAATCAAAACGTGCTTACTCTTCAAGGAATTTTGGTACTCATTTTGCATACTGAAATGGGATGGGCACCAGGCATTAACTATGTGATGACTGCGGTTGCAGTAAGATATGCCCATGGAATGGGTCTCCACAGAGTTGAAACACTAACTGGTTTACCATCGGAAAGACAATGTCTTTATAGGAGAATATGGTACTTGTGCCAATATTTGGACATGGATATATGTTTCCGTGATGCAAAGCCTCCATTGATTAACGCTAACGATGTATCCACTCTTACTGAACGGGATAATCATAGTCTTCATATAGTTGATCATAAAGAAGTGGATCATAATTCGGTACTTTTTGATGCAGCACTTTCCTTCAGTCCACTAACAAAAGATTTATCAGACAAACTAAAAATTATACAGGGCAACCATGCATATTGTGGCCATCTTTTGCTAGCTCTTACTCGCATTCGGCATGATTCTTATGTGAGATTGCACAGTGCACTGGCGAAGTATACGTCTTTCGATCAATTAGTTGAAGTAATTAAAGGACTCGACAACCAAATGTTTGAATTGGCAGAAAGTTGTGATCATCGTATCAAGCCTCGCTTTTACAACGAGCCAGATTTTCAAAATTTCACACCTAAGAATGTGTTTGGTTACGGCCATTTCGGTGATGCCGGGTTGCAGAACTTGGTGACCTTGCAATTAACTTATTTCCTTCATATGATGACCATCAACAGATTACCATTTCAAGCATCATTTTATGATCAAGAAGAGAATGCAGATACAGCAAGAATAAGGAACCTCTCTGTTTACTCTGCACGTACCATATTGTCGTTAACCCTAAACTTAAAGGATATGGACGTTCCTTTCCTGTTTTACAGTTATATTATTTGGTTTCCATTTGCAGCTTGTCTTTATCTTCTCACTGTTGTCATTAATAGACCCGGTGGAACTGAATGTATGGAAGACATTGGATTGGCAGTCGAAGCTAGTTACAATTTATTTGGAACTCTTCGGGAAAAATATGCTGGAATCGAGCATCCCCACACTTTTAACGAAAAGATGCTAATGACTGATGTAATTATACGTGTGGTTTTAAACATTGCCATTAATGTTGCCGATAGTAATTCTGAAATGGGATTTTTGAACGATGAGCGTTTGCAGCAACATTTGCGAGAATCCCATACAATTGCACCTCACTTGTACACTATTACCCAAGACAAAACGATGCCTAAAATTAATTTCAAACTTGCAGATGGCCATTCTTCAGCATCCAGTTGCAATTCACCAAACTTTGGGAATATATCGCCAGCTAGACAGACCACTAGGAATGGCAATAGCCATATGCTGCCATTAAATTATTGTCCAATTGGCACTCATATTCGACAAAATGATATGATAAGACCGAAAGATATTAACACAGTTGACTCGCCAACAAGTTCGAATTCAACACACCATAGAATGGATAGCACCCCATTTATAAGTACTATTATGGGCAACCAGAACACTGGGAATTTGGATTCATTTCCAATTCCAAACCAGGATGAATCTTTGGATTATTTAAATGATGGTACTATATCTAATTTGTTTAGCGGGCAGTATTATAATTTGCCCAACTTTTTCTTTGATAATAATGTTGGCTACTGATGATTGGGTTTACGAAACAGGTTTTCGATTTTTTGTTACTTACTTGGATGGGTTTTTTCTTGTTTATTTGTGTCTCTAATAATAGGCTTTTCCTTCAAATTAAAGTATTGCTGTAAATATTACGTCTAAGAAAACGAGATTCATCTTTTTTGATGAGTTTTACACACAATATTAAGAATTATACAACGTAATTATCGGGTTCTAATAACACCAGCAGCAATCAACATATTGATCTTCTTGGCCACATCAGGGTTTCTCATATGGTCAGCTAAAGCAGCTGGGTTATCACGAGCTTGAGCCAAGATTCCTTGCATGACAGGGTCTTGTAAAATCTTAACAACTTCAGGATCTCTTGAAACTCTTTCCATTGTTTGTTCAGGGGTTTCACCTTCAATTGCTTGGAATCTTTGAGACATGGCTTTGTTATAGAGTTGATCAATTTCATTGGAATTCTTATTACCCAATTCGGCATCCTTTGCTTTTGCATCGTTCAATGTTTCAATAACAGAAGAATATTCCTTCATACCAAGTTGACAGTTAGCCTTACGAATGTACGCTCTAATGAAAGTTGGATCCAACGAAATTGCCTTGTTACAATCTTCAATAGCATCTGGGTATGACATCAACTTCGATAACGCAGCAGCTCTGTTAGAATACCCTCTTGCATCTTCTGGTGCTCTCTTAACCATCTCGGTGTAAGCTTTAACAGCATTGGGCCAGTCACCTTTAGTGAAATACTCCTTACCTTCTTCTCTGGCTTTTTCGGCCAATTCAGGGTCAATGTATGATAATGCCTCTTGTTTCTTGATCTCCTTTTGGGTAGCTCTTAATTTGTTCAAAACATCTGGTGTTCTGTGTTCTGTTAAAGACTTGTCGAAACTCTTTGCAGCAGCATTCAAGTCTCCCTTCTTCAAGTAGGTGTTACCTAATCTAGCGAATGCCTTAGCAATAAGAGTATAATCAGCTCTAAGTTCTCTACCTGTTTCAATAGCTTCTTCACAAGTGGCAATGGCTGTGTCATAATCTCCCTTTTCGTATTCAGCTGCAGCACGATTATTGAGATATGTTATGTCTTTGTGTGCTTCCCAAGCACAGTTATACTTAGCAATGGCCTCGTCAAACTTACGAGCCTTGTAAAGGGTGTTTCCTTCAGCCTTTAATGTATCTGCAGCTGCCTTTTCATCAACATTAGATGAATCGGTGGTGGTAGCATCTTCCATTTCAACGTCTTGTGATTCTTTTGTTTCCTTATTTTGAGGAATTTCTTCCTTCTTTGACAGAGCAGGGGCTTCTTTCTTTGGTTCTTCAGAAGTCGTAGCAGCGGGAGTAGCTGGAGTTGGGTTTGCATCAGGATTCTCTGGCATGTTAATACCAAGCAAGACAGCCATGATTTGAGTCATTCTTGGGTCAGATAAAACTTCAGCAAAATTAGCTTGTGGGTTAGACTTAAGACGGGTCAACTTATCCAAAATTGAAGGGTCTTCCATAAAAGAAGCAGTCTTTGGATTAGCTTTTAATTTAGCTACCAATTGTGGATCATTGAACAATGATCCCAATCCCATATCAGGACCAAAACCTTCATTAGATACAATTTGAGATTTCACAGCTTCTATACCTTCTTTGGCCATTGCATTAGCTGGATCCAAATCTAAAGCTTTTTCATAAGCAGCCAAAGCATCTTCAAAGTTTCCCAAACCAAATTGAGCAGCAGCAACTCTATTGTGACCCTTTGCCCAAGTAGAATTGATGCTAACACATTCCTTAGCATCGTCTAACGCCTTTTGAAATTGCTTCAATGATGCATAACATGCTGAACGATTAGAATAAAGAACATGGTTTGGTTCAGGGGAAGCTTCAATAGCTTTGCTGAATTCCTCAATAGCCTTTCCAAAATCCTTGGCTACAAAGTATTGGTTTCCCAACTTTTTATATTCTTCTGCTGACATTTTAGTTTATTAAGCAATTGAGCATAAAATTTTCTATAATTGCTGCTAGCAAATGATTCAAATTAAAACACTAAAGCTTACGTATAGATCAAATAGATTTATCCACTCAATCTCACCTTACCAAATTACTTTTATATTTGATTAAGTCGCGGACTGAAAATTTTCAGGTTTTCTAGAAGTTTCGACGTGCGACATTGGAATACATGGAAACGAGTAGAGTACAACATATAATCATGAGTTCACTCATATACAGCCAAGAAATACATGGTATTGAATGAAGTTAAAGAAATTTCTTAAATTTGTTCTTGTAACTTTTCCTTATCTTACACAGCTCTACCATTGGAAAACAGCACCAAATTTGTTTACACAGCCAAAATGTAGTGTAAGTAAGAAAAAGCAAAACTTGGTAAAAAACTAACTAGTAAATCTAAGAATCGAAGGATGTTACATAGATTCTAACAACAAAGGGGCACAGAACACGAAAAGGTTCCAAAGAAATGAAAAAAAAGCAATCAGATATCTTTTCAAAGCACAAATTGCTTAAAATGCTGTAGATTCCAGAATCGTATTTTCAACAACTTGGTCAACTAACTCCAATGGATAAGCAGGTCCATAGCCATAACATTTTTCATTACCACGTAATTGACCAATAATTTCTCCAACGTCAACATCTTGATAATCCACATCAAGTTGTTGAGCTTTCAACTGTATATAATCCCATACAGCAGTCATGGCAAGTAACTTGGCTCCAGGGTCATCAGGATTATCATATACTGTCATTTTGCTGAATTCAGGATTTATTACATGCTTTGAACCACTCATAATTGTTTCGATAAAGTCTTGTTGACTCTCAGGAAAAGTAAACTTAGTGTTGGAAACAGTTCCCTGCGATCTAAGTACTTCATTCTCACTTTGAATGGATAAGTTTTGTTGACGTACCATGTCCAATTGATCCAACAACTTTTGCTTTTCTTCCTCGCTTTGCATTAAACGAGCTTCCAAATCCTTAAGTTTGGTTTCCTTCCGTTCTCGGAAGGCACGTTGGGCAGCTCTGTTCTGAGCTTTCTTCTTTCTTTGCAATTGCTCCTCAGTTAAATCCCAATCATCCGTCAGAAGCAACTCAGCATCTGGGTCTTCTACGGTTGGCTTTCTTGTCTTAGCTCTCGTAGCAGAATTGGCGGCCTGTAACTTTTGACCTTGAGTAAGACCCAGTGAATCTTTTTGCTGTTGGGAATAGAAATTATTTTCAGCAGTTGAAGTAGAAGAAATAGGGGATGCTACTGTTCTGTAACTTCTATTCAAAGGAGATGAACCATCCGAATGGGGTCTATCAGAACGAGGCACAGCACTATTCTCTTGTCCATACGTCGAATCTTGAGCAGCAGAAAAATGTTCAGGTTTCAAAGAATACTCGTGAGCTACCCTGTCTACTGAGGCATAGACCATAGAGCCATCATGAGTAGCTCCTGGTATCATTGAAGGTGGTGTCATTCCAAGAGGCTGAGCGTGGTTGACCACCTCTCCCAATTGTCGTTGCTGATTAAACAACATCATGTTATCGTAGTTTAATTCCATTGATTGTGACTTGTATATGTCGTACTCGTTGGACGTTCCCTCCATCTTTGGTACAGCCTGTTCTTGTATTCCTCCGGTTATGGATAGCTTGGTATGACCAACGTCAATGGGCATCTTGACATCTGGCCAAGCGTTATCAATTTCACCTGGATCTTCGCCAAAGCTCGTCATGTTGCTTAATCAGTTAACAGATGAAAAATGTATTCGTACCAAAATTGATTTGAAAGGGTGAATTTGTCGTATATCGTTTGAAGGTAGAATAAAAGTATCAAGCTACTACAAATATGTGTTCAAACTATTAGAACCAAGAACGTCTTCACCAAGATAATACTCTCTTCTTCGATATAAAGTATAGCTTAATAAAAGGTGTTATACTAGTTTGACTATTTTCAGAAATAACAGCGGGAAAGAAGGTTTTTAACTACTATTTTGTTCTAGATGTGGGTTGCAGTTTGAAGGGGCACTAGAAAAATTTAAGCCTGCTGATAGATATATTTTTCATCAAACAACTATTATTCATTTAGTAAGTGTAGGAACAGAAACAAAATATATATCACCCTGTTCTATACATGAATATAGTGTACTGATGGTAAAGATAGTTTTTAGGGCTATTCGAAAGCTACTTTCCCACCAGTAACGATCTGGAAGTTGTTGAAACGAGCAAGCGAATTATCATTAAACAGAAGGGAGAAATCATCCAAGAACTATTGGCAAGTGCTTCAATTTTTGGAGATCCTTGTTTGTATCAAGTTGAAAAGTCCCCGGCTAGCCGCGCATTGTATGTGCTCGTGATTATGTGTCTTTTTCTGGAATTACCACTCCGATACTGCCGTGTGTTCACAATTGAATCCTATTGGGTAGCATGTAGTATACTTTGATGTATTTTGCGCCTTTAGACCCTCGTAATTAGGGTGATACGACGGGATGTTCGGTCTACGGCTTTGCAAACAATAGGGAATTAAAACATAATGGATGTTCACAATCTTAAGTATTATTTTACGATAAGGTTGTTCACACAACCTACAACTTGACTGCCCCACTTCTGTGCTTCGTATATTCCGGATTAAAGGCTAGTGAGAGCACATCCGAGTGCTAACTCCCTAGGTTTATCGTTGAACAGTTGATTACATTGTATAATTGTATAGTGGCTAATTAGCTAAACTAACAGGCCATCAACCCGTGCCAACGTTCTTAATTTTTGACACTAACAACACTGGTTTTAGGATTACATCCAAACAATCCAAAGATTTTTGCGGAGCCGTGCGTTCATGCAATTTGCAAAAAATTTACTTCGACCGATAAAACCTTAGTGCAGTCGATTCTTTCTATTTTTGTGTATGCCTTACCCAGAACAGCAATTTAAATGGGGTACTCATTTACGAAGGGGGGTTTGAACTAAAACCACAACCATTGATAATTTGTTTATTGTCTACGTGATGGAGTTATATTTAATAACAATCGTTGGTCTAGAGTAAGTATTCATCATGTGGCCACTTATATATAAGACAACTTGCGTTAGCACAATTAATGCTCTACAAAGTGGAATAGGAGAAATGAGAGACATTGTTCCCCTCCCTTGAATCAAACCTCCAAATAATCCTGTATTCCGCAAAAGGTTCCATCTTATTGTAAAATTTACCCGTGTGTCCTTGATGGGTGGAGGCTAAAAATCCATTCAACTAAACAAACCAAAAGAGGAAGGTGCGCGGCTCAAAATCCTTGATTCCCGCCCCTAACCGTCGACAACCGGGGTCTTCGCCAGCCGAAATCGAGATATAGGCCGATAAGGCCGTTTCCTGCAACTCCCACTTCCATATTGTACCTGAGTTTAAGATTTATTCATGTGCATCGTAAATCTGGGGTGCATAACCAAATGGATTTTACTTTGATCACAAGCAGCTGTTCTTTCCATGAAATGAAGTCTTATTAGTATCATTTATTACTTTAAGGTTCCCTGCAATTCGATGTATTTGGTAAGCAAAAGCCAATTGCCTCATATGGAAGCCCATTTCCAGAGTGCGAACGGCGTTGGAAAAACCTATACACTCAAAGTTTGAATTGCCTTACAACGTTTCAACCTCTAATGCGAACTGTAGGAACGAACAGCAATACCGAATTATATTTTGTAGGGTTCAACAAAGGCCACTAAGTAAACTACCTTTGATTGATAGCTAGGTAATGTGTTATATACACAACACAGGGCCTTAATGTGATTTGAAAATGATTCACCGAGATGACAAGTATTGAGTGTGGTGGAACCACGTCTGGTTGCAAATCCGTTAACCCTCATAACGCCGTGAGGAACTTTTGGAGTTGCAAAGGTACCGCAAAAATTTTTCTATAAAACTTAAACTTTGGCATGATCTTCACTTTACGGAGTAAATTCAATCTGTACTCTTTGACCAGCTTGCCAGTGGGACGTCTTCATAACAATGAGTGACACCACGATTTCAAAGAAGAACTCGGTGTACTCACAGGACATCGAGCACCTTAACTTCTCTAAAACCGAATCAAACCAGACACCATACCCCAATAAACATGAACTTTCCGAAGGATCCAAATGGTCTCGTTTTAGAGACTCTTTCAAGCCAGCGCAGGTATCGTATGAACTTGATAGCGAAGGCAATCAAGTTATACAAACACAAGGTGCCTTGAAAAGAGATTTACAATCAAGACATTTACAAATGATTGCTATTGGTGGATCCATTGGTACTGGGCTCCTTATTGGGCTGGGTGGATCATTAGCTACAGGAGGTCCAGCTTCCTTATTAATTGCTTGGGGTCTTGTGGGTACTATGGTTTTTTGCACAGTCCACAATCTAGGTGAACTTTGTATTGAGTATCCTGTCAATGGTGCTTTTTCTGCTTATGCTACGAGATTTGTGGACCCATCTTGGGGTTTTGCTGTTGGCTGGAATTATGCCTTAATGTGGTTGATTGTCCTTCCTTTGGAGTTAGTTGCTGCCGCCTTATGTATCAAATATTGGAACTCAGATATAAATCCAGTGGCTTGGGTCGGAATATTCTACATTGCAATCGTTATTATTAATGTGTTTGGAGTAAGAGGTTATGGTGAAGCCGAAGTCATTTTAGTATCTGTCAAGGTGATGGCCATTGTCGGTTTCATTATTCTTGGTGTTGTCCTTGTATGTGGTGGTGGACCAACAGGTGAATTCATTGGAAACAGATACTGGAAAAATCCTGGTGCTTTCAATCATGGTTTTAAAGGGGTTTGCTCAGTTTTTGTTACCGCCTCTTACTCTTTAGCCGGTACTGAGATGGTAGGTTTGGCAGCTGCCGAAACTAGAAATCCAAAAACCACATTGCCAAAAGCCGTGAAGCAAGTGTTTTGGAGGATCATCTTTTTCTATATTCTTTCCCTTACATTTATTGGATTACTAGTACCATATGACTCACCGGAACTTTTGGGAAACTCTGGATCTTCAGCTTCCCCATTTGTTATAGCCATCAAAAGTGGAGGTATCAAAGTATTGCCATCGATTTTTAATGCTTGTATTTTGATTTCCATTACCTCTGTAGGAAATGGTGCTGTTTACGGTTGTTCTAGAACATTACAAAGTCTTGCAGAACAAAGTCTTGCTCCAAAATACTTAGGATACATTGATTCTAAAGGTAGACCATTGGGGGCTTTGCTTACATCATTAGGATTCGGCTTGTTATGTTTCCTTTCGGCTTTGAGCAATGTAAGTGAAGTCTTCAATTGGATGTTGAGTGTTTCTGGTCTTGCTACTATTTTCTCCTGGTTCAGTATAAACTTAGCTCATTGGAGATTTAGAGGTGCTTGGAAACAAAGAGGCAGGACTCTTGACCAGTTACATTTCACAAGTTTAACAGGTATTGGAGGTTCCATATACTCAATGGCTTTTTTGACATTGGTTTTAGGAGTTCAATTTTGGATAGCTTTAATTCCTGTTGGGAGTTCGAAGCCTAATGCAAAAAATTTCTTCCAGAACTATTTAGGAGTGTTGGTGATTATTGTTTTCTACATTGGTCATAAGACAGTGACAAAGAATTGGAAAATGATTATTTCATTGGAAGATATAGACATCGACACTGGTAGAAGATTCAACAATGCAGAACTAATGAAGTTGGAGAAAGAAAGCGAGGAGGAGGTTGTGGTTGGCGAGGGCAGACTACGTAAGTTCCAGAATATCTGGAGACTCATCTCCAAGTAACTCATGCAATTCTGGAGAGATCTTTTCTTTCTCTCTTGCCTTTCTCCTTCTATTTGAAACCCTGCCACATTAATGTTAGTAATGCAATATTAAATGAAGTAAAAAGCTAAAAGTATACGTACCAATTCCGGACCTGTTGACCAGATAACCCTGTAATATCTATCAAATATACAAGAGATTCATCATTCAAGTAGGGGCTACGCTTATTTGTATTGTACCATGACCTGAGAATACTCAACTGAAAATCCGAAAACTTTCGGTGCCCTATATCGGAAAAGCTAGTTTGTACACCAGCAAAATCCGCATCGGAATCATTTACTAACTCTCTCATATCATAAGTATTCGTAATAGGGTGACCAGGTAAATTGTTGACATTGTTGCTAGTAAGACTTCTGGATGAAGCTTGAAGTACCTTTTCTAAAGATTGACGTTCCTCGTAAACACTCAATAATATTGCGCTAAGCTTATTGATTTTCCCTAGAGCCTCCCTATCCAGTGTGGATAACATTTCGGAGGCTTCAACACGATCGACTGATTGAATTATGTGAAATATGTCTGAACGTACTGAATTCTCATCGAAATCCTTGATGGCACATAAAGTTGATATATGAATTTTAAGTAACGAAATTATGGAATTAAGATCACTCATAATTCGTTGCTCCTAGCAAGAATTATTGAATTTGATTTAAAATCCCAAAGAACTAGAAACATGTCTATATAAGTAATGGAAAGGCACATTCTTGTAACAAGTTGGAAGTACTGATGTGGCAAGGATTATGGCTTTGTGGCACATACCCCTTAAAATACCAATCGCTAAAGAGAAAATTCCAACTTCGGAAACAATCTTGGGAACGCCACATTATTCACATCTTCAAGGCCTATCAATAGTTTTCTTTTTGAGGATATCGGGGTGGAAGCAAGTATCAATTCATACAGGTCCGTAGAGTAATTATTAGAAATTGCAGTTTGGGAATTAAATAAGCTCCAATAATTAATAACTCTTAAGGTAGGAACAATTTCATCCATTCTCTAAAACAATAATGGGACTTGTTTCAAAGCTAGACAAATTAAAGATTAAAAGCAGTGACTCCGATAAGGAACCTTCAATGAAGTTTTCTCAGCTGAAACCCGAAATGGTTACCGGAAATGAAAAGAATGAGAATACGGATGATATCGATGAAGTAGACAACGAAGGAAGTTCAATTATCAGGGCTATCATAGCGCAACTTAAGCCCGGATGTGACCTAACCAGGATTACACTTCCTACTTTTATTCTCGAGAAGAAATCGATGTTGGAAAGAATCACCAACTTCTTCCAAATTCCGGATATCATGCTCCAAGCCAATAACACGGAAGATCCATTAGAAAGATTTCTCTTGATCACCAAGTGGTATTTGGCAAGTTGGCACATTGCCCCCAAAGCTGTTAAAAAGCCGTTGAACCCCGTACTAGGGGAGATCTTTGCATGTTATTGGGATGATATGCCTGATGGAAGCTCAGCTTATTATCTTGCGGAACAAACTTCACACCATCCTCCCAAGTCATCTTACTTCTACTTGTCACCAGAAAATAAGATTAGAGTTGACGGGATTCTTATTCCAAAATCTAAGTTTTTGGGAAACTCCTCTGCAGCTATGATGGAAGGTTGGGCTCATGTGACACTTGGTAGATGGAGTAACGAAACCTACATAATGAACCAACCAAATGTATACGCAAGAGGAATTCTTTTCGGCAAACTTCGCTATGAGTTAGGTGATCATATGATTATCAAATGTCCGGATTCTGGCTACGAGGCTGACATTGAATTTAAGACGAAGGGCTACATTTCAGGTACTTATGACGCAATTGAAGGTAAAATTAGGAAAATTGGTAGTCCTGATACATTATTTACCATTACTGGGAAATGGAATGACGTGATGGAGATTAAAAACCATAAGACGGGTAAAATTACCACTTTCTATGATACTAACAATTCTCTGACACACAAGCCTAAGGTGAGACCGGAAGACGAACAAGCTCATAATGAATCACGCAAATTATGGGGCCCTACAATTAAGGCCTTAGCTAGGAGAAATCATACAGAAGCAACAGATGAAAAGTTCAAAGTTGAAGATGAACAACGTTCGCTTGCTAAGAAACGTATTGAAGATGGTGTTGAATTCCATCCCAAGTTTTTCCAGCCAATCACTCTTTCAGACACCACAAATGAGGAATTAGAATACATTATTTATAAGAAGTTTGATTTAGACAATGATCCAGAAACTCTTAAGAATCGTTTATTCGAAGTCATGGCTTTTCTTCCTGGACAAACACATGATGAAAAATTTGCTATACCGGCATACAAAAAAGTCAATCATTAATTTGCAGTAATACCTAATCCCACTAGTCTAAATAATCGACTTTTGACAATTATATATATATACAAATATAAATATATATTACTTAATTTATGCTTTCAACCTGCTAATTCATTGTCTAATGCCAAAATAATATTCGTTTGTAAGTAATCAAAAATACTGCATATATGTCAACTAGTAAAATTTAGAACAACACCCTGTTCACCGTTAACTATAAGACAAATGTCATAGAGTGACTATAGAATTCTTCTTCACCTGAAGGTGGTACAATGACTCATACCGACTACAAGAAAGTATATGATGAGATTCAATCAACAGAATTTGATACCTTTCAGTGTATTATTTACTTGAAGAGGTATTGCCATGTACTAGGAATTCATCATGCCTTAGTTAAAAAGTTGAGTACATTCACATATGATGAGTTAGAATTTTATATTCCCCAGTTCATTCAGCTAATTGTCAACTATGAGACCGATTCAATGGCATTAGAAGACTTTCTAATGGATTATAGTTCAAGGTACCCTCATTTTAGTTTGGTTGTGTTCTGGAATCTACAAGCTTACATTTTTGAGCTTAGGAATGAACCTGAATCATATCCCTTTCAAATTGTTAGAAGGTTTGTTAATAAATTACAGGATCTACTCTTCAATCCTGATGCTCCAATAAGAAAAGCCATTGAATTTCGTGAAAACCTCCAACCAGCTTTGGTTTTATGCGGAGCAATTGCAGCCGCATTCGCTTTGCCAGGTTTAACTGATCACGCTCTACCTTTAATTCGAAGTCAGGCCAAACAACAGAAATCATTTGTATTCAAGCTTGCAAACTTTCAGAAGACTTTGACTAAAAATTTAACATTGAAGAACCAAAGTATTTCTCATGAAACCACATCTTTATCTGATGACGAGAGTTCCTCTAGAAACCAAAAAAATGATAATATCAATACATTGTTACAGAGATCGGCATCCGTTTCAAGAATTGGCAATAGAAAGGAAAGCTTCCATGACGGCAGAAGATCGACTCTGAGCGTGTTTTCCGACGATTCAGAATTCTATACTACTGATGACGAATTAGAGCCTAGGAACGAACAAGAATTAACCAAGATGATGTCTGAAATGAGTTTAAGCAAAAGTCACACAGCTAAAGCGTTCAATGATTTGGAAGAAAATTTGCGTATAAATACCCTAATAAAGTCCAAAAAGAGCATAAGAGCCAAAACGGTAACAGGTTTTGTCAAAACAATTTCTACCATCAACCAAAGTACTCAATCACTTCCGGATTTAACCAAGGACACACAATCTTCAAAGATTTTGCCTTCGACAGAGTCAGAGAGCTCCCTTGTCTACCACACGCTGTCTACAGAATACGACTACCGTAAATCAGCGGATGGCGCCCTAAATGCCTTAAATGCTCCAACTTACCATAACTTGCTCAAAACTTTGCAAGTGAATTATGCAAAGAAGGAAACAAGTTTTATTTTAGCTTTACAGAACATCTCATTAAGATTGTCACAAGTTCCAAAAGAGGCCCGTCTATCTGCATTACGTGCTGAACTTTTATTGGTTAACGAGACTTTGCTTCCTTCTGAAATTGATATTCCACAACTTCTTCCGAAGACAAGCAGTAAAAACAAATATCACAAGATCTTGCGTTTGAGTGTTAATGATGCATGTGTATTAAACTCTGCTGAAAGAGTACCATTCTTATTACTAATTGAATATTTAAGCGATGAGCTTGATTTTAATCCATTTAGTGATTACAATCAAAAAATTATATTGAATAAACAAAATGGGGTTAGAGATGCAAAACAATTGATTGAAGGGTCCAACAACATTCAAACAGATTCTTATAAACGTTCTCCTTTGACAAATACCGCTTCCATGGCAGCTAACGATTCCATATACCAAGAATCAGAAACTGACTTAGGGGATTTACCAATGGTTTCTGGTCTGTCCCAAAACTTAAACAAGTTGGCAATTTTTGAGGGAAACATATCAACACCAAATTCACCAAGATCTGAATTCAGTGAGAAGGGAACAAATTCAAATGAAACACTGACAAAAGTATTGGCCGACCAGATGAGAATTGCTTCTGTAATGCTACAACAGTTAGAAAGTTCAGGGCAAGCTAATTCTGAACAGTCCATTGCAATCAAGAACCGTATTGTTCAATCGATGATTTCTTTACAGGACCAATTTGAGTTCATTAATTACGAGAAGTTAAATGAATTAAGAGGCGAGTCTGATGATGCTGGCGATAGAAAAATGGAGAATGACTTTATGGTAAGTGAAGATTGGAAGATGAAGAAAGCACGAATCCGGCAATCTAGTATATATGGCCATTTGAAAAACTGGGATTTATGCTCAGTAATTGCCAAGAATGGTGATGATTTACCTCAAGAAGCATTCGCTTGCCAATTAATTACTTTGATGTCTAGTATCTGGAAGAAGCACAATGTTGAATTCTGGACCAAAAGAATGAAGATCTTAATCACTAGTTCGAATACTGGTCTCGTGGAAACAATTAATAACTCCATGTCCATTCACTCAATCAAAAAGTCATTGACCGAGATGTCAATCAAGCGAGGAGAAAACCTACGTGGTCGTATTTTTACTCTCAAAGATTACTTTGAGGGCATATTTGGTCCACCTGAAGGAACTCGTTATAGGAAGGCACAAGATAATTTTACAACGAGTTTAGCTTCGTATTCGATAATTTGTTATATTCTACAAATTAAAGATAGGCATAACGGGAATATTATGGTGGACAATGAAGGCCACATTATACACATTGACTTTGGGTTCTTATTGTCCAACTCACCTGGTAGTGTGGGGTTCGAAGCTGCACCTTTCAAGTTAACTGCTGAATATGTGGAATTGATGGGTGGAGTCAACAGCCCTGTATATGCCAAATTCTTGAGAGTGTGTAAGGATTGTTTTAGAACTTTAAGAAAAGAGGGAGCACAAATTGTCAATATAGTAGAGCTTATGCAGAAGGATTCAAGCTTACCTTGTTTTAACAATGGAGATAATACGAGTGTTCTTTTGCAACAAAGACTACAATTAGATCTTGCTGATGAAAATATAGATGAATTTGTTGAAACTGCATTAGTTGGGAAAAGTATCGGCAGTATGTACACAAGATTGTACGATCAGTTTCAAATGATAACACAGGGTATATATAGCTGATTTTAAGCCTCCTATTGTGAGAATCGCACACACGATTTAACACATTTTATTCTTTTCAGTTATATTATTCCCACACAATTAAAAAAACTTTATTGGAACAAATAGGATGCAACAGATTAACTATTATTATGCATCCATATATATATATAAAGTACATCTTGTCCAAACTCCTTGTGAGCAGTGCGGTAAAGGGCAATTTTTTGGATGGTGGCGAAGAATACTAGAAACTATTATTTTGGCAAAAACTCGGTGGCATTAAGTACTAAACACGGTGCGTACAGTGATCCAGGTCTTTTGCGATGTACCTTGCGGTTGCAAAGTTTACCTCAACTTCCCAAAGTGAGTGATAGTTTGAAGGAGCTACTTGTGAAGTACCCAAAGAAAACCTCGGGTACAATTGTTGGTGGTTCCAAGAAAAAATTCCACAAAGTCAATGGATTTATTGCTTATCGAAGCTTTTACACCAAAAACCTCTCTAACGGAAACGCTCAAAGGGAACTTTCCAAAGAACTAGCAAAAGAGTGGAAGTGTGACAAACATCGAAATACTTGGTCGACGTACGCAGCGATTTATAATTCACAAATCGAAGACAGATCATGCAAGGAACCATTTGTTGCTTGGTTGCTAAGGTCAATAGGAGTTAATGCTAGGAAAGATATAAGGATACAACGCAATGCGCGAGTTGAAGACGTCTTCATTAATGAACGTAATTGAGTTTTAAATGGTAGACATGCTAGGTTTCGCTACATTACACACTCTAAAAAAATCAACTTCCATTATTAGCAGCAATTGGAGTAGTCGCCGTACTTCGTGGTCTTTTTTGAGTACTGATCTTAGCTTCGCCTTTTCGTTTTTTGCTCGATTTTACTGGCCTTTGTTCCCCTTCAACATACACATCATTAGGTAAGTCATAAAGCTTGACATTTTTTATATTTATAAAATGCATTTCCTTATCATAAGTTGCCCATCCTTTGCATAAATTGTAAAATTCCGAACAAGGATATTGAATATCAAGCTTCTTCGCCCCATCATGCTGGTTTGTTTTCGTGAGATTAATTTCAAGACCAATAAATAACTTTGTCAAATGAAGATTTTTCTCTTCTCCTTCAGTATTTGATATATGAGGCTTTAAAAACTCCTCCCCTTGTAAGCTTCCGTACGCATTTATAATATCTCCGAGATTGCTGTCCTTGAGAGAATATACGTCACTAAAGTCTTTGACATAGGGATGGGCATACGAAATCCCCTCTGTCATTTCTAACTTTTGTACCAAAATTCGAAGTCGACTTTCTACCATCCCATTCCATTTTAAGTGGTCTTCTGCGGACCCCAAAGTTGCTGCTACAACGCATAAATAAAACTTGTAACGGTGAAAAAAGTCATGACGTTGAAAAAGATCCGACCAATTCTTTTTGCCCAAGGCTATGTGAGTTACCACTTCTGAAGCTCTCTCTAATTCAGATAAAATAACCTTTTGAGTGGACATTGTAATGTTGTGCGTGGCACACATGGAAGGGTAGGCGGGGGTGATCACAGGCATTCTGTGCTGGCGATCTAATGGATACAATCTAGGATTCCAAACTCTGACTTGCAATGGCCCATCCTCTATGGGTTTTAAAAGTACTGGTTGTGGCCATTTCCACTTGGTGTAAATATGAAAAAACTTTTCCACAATAGTTGCGCCTACAGCATTAGGGTATAATTGGCAAATTCTAGCTACCAACATAGCCCATGCCACACCACCTGGGAAACCAAAAACGTTTCCATATACCGCTCTCTGTTGAGCCCACATCTTGATACATCGAAGAGCATGCTTGAAAGCCGTTGTCTTAGGAACTAGTTGCAAGATTTCATCAGTCACCCGTGTACCATTGAGAGATCTCAAATCCTTTTCATCAAGATTCTTCAATAAATTTTTGTCTTCAAGTGAAAGATTCAAGGGAACCTGTGCGGCGTTTACTCTCGCACATATCAAATCAATCGAAATACCATCAAAAACCATCTTGATAATTGGGACAAACGCATCTGGAACTGTCTGTATTTCTTCTAATTCTGGGCGTTGGCGCAATAACTTCTCAAATACATCAAAGAAATCTTCTCTTGTCACAAATTTCGGAACAACTACTAAAGTGTCAATATCTGATCCAGGACCATAGACACCTAATCTGTACGAGCCAAACGTGAAAATCTTTCCGCCTGAATCATGCGCCATACTATCGTTCATATTCTTTCTTCTCGCTATGGTGTAGACAAACTCCCTAGTCATTCTTTGAAACAATGAAAGTACTTCCACCCTCTTCTTGGTAGCTTGTTCGCTCTCAAAAGAATTGCGGTTACGTAATTCCGCAATCAACAGGTCATTGAGCTTATTCTCCCTTGGAGTTGGATTGGCCAAAGAGACAGGGTCTGTCACGCCATATGTTTTTGTAGTCATGTCGCTATCCCCAACGGTTTTGGCGAATGAATGTTAGCATGTTTCTTTAGGTTAAAATCTTTGTGAGCGCGCTTCAAAAGAAACTTGGATTATCTGTTGTACACTACCAGCCACTTCCAAGAATGTCTTGAAGAACATATTTACACACTTAGAGTTAGTATTCTACGGATTGGTTTGAATAAAGTACGGACTCAACGCACCAATTAGCTTTGAAATCTTAGCTTTATGTAAATAGATACAACAATATTGGGAACGTCCCAAATACCTATTGGCCTTTTGTAAGGCCTTTTTGTACCCTGTAGGGTATGCCATAATCTCTAGCTAATGTCTTCAATTCTCTAGTTGTATCTGCAAGCGATCCTAAACTTTCTTCTTTGGATATGCAAAGAACTAATTGTGCAACCTGAGTTGTCAAAAAAGGACTAAGTGGAAATGACTGGCCCTTAGATTCTACAGTCCTCTTGAACTCTTCAAAATATAATAACTTTTGCTTCCTTGAAAGACGTGGTGACTCCAAAAGCCCAGATGCAATGAACCGTAACAAACTACGAGGTAAAACTTTCGGCTTGTCACATCGTTTCGATTCCGAAAACGTTTTTATCGCCTCTAAAGGGTTTTCACGAGAAATTATCTTATAAGCATAATCCTCACAAAGTTGTGACTGGAATCTCAACCCCTTAGTGATCTTCTTAATTTCTTCTATTGATTTGGTACCTCCTTTCTTTCTATCAATAAACCTTAATGTGTCGTAAACTAAACAATTCAAAATATACTTTCGACCATGTTTAGCTTTACAAACAATGAATTGTTGACTTCTGATACAAGTTTGAAGCATGTTAAAGACATCAGCGACATCTTCAGGTTGGAGAAGGGAAATAGATTGAGCAATTGCTCTAATTCTATTATGAAATCTGGCCTTCTCTTGCCTTGTGGAGTACTTTAAAAGTGCCTGAAAATCGGAAAGCAGATTGTCTGATCCATTAGCTCTCGATAATATTTTGTCCTTTGAAAACGACTTTGCAAGAATAGTCTCAAATAGTGAGCTTAATATTTTGGGATCTTGACCATTTTCTCTGACCAAATAAGATCTAAAAAGTTCAACCAAAGTTTGGGTGTTGAAATTATAATTCTGTATTACTCTTTCGTAAAAGAGTTTGCGATTACCATCCTCAACGAGATGCACTCTCGGGAAAAGGGCTGCTGCAACCTTATTGGAAACAGGTGTTTTGTAGAATGATTTGAGAATTAAATCACAATCATTTAAAGTATGGGCATGTAGGTTCCGAGAAATACTAAATAATAAATTTGGGTCCCTCTTCTTTTGAATTCTTTTGATCATGCGACGAAATTGGCCCATATGTTTGTTATCCCATGCAAATCTAAAACTATCTAAAAGAATCTTCTCCTCTAAAATGTGACAAGAATCTAGAATTATGCGTGTGATTTGATCAATTTGGCCATTTTGTAATATGCGCTCAGCTAAGTGATTTAATATGTACTTATTCCAAGTTTTATCTTCTTTTTTCGATCTTTGATAGCTTAGGAACACGCCAAAGGAATTCTCTGAAGTCGCGGTTTGTAAGACATGAAAATAGTCATAGTCATTTAACTGAAGACCCTTTATGGATGGAATCAACTTTGCCAAATTGCATTTTGAGTATTCTGGGTTCACCATGTTTAAGGATGTTGTTTTATATGGAAGTGAAATTGAAAGAAGATCGTGGACAAGAAATGATAACCAGCCTGGAGACTTCTTGAAGATCTTACAGCAATTAAAAAGCAAGTTCCAAATCTGCTTCTCATCTTTAATTAGTTGGAATTGCCGTTTAGACTGAAGCAAACTCTCAAACATGGTAAAAGTTGGCCGATTTCGCTTATGAATTTCCAACTCCTCTATAGTATCAATTGCCTGTAATTCAAGGGAATAACTATAATTTCTATAAAGTTCTTCTTTAGGAATATTAGTCTTATAGTAAATATAGTCCTCAATAGATGCGAGTAAACCTGGCGATTGGATGAGTTCGAATCCACATAACATAAATGAACGCAAGCCTATATCGAAATCATTATTTGATCCCAATTCCCAAAGTATAATATTTAAGTAATCCTCTAAATCTGTGAGGGTGGAGCCATCAATGTCCTCTAGTATTAACTTCCAGCATTCCTTATACTGTTGATGATAAACTAGACGTTTTATATACAAGCTTTTAGGGGCTTCCTGAAGCAGTGTTGGTAACTTACTTCGAAGACTATAATACATATTAGGGTGAACGAGGATGGGATGGAAGGTTAAAAGTGTTAGGAATCGATTGTAATCATCTGTTTGTTTCTCTAGCTCTTTTTGAATCATTCGGTCTAAGTTTGGTAGTTTTTCCTCTGTTGAAGTCATATTTGCTTCTGCTTGGAGCAGATCATCTTCGAATACATTCTTCAATGCCAAAGTTTCTCGTCGTATAAATCGCCATATTTTCTCTTTGATGAAATGCTTTGTTCCAGGATTTTCTTCTATAGTTGGCGAGCTTTGTTTCTTCGATGATAAGTGAATGTAAGATTGCCTATATAGAAGTTGCACTTGATTAATATGTGGAAATTGTTTGGAACATAGTCGCAAGGATGTTCGTCGTATCATATTTGATGTTTCTGCATATGTAAGGTATGTGTAAATTACAATGTCTTAACCACAAGACTTTGTTGAATCTGCTATTGCGTGCTAGCTATATCCCCATGGATCTGCTCTGCTTTGAATCAATGCATTTTTCAAGCTATTAACATAAAACAAACCAAAATTTTTCGACCTTTAAGGAGTCGCACCAAGAGAAAAATAAACTTGGATAAGCACTTTCCAGTTACTTTCCAAGACTACCTACCGGATTAGGTGGCTATTACTAGAAAGCAATAATAGCATAGGAGGATGGCACAGGTGATATGGAATACAGATATAGAAGTGTACGATGATGACGTAATGCCATTATCTATAGCTAAGCATATAGCTAAATACTTAGCTATACCTGATCTAGTGCTGTTTCAGCAAATGCTGAAGAACGGATATAAAGCAGCCAGCAACCCAGCACTATGGGTAGGGAAATTGAAGACTATGGGAGTATGGGAAAGAGCAATGCCAGTGACCGACGATCAACTAGGTAAAATCAACTTTGAATGGATTAAAGATCCAATACGGTGTTTTGATCATATCATAAAAAATCCCAAAGTGGCTAAGTTCCAATGCATTAAAATATATTCCACATTAGCACCATTTTATAACGACTTGCTCACTAGTAAACCTTACGATCAATTGACTTTATTCAAGGTGTATCTGACTCCCGAAGAACAAGCACGAATACTTAAAAATTTAAAATTGCTAAATGATGTGGATTATTCTATAACTTTGCATGACCTTTGTCGAGATAAAATCAATGATTTATTTGAAGTATTTGAAAATGCTCTTCTTAGAGAGTTGGAGATAAACTATGATATCCAAGATTACGACAAGACCAAGAAGTTCGTAACTATTTTAGCTGAGTTGCATAATGATCAAACTCTCATTAATTTCTTTCTTCAAAAAACAATCTTTGATAATGAAGAGATGACTAAATTCTTTCTTGTATCTGATTTTGGACCTGAAAGGTTTTTTTATGACGAAGGTTATGACGAATCGTTAATCAACGAATTTATTTCTGATTTGGCAAAAATCTTCAATCAATTGAGTTATTTAATTGACTTGGTATTCCCCACTACAATTCCAATGATGTACAAAGTTTGCGAGGAATTGATCCAAAACCAACTCATGGATCTTATACTATCGCTAATAGAGCAATCCAAGAAGCAGAAAGCACATTTGATGTTCTTGCCCTTTTTTTATGAGAAAATGTCCACAGACTTTATACGTAAGCTTAAACCCAGTGAAAATGCTGGCGAATCTAATGGAAGAATGGTTAAAGAGTTGATTGATATGCAATTTGAGACATTTACGGCAGAGTACATGCGAGAAGAGACGTCTGATTTCAAGGTATTTGCAGAAGATCAAATTTTACAGTGGAATGGAGAAATATTGAAAAGAGAACAAGAGACAACCAAAAGCATTCTCAAACACGTCAAATCGGAAGCTAAGAATGATTTTCTAAGTAGTTTCCGAAAAGTTTTTACTATTAGTGGATCATCGATAAGTTCTAAGCACGATGGTGGGACAGGTGAAAAGAGTGCTGAAGAGGTTGTTAACTATTCAAAAATTGAAGCTAAAGCAAAGATTTTATCAGAGAATTTAAAATCCTTGACACAAATTATCAGTCCGGAGCTAGTACTTAAAGTAATAAACAACTCCAAACAATGTTTAGCACGCCTTTACAAGTTTAAAGATTATACAGTTATCTCCTTGAGAAAGGATATTTTCAGTTCCATGCAAGAGATTTTCATCATATTTATTGACATCATATCTTCCGAACATTTGAAGCCAGGCTTTGATAAAGCCATGGCATATTTAGAGTCTTATAATAGGGACGAGATCAGAGCAGCCGTATTAGGAGGCAAGGCATCTTACATTGAACCACTTATACATTTTTTTGAAATGATTAATATGGCAGATTTAATCATACAAATGATTGACATTTTTTACAAAGAGGAGCTTATTAACAAGCAAATCGTGAAGCATGAGAACTCCATTTTAAACCCTTCCTTACAGAGTAAGAAGAAAATGGAGGGTTTAGTTGATAAATACGTTGCTGATGGACTCAATGTGGGTATAGAATTACTTGCTAAGGAGATTGAAACACTGTTTGAAAGAAACCTTGAAGCTTCAGATTACGACCCCCCTAAAGGATCAACCAATATCAATATTGGAAATTCTCATGCTGCAAAGGAAGCCATCAAGATACTTGACGAAAATATGGATTTGCTTGTGGATAGTGCCGACCGTTTAATTGTTGAAGTATTCCAACAAGAAGTTGCAGAACGATTTTTTCAGATTATTGTGAAGGTATTAAAGCGAAGCACAATCTCTGTTGATGGTGCTATTGTTCTAATTTCAGATTTGAACTTATACTACGAGTTTTTCTATGAGCACATTAAAACTAACAAGAGAATGGTGATGCCATTTTATTTAGGATTGAAGAATGTGGGGAGCTTGTATTTGATTGGTGGTGAGGACTCAAAGGCCATTGGTAAACTCGTGTGCGACATGGCAAAGTTCAACGGTATATTCCGACAAGAAGAAATATATGAACTTGTGCAGAGACGAAAGGATTGGCCAGTAATCAAGAAACATGTAGAAAAAGTCATGTACGGATTTGGCTTAGGCGATTGTACCATAGTTTAATAGAGTTTACAATACGGCCATTTCGTAGTGAGTGCATATGGATCTTTCTTGAGGGTCCGAAAAAAAAAGATGGAGATTTAACTCATCATGAACCCCATTCACATTTACCATCGGGACTATTTACTAGATCTAACCTTGCATATGATAATACGACCAAGAATATAGATGCTTCAATTACGACTACGACTTTTTGCTAAGCGATATTACTCGAAAGTGGTGGGGTCAAACACCAAAGATTACCTAAGACCAACAACTCTTCATGAACAGTTTAGAGAGAACAAACATTTGAAGTATAGAATGCCTCAGTTAAGTATGGAACAACAAAAAAAGCATTTTCCAGACGAAGAAATCAATGATGATGTGAAACAAAGGTTGTCCGAAGTATATCCATTTTTTTCAAAGTATCGTAACTCAGATCGAGGAATATGGAAAGTTTTCAATTATTACGATGAAAACCTGAATATGGTTAGTTTTATAGATGATCTTATGAAATATCCGATATTGAATACAGAGATGATTTCTCATATTATATGGAATTATAAGGATTCTTCGCTGATGAGACAAATATTGTTGATGGACCTTTTTAAACTAGTCATACAAAAGAAATATGAACCCGCGTTACGATTCCTAACGATCTTTGGTGCGGCGAAGAGGACTTCGTTATCTGTTTCCACTATGGTTGGATTCATAGAGAGTCAACAAGATAAAATGCTAGATAGAGAGTTACAGTCACTTCTCTGTAATGCAATTGTTAGACAAGCATTGCAAAGTGGTGAAACAACACTAGCAGTGTCATTTATTTTCCAGATGGGTGAGTTGAACTTGAAAGTTTCTAAAACGATGGTAAACCTAGTTTGCCAGACATTGTGCATTCCGAATAAAACCCAAGAAGCGTATAATGCTTTTTTCCTTCTGAAACTTGTGTTAAAGTTCCCTTTGTTCAAGTATTTAAGATATCTGGAAGCCATGAAAGTTTTGGATTATCTTTCCAGTAAAACAAACTTGAATGCACATGCATATTTATTTTATAACAAGGTGATTCAGAGGTACACTAAGTTGAGAGAAGTTCATAGGATCGAATCGTATTTTGGAGGACTCTTCAACCTCATACTGCAGAACATTCAAGTTCTGAATATTAAAAGAGCAAATGGTATATGGCTTTCTTGGAAAGATTTATTGCTTGCTCAGGAAGATAGAACGATAGATTTTAACTGCATCATAAGGTTAATTGAAGCCAACGAAGACGATATAGAAAACCAGCGGAAAATAATAGAAAGCTTGCCCACCAAATTAATAGAATCAAACGAAGTCTTATTTGATTTCTTCATAAAGTACTACGGTACCCATTACACAGCATATGGTAAGGAGTTTGATGGGTATGTTCGAGATTTAAAACCACCATTGAGACGACTGACAATTTCACTGCTTTTTCTAGGGTTTTTATCCCAAAACAACGAAGTTGGATCTGAAAGGTTGTTGCAGTTGATTCTTAAATCGCCAAACGGTCTCAATAAGTTTGAGTTCGAAGCCATTATTAAAAAGTTACTTACGCAAGGAAGTATCGAACAATGTATAAAAATGTGCCACCGGACTGATATCCAAGTTTCTCTGCTTGGATACATCAGAATATTACACCATTTGATGTTATTTGAGTCAGATAGTTCTTTGACTGAGAAGCTCATACCGATTGTGATTTCCAAGTTCAATCTGATTCATCAAGGAGATAGTCTGTTACTGGCATTGACTGAGACGATATTTAATTACATTTCCGATAAGGTTAGTAATCGTGCTTCACGATCCTTGTTTATTAGACTTTTCAAGTCATCACAGGATAAACAAATGAGTAGAGTTTCTGGCGGATTTATTACGTTAGAAAAATATGGCTTGCCCAACGAGTTAGTACGGTTGTTAGATGTTGAGCACGATACAGTTCGCATTCTCCGGGTTATATTGGATTTTAGTATCGTGGAAGAAGATATGATTACATTAAGATGGGCAATTGATCAGATGAGATTCCAAAATGTGTCAACAAGGGACATAATTGCATATATTATGAAAACCAACGACAAGTTCGCTGCCAGAGTTTTTGAGGAGAGTTTGATTGCATCATGTAAATAGATTTACTATTAGTATGGGGTTTTAATTATATACAAGTACTATACAAGGAAAGAAAGAATATGACATTATTTCTTGGAGGCAGCCTTTCTGTTGAAAATTTGACCACCTTTTTGAACTTCCTTTGCGTTTTGGCCCAATAATTCCAAAAAGTCCTCACTTGCCTTGGGTTTATTGGAGACTGGTTCCCCTTCTTCAATTGGCGCAGAAGCATCGTTCGAAAATTCAGCATATTTTGCTTGAAACCGTGACCTTCTACCTGTTGCATTAGGATCCACAACATTCAAGTCCGATCTGAATGGGTTCCACAAGGGATGGTTTCTTTGGTCTGTAATCATTCTGATTTCATCTTTTGGAGCCTGCGATCTTCTTTTAACGACAGACCCATCACTGAGTTCGACTAAAGTTTCAAATTGATGGAAAATAGCAGGTCTAGCCTTACCTGGTGCAATCTTACGCATGATTCTTTTATTTGACAAATCAACTTCACCTGCCATTGCAACCTTTGCTTTACCTCTAATGAAAGTTTGGGCTAGACGCACACACCGTGTTCCTGAACGACCGCTGGCGTACATTTTTTTATGATATGCTATAATAATTGGATAATGATATGAAGGTACTACTAGTAACCGTGTGAAATAGTCCTTGGACAATTAGTACGAACACCTATTAAGAGCTTATACACTATATAGATTGATTAGAACATTCGAAAATTTTTCAGTCGTGCACAAACCATAAATCATTCAAACAAAAGTTAAAGGTACCACTAATGGATAAAAGTAACATAGTAATAAGAGTACCAAACCATTATTTGAGTTTGAATATATTCTGTCAGTCAGTGGCATTTTTATATATATCAGACATTGAGATCAGGCCCAATGTCATTTGGAACACAAACCCCCACGATTGTGGTGCTTAAGGAAGGTACCGATTCTTCTCAAGGTAAGGGCCAAATCATCAGCAATATAAATGCTTGTCTTGCTATACAAGACACAGTCAAACCAACATTGGGACCATTTGGATCCGATATATTAGTAGTCAACTCCCGAGGTGAAACTACCATTTCAAACGATGGTGCAACTATCATGAAGTTATTGGATATCGTGCATCCTGCTGCTAAGATGTTGGTTGATATTTCTCGTGCTCAAGATGCTGAAGTTGGTGATGGTACCACTACAGTTACTGTTCTTGCTGGTGAGTTTTTGAAAGAGTCTAAGGGGTTTATTGAAGATGGTATTTCATCACATTTGATTGTCAAGGGATTAAGAATGGCTTGTGATTTGGCTGTTTCTCGTATTAAGGAATTGGCTGTCAATATTCCAAAGGAAAATGCTACTGAATTTAGAGATTTACTTAGTAGATGTGCCACTACAGCTATGTCATCCAAATTAATCAGTAAAAACAGTGAATTTTTCACCAACATGGTTGTGGATGCAGTGATGTCGTTGGACGCCAATGATCTTGATGAAAACATGATCGGTATCAAGAAAGTCGCTGGTGGAGGAATGGAAGACTCTATGTTTGTCAACGGTGTTGCTTTTAAGAAAACATTCTCATATGCTGGGTTTGAACAACAACCTAAGAAGTTTGCCAATCCTAAGATTCTCTGTTTAAACGTCGAATTAGAATTGAAGGCAGAGAAGGATAATGCTGAGGTTCGTGTTGAAAAAGTTCAACAATATCAAGAGATCGTCGATGCTGAATGGCAAATTATATTTGACAAGTTAGATGCCATTGCTGCTTCTGGTGCCAACATCGTGTTGTCAAAATTGCCAATTGGTGACTTGGCTACCCAATATTTCGCTGATAGAGACATTTTCTGTGCCGGTAGAGTCAGTGCAGAAGATATGGAAAGAGTAATCAAGGCCGTTGGTGGTAGTATGCAAAGTACCTGTGGAAGTATTGATCCTGTTAAGGATTTAGGTACTTGTGATTCTTTTGAAGAAGTCCAAATTGGTGGTGAAAGATACAACTTATTCACAGGCTGTCCTGAAGCCAAAACATGTACGTTAATTTTAAGAGGTGGTGCCGAGCAAGTGATTGCTGAAGTTGAAAGATCATTGCACGATGCAATAATGATTGTTAAGCGTGCAGTTAACCATAATGAGGTGGTAGCTGGTGGTGGTGCAATTGAAATGGAATTATCCAAGTACTTACGAGACTACTCTAGAACCATTGCTGGTAAGCAACAAATGATCATTGGAGCCTTTGCTAAAGCTCTCGAAGTTATACCTCGGCAATTATGCGAAAATGCTGGTTTAGATGGTATTGATTTGTTGAACAAGCTTAGAAGTCTCCATGCTAAAGGTGAAACTTGGTTTGGTATTGATTTCCAAAGGGAGAATGTAGGTAACAATATGACCAATTTTATTTGGGAGCCTTCTTTGGTTAAGATCAATGCCATCCAATCAGCTGTTGAAGCTGCTATATTATTATTGTCAATTGATGAAACAATTCTGAATGATGATCTGAATGAGGCTGCTGGAGGCAGAGGACGAGGTGCTAATTAAACATGTCACGGCACCGACCCTCCAATAATAGCAAAATAGCGAAACAGCAAACTGAGATGTTTAAATTAATTTTGTAATAGGTAATTGGAAAGTCAATAAAATATAGTGTAAACATAGAAATGGCATGCAAGATATAGAAAGTGACGATTGTAATTCTAAGCAAAAGTGATTTTCAGTGGAATAGAACATGAGTCAGGTTTTAAAGCAGTAGAATTGAATTTGGAGCATATCTAAGTCTATGGTTGATATCATAGTAAGTGTGAAGTTCAGAGGAAGAAAGCGAAATAGACCTGAAATAGGGGGAGGAGGTGCGAGGATAGTGTTGAAACCTGAATGCAAAATGTTTACAAGCTTGTTACTTTGTACCTTGTATGCAACGTGGGACCTGAGTAGTAACTTAACACTTTTTCCGTTGATTACAATTGTTAGTAGTGATTTTATTGTATCATGAATGATATATCCGAAATAATAATCTGACGTGATGGCTGATCAGTGTTTGGAACACCCTAATTTCAACTTAATGTAGGGAAATAATACATGCGGAGGCCTTTCTTTGCTGGAAAACCTTAGAACCAGGAGAGTATTCTTCAATCAAGTATATGTGGCTACTCCAAAGCCCAATCTATAAGGAACTTGATTAGTAAAGACGTAGAAGGGGTGAAATTTTCTTAATATTCTCAAAGTCTTGCTATTTTTTGTTATAAGAGAATCGCAGTAAGGATACTCACATATAATAATAATCATCCTCTAACAGGAACAATAATCTGTTTCAGAAATGCAAGAGATATGAGCAAAAGACTATCTTAATAACATTAACTAACACTTTTTTTACGATATCTTAATCTCGAATCAAGATCGTATCATCCACTTATCAACGCAAATCTACTACATAATGTTTCCAACGAGGTTCCAAAACGAAAATATGTGGTAGCACGCACCTCCAATTTTACCACTTGGATCGGGAGATTTATATTTTGCACCCACACAGAAAAGATGTGGTGAAAGCCGTAATTTTCTTAAGAACGGCCTATTGTACTCGAAGCTCCACTCAATTTCTAAAGCCCCATAAGGTGTACACAGATTTAAGGAGTGAATTGTTTAGAGAAATTAATAGCACCAATTCGGTACAATTCGAGTACGATGTTGGGTTGATGTAAAAAATAGAGTTCAGCGCTAGAAGTTAATTGACCCACAGGGTACAAAGATAGGGAAGCTAACACCCGGAGATAACCTTAAATTTTACGATTTGATCCCATTAAAGTCCAAATAATAAATTTACAGGGGTTAATTAGTGTGAATTTCGAGCACGACGGACCGAATGGTATATTGAAAAGTGAACACGATGATATATGAGTATAAAATACTGGATAACAATAAAAAGTCATATGAATACGGGAATGTACAAGGAGTGACGAGAGTGTTAAAACCACAGTGTGCTTGCTCTCTGAAATTCATAAATTTAGTGGAGTACTAGTCCTTTTTATATGACCGGACGATGTAAACATGACCTTAAGGTACTTCACGATGCTGGATTGGAGACGATTGGTTCTTAGTGAGAGTGAACACAGGAATGAAAAGTTAAGTTGAATCGACCCACACGACTCCAAAGGGGGAATGTGTCGCGAATGAAAGGTAAAAAGTAATACGCGCTTTGAGCAACGCGTACAAAACGCGATACCTTTATCTCTGACGGAGCTACTTAACCTTAGAACAGTTAAAGTGGTATTTGTATGAAAGTGAAGTGTGAAATATATACTAGGAGATGATGTGTAGATTAACCTTATTTTGTAAAGCAATCAAAAGTCTGCCACAGGTTTGACAGTAGCGATTGATCAATCATGTTTAATTTAACTTGCAACTGTCAACACATTTGCTATCGCATTCTCCTTGATTTCCGTTTGAATCACTGTAGTGCACCAATTTCTTCTTGATAATGATTCTAGATGAACCCAAAGTCTATAAATTTTCGTAATAATGCAGTTCAGATGCGTATTTCCTCAAAATCGTAATTCAAGTCAAATAAACCGTGATGACTCGTAGACGCATCGATTCTCGAGCACACCATACAGTATGTAGCTACGATACAAATAGTCGACTTAATAAAGTGTCACATTAACGTAAGTGTGTATGCCGTGCCTTTGGCTCCGTGTTTCTGAACCTGTAAACCATCTCCGCTCCAACCCATTGTTAACATTATTAGGATTTTCGTTTCCACTAGGCATATTTTATTTTGTGCATTCACGGGACACTGCTTTTTCATTAAGAGTTGGCCTGTCTCCTTTAAAAGTAATTGGGTCTGCTGCTTACCATTCCCTGTTCTCTAGTTTCCTTCTATCTCTGCATCACTGGTTGGCCAACCTTTTCCCATTATATTATCCATTCATACGAACCATGGGCTTCCCTTCGCAACGGAGTTGTTCTGGGTTTCGATTGGCTCCTCCTAACAACGGTTCAAGTCCTGATTACTCAAGTAACTCTTCTCTCACTGCCTTGGACGGTACTACTGAGTCTATGGGGACGCACCAAAACCAACATGTCAATAATTATAGCAATAACTCCAATAACAGACCACCACCACTACCACAATTTAATGGACCTCAGGTTGGCACTTTCAAAACTACCTCTAACAATACTATGCTTCCACCTCGCTCACTGCTCCGTCTGAATAGTACTCCTACTGATGTGAACTGTGACATAACCTATGGTCCCTTCCATAATTTCAAACCTCCAGCATTCAGAGTGTTTGACGAGAAGTTCTACTACAACTATAACTTCCATCATGGAACTTATCCCTCCTCATCACACCACACCACTAGACATACTAAGTTGGGACCACCCACTTTTATCAAAAGATATAGATACCATGAGTGTTGGGAACAGTGTGAAACAACAATTGTGAAGCAGTCCATCGAAGAATGGAAGGATGAAGTGAATCTCGACTACCAGCTTCGTGAAATGGAACTCTTAATTAACCCTGGAATGATTGACTTACAACCCGAAATCCAATGGTTTATGCGTCCATATCTTTTAGATTTCCTTTTAGAGCTTCATCTGACTTTCCGCTTATGTGATAGCACACTCTTTATGTGTCAAAATATTCTTGATCGGTACTGTGCTAAGAGAATAGTTTTCAAACGTCATTATCAATTAGTAGGTTGCACAGCTCTTTGGATTGCTGCTAAGTTTGAAGACAAAAAGTCCCGCGTTCCTACCTTGAAGGAATTAAGTGACATGTGTCGTCGTGCTTATGATGAAGAAATGTTTGTACAAATGGAAATGCATATCTTGTCTACCTTAGATTGGTCTTTAAAGCAAAGTACTCTTGAAGACTGTATACATCTTGCATTCGAACATACAAATTTGTTTGACTCAGGTACTTTGACAACTACTCCACCAAGAAGTCGTCAAGAATATTTCTGCCAAAAGGTTAGGTACAAGAATAATAGAAAGAAGAATGCAGAAGTTATTTGTGTTGCCCGTTTCTTATGCGAGTTATCATTATACGATAGATACTTTTTAACAGTTCCTCCATCGACTACAGCTACATGTGCTGTGCTCATGGCATGTAACATGTTAGGATGGCATTCAGCAGGTCTGCATTTCACTGAGTTAATTAAGCAATTCATCAGTGAAATGGATCCCTTGAAAGAAGTCAATGAAAATGAACTCCCAGAGATCCAAGCTTCTTTCCTTTCAGGTGTTACTCAACAACTGGTTGGTCAATTCAGAAAGGTATGTCTTATGTTGATTTTACAATTCACTAATATTACAGATGTGTTGTCTAAGAAATATGAAGCGAAAGGCGTTATTGAGACTTTAACCCATTTCATAAATGGAAAGGAATGGGAAATGGCCTTTATACATAAAAATGGGGAGGCAATTAGGGGGGAAATCAACTTAAATTTGGGATCTTCCAACTCTCTTATTCCATTTGTTGACAGTTTGTTGAATGTTCGTTCTCTTTCCTGGGACGAATTGTTCAATGCATTGAAGCAAACCGAAGACGAAAACATGTTTTCATTACCTCCACCAGCACCTCAATTTGCCTTTGATAAAACTCATTATGATAACTCCAAAAACAGCAGTCCACCAAATTACACTTATCAAAGTCCCAGAAGAAATAGATCAGAGTCACAGGAACTGGTTCCTTTGACACCTCCTTCGGCAAATTCGCTGTATTCAGTTTTCTCATCAGCAACTTCACGATATACTGCTAACAATTCCCCTTCAGATATCCCGGATCTGGCAACATTGCACACGATTTCTTCCGGCCATACTAATACTCCAATGGCTAATATTTTGACTACGGATAATCATCTGCATCAACCTGATAATTATAAGCTCTCATTTAGAGCAGAAACTACTACAGGGGTTTTTAATGTTCAACAGTCTTCAAGTCGCATGGATGAAGACTGTGAAGACACCGCCAACCAATATGAACCGTAAGAAAAGAAGATCTTTTCATTACCACCACCAAATAATCTTCAACGATAGATTGTTTATTCTTTGCATTTATTATTCCATTACCAGCATACTAGAATTTTGCTAAACAATTAAGAAACATTCAGATGCTGATAAGAGCTCGTTACATACTCATTACTATTGCATTCGATAGCTACAACATCCACTCAACAAACAAGAACGTTCGCTCATTTTTTCATTATTCATTTCAGTTCAATTTTATATGTTTTTTCTTTTATAATAATTATTTCTTTTTTGGTTGATTTTGTTCTATTTGCCTTTTATTACTCCAGATTATTATGATAACTTAATTTACACGTCAACTATTATAAGACTCAATAGTGCTCTGGTTTGCAGTACCAGTTGCCGCAAAAAAAGCACTTTTGTCTAGTCTGCATACAAACGCGTCTATAGTCCGTGCTACCATATAAAATTTCTTAAAAAACTTAAAGGTAAACAAACACTTACTCAAAGTGAAAATAATAATAATAATCTGACACAGGTTTAGGATCATACTAAAATCTACTTGACTTTCGCTATAACCTGAAGCTACTGATCAATTACCCCCTGAATCTCATTTCAAGTGATAGGCACAAAATTTTCTCGAACATAGTTGGATGCAACATTGAGCTGATTTGCTGTAATCACCATTTACTTACCAGAGAATTCTTTTTTTATTTTAGCGTGATAGTAAGAAATGTCCAATGATGATGACGGCTTTAACTCTAAGAACTGGGTTTGGGTACCCGGAACTGAGAAAGATACATTTATCAAAGGATTTGTGAGTGATTACTTAGAAGATGGTACTGTCACTGTCACTGTGCCTCAAGGATCTAACTCTAATAATCATGAGCTGACAATTAATGTACCACTGGATTCATTAGAGAACTGCAACCCTGTGAAGTTTAATAAATGTGAGGATATGGCCGAGTTAACTCATTTGAATGAACCTTCAGTGGTGTATAACTTGTATTTGAGGTATGCTGATGATATGATTTACACATATTCTGGGTTATTTTTGGTTGCCATAAACCCTTACAAAAAACTAGACATTTATGATGGAAAGAACTTAAAGAAATATCATTCTAATGATAACGACAAGCCTCCCCCTCACATATTTTCCATAGCTGAGAACACTTACCGTAATATGTTGAATAACAAAAAGGATCAAAGTATTTTAGTTACAGGAGAATCTGGTGCAGGTAAAACAGAAAATACTAAACGGATTATCCAATACATTTCTTCAATAACTACAACAGAACTTCAAAGTCATCATTCCAAAACTCAAAATAATATTGACACCAAAATCTTACAAGCCAATCCTATCCTAGAAAGTTTTGGGAATGCTAAAACAATCAAAAATCACAACTCCTCTCGTTTTGGGAAGTTTATTAAAATATATTTCAGTAATGAAGATATTGGCTGCATTAATGGCGCTACTATTGATTACTATCTTTTAGAAAAATCAAGAGTGGTTATGCAATCGCCCCAGGAAAGAAACTATCATGTATTTTATCAGATGTTGAAGGGTCTTTCCGACGAGAAACTTACGGCGGTAGGGTTGGAAAAAAATCTTAAGCTGTACAAATATCTCAATAGTTCAACATATGAGATTCCAAATGTCGACGATGCAACGGAATTTCAACTTTTATTGGATGCGTTCAGGATTATGGGATTCGAAGATCATGAGGTAGACAACATTATTGCCGTTTTAGCAGTTATTTTACTTTTGGGAAACTTAGATTTTACATCATGGAAGTCAGAACAGGCAAACTTCACCTCAGAATCCCCTACGGTTCACATTGCTAGATTGCTTGGCATTAGCGAGGACGAATTCACTTCAAGATTATTACGTCCAAAAGTTAAAGCTGGCAGAGAATTTGTGTCAAAATCAATGAAAGCTCCAGATGTGAAATATTCAGTGGATGCCTTTGCCAAACACTTGTACGAGAGAATCTTTCAGTATATTATTGAAAGAATTAATGATAACTTAAAAATCAAAGATTTGAATGGAAACATATTCCTTAATGATTTGAATTTCATTGGGGTATTGGACATTGCAGGTTTTGAAATATTTGATATTAATTCATTTGAACAATTATGTATTAACTATACCAATGAAAAGTTGCAACAATTTTTCAATCACCACCTGTTCATTTTGGAACAAAGCGAGTATCTTAGGGAAGATATTCAATGGGAATTCATTGATTTTGGTTTGGATTTACAACCAACTATTGATTTGATAGAATCAAGAAATCCAATGGGTCTTCTCAAGTTGCTTGACGAAGAATGTATAATACCCAAGTCTTCAGATCAATCATTTATGGACAAGCTTGCTGATAATTGGGGTCGTAAGCAATCGGAAAAGTTCACCCTCAACAAATTGAAATCCGGATTTATTGTTAATCACTATGCTGGCCAAGTGGAGTATAATGTTGACGGCTGGCTTCAAAAGAATACTGATCCAATCAGTGAACAGGTTGTTTCCTTGTTACCGGATTCTTCCAACATCTTCCTCGCTGACTTATTTTCCTCAGACCCTGCTCTTCCTAAATCTGAAATATCGGAATCTTGTAGCCCAAGGAAGAAAGCATCTTCTAACAAGTTGAGAACTGCTTCCCAAAGGCATCGTGAACAGTTAGTGGATTTGATGGATCAATTAGGGAGCACAGAACCTCATTTTGTTCGTTGTATTCTTCCAAATTTACAAAAGAAGCCTCATAAATTTGATAAGCCTTTGGTGTTGAATCAATTGAGGTGCAATGGTGTTCTTGAAGGTATCCGTATTACTCGTGCTGGTTACCCTAACCGTATGACATTTGAAGAATTCTATAACAGATATTATATCATAAGTGCAAAGGAAGTTTTCACAAAGAATATGAGAACTAATAGTGAGATTATTATAAAGGGGTTGAATTTGGAACCCGAAACTTACAGGGTTGGTATAACAAAGTTGTTTTTTAAGAATGGTATTTTGGGGAAACTAGAGGAGATCAGAGACCAAAGTTTGAAGAATATATTTACAGAATTGCAAACAAAAATCCGTGGAAATTCAGCGAGACTGAATTTCAATAGAATGATAAAGGAAATACAATCATCTCAGTTAATTGCTCGGACATTTGATCAGGTACATAGTTCCCTTGAAACCTCACCTTGGTTAAAGCTTTTCATTAATATCAAACCCTTGTTGGAAGAGTCTGTCAAAGTACTCGATACTAAGGAGATGAATGAGAATATTAAACAATTAAGTTCCAAGTTGAAAGATGCAGAGAAACTCAAGGAGAAGCTTGTTACTGAGAATGACCGGATAAAGGAAGAATTCAAAGAGGTAGAAGTGAAATTGCAGGATGAGAAAGAGAATCTCAAGAAGCAAATACTTATTGTTGAAGAGGACGCAGTGAAAATTTCTAACTTGCTTATTGAAAAGGAAAAGGCATTAGATCAGTTGAAACAAGAACTGCAGAGTAGATTCATAACTGTTTCTAATTTAGAGAAGGAATTGGGAGAGAGTAAGGTGTTACGAATTAACTTGGCGAATGAAATGAAGCTGGTACAAAGTAAACATGAATCATTGGCTTCTGAGTTAGCTTCTAAAGAGAAAGAAGTTTCTGAATTACAGGAAAAATACAATCATAGCCAAAAAGAAATTGCCGAGGCTAAAGAAAAGCTTACACAATTGGAATCATCCAATTCAAATTTAGAGGGTAAGATTCATGATTTGGAATCTCAGAAATCCGAATCTGAGCACGTTATCAAAACCGAAAGTATAAGAATTAGAGAATTAACTGACCTTTTGGAGAAGGAAACGGATAAAAACAAGAAATTGGTTTCAGAACATGCAAATTCAAATAAAGAGATCGAAACTTTAAAGTTGACCGTAAGCAAAAATTCGAGTTTAGCGACATCATCTGAAGCAGAGCTTATTACTTTGAAAAATTCCTTACGTGATAGTAAAGCAGAGTTATCAAAAGTTCAACTTGGATTAGAAAGAGCTAATGATCGTATTCAAAGGTTAGAGCGAAAACTACAGGACTCCAATGAAGATGCAGAGCGTGAGAGGTCAGCCTCTTTGAACTTCAAGAGAGATGCCCTGGCTTTACAAAGCAAAATCGATGAATTAGAAAGTAAAGAAGCCAAATTAATTCGTGAAAAAGACCTTGAAACTCTGAAATTGAAGGAATTATCACGATTAAGGGAAGCGTTAGAAGAATCCAAGCGTGAAGTAATAATGTACAAGGATGAAAAGGAATTGATCGCTATGTCACTATCACAGTTGAAGACTGAAAATGAAACGCTCTCTATGGCTCTTAAAGAAGCAATGAAGAACAAGGAATCCATTTCTGCTTCCTTCGAGGACTTGAAGAATGAATGTGAAAGTCTAAATAAACTTAAAAATGAAAATGCTACTGCTATTCTGCAGTTGCAAGATACAGTTTCGGATTTGAAATCACTCAAGAGCGAAAACGATTCCTTAAAGAACTCAAAAGAGCAATATTCCCGTGAAGTTAAAGCACTCACTGAAAAAGTCAACTCTATGGAACCTGTGACAAAAGTTCGTGGAATGCTGTTTGATAAAGAGAACCAACCACCAATCTCAATTGTTGAAGAGTATGCAAGTATGAAGTTAAAATTGAATGAGCATACAGCAGCCTTAAGGAAAGAAAAGTTTGAAAACAAGCAACTAGCTGAAGAAATAGCTTTGTTAAAATCCCGTGCTGACAATGATTTCCAGTTGTCCAGATCAAGAAGTGTTCTGCCAAATAAAAGATCGATGAACGGATCTACCAGGGCTTATACAAAGGAGGAATTTGAATCCTTGAAATTCAAGTTGGAGCAAGAAGAATTGAATGCTCAAAGGGCTGAATCGTATGCAATTGACCTTCAGAAGAAATTGAATAAATTGCAGTCGCTGAGAGGTATAAACCAGTTTTCTGACTACGAGAAAAAGTATAATGAAGCACAGATTAGAATTTCAGAACTTGAGAATCGTTTTTCTGAAATTTTGAATTCGAATTCATTGTTAGAGCCTTCAACACCAGTCAGTTTAACTGCAAGCTCAAGAAGTAACAGCTTCAGGAGAAACAGTGTTATGCTTCCTGGCTCTAATCAAGAGTTTGCACTCATCTATCAAGACATAACCCGTGCATTAAAAGCAACTAGAAGTGAATTGGGAGATTCTAAGAGTGAAATACTTAGATTGAAATCGCTATTAAGAGAGTCCGAAGATGAGTTGTATGAAATCAAGCATAGCCAATTCAGAACCTCAGTCTCCAATTATGATGATGAATTGGCTCAATTGAAGGTGAGGAATGAAACATTGTTTTCTAGAAATGAAGATTTAACTGAGTCATTGGCGATATATAAAAAGCGGTCTGAAGAGTATTTCAGTAAATTGGAACAGGCTGAAGCAGTTGTGAATTCTTCCAAAGCCAAACAGCAAGCTGCTGAAAAAGAATTGGAAAATGCCAATAATCAATTGCTTTTGAAACGTGAAGAATTAAGAGCTAGTAATATGTTGTTACAAGATTTCAAGAAAAGATCTGCACTGTTGGAGGGAACTATAAATGATAAGAATTATGAAAATCAAAAGTTAGGTGTTCAAATCAAGGAGTTAAAGGACCGATTGAATTTTGCAACAACTAGTAATGATGTCCACGACAATATCCGTGAGGAGATGAGACAACTAAACAAAGAGTTGAACTTCAAGATGCAAGTTGAGACAAACTTGATTAAAGAGAATAAAAAGTATCAATTGGAATTGGAAGACCTCATTCGCAACAAAAAGGCATTGGAGGAAGAGTTTGCAGAAGTGTCAGAAAAGGCTGATGAGTTGGAAGAACACACTGAGGAATTGACAAATCAAGTTAGAAATTTGCAGGAAGAAAGAGCAATCAATGAGCGTAAGATTGTTAACTTGAATAAGCAGGTTGATAATTTGAAGGATCTTATTGAAGAGATTAGCAACCAAAGGGACAATTTACGAGACCAAAAATCTCAAATAGAGGAACAATTATTACAAACAAAGCACCAATTGGACGAGGTAACAACTCAATTAAACAATTCGAAGGCAGAGAATACAATTTTAAGAGATCACTTACAAAATCAACGTGAAGATGCCAATGAAATCAGATCAGAATTGAGTAGATCCAAGAGTGGTAAAGAAGGTGATATTCAAGATTACCAAAAGCTCAAGCGGGAGAACTTGGTGACGGTTGAAGAGAATGATTCGTTAAAGAAGGTCAACGAGGAATTAAATCACAAAGTTCATGCTCTTGAAGAGAAGCTCTATGGCGACGAGACAATGAAATTTTGGGAGAATAAAGTTAAATCCTTAACTAAAGATTTAGATGCCTCTGAAGCTTCAATGCATGAGTCCAATAAAAGTGTTGCAAACTTAACGAGAGAAATTGCAGAACTCAAGATCAGAGTTAATAACGAGCAACAATTGGCCAAGAAGTATAACAATGAGAACTTTGAGTTCCAGAATCAGATACAACAGTACAAGACTCAAGTTGGAATACTTCAAAATAAATCACTGGAACATGAATTATTGTTAAAGCAAGCTTCCAGGGAAAAGATGGATTTGGAGCTGACTGTTCTCATGATGGAGAAGGAGTTACTAGAATTACGTGAACGTTTACACAATACCCAAGGCAATTAAGCTAGGAGTACGTCTATAACTATTTATAAATACCTATATACAAAGTAGTAGTCTTAATCTGCTATAAAACAATAGCATCTCATATCAAACTTAGTACTCAAAAATTTACGAAAACCAGCCTTCCTTTTTAGGCTTACCTTCAGCAGTGTATTCTCTTGGTTCTTCGAGTTGTGGACCAGGATATTTACCCAAGCCAAAGTGACGCATTATGAATTCAACATCACCAAATCGTTCTCTATCACCTTGCATGACCACAGTAGGTAACCCAGTGGAGATACCCTTATTCACAGTATTACCTGTTAACACCTTTTCCGCAACGTTTCTTAAGTCAGCTGGGGTCAAACGTTCTATTTTGGAAATCATCTCGTCAATCAGTGTCAACTTACCTTGAGATTGGATTTGTCTTCCCAAGTCTTCTAATTCTGCTAATTTTGATTCCAAATTCATCAACAAGGACGATATCAATTGGTTCTTGGCTCTAGCAACTTCCTTCTCATTCAAGGCTCCTTTATCTGGATTTGTCTCCAATAACTTGGATAATTCATACCCAATGATTTGAGACGTAACATGTGCGGCATCCGGACTACAAGAGATACTTATTCCAAATAACCCAGAACCAATATATGCATGATTGAAAGCCATACAGTTTTCAACAAACCCGTATCGGTTTAATACTTGGGTGTATAATCTGGAAAACATACCTTTTCCTGGACCACCAGCAGAGAAAGAGGACCCACCACCAAGCAATTTTTGAAGGGTAGCAAGGGCATAAAGTTCATTGTCTAACAATCCTTTCGTTTCAAAGGCAATTTGCATATGTACTAATTCAGGTAAATTACTTGAAATTGGTGGTTGATAAGGGAGACAGAGCTCACCACCACTATATTTCACTTCACCTAGACTAGGTCTAGATGATGATTTGCCTTCCCAATCGCCAAGTTGAGATGATACAATTTGCAAAGCTTTACTATGTTCGATTCCAACCATGGCTATAATAGTATTTTGAGGCTGATAGAATTTCTTATGATACCCAAGAATATCTTCCCTTGTAACTTCAGGAATTCTATCAGGTGGACAAAACAAAGGATTTCCAAGTGTATTATGATTATAGGCTGCAGCATGTAAAACTTCTGGAAGAAACATATCTGCCTTGTACCCTATATCTTGGACTTCGTATGCACAGGTTTGCAATGTCTCATACAACTCTTGATCCAAAACTTTAGGGCAACGTACAGTTTCAGCCATACATTCAAACATCTTTTCCACATCTGGATTGAATACAGACGCCTGATAAAGTATCAGTTCTCGTTGTGCAGAACACATATAGTTGCCTCCCACTTGATTTAAGTTTTCCAACATCTGAGTTCCGGTAACATTGTCTGTGGATTTCCAGGACATACGGTCAACTATATGAGAAAGTCCAGGAGCATCAGGGTTCTCATATCGGGCACCTGCATCAACATAAGCTCCAAGAGCTGTAAAATGTCCTGGAGTCAGATTTGTAACTACCCTGAGTCCATTAACTAATGTGGTCATCTCTAAGTTGGGTTTATAGAACGAAACAGTGGAGTTCCCACGATTAAACTCCTTAACAGTTCTACTTATGTACCCACGACAAAAAGTAGCCCTTCGAACTGTACTTTGACGCAACATATTGTATTTTGATTGTCTGATATTGCTCTTATGTTGTAGGCTACTTCAACTTCATTTTGTATAGGAAAAATTTAAGACCATCTCCGAGTCCGGGTAATACCTTAAAAATAATATTCTAAAGCATTACAAAAGAATGTCTAATTATATATCTATAAAACGGATTTCAGGATGATAGTAAACAGGGCATTCAAAATACGATCTTTTGACATCATCCCAAACAGATCCATCTTCCTTTTTAGTATGGTTGGGGATATTGACATCTGTGTAAACACATGAGAGTCCATAATTAGACAAGTCTAATTCAACCAACTTACGATAAACGTCGTACACTACCCATCTATCAGCACCAAGACCATTGAAAAATGAAAATACTCCATGAGGCTTTAAAAGTCCGACAACATAATCAAATAGTTCCAACATATCTTCATAATGCTCTGAAAATGTATCATAATAGATCCCGTTGAAAAACACTCCACCTTTTTGAAGAATGTCATCCAATTGGTCCTGCCAACGGCCCTCAAGAACAACCACGTTGGGTTTATCGTACCATCCATCTTTGCGCATCTTTAAAAGCACATCAGGGTGAGCTTCGCAAATATAATGAGTAACAGTTGATGGACTTTGTGCAGCTAGTTCTTGAATTTTGGTATCAATAATTCCCATTCCAAAACCAATATTGAGAACATTTATTTCTGAATCAAGCTCACTCTCGCTGTCCAGGAGCTTTCCTCCTTTGAAAAGTGATTGGGCTCCTAAATGCATTAAATCAGTTTCCCAATCCATCATGACTCCATCTTTGGCATCTTTTGTGAGAAGAGCATCGTCAGTATACTCGAGTTTCGTTGAAAGATACGTTTGTTGATCACAGGCTGCATCTGGCTTTTCAGAATACTTCGAAGTGGAAGCCTCTTGATCTTTAGCTTCTGTTTCTATATGCTCTTCTGGTTCCTCTGGTTGGGTTTCATTTGTTTGACTTTCTATTTGATCTTCTTCTATGAATTCAACCTGATACTCTTCCACCTTACGCAATAGTAATTCAGCTCTTACACCACTTTCCACAATTTGTCTATAAATAGGGCTGTTTCTAAGTTCACGTTTGACTAACGTACATCCTGGAGTGTCACCTTTGTCGTCAACAAGACACCATCCTGCACCGTACTCAAGTAACACTGAAACAAACTCTTCCACAATCTTTATTTCATCATCAGTAGCATCTTCAGGATAGTGTCGGCACACAAGATGTAAAGGTGTAGTAGTAGATGTTGGATCTGTTTCAATGCCCTTGGTGTAGTTGTATGCTTCTTCAACGGTATATGTCAGAGGAATCCCCAGTTTTAAGTACTGACGAAGAGTAGTAATATACGACTTCGTAATGGGACGTTCAGTGAAATGGCAAAGATCGTGGAGATCACTCATTTCTTTCTATAATGGTGCTTTACAAAGACTCTACTCAGCAAGTCCATTTGATCATTTGATTGCCTTTGCGATGAGATTTTTGAAAAGTTCCACAGACCATTACTTTTCCTGGAATTCCTGTATTTGAAACTGCTTTTCAATGGCTGCGAAAAATGCGTATCAATATAGCTATAATCATGTCATAGACGAAATATACTGGAACCAACCAAAGTGAAGTCATCCTATATATAGAGATCTATGTTAGTTTGAAGGATTCTAAGCGTCTAAGTTTCCATTTTAATGTAATCTCAATGCGAAACGTTAGCAGCGATTAGTTGTGATGTGAACAAGTTGAAGCATCCAGTATAATGGTCAAGGACTATGGCACTACAGTTCAATATCCTTTTCAACTAGTTAGCATTTCAACATCTAAATCCAATATCAACTGAACATTAACTTTTATTTCATCTGAGAGAGAAGAAGCTCTACTTCAAATGTGTTCACTCTCTGTAGAACTTGTGGCATTCTTTTCAATGTTCCTAGCTAGCCAAGTTATACTTAGTGTCATTCGACACCCCCCTCAATAATCAATACTCTTCTATTCTCAATGGAGTTTATGTGATTCGCCCAAGAAAAAACGGACGTTGTATTCCGTGCAGACACACTAAAATTGGTTTTAAATACTTCTAAATTCATTACTCCATTGTACTTATCTTAGGCACTAGAAGTGCGCAATTACTGCATCTGGTTGTGTTCTTTGCATCTAAAATAAGTTTTCGGAATAGCCAACTTCGTCCGGGTCTGCAAATTAACTGACAGCGTTTCCAAACAACTACTCCAGACAAAATTCAGGTCATACGATTAATGAATTCGTATTGGGTTTACAATCACGTATTCGATTAAATGTAGACTCTGGCTGGTAACTTGTGGAACAGCTCCAATACAGTAATAAATTACTTCTATGTCATTAATTGTTCTGCTCTTCCTTCGAACTCTTATATCAAAAAGGGTGTTTTACTCATACGGTGGTACGGTGATAATCCAATAAGAATGACACATTAGTGCAAGCTTATTTGTGGCTTGTAGGTAGACACTTTTACCTCATTAACCATAAACAACAAGCGTGGTATATTACATGACAGAGTGGGATGATTTTTTTGGGCTCGCGAGTAATATGCACCCGACACACAAACATACAGGCGGACAATAAAGTTCCATTATCAGACAAAATTTTAACATAGGTATTATTGGAACTAATAATCTCTAAAGGTTCTGAATTTAAGTATAATTAAACCTTAGAAGCATATGGCTATGGTATAGAGCTCCTCTTTTAATTTTGGTTCTTTTTTCTTGTGTACTAATGTTGAAATTCTATGAAGTTGCATTCAGAAATGTCGGGAAGGTACACTTATGCGACTGTTCAGGAGAAAACATCTGATTTAACGTTTTGTGTCAGAGAAACAAAATGGGAGAGTATTATGTAGCCATGGCGGATTTGATTACCTCTAGGGTTAAGAATTTTACTAGAATATTGCCAATCACTAAGATTTCAAGAATTACCCGTTTAGAAAAAAGTGATTGACGGTCTAAAGTTCCCGGTATTAAGAGTCAATTCTCGAGTATCGAGTGCCTAAATTCCCTGAAAAGTTCCCTGTGTCTGCTAAGATATATACGAAATTCATTTAAAACCATGCCATGTATCTAATCCACCCAATGAGGGTATATCAGTAGCTTCAACTAGTGATGTAAGCTTCAAATTTCAGAAGTGTCAGCTTTTTGCTGTCCCTTTAACTGTCTGAATCTGAAGCTTGCGCTACCTGGTTGCAGCCATTGTCAACCTATGGTCTAGGTGTGTGTCTGGTTTTTGAGACGCTCGATACAGCAGGAGAGAGGCTGCATTCGGTTTATTTACGGAGTCATCTTACTCTTACTCTTGCTTGTGTACAAGTTTCAAAGTGTCTTTCTTAGGAAGATCTCGGAACAGTCAATGCTAACAGTTGTCGTAATATATCACTAAGTTGAATTCCAAGTGATTCAGTTCAAGTAATATTTTTTAAACTCGTAATTAATTTTCTTTTTTGTCTGGTCTCTTGATATATAAGGAAAATATTCCATTGGTAAGGACTATCTCCTATAAACAAAACCAACAAACTGTGCGGGATACTAAACCACCGTATCCTTATGTCATTTCGGCTTGACGATTATAACACATTTCTTAAATCTCTAGAGAATCTAAACTCTTCCTTCAAAGACTCAAATTCTGTTACTAACTCTGTCAGTCTTGGAACAGTTAACACTTCATCCTCTACTACTACTACATCGCTGTTGAGCACTTTGGAATCTGTCACCACAGCAAATACAAATACCAACACAACTTCCATGTCTGGTGCATACAATAATAATTCACCTGACAAACCATCACAGTTTCCAGTTGACTTTGATTTTGGTCTTTACCAGCAACAGAGACAAGTGCCTCTACAGAATACACAGAGAAATACGAGAGACTATCCATTGGATGCCTCTGCAGTAGATGGTAGTCTAGTGGGATTTTCTCATGGGTATGTACGAGATCAATATATGGCACCAGATTTCCTTATCTCTGAATTTCTAGCAGAAACAGGTGCAAACAACTTTAATGAAAGTAATACTAATACATCTACAATTAGCACCACCAGAAAGAACAATTCAAATCCTACAAGTCTTAACAATACAAGCGGTCAAATAGAGCAGCAGCTGCTGCTGCAGCAACCATCATACGACATTTTCTCTTTGACTACATTTGATGATCCTAGTGCCAACTATTATCCACATTCACCAAGCAGTTCCACTAATACCAATAATAACGCAAATGGATATTACGGTGACTATCAACTGAACCCGCAACAGTTGCTGCAAGATCAACTGCAACAAAGTTGTTTGCAACAGAACCAAGATACGCAAGAAATGCCAATTTTAATTAAACAAGAACCCATATCAAATCCTACATCTCCATTCACAATGAACTCGCCTGACTTTATCCAACAACGACAACAACAACAACAAGTACCGCAACAACATATTCCGCCTGTTCAAAAGCTGCAGCTGTTACGTGCTCAATATGTTCCACCTCCGGATACCAATATTTATCAATCACGAAGTAGCTCCACTACATTAGCCACTACTGTCTCTGGAGGTTCAATGCCTTTCCAGAAACGGTTCACACATCCCCAAGATACATCACAAGGATCCGGCACGAATGATATAATGACACCTTCCAAAAATGGGGGAAGATCTAGGGTTAAGTCGTCTCATAACGTAATTGAGCAAAGATATCGTAATAAAATCAACGACAAGTTCACTGCATTACAAAATAGTGTACCTACGCTTAGAATCACTGCCAAACGGAAAGCAAGATCTGCTTCTTCTGGATGTGTTAAAAGAGATCTGGATGGTTCCGATTACGAGGATGCTGATGGGTTTGGTGACACCATGGGTACTGTTAGTAATAATTCTAATTTGGGTGAATCCTTTAGCTTACCCAATGACGAAGACTTGGAAGGGTTAGAACCTGCACGGAAATTGAATAAGGGAACTATACTTCTGAAGTCGATTGAATATATCAAATTCTTGGAAAGAAAGAACGATCGAATGCGCTTAGAACATGAGGAATTGGTTTTGAAGGCAAGAATGTTAGGGTTAAACATTGATGAATTTATCAATCCTTGTGAATAATACCTTACATTACTGTATATCAATGGCTCCGGGATCCTCAGAAATACCTTTCAAAAGAGGGATTATATGCACAGAGTGATTCTGTTATAGAAAAGAGGAAACGTTACTCTTAAAATCCTTCATGATGATCCTTGAGTTTGCTGATCACTGCAGCTTGTTGTAACACCTTCAAAATATATGATTACGAGACGAAATTTATTTATTAGAACGAAGAAAAAAGTAGAAAATGTAAATAGATGAACCTTAAATGCCCTATTCCAGAGGGCGGTTATGAATGGATTAAACGACAGCGGAACTATGATTAGTGTAAGATCTTATTCTACAACTACCTCGTATACCAAGGGGTTTGGCCCCACTTAGGCAAACAATTTTTTTTCCGGTATTGCGTGTAAATATCCATTTTATCATCAGCACGCCAAACGAGAATTGAGTGTATTCTTTTCATTGGAGGAAAACATGGTACCATTCGCCACCGTTTACATGGGATCATATTAAGTATAAGCCAAACCAGCCATAGTACCATTAAAATATCATTATTAATCACTCGTACGAACTGGCAATGCGTCAAATAACATAATGGTAAGTTTCCAAAATAGAAACCAGTTTGTTTATATACCGGACTTCTCGAGCCATGGTTGTTATCACCTGATTGAATCGGTAGTTGGCACCGGATTGATTAGCATTGTTTCCGCAGTGGTTGGTACATGTATAATTTGATAGCAGTACAAAGTGATGTGCCTCTTGTATATAGACGCATCTTTATATTTTCAGAAGAAGCCTAAACGACGGGTCAACATAGCTTTTATTTAGCGCTACCAAAGCGATACGACGTTTGATGGATTATTTTAATACGCGAGATGGACCAATATATTACACCGTTTTGGAAATACATTCATCTGTACTTTTACCATTGATCTGATACAGACCTTTTCTTTTATTGGTTGGAGTGAGCTATTCTTTGATCATGGCATTGTTGGACTTAATACTGAATGCGTGGGGATCTTTCCAACTGTTTCCTTTAACAGTTCAGATCTCACTTGTTTTGGCTATCCCATTCGTATACAACATCGTATGGCAGTTTGTATATTCTTTACGTAAGGACAGAGTTCCACTTGTTTTCTACTGGGTTCCTTGGGTTGGTTCTGCTGTGGCATACGGTATGCAACCTTATGACTTTTTTGAAAGTTGTCGTGAGAAATATGGTGATGTCTTCGCATTTGTGTTGTTAGGCAGAGTTATGACTGTCTATTTGGGTCCTAAAGGTCATGAATTTGTTTTCAATTCTAAGTTACAAGACGTTTCTGCTGAAGAAGCCTATAAGCATTTGACTACTCCTGTTTTCGGTGAGGGTGTTATTTATGATTGTCCTAATCATCGTTTGATGGAACAAAAGAAGTTTGCCAAGAATGCTTTAACTACCAATTCCTTTAGAAAGTATGTCCCAGTTATTCAAACCGAAATATTGGATTACTTTGTTACATCTCCTAACTTTGATATGAAACATAACAACAAAGGCACTGCCAATGTTATGGTTACACAACCAGAAATGACTATCTTCACTGCTTCAAGATCTCTTATGGGTGAACAAATGCGTAAGAAGTTCGATGCTTCCTTTGCTGGTTTATATTCTGATTTGGATAAAGGCTTTACTCCTATCAACTTTGTTTTCCCTCAACTACCTTTACCTCTGTACAGAAGACGTGACTTGGCTCAACAAAAGATCTCAAGAACTTATATGGAATTAATTAAAGAAAGAAGAAAGACAGGCGATATTGTTCCAGGCAGAGATTTGATTGATTCCTTGATGACTAGCTCTACTTATAAGGATGGTGTTAAAATGACTGACCAAGAAATTGCTAACTTATTGATTGGTGTTTTAATGGGTGGTCAACACACAAGTGCTGCTACTTCTGCTTGGTTTCTCTTACATTTGGCTGATAAGCCAGAATTACAAGAAGATATTTACAAGGAAGTTACTAGTGTATTGGCTCCTAAAGGTGGCAATATCAATGACTTGTCATATGAAGATTTGCAAGATATGCCTCTTGTCAACAACACTATTAAAGAAACTCTTCGTATGCATATGCCATTGCATTCTATTTTCCGTAAGGTGATGAACCCATTGGTTGTTCCTGGTACTACATATGTTGTTCCTAAAGGTCACCATGTTTTAGTTTCTCCTGGTTATGCTCAAACTAATGATAGATGGTTCCCTAATGCTGGTGACTTTAACCCTAAAAGATGGAGTGAACAAAGTACTTCTGCTTCATCAAATGATGATACAGTCGATTATGGTTTTGGTGCTGTTTCCAAAGGTGTTTCTTCTCCATATTTGCCATTTGGTGGAGGTAGACACAGATGTATCGGTGAACAATTTGCTTATGTTCAATTAGGAACAATCTTAGCGACTTTTGTGTATAACCTCAAATGGTCTTTGAAGGCTGGCACAGAGGTACCCGAACCAGATTATCAATCAATGGTTACTTTACCTCAGGAACCTGCTGAGATTACATGGGAAAAGAGAGAAACTTGTGTTGTTTGATAACAGACGATACTTATTACATCTTCTTATTAGTGGAATTTTATACTTTGATTTAGGTTTACATAGAAGTACATTAAAATAGACACAGATTTCTTTACGACTATCAAAACTAAAGTCAACTAAGGTGGGACAACCTTGTGGCGCTACCGTCGAAAAATTTCCAGATCGTTTTCTTTAACCACAGTGACTCAATTCATCGACCCATAAGCTTTTCAATCGTGGTCAACAGACTAGCACTATTGTGTACGATAGTACTCTTCGGAAGCTAATTTCAACATTTGCATTTGATTGTACAACATGTCAAAGTCATTCACATTAGTTGTCCCTGCCTCGTCGGCTAACATCGGACCGGGGTTTGATGTCCTTGGGATCGGTCTTGACTTGTTTCTCACTATCAAGGCATCTGTTGATTCTCAAGTTGACACTTCATCTTATGATTCTAATTGTCATTTGAGTTATGAAGGTGATAATGCTCAGAATGTTCCTCTTGAGGCCAGTAAGAACTTAGTGACAAACGCAGCATTATATGTTTTGCGCTGTAATGGTATGTCGCTGTTCCCATTGGGTACTCGCATTCATGTGAATAACCCTATTCCATTAGGTAGAGGTTTAGGTTCCTCTGCTGCTGCCATTGTGGGTGGTATAATGTTAGCTAACGAAATTGGTGGGTTCGGTTTCGATAAGTTAAGATTAATGGACTATTGCTTGATGATTGAAAGACATCCAGATAATATTGCAGCTGCCATGTTAGGTGGTTTTGTTGGAAGTTATTTAAATGAATTATCAGAAGAAGACCAACTTTATAAAAGCGTTCCATTAGAGTATATTTTACCTAAACTGTCCACACCATCTGATAAGGTTTTAAGTACACAACCTCCAAAAGAAATTGGTGAATACTTAAAATATGATTTCAACCCCAAAGTTAAATGTATAACCATTATTCCTCAATTTGAACTATCTACTGAAAAGGCAAGAGCTGTTCTTCCTGAATCATATACTAAACCAGACATTATATTCAACTTACAAAGACTTGCTATTTTAACACTGGCATTAGCTCAAGATCCTCCAAATCATAATTTGATATATAATTCTATGAAGGATAAAATTCATCAACCATATCGTGCATCTTTGATTCCTGGCTTGGAGAATGTTTTGGCAAGTGTCACGCCAACTTCAGACCCTGGTCTTTGTGGTATTTGCTTGTCAGGTGCTGGTCCTACTATCTTGTGCTTGGCCACAGATAACTATGAAACTATTGCTTCCAAAGTGGTATCCATATTTAAGGAATCTGGCGTTGAATGTACTTGGAAAGTTTTAGGGTTGGCTTATGATGGTGCTACTGTAGAACAAAATTAATTAGTATAGAATAATTGTATGCGCCCCAATGGCATCCTATGCTGTTACTATTTAGATTATGGCAAACCAGTACTAATGATACACTGGTTAAACTCTTTATACTAAATGAATTACTCAGATTCAGTACTGGTGATTGGTAATTGCTCTATTGCTTAAGGTCCATAATTGGTGGTTACTCTTTTGGGACGACCAATCGCATGCACAGAAAATTCAAAGTCTGAACTAAAACCAAGTTTTGTTGATGATAGTTTATAAAGTTAACAAGGCACTAACTCAACAAGGGTTAAAATAGGTAGTTGTTTCGCCATTTGCCAAAGTTGTACAAGCATGTCTGTTGGCTCTGTTTCTGATATTCAATCACAATTACTTTTGGATGAGATCCTCACCAAATCAAAAGCTCAACCAGTATACTTAAATGAGGTAACAGTTGTTGGTGGAGATAGTTTCAGTAATGGGTTCTATAAAGTGTTGTTGGCACCCTTATTGAGCAAGAGTGACTATACTTTAAGTCAATTAATGGAATCCATTGAAGCTTCAAGGACTGCTTTACAGAAAACCGATGTATTTCAATCGGTGAATGCGGTCATTAGATCTAAAGGTAATGCCATTCTTCCAAAGGTTCCCAAATATGGCAATGATGATCCCATTTCTGCTCTGGTTATCATAAACTTACAACCAATTAAATTGAATTCCAATGCAGGATTTATTCGGTTCAATTCTCAAGACTACTTGAGTCTTGATTTCAATTATGTCAATAATAATTGTAACAAAAACGCTGAAATGGTTGATCTTGGTGTTAGTCTTACTCCTTACAAACCCAACAATTCTATGGTTTCTAATGCCAAATTTGTATCTCATTTAAACAATCCTTCAATCAGACTCTTGGTGGATTCATTCTATGCCAATCAAGAGAATCAGGAATGGCTTCAAAGTTCTGAGAAATCATGGGGCGGAATAATTGGGTTGTTATATAAATTGCCCAACGCAAATGCATTGACAGGTGTTTCCTTCTCTGAAAGAACTATTCATGATGTTCAAGATACTGCTAGTGATGTGGTTAAAAAGGCAGTTGGAGATTATACCAAATTATCAATTGTAAATCAGCTTTCATACGCTAACATTGATTACATCAATAATAAAACTAAAAACTTCCCTGCAAATGGTGTGACTCTTGATGTGAACAAAGAAATTACGTTCAACCGTGAGCTCTACAGTTCTGACCATAATAAAGGGAACTTTGCCAAGGTCTCCGGATCACTTAATTTATTCAAGTCATTTTTCAACAATGCCATTACTGCCCATGGATCCGTTTCTGCAGGTTCAATATGGGGTAATGGGCCAGTCCATGTTTCAGATCGTTTCTATTTAGGTGGTTACAACTCCTTCAGAGGGTTTGCTAAGAATGCAGTTAACCCAGAAGGTGGGGCACTGTTTTACAGTTTAGGAACCACCTTGTACACCAAAATCCCCCAAATCATTAAGGGGACTCGTACCGCAAACAATGACTTGCGTTTTTATGTGTCAAGTGCTGTTGCTAATATTTCTGACAATTGGGTTACCTCGAGTTCTCCAGATGTTGTTACTTTCGGTCTGGGTATTGCATATTTGAATCCTTGGGCAAGTTTGGATCTCGGATACTATATAAGTAGCAGACTTGATAAATATTCTGAATCAACTATTGGGATTAGAGATGGGTTCCAGTTTTCAGTTTCCATTGGAGGTTCTATTCTCCAATGGATCAATTCAAGTTAAATAATTTATGAAATTAGTAATTACTTCGTTAATTATTAAGATTCAACAACATTTTAGTATAAGTCAAATCTGTTTAGAACTTCGTTCCTTATTAGTTACCAGTGTGTGCACTTACAGTCTTTGCAACCAATTCCTGTTTGGGCATCTTTCACTAAATCACACGACCTAAAGTTTTGAACCATTGAAAGTTGCAAACACGAAGAGGACGTGTGCACATTAAAACCAAGTGTATACAGATCACGTCTAAGTCTTCCACACAAATACAAACTATATACTTGATCTGATATTCATATCTTAAACTTATAGTAGCCATGGGAGTTACTGGATTGCTCCCATTACTAAAAGATATACAAGAACCATGTACTTTAGAACGGTACCGTGGTAAAACTTTAGCCATTGATGGTTTTGGCTGGATGCACAGAGCACTAATTTCATGTTCTCAAGATTTATGTCAAAATAGACCCACTAGACGGTATATCACTGCTGTAACTAATAAGCTACAGATGCTCCGTCACTTTGGTATTGAGCCATATCTTGTGTTTGACGGTGCCCCTTTACCAACAAAGGCAGATACTAATAGTGAAAGACGCCAAAGACGCGAAGAAGCAAGAAGTAAAGCAGACGCGTATGTGGCTCTGGGTAATCCGAAATTAGCCTGGAAGGAATTCATGAAGGCAGCTAGCGTTACTTTCGAGATGGTCAAATCAGTAATGGTGGAATTGGATGCCTTAGGTATCAAGTACGTGGTTGCGCCTTATGAAGCGGATCCCCAAATGGTGTACATGGAAAAAATTGGGCTTGTGGACGGTATTCTTTCTGAAGATTCCGATCTCTTGGTATTTGGGTGCCGTGTTCTCATAACAAAGTTAAAAGATAATGGTACTTGTGTTGAAATCAATAGAGACAATTTTTCCAAAGTGAAAGCAACCCCATTTCTTCGAACTATTTCTCAGGAACATTTACGTTTTGTTGCAATGATAGCTGGTTGTGACTATACTAAAGGTTTGGTCAATGTGGGCATGAAAAAAGCCATTAACTTCATTAGTAAATACAACCAATTGGACAAGACTCTTTTGGCATTACAGACTGAAGGGAATATTCGTATTCCACCTGAGTTTTCTGATGAATTAGCAAAGGCTGATCTTGCTTTCAAATATCAAAAGGTTTTTGATCCTACAATTCAAGAGTTGACCACACTTACTGAATATCCTGAGATCCTTCCTGCTTCACTTGATATCTTAGAAACATGTTGCGGTCGCACAATCGACTCGGAGACGATTGCCGAAGTTGCCAATGGGCGTTTGCACCCAATCACTCATGATTTACTTGTTTCTAGGGAACAAAGTCTTAGTCTGCTCAAGAGCAACTCAGTTATCCTTACCAAGTCTTTCCAACTGACAACGGCTGCTTCGGCTACTAGAAGCGTATCCATGACTTCAAAGCCAAGTCCTAGAACTATTGACACATTTTTCAAGAAAGATCCCAAAAGAATCAAAATCCAAAGTTCTACTGCTTCCTCTTCATTTTCCCTTTCTACATCTTCATCAATGAGTATTTCATCCTCCATCTCGGCGACATCCTCCACATTAACAACAACTACATCGGCAGACTCGCTTGATACGTACGCCTCTCCAACTAAACGGAAGCTCAATCGATTCAATGCGGCCTCTCCTGTAATAGGTGAGCGTAGCGTTTTCTTTTCCTCTCACGATATTTCATCGTCCCCAGTCAAACAACCAGTTCCACAACAACAACCAAAGCAACCTCACATTCAATTTAGTGATAACGTTTTGGATGATTTAACCGATGATGAATGTGAGGATGTTAAGCCGAGCGCAATTTCGAGTATGTCATTGTCCGCTTCAAAACCTACAGTTCCAAGTTCTGACGATCTTGAGATAGAAGAGTCACCAGTTAAGACAACTCAAGCTCAAGTTATGCAATGGAGGGAGAAATTCCAATTCGAACAACCAAAATCAATCAACAAGGCGAGGCCAGCTTTAACATTAAAAGATGTTAATACAATGAGACCTTCGAAAGTGAAATTACAAGCAGAAAAAGCTCCAGTAACTGCAAAGATACCTGTGGTATCTCTGGACATCAAAACGTCATCTACAGTAAAATTAAACCTGTTTGCCTATCATCCATAACAGACATTCATGCATTTTCAAATAAATATCTATTTATTTATAAGTTATATTGTATTAGCATCCTCTCAAACAACCAGCTGCTATAGTTAATCTAGTCAAAAGGTTTTGGGCACTAGGATCCTTTATTTGTGATTCCGTTAACTTATAAGTCCTTTTAACCTTTGCCAAATCTACCACCTTCCAAATTGATTCATCGGTATATGTTTGTGGTGAACTAGTTCCGAGAAGTTTACTCAAATGATTGGAGATTTGATTTGAATCATCTTCATTGGTCATAAGTTTCACAACAATAACACGAGGGCATTCAGGATCGACCCCGAATCGACGCAATGCATCACCGACATTATTTGAGGCCGATAAATTATACATGACCAGAGTATTGAACGTTTTCGTTTTCATAGTTCCATTTTTCCACTCGAGAATTGAACGCAGTAGACTCGCAAGTAACTGCTCTAGAGAAACAATTAGATCTGTGTTAAGGAAACAAAAATCGTATTCACTATTTCCTGCCATGAGTTCCTTCTTGACAGTAGCTAATACGTCTGGTGAGATATCGGTGAAGTAACCAATATATATTGGCTGGTTTGGAAATTGTGGAAGTATCAAAGTAGTCATCGCCAGAAGGTTGTAACGAAGAAATCAAGTGAACTTTCAATTATGATTATGTAATGATGGTAAATCGCTTACAGTTGTTAAAGCGGTAGCAGTGGGTGTAAGTGATGAGACAGAATTCCAATATGGTAATTGATTTCGCGTTAACTTTATCGAATTTGATCTTGACTCCAATACTTATAATATCGAGTGCAATAGCAGGAAACAGAATTCTACTCAATTAAAATAAAATAAATGAGTAGCTCAAGATAATTTACTATTTCAACGTGCAAGCCAATTTACTAATGCAAATCATCAATACCAAGCACTGCTAAATCATTAAAATAGATCACATGATAATGTGCACGTGACTTGCGAGACTTCTAATATTATTGTATCTACAAATCATACTACACAACTTAGGCCCTTGCATTCACAGATACAACTGTGCCGAATGAATTATGTCGGAAGCTGATAGCATTCTAGAAACACTTTACCCAGTTTTCGAAACCACACGCTTACCATTTGAAAAGTCAATGGTTGCTCCTAAACATGCGGAGCAGTTACTTTATGAAGCACCTAATGCAAATAAATACTATAACGCATTTCAAAGTTATAATAGACAGTTTGTGGAAAATGAACACAATGATGGTAAAGTTGTTGTACGATGGCATAATTCTGCCATACAAAAAATTCAAGTAAGAGTTTTCGAAACTTGGCTGCGCAGGCGTGGTGAAGAAGAAGATTCCGCTAAATCAAAAACCAAACCAGAATCTAAGAATACCACTAGAAGTGCTTTGTTTGCTTGGTCTTCAGGGGATTCCACAGTCCCATACTCTAATACCAATAAGAACTCGGTAGCTCTGACATTAAAATTGAATTCTTCATTGACTAAACCATCATCTGAAGGGAGTTCTTCTGGTACACAAGATCCTGAAAAGCTCCCTAAGGGACTAAATTTGGTTGCTTCAAAAGAGTCCATAACAAATAGATTGCATAAAATGGTGGATCAAGAAGCCAGTAGACTTTTACAGGAACGTATTCAAGATATAAAAGAGCATCATATGGAAGAAATGTCGAAGCAGATCTCCGAGAGAAAGAGGAAAGATCATGAACTACACCTTCTTCGACTTAAAAAGAGGGAAGAAGAATACGAAGAGAAATTTTATAATACCAATGAGACATCCAAACCAGGATTCTTTGGTACCCTTTTCGGGTTTTCAACTCCGCCTACTGATAAAAGTGAATTCAATGATGATACGCATTCTATTGGTGAGGCATTCAAACCAACTGCATCTCCAAATAGTAATAGGTTCTCATTGCTTACATGGGGTGCCACAGAATCGAAAGAAAGTATTTCACCAAAGCCAAAATTAGCATCATCTTTTGAAGCAAACGATGGAACTCTGGAATCGCCTCCGACCACACCAGTGTCGCGTTCTCTGAAGAAGAATAGCCCGTTAAAAAGAACTGATATTTTGAATGAAGGAAATAATAAGCCAAACAATGATACAAAAAATCTTGATGAGGATGATTCTGCGGGTGATGATACGATTATACATTCAAAAGCAGATGTTCCACAGGTCCCGCAATCAACTTGCCTTACTCCCCGGACACCGACATGGAATATGAAGGCATTAGCATTCTCACCACCATCAACTAATCTGGGTGTCCTTCTGTCAACAAAGGCGACACCAAGTTCTTTGAAAACAACAACCAACTCGAGCGTTATACATTCGGGTGTTATTCTGGAAGTTGAAGGTAATCATACTAATGGTAACATTAACAATATTGATGGTGATGATAATGATGATGATGATGATGATGATGATGATGAAGATGATGATGATGACTTTGACGAATTTGTTTCGTCAAATACCGTGTAGATTACAATTTCTTAGTAAAGTAAAGGATATCATTAAATGCATATTCTACATTCTATTCTAATGTATTGATATACTTTTTTCCTTATCAACTATGCAACCCAAACCCATAAACGTCTCGTCCATTACCCTTTCAACTGCAGTATGAAGCCTCCATCCCGCAGCCAAATATTCCTTATTTTTTGCTAACAGCGTCAAGTTAGCGTCAGAGTAACTGTCTGGATCACTATTACCGGCCATCAATGTATCGATATCCATCGGTATAGGAAGAAGCCTGTATAATTTATGTAAGTCACGATCACCTTTAAATGGAGTGAATGGGGTTTTAGGAGCTTCTTCCTTTGCTGAAGAGAAGGAGGTTCGTAATTTATCTTCCATTTCACTTTGAAGTTCTTGTAATATTTTCTTCCGCTGTGATTTTCTCTTTAATGCCTGATTCATTTGTTGTTGAATCAATTCATCTGAATTCAAGCTACTGTGGGCAAGTTTATTTAATAATTCTTGCTTTTGTTGCTTAGTAAATTCTTCATCTTCCAATTCCATCTTTCTTTCAATCTTAAGCTTTTCTTGTCTAAGTCTTTCCATTGCATCTTGGAATTTGGCCATATCATTTGACCTTTCAGATTCTCTCATGTTACGTTCCAAAATCTGAACTTTATTCTCTTGCTCAAATTTGGCCAACTCAATTTCAAGATCATGAGCATTATCTCCACTACTTATTCCATAAACAAGGTTTTCTATCATTTCCAAGTATTTATTATGCTCAGAAATCAGGTCGAAATCTTCTTGAAGTTTATTATGCACACTTAATACCTTTTTACGTATATCAATCTCTCGTTCAATCTGCAAATCGTCAAATACCTGCTGTTTAAACCGATTCTTTCTCAATATCTTCCCACAACCAGGATAGGGACATGGAGCAGGTCCTAGAGAAAAGATCCGATCCACACATGATTCACACATTTTATGATAACATTCTGGATTAATAAGAAAGTTCATATTGGGTGACAAATACTTATCTGTCTTACAAATAGGACACATGTCCCGCGAGCGGTCTTCCAGAATCACTTCTGTCATTGCTGCTAGTTGTCAGTCTGAATTGGAACTCTCTTATACCTGAACGTATGGATCACTTAAGAAGTCAAAGTGTAAGAATATATAATCTAAAATGAAACGCTACCATTAGATTTATAAATTGGTAGCGGTACTTACAAACCAATGCTTAAGTAATCAAAACTAACTTTTGTGTATCACCTCTGTTGATCCCGCTGATGTGAAAGGCTGTGCAAGCCATCAAGTAAACAGTTTGCAGGCCTCTTCTTTACGTAGGGATGGTCCATATACCGTGAGATGAATTATGTAAGGACTTTCAAAAGGATTGTACCGCCAGCAATTATAATACTATTGGGCTACTGTGTTTATGGTACAATGTATGTTGTCTGTTTTCAAGAGATTTATCAGCATCATTCCAAAGCTGTAGCCATAGTGTGTTGGATATTAATAGGGTTATTTGATATATCAGCATTAATATATTGGGTTTTGATATTTGTTCGTGGTCCAGGAAGGGTCCCTAAGATACCCATGTTCTCAGATATGATTGGAGGGGACCTTCCGCAAGTATTTGTATGTGATATTTATGGATTCCCCTTATACTGTTCAGAATGTCAATCTATTAAGGTTCCTAGAGCTGCACATCTGAGTGCTATGAAACAGTGCATTCTCAAATTTGATCATTTTTGCATATGGATAGGTACTGTTATTGGCCAACGCAATTATCTTTATTTCATCAAGTTTATTGAGTGTGTGCTTTATCTGTGTACCATTTCATTGATAATATCGGCATATTATCTTAAATTCAACCATAACGGGAATATTATTGCCATGATTCCTATTTCTTTTTTATGGGTGTGGTTTGCTGGTGCTTTATTGGCTCAACATACTGTTTACGTGCGCAAGGATCTTACTACTATTGAAGATTTAAGTCAAGGAAGATTCAAAAGATTCAAAGCACTTGAAGCTTACAATAAAGGTGAAAGCAAATTGAACCCAGTTCAAGCATGGTTTTTGAAAAGGCAAAAACGACCTCCGAACTGGTCTTCCGGGCAAAGGTTTGTTAGTATAGCTCATGAAGACTTTAGATTGGTCGTTGAGTTTACTGTTTTCGATAATGCGTATTCATTAGGATGGAAACGAAATCTTATCAACTTAATCTTCAACGAAAACAGTCATCACAAAGAAAACGAAGAAACTCAATTCTATTCTAATTCAAAGTACTTGATGGCCCTTTTCATGTATTTTATTCCATTAGTTGACTTGCCGTTACTCGCATCATGGAGACTACATGATTCGTTTGTGAAGGCACCAGATGAATCCGACGCGAAATTCTACAGTAGAATTAGGCCGAAATTCAATTCTACTTTTAATGAATATTTAAGAGGAAGAGTGGAACGGAAGGAATGTTATATTCCACAGTACTTGGGATTAGGCATAAGGCTGGCAAAGCCAGAATCTGATAATCAACCTCAATTCAGTCTGTCGCTGCTGACAGCTGATGCAATAAGTATTTGATAATTTCAGACATAACCGAAAAACGTCTAGCATACGGGGTTATGCAGAGTAAGAGTACAAGGTAATGTATAATTTTGAGTTCACATTGTAATTGTATAGTGCCATTTGAACTGGCACTATTGTATACCCAATTGGTATAAGGTTCGCATTAGTGAGATCATAGAAAAAACCCAACAGTACTTTGATCAAACTATACTATTTTCTCATACTATAGTACACTATGGATTTGATTGGTGATATTGTAGAACATGAGGCTATAGAGCCTACAGTTCCTGTGATGCCAGAGCCATCTGGTTTCCCTGCAAGACGGAATATCTTCAATAAGAAGAAGTCTCCATCGCGATTCAGAGCTCAGGCATCTAAGAAGGTAACTCCTAATGAACCAGTTTCTGAGGCTGAAAGAATACATGAGGAAAACATGAAGAAGCTTTCACTGATGACACTGGAGGAAATTGCAAGAGAACGAGAAGAATTACTTCAGAACTTAGATCCCAAACTAGTTCAGAGTTTACTCATGAGAACAGAAAAACGTATACATCGTGAGACAGATGAGCATGACCAAGACATTGAACATCAACACAAACATGCTGAGGGATATAATGAATGGATAGGAAATACTCGTACAGAAGATGGTTGGAAAGATTTAACACAATTGGATAAAAACGACGTCAATAAAGCACTTGGAATTGAGGACGAACCTAAAGTCAAATCAAATAAAATAGTTAAATTCGCAGAGTCTGAAGATGTTATAGATGAACTAAGAGATGATCCGAATACTCAAATAATTAGTCAAACTGAATGGCAAGATGTGGATGATATAAACGAGTTGATCCCTGAAGCAGCAGACGTTGGAGAAGACGGCGAGATTGCACATAAAGATTATCAATTGGTGCATGATGAAGAAGATTTGAAGGATGAAGTCACAGTGCATTTTCCTAAACCAAAATCTCTTGATGATATGGATGAAGATGATCCTGGTTTCTTTGATAAATTACATACCAAATATTTCCCTGATTTACCAAAGGAAACAGAAAAACTCTCTTGGATGACGCAGCAAACTCCCACACAAACCTCTACAACCTACGAATCGATTCTGGATATGAGATATGATTTCAAAGGTAACTTGGTTGAGTTGGTTGATGAATCCACTCCTCTGGAACAGAAAGAAATACCTACTCATTTAGGACTTCATCACCACGGTGAAAACCCCCAACAAGCAGGATATACTCTTAGTGAGTTAGCTCATTTGGGAAGGTCTCTGTTTCCTGGTCAAAGATGTATTAGTTTTTTAATATTGGGAAGAATCTTACACAAGTTGGGTAAGCACAAATATAATATTGTTCCTGTAACAGATGATGATGAAAATAATGAAAATGATGAATATAATGCTAATGTGAGCGAGATGAACTCCAAGTTTGAGAAGCTAATGTGGGATTTAATTCAACAACTTCGTATCATAGATACCCTTGAAGAAGCTGCAGACGAATCAAAGACAAAAAATCTCTCCGTAAGAAACTATGCAGTGGAAGCTCTTTGGTTATGGAGATCAGGAGGAGGTCAATCTAAGAGTAAACCTGAGCTAAATGAAGATGACGAAATTATGCAAGAGATTATATCCTAATAGAAGAAATGTACATTCCTACTTAATAACAGACAAAGTGTGAAATATCGTTTTAATGAAGCACTTGTCTAGACAATATGAGTTGACAGCATTGTAAAATAGAAAGAAAAACCCTCAAAACAAGGGGAATCGATAGAAAACATCCAAAAGTAGCCAGAATAGACACTATGCAAAAACTGCAAAAATAAATCTGATAACAAACTTGCATGTCGAGTACTGACAATGAATAAGACTTGTGTGTGTTTGGTCACTGGTTCAAAACGAACAAGCAATCACCAACAACAAGGACCCTTCATTTTTGTTTCAGCATCTATTGATCAATTATATTCTTCTAGTTTGAATGCATATTTAGCCAACCATAGGAACGAATGGGTTTCTCTACGCATAGTGACACATTGAAACCGATGGCTCTCACAAACGAGATTGGTTAGTAATGCTAACCAGTATCGGCCAACTTAAGTTTATGCGACCAAACTATATAAACAGTATGGTGCTACATGTTTTCCATATGATATATGTAGTTTCGTGTATTGATGATATATGGTCCGACAAGGAACACTAAACAGTATAATTTCAAATGAAGATTGTATCAAATTTTCACCTCCATATACAATGTGGTCGGGTAACCCCTTGTAGATGATTAAACTCGTGTATGCCTGAAATTTGACCTTTGCTGTATTGATTCTCCACTATCTATTAAAATTTCCCCCCACGTTGGCCAAGGAATTGTTTTCTGCTACCTACATACTCTCTGTGGTAGAACTTTACTAAGATGCATAGTCACAAGTTGATTACGCTTGTGGTCCTTTTGGCATCGCTTGTCTCCGCAGTAGACATTGGTACTGCCTTTGTTCGAGATTTTGTCAAGTACTTAACCCCAGGGTTTCTTGAGACCGAGTTTATTGCCAGCAATGAATTTGTTTCTCTCGAAGGAGAAGGTATTTTGACTCGCCGGAAGGTTATAGGGGAATCTCCTGAAATGACAATTGACTCGGAACTTGTCTGGGCAGTTGATTTACGTCAATTTCAGCTGCTGGACTTACTGCTGCTCAAATTTCATGTCGCCACCAATGAAGTTTTTGTCTACGGACCATCTCTTTCCTTGGCTGTCATTGGTTTGGATGATGGATCATTGATTTCAAATGATAAATCAATTGGTAAAATCAATTGGGTAGGGAGTGCTCCCGGAGGAAATGTTTATGCTGCCACTGATGATGGTAACCTTTTAGTTGTTAATGATGATGGAACTGTTAGATCTATTGATCTCAACCACTATGAAAAGTTGGACCCCTCAAGTTCTCCTAGATTTCTCACCGTGAATGCAATTGACTACATTGTGTTGGATTCCGGCCATATATTTAAGATTACTGATTCTGTATTACCAGTTGGCCATGTTCCTGGAGTGATTAATGTTGGCAAATCGGCAATTGTTGCAGGGAACAATCATGTATTTAGAATTTCTACCGACGGGACGCTTACGGAAATCAGTCATCAGTTCCTTAATCCTACAATTGTGACTACTAATGATATCGTTGATATCGATGGTTCCAAGCTTTTGTTTTATAAGATTAATGATGATAATACTGCTGATGTCGTATACACCAAAGAAGAAATAGCACCTATTTCAGGTGTTCATGCTATCTCTAATGATGTTAATGAAATCTTGGTTGTTGACTTGAGTCCCTCAAACCTGAAGATTTTAGTTTTAACAGATTACTTGGCTAATGCTCTGTCCGACACAATTAAAGAGTTCAATATAGGTTCATCTCAGAAATTTGAAAAGAGTATTATTCTTTCCTCTGAAAATACGGTGTTAACTTCATCTATCGAGGACTCCAATTTGTTTTTGGAAACCATCAACTGGTCAACTGGTCGACAAGAGCTTCGTGCTATTTTCAAGGTTACTGTTGATCCAAAGAGTATATTAATAGTTGACAAGCCTAATGTGGCCACTGAATCACTTGAGCTGGCATTACTTGCCACAGAGAGTAGCTCCATTTTTGTCAATTGGCTTGCAAGAACTAAAAGGCATTTATCTGCCATTGGTAAATTGGCTACATCTGTAATTGTTGATCATAGATTGCCAACTAATGACGATTCTGGACTTTTTCCTGAAATTGATTTTGGTTTTGATAAACTTGTGTTATTCTTTGATCTGAACTCATGCCGAGTCGTTGCCATGAACACTAAGGATGGTTCCAAAGAATGGACTACAGAAAAATTTTGCACAGCATCTGACTCCCAATTACTTGGTATGTTCATTGCTAACGACGATGTGGTGGTTACATTGGAACAACATGTACATAGATTCAATCTCCATGATGGACTGAGATTTGGACCTGCTCGATTCACCCAGTACGGTTATACCGATGCCATTAAATTGAAAGCAATTGAGGCTGGTAGAGATACTTGGGTTTTAAGAAATGGTAAGGAATTCACAAGATATGGTCCCTTTGATTTTGCTGGTGATCAAATAGTTATTACCAATGAAGACAATGTTAAATTGCAAGCCTACATTTCAACTAAAGGTAAGTTTATTCCAACATGGTCGTTTGGTTCAAGCAATGAGAAAATCATCAAGCACATTGGGAAACCCGAAGAATCAACTACTTCTTCAATAGGTGTTGTGTTACATGATAAATCTGTCTTGTACAAGTATTTATATCCTAACACTGTTTCAGTGATTACCTCTAATGAAGAAGGTATAATCACGTTCTATTTATTGGATGGTGTCAAGGGTGAGATATTGTACACCTTCAAGCATGATCCCAAAGAAGTTCTTGATGTTGATTCAATTGAAGTTCTTATGGATGATAACTGGATTATCTATACTTATTTTGTGTTTGAGCCTCGATTCGAACAAAGAATAACTGTTTTAGATCTTTTTGATAATTACAAAAACTTGGGAGGAGCTGCCGTGGAACAAGTCTCTGCATTTGATAGAGATCTTAAAATCACCAATGTTTCTCAGCAAGCGTATACTTACCCTGATAGAATTATTAAATTGAAATCTACTGTCACCAAACATGGAATTACATTGAAATCGGTGATTGCTCTTACTGAAAATGGAGCATTGGTTGAATTTCCGAAATGGGTTTTGAATAGTAGAAGAGTTGTGGGAAGACAATTAACTAAGGAAGACATGATGAGTGATTTCAGACCACTTCAATATGAACCCGTTGTTCCTAGAAACACCAAACAAATTCTCAATCATAAGTTTAAGGTATTTGTTGATAAAAATGGTACTATATTGACGAAGGATACTAATTTGGAATCTACAAGTGTTGTTTGCTATATCAATAGCTACAACATGTTTTGCACCATTGCTCAACCCTCACGTTCATGGGATGTTTTAGGTTCAAGCTTTGATAAGAACAAGTTAGCCATAACCATTCTTGTGTTAATTATGGCCTATATTACTTCGACACTATTGGTTACCAAAAAATCACTACATGATTCATGGCATGACTCTTCATGATTATATTTTAAAAAATATCCGCCATTATATTCTATTACTCAATATCAATAAATATAGACTCATTTGTAAGTAAGAATTCCTTTACTTGTAAATTATCAAGTCCATAAAGTTTCCAGTCCATTGATTTTGAGGTAGTTCCTTTCCGTTCCTCTTGAAAGTCGTACACTAACCAAATGAGTTCATAGCTCAAACTAGCTAAAAGATGATTCTTCATCAATCGTATAAGGAAAAATGAATTCTGCCCTGGTATATGGTTATTCAAAACGTCATATGTAGCAAGTATGCTTTGGTTGGGTAACTTATCCACCAAGGCCAATAGCTTTAATAACTTAGCATTCAATTGATTCCATTGTGAATCCTCATTATTGGTATTAATGATGCTATAACAACGATTGAACTGTTGCTTAACCATTAAGTAATCATCAACTTGATTTAAGATTGGTGATTTATAAATTCTAATCAATATTAGACTTACCAATTCCAATATAAACCTGTAATGGATTGGTAGTTGATTGAAATTCTTTAACCACGGGGTGTTGGTGGTATCGTTGTTCTTATTGTTGTTGATAAATTCTAGTTCGAATAAATCCAAAATAGTGGTACAAGTATTTAAAGCTTGATACATTTTTTGTTTGAAGCCGTAAACAGACATTTCGTAATCATTTGACATCGAGTAGACATAAAGTTGTAATTTTGAGTATTCGATTCCCAATTTGATAAGATTATTGTTATTTGTAGAACTTGCATCGTTGTTGATAATATTTGATTCCAACACTGTATGGAGATCTTCTATAATATGGTCAAACATATTCAAATTGATACTTTTAGCATGTGTGTTACCCTTTTGTTTGACAAGGTCGCTTAAATTTTCATTTAGTCTTGTTTGAACCAGTGACACCTTCAATAATGAGTTTATATAATGATCATCATTATTGGTAGGGGTTAGAATATCAGTATTTGATTTATTGATGATATAATCACATTGAAACCCATTATAATTGATATTCGATAATCCCAAATATATTAACCAATAATTGGAATTAATATTGATAAACTTGTAGATCCGTTCTCTTATTAAATTATTCATGGAAACTTCATTTGAAATGTTAACGTTAGTCTTATGACTAAATTCATTGATAAATTCCAATTTATGTAATCCAAATTGTAATGCAAGTGATTTCATCAATGAAATATACTTTATAGATAAGTTTTCTCGGAAATTATCATTCTTTCCTAATGGTAATGGCCAAGTAGTTAATATCAATAAAGATGCAATGGCATAAACAGATCTGGGAGTCCTCATCCAACAATTTTCCACCACTAAAGATTTGACATGATTGGCTAATGTAAAGTATGTTTTTGATTTTTTTTGATTCAAAAGTGAGGTTACAATAATTGACCAAAATAAAAGCAGATTCTCTTTATTCATTTTAATCAAATCAATATTGGAAAAGAAAGAATCAGGTAATATGGGTAAAAATCGAGTATACTTCAAATAGTAGTTTTCAAAATGAAATTGGGCTTCCTTTAAAGTAATGTAAACTGGCTTTTCATTGACATTTGATGTGATACAAAAATCAGATTCATCTCTAGTAAAGTGGAAATTGGTTTGAGTCATCGGTATCAAGGAAGAACTACTTAACGCAGGCGAATTTAAACATTTCAGAATTTCATCCACATCTGGGGGAGAGGCCACAGAACTTTCAGGAGTTGGCATAGAAAAGGGGATTGTTAAGGGTGCTGCTATAGTGGTCCTTGATTCTAATTCTTGAGTATATTGACGTTGTTGATGGGCATTGCCTCCTGGTTGTGATAATTGATTTGTAGTACTAACTTGCTGACTAGCTTGAATTAATTTACTAATGGTTTCATTTTTTCTGTTTATAACTTTATCAAGGGTATCTTTTAATTCTCTGACTTCTCCAGTCAATCTCTCTATAAGTTCATTTGACCGATCGGTATTCTTGGATATTATATCTAAAGTACAACTTAATTTCTTCTTGGAACAATGGGAACATGGTAAGGGAGATCTAGATACTGCGTCACATTTGGTTTTATGTTGACGACACCTTATACATGTTTTAAGCACCTTGTGGGAATTATCACACTGCGGTATCACTAGTCGATTGAATTTAGTTGGCAGTATCATTTTTTGAAGGTATATCACCATTAGAATGAAATAATGTTCCGGTTTTGATAGTATTTAGATTTTAAAACAATGATAGTGTTTGATAAGATCTCGTATTATGGTATAACTTATGACTATGCCCTGTTAAAAACTGTGATACTCAAGACAATGTCGTTAATAAATTGCTGAAACAACAAAATATATAAAGGAAGTTTCCAAACTTGGGTATGGCAAATTTATTGCTCTAGATTATCTACCTTCTGAGTCTGTAGGTTAATTATAGCCTGTAACATTCCTCGTGTTGCAAACACTATTATAGAATGAAAACACCTATTGCTGAATAATTCTAGGCTTCTTATTGGCTCTTGCGCACACTCCCACTTCATACCGAACTCGGGGTTGCTGTGGTTTGAAAAACGAAACCGATCACGGGTTCAAATCTCTCTATCAGCCATAATGACAGCTTTCTCTGCAGGCTATCGCAATATATACCTAAATGTAATTGTTCAATATTAACCTCTATTGTATTCTGGGGTATAACTACTCCTATTCTGAATTTTATGCTTGGTGGAAATTGTTGTCTGCAATATATAATTTTATTGTTTCTTTAATATTTACTTGAGGTGTAGGGATTGAATCAAGAAATCTTAGCGAGGTCAACTGATACAGTTTCTTAAAGTAAGTTAGAGGTATTCGCTTCCCCTCCGTATTGGCAATGGAATATTGTGTGAATTATTATCTATAGGAATATGTGTGATGATTTTTAAAGATTAACCTGCGGTATTCTGGTCGTAAAAGCTTGGTGGTACGTTGAATACGTAATGGTACTACGTAATGTATCTAAAATGTTTGCACAGACCCACGACTTTTGGGCCATCTTAATACTCACTGGGTGATGTACTTACGATTTAACCACAATTCCACTGGCAGCAGTTGACAAGCACTTTCCTTACTGCCTAACTACACTTGTCATTTTGGACTAGTGATAACTCCCGATCATACCATAATTATCTTTATAATTTCATCATGAATAATAACCAGGCAACAGCACTACACCTATGGAATTTAGTTCATTCCAAGCCAATCTCTCCTGTGACCCCCATGTTAAGTACAAAATTAACTCGGTTTCTATCAGAAAAACATATAAATTTACCCCCCAGTGTAAATCGACGTGTATGTATACACTGCGGGGTAGTTTCTATTCCCGGTCTTACAACGCTGGTGTCCATCCGATATGGCTCTAAGAAAGGAATTAATATAGTCAAGCATCGTATGAAAACGAAGAAAAAAGCAACTAGATCCTTAGTATATTCTTGTTTGATGTGTCATAAACATGATAATATAGATGAGAGCTTGATAAATGAATCAGTACCCATTAAGGAACCGATAGCCAATACCGCTACTAGTACTACTACTCCTCCTCTTTTCAAAGCAAAATGGACTCCACCAGGCAAAGTTGAAACCAATTCAAAATCAAGAGAAAGACAGAAAAAACGAAAACAAAATAGTTTGAGTAATCTTTTGGCAAATAAGAAAAAGAATGAAAAGGATAAAGATCGGATCAATTCTCTTAATTTAATGGAATTCATGAAATAGGGTCTCTATAAACTAAATTAAATAATCACTAAACTTTTCAGTTCCAATTTCTTCTGTATCCTTATCAGATTTGATATCTTTTGCTTTCCTGTCGGCCTCGGTTTCTCGGCGTACATGCCGAACCCATCTTCTACGTCTAAATATATCACCAGTCTCATCGTTGAAATCATATGCCCATTTCTCATCTTCATCAATGAAGGTTACATCTCCAACCAAATTCCTGGCAACCCAATTGCTCACGAAAAGGTCCAATTTCCATTGGTTCTCAACAAATACCCAATTTGTTGGTGGAAGAACATCCTTTAATGATAATTTCTTAATTATTCTTGAACTTTTCAGATTATTATTATTATTATTGTTGTTGTTGTTGGGTTGTTGCCCGTCTTCTTCCTTTTCTTTATATGTTAAATTGAGACCTTGTTTTCGAATAGGGTTATTGATGGTGTACATACAATCCGTGAATCCCAATCGTTCCCATACTTTGTTTGAACTTAAACATTGTAACTCATATATTTCCACCACTTTATAAACGGGAGTATCGTCAACTTCTGTATGTGTCAACACTTTATTGGCGTAGTCTTCGAGTTTATTTGAGTAATTTAGCCATTTCAATCGAGTTTCCTCATGATAAAGATAATCAAGAATGATATTGCGATATCCAGGATTAGCCAAAATTGATACAGTCCATACGCTGAATATAATAAACCCTTTTAAGATCCAAAGACGATTCCATAATAATGAAATAATAACTGGCAAGGTACAACAATTGATAATAATAATAGAAAATATTGACAAAAGAATAAAACTCGATAGTTGATCATCCTTCCAATATAAATATTCTTTAGTAAACCATACCCAGGCGTCCCAAGTTTGAATGTAAAGAACTTGATGGTTTTGAATGTCTGTTAAATTTAAAACAAATTCACGCGATAATTCAGGTAATGGTTTAGGATAATCCCATGAATTAAGTGACTCTTCAGTAGGGTCCAATTGAAAACTTCCATTTTTATCCTGAGCTGCTGGATCAGGAGAATGTATGTGTAAATAATATGGTACCAAAACATTGTTGATGATAATAAAAGGAGGTAATATTGATAAGTAAACTGGATTAAGTACCAAAATAGTGATTAATAATAACATTCCAAATGTAAATGAAGGTTGAGACCAATTGAAAAACCTATAAGTATAGTCAATCATTAAAAAGGGGAAACTGAGACGAGCATTCAAATTAACCGTATTAGTACTTAGAGTATTGACAGATAATGGAGGTCTTTGTTTCTGCATGTCTATTCTAAATTTGATTTGATTCAATTCTGAAGTGGTTGCTTTAGTGTCTATGGGTACAATCATATCAATCATCTTCTCCAAAAGTTTATCCATAAACACTGAGTTTCTAATACTAGTACTTGATCCATTACCATCAGCTCCTGATTGCTTCGAAGTCATGAAATATGACATGAAATCCAACTCTGCAGCTTTCCTTCTCGCTCTAAGAAGTCCACTCTCATTCTTCTTACGATATGAATCCATGTTCTCTGTTATTGGATGTTCTGCACTTGTTGTAGGGTTAGCTCTTCCACTAGCTGTAGATGCCGAAGGAGCATACATCGCATGAGAACCAGAATCCGTCGCTTGGGGAGTCAGACTCTCGCTGGTGAGTACCTTCTCTAAGAAGTTGGATACCAGCTCCATTGGAATTAGCTAATCTCTGTCCAGCCTATATAACCCTGAATTGTCAATGGGTCACTTATAGTTTTGGGAGTAGGTAGGTTTGAAGTTATGACGTTGTACTTTGTATAGGGGCTGAAATTTTCCCCAGGAAACACCGAAACCAAAACAGACAGCCTGCTAAATAAATTAAGTGCTAGTGCAATTAAGGGCACGAAACTCAAGGATCTCTATTGAAATGCCTATTTATATCCAATATAAACCAGATAGTCAAGTTTTTTAATCGGTATAACTAATACTTGTTATTTTCACTGGTAGTTTTAATTCCTGTAGTAGCGGTTATTAATTTCGGTTAAGTGAATTCGCTTTGGCCTAGCAGAACAAAAGTTTTTCTAATGCCAAGTACTAACTCCAGTTTGAAACTAATTATCATCGATATATATAAATAGTTTACAAAGAGTAATTGTGCTTCGTTAAATGTTGGCATTAAATGTTGGGTTATATGTGAAGAAATGACTATGAATGTATGCGAATACGTCTCTTTGACTCAAAGGCACAGGTCAGCTCAAGTGATCTCTTGCGAGATTCAAAAGAAGTGGTTTCTTCCTTCTTTATTACATAGCAAGGCTGTTCGGGTTCTAACTTCACAACAGTAGTGTCAGGAGAAGACGCTTCAGATGGACCAGTAGATTCTGTATCTTCTGTAAACGACGCAAATGGTGAAGGTAGTTCAAACTTCAATTTCTTAGTTGCCTTTCGGTTTAAAGATGGTTTCAGCAGCTTTATATAGGACTGTTGAGATATCAGATTCTTCTTACTTGGTGTAGAAGGAGGTGTTAATGCCTCTGGAGCTAAACTTTCAGATTTTATGCCTTCAGATTTTATACGTAAACATTCTGGCTCAAGCTTGATATAATCAGCAGACTTTTGATTGTTCTTAAGCTTCTTAGAATCTAATTGTTCTTGGGTTAAAAAGAGATCAGGGATGTCACGTTTAAGGATGCGAACGAAATCATCACAATCGCTCAATATTTCGTAATCAATATGTGAATCCCAAGTGGCCTTGGCTAATGGAGTTTTATTCACAAATATAACCTTCCCACCACGTTGATGAATTGAATGGCTAAGTGATTTCACTAATTTCTTAACTCCATCAACTTTAAGTGATGTGCCCATTATAAGCAATAAATCAGGTTTCAGTCGCAAATCAAGATTCAACCCTTGCAGAATTAATTCTGATTGTGGATGGTGTTCACCATATAAAACGATGTCAGGTCGAAGCATTCCAATATTCCCTGTAAGCCTCTTTCCCAGATATAATCTTTCCTGGTACTTATCAAGACATGCATTACATTGTGGGTTTGAACCGGCTCCCAATTGCTTTTGATACTTTACATTCCAATCGAATGAACTATAACATTGGGTGCATGATAATTTGTGCAAATTTCCATGTAATTGGACAACATCTAGACTTTTCCAACCCTTTGTAAAATGCTTCTCAGTTATATCTTGTAAATCAATACCCACATTTAAATGAAGCAATTTCTCGATTGAATCAATATTTTGCGTATAACAACGTAAAAGTTTGTTCTTCTCCTTTAATGTTTTTATGAATTTATGAGTCTCAGTAGGATGTGCTAATAAGCTGGACAGATATAAGGATTCCATAAATTGGCAAAATAATGCCAAAGATATCTCATCCCGGAATAAACTTATATCAAACAAATCTTGGCCCTTGGTGATAGATTTGGAAGGATACTTTTGTTTAACCAAGTTATATAACCCATCACTACTTCTGAAATCAGGAATGCCGGCATTACATGATATTCCAGCGCCGGTTATGATTGTGCTTCTTTTGGATTTGAATATTTGCTTTATGGCTTCGTTGAGTTTTATTGATTTCTCCGATTCTATAGTCGACTCTAAGTCCGTTAAATCTATGGTAATCATTTTGTAATGGAAATTATATGTTAACAATTGGAAAGAAGCAATTATGTCCCTAACTTCAATATAACTCTATCGTTTTATCTCCAATAACGGTCGCGCGGCAAAGCACTAAACACACAGAGCAAAGAATATCAGGAATGCTTTTGAAGTAACTCTTTCTCTTATTGGTATCAATACAAACTTTCCTTTAACTTAAACGTCAGGGTTAAGAAAGGTTCAATAGTGTACTGCCAATATATGAGGGTAAAATACCGGATGTCCCTCTTCTCTATCAATGTGCAGGTAAGGTTAGAAAATCTCTGATAGAGTTGGGTATTGATTTGGTATGGCAATGGAAAACGAATGGACACCTAATGCTCTTTGTATCAGTTGTTGTTAAAGAGCAATATTCTTTTACCCACAACAATTAAACGAAGAACCAAATTATGACTTCACTTAGAATTGTCAAATGTAAGATCTTTATGGTTGCAAACTTCTACTTTTCAAGGTCCAGTTCCTTAGATGATGATCTTCTCAAATGCTTGAAATGGAAGTCAGGAAAATGAATATATATATAGTGGGATGTTCGTAGTGTTGTGGTTACGTTACTGATGTCGTTAGAAAAGAAAGAAGAGAAGAGTAAAAAAATTATATGGGTTACCGTTACAATGCAACTATTACGTGCATGTCGAGATTCACTAACGAGTAGGCTTATTATCAGGAGTGTATGGTAATTCGGTAGCGCGAGGTTTTATTATTTATTATTACGCTCAAAGAGGTAAAATTGATAATTGAGTCTGGAACACCTGTTTCATAGAGGTTACCAATACCTTGGACGTGACCATCCCAAGGATACAACTTGTTAGCATTTCAAGTGTTGTAATGCTTGTCCCATTATATTATCATCAATCTCTTTGCGGAAACTCAATTTTAACCACATTCCAGGTTCTATATTATTGCTTGCTGTATTTCCGAGGTTTTACCGAGGATTCCGCAAACATGTGTATGAAAAGGACTGAGCTACCTTCCTGGACACAGAAAAACGAATCACGAATCTACTTCCTATATCGTATTACTTACTCCTCGTAGAAACCGATCCAATACATCTTCAATTATAACTTATCATCTCAAGACCCTTGCGTTCAAAATGTAAAACTGTAACGACTATATATTTGAAATAACTTCGTCTTAATCTATCGTAATTACACTTCTGTCTCTCATTAAGTATAATTGACTTCGTCTAACCATTCTGACTATTTACAGCCAACTCCATAATCAACCGTGTAGCCATATGCAAAAATGGGTAAGCAGAAAACGAGCTCATTTCATCAACATCCTGTTTAGGAGCTGCAGGTGATTCCACTACCAGTTCCCAACCATCAAATTTGAAATCAACTAAATAATTGTTGGGTTCTAATTGAAATAATTGGATTTGCATCTTCATAAGATTAGGAGCATTTTCATGGCAATCTTTACTTTGATACTTCCATCTTACTCTAATGGTCCATAATTCTTCTTCAGTAGGTTTAGCCCATTCAGCTCCTAAATTCTTCAATGCACGGTAAATTTCACCCATAACATCCAAAGGATAAGATCTTGACCGTATACCAAAATGCCATCTGGTTTTCAGTTTCTTGTTGGAAACAGGTGGTATCCGAGATGCTATATCATCAGTTAAACCCTTTTGAGCTTGGGTTTCAGTCATGTAAGCACGGTGAATGGAAGGAAGGGATGATGGAAGAATGGCAATTGTAGAATTGGGTAAAGTTGACAAATCTGGCACAGTTGCTAATGTTTGGTAAGTTAAGGATTGCTGAACTCCAGGGGCACTGGAAGTAGCCTGAGGTGCATTGTTTCCAAAGCTAGCAGCTGAAGGAGATGGCGAGCCACTATGATATGGAGGTGGCGATTGCGATAAGAAATTCTCCATTTTATCAATCTTGTTTTGCTTCATATCTTTTACTAAGGAATGGTTTTCCTTCATTAATAAGTATGCATCCAAAATTTCATTCTGTTGTTGTTGTTGATTTGGATCATCATTCCACTTTTCAATGACATTTAAGATCTCATCTTTATCATAACCCATAGTTAAAGACAATGCCAGCATAACATCATCATTGACTTCAATCTTTTGGTGCTTGGATTGAGATAAATCTGGGGGTAACAAATAATCTGGCATATCTTTCTTAAACCAATCATCTTCCATTATCTCATGAATTGTTATTCTATTCAATGGATTCACAACAAGCATTCGGGTTAAAAGATTCTTAGCACCCAGTGATAAGTAGTTTGGTAATGTGTAAACACCATTGGAAATCTTTTTAAATAATGCAGGGATAAACTCATCATCAAAAGGTAATCTACCGCATAACATAACGTATAATATAACACCTGAAGACCAAACGTCAACTTCAGGACCAGCATATAATTTACCACTAATAACTTCTGGGGCAGCATAGTTGGGGGAACCACAACTAGTTTTCAAGAAATTACCATCTGTCATAATATTAGATAAACCGAAATCTGCAATTTTGACGTTTAATTGATCATCTAACAACAAATTTTCAGGCTTCAAATCTCTATGAACAATCTTATGTCTATGGCAGTACTCAACAGCCGCAATAATCTGTTGGAAGAAACGGCGAGCCTCGTCTTCGGGCATTTTACCTCTTTGAACAATATAGTCAAACAATTCCTTTCCTGCAAATTCGATAACCATAATAATTTCATCTCGGGACTTGATTACGTCGTACAATTTAATGATATGAGGATGTCTTAACAATCGTAAATAACTAATTTCTCTTTCAACACGGCCCTGCATGTCAGACTTGGCTAATGTTTTTCTATTGATGATCTTCAAGGCCACCTTTTGGTTGGTTACAACATGTTGAGCCAATTTGACCTTCCCAAAGGATCCCTCCCCAAGAGTCTTAAGGATTTGGTATTTCCCAATTCTGTTAGCAGGATTCACCCCAGGTTCTGCGCTCTTTTCACCATGGTGATGGTGATGGTGGTGATGATGTTCTCCTTCAGACATGTCACTTGTATGAAGGTTCTTTATTGTAAAATCTTTATGTTAACTCAATGTAATAATTTATACGAGGAATCTAAATGCCAATCAATTCGGCAATTTCAAATATGTCGTCCTCGATTGAATAAGCTGAAAAGTATAAAATTGAAACTCTAAATTTAGCGGATCAGTGTTGCAAGTTTCAGTTTGAACTATATAGTTAGCAATTGTAAAGTCTATGTCTTTGAAACGTAAATGTCGACATAGAATGGTTTCGTCACTATTTTCTCCCTTTTTTTCTTCCCCTAACTTGATTGCAATATGTGGTTCTCGCACTACCACGGTTGGTCTTCTTGATAGGTTATCTAATGTAACGGATAAGATCTAATGCAACACAAACTAAAAGATGAAACTACCAGCTTAGAGATTTCACTTCGTCGAAAGTTGCTGTCATGGGATTCCTTAACTGGTTTACCAGTGATTTTAATTTTGAAATTTCGTCCGGTGGAGGTGCGGTGACACTAACAACAGTTTATTGTTAGTGTTTATTTGATCTGGATCGATAAGTACTGCCGACATTGGATTGACGGTATCTTGAGTTCTCGCTTTCACGCTCTCGATCACTACGATAACGCTCATGATCATATGAGCGTTTTGAATCATCAGGTCGAGGTTTACGAGTGCTGCTCTTATTGTTTCGATCGGAATTGGAATTGGAATTAGTATTGTATTTACTTCTGTTGTAGTTTGTTCGCTTAGGTTCTTTGGGAGAAACATCATACTTTGAAGTAGTTGTAAGTTTGGATTGGGTTCTGGCCTTCACTTCGCGTTTATCTTTTATTACTTGTGGAATTCCATCTTTCTCGTTAAGAGCACTTTCAAGTACCTTCCAGAGATTTATAATGAAGGTAACAGCTTCTTCTTCTCCAAGAAACTCTGCAACTTGTAAATGTAATTCACCACCAGAAAGGGCATCTGTTTGACTCTCTAAAAGTTCTTCCACATAACTTTTCATAATGTCATCATCCTCAGGTAGAAGGGTTTCCAACTCATTATCAAGCCATTCTCGAATAATAACCTTAAGGTTAACTCTACTTAAATCGATCTTCAGCTTGGCAACTGATGATGGTAATTTCGCCTCACTTAAGGACGCTAGTTTCTTTTCACGCTCTTTCTGGGTTTCATTCTCTTCTGGCCTAATTATGTACGACATGGTGTTAGGGTGAGAGAGATGAGGGCTTATTTGATCTTGCTTTCAGATGTTACAAAGGTAAGGTAACAGTATGAATTTTGTGTATAAATTGTCGCACGAAATTATCCGAATGCAATTCAAGCTACCATGAATTGGGGTATACGGAATACATGTAGAGTTGAGGGTGAGTAAAAGATGGTGCTTTAAAAATTGAAAGACGATTGGAATGGAACAAGTAGTAAATACTGAGCTATGCTATTTGTGGTAAATTAGTTGTAGTACCAAATATTGCTGCAAACGTGTCTCACCCTGTAACTGGAATCATCACATAAGTTATTATCCCTTTCTGAATACTTAAGTGAGTACCTTGAGACGATGAATACAGTTAACTTATAATTATAGTTCCGCTAATAATTAATTTATCTATGTATTCTCGCATTTATCTTTATAAAGTTTTCTTTGGAATATACTTTATGTTCAGGAAAAGACCTAGATAAACTTAATATTGTCTGTGTTACTTATAGAAAACAGAAAAACCAGGAAAATACGTCATAGTTGAAATTCAACCTGCAAACCGTCTATCTCCCTTCACATATTACCATCGATAGCTATCGATGATAAGTACTTATAAATTGTTGAGAACTGCATAACTTTCACCTACAATGTTATTTTAATTTGAAAATTTATTGCTAAAAAAAGGTTAAAGATTCTCCGAAATATGGATCTAAACGTAACTCAGCATTTAATTGTATACTGAAAAAAAGTCTTCATACTAATCTATACTGTAGTATATCATATTTGACACCGATTGTATCAAAGATTGTAAAGACTCCTCTCCTGTGTCTTAGGTAAATTACTTTACAGCGTGAGGACACAAATGTTTACTCACCTTACACTCATGTGCCTTTAGCCAGAATAACAGATCAGGATAAATTAATGTCTAGAATGCCCCACTACATAACAACTACCTCCTTATTATTATTATTTGAAAGTGATGTGATTTCACCTCAATTTTTTTCTTAGGACCATAGTGAGGGTCGCTTTCGTCCACCTTCTGTTAAGGGGGGTGGCTTACTATCCCCTCTACATATAATGGCACCCTCACGCACGTCAATCCCCTCCAATTAGAGGATAACCACAATAGCCTATTTATATCCCCCCAAATTAAACGATGGAATCACAGAACCTTAAAATTGTAATGAGGCACAAGCTTACGGACGAAGACATCAACATCAGCTGTAAAGGGAAAATTCCAAAGTCTATTTAATTAATAAGCTCGAGGTCCAGTATCCCTGTGAAACTTAAATATCAAAGGATAAAGTGCTGTGTATCTTCACTTGCAGATAATTGAGATATGCAATTCGGAAACAATAGAAATAGTCGTGAAAAGCAGTAAGGACAACGGAAATACGGACACATTTTGAGGTGTTAATTGGTCAGGGTCGTCAGCTATATTACCGGTTAGGTAATGAACACCACAAATAATTCCGCTTAATTATACTCATGTAACTTGAATTTGAACGGAGTGTACATAAATTTACCTTCCAGAGCTAACATCTAAATTTCTCCTATATGAAGATTTATAACATTAAAATAGACCTGTTCATATGCATTCTAGTTGAAGGATGAGTGATACTTGGACAGATGTGTAGGTACAAACGGTAGGTTATAATAGTTCTGCAATCAGTTATATTCACTGGTTCTATTTTCTGGACCTGTATGAATCATTTTAACACTTGCAATTTGACCCAAGTCACTCACTGATAAATCACCCTCTCTTCCTTCCAAAACTCATTGCTAGTTAATTCTTTAACTTAAAGTTGACCATATAGTAGTTTCTACTGCTTTTGTTAAAAAAGTATCCTAAAAAAATACAGTAAAAACGTTAGCTCTAGTCAGCTTCCAATTTCAATCACGGATAGAGTGCAGTAAACACGAAAGGGTGCAGATCAAATAAAGAACCCCTTAAAAGGCAATCTCATTTCTTATCTTATGCCTTATTATCTTAAATGTTATTATTTTTTAACCCCACCTTTATTTTGTATTAGTTATGCAATCAACTCCTGTAACCTCTCCTCTGGATGTGTATTCTTATATACAGTTTTCATTTTTGCACCCAAATAAAGTATATATAAGGATCATAATATAATGGGTCTGTTCTAATTTCCAACACCCCTACTTCTTTTTTCCGCTTTTTATTCTTTCTCTTTTGTAAGCATTTACAAAATTTTCTTATATTTATATAAGAGTACTTAATGACAGACTCATCACCTATTCACTTTGGATCATTTCGTGGGTCCTCCCATGACTCTCCAACTCCAACTATCTCACCGATCGCGTCTAAACGAGAGCCCTCTACGTACCCAGAATACGAATTTCTGGGTACCGAAAGGTACTTTCCAAGGATGCAGATGTTTGCAGGTGGGTCTAATAAATTTTCCAGCGGGTCACATCTAAAGAAGATATTTGCTGCTATGATAAATGAATCTGGCGATATTGATGTCAACAAAAATCCCTCTTTGGATGATCCAAATAAAAGCACATTAATGCATAAACAACTGATAGCATACAATGTACCAGTTACCAATAATGAAGAAGATATACCCCCTTTCTTTCCTACAAATATTTGGTCTTCAAACTTTCAATCTCAAAGGAGTGTTTCACTTTTTCCTGAGTGGGAATCAAAACTCCATATCGTAGAACCACATAGCCCTGTTTGTGACGTTGAAGTTGATTCAAACTATGTTCTTCATAATCCACAACCTACTTTACCAATAAAGTTTCAATTTTTTGATCCTCTACTTTTTGATGACGAAAAACTTGAATTTGCAAAGTATATGGGCCCGGAACTAAGTAAATCCAATGTGTTGACTTTCAGAGATCAAAATGGTCAACATTTCTCAGTACCACCAGAGTCACGTTTTTTTGTTATTAAGTCAAACAATTTTTTAGATATCTTTGCTTCTTTCAGAAATAAGGTCTGGTCATCAACAGAGTTAGGAAATAAGCGATTGAATAACGTTTTCAACTCTCTCACAGAGAACGGGAAAGTTTTTCTTTTCTACCTGGTTAATGGTTCCGGGCAGTTCTGTGGGATAGCTGAAATGCGTGATTCAGTTGACTATTCCCAATCATGTAACATATGGGTGGAACAAACACGTTATAAAGGCATTTTCCCAGTGGAATGGCTAATGGTGAAAAATGTACCCAATAAATATTTCAATCATTTAAAGATCCCTGATAATGATAATAAACCAGTTACATGTTCTAGGGATACCCAAGAAATGCCATATAGTGTTGGCTTGTCTATGTTGAAGATATTCAGTTCCTTCAGAGTCAACTGAAGCTTTTTTTTTAACTCGTAAATTGTTCATAGAAAAGTGCTTATTGTTTTTAATATATACGGTAAAATGATCCATGCCAAGCTGGTACCCCGTAGTAGCCATTTTTGCACCCAAGAAATGATCCGTGCGATTTTCAAAAATCGAACCACCAAGTTGGATTACCGAAACGGTAATTGGTACAAAATGGAAGAAACTAAAAAACTACCAGTTGTAACGCATTACAATCAGTACTTACATGCTGTCATACAATAGCAGTAGGTAGGAACAAATGATACGTAGCAGCATTTTTCGTTCCAATAAAAGGACCGTTCGACTGTTGATACAGTCCAGATCCTTTACTACCGGGTCATCTGATAGAACACCTGAATCGAATAAGCCAATCGCAAACATCACTTATGGAGAGTTTTCCCCTGCTCAAAGAGCATATTTAGAACGACTTGTTAGAGTTGACCAAGCAGGTGAACTTGGTGCCAATTACATTTATATGGGACAACATTTTGTTCTTGCCTCAAAGTCTCCCGAATTGAGAGATTTGATACAGCATATGTGGGACCAAGAAATCCACCACCACGACACTTTCAACCGGTTACAAACTGAACGCCGAGTTAGACCATCATTATTGACCCCACTTTGGAAAGCAGGTGCAGTAGCTATGGGTGTGGGTACTGCTCTTATTAGCAAAGAGGCAGCAATGGCTTGTACAGTTGCTGTTGAAACAGTCATTGGTGGTCACTACAACGAACAGTTACGGATATTAATGAATCAATTTGGAACACCTATATTTAAGGATGGTGAACAAATAGAGCAAGGTGAAGTTGAGACCGAATTGAAAGTGTCTCCCGAATTGGCTTCCTTGAAGAAGTTAATTAGTGAGTTTCGGGATGATGAATTAGAACATTTGGATACAGCTATTGAGAATGATGCAGAGAAAGCGGTTCCATACAAATTATTAACTGAAGGTATCAAGCTCGTTGTTAGAGGTGCTATTTGGACGGCCGAAAGAGTCTAAGATAGCTTCGTAGCATATTTATTATTTAATGTCAGATTAATAAATTGTGCAGTTTAACATCAACAAGTTAGGGGAAACAACTCTAACTCACTCATTATATAGCCTGAACGGAGTAGTTGGTAAATTCCGCAGATCACGTGATGAAACAAATATCGTAAATGCGACATTTGGTGATGCTTTTGATTCCCCCAAAACACGACATCCAAATCAAAACAAATCAATTGTAAATACATAACCTTCAAATTTGAAGCACTAGTGAGAGCTACCAATATAGTACAAAGACTCACCGTGTATAACTGCCAATAGGAAAACTATTATTATTTAGTAGGCACCAAGGGTGACACAGTCAATGTCGCGTATAAGTAGTATCTATAATGGGACTCTTCGTCGGCAAGATACCCCAAGCACTCAGACAACTTCTCATGACCAATTTCCCCTTTTAAACATTCAAGAAATTACATTTTGTTTGCTAGCATGTGAGATCACAGTTACTGAAGAGCAGATTGCACGTCCAACGAATGCTTTTGTCAAGGAATTGTATGGTGAATTCTGTGATCAGTATATGGGGACGCCTATTCCAGAAGTTCAACGAAGAATTGCGCAAGGAAAGCGTAAAAAGCTGAAAAAGCTGCAGGATACTTCCAAGAAGACAACAAATATTCAAGAGAGAGACAATGATGCAATGGAAGTCGAAAATGGAGATCGAGAGGATGAAGAGATGGAGGGACAACAAATTAACGAAGATGATAACGAATATGATGATGAAGATGAGGATTTAATACACCTGAGAGATCTATACGTACTTTATGCAGCAACTGAAAGATTCATGCAGATATGTGGAATTGGCAATTTCACTCTACTGGATATATTACGGCCTGATCCTTTCAGAACACGGCGTATTCTCAGTGCAGTGATAAACTTTGCGAGGTACCGTTCTGTCAGACTCAATGCATGTGAAGATCTTGTTAAGAGGGCCGATGATGAAGAAGAACGTTTAAGAAATGTGAAGGAAAAAAACCTTGATCTTGCCGATAAATTACAAGAACTAAAGCATAAGATTGAATCCAGTCTGGAAAGTTCGTTAAAAGCCATTGGTACGATGGGACCACCCGAAAACATTAATGGAGAGAATACAACTATGTTTCGCCGTCGACATACTTTGAAGCAAATCCATTCATACAATATCAAACTACAGGACGATTTGAACAATTTAAAAGTGCATGTTGAAAGTTTGATGAATGAATACCGTAAGTATAAAGATGAGAAAGCCCGACTGTTGGGAAAAATTGAGGATCAACAATATTTACTTGCCGAGAAGACAAACGAATTGGAACGCATGAGAGATTATGCTCAGACAGACATAACATTGGTTAGAAATATCGTTGAAGACTTGAACAAGCAATTGTCAGAGTATAATGAACGTATACGAACGTTAGAGGCACAAGAAAAGAAACTAGAATCCATGAATGGTGAAGTAAATAAGTTAGAGAGAGAGTTTCGCGAAATGCATTTACTTATTGAAGAGGTCAGCAACCAACAAATGCGTGAATCCAAGGCAAAGGAGGAAAATGATAAATTAAATCTTGAAGTTGAGAGGTTAGATTTGGAAACCAAAGAGCTCGATAGGCAAATTGGACTTAAGGAACAACAATTGAAACTTCAACAAGAGAAGAAAGATAAAGTTAACCAACAATATAATGAACAAGAGCGTGACTATCAGAATAGCATTCAATTAGTGATTGATGAACATACCAAATTACATGAAAGAGTTAAGCTGAAGGAGCAACAATACACATCCACCAAACTCCAGATACAACAATTAGAAACTACCATTAGAGCTCAAAAAGCTAGTTTTGCTAAGGAGAAGAAGAATGTGGAAATTAAGCTATACAGATTAGCAGGGATTATGAGAAGGTATATGGATCAAATTGGGAACAAATTAGATGCATTCAACAAAGACAATCTTTGAAATTATGTTATGTTATGTAATATTATTATTATTAAAGTGGTTATGTATTATTATTAGATAATGAAGTATGTACAATAAATATTTATAAGACATTCAATTTGTCAGGAATATTCTAAACGGCATCAGAGAGATCTTTCCGTTCAGTTTCGTTAGATTTGATAGCCTCAGTTTGTTGATGGTCGGTTGGTTCTTCAATAAGGTCACTTTCATCCTTCTTCATTTTCACATGTTCGTCTCTTGGAATACGTTTATTGGAAGTAAAAATAGCAAATACCAAAGATGCGCAAGCTAAAGCAACACACCACCAGAAAACGCTCTTTAATGCCTTCATAAATGCATTAAGTACCAAATCCTTTCCTTGTGCAGGTAAACTGTTGATGATTTCAGGGGTTTGAATTAATACCTTTGGATCATATCTGCTCATTTGCTGGTATAAAGCTGGATTTTGGGTTTTAAGTTTACCAAGAGCAGAATTAACATGAGATTTACCCTCCTCTTGGAAAATTAATTGTGCAATTGAAACTGCAATAACACCACCAAGTGTTCTAACAAAGTTTACAAAAACTGTAGATTGAATCATTGAACCTTCAATTGTGTTTGGAGCTTCCAATTGAGCAGAAATAATGGGTGGTTGGAACGAAAACCCAATACTCACACCTGCAACAATTAAAAGTCCAATTCTATCAGCTTTAGAACTTGTTCTTGAAAGCAAGATGAACAATCCTGAACCAATAGGACCTAAGATAGCAGCAGTTAATAATGGAATTTTCACAAATCTAAATACTCTCATTGCTGCACCTGTGAAAATGGAACTTACAGTTAAACCAATAATATAAGGAAGCAAGTCAATACCAGATCTCCAAGGTGAAGCACCCCAGATAACTTGAAAGTAAATGGATAAATAAATATTTGCAGCCATAAACCAACCATAAATACAGAATGAGGTCATAGCAGTTGCAAGAATTGGTCTTATGGTGACCAATTCCTTCATAATAATTGGATTCTTGGAGTACATGAAATTGTAGACAGCAAATCCCACAATTAATAGTCCACCCAATACAAAGTTGAGAATGACTGCTGCTGACCTCCAAGGAAAATCTTGCCCACCAAATGAAAGTCCTAACAAGGTAAGAACCAATCCAGCAGTCAATAAAAAGGTTCCTAAATAATCAATTCTTGCTAATTTCACTCTTAAGCTGCCTGTTGGTTTTGGGGGATTGAAGCAAACAACTAGCATGGCGAAAGCAGCTCCTCCAACAGGTAAATTAATATAGAAGCACCACCTCCAAGATACATGGGAAGCAAACGCACCTCCTAACAAGGGACCAATAACACTAGCCACTGCAAAGGTAACTCCAATCAAAGAGAAGGCAAGTGATCTTTTAGAAACTGGTACTGATTCAGACATAATAACCATCACCATGGATTGGATAGCACCTCCACCAATACCTTGTATGACCCTTCCACCAATCAACATATCCATTGATTGGGAAATACCACATATTAATGATCCAATTTCAAACACAATGATACCAAACATCATTGTATATTTCCTACCAAAGGCAATAGAAATTTTACCATAAGATGGAGCTAAGACTGCGATAGGTAAAAGAAACCCTGAATTTAACCACCCCACTCTTTCAAAACTTTTAAACTTATTACCCACTGTGCTCAAAATAGTTATAATGATAGTGGCATCTAAAGCCACAAGGAAAAGTGATACCACACAAGAAGCTAACGTAAGGGCCAATTTATAACCGTGCACAAACTGATCTAATGCTTCAGTCCCATCACCGGCATTTGATTCGAAATATTTATGCCGTAAAGATGAAGCAGCACTAGATATCCTTGAAAACCCATTAGTTGTATTGTCAATGGGATTAGGCACAATCGTCGAAGCCTCTATGGGGGCAACACAAGTGTCCTTTTCTAATCTAGAACTTGAACTGGTGGACTCTATGGAGACAGTCGGAGCAACCATGTTGGTAAACAATGAACTTAAAAACTATTATAACTCACAAGGTTAACTTGATCTATGGGACAAATAAAAACCAAACGGCTGTACTAACCTAGCTTGAAAATACAGGAGAACGATCACTTTAACTTTTAGAGCGATCTTATCCCCAATTTATATACCTTGACCTTGAACGGAAACAAGTTTCAAAAGATGTGGCAAAGAAAATCTTCAATCTAGTGAAACTGACTTGTTACCTTGTCTAAAGTAATAATTCACGTAGTCATACAATACTTTCTCCGCTCAATCTACGGAGTATTCTTCACAGAAGCGGAATTAAATCACTCAAAAGGCAATCATTAGAACAAAGCCGTGAATGGAAGGTTGGAAAAATTCAACGCTACCATTAAATTTATTTTATTCGCTGCCACTACTTGACGTAAGCTGAATTGGCCTTCCCTTTTGGGAACAAATACATTTTCATATCCATACGGCTCATCGCTAACTCTTATTCCCAAGCGCAAGGTCAAAAAGATTCACTATAGATCATTCATTCATTCATGTAAACTGCTGGCACTTATCAATTAGTACGTGGCTATCATGGTCTAAAAATTCAAACTATATAATTTCTATATAAAGATACTCGTTCATTCTATGCATTGTTTAACGGAGATAACAAGGTATTAGATTACTTACCTAGGTTTGCCCTCTTATTGTTTACGCCAAATTTTGACGTAAGTGTGAATACAACATTTTTGCGCGGATTTAATTTATATCCACTTTTACAGCTTCATTGCTTCTTAAACCCGTTGGTGAGTCAATGAAGGCTTTCAATACCACCCTTGGATAAAAGATTGCAAATACCCTCTAGAAGAATCTGAACATATATCGCGTGTGTATTTGTTATTTCCGTCACCACCTGTAGATGTTGTAAACTTTAAGCTCTCCACCTAATAAAACTAAGTTTTTGTTCCACCCCCTGATTTACAAGCAAATAATTGCTATATATTTGGTTATAATAGTCAACTTTACTATAACACATCTGAATTTAGGTGCAAAACAAGACAACGTCCCTAAATACAATTATAACAATCCATCAAATGAAATGTGAAGGCCTGAGGAACTATGGACGACATTGACGCAAGAATTGAAGAAAGTCCAAATCGTCATCAGAATCAGAAGTTCGTTCCCCAATTGTGTTCGTTGAATAGTTACTTGATTTTTTCAGCGAATCTCCCGAACCATCACCAAACAATGTTGCAGATGTACGAGGACTAGCGTATGGTGTGTGAACTCCACTAATGGGTGTGGTGTTCTTTTCATGGACCTTTTGCGTAACAAAGGAATAGCCTGTCTTTGCTAAAGGAGGCGCTAAATGAGATGCCTGAGGCCCAGAATTCGAAACACCAGTGTTTGAATTAGAAGCAATGTGTTGTTCAGCACTCTCATGCGGAACATCTGACTTCAGATGTGGATCAACAAATGATAACTGTCTATTCCTTGAAGAAGCTCCACCATGTGAAGAGCGCTTAGATCCAATGCTTGCTCGAGAAGACTTTCCATGACTTGCATGACTTATGTGTGACATTGCTCTCGACCTGAATGAAGCATTGGAAACATTCACAAGAGCACCACCAGCGTTTCCAACTGTTGTACCGGATTTATTGAAAGAAAAGTTGTCCAATTGCCTAAATGCCCCTTCATCCAACGAACCACCGCCTAAAATATTGGAAAAGTCTGAAGGTCCCTTTGGGCCACTTCCCAAAGATGTTGCTCCTTGTCCTGCTTGTCCAGATTGATTAGAATAGTGATATATTCCAGTACCTCCAGGATACAGAGAATCGTGAATTTGACTGCCACTAGAACGAGGACCAGCTTGTTGTTGGGACAATTTCTTATTCAATTCTTTGAGTTGTAATTTGAGGACGTTTTCATCAGTAGGAAGTGCAAAGAATGGTAGCTTAAGAGATGAGAGACGTCGTCTCCATAATGGATATTCGTCAATGTTAACTAAGGATGGAATAACAAGTGATTCCTTTTGAGAATAAAGCGATTGGTTTCTAAGTTGTTTTGAAGAAACTTGAGATTGGCGACGAATACTTGAACGATTCGCATTGTAATTTGCAAATTGCGTTTCTTCAGTTCCCTTTTCAGGGGAAGTAGCATTTTGATTACCAGAAGAAGCGACACTATGAGACTCAGCTTGAGATGCTGAAGTGCTTGAACTTCCATTCACCAAAGACTCGCTAAGTATTGAACCATATTCACGTTCAAAGGTTTTCATTATTGTATGCTGCCATGGTCTTTCCCTGTAAAAGAATACTAAAGAGTCAACAAATCCAAAAAGGGGTTGCATAAATGCACCCATGCAATTTAACCAATAAATTGGTTTGTGTGTGCTCTCGTAATTCACCTGGGTAATGTAAAGTATGAAGGGAAAGAGCCAAAGTAAAATATATGCTATTGGATAAACGAAGATGGACTTCATTTGTTTTTTGATTACTTTTTGTCGTTTGCGGAAGTTATCCAAATTTTGTCGATGGAATTCTTGATCATACAATTGGGGTCGTTCTTGATTATGATTACTTTCTTCTTCAGCTTCCTTTTTTGGCAGTTTTTCTTCATCACCATCAGGAAGAACTAATTCAGGAATGAAAAATTCTCTAATTCGATCAAACAGAAACTTCAATGCCGAAAAGAATGAAGGTTTTTCTTCTTGATAAGAATGTGAGGGTACTATTTTCGATCTCTTGTGCATTGTGGTGAAGACACCACCTAAAAGCTTGAACTCTTTGATGACATGGAAATAAATGGCACAATAAATACCTATAATGATAATCAAAATGCAGTAACGTGGTACCCAAGAAAGAACAAATCTAGACCAAACTGGATCTTGCGGTAAATAACACCAACATACAAATGAATCATAGCCTCTACGATTTGGATTTAAAAATGCCAAACCAGCCAAAAGCCCAGGCAAAAGGAAGGAGATTCCATATATGTACCATCGGTAACTATATAGCCCCCCTTCCGTTCTTGTAGATGTTCCATTAGTGACTTTAAATGTCAAGTTTGGTTTGAAAATAAGAAGAGATGTATGAATGGCAAACGATAAAATGGCAATATCCGCTCCTTCTATGGCAAATGCTGAAAAAAACCCCACCACTTGGCAAAAGTTATCATTATAATAGGCCAGATCATGAGTAAGAACTCTTGCAGGATATAACAATAGGACAACAGCTTTAAGCAAATCAAAAAGTAAAAGAAAAAATATAAGATGATGTCGAAAGACAAATCTTTTGGGATCGATGAATAGAAAACAATAGAAAGCCGCTAAAACAAAAACTATTGATGTTGTAGATGCACTCACAGAAAGAACTCTTTGCACGAATGCTTGGTGATTTGTGAAATCATTAAGTTGATTTTCATTTCGAGAAACTAATGCACTAATGACTTCCATTGGCGATATCGAAGTAGCTGAAGACATTTCAGCTAATGCTGACGTTCGTGATGTTGTGAACATGGTGTCATTTTCCAATATAGGAGCTTATTATAACAAACGAATATCTTAAAATGTATCCCTTACTTTATGGATTTTTTGATTATTTGCAAGAGACCGTATCAGTTCTATAATTGGATTGAAATGTTTTGTTAAATTCCGCCAAAAAAATTAAGCAGGATTAAGTAGAACGATGGATTCTTTTATCACTAACAAAGTCAACTACCTACTATACATGTAATAGACTCAATGGGAAAAAACGATATGGATGTAAAGAAGACGACGAGTGAAAGTTATAATGGATTTTGAAGGAATCCTGATGAAATCTTATAAATTGCCTACAAGGTTTTGTTTAAGCCAGTTTTATGATGAAGCAAATTTTGAATGACACAAAAGTTCCGAGCATTGGGTGCATGGCTAAGTTTTGTTGTTGGCCATCCATGGATGATAAGGATCACGTGACAAAGGAACTGTCTCGCAACCTTCCTTATTATGTGACTCGTGGTATGTTTTATTACAGTGGTGAAGATTGTACGGACGTGATATAATGAAACTACTTTTCTGGACAAAGAATAGGGGGTCAGTTCTCGGAGCTCAGTGAACCTTTAATTAAGTTCACGTTTAAGCTTAAGTTAAGCACATTTATTTATTAGACTTCATTTATTTGCTTATCGATCTGCCTTGTCTAGCTTGAATATCAATTTAAATTCAGTTCATTTAAAGAAGGATAATGATGTCCACCTAGTTGTCATCGACCTTACATATATACGACCGTACACAGGACTACTAATTCTTTCTTTCTTTCTTTCTTTCGTCGTTCCTCTTTCTTTTCGGCGACCACTCTCTACATGCCGTCGTTTGGTATTGTTGTATCTTCCACGTCCACGTCCCCTCTTTTTTTAGATTCCATGGGACTGCCTAGGGCTAACTTTTGGGGACTGTATGGTGTTTTATCGCAGGGCTTCAATTCGTAATTTGTATGTAATCGCCGTTTCGTACAAAATTTCCCCTTTCCTAACCTTATGAACAAGAATGGAGATGATGACGTCTATTTCGTCGCAGTCGAAAAAATTTTGTTGCATCTGTATTAAAAAGTAGTTGCAGTAATAAGTTAAGAATATACTTACGAGTCCTTCTATCTGTTTATAAATGAGTTGTATAGTCTTATATTTCGCTACCAAACAAAAATGTAGATAAACGACTAAAGAAACCCTGTTTCACCTTACCATTTACAACAGTTTTACCTTCTCTACTGTATTTTTCATACAATTCAGTCTCATGCGTTTCCACCTCCGCCAACCCTGTTACCAAATCAACTTCCATTGGGTTACGCCATTTGGTTCGTTTAACCAACTTATAGCCCACAAATATAATAATATCAAGGAAAATAAACAAATATGAATAAAGGAATGACTTGTAGTTCCACTTATGGGGAAGGAAAACGGTATAAGATGAGACAAATAGCAAGACGAATGCAAATACTAATCCGCAAATTGCAGTATACGGTTGATACCATGATTTAAACGGTAAATTCTCCCTTGGGAACCCTTGTGCAATGTATGCTTTCCGGAAGAAAATATATACAAAACACAAGACACAGAAATTGATTAATTGACAAGATGTGATTATGTTAATGATCCAATCCAAAACTTTGGAAGCCTGGCTATCAACTTGCAAAAACAGGATGAGTGACCAGGATAAACTAAGCAACATGCAATATATAGGGATACCTGTTTTCGTAGTAGCAGTTAAAAACTTGGGTGCATAACCATCTAATGCAAACCCATATAATGTTCTTGAAGAACAAAACGTATAAGAATTACCGGCAGAAAAAGCCGCAGTCAACAAGAGAACATTCATGATTTGAGGTAATACATCAATACCCAATCTTTGCATCGCGATGACATAAGGAGATCCCCCAGCACCTGGCTTACTGGCTCCCATTGTTTCTTTCAAGATAGGATCATTGTAGGCAACAAGAATACCCACGGAAAGAGCACCACCAATAAAAAATACCGTCAAACGAATAAATACTTGTTTAAAAGCAGATGGTAAAGTCTTACGAGGATTAATCGTTTCAGAAGCAACTAGTGAAACATATTCAGGTCCGGCAAATGTGAAGCAAGCTTGGATCAAACAAGCAAGGAAGCCTTGAAATCTACCTAAATCACCTGTAGCAATGAACTCAGCCATTGGACCTGGATTTTTCCAGTACTGAAACCCAAATGCATCGTGTTTAGGATTACCTCCCACCATGGTAATGAAAGTAAAGAATAAAAGACCCACTGCAAGAATAATTTTACCAAACGAAAGCCAGAATTCAACTTCACCATAGACGCTAACCCCAAGAACGTTTATTAAAAAATAAAGCACCACTTGAACTGCCAAAGTAATGGCCGGAGAATAATCATCTCGCCAAAAGTGAATAATCAGATTAACAGTGACAACTTCGAAGGGAATTTGAGCACAACAGAGGAACCAAAAGTTCCAAGCTGTTGCTACTTCTAAGGCTTCATCACAACATCTACCAGCCATTCTAACAAACGGCGATACAATTGGCAAATAGCATACCATTTCCGCAGTTGAAACAGTTATACATAAGATAGGTACAGACCAAATAATGAAAGCTAGTAGCAAATTCAAGGGACCTCCCTTGGCTAAAGCCTTACCGATAGCAACAAATAATGCCAGCCCGATAGTTGCTCCAATACCAAGTAATTGAACATGACGGCCATGAAGTTTACGATGAAGTCCCACAGTTTGTGGAGCTGTTGAAGTAGTTTCTGTAGTGTGGATAGTAGCAACATCTTCGTTCTTTTTCCCTTCACTCTTAAGTGGACTTGAAAGGAAGACATCATCAGTAGTAGCTAAACCATGATCATTTAAGGGATCTTTAGGGGTATGAGGAATGAAATTATCCTGCAAGAACTTGGCAAATCCCATTTTGAGTTGCAACTATTAACGTAATTGATACCAACAAAAGTGAGTGATAAATCAAAATGGTCCTAGTTTTGTTCGGACCTGTATCAGGCGAAAAGGAATGAAAGAATTCTAGTACGACTATATGGAAATAGTGCAATGAAATATCTGTTTAGTTTAAAGTCTTATTTTATAGATAAAAGCTCGCGATGCCGGATTCAGGGGAAGGAATATATCCCACTATTTATACTTCTGTGTTAAAACCTCATCTTCAATTATCATAAATCCAAACTGGCATTTTTAGCTAATAAAATACACGACTTGTGCATGTTAGAACAAACGGCTCATTCAGAGATCTTGAAGATGTTTGGGGCACTATGCTCTCGGACAACTATTGTATGAGGTGATTTGTGGGGGGATAATGGCACAAAAGCATGGAAACGAGTCAAAATTATTCTATGTTATTGTTGAACTACTTTGACCTCACTACAATAATTGTATCCAGTGTTAAGTTATTAAAATGTGTTATAATTAATTACCTTTGTTACCAGATATAGCAAAGATATTTAGATACAAGTTTACTCACTTTGGAATTATAAAGGATATCTAAGAATGTGCACACCTAAAATTTCAATAAATAATAATCTTGCCAAAAATATATAGTCAGTAAATTCTGAAATTTGTATATATGACCTCGTTGCCGTATGTATCAATACGGTGAAGTCTTTTTCGTAAATTGAGCTAGGGCGTTTGATATTACTACTTGCACAGAACCTAGCGATAATCTGGTTTTAAGGGCCTTGTCACAGAGTCGGAACTCAATCTAGCTTAACATGTTCCTGACGTCAACGCATAATGGTTATTTTACCGTATTATTACAACATAACACTTATGCAGTACATTGATTTGACCAATAAAAACGCCATGTGATAGCCTGTCTGAGTTGAAGTTAAGTACGGTCAAGCGGATGTGGAAAAAATATGTATGATTATTCTTACATGTGTAATGTAATTTGTGATCAAGACTTTTACATAATGATTACATGTTTTAATTAATTCAAGAACTTATTTTGAACTCTAGAAAGTTGTCAAGTAATCAATTCTTGCTAGTGGTAGCGCATGGTCACAGTGAATTATCATGTGACAATTGCTGAATGTGTGTAATTGAAATACTATACTTAAATTTAGTCGTGAAAGTCAAAGGTTGAGTAGGGTTGGAAGTTATAAGTAATCGGTGATAATTCATTCCTATTAGTATACCAATATGAGAGTACCCTTTCTTGGACGTCTTTCAATCACAGAATGGAGTTACATCTTAGTTTCCTTCACCGTTGCTTATACTGATGCCTTTCTATCCTTGATTACATCCTATTTACCCACCTTCATCATAGACTTATGTACATCTGCGGTACAATTGGCTTACCATATTGTTTTTAAAAATCTCTTTGTCAATTATGATGCAAGGGCCCATAAATATACATATTCAACAGATATGGAGAATTCAATCACTTTCGAAGAGACTCAACCCCCTTCACCCAAAACATTAACCCTGCCAGCAGACTTTAAGAAGCTATCAGTTAATGAAGCTCATAAGAGTATTGACTTAATCAATTGCAAAACATTTGAAGAAATGTGCCACTTGCGAGGTTTTGATGTTGAAGAACATATAGTGAAGACATCTGATAATTATCTTTTGACTTTACATCGTTTGGTCAGATCACCTGATGCTGATACTACCATTTCTTCCCAAGAACTGAGACGTAGATATGGCAACAGAGTTGTATATCTTCATCATGGGCTTCTCATGTGTAGTGAAATATGGGTTACAATGCTTGAAGAAGATAAGAATTTACCCTTTCTATTGCACAAATATGGATTCGATGTGTGGTTGGGTAATAATAGAGGGAATAAGTATTCCCAGAAGCACTTACATTACCCATCTCTGTCTACTAAGTTTTGGAATTTTAGTCTTGATGAATTTGCCCTTTTCGATATTCCAGAAACAATCGATTATATATTAAAGGTAACCAAAGTACCAAAGCTTACTTATATTGGTTTCAGTCAAGGTACAGCTCAAGCATTTGCTGCGGTATCAATTAATCCTGATTTAAATGACAAGCTTGATCAAATCATTGCTATAGCACCGGCAATAACACCTAAAGGACTTCATTCGAAAATTCTCGATATGTTTCTTAAAATATCACCCAATGTGATTTATTTGATATTTTCTCGAAAGCTTTTAATGCCAAGTGTTATACTTTGGAACAAGATCGTCTATCCCCCTTTATTCACAAACATGATTGACCGTTCAAATAAGTTATTATTTAATTGGGCTTCAAAGAACATTTCCCCAGCACAAAAGGTGGCTTCCTATAATCATTTGTATTCGCCTACACTGGTGAAAACGGTTGTGCATTGGTTTCAAATTATGGCCGCGAAAAGGTTTCAAATGTATCATGAAGATATAACTTCGTACGCCATTTCTCCTACTCAATATCCTATTAATAACATCCAAGTACCAATCACTTTAGTTTATGGTGATACGGATTCACTTGTTGATATCAAAGTGATGCTTTCTCAATTGCCTCGAGACAACACAGAAGCTATTCCTGTAGCAGGACATGAACATTTGGATATGATTTGGGGTGCTGACGTTGATCAGTTGGTGTTTACACATGTTATTCGAAAACTTTTCAATAATTTTGCTGATAAAGCTGATTTTCTGTTACGTACCAGCGAAAGTGTACACAACTTCCTTTCTAATGGAACATTCCATTCAGGGCTTTCACTTTTAGGTGGTAAGGCGATGGCTACTACTGCAATCAGTGACCTTGGAGAGGATGAATTGGAAAACAGTGCTATTCTTGAAACAGATAAATTAAGAGCAAATTCAAGTTTGATCGAAAGGATAGAAGAAGTATCCAACAAGAAAGATCTTCTTGAAGATGGAGAAGTTCTTCGTCGTCGTAGCCATGTTGGTTCTTTGTAATAAGTTTACAGACTATATTTAGTTTCTGATTATACAAATATATGATTAAATATATGATTATAACTAGGGAGAGCTAGTCTCAATGTTGCGCTTTATGCTATCAATTCCTTCCAAGGTTAGAACAAACTTGAAATTTTGTTTGATCTAAAATGTGTTTTTCACCTGTACAACAACTAGCTTAAGGTGACTTAAGAAGATATAAATGGTGGGAGACGATTGTATTCTGTAAAGTGCACATTGCCTCCTTGTAAACACACCGAGTTCAAGTCTACGGTGTGTGTACAGCCGCTTGTTGCGAATTCAAAAGAGGAGAGTTTGGTTCCATTGTTATAAACGATAACTTGAATGGTAACGGTACGGGGTTACTCTAAAAGCAATAGGCAATTTATTGCGTGTAATTTGGAATCAAAAAAAAAAAACTCTGGTTAGGAGGTAGTGAAATGATGAATTAAAGTGGCACAGGTAAGTGTTGAAAAGTGCTCAGCATTTTCACTGGGGTCCACCAAAAAAAGTGAAGGAGAGCACTGCCACTATTAATTTATAGAAGAAAATGTTGTTCAAATGATAGTTAAACACAATTTTGATACTACAGATGTTGGATATAACCTAAAAAAACCATCAAATGCAGAACCCTTGTTTTTATACAAATATCTATCTCTTGCTGATGTCATGTTAATTTTATACCCGCAGGTACTTATCACGACCTTTGTGACATAAAGCCAGGAAAATTGACTGCAACATTTTTTCTCGCTAGCAAAATCACTGCAAATTGCGTTGTCTTACGGACGTCCTTATATATCCATCGTCTGAGCTACATTAGCTGGGAAATACACCCCGCAAGTGTAGACTACGGAGTGTAAGTGTTATTGTTACCGGTTTATTATACATAAGGACATAAATATATTGTTTGTGTTCTCCATTCTTGCAAGTCTCGAAAGCCAATCTCCGAACCCCGAACGAAAGTTGGCAAAAAGACAAAAACTAGTACTTCTTTCAAATTAAGATGCTTCTAGAACTAGCACCGGCCGCTTTAATAGAGCGCATGAATAGGGTTGTGGGAAATTCATGCGATACTACTGACACTCCATTACAAACGGGTACATTGTCTGGACTGGTGTGTCGAGTGAAAGTGGGGCTTCAAGGAAAGGTGAACGTCGTCAGTGAGGATTCTAATCTTAATAATTTATCACCAGGAAATGATTCAAATGATAAAGATAATAGAACATGTGCAAATGTGAATGAATATGGCGACGACGTTGACTCCATAAACCGTGACGTACTGAAGCTCATTCTGCAACCATCCAAAAGAATCAGTCTTTTGGTTAATGAAGATGCTGATCGTACTACTCTACATTCAACTAAGTCTTCTGCTTCAGATACATCACTGGAACTTGAAGAAGAATCCACTCTGGAAGTATTATTAAGACTACGGAAGAGACAACGACACTACTGTCCTACGGAAGATGAGATAGCTGTTTATAGTTCCAAATTTGAAGTGGTCACTTCTTATGCCGTCCGCTTGAATTGGATATTGAATGAGTTACTTTCTCTAGACTTAATGTTGGGAAAATCTAGAGAGCCAAGTTTAAAGTCCTGGTCGACTATGTTCATCCTAGAAGCAGAATTAGCTCTCTTGTTAGGGTACGTTCCAAAAACTAATTTTACAAGGGCACAACTATTCCCCAATGGTTACTTGTCTCAAATTATTTTGGAAAGTTATGATATTTTGGTAACCTTTAGTACAAGTTACCCCAATTTGCATCTTGCCTCGAGGGCCATTCGGTTCCTAGTTAAACTTATCTACAATGTTAACTATTGGGAAACATACCATCTTGTTCATGCTATACCTAAAATATCTCATTTTTTTGAACTTCTCAAATTTGAAGTCATAGAGACCCCATTTGGCCCATTGATTAGACCTCCAAAAGATTATGTCAACGACAAAATGCTTTCAGGATTACAATACCCATTCCCTTATCCCTTTTACAACTTTTCATACCATTCATTCAATCCCATTGGCTATCTTTCTAAATACAAAGGAATTAATATTGAACCATATATTGATATTAGACTTCAAACCACAGACTCAAAGTCACAAGAATCTCATCATAAAAAGCAACTCTTAGAAGTTCCTCAAAACAAGACTAGGAAAACAGTTATGAGAGGTAAGCTGTCTCAGCACACATTTCCAACGGGCAAAAGTCAACAGAAATGTGACATGCAATCAACTTCTACCCCATTCTCTCCATCAGAAGGTAAATACTATGAGTATTATGATACCTCTTTAGATGAGCATCATCCAGCACTGTCAACTAAAAAGAAAGACCTAATGGATTTAATTCCTGAATATTTACGTCCTTTAAGAGTTTTTGGAAAGGATCCAGTTGCAATTACCAAGGTTCAAGCTGAAGCTCGAGCTCGTCAAATTCAACTAGAGCAAGAGCGTTTACAGAATCCACCTCCAGTTACACCTAGGGATATGGTTCCTTTGAGTGCCATTCCTGTTTGTCCTGATACTGTACCTAATGCTGAGCATACTAATATGAATATGCCAGATGATCCACACGGTCTGACTGTCAATCAACCAAATGCACAAGCTGAAGATGACGAACATGCACATTTGGTTCCTCGTGTTGTTGGTAAACAAGTGGTGCTAATAGATGGCAAATCTGTGTCTGTACCTTTAAAGATATCAAGTCGAAAACGCAAGGTATCTGACCGAACTGATGACATTAGTCTTGAAGATCATTTGGAAAGTGAATCTAATTTAACTGAAGATCAGCAACAAAATTTCGGTGGAGCTCTGCTACAATTGTCAGGAGCTCAATTTAAAATGCCAACTAAAGATTCTCAACCTTTCTCTCCCATACCTGCTTCAAACTTACAACCAACCTCTGCCTTGCCTCCCAAGGCCAATGGTCCACCTTCAGTAATAGTGAGCTTGCCAATTACTTCAACTAAACCAGTTCTGTTGCCCGAAATCCAACAACCTCTGTTAAATCCAACAATGGGTCAATCGAAACCCGCTTTTGAGCTTTCAAAGCGTCCATCTCGCCTAGAAATTCCTCCCTTTTTAAACAACAGCGAGTCTACCATGTCCGATATTTCATTTGGATCTTCGTCTTTAAATAGTGCCAATCCCACGGGTGCTACAACACATCAATGTTTCCTCACAGATCCATCCTCACTTCAACCATGTCTCAAACGATTTTATGGCAAGAATGAGCTAATGAGGCATCAGGAGTTTGTTCATGCTACCCAAAAGAAAATTTACAGATGTATTTATTGCCTCAAGAATAATTCAACTGTCCAATGCTATCCTCGCCATGACTCCCTTGCGAGACATATCAGGAAAAAACATGGGGTTACTGGAAGAGAGAATAAGATTGCTGTTAATTATGCCAAGGCTAACGTTGAAATTATAGATGAACCGTTGCACACTGCCTTGACAAAGGGGAAGAAACAAATGGTTATGCATGACGAATCTGAAGAAGAGCTGGATATTGAAAGCACCACCAAGTGTCAACTGAAGCTGCCATTAAAAGAAAAGTCATTAGATGTGCCTAGTACCCAAAAACCAAGATATCAGGCTCAAGTTACAACTCTGCCAGGAAAACCACAATTGTCACCTCTTGATAGAAAAAAGAAACCTTCATCTAAGCTTGGTGCGGTTAAATCTGGAGAAGATTCAAAAGAACAGGATATTGCTCGCATTGAGTTGGCACCTATACCTAAGATTTCTAATGCTTCTGTTTTACCTGGTGGCACCTCCGTTGGGGGTATTTCAGGGGAGCTGCCCAGTGGTAAGCAAGTTTCGTTATCGGAGCAAACAGATCAAATCACTCTAGGCGTACAGCTACCTGCCTCAACGCCTTTATTGAGAAATACTCATGCAACTCAATTGGCCTCTGTTTCTACAACAGGTCAATCTATTCAGCCACCCACAGGAGCTATTGGTAATACTACGACGGGTACCAGTTCAGCAACGCCTATATCCATTGGTGGCGTACCATCGATTCATCCTGTTCAAGGAGTTCCTGGTGCGCAGATAAGTGGATATCCATACCCGCAACAATTTTACCTTTATCAGACTCCTTCTGGTGAACAGGCACAATATTTGCAACATCAGCCAATTCTCGTTCCGCCAAATAATTCAACTTACCCACAAGGGTATCCATATTACGCGGGACAACAATTGAGTTCGCTGCAACCTGCAGCATTCTCACCTCCATTGACTAACAAGTATGGATATGCATATGTTGGAGTTGCTGGAGGTAATTCTACTAATTCAGGAGGAGCTTCAACTCCTTCCATTGGAGTCGCAAATGGTACTGGAAGTAATCCATCTATGGCTGGTGTTGCAGGGATCCCTTCTACGTATGGTGCCGCTAATGGAACATCGCTGTATAATCTTGCACATCATTTAGTTCAGACACCACTTCCACCTCAGCAAGCGAATCCACAGGGATATCTGGTGCCTTATTATTCCGTGTCTCCTAATGCTGCAGGACAATATTTATTCTATCATCCTATGGCAGTCCCTGGGTTAACACCAGGAAACCCTGGTATGCCATTAGTGCATAGACTGCCCCAGATCTCCCAAATGTCACCTCCAGCACAACCTCTGCAGCAACTCAACCAATCGGGATTGCCATACCATCCAGGACACAGCGTGTTTGGGACTCAATTACCACGGCCATCTCAGCCTTCTGATAAAAGATCGTGATGTACCTTCCTATATTTTATAGTCCCAATATAATGATTCATGTGATCTTACTAGTAGTTGCTGAAGCAAATGTAAGAAAGAGCCGTGACAACCAGTGTAATGTACGGTGTGAATGATTGCTACCAATCACTATTGGGTGCAAAAAATGAAACGGATTCAAAAGTGTGCATATAACACCTTTTTTTGTGTTCTGTCTTCATATATTTTAGCCCCTTCAGAAGCAGAATGTACCTTTGACAAAATTGTTGACGATCATTCCCACAAATGTAGAGGAAATCAAGTGGAAGTGAACTGATCATAAATATGCGAATATACTCTAAAAAGAAAAGGAGATCTAAAGTTCATGTGAAGAGGTGTTAGCTCCGTTGGGAAAATCAGTTCATGGATATGAACACTACCGCAATGTAGTAAACACTTAATTTTGTATCCTAGTGAAGTAGTTTTTTTTAACCATTGAAAGGTCAGTTAACAAAAATGTGGTAAGCAAATATACGTTAATCTTAATCTCACATTTCAATTATAGACATTTTCAAGTGTTAGTGTCCCAAGATCATAGATGTGTGGTCACCAAGCCATAAGAAATTTTTATAAAGTGCCAGCATTTCTATGACCTTGGAAGTCCATTTATTTGTATAATTGCAAAACAATAGGGCCTTGGGAATTCTCCCTAGAAACTCTCCTCCTAACTTCGTTTTGCCATTAATACATATTGGTATCCAAATATACAATTTCGGTGACTGCGGACTGTGTACAGCCACGCACTAATATTTGCAACTAGATACCACTTGCACTCCAAATGTAAAATTGCTTCTACTCGAGTTATTATTAACTACTTTGTCTTCACGAAAGCATAGCAAAAGCCCATACACAAAAAGTTCTACTTTTTCAAACAGTTATATTCTCTGCTTATATTCTTTCTATAGTCACTTGCTAGGTAGTAAGCAAGAGGGGTGTCCAAGGCCTGCATATATACCAAATGAATCCCAAACGTTAGCGCGACATTTACCTGTGTCGTATACGACATCATTGTGGTCGCTTTTCACAACCAAAAATTTGCAATCCTGACCAACACCCTCTCCTTATTCGCTGTTCCTTTTGAAAACAACACCAGTAAATTCCATAGAGATTAGTTGTGGGTAATAGGTAAGCTTTGCTTGACTTTGAGCTAAACGGCAGTCGTTTCCAATGAGTGCTTTGGATCCTCCTCTACTGACAGTTACCCGGGACCTAACAATGCCCCGTTCAATTACTGATGTAAAAGACCCTCGTGAAACACCATTAGAAGATGAAATAGATATACCATTAGTGGAAAAATCCGAAGTAGCTTCTAAGGATGCGGAAGTGACGAATGGACAAGATGAAAGTTTGGTCCGGGGTCCCGAAGTGAATGGTGGACCTCTAGCTGATCAATCCTTTAGTTCGACGCATACAAAAACAGAGCCCAAAGAAATTAATTTGACACCTTCCAGTGTCTTGGGAACCAATTTTTTACATCACAGCTCAAATAAAAGGAAAGATTTTTTTGGTGGTGCCGAATCAACAGGGGTTACCCCTCCTACCACTAATCTGAACAACCATCAGTTTAATAATGGAAGCCCGATCAAGAATGCCATGCTAGGAATAATAATGACTCCCACCTCACAAACACAACCACAAGAACTGCCACTGTTGCCATCACCTCAGGAAGGGGGTGGAAATCCAGCGATGAGTGTTGCAACAGAGTTGCAGCTAAGTAAGGCCCCAATGAACCCAAATACTATCATAAATACTCCAGCTAATATTTTTCAACCGCAAGGAACTCAAGCACATACTTTACCTAACAATCCAATTGCTCCCGATGCCGAAGTTGATGATCCTTCAATTGACTTTTCGAAACCTTCAACTGGGGATTCCCCAATAAACGAAAGGTCTATACATTCTCAAGAACTACCTCTGATAACTTCGAAACCTGGTTCTCAGGAGTCGGACTATGGACCATTTACTATAGATGAAGTAATCAATTTACTTGTGTATGGATTACCGACAACAATGACAGAATATGCTGATCATTTATTCAAAATTGGTACACTTGTTTATGAGGAACTGCTCCCATTACCTCAATTTTTTGCATTAGAGCAAAAATTCTATAAGTTAATGGAACTTTTAGACTATTTTTGTACCATGCAGCCTGATCCGGTTAATTCCCAATTGCATTTGTTGGTTCAACAGAATTTTGATATCTTTATTAAAATCTCCACGAACCACAAGAAAGTGGATTTTGCCACAAGAACTGTTCGTTTCCTTACTGATATAATAATGCGTCTAAACTATTGGGAAATTTATAACCTTCTAGCGTGGAAGCCAGCACTCTATAGGTTTCTTCAACTCATTAAGTTTGATATGGATGAGTGCTATAAACGATTTTTAACAGATTATTCTGTATATACTTTTGCTAAAGTAGAGCAGGCAAAAACAATTGTCAGACCCAAACGAAGAAAGTTGGCACCTCAAAAGGAAGTGGAGATTTCAAATGGACAAGAACAAGGACAATCAAAATCAAGGAAATATTCAGATGAAGTATTATCTGAAGGAGAAATTAGTTCACCTGGCACATCTCAAAATGGTGTGGGATATGATTATATGGGCGAGGATCTGTCTGACAGTATAAGTGAGTATAGTGAAGATGAATCTAGTAGTGATACTGAAACGCGGAAAAGAAGAAGACGTTCGGATGCCCATTCAGTGGCTCGTCCTTCTTCTGGGACCTCCAAATTGAATTATGAATCTGGAGTGCGATATTTTGGTAATGGGCAACCTAAACGCAAATACTCAAAAATGGCAGAAGGTGAAAGCAAGGCAGCTAAAGTAATAAAGAAAATAAGCTCCAAGCCTTCCAATAAGTCATCAAATTATGATCCTGATGTTGTACATGAATGTCAATTACCTTCACCAGATGAGCCTCATAAATTATGTTTACGTCGGTTTTCACGTAAGTATGAATTGATAAGACACCAGGAAACAGTTCATTCTAAGAAGAAAAAGCTTTTCAAATGTTTTGTTTGTGTCAAGCAAAACCCATCAGTTGGACCAAGGATATTTACTCGACATGATACTTTGGCTAAACATATAAGGGTTAACCATAAGATCTCAGGTAAAGAAGCTAAAGCTGAGGTTGCGTTTCTGAAAAGGCATGCGGAAGTTGTTGAAGAAGGTGATATTACAGTCCACGTAGGAAGACGCAAGACCAAAGTTGATTTTGAATTGCGCAAGCACATGGAAAAGAAACGGTTAACAAAGAGAGGAGAAGGAGGGCTGGATTCAAGTCTGGAAGACGAAGATGAAGATTTGGAAGAAGAAGGGAAAGATATTGGTGATGATCCATTTGATCAAGTTTCCGAATGAACATGCCATTAAATTTGTATTTATTTTACTAATGACACATGGGTATGAGCCGACGAGATATTTTCAATCAGTGAACGTGAACGTCAACATTAAGCTCTACATACTTTTATATCCATAGACAGTTGATTGAAAATTGCATCCTATAGGTTTTACTAAAGAACAATCCGGTGATAACAGTAACAATAATTGATATGATATATATTTAGACATAGGTATACATTTAAAATTATTTTAACAGTAATTCATAATCCTGTTGAGATTTGATCTCATTGAGTAACTCTTGATCATCTAATTCTTCCAATATATTCTTTGGAATTGTACTTAAGCCGGTATATTTTCTGAGGATGTTAGGATTATCCACGTAAGCTTCATAAACTGTATCTTTTGAATCTTCAACCTTTACTAATGTTGATTTAGTAGGTTGTGTACTTAATGGATAGAAGGTCAAGCCAGTATAGACATCTTTCAACCCACGTATAATCACCAGGCTCCGTTGCTCTAATAATTTTGTGTTATATTCTCGTGTTTGAGCAGCAATCAGATACATCCAAGTTGGATCATGTTGATAATTGAATAGAGTAGTTGAACTTACAGGGGTGTTTCCTGAACCAGATGGAATTTCTGATTCTGAAGGAATCACATGTCTAACCTCTGTTGGATCAGCATAAGTTCCAGGAATATCACCATTATCAATAGCTCTTTGTTCCCAGAAATCATCTATGACTTTTTTACCATCATAAATGATCTTTGCACCAAATTCTCGAAATATCGATCTAGCAGTTACTAAATTTACTGACCGACCTTTATAAGAGTTTGGAATAATATGTCTTTCAATCAAATCCATCTTCTCTTCATAATTGCATACCTTTTTGAATAATGATCGATGAGTCTTGAATAATAAATAAGAATCTCTGAAGCCAACCAATCTCGCGGGTTCAGTGGAAACCATAAATTGTTTATCTCCGTGATTTAATATAGTGAAGGTTTTAACTCTGTATCTTCTACCACCTTTTAAGAACCCCAACTCATCAACCTTCTCCAATCCTTTGGGGTCCTCATTCTCAATGATAACTTCCTCATCTCTGATATTAAGAGGGTTCCCATCTTCGTCAAATGCTCCATCTTCAAGTACTGTGATTCTTAACTTTTTACGACCTCTTTTCTTAGGGACTTTCCTCTCGGGTTTATTTGTTAATTTAGATTCCTCGTTACCTTCATCTTCATCACCATCTTCTTCCTCTTCGTCCTCGTCGTCTTCGTCTTCATCCCCTTCTCCTGCTCCTTCGGCTTCTCCTTCTCCTTTGGCTTCACCTTCTTCTTCTTCAGGTTCTTGCTTTTGTCTTTTCTCCTGTTGAGTTGAATTCTGCTCGTTTTCATCTTCACTATTTCTTTCTTCGTCCTGTAACGCTGCAGCTTTACGTTTCCGTGTAGCTCTTCTACTTCTAACTTGCTCATCGTCGTCGTCATCATCATCATCTTCTTCTTCTTCTTCTTCTTCTTCTTCAACGTCAACTTCATCGACTTCTTCTCCATCTTCTATATAATCATCGTCTTCGTCATTCTTGACTATTTCCTCAGTGACTTCAGTCTCCTTCTCGATTTCTTTGGGTTTGGTAGCTACTCTTCTGCCCCGCAGTCTCCCTGTCTTACGTGCCATTGCGTGAGTAATTGATTATGGAGTAATTGATTATGTTAAAACGGTTTACACAGTAAATACCATTAGATTTGTATAAACACAAGTTGAGATTTTCAACACTGGTAAATGGTAGCGCGCTTCGAATCAGTTTGGTAGTGCTGGGATCACATTCACTTCAACTTACAAACAATACTGTAGTTATTCTTATTTCGTAATTTGTATTTTTATTATATACTTTGGATTGTTTTATATACAAGTAGTTTAATAATAAGAAGAAGAACAGCGTTATAAATGTAAAGAATCAGTAAACTAACGAAAGTTAATCCTTATTGCATGGTTCATCATCTTTATGCTCATTCTTAGGTTTCTCATTCTTGAATGCATCCTTCCCATCCAAATACTTATCAAAGGCATCGTTTGTTTCTGGGAATGGTCTTTTACCCAATAATCTGATCATATCTTCACGAGTAATGAATTCTTTCTTTAATAACTCTTGAGCCACTTTTTCAACATCAGCTTTCTTTTCTTGAAGTAAATTCTTACAACTAGTATATGCCTCTGCAACAATTCTTTTAATTTCCAGATCAATAATCAGATTGGTTTCATCACTAAAGGGTTTAGTTAAATCATCTTGCTGATGAGTATCAGCGTAATTAACAAACCCAACTTTAGGTGACATCCCAAAACGTAAAACCATAGATTGGGCAATTTGAGTAACCTTTTTAAAATCATCGTGAGCTCCACTGGTAACACTATTGAAATGCAATTCTTCACTAACACGACCAGCTAATGTCATGATCATACGATCCGTTAATTGAAGTACAGACATCAAATGTTGATCTGGTGGTAAATATTGAGCATAACCCAATGCACCTTGACCTCTAGGAACAATAGAAACCTTCAACAATGGATGAGCATATTTTAAGTACCATCCACAAACAGCGTGACCAGCTTCATGATAAGCTACAACATTACGTTCCTCTGGAGAAAGAACCTTATTCTTCTTCTCAATTCCCCCAATAACTCTTTCAATTGCAAGTTCGAAATGTCTCAAAGTAACAGCATCCGCATTGAATCTAGCTGCAATCAATGCTGCTTCATTGCAAACATTGGCTATGTCCGCACCTGAAAATCCAGGAGTTAATGCAGCTAATCTTCCAGATAAATCATTATCAATATCAGAAGCCAAAGTGATCTTATGCAAGTGAACATTGAAGATTTCCTTACGACCTTGTAATTCAGGGTTGTCAATGTTTATGTGTCTGTCAAATCTTCCAGGTCTCATCAAAGCTTTATCCAAAATATCGGGACGATTTGTACCAGCCAAAACAACGACGTGATCACTCGATTCAAACCCATCCATTTCAACCAATAATTGGTTCAAAGTTGTTTCCCTTTCATCATTGGCTCCAGTGGCGTTACCCTTGGATCTTTGTTTCCCAATGGCATCAATTTCATCAACAAATACAATTGATGGTGCATTTTCTCTTGCGGTTTTGAATAAATCACGAACTCTTGAAGCACCTACACCAACAAACATTTCAACAAACTCGGAACCAGATACAGAATAGAATGGGACACCTGCTTCACCAGCAGTAGCCTTTGCCAAAAGAGTTTTACCAGTACCTGGTGGACCTGAAAGAATAGCACCTCTTGGAATCTTGGCACCTAATTTCTCATACTTTTCAGGGTTTTGTAAGAACTTCACAAACTCCATAACTTCTTCCTTTGCTTCATCCATACCAGCAACATCCTTGAACCTAATCTTAACGTCTGTTTCTTGATTGAACTTTTTGGCAATTGATTTACCAAAGTTAAAAGGACCACCAACACCACCCATTGTCAGGGCCTTTTTAGTCATGTAATAAATAGCACCAAGGAAGAGCAAAGTAGGAAGAAAATTAACCAACATTTTGCCCGTGTTCCCATCAGTAACGTAAGCAACAGGAATACGGCGTGCATCACCAACTTCAAACTTATCTTGAGCTTCTCTCAATCCTAATTCGAAGGTTTCAATGTGACCAATGGTAAAATAGTATTCTCCAGGGTATTCTTGCTTTCCGGCATCATTCAACTCAACGACACACGTACGGTTGTTAATAACCACCAACTTGGAAACTAAATTCTTTCCTAAAAATTTAGTCACAAATTCTTGGAAAGATATTTCATGGCCCTGATCATTACCGTTTGAATAAATGAAGTACATGAGCAAACCACCAAAAATGCCTAGTTGGAAATAACGGAAGTTAGGGCCACCAAGTGAAAGCTCGAAAACTTTTGGTTCATTTTCTTTCTTTTTGTTGCCTTTATCATTTCCTTTTTTATTCTTACCGTTTGGTTTAGTACTGTTACCACCATTACCGCTGGCACCTCCAGCAGTGTTCGTGAGAAAGCTAAAGTTTTTATCAAAAGCAGAGGTCTTATGCTTATTGGTCTCGGAAGCAAATATGTTCGATCTCGATTCACTAGGTGGTTCAGAAGTCAAATCGGAATAATTTTTAAGCCATTCTGACATTTCAGTAGCATTATGAATACCTTGGATCAGGTCCAAATTGGCATCTTTATCATTTTCGTTAAGGAAACGTTCAATTGGACATAAACCATTAGACATTGGTTCTAAAGGAACTCGAGCAAAAACATCAAACACTGCAAACCATGCAGTTATTAATTCAGACTCAACTTCAAGATTATTGGCAATGGATTCGATTTCTTGTGCTAACTCATTTTCAGGTAAATCACTATCAATTTGACAATATGCTTCTAAACATTGATTGGCTAACTTATCGGTAAACTTCAATTCATTAAGAGCTTTATATTGGTTTGAAAGACAGTAGAAAACTCCCAACATGGCGACAGTTTCTTGCCAATCTGCTATTCCCATAGACTCGGCAGTTACCCTTTGCAAATATTGTCTGGTAGACCCTGCAAGGGATTTCAAGTCAAATGGCTTATTGCTATAGGCTTTACTTTGTTCAATAAAGAGTTCCAACGATGCTTGGGCCATGGTACCCATTGTACGTACAGATTTAGGGTCTTTCAAGTTAAATACTCCACGAGGACTCAAATCTATAGGTTCCATATTAGTTGCTTGAGCATAAGCACGCCATCCTTCAGTTTCAATTTGATTTATGCGATTCTTTTGATATTCAATCAACTTTTCAAGGGTTTCATGGGTTTTAGGATCAGCATTTACTTCCTTGTCGGAAGCATACTTTTGCAATTGAGCCAAATTAGACTTCTCCATTTGATAGTTAAATTCCGAGGGAAGCTTATTAGCTTTGTTATCAGAAAATGTATGCTGCAAACGTTTACTTTGAGTTTGAGTGATTGAATGACGACAATCTTGGTTCAACCAGTACCCCATGGTATCGGAGTTGGGAGTGCTTGCAGTAGCTCTTAAACTTAGAACACCTATGTTACTCCGCCGCATAAGCGTGCGGAGATGCCTTCTAGCCGCAATCATCGACTTGAAAGTATTAATGTGTGAAAAAGGGAAGTCCAAATGACTGGGATAACTTAGGAAGGGTGTTCTGGATAAGTCTGTTAATTTGAGACACTTTTTGCCTCCGGAAGAAAATTTGTAGACTTCCTAATTTGGATTTGTGTGGAAAAAAATCGGGAGTTTGAATTGGTGCTCGGGTGTAATGGACAATTTCATCCATGGTTATTTACATAAATATTCATAATGCGGTCGTTATATTTAGTTCGTAAGAATATATATACTATACTTCTTCGCTTGATCAGAGCTCAAATGAAACGGCAATGGGCCTATGGTCTGATATCGTCATTCTATGGAATACATTATCCAAAACAGTATAATCTCTCCATTTTGACTTGTTGAAGTTAAGGGCAAACACAAAATCAATCACCGATTTCCGGCTCTTGCTGTTGAAACCCACATAAGTTGGATCTGTAATTTTGTTGACATTAAGATCAGTTATATCTTCAGATGAAGTTAACTTCTTGTACGCAATGTCTTCCGATATCAGATTAAAATCACCCATAAGAAATACTGGCACTAAATCAGGTTTTTCACCAGTAGATGTAGGTTGTGTTTGATTCAGTAGTTGAGACATCCATTCATGAAGCATTGTAACTGAAAATTTCCGAGCGCTTGCTACCTGATGATCCAAATGAGTATTTAGCACAATAACTTGTTTACCCAGATGAATATTTTCTAATTTGCACATAGTAGCTATACGTTTATGACCTGTACCAGGGAATTTGGATGGTATTTCTGGGGTTTGTGAAAGCCATTTATAGTCAGCTTCAACCAATCGCCAAAACCTTTGATTGAAAAGTATTGGAGCAAACTCGCCTGCGGCCACTCCATCATCTCTACCTACACCAAAATAAGAAAAATGGGTGTTGGGGAAAGTTATTGAAGTTAATGGATCCATCTTGGCTTCTTGAATTCCAACGATAGCATCTGGTGGGAGTCTCAGAAGAACATCTAATACACCATATTTACGTACATGCCATGCCTTTTCTCCAGCAACTCTTGCAATCCAAGGTGCATTGAATCTGATATTGAAGGACACTAATGTAGTGTCATTTGGCTGATGTTGGGGAAACATATTCACTAGATCAGTTCGAGAAGATGCCGTATCATGTTGAAAGATATTTTGTCTTCCATGGCTAGGACGAGGTACATTATTGGCCAATAGCAACTGGTAGTACCGATGATACTTTTTGAACTCTATTGATTGCTTGTAGTCGTATACATAATATGCAGTACCTAAGAAGAAAAGGCAGAAGCTCGTTAATGCAAAAATAATAAGGGCCAACTTGATGTGCTTTTGGTTTCCGAATCTCAACATCATAATACTATAAATGCTCAATGGGTTATATAGGAAATGCAAAGAAAAAAATATGTCGATGAATCTGGATTCTTGATTAGTTAATCATAATGTTTGAAACCTAGACAACATTTTCACAATTATAAACATGTACCTCGAGATTGCACCTTATATATATATGAAAGTCAATAATGTAATAGATATTAATTGCACAATCTCGGCCGAAAATAACGCACTTAAATTGTGGTTATTGTACTCCGGGTCGCCTTAATATGTCAGCAATTGTTACGGCGGAGTATCCAATTTTCCTCCTGAATTTGTGGGACATTGCAATTCTCCCTTGATTTATTGACTGCACTCCCTCCCCCTCCAGCCGTACAATCATGGCTGACTTTGTAGCACCTACTCCTTCCTTTACGTATACTATTATCGCACCTCTTTTATGGCATAGATTTATATTGGATTGTACGAACTATAGTATGTATTTCTTTAGTTAACGACTCCGCAAAACCCGATACGTTCGCATATATGTATGTATTATGGGGTAAAATTATGGGAATGGCAATCTGGTTCAAAAAACCCACGGGCTGAGCGGAAACAATTGAAGCAAACTTTTTGCTCTTTACAGCCGCACCAAAAACCACGAGGCGCGGTTCATGAAAGTATATGTTGAAGGCATAAAAGCCACGAGGGGGGTTTCAATAAACTCAACTATGACTGAAAATGCAAATCAACAATATGAAGGAATGAACAATAAGATAAAGAAATAGTATAATAATTGTTAATATTACTTGCATCATTGAAGCACCGGCCTTACGTATATTCACCCCTATATGCCGTTCAAACCCCCAAACACAGCCCAGCTGGTTTCGTTTTCATTAGTTGATCTACCAGTAGTATTTAGAGCTGTTCCCGATAAAGATCTTTTTAATCCATTCCACAGCATTCATCAATCAAATTCTATCGAGGAAAGCTTGAAGATTTGACAAGGCTTGGCTCGTTTATGCGCGATGCACTTGCTTCCAAACCTTTCAAGTAGACATTACAGTCATATTTGCTGCAAATATTTCCTTTGCTTTCCCGACTTTCGCCTTGGTCCAGTTGTTTTCTTTATTCCCTCTTCTCCTTGGTCTTAACAGCCGACCGTGCATGTCTTTCCGTGATCGAATTCCCGCAACCCAATCAGCTTTTTTCTGTGGAATGTGTCAAAATATTTGAGACAGATGGTAGCGAGTCCTAGTATAGGGAGATTAAACCTTGCGTTACACAAGCTACTTGGTACTTAAAAATGTAGGCTGAGTATCTTTAGTTAAAAATGGGGCAGTGCCTGTAGTTCGTATTATTTTTCCGGATTATGGCATAGCCACTTGGTTTTGTGAACTCCATATTAAGTACCTTGACTAGAGAATCTAGATAAATGCACAGTTGACATATCGTAAACCCAGCTGTCAAATTAAATGCTTGGCATTAAGAATACCTAAACTTGGACCGGAATCACAATTAATGGATTTTTCAAGTAAATGCGAAATTATAACACAACACAACATAAGACACCAGGAACTCTATTCAGAGTTTTGAAATAAAGCCTGTTTGTCTTTTTCTCTTGCTACAGTAGGTGGCTATGCCAAACCATACCCCGACGTTCAAAAAAAATAAAAGGCATTTACAAATAAGCTGGCGTGTTCAATGTTACCTCATATATGCATGGAACGAGAATATTACTAAGTGAGTGCTGGGTTATTGCTCGGGTGACAGCTAATACGATATTGTTTGCTTGCTCCGGTTTAACTTACTACAAGTGCCTCATTCACTGATATTTACACAAACAAATTGTTGTGACCATCAATGAATGAAAAAAATTTGTTTAATTGGATATGCTCCATTTCGAAATCCTCCTTATTCTATTTATCTTCTTACATTATGCTATATATATGCACATGCCTCTTTAACGAGCCTTTCTACCTCGTCTTGCCATTTCAGGTAACTTGAATGGAACCTTCAAAGTAGCAACCTTGTATGTTGATGCGTTAGCCTTAGGAATACCAAATGCTTCTGCTTGTGCAACTGTAGCACTTTTGATGGTTGCACCCAATGCCTTACACAACCCAACCAAACGAGCAGGTTTCATATTCAACTCGTGAGCTAATGGAGGTAATTCAATCATGAAATTATCAATGTGCATAATGAGTGCTAATAAATAGCAAAGTAATTTATCTTCATGACTAGGATCAATAACAAAAGACCGATCTTTAGATTTTCCAAATTGTCCAGCACGAGCAACCGCAAATCTTTGCAAGATACCGTCAATTAAAACTTCACTAACATTATTGTCTAAAGCTTCCATTAATGATTGCTTATCTCTAACTCTTCTGTTTTCGTAAACACCAAATAATAAAGAAGCATACATCAACAACTGTAACTTTTCTGTGTTCTTTGATGCAAGAACTTGATTTAAATGCTTAGTGACGTATGATGACTTACCATAGGGCATGAATTCCAATCTCTTCTTTTCGTCATGTTCCTCAGTTATGCCTTGGGTTCTAAGGAATGCCCATTCCTTCTTCGGTATTATATCGAAGACCCTGTACACGTCTTCTACTCTGGTGGCATCAACGTTACAGGCTGGGGTAGGACGGTCATGGCTCATAGCTGTATCCATTTCTTGTCTTGTGGGCAAGTCAGCGGTAGCATCATTAAGAGTGTCCACAATGTCTAGTTCCACGTCCTTCAACTTATCAGCATCAACTCTGTTTCTCTCCAAGTTGGTGATAGCAGCCTTGGCCTTCTTTGTACCAAAAGCTTCACCCAATGCGTTTCTTTGCTCAATATTACGGAGACCAGCCAGTTTGATAGCTGGACCCTTGTATACTCTCTTTGCTTTAGCACGAACGCCCCCGTTGATCACTGGTGTTTTATACAACTCAACACTTTTATGAACAGCATCGTAGATAGCAACAATGTAATCATTCTCATCATCCAGAGCTGTAACTCCGTTGTATTCTAACGTAGCACTTTCTCCGTGCAATGCAAAGGCATTATTCTTCTTATGTTGGTAAACATCAAATTGGGCATCCCTAGGTATTGACATCCCATTGAAGAAAGATCCCACAACAGCCACGGGTTCTTCTGTCAAAGAAGTAACACGAATTTCAGCCGTGGAACTCTTCGAACTTTCTCTTTTTCTCTTAACACCACTCATAATATTGAATGTATAGAATAATATGAATAATTTTATGCTTTATAAAGAATGATTTAATATGGTCAAATTTTTTTGCGATGAGCTATTATACACTTTAGAGTCACGTGATTTTTCACGTTTTCAGCTCTAAAGATAAACTGTAAAGTAACGGCTATTATGTATCTTTTACAATTCTAAGACACATATTACCAATGTAATTGAGCCATCTTCCCATGCGTATATTGTATTTTTCCCAATGCATATAATTTTCCAATGTTTTGGTCTACATTAATGTGTTACATTTGCTAATAGAGATTTTAAGGTACTTATAAACCAACATTTGGTTTAAATGATAGGGCTATTAGGTGAAATTATATTATAAAATAAGAGAAGAGACTTGATGATGCCCATAATTATTGGTTTACAATAAGTGCCCTTGTTAGTAAAGTACATAGAGGGTAATTAGTTTGGTAAATTTAACCGTGTATTATGTAATCAAACGACTCATCTCACCCTCCACAATTTACTGCGTAATATCGCAGAGCAGTATAGTATTGGTTGGCATCACATACATATATTAGTTTGAACCAAGTTCAATGTCGCCCGATCTACTACTGGGTGTTGAAAATAAGTACAGCCTTTATGAGGTCTTAGGTGTTGAAGGGACGGCAACACAAGCAGACATAAAACAAGCATATCGAATGCAGCTTTTGTCACTACATCCAGATAAAACATTAGGACGCAGCACCAATGAGTCCACAATAATAGGACACCTTAAAGAAGCATATAGTATTCTTCTGGACCAGCAATTACGTAATGAATATGATAGGCACCTTTTGGAGAAAGCTAAGAAGCAGGGGATGAATGCTGATGGAGTTGGGTTGGATCAATACTCATTGGATGAATTTACAGCAGACGAAATTAAAGGTATATGGTCAATGGCATGTCCTAGATGTGAATCCGAAGGAGGAATGGAATTGAATGAAGGGGATTTAGAAAATGGTACAACTGATGGAGAATTTGGGTTACAACTTGCTCTTCAGTGTCAAAGCTGCAGTTTATGGATAAAGGTGAAGTATTACATGGGAGATGATGAAGAAGAGGAATAAAACTTTTTGCAGTAATTTACGAAATATTAAGATGGGCTTCACTTTCGTTATTTATGCATTACAGATTTCATATTAGTTGGAATGTTGCTGAAGATTCCAAGTAGTTTCCGCTTCACAAACTGCACTCAAGGCCATACCCATGGCTTTAAAATCTGTCATCAAGCTCACATGGCCACAGTCACTAACAAATTTCCCCACAATATATCCTCGACCTGTTTTTGGATCGTATTTGTTGAAATTTTTCTTTTCGGGCATAAGAAATTTCAGATTCACAACACCATCTCCATGCCCATAATAAAACTCATAGTAATTACCATCTTTAATATCCTGTCTATGCCTTACCACAGAAAACCGGACCGATGGAACTGTATTACCATACACTATTGCCATAGGTGGGTATTTATCAGCCAATTCTTCCTTGAATTCTAACCCACTCAAGAATTCTTTGGTGGCCGCTAACGTTTCAGCCAAGTAGTTATATGATTCGGTAAACGAAAAAGAATAAGGTAGCGACTTTGGGCCAATTTCAGGTTCACTTGTCGAATCTAAATCGTTGTCAAAAGTTTCGGTTTCAGGGAAGTATGGAGATGTTGGAGATCGAAATCTTGTTAGTGTTGAAGAAGTTTTACGTAACTTCAGGGAAATGTTGAAAAATGAATGGGTAGAATCTGATGTTGAATTTATAGTCAGCGATCTTGACAGATATGCTAAACTTTCATTATTCTTTGTAGTCATATCTGCAAGGGATGCCTTTGTCAATGTTGGTGATCCGCCAGCTAATTTTCGACGTTCTAACTGCCTTCTCTTTTCCAGTACTAGTGGATTTAAGTTATACTTAACCCATACTTCAGGGTCAAAGAGGTCCAAATCGTAGGGATCGTGGGTATCTCTATTGATGAAAACACTTCCATGAAGAGGTAGAAATAAGAAACTTGACCTCATCATGAAGTTTGTTTCGTATGTCAATATTTTATCCGAAAGAATCACTGAATCGCCAAATCTTATAGGACCTAAAATATTGAGACATTCACTGGGGGATCCAACATATACAATGGAACGGAATAAATCGGGCCTTTGTTGTAAGGCACCATGAGTGATTAATCCTCCCATAGAATGGGCAATGATAAGTGAAGGTTTTCCTGTCTCATCATGAATCCTTTGCAATTCATTAATTAAGTTCTGTGAAAGAACCGGTCCACTAAGGCGCCAATCGTAACCGAACTCAACCACATTTGCATTTGGATTACTGCTCAACCGCTTGATGAGTCGACGGCAAATATCGATAGGACCTATATTCTTCAAAACTCCATCTGGAATTATATATTTGGAAGCATTAAGTTCATCTTCCTTTGTTGGACCAAGTAATAAATTGATTTTTCGAAGATTGAAACCCGCTTTTATAGGTATCCAAACTCTCTTTCTAGATTTGGCATCTCGAAGAATCGAACCTCTATATCCTCCCATTATCACAATATTCCCTTCAATCTCATCAAAAATGCTTTCCCATGGTTCTTTCTTCTTATGGTTGTTTAAGAAATCAGGAAGCAATTCACTTAAATTTGCTTGTACTGAACTTCTGACTGCTCTCATCCGTACATTATCTGTACCCTTATAATTTCTAAAATGCTCTGCTTCTTTGAATGTTTCCGTTGTTTTAACACGTTGTAGCTGCGGTCTACTTTCTTCGGATTCTTGGAACTCGGGCTCTGAAGGTCCATGTACAATCGATTGGATATGTTTATATAGGTTGGAACGAATGTTTGAAAAACCTCCAAAGGGTAAACTAAAAGAGAACACTTTTTGCGATTGATTATATTCTAACGAACTTATTTCTGCTTCATTGGCAACAACTGTTTCTTGAGCTATCAGAGGTTTTGAGCTATCGGCTAAAGGGTGAAAACTGCTTGAAGCTAGTGAATGCAGTGATTGGAGTGTTTCACGAAGAGAATCACCTCCAACAAGAGAACTAGCGTCATTCTGAGTTAATCGGCGACTTAAACTTGGACTTGAATATCCCCTTCTTCTAGTGAACGAGTTATTCAGACTACTCTCTCCCAGGAATTTGGTTTCAGAGAATTCATCACCTTCAGCTACGACATCCTCTTCTTCATCTGCATGTTCATAGTCATCTTCATCGTAATCTTCATTTTCATCATGCTCACTATCCCCATTTTTAGCGTTATCTTCATACACATTAGAACCAGATGTTTCTCTGTTACTACTTATTATATTCACCTCATCGTCGGATGTTGCTAAAGATAAATTAGATAACGTGTTTACCATTGCTGTTTGATTATTTGTCGTCATTATTGATATTAGTATCGGGGTGATTTATGTGATCCGAGTTTGATCAGCGGTACTAAACCAATTACGTTCGAGACTAAACTCACTAGTTCGGACTAAACCAGTCGTAATGTTTATGAAAAATCCGCTGTAGCCGAAAATTGAACCACAACACCAAGGGAAACCGGGTGTACTGTACAACGATAAGTAACGATAAGCGTAAACAAATTAAGTAGATTTTGAAAAGTACAAGTAAGTTATATTCAATCGAGTTTAAATGATAAATATGGGAGCTTCTAAAGTCTTACATTGTACGATAGGAAGTATCGGCTTCTAATGCCAATCGGATAGTAGCCAAAACGGCAACCACAAAAATAGTTTGTTCCGTATGCAGCACTTGATCTCTTTCATGTCCCATTTCAAAATTTACGAGTAGCGGCTCTAAACGGAGTGTGGGGAATGTCAAACAACAATTACGATATTTTCTGCTACTAAATGCTGGTATTAATTATACGAATTTGCTTTGTTGCCGGTGATGTGGTACGGAAATTCGTATTTATTGCATAGACTTTGCGTTCAAATCTTGTATCGTAATTTGACGTCAAGTAATCGATGTATTTTTACGGCATATTAAGTGCTTTTTTTTACAAGCAAGAAACTCACATATTTGGATATTGCTTTTGACCATTAGGCATTATTTACGTCACATTGCAAATTACTATATGATTTAGATAGCATATCTTAAGCAAATTTATAGATACTCTGAAACAAATCATTTCAAACTAACAACAGTACCTTCATAAAGGTGCCAAATCTAAAATAAAATGTAAATATAAGCAAGAGCAAGCCCCATAGGGGTTTAATTTTGTTGCTGCTGCTGGAAAGAATTGCCGTGCCGTTAATCAGGCTGTTAGTATAATTCTTTTCTTTCCTGGTATTATTAGATTGTGATAGATTGTACATTTTAGTGATGAAGCGGTCGAGACTCACGGAGTGTCGATTCCGAGTTCGACTGGCCGCTGCAGTAACCATTGGTAATGTGACATTGTTTGCAAGTTGTAGCGTATGCACTACATCATTAGCATCTAAACCGTATACAGCCGAAGCTACCGATGAAGGTATCAAATTCTGTGACTCAAATAGTTTGGTTCTATGAATAATTTTTTGTCTCAAGACTTTTTTGGCCCGATCAATAACACTTTTATTGAGGTCTGGTTCGTTGTATTGATATACAATACCGTCTTTCTGCTTGGTGTTTTGAGTGACAAACTTGTACAACTGTCGCCAAGCAGCTCTCCCAAATGACGTTGATACTTTCAGCGCTCCAATTCGAGCTCTTTCACTAAAATATGCAGCAACAGAGGTAAATGCTGGTGACATAACTGTCTCGTGTCCGAGCTTTTGTATTTCCCTTACAAGTGGGAGCTGAGTGAATATTCCTCCAAGCAGCATTTGATTATTACCTTCTGAATCTCGTTTATAATTCTCGGTTTCATTGGTATTTCCAAGAACTAAATCCTTCCGACCTATGTATGAAATATTGTAGACGTTAATAGTTGGGTGGTCCTTCTTATTGAGGTAATAGTATCTGTAATTGCAGTCGTCATCTTCTGAATCAGAGTTCATAAAACTGTCGTCATCACTATAATCTGGTTCACAATGGGCGTCTAAATCGGAATCTGTATCTGTATCATCATAGAGATATCGATATTTCGTAGAGACAGAACCTTCTTCGCAAACTTCTTCCTCGTCTTCCTCTTCATCTTCCTTAGAGTCATCGGGTTTATTCATGAAGTATTCTAGAATACCACGAAGCAGCTTGGCTCTTGCAGTCACATTGCGATCATGAAACGGAACCAAGGTGATATTTAGAGCTTCTTCCGTAGACGTACGACCAACCTCAGAGCACCATATAGTAGCACTAATTGACAAGAGAATGCACACGCTTATCCAATGCATTTGGCGTCTAATTGTGTAGAGTATAACGTTGTTCAAGTTTGGAACCTAAATAATAATAAAAATCGCAACCGTTTAAAATTCAATCACAAAAGTATACCCTTAGTGCACACCAATAATAAAAATTCAGACTATGCTCCATGATCAAGAATCCTTTTTTGACGTTCCAAATCTTTCAGCCAATTATCTAATTCTCGAATTACTTCTTCTAACTTATTAACCTTGGATTCAATATCTGATACCGCCTCCACGTAGGTAGAATACTCCTTTTCTTTGACAGTTAGTATATCTGGCCAATGCATCATTGGAATAGGACAGTAAGGAAATTGTGGAAATGAGAAGATTCGTTCAATATTATTATAACTTCCTTGATTGTTACTAGCTGGTAGTATCATGTGCAATTCCCTTTGCCATTTATAACTTAAACATACTCATGATTTCTAGTTTTCGAGAACTGGCATCGATCGAGCTCAAACTTTGTTCTAATTTAATGTAGTTTAAAGATTGGTTGGTATTCAAGTTCTCCAACAAGTTCAAATCAACAGTTGTAGCATCTGTATCGCTTTCCACTATCTTTGCTACCACGTCCAATGCGTGACTAGTCAACTTAGCGGTTTTGGCCGGAACAGACATGCTTGCTCAAAAGAAGTAGATGCTTATCGTAATACGTGGAGTTTGGTTTGTTTTTCTTTATAAGCCATAATAAGTAACATAGAAGTTACAAAACTATTACAATAGTTAAAAAAATATCTCTTCAATGCTGAAATTTCAAATTATAGTTTGATTTGATTCTATATTTGATATTCATAAAGTCTATGTATATACTAACATCTTTATATGTACAAGATAAAAGATTATTGACCGCATTCAGCGACCTCTGTAAGAACGGTACATTTCTTCTTCTGAAGCAACCACATTAGCCCATTTTCGACTAGGCTTTTCATTGAACTTTTCTTTATAGTCGATTGGAGCAGGTACTTTATCTATGAACAGCTTTAACCCAACTCTGATTGGAGATTCCTTAGTGACAACTTCACAAACACCTGGTAATTTGGCTGCTGCCTTTCTAAAGGCTTCTCTCATCACCTTATCGTGAATTTCTCCACGTACTTCAAACAAAATTTTCCCGGTTGGAACTCTAACAGCCCAGTGATCAAAGGCACCTTTACCTTTACCCATTCTGGTTTGGTTACCCTTGACACAAACAGCCAAGTTGCATGCCAACCTACGGATCAACTGACCTCCAAAAGGCTTGATTTCTCTTAAAATAACCTTATCTGCTTCTTTCAATTGTGCTGCAGTCATCCGAGTACCTTCAGTCTTCAAACGCATACCATATTGGCCATATTGCAAAGTATTCCCCTTGATAGAACCACCAGTTCTAACAGGCACTTTTCCCTTCATAGCCTTTCTGATACGCTTATAACGAGGAGCATATTCATGCTTAAGTCTCTTGAATGTTAAATTCATGGTATTCAAAGGCGTTGGAGACTTGGTCATCAACATGGTTGAAACGGGTCCTGAAGAAGAAAAGGGGGCAGACTTCACCCCTCCAAAAATACTTCCAAGCATCGACTTCCCAAACCCAAACATCGTTTTTGGTAACAAAATTGGTTCAGTTGGTTAAGTCAATAGTTCTTATAGAGTCACTTGCTTAAGCTCAAAGTAAGAATCAAATTTTTTTCAACAGAGTTCTTACCAAAAGTCACACAAAATCGCACATACTAAAAATCTACTAAAGATTTACCATAGTTCTGTCTATTTGAATATGTACAAGTTGATTAATAAAGCACAGCAATGTGGCAGGAAGTTTTGAATAAAGTTAACGGATTTTGACGTTGAAATTTTCTATCAATTCTTGTTCCACACCTTCTTGAATCTTGTTTATCTCTTCTCGGGTTAGGTTTCTATCCATTGATTGATAATTGATTCTGTAGCATTGAGAAGTTTTCTTTGTCTTTGGATGAAGAAATTCATCTATTAAAGTAACGTTTTCAATGAGATCGCCTCCCTTAGAACGAATAATTTCCATAACGTCATTCACATGTAGTTGAGAATCTGGTGGCAGCCAAAAGGAAACATCACGCTTAATACCTGGATATTTGGAATAAGGTGCAAAAGTAGAAATACGACCCTGGACAAATTGATTTTTGAATCTTTCATCAAGTGACCAGAAAAGACGAATATCAGGTATACCAAATAGTAACATGGCAATTCTATCCAATCCAATTCCAAAAGCCCAGCCAAATTTGTGTTCTCCTAAATTGGAGTTGCGTAAAACTTGGTTCTGAACAACACCACATCCGCAACATTCAAGCCATTCACCCTTCCACCAAACTTCGATTTCCCAAGAGGGAGAAGTCCAAGGGAAATATGCTTCAACCCATCTAACTTTCAAGGGTTCATTCAAGTATTCTTCAGTTGAACCAGCCAATTTGGCCGAGATACGGGCATTTTCAAACACCTGGTTTACCAAATACTCAATAGTTTTCTTTAAATGAAGTGATGCTAATTCACATTGTCTATCGGTCATGTAATCCTGTTTAGGGTTCTCGGAGTTGAAGGTTTTGTTTTCACGGAATGGATCTTCAACAATAATGTCAGTTTGTGGAATAGCTGCAATATCTTTCAACATCTGCAGCTCCCAATCTTCATCCTCTTGAGACCATAATCTAGCACCTTCCAATTGATGAAAGGCGGGGTAATGAGTTCTGTCAACTTCGTCTCTTCTATAAACATCTGCAGTGATAAAGTAACCTGGAGTTTTACATTCTTGAAAGCATTCATGTTCATGGGCTGAAGTGTGTGTTCTCAATAAATAGTCCTTATTTAAATAATATGTATCTGATTTTGACCGTCCCGGGTGATCTTGAGGGAATCCTAACACATCAAAATTTTGAAATGGGGTAACTAATGGTTTGAAATCGTTATAGTACGTGTACCCCATGTCCTTGAAAGTTGTCTCAACTAACTCCTTCAAAATTCCTATTGGATGATTAACATCCTGATGCAATTGTCTCTTGGTTAATTCAAGGATATAAGGAGGAACATTAGTCCATTCGTCTGTCTTGAATGTTTGACCATCTAACTCTATTTCACTGGGGAACTTAGAGCTATAAAATCTTTTTGACCTGTTCAAAGTCAGCAATGGACCACCAAACCCACCAAACAAATTGGAGGTAAGAGGCTTCAATACGGGCCGCGCTACACGGTACATCTGTAAATGGTTTGAATAGTTATCTTAATTTAGCTGACGTTATGCTGTAAGCACCCTGTTCATTTAGTCTTTGGATGGTTGGACTATTTCGAATTTTCAAGTTGGTATGCGCACTAGCAATCTGGTTTTAGGGCGTTTTGCCTATGTGTAATAGTCTATATACGGTCTATATTTACATACATATATATTAATGATTACCAGGTTTCTTGTAAATAGCGACCTTTGCTTTCCATAACAAACAAGTACTTCTCGGCTTCTTCTTCAGTCATGTTATCCACTAGTTTTAAAATTTCTACCAAAGTAATTCGTACTTCACGTGGCATTTTACCATTCGACCCACAAAGATAGAAAGTTGCATCTTGGTTCAATATTAAGTCCCCAACAAGCTTTGCCTGTTCATAGAGCTTATGTTGAATATATTTCACGTTATTAGTGGCTTCCCTGGAGAACACTGAGAAATTTTTAAGATCTTCAGTTCGATCCCATACCAGACGGAAGAGATAATCTTTATCCAGATACCTACATCCATAAAATAGATATAGGTTTTGTGGATATTTCTCTTCAACCAGATTCTCTACGAGAGACTTCATGGGTGCTATACCTGTACCTGTTGCTGCCAATATAATGGGTTTATCTTTAGGGAAGTGCATATTAGAAGCATGAACTGAAAATACTATTTTATCTCCTTCGTCTAGAGATTTCAACCACGTCGAGCAAAGTCCCTTTCTAGTCTTCCGCATAATGGTCTTATACTCCACTAAAGCAATAACCAATTCAACTTCATGTTTACTTGGACAAGAAGCAATCAGAAATAATCTTGGCTTAATAAAGGAAAATAAGTCAAGGATGTATTCCACGGGAATCTCTAAATTATTTTCAAACTCAAGAAGTGTTTCTAAAACCAGTCTTCTTGGTCGATTTGCGTAATTGTATAGTTCTTCACTTTCATTTATGTTGGAGAATTCTTTGGCTCTTTCCTTTTCTCTTTCTCCATCTTCCGTCAGGCCATCAATGAAATGCCACAACGTAAAGAAAAAAGATCTTGTAGGTACTTGAGATAAATCCAAATGATGAGTGAGCAAGTTTCTCAACGTGAGATCTTTAATTATACCTCCTTGAACACCAAAAAGATTGCCACTAATAGAGAGTGGCTTATCAGCGAGAGGAATCCAATGAGATTGAGATTTCAAAAGAGCTTCGACATCTTCTTCAGAATTAGAAGGGTATAATGCAATTGTATCACCTGGAGCATACGAGATTTCAGTATCACTATGAATGACAACTCTGCGTACATCTTGAAAGTGGTTTTCAGAAGTAACTCTTTCCTTGACTAATATAGTTCCTTGAAGGACTTCATTTGCCATATCATCTTTGACACTAGAATTTCTCGAAAGAGAGGTTTCTTTTGCATTACCTTTGGTAACAACTTCTGGTGAATCTTGAGCTATTTGAACTTTGAATTCAGGCTCAAGTAAAATCTCATCATCAACAGAAATTGCATCTGGAATATGACGTTGAATTGATGCTAACAATTCTTCTTCCCAAATCTTGTAATAGCCATCAATGCCTTCTGCTGATAACTCATCTGCTTCACTACTTGGACTTAATTCTTGACAACCTAATTGCTTCATACGAGTATGAATCTTTTTGATACCATAGTTGAATTTGGGATACGAAGAATCTCCTAATCCAAATGTGGTCAATGAAATGTGATCAAATAAGTCGTTAGGTAACTTCTTTCGAAGAATGAACTGCATGAACTTCTTAGCATTCCTGGGAAGTTCGCCTTGGCCAGTTGTTGAACATATAATAATCAAATACTCAACATCTGTGACCAACCGTTTCAATTCAAAATCATCTAATGTTGAAAGCACAGTTTGGACTTGGTAATATCTCAACCTTTTCGATAAATAATGTGCATAATCTTGCGCATTCCCTGTTTCCGATCCATATAGGATGGTGATCTTCTGTCGTTCAATACCCATTAATGTTGTTGCTAGAGGACGGTATCAGTATACAAATAATAGTTAGTAAGATTCAATTAATCAACTTGACCAGCTACACACAGGAGAATCAATCCGGGAAATTACGCCAAAGAATAGAGTGAAAACTTTTGGTAGTGTCAAAAATCAAAATTAGAGTTCCCACATGAGATAGTGCAATGATTTTAAATGGAATGTATGCTATCTCCTATCGAATATGAAAACGATATGCTATTTCTTCATGGTTCAAATCCAGTCCAAATTGTCATTAAACGTATTTTGTTCAGTATAAAATGAGAATGAATTTCATAACTGGATTGAAGCTAAACAAAAAAACTCTACCCTGATTGTCAATAGCATTCACCCATATATATCTTTCACTGACAATGATCATCTCATAAGTATTCTATATTAGAATTGTCCTAACCATGGTTGTCATCATATACTTCTTATTGTTGATTGACTCAATTGGGTGCAAAATTTCGTAAGTTATATTTCAGCTTTAAACTTCTTGCGGTCGTGTGGTGTACCATTAGTTGATGACCCACCAACGAAAAACGATAACCCAGAAGCGTACACACACTCATACATAAGAACGTAACTGCAACTCCATACAATACAATTCCCCTCTTACCAACTTCAGTTACCAGCACCGCATAGTTACATTGCTGTATATATTTTACACCAATTGAGCCGTTATCAAGAAAAGTAAGAAACTGCTGTCGATCTTGTTACTGAGTTCATTTACATTTGTTGTTTAATCTGATTCGTTCCGTTTGTTGTTGTATATTTGCATGAAATGGCAGTGAAAAGAAAGGCAGGACACTCCTCGGGAACTCCCAAGAAGAGTAAAGCTAGTTCCGTTGGACCAGCTGAGTTCCAGGCTTTCTATGCTAATACTATGGAGTTGGTAAACGAATTAAAGGTAGAAGATAAGTTACTTGTTGCTCCATTTTTAAAGTTACCTTCAAAGAAGTTATATCCTGATTATCTTGAGGTTATTGAAAGACCGGTGACTATTGGAGATATACAGAAGCACGTGGCTAAAAATCTGTATTCAACTTCATCAACTGATGAATTTGTTGGAGACTTCAAGTTGATGTTAGACAACGCAGCTAAATACAATGACCCAGATTCTTGGATAGTGGAGGATGCTCAACGTATATATGATTTTGTTCAAGAGCAAGCATTGGAGTTTTCCAAACAGCTGGAATTGAACGAAAGAGAATCGCTTGAATCTCCTAGATCAAGCAAACAAAAATCAGTTGGTGAAGAAATTGAAGATGATGACGGTAATGATGGTGAGCCATTAACCCTAGCAAAGTTACCAGATCATTTGAAAATACTTTTAAATAAGGTGATTGAACATGAGTTTCCAGAAGATGGAGTACTTAGTGGTCCCTTCATCGAAGATGTTGATAGGAAAGAATATCCTGAGTATTTCGAAATAATAAAAAATCCTACTTCCTTCAATAAAGTCAGGCTGATGTTAGAGAACAAGAAATTATTCTCTGCTAAGTTAACTATTAGTGAGAACTTGGACAAATTTCATGATGCTGTGATGCTTATTTTCAAGAATGCTCAAGAATTTAATCACCCGGATTCCTTAATACACCAGGATGCTGTGAAACTTCAAACATTTTTTGAGGAATTATATTCTGACTTCAGTAGCAAACTCGAAAAGGGTTCAGGATCTCCTAAAACCAAGTTGAAACTTAAATTAGTTGTACCCAAGAAGGAAAAGTCACTCAAGTTGACACTCAAGGGAAAATCACAAGAATCAGAACCAGCTCCAAAGAAAAAAGATCCAAGAGGAAGGAAGAAGAAAGCAGTAGCAACCAAAGTAAAAGTCGAGGAGGAAATAGATGAAGCTACTGCTGACGAGGATGATGATGAAAACGTGCAAGTTGTTAATGGTGGTTCTGATGTGGAAATGAGTGAAGGACAATCAGACAGTGAAAAGCCTGATCTAGATACTGATGATGAATATGATGGAAAAAATTCCAAACCAGTTAAAGAGGAAGCAAGGGATATGCCACAACCATTGGTTGGTAGTAATGTACTTGGAAAGGGACTCCCCAGTAAACACCCAGAAGAACTTTCAATTCAACAAGTATCCATTGTCAACTCCGTTTCGAATATCAGTGGCTTCTTGCAACAGGTTGCTGGACAAGAACAGTACAATACACCATCACTTATTGCCAATAAAAATAGATCTACACATTCGGCATTATTCCCTTCACTCCCAACTCACACATTGGCAACCTTTTTTGATTATCGGTTTCCCACTTCGGGTTACTCCCAACTGCAATATACTCTCTCCTTACCTTCGAACACTCCAGCATTGGTGAATTTTAAGGTTTGCTTGCACCCTTTAATTCAAGAAGTTACCAGATCTGTTATTTCCGGTGGTCTGGGAGCAATCAATGCATTGTCGGAAGAGGAATTCCAATGTCAATTTGTTCTTAACGATGAGGAGGTAAATGGTGGAGCATTGGTAGAACAAGACGATGGACAAGTAGTATTAAATTATGACGTGAGATTCAGTTTTGGTTTGAATATTTTGGTGTTCTACTGTAAACTTGCACCAAGTCTTAGTAAGAGAATAAAAACAAAAACTCCAAGCAATGATACAGAAGAACTACAGGGTAGACATACTAGGCATCAACTTCAACAGCTTAAAATGTCTTGGGATGTGGAAAAGTTCACTCTTTATGTTGTACGGAATAATTATTGATCTTTGTATTTTATGTATAATATTAAAAAACATAAACCTATTAAAATCTATTTACCAATGCAGAAACTGGAAAATACAACTCCTAAAACCTCTTCCACTCCGATGGTGTCACCAGTGATCTTTCCGATTCCTTCAACAGATTGTCGAAGAGATTCTGTAGCCAACACGATTTCATCTTGATTCTTCCAGTACTTAAATTGTTCGATACCATAGATGACATCATTAGATAGCAAATCTTGAGCTCTTGTTGATATTACCATAGGATCGTGATCATCTGTGAGAGTAATTGCTCTGAACAACTCAATTAAGTGTTGGTTCAATTTGTCTAATCCAGCACCTGAAACACAGGAAACAGGAAAAATTTGAACATGGGGAATCTCTAATAATTTAGAATACTCGTTAACCAACTTTTTCAGAGCATTATTATTCTCTTGAACAAGAAGGTCTTCTTTATTCAATACTATTAGTATCAGTTTCCCTAATTCTTTTAGTTCTTTGATATGATCAACAAAATGTTTATGTTCGGGTGAAGTTAAATCTAAATTAACTGGGATAACAGCTAATGCCAAATCACCCGTTAAAGATTTCGATTTTGCTCGACGTATTCCCTCAACCTCAATCTTATCTGCTAATTCTGGAGCTCTAATTCCTGCCGTATCACCAACAACTATCTTGTAGCCACCAATATCTAAGGGTACATCTATAATATCCCTTGTAGTACCTGCGATGTCACTCACTATGGCAGCTTCTTTATTTGCCAAAATGTTCAATAAAGAAGATTTACCCGCATTAGGAGGACCCAAAAGTGTGATGTTTATACCTTTCAAAAGTATATCTGATGCTTGAGCTCTTTGTAAAAACGTTGATATTTCCTTTTCCAAAGCTTCCACTCGAGCTGCAGCCTGATCAAAGAGTTCATTGGAATCATCCAAATGTTGATCTTCTCCAAAATCAATGATCGTAGTCATTAATGCAATTGTCTGAACTATTTCCTCTCTCCAATGTCTGAAAAGACGTTTATTATCACCTTTCAATGATGCTAAAGCTGCTATCCTTTGAGATTCTGTTTCAGCATCAATCATTTCTCTGATCCCTTCAACTTCTGTAAGATCAAACCTACCATTCATAAATGCTCTTTTGGAAAACTCACCTTGTTCGGCATATCTTATGTTTATATTTTGTTGAGGATCATGAAGCTTCTTAATTGCTTGTAATACTGACTTGACGATGGCATTACCTCCATGAAGATGCAACTCCAACAGGTCTTCTCCAGTAAACGTTTTGGGAGACTTGAAGTATAATGTCAATGCCTCGTCTAGAAGAATATCCCTCTCAGGATCATATATTTTTCTTAAACTTGCAATCCGAGCTTTGGGTTCGTTAGTAGTACGGGTTAGTTTATTGTAGATGTAATGAGATTGGGACCCAGAAATCCGAACTACTCCAATGGCAGCTCTGCCCAATTTAGTAGAAAGGGCATAAATTGTAGGACTTGAGGTATCACTCGATATACTCCTCTTTGATAGCCATGAAGCCTGGCCCACAAGTATACTTCGGGAAAACATATCCGATCACCTATAGCCTTGGACCAATGAATGATTAACTGGTAAATATGGGGATGCGATGCGATTTAAAAATTGTGGAGAACAATTGGAAACGATTCAGTTTAGAAAACTAAGACTAATTCATTTGCTGTGCTTATTACATCTTGAGTATGGTTCCTAAAACATCGTTACAATCGCTTTCTATTCGATATTTCCATTCGATCCTGAGATTGAGACATGAGAATCCATTGGGATTACCACGAGTTGGTCGAGATGGCAAGGAGCCTTCAGTTCCCAGAATGTCAAAAGGGTTGCCCATTAAGCAAAGAATACCCAACGTGAAAAGAATTGTATTGGTTTCTTCAGCAAAAGGAGGGGTTGGTAAATCCACTGTATCGGTAAACTTAGCACTTGGTCTTTCAAAGTTGGGGAAAAAGGCCGGTGTTTTAGATGTAGATTTGTTCGGACCTTCAATCCCGAAGTTATTCAATTTAAGTGGTGAACCAAGAATTTCCGATAACGGCAAATTGCTACCTTTAAGTAACTATGGAGTTGAAACCATGTCTATGGGGTACTTGATAGCACCCGAAAACCCAGTGGTTTGGAGAGGTTTGATGGTCATGAAGGCATTACAACAATTGTTATTCGAAGTTGCATGGTCCCCTCTTGATTATTTAGTCATAGATATGCCTCCAGGTACTGGTGATACTCAATTGACTATAAGTCAGCAATTGAAAGTTAATGGAGCGGTCATTGTTTCTACGCCTCAAGACATTGCTTTAATTGATGCGGTGAAGGGAATATCAATGTTCAATAAAGTTCATATCCCTATCCTTGGTTTGGTTCAGAACATGAGCTATTTCGTTTGTCCCAATTGCCATCATGAGTCCCATATTTTTGGATCGGATGGTGCTAAAAGAGAAGCAGAAAAATATGGATTACAAGTACTTGGTTCTATTCCTTTGAATGAACAGATATGTCTCCAATCTGATAAGGGGAAACCTATAGTTGTAGCTGATCCTCAATCTCCCTTAGCTGATTCTTATATCGAAGTTGCGCGGAAGGTGATTGAAGATTTGGAGAAGGGTCCCCTTTAAAGAAAATTAATATTGAACCAAAATTTCTTCATTACTTGTTGAATCACCAAAGAATTTTGCTCAGTTATTGGCTTTCTGTTAGCCCGTTAAATTTATCTGAGTCTTGAGTGACGTTATCATCAGGTATAATAATGAACGTTGGATTTTTTTGGATTTTTTTCATTTGGCTTGCTTCAATAGAAGTAGCGGCTAATGATAATGACTTCAACATTAAAAGGTTTAAAGAGCATATCCAAGTACTTCAAGAGTTAATTCCATCGCAGAATATTTCTACAGGTGAATTGAATGACATTGATGGTTTGGATTCTTTTAGTTTGAGGTCATTACTGAATAGTCTTCATTGGAATAAGCCTATTGACAGTTCTATGAATTCTTTAGTTGAATTACAAACAGAAGCATCAAACGGAAGAAGAACCATTACAGATATGCACCCAGTGCTAGTGGAAACCACTATGATTGCATCTCTAAGTGCTCCTGCTGAACACTCAGATTATTTCACTACTACTACTATGTATGATACTTCTACTCAAGCACATATTCTTCCTTCCCCGTCTCAAGTAACAATCCATCAAACGGAAACAAGTATTGTCAAAGTCACTGAAACAGTTACTCATTACTTTCTGACAACAGTTTCTTGGACGAATGCTTTGATGACACCAACACCTTCACCTTCACCAACTTCTTCTTCACCAACTGACGTTAATAATGTTCCTGTTTATACGAGCATCTACTCCAGCGCTTCACAATCAACAATAGGGTCTAGTTCATTTCAAGAAGACAATATTAAAGTATCTTCAAATATTCATGAGACCCAATCCACTTCTAATCTGGGATCTAAAATTGGTACTTCATTTTCCACTGCTCGTAAACCCTCCAATGTTAACGCAATTTTGAACAAGAAGAATTCTAACAGCAAATTATCAATTAATCCACAATTCAAGTACCATAATCAAGACTATAAACCATCGATTGTTCAATCATATGCAAAACCCAAAATCCCCCAGATTGGTGGGATTTGGAACAAGTTGAAAAATATGAACCATCAGTTTATTGGAAATCGTGAACCTTCCAGTGAACTTTCCTTGGATAAAAATATCCCCTTGGCAACGGAGACGGTTAAGAGTGTTTATGAAGTTGCATTAAAGGTGAAACCTACAAAAGTCCAAGATATTGAGTTAGCAAACGAATCGATACTTCCATCTAAAACTGTAACTCAGGGTTATCTGAAGACCTATCCAGCTTTTAAAATGCTGGCGGATTCGATGGTTTCAGTACAAACATTTCACATCGAAGATGGTGATTATGTTTATGATTTCATCATTGAAAAAGATCAACCACAATCTGTACCCAGGCATTCATCAAAAACACAGTTTGATATTTTGCATGTTCCTCCAGAGTTACAACATAGTGAGTTGAAGTTCACAAATGGATCTGAAGTTTCTCAACTTGCCACCGGAAATGGCATGAATCTGATGATATTGAACTCAAGTGGAGACAGCAACATTGAAGTGGGCATTGGACATGCATTGGAATATTCTAACTTACAAGACGAAACTACACAAGACTTGTTTGCAGGTATTTATAAAGAAGATGATTTTGAATTCTTAAAGAATGGCGCTACAGGGTTTATGAGTTCCAACACCATCCTTGTAACTCTTGTAGCAATGATTGCACTTTGGCTTTGAGATAAAGGAAGAAATATATATCTTTTTAAAAGTCTATATTCAATATCCCTGTAATTCGGTTTCTGATTCCTATAGTCCCATTAATAAGGATAAGTTAGTATACTTAATTAGTTACTTAACACCTTCACCCTGTATCGCCATTAATGTAACCGAGTTAGGATGATCGTTTATTACTGGTTGACTTACATTTTACTGTGTTAAAGGTGATAATCAAGGAAGTGAGGAGTATGTATTAAGGCTGAGAATGTCGTAATATTAAATGAGGTAATTGAAACTATCATTCAATAAGAAAGCTTTTAATCGAAGTTAGGGTGTTGTGCGTTAAGTTAAGTATAAGCAGTGGTGATTGCTGACAATCAACTAGTTACCTTCTTGTAAAGCTAAGCTATGCATAAGGTACCATAAGTATATTGGACGTTCTTACAATTACGATTAAATATCAATGGAACTCCACACGATTTCAAGACCAAAGTTTCTGATCTCAATTGAAAGACAATGAAATTTGCCTTGATGTATTTCATCTGCGTATTAATTTTCGCAGTCACCGCTAGAACTGCACCACCTTGCGACCATATGCTACTTAGGTTCACCTCTATTGGCTTATTGAGTCATAATGGTTCAACTGGTATCGATAATCATAATTAGTTAAGACATCTCCATAATCATAACTTTAAAGACAATATTACAGTTGGGGTGACTCAAAGCAATGAATTACTATTAGTTTAGTTGAGCAGGCAAACCAGGAAAGATGAATTTATCCGAGCTGGTGTCACTCGTTACAGATTGCTTGGGTTCGGATTAAGTTTCAGTATGATGTATGAAGACTCTGCTTTTGAATGCTTGACAGTTATTGGTAGTATGGACCATTGCTTCGCAATTAATTACGTGGTAGACCAGATCAATGCAGCCCTTTGGCATCAATACAGTTAGTATGGGTTCTTTTAGCCCCTATTAGAGGTTCGACAAGTACCAGTGTAATCATTTTGATGTCATAAATTAATGAGATAATAAAATTAACGGAATGAACCATATTAGGTTCGAATAAATGTAATCTGTATTGCAAAAGAAGTATTACCCTTGAGCAGTAAGAGATCAAGTTGAATCATCAGATTGAATCCCTGTTCTTACTTTAAATTTATTGACTAGCGATGCTTTCACTGCACTAGTAGTATAGTTGAATGTTTTTACCCGTTTGCTGGCTGCTGCTGGTCGCTGTCCTTATAGGATATGCTTCCGCTGCTCCCATATTACCAAAGAAAGTGGTATCTTGATCTCACCTTGTTCAACACTAGCTAAAGTGGGCGTGAGCACTACCTTTTCACTACCAAGAAATACTTCACATGCATGTGCTAATGCAATACCTAGATCAAAATATTACTTCTTTTTGTTACACATTTGTTGGCAGTTGCGGGTCATTGTTTTTAGGATTATGCACGACCATTTGTTTGTTTAAAACATTTCCTATTCTACAAATGTAGATGGGGCTTCGGTGAACTAAGATGTATTATATATTTATAGTATTGTGAAATATAAGGTTCCTATTGATAAAGATACATATTATAAGACAAGATTGATTACGTTGTATTTGTATGATCTTTGCGTACTTTCGTCTGTTACCTTTGTTCACAACTTTGAATCAAATATATTCCGTTTAAAGTAATAATACTGCAAGCAATAATTACAACATTCAAGTACCTTTGAAGCAAAAGCTAATATTCCGTTTATGTCAACGTCAGTTCCTTCTACGCCAAGAGTTCTGAAGATCTCTAGAACTCCTAAAACTACAGGAAAAATCATCACCAAACGATACATGCGTACCCCAGATGGCAAGCGCACAATGTTAGAATTTAACGATAGAGATTATGATGAAAGTCAAGATGCCACTTATATATATGAGGAAAGTGAAGATGAGGATGATCTGTATTTGGATGATGAGGATGATTTGATTATTGAAGAAAAGGAAATTGATTCAAGTGAAGTGGAATCTAGAGATGAAACTGAATCAGCTACTTCAACCACTACTTTAAAAGTTAGTGATGAGATTGTAAATGATTTCCATAACTATATTGCAGGTATGGGTCAGTTCCGTCAATTCCTTTTCAAACATGAAATTCCTAGGAAAGTTTTTCATTCATCTATTGGTTTTGTTACTTTGTATTTATATACAATTGGAGTCCAACATCAACAATTGATCCCAGTTTTTATAGGGTTGTTTGCCGTGCTTTTCGTTAATGATTATGCTCGGATGCATAACCCGGAATTTAATCGAAAGATGGTTAAATTTTTCACGTTGATTGCTAGAGAAAGTGAAGCCAATGAATACAACGGTACATTATGGTATGTTGCTGGATTGTTCATTGTGTTTATGTTGTATCCTAAGGATATTTGTGTTATGAGTTGTCTTTTATTGAGTTGGGCCGATACTTCTGCTTCTACTTTTGGAAGAATGTTTGGTAAGTATACTCCAAAGGTTTCCAAGAATAAGTCACTTGCTGGTTGTATGGCAAGTTTTATCACTGGTATTGCATCTTGTTATGTTTTCTACGGATATTTTGTTCCTCATTACAATGAAAAGGTTAATGGACCAAACGATATCTTCTGGACCCCAGAAAATAGCAAATTGACTATTCACATTTATTCTCTTCTTTCTGGACTTGTGGCCAGTTTCTCTGAGGGAATTGATATTTACAAGATTGATGATAACTTTACTATCCCTGTACTATCTGGGTTTTTTTTGAATCTCGTTGTTAAGTTGGCTCATAAATGAGAGTCTATGTTTTATGAATTTTTTTTGAAACTCCTCATGTTCAACTCAAAGAATTGCCTACGATGAATGGTGCGTTATTTCACATACTTTTGTCTTCGTCTTGATTCATTATCGCGTTTATAGATTAATAAAATTATTTGTTGCTATTTTCTATTGATGTTGTACAAGTTGACGTCCCTTTATAAAATCATCGTATGATAAAGAAGATTTCAACCCATCATATCTAACCAAATCTATCCATCCATCATTAATGCCATTTGTAACAAAATCAGCCGTGGCCGATTTCTTGATCCCCATCAAATCTGCCTTTTGAAGCAAATAATACACTGTAGTTAACTTATCCCATTCTTGTTCTTCAGCAACGCTGGGAAGAAATGTTCCACTGTATGAAGCACCTTGATATATTATATGAATCTTCAAACCATGTTCTCCCACTTTCCAGCTATCCCAGGTCTTTATTGGAGTGAAATTTGCTAGTAAAGTAACATGAACTTTGAGTGAAGGCAATTCTGACTTCCTAATAGGAGGGAATCTTGAATCTTCTAAAGCTGCTGTCAAACTAAACCTTTTGACTCCAGATTCAATAGGTAACTCTTGGAATGTTCCAATACACCCTCTTAATTGGTCATTCTTATTCCATGTTATGAACAATGGCGTTTTAAGGGGCAACCCATCAAGGGTCTCATTAAATGTCTTGAGATACAGGGTCAAAGATATGCACAGTTCATGATTCACCTTGCTATAGAGAGTTTCGAATGCTAAGAAGCAGATTGATTTAGGCGTCATATTTGATAAGCATGGAGAGTTTATGACTGCCTCACCCCCTTAGAAGTTTGCAAGGTTTATAAGACCTCATTCAGTGGAAGCGCCGGTCACTTGAAAGGATCTCGTCGCATTCAAATGTGAATTAAACGAACTGGTACAATATACTTTTATTGAAACTAGTTTCTATATCATATGCTTCTATGTATTACATTTCTGAGTACTTGATACTACCAAAATGGTTCCCTGTGTTGTTGACATGAATGAGGTTTGGGTGGCTGCGAAGAAATCGAGCCCAAGAGATATCATCATCAACAGTTCCAGTGATCTTACAATTTGCAAGATTTAAATGAATCAAGTTGGGACACGGAAACAAATGCCATTCAGCATGAGTGAAAAATCGAGTGAGATAATTACCATTGAGATCAATATGAGTTAATCTTGGTGGGAATTTATGGAGCTTGGAGATGAGATTTCTTGAAATATCAACTTGTTTGAGCTTGTACAAACAAGGATCCAGTAAAAACTTTGTATCAAACAAATGATTCCCCATAATTGACAATTTTGTTAATGACATATATGGGTGAGTAATATCAGCAGCAACATCGTCTTCACCACCATCTATGTCATATCTTTCACCCTGGCAAAAGGAAATAGAGGTGATGTTATTGTTGTCCAATATTAGTTCTCTAAGGTTGGGTAATTTTGTTAGGTTAAAATTATATCTGTTAATTCCTCTTAGGCTATTATTTGATAGGTTTAATACCTCTATTGTTTCCGGGAGATCGATTTGAGCAAGCCAATAATCATCAATATTATTGTATGAAAGATCAACCATTTTTAAGTTAAGCCATAAACTTGTATTCTTTTTAAGCTCAACTTGACTTACTAAACTATTGGCATTAAATAAGTTAATCTTTAAATTTTGAGCACTTAAACGAGGTGGTCCTTCATTATCAGGGAAAATACTAGTAGAAGATTGTTGATTGGGAATATTACTTTCTCTTGATCGCCCCAAACACCTTCTATTGTTGATAGCAAACCAATTCACTCTTATTTCAAGTTGGGAGATTTTGTTGATGAAAGCAGATTCTCGTTCTGAACAATTTTCAATTAACACTAATTGAATATTGAAATCAGCGGTAAGATGGGATATAAACTTATAATACACAAGCATCGTATTGGCATAGTCCATACAATCAAATGGACCTGTGTTGTAAATTATTAGCGATATCAGTTTCGGCTTGATATAGATTTGATGTTTGATAAGGTAATCAAGATCGTCACTTGATAAACATAAGGAATCCACTTCTGCAGTGGTATAGAATTGAGGTAAATTGGTTAGAAAAAGCTTTTGATGGTAATATCTTTCATATAAAGCAATATTTCTAACATTTTGAAAGCTTAAATCATGTTCTTCATTCTTGGATAGTGAGTTGAGCTCAAACATTAGCTCTAATTCATCCTTAGGTATTTGACGGAATACTTGGTGGATCAACTCAGTGGGTAGCTGTGCAAGAATCGACATGATCTATACTGGGAGGGTTGTTATTCAAAGATAAGTAACACTTAAGACTCCACTCTGCCGAAATGCTCCAGGGTTGTCTTATATGATATAATTTGTGATAACCACTATAGTATCGCTCTTTTGGGTGCAAAAATATTAACGGTTACCAGAAATAACAAAAGGCAACGGTAAACGTTCATTATATATTATGACTTTAATGGCCACCATATCCAAAACCTAAATTTGCATATCTTTTTTCTTTGTATTTAAATATAAACTTCACAGGTTTGTATTCTATTGCTTTTTTATTAAAGAGGGGCATCTCGGGACAGCCGTTACTAAATGTTCCATCTTGAATTATGCACGATAGTCAAGTCCTTATCTAAAACACTTATCTACTGTTTACACTCTATCATAACAATACGTGTCTCAGATATCTTATCGTGATATTACTCTTTATATAAGACATATATCTATGGTCATTATTACAATAATCAAATAAACTAATGAGTGTAGTAGCATGTGAGTTGTGTGTTGATATCATAACTGTTATTGCTCTAGACTGAAATTCACTGACAGACCATTATTGTGATACTGCCACACTTTCATAATTGTTGTTATCAAAAAGAAAAAGGAACGACATTTATTAAAGTGATAACCATTTGAGTCATTCACGCTTAGCTTGACTGCGGTGACAATTGATATCATAGGGGACTGGAAGGCGGAATCAAATCTCATTTCTTAACTGTGCGCTCCCGTTTGAGTTTTACACCATTATTGGGATGAGTCAAATCTTCTTTTGTAACCTAAACTCTTTTTTTCAATATCTAAAACCGAAAACTATACCGACGTGTACCTCCCTTCCACTCCAACAAACCAAGTGGAATTAGTAGATAGTACCGGATATCAATTGTGACCAGTCATATATCTGCTTTATAAGTACATGGTAAGAGGACTGCTTTCCAAATTATTAACCAGAAGTCAGTTTAGCCTCAGAAACATGTCATCTGCTGTAACAACACAACAACAGCATCCTTGGAATGCATCAAAGGTTAGACAAACCTTTTTAGATTATTTCACCGAAAAATGTGGTCATAAGTATGTTGCCTCATCTTCTGTTGTTCCTCATAATGATCCTACATTGTTGTTTGCCAATGCTGGTATGAACCAATACAAGCCTATTTTCTTAGGTACTGTTGACCCAAGTAGTGATTTTGCTACTTTAAAGCGTGCAGTTAATTCTCAAAAATGTATTAGAGCTGGTGGTAAACACAATGATTTGGAAGATGTTGGTAGAGATTCATACCATCATACATTCTTTGAAATGTTGGGTAATTGGTCTTTTGGTGATTACTTTAAAAAGGAAGCAATTGGATTTTCTTGGGATTTGTTAACCAATGTATATGGTATTCAAAAGGACCGTTTATATGTCACTTACTTTGGTGGTGATGAAAAGCAAGGTCTTGAGCCAGATTTGGATGCTAAACAATTTTGGTTAGATGTTGGTGTTGATGAAGATCACATTTTACCAGGTGATGCTAAGGATAACTTCTGGGAAATGGGTGACCAAGGTCCATGTGGACCTTGTTCCGAAATTCATTACGATAGAATTGGTGGACGTAATGCTAGCAGTTTGGTTAATGAAGATGATCCTAATGTGTTGGAAGTTTGGAACATTGTGTTCATTCAATACAATAGAGAATCTGATGCAAGCTTGAAGCCTTTGCCTGCTAAACATATTGATACTGGTATGGGTTTTGAAAGATTGGTTTCTGTGTTACAAGATAAATATTCAAACTATGACACTGATGTTTTCGAACCCATCTTTGTTAAAATTAGAGAAATCACTGGTGTTAGACCATACACCGGTAAGTTTGGTGCTGAAGATAGAGATGGTATTGACACTGCTTATAGAGTTATTGCTGATCATGTTAGAACTTTAACTTTTGCCATTGCAGATGGTGGTGTGCCTAACAATGAAGGTCGTGGTTACGTTTTAAGAAGAATTTTGAGAAGAGGGGCTCGTTATGTCCGTAAGTATATGAACTATCCAATTGGTACCTTCTTTTCTCAATTAGTACCTGTTGTTATTGAACAAAACAGCGCAATTTTCCCTGAAATCGAAAAGAATCAAGTTGATTTGAAGGAAATCTTAAACGAAGAAGAAGTTTCTTTTGCTAAGACTTTAGATAGAGGTGAAAAGTTGTTTGAACAATATGCCATTATTGCATCAAAGACCCCAGAACAAACCTTAAGTGGTAAGGACGTGTGGAGATTGTATGATACTTATGGTTTCCCCGTTGATTTAACTCGTTTGATGGCTGAAGAAGCTGATTTGAAAATCGACGAAGCTGGTTTTGAAAAGGCAAAGGAAGAATCAAGAGAGGCTTCCAAGGCTGGAGGAAACAAGGCTAGTGTTGAATTGGTCAAGTTAGATGTCCATGCTTTATCTGAATTGGATTCCAACTCTAAAATCCTGAAGACAGACGATTCATTTAAGTATGGTGTGGAAAACGTAAAGTCAACCATTTTGGCCATTTACAATGGCTCAGAATTTGTTGATACCATTGACAATGAAGAAAAGCAAGTTGGTATTATTTTAGACAAGACCCCATTCTATGCTGAACAAGGTGGTCAAATTTATGACACTGGTAAGATTGTTATTGATGGTAAATCTGAATTCAACGTTACCAACGTTCAAGTTTATGGTGGTTATGTTCTCCACACTGGGTTTTTGATTGAAGGTTCCTTAAGTGTCAATGATTCTGTTATCTCCACATATGATGAATTGAGAAGATGGCCTATTAGAAACAACCACACTGGTACACACGTATTGAACTATGGTTTAAGAGAAGTATTGGGTGATGGTGTTGACCAAAAGGGTTCCCTCGTTGCACCTGAAAAGTTGAGATTTGACTTTAGTCATAAACAAGCTTTAACTCCAAAGGAATTGGAACAAGTTGAAGATATTTGTAATGCATACATCAAGGAAAACAAACAAGTTTTCTACAAGGATGTTTCCTTAGACACTGCCAAAGAAATTACTGGTTTGAGAGCTGTTTTTGGTGAAACTTACCCTGATCCAGTTCGGGTTGTTTCCATCGGTACACCTGTTGAGGATTTAATTTCTGATCCAAAGAATGATGCTTGGAATAAGATTTCTATTGAATTCTGTGGTGGTACTCATGTTTCTAAGACCGGTGAAATCAAAGATTTGGTTATCATTGAAGAAAGTGGTATTGCAAAGGGTATTAGACGTATTGTTGCTGTTAGTGGTAATGAAGCCCATGCTGTTCAAAGAGTTGCTGCTGAATTTGATGAATCATTAGAGAATGCATCCAAATTACCATTTGGACTGGCCAAAGAAGCTAAAGCTAAGGAATTGGGTGTTGCATTAAAGAAATTATCAATTTCTGTTATTTCTAAGGCTAAATTGAATGAAAAATTCACTAGATTGGACAAATCCATTAAGGATGAATTAAAGGCCAAGCAAAAGGAAGAAAGTAAGAAGACATTAGATGCAGTTACTGAATGGTTAAGCGAAAAGGAATCTAAGGATTTCTTTGTTGCTCATATCCCAATTGGTGCTAACGCAAAGGCTATTACTGAAGCCATTAACTTATTGAAGAAACAACATAAGGATAAGTCATTATATTTAATCACTGGTACAGATGACAAGGTTGCTCACGGATGTTATGTTTCAGATGAGGCTATCTCCAAGGGTGTTGATGCTACTGTCTTAGCAAAGGCTGTTACTGAAAAGATTGGTGGTAAAGCTGGTGGTAAGGGTAATGTTGTCCAAGGTATGGGTGATAAACCATCAGGTATTGCTCATGCCATTGAGCAAGTCACCAAGTTGTTTGCTGAGAAGTTATAGAGTACGTCAATAATAATATTTTAGAAATGAATACTTAATTGATTAATTTGGTTCTTGTGTTGATAGTCTATCTTCTTCTAAAGCATTGATTTGCTGTGCATCACCTCCTACGCCTTCAATAATTTGACTAATTAATTGTTCAATATCTTTCTCTGGTACTTCACTATTACCGATGATACTAATGGTATTGATTTTCCATTTTAAATGAGGATAACTACCCAATTTAATGGTACCAATTCCATATTTCTTATCGACATTTTGTTGCAACCCGGTTAAAAACGGAGCCAAACGACTTTCTCCGGTTCGAGTCTTGATATACGATCGGGTAAACCCCAGACTTATGATTCTGGGTTTCAATATTGGTTCTAGACCACTAAGTAACTTTAGAAATAAATGAGGAACACCAGGAAGAATGTATACTTGATTCTCCATTCCAACTATAGGAACCCATAATGAATCATCTACATAATGGGGTTCACAAGTTAAAGGTAAAGTAGCCATACGATTGAAAGCTAGTAGTTGGTTGGTCGTGTGGTTGGCGAAATAGTCCTTACCAATGATTCTATTAATACGATCAACTGTTGGTTGATGAAGAGAAACAGTAGTATTGAAAGCCGTAGCAATAGCTTCATAAGTCACATCATCATGAGTAGAACCAATTCCACCTGAAGTGATAATAATATCACATGATTTTCTTAAATTGTTCAAGCTATCTATGATATCATCCTTATCATCCGAACAAACTATAGTTCTTTTAAGAGGAATGGAAAGGTTATTGAAACAAAATTTAGCAAACTCAAAGGAGTTGATATCGTGGATCTTACCATTGAGAACCTCATCCCCAATAACAAGACATCCGGCATTTCTTATCCTTGGTAGAGTCATAGTAGTGACCAACCTTGTTGCGGAAGTGAGCATTAAAGAAGACAGTTACTGTTTTGGGTTGTGCGAAAGAAGAGAGCGCGATAAACGACAAAAACAACCTTGAGTAATCTCCATACAAACGAATAAATCGCAGTATGAACAATATATATCACAATGCAATAACCACACTACTAGTCACTCGATACAAGATTGATTACGTAACCAACAAAGACAGTATTTGTATCGTTCCATGGCTGTGGCGCTCTACACTGAGATAACGTAAGTGACATGGCTGGATATGTAATGCTGTTCCGGGTGCAAGAGGATATATTCTAATTGCGGATATGGAACATTACCTACTAGGAAGCTTCATCACTTAAAAGAGTTGTATATTGGCTAGATACTCCCAGTTCTTCAAATATGTATACAAATTCTATCCCTGATTTAATTATCCTTTTGCTTCTATTTATCCCGTGACTACATATCGTATCCTCTGAAGGCTACCCACATACAGTATTGCACAAAAAGTAGTATCCACTAAAATCCATACACTAGTCACACTATCGTAAAGCGATAAACTACTACTATCACGAATCGGAGATATTCCGTGTCACTTCACATGGGCCCGCATCAATAAGCTATTGCTAAGGAGACTTAGCTGTAAACTACTAGTGTTAATATTACACTACTGCAAACCGTGTTAACTTTAAACCATCACACTATGTATTACCAAGTTATGTTTCATCATTTAAGCTTTTGTGAAATGGTGCTACCATTAGGTGTGCGAACTACGTTTCCCCCCATCGGCGCCGAATGAGGAGACTTCGTTTGTTTCCAACGGCAAGTTCAAATTTTCGACTTGATAGCTGACAGAACATCGACCACTCCACCTTCGAGTACCAAACAAGCACACCACGATTTCCCCCCCCCTTCCCACCTTTTTCAGCGTCATCATCTGACTGACCTTATTTGTATACCTTAGACGTTAGCCGTCCTTTACTTAGAGCTTTCTTTCCGTTCAACCATTAACTCAGTTGGAGCGTAACATGGGAAACAGCCCGTCAAAAGATGATCCTCTGCCGAATACCCTTAGCATCTCAGTGAACGGTGCTACCGCCAGCACCAATGGCGTATCGTCCTCTTCAACTGGTGAGTTGGAGAGTGACGATCAGGCGCTATCGAAACTGTTGCAGAGATCTCAACATCGTCTGCAGCAAGCCTCAAGAGGTTTGGGTACTTCCTATAAAAGGTCACCCTCATCATCAACCTCGGCTAGTTCCCCTTCATCTGGGAACGCCAAACCAATCAAGATAGACACTAACAGTACTGTTTCTAGAACCACTTCTCGTTCCAAACAAGTTGCTGTGTCTTCTTCTAATAACGCTAACCTTACAGAGGTTACTACTACCACTAATAGTAATGCTAATGCTAATACTCATACCCTATCAGCGGTTACAACTGCTAATTCTGTTGTCACCAGAAATGGTACTGATTCCGATAACAGACCAATCAATCTTGAAATCGATGTTTCAATGGCCAGGTTAATGTGTAGTAATTTTGACTTGGGTTCTTCTGTGGATAGCAATAAATCAACAGCTTCTACTTTTACAAGAAATCCTGGGCATGATGAAGATAGGGATCTGGTTTCTTCTGCTGGGTCCCTTTCTCCTCCAAGATATAAGTCTTCGACAATTGCTACTTCAACAACTAATGTCACTGCCACCTCAACTCCTCCACCTTATTCCACTTCCAAATACCTTAATATTTCATCCTCCAATCATTTGCGTTCCAAGCTTCGTTCTTCATCGTCAAGTAATTCTTCTTCAACTGCTGCGGATTCTCCTCCTTTGATTCCTGTTAGTGCTAATTTAGAAATCGATATTGATGGTATAATTGCCAAATTGTTGGCTATTGGAAATGCAAAACGGACTTCTTTCTCTAGAAAGAATAAGGATGCTTTACCCCTTAGTTCTCATGAATTGAAGTATATTTTAAGCAAATCCAGATCTATTTTCATGGATCAACCTTCATTATTGAAGCTTGCACCTCCAGTTAAGATTGTTGGGGATATCCATGGTCAATTTCATGATTTGATCCGTATTTTCAATGCCTGTGGATATCCTCCCTATACTAATTACCTTTTCCTTGGTGATTATGTGGATAGAGGTTATAGATCATTGGAAACTATTATCTTATTACTTTGTTACAAGATTAAGTATCCTGAGAACTTTTTCATGTTACGTGGTAACCATGAATCTGCAAATATTACCAAGATTTATGGGTTTTACGATGAATGCAAACGAAGATTACCCACAACTGCTGGAAGTCCGAAAATGTGGAAATCTTTTATTGATGTTTTCAATACTTTACCATTTGCTGCAACGATCAACGACAAGATCTTTTGTATTCATGGTGGATTATCACCAGATTTGAAAGATTTAAGACAAATTGAAAATATTAAACGTCCTACTGATATTCCTGATCGAGGATTATTGGCAGATTTGCTTTGGTCTGATCCTGATCCTACAGTTAAGGGTTTCTCTTTAACATCATGGCCTCCGAATGATAGAGGAGTTTCATACTGTTTTGGAAGGAAACACGTTGATCATTTCTGTCAGCAGTTTAATATGGATTTGATTGTTCGTGGTCATATGGTTGTTGAAGATGGATATGAATTCTTCAACAAACGGAAATTGGTTACTGTGTTTTCTGCTCCCAACTATTGCGGTGAATTTAATAACTTTGGTGCAGTAATGAGTGTTAACAATTCTTTACGTTGTTCCTTTGAACTTATCAAACCCCAACAATAATATTGCTATTATTGTTAGTAGCATTTTTTTTAATTAGCGTTCTGAAGAAGCCAACTGAACTGGAATAGAAGAAGAATGTTCAAAGAACTGTTACTGTCTTTCATATGATTGGCTATGACCTTTATGTGAAAGTGGTATATTTTATTTCTATGGATATTTATCTGATTTTATCTTCTTATTCAGAATCTTTGTTAATGGTTTTCTATTGGTTATCTTATTATATTTTATTATATTTTATTTTATTTTATCTTATTCTAATTTTTTTATATTTACTTATGGTGCTTCCAAGGATGTCGCCTATGTCGTATCTAGTGTCGTTCATTATTATACCAAGATTTTTATATATGTCTACAATACATGTTTTATACTTACATTGAGTTATTATAGTAGTAGATATAACGTTATATAAATGAAGGCAAGGTTGTATACAATATAGTTCATATTCTTTTTTTTGGGATTTTTTTATATTTGGACAAACAACGAATGATTGAAGCAACTGTGATTTAAATAAAACATTAGCAGAAAAACGTATTAGGAAAAATAATTATAATAGTACAATTCATGGTTTGTTGGTGGAGTCTAATGTTCAAGTTTATTGAACACCATGAGCATGATCGTGGTCTTGAACACTTGGATCAACGTTTGGGTCAATACTTGGGTCAACCAGGGTTCCAGAATTTGGATGAGCGGATGCTATGGCTGCCATTACTGAAACATCACGTTGAGGTTGATGGTGAACATCAACATGGTGATGTTGCATTTGAGGCATGTATTGATGATGTCTCAAACTGGCAATTTCTTGTTCATATTGTTGATTGGCAGCTGCTTGTTGAACGTTAACATCATGAGGCATTTGATGTCCAAGAGCTTGTTGACCGCCTTGAGTGTCTTGGTTGGGTGCACCACCAGCACGATGCAAGGGTTTTTCAACTAAGGTTCTTGATCTATATTTTTTAGACTTCTTACCTAAAGCACCTCTTGGAGGTTCAGGTGGATGATTGTGAACAGGATTAATCATTCTCAAAATCCAAGTTTCTCCAGTGTTGTAACCATCATCACCACCATTACCATATTCACCCAATTTATCATCTAACCCATCGTCCTTCTTGGTATTCTTCTTATCACTCTTTTCAGTGGGGTACAAATTGGCAACTAATCTATAACCACACTTGTTTCTCTTGGTATAAGCAACTCTTTGTCTCTTACTAGCATCCTTAACAGTGGTTCTAAACAGTCCAGATCTTTCACATTGAAAGTAAACAGCTTTAGGTTTGGAAGAATTGATAACAATCTTACATTGTTCTTCTTCATATAAATCGGTCTTGACATATCTAACCATTTCTGCCTTACTTCTAAATGTCTTGATCATTTCATTCTCAGTGTATCTTGATTGTAAGATAGAATCAGGATCAAATTCTTCAAGAGGAACATTAGCAACTGCTTGTTGCAAATGTTGATGAACAACACCTTGAACACCACCTTGATGTTGAGCTTGTTGTTGCATTTGTTGAACAGCTTGTTGTTGTTGTAATTGATGCTGTTGTAAATGAGCAGCTGCAGCTTGTTCTTGTTGCTGTTGTAATTGATATTGATATTGAGCAGCATATTGTTGACGTTGCAATTGTTGTTGTAATTGATAAGGGTCCTGTTGAGCATGCTGATGTTGATGTTGTTGTAAGGCAGCAGAAGCAGATTGGTAGGCCAGGTATTGATCATCCATTGGACCACCATAACCCACAACGGCAGCAGCAGCAGCAGCAGCAGCAGCGGTAGTTGGATCAACATCACCTTGTAAATGATGAGGATGACCTCCATAGTGTTGTTGAGGGTGCGCTTGTACATGATGAACTTGATCACCTTGATGGTGTACTTGACCATGTAAACCGTTATCGGAGCCACCACCAACACCCACAGCAGCAGCAGCAGCAGCTACTGAAGAAGTAGTATCATAGTAGGCTGGAGCATTACCTACTGCCGTACGGTCACTTGTAGTGGAAGGGCCCAGCATATCAAAAGGTTAATAGAAGAAAGTAAGTTAATCTTGTTGTTGTTGTTTTGATTTTGTTGATAATCAAAACAGAAAAAATATATGAAGCACCAAGGAAAAAGGGTAATCAACAAGGGGAAGCTTCGACTAGAACGTTGAGCAATGTTACTCAAGTCTGAATAGAACTCAAGATGTAAATGTTTATAAAAGGTTGAACGTATTGATGATATGATACGCGTATTAACAGTTAGCAGCGGGTGTCTAACACTAACAAGATAAAAGAAAATTGGGATTGGAGTGTTTTGCCTTCAGATCCAAGTCTAGGATGGAGGAGGATCACTAATGAATGTCTTTGATGAAGACCGAACAGCTAGTCTGTGGTTGCAAATCAGTTTACCTTGTACACCGAGTTGTGTATATTGAGGCAAACTATATAAAGGCCAGAAAACACTCTTAAACTGTGTTTTGTTTGTTGTGGTTATGTGTAGTATCAGCAAAATTTTTCTTTTATTCGACACAGGATGGGGATAAGTTGGTGATAATAGATGAGTTTCCAGTTTTGGTCGTGTACAGGAGAGGGCCAGTCCTTTTACACCAATAGAAACAACTTGAAACCATGTACAGGTCAATAAGTTTGTGGTCGTGTATATACTTACCTCTTTAGGAATCATGGAGTAACCCCACATAGGTTCTGTTTCGTAGTACTATAGGTACATACATTATTACATAATAGTAGTGACAATATTAACTTGATTATGTCTATTACCCAAGTTCAAGCTGACGCAGCTGTGAAAGAACGACAGTGGTATCTTTCTCGAATAGTTAATCCAGAGCTCGGTAACGTTACAGAAACTCTTACCATATGTCATAACTTACTAGTGTTTAATTCTCCACAAGAACCTAATGCAGCTGAATGTATTGAACGGGGTCCAAGTATAAAACTTCCAGTGTCTTCTAATAAGCTGGAAATCTTAAAGGGGATATTGGTTCGTGATGGACCTCATATCATAAGCTTAACTATGATTTTAAAGGAAAAATCATTCAATAAATATGTTACCAAATTAACATTGATAGAACCAATTGAATTACCACAAATAGCTTTAGCCATTAAATGCATAAAAGATGCTTTGAATCAGCTTACAAATGCAATTCATTGTTTGGACCTTTCAATTATGGCTTCAGTATTAGCACAAATTAAAAGAGCTAAAGACTCTTTAAACTTGTTAACAGACACTTCATTAGCATTCCCATTTCATGCAATGCCGGCATCCAAATTCTCTCCAGAATTACCCAATGAACATGTGGCAGTGGATATCTACGTTAACCAACAAGAAATTTGTGTTGATTTAAAACGGCTACACAAGATCACCGTGAAACCATGGGGAGACATCAACCCTGTTACTGGGAAATCTTATGTTGATATGCTTCGAGATGAAATGAAGATATCCACTTCCAGTGATATTTCTCAACTACAGAAGGAAGTTGAAGCCAAGTTCACCCATACACATACAACCAAACATTCTTCAGAAACATCGTCATCTTCCTTCATAGCAGGAACAAGCATTCCATTACCAAATAATAGTAATAATAATAATGTAGAATCGTCTTCTTCACTGGCTTCATTCTTCCTGTCGTTACTCAATCGATACACTCCAATGGACTATGTTACCAAATGTATCACATATAATGATTCAGTGGTTATGGTTAACAATAAGATTGAGGTTCTGTCATTGGATCCTGTTGTTGTTTCTGTGTTCACAAAGCTTGATTCGCTTGAATACTTGATTGGCAACTATATGCTGAATTTGGAGAGTCTCAATTGAATTAGACTCACATTAGTATCATAGCACTGAATAACGTTACCTTGTACCTTAGTAGCTTATACTGGTAGTGTCCTTGGCCATTTATTGATTTCATTCCCCATACGGTGGTGTCACATAAGCTTTTGGTCCAAGGTTCAATTTTGGTACTGTATCTGTGTAGAGTGAGCTTACCTCGGACCCCGATTTAAATGCTTTCTCATGCCTCCACGATTCTTTTAATCTTCACGTATAAATACAAGTGAACCAATTTTGGAGCTTTAGTGGTTATCGCTTATACCCCAAAGTAGAATACAATCAGCTATATTTGAGGAGTCTTCTTGTGTTTATGGATAAATGGTGGCTTTTCCTCTTAGTTCGCCATTTGATGTTCTTCTCCTGTGTATTTCAAAGTACTAAAATCTTCCACACTGCTTTTATTCTTTCAACTCAAAGATTCTTTTCCACAACCACCATGACTTCAGCAGCTGCGTATCTGGTATTGGCAAGCGAGAATTCTATCAACAAACCCGTACTAGATGATCGTCAATATCGGTATATCAAGTTGAATAAGAATGGTCTCAAAGTATTATTAATCAACGATCCCGCCACTGATAAAGCAGCGGCTGCTTTAGATGTTCATGTGGGCTCCTTTGCTGATAAAGAGTATGATATCCATGGATTAGCCCATTTCTGTGAACATTTGTTGTTCATGGGAACTGAAAAGTACCCTAAAGAGAATGAATATTCTAGTTATTTGGCCCATCATCTGGGACATTCTAATGCCTTTACCGCTTCAGAACACACAAACTATTTTTTTGAATTAAGTAGTGATCATTTGGAAGGAGCTTTGGATAGATTCTCCCAGTTCTTTATTAGTCCCTTGTTTAGTCCAAGTTGTAAAGAGAGAGAAATTAAAGCTGTGGACTCAGAAAACAAAAAGAATTTGCAAAGTGATGTATGGAGATTATACCAATTAGATAAACTGTTATCCAATAAGAAGCATCCTTATAATTCCTTTCTGACAGGGAATTATGAAACATTGCATGAGATTCCTCTAAGTGAAGGCCGTAATGTTAGAGATGTGCTTTTAGATTTTTATGAACTGCACTATCTGGCCAATTTGATGAGCTTGGTCATTTTGGGTACTCAAGATTTGGATACTTTAACCAAATGGGCCGTGGAAAAGTTTGAAGATATTCCAAATAAAGACTTCCCTGCTCCAAATTATAATGGAGAAGCACTTTTTACTAAAGATCAATTATCAAAACTTATTCAGGCAAAACCCATCATGGATACTCACAAATTGGAAGTAGTGTTTTTGATCCCAGATGATCAGGATAAGTATTGGGATAGTAAACCTTCAAGATACCTTTCACATTTATTGGGTCATGAAAGTGAAGGTTCATTATTATATTTCCTTAAGAATAAATTAAATTGGGTTAATGGACTTTCTGCTGGGAATATGAAAGTATGTCAAGGTACTTCATTGTTTTATGCTGAATTTGAAATGACTCCACAAGGTTTAAACAATTGGCAACAAATCTTGGTCCATTTGTTTGAGTATTTGAAATTGGTTTGTACTGAAACTGACCCTCAACAATGGTTATTTGCTGAGTTGGCAAATATGTCTGAAATTAACTTCAAATTCAGACAAAAACAAGCGGCATCTAAAACTGTTTCACTGTTGGCTAAATCCTTATGGAAGTTTGGTGATTTAGTTCCAAGTAATCACATTTTGGATGAAACAATATTAAGAGAATTTGATGCTGATAAAATCAGAGAATATGCAAGTTATTTCACAGCTGATAATTTTAGAGCTGTTTTGACTTCCCAAACTTTAGAAGATTTAGATTCCAAGGAAAGATGGTATGGTACTGAATATTCATATAAAGATTTACCTTCTGAATTGGTTACCAAAATCCGTGGTGTTGAAGTCAATGACAATTTCCATTTGCCTATACCTAATGAATTTATTCCAGAAAACTTTGAAGTGAAAAAGAGGAAAGTTGATACGCCCACACGGCATCCGTTTGTAATCGAAGATAACAATAAATTCCAAATTTGGTTCAAGCAAGATGATCAATTTGAAGTCCCCAAGGGTACCATTGAATTATTCTTCCATCTACCACCTTCTAACAATGATCCTGTTAGTTGGTTATACACCATTTTATACTGTCAATTGATAGAAGATTCGTTGGATAACATCCATTACTATGCTTCTATTGTTGGTTTAGGATTTCTGTTAAGACCTTGGAGAGATGGATTTGTGTTGAAAGTTCATGGGTACAATGATAAATTGCCTCTCTTGTTATATAAAGTCATTGACAAGATGATTGAGGAATTCACGCCAAAAAAGGATAGATTTGAGCTGATTAAATTCAAGGTTTCTCAGGCATTAAAGAACTCTGGGTTTGAAGTGCCATATGCTCAAATTGGAAACCACTTTCTCACTTTGGTAAATGACAAAACATATACTTCTCCTGAGAAAATTGAGGCATTGGAATCAGAAGTTACCTTTGATGGATTGGTGGAGTTTGCTTCTAAGAAGCTTTATTCACAAGGTATGTTTACCGAAGGTCTTATTTTGGGTAATTTTGGTATTGATGATGCCAGAAATATCTCAGGTGTTGTTTCAAAGAAATTGGAACGGTTTGACAAGATTGCCTCAACTTCTGAAGAAATTGAATCTTTAATCAAACTTCAAACTCACACATTACCTGAAGGTGAAATAGTAAGATTTGAAGAGTTTTTACCCGATGAGAATAATATTAACTCTTGCATTGAGTACTATTATCAAATTGACTCAACGTTGTTAAACAATGATAAACTTAAAATTCTTGATGATTTACTTGCAACAATTATCCATGAACCATGTTTCAATCAATTGAGAACAAAGGAACAATTGGGATATGTTGTTTTTAGTGGAGTCAGATCAACAAGAACTACTTTAGGATTCCGTATTTTGATCCAAAGTGAACGTGAAACCGATTATTTGGAATATCGTATTGAAGAATTTTTAACAGTTATTTTTAACCGCTATGTTAATGAAGTCATGACTGATGATGATTTTCATAAATTTAAACAGGCCTTGAAGGATAAGAAATTGACCAAGTTGAAAAACTTGAGTGAGGAGTTTGGAAGATTCTGGAATGGTATAACTGATGGTTATCTTGATTTTGAAAGTCGTTGGAGGCATGTTGATTTGTTGCTGACGATTACCAGAACTGATTTCGTTGATTTTTACAATAATGTAATTTTAAAATCCAACAAACCAAAGCTTATTGTTCATTTGAAACTGCACAAACCTCCAAAGGTTACGGAATTGAAACAAGTTCAAAGTTCCATCCATAACTTTGTTTTCCGTAGAGGTCTTGAATACAACGATGTGGAGTTGAACAAAATCATTGATGAAAGCTTGAGTGATCATTCTGAGCTTTCAGTAAAAGTTGCAAAACAACTTGGTGATGAGTCATTGAGTGACGATATCCTCTCTACATTAAAGTCTGAGCTTGTTACTCCTGTGCCAGTGAAATACCCTCAAGGCAAATTAGTTGCATCTCATTGGGATTTCAAGGCCACCTACGCTAAGGGTGGCATTCCCAAGGCAATTGCACCATTAAGCAGTTTCTATTATCTCGAATCAGATGCTCATTTATAGATAATAACTAGATATATTTTTTTTAGATTAAATTATCTTATTATCTCCTTAAATCTGACCTGTCACATCTGAAGTGTTTTTTGTGTCTATACCTGATTGTAATTTCTATGACGAATTCTCCTTCTCCCTTTAAGCTCCAGACTGCAATTACCCAAGGTAGAATCAACCCTAGTACTATTTGCCCCAATAAATAAATCGAGGATTCGAATTTGAAACAACTGAGGGTAATAGCTTGACATGTAAGCATCGATAAACATAAAATCTTGGATTGTGGACATGGGGATACAGGAACTTTAGAAAATACATTGGCTGTGATAATATTAGTAAAGGTAGTTAAAAGTAAGATCAAGATATAGAAAGTACTTTGAGGGGATTCTATCATCCTTATAGGTACCAATGGCTGCAAAACCACTACTTAATAGGCACTCTTAATACAGTATTACACGACTTCAATGCACCCTAACACCAATAAAAGCAATAATAGTAATAGTTATTAGCAAAGAGTATATCCCTTTTTTTAGTGTGGTTTCGTCTGGTATTATTGTGGAATTCAGATTTATAAAGATTATTACTTATCTTGGTCAAGGTTAGATTGGTCTTAAGATCCTCCTTGCGAATTACATTACCGTTTTAGGCAGGCTCACTATGATCTCTCATATTTCCATCAGTTTCACATGATACATGTAAATCCAAATTGTCTGCTTCAAATAAGGGACAGATCACGTAACGCATATACTGCGTCAAATGAACATACAGGTCTTCAGTTGACCAATTGCAAATGAGACCGAGTATCATTCAATTGGATACTACAAACATTTATTAGTTAGTTGGCCGTAGATAGTATTCTGTATGGAACTTTGAATTTCTCTTTTGTAGAAGTTAAACGTAAGTAGTTAAGAATCTTTAAGTTAATCTCCAGAGGAAACCCCACAATGAATTAGACGAAAGGCAAAACAAACCCAAGACAGACAAGAACACCTATCTACTTTAAGAAATGTGTCTGATTTTAAATTTTTGACTCCTTGAAACGGTGACCGTACATACACAATAAAACACGACTACAAAGAAGTAGACAATATATGTCACTTTTGATTTTCATGCAATCCAATACGATCACACATTACACTGTATATTATTATTAGTATATATACAGTGTTGGATACTGAAAACCAATGTACGTAACCTAAGGGCACCACTTCTTACCAACATCACATGAGACCATGCGATGTTTATTTAGCCACTTTGGGAATGTAATAGCTTTATTTTTCTCAGGGAGCCTCTCCAGATGTGTGATAACCGTGACCCACACTAACAATACACCTAAGACCTAAGACATTGTTTCCTAACCTCCTTCCTGGCCCCTGATAAAAGTCAGTTGCCTCCACAATTCGGGATATCGAGGCCGATCAAAACAACTATCCTTTCTTGCGTGAAAGGTGACAAGGATAAAACCAATTTCTACAAGTTTAAGTTTGTATTAGATATTAAAAATTAATGAAGGGAATAAAGATAGTTACTAATATTGAAGCATAGGGTAGAGCATGGTCAACAAATTAACAAACAAACAAACCAAAAAAAAATTAAAGCTGTAAGCATAAAAGAAGAAGAATTATTAATATAATAGTAAGAAATGACCAACCTGCTAACAATTGCTTTGTACCGAACCCTGTAGCAGGAAATTTACCATCAGCTATCAGAATGCATAACCTCTAGTTCTTGACTGATTGTGACTTTCTAAACTTATCCACAAACTTCTTGAAGAATGCATGTTTCTTAGTGGCTTGTTCCACAGTCTTTTCATCAGCAGGCTTAGTTTCTTCCTTAGGTGATTCTTCAGTAGCTTCAGTTTCAGTAGCTTCAGTTTCAGCAACAGGTGCTGCAACTTCTTCTTCAGCTGCAGTTTCCGTAACAGGTTCTGCGACAGTTACTGGTTCAGCATCAACAGGAGCAACGTCTTCAACAACTGGTTCAACTGGTTCAACTGGTGCAACAACTTCAGGTTCAATGGTTTCTACAGGAGCTTCTTCAACAGTTGGTTCAGCGTCTGCTTCAGTGGATGCGGGAACAACTTCTTCGGTTTCCTTAGCAACTGGAGTAGTGGTTTCTTCTTCAGTCTTAGTTTCTGGTTGTTCTTCAACTTGCTTGGAGATTTCCTTAGCTTCCTTGTCGTGGAAGACCTTTGATACTCTCTTGACTCTGTCCTTGATACCCATGATAATGATTTGTTAGAATAGTTACAATAAAATTATAAAATATTTAGATACAAAGGGAACGAATAATATTAACGAACAGAATAGAAAAGGGCATACCTCGATATTTATACTCTCGTGACCTGGCTTATTTATTAGCCACCTTTATCATGCCAACGCCGCCCCTGTTACCTCCAGTAGCCCTAGCACCACCTACTACATCAAGTCTGCAAATTCTGCAAATGACTGTCTGCAAACTCCTCCCCAGAAGCGACATTGAGCCAAAAATAAGTCGGAATGGTGTCATTACGAGGATGCGGCAGTCACACAAAAGTCTAAAAGTGACAACAAACAAACAAACATTTTAAAAAATAATAACAAGAATACAGACATCTGACAACAAACGTTAGACTTTATATGCCGGAAACAAGCGCGAATATATGCATCTGAGCCCAGACCTAGAATCTTTGTTGCTGTTCCATGTTTGTGTAATATTGGTTATCTTTGTTGCTAGGGTGTTTGAGATGTGGCAACCTTGTACTAGTTTATAGTCAATGTAACTCAGATGACTTATAATTCCAGAATGCGTGACAACCGATCAATAGCCCTCAAATCTTTCGGGTATATTGTTTGAAAAGATGGATTTCTTTATTATTTTAAGCTTAGAGCTTATTTTCTTAGCGCGTTTTAAGATCAAGCCATATGAACGGCTGGTGCGGCTCTTTTTGTGCTCTGCCGACACAGTATTGCATGCCATAACATATAGGTTCTTCGGGTAGCATAGAAATTTTTTCAAAGGGTAGCAGAACACGAAAAGGGTAGCGCAGACCATCGAGTCATGTTGTAAACTTGAAGCATACTTTGAAATGACTACAGACAGGGAAGTATAAGGAGTTTATTTGAGTCATTTATGCTACGTGATCTTTGCCATATTACCATTAGCCTCTAAGAAAAAGGGAATTTGAAAATCAATGTCGTGTCTTCTTTTTAGTATATTTTATTTTTGCATCCATACATCTCTCGGCAAAAGAGTATGACCAAACTTGAAATAGCGAGATAAATTTCGATAAAAATACCCAATCGGAAACTCTAGCTTATGGCGACAGATAAAAGACTACAAAAAAGATTATGATGTCGTAATTACATATGACGACGGAAGAGAAGGTTTTTTTTGGAAGGAAATATTTGCGTACTTAATTATAGTGTTAGACGAAGCTTCTAGCATATAAATCAGACAATTCATGTCTCTAAAGTTATCTTGACCTGCCTTTGAAAGACGGAAGTAACGTATTTGAATTCCTACTATCTGTCATCGCACAAAGAAGTAATCCTTTTAAGATGTTAAACATCGATTCCAAGGGAACATCATTCTCAATAGGGAAAAGTATAAAGCACCATTTCTTAAAATTTACCCAGAATGTGATTCGAGACGATTTAAGTACCTTAATATAAACAGTATGTTAACGCCTAAGTAAAAGCATGCAAAATAAATAATACATAATCCATTACGTAATCACACGACATTACTGGTATATAATTAAGTAAGCATTAGAATTATGAAGTTTATGTTTTTGTTTTTGCACATTGATCACCACCGTTGGCATCACAAGAGAGTTTCTTCCATAACATAGGCATGTCAGTTTCATCGTTATCAAGTCTTGAAAGCAGAATAAAGAAGCTTTCTGAATCTTTATCTCATGATCATACACCAGGGTCTAAATCTCGTTCACTTCGAAAGCCTTTATCAACATTTGTAATAAACACTTACGATAATAATCAGAAGAAAGTGAATAAAAGACCATCTCAATCATCATCCCATGGCAACCATGGAACTCCCAAGTTGAATTCCCGTGCTCAAAGACATACAGATATTGGCCCCTCCACAAGATTTTCCACTAGTGCTAGTAATAATGGTCCTGGCAGTATATCACGGTTACATCTTTCATCAAGTGTGCCATCTTCACCAATCTCTCAATATCCCATCCCACCATCATTAGAATTGTCAATTAAAGATTTTGAGGTTGGTAAACCTCTTGGAAGAGGCAAGTTAGGCCGAGTCTATTGTTGTAGACATATTGGTTCTAATTATGTGTGTGCTTTAAAAGTCATGTCCAAAGAACAACTCACTTCCCAAGGATTAGAGTTGAATCTTCGTAGAGAAATAGAAATTAGCAGAAATTTGGTGCATCCTAAGCTTTGTCGATTACTTTCCTTTTTCCATGATGATGATAACGTTTACTTGGTTATTGAATATGCCGTAGGTGGAGAATTATATTATTCATTGAAAAAGCAAGGTCTGTTCAATAATCCACAAGCTTCAAATTATACATTCCAACTCACACAGGCGCTTATCTACCTTCGTCTGAAGGGAGTGGTACATAGAGATATCAAACCAGAGAATATTCTTGTTACTGAAGGTAACAATATAAAGTTATCAGATTTCGGCTGGTCCGTCAAATTATCATCATCAAAAGCTGATTCTACTTTAAATGAATCAAGACCCCCCAAGAGACTGCTTCTTGGCAACTCGCACAAACCATCGCTTCTTCCAACTTCTGCGAAACCTCAAAATAAGAGACACACTCTCTGTGGAACTTTAGATTATTTACCTCCAGAAATGATTGAATCTAAGGTCCATGATGCTCAGGTGGATAACTGGGCTCTAGGAGTATTAATCTACGAAATGCTTGTGGGGAAACCACCTTTCGAAGAAGCAGATAAGGGTGACACTTACAAAAGAATAGTAAATATAGATGTGAGGTACCCTGATTATTTAGATCCATTGGCAAAGGATTTGATTGGTTCTTTGCTTCAGAAGATCCCATCCGAGAGGCTACTGTTGACTAAAGTGATGTCACATCCATGGATTGTTAGGTACAAACCTCAATGGAAGCAATACAGCTTGCCTCATTAATATTTATTGCATTTATATAACGTTGTAAAGAGAGTGCATAATGGTAAAAGTAATTATACAAATAGAAGGAAAGGAAAAAATACATATACTTAGTTCGATATCAGACTTGCTTGAACACGTTGCCCAGTCGTCTTCAGAGATTCACCAGATGGTGCTTGGTTTGTTGCTGCTGCGGCTGCTTGAGCTCTTTGGGCTTGAAGTTTACGCATGGCCAACATTTGTTGTTGTTGTTGTTGTTGTTGTTCTTGGAGCTTTAACATTTGCTCTTGAAACTGCTTCTGCTGTTGATTGTTGAACTGAGCTGATAAGATAATAGCTCTAGATGGAGCTCTAACTTGGTACATTTCACCTGAAATAGTACTATAAGCTTGGGTTTCACAATCAGGATTCTGTGATGGAGCATCAACATTTATCAAAGCACAACGTCCTTGTAAACCTCCAATTGATCCACTAATAGCTTGCGTTGCTAAGGTTGAGTCTGAATTAGCACTGTTAGAATTGGAAGAAGTACTTCCACTAGTTATTAACGCATTAGCATACGCTTCTCTTCTGTTTAAAAACCGATGTCTATACCTCATAGGCATGATAATTTTCCTTTCCAAGGGCATAGGATTATTCTTAGATAACCCTTCCAATACCAAATGGGTTTCTTCATCAGGATCTAATACTTTATTGAATGTATGACCATTAGATCCATCACCAGAATGGAAAGCAGCATTCTCCCGTCTTTGAATAGCAAGAGCATTTGTAGCAGCAATTTTAGCCTGGTTCATCTTTTGATATTGTTGAAGTAAAACATCATAAGGTGCACTTCTACCTAAAACGGCTCTTTTAGCTCCCATGGAATGGGTTTTACATGTTAATGAACGAGCGCAAAAACCTCCACCTGGTAAAGCAACACCACATTGTCTTTCGACATCCACCGGCCCTTTTACCTTTGAAGGAGGTTTGGGCTTGGCCGGTTTCTTCTTCTTAGTTGGTGTTTGAGACAGATTCGCAGCCGCATTCGCAGCCGCAGCAGCTCTAGCAGCAGCCGCAGCAGCAGCATTTGCTGCTTCCTTTTCCTTCTGAGTTTGTGATTTCTTGTACTTTTTCTTAGGTCTTGTTGCCGTAGAAGTGGAAGCAGAACTTGCACTTGGCGCTGGAGATTCTGTAACTGGTACTGAGTCTGAAAATGGAGTTGAGTTCCTACTCGAATTAACAGAGGAAATATCACCATCATCGAGTAAATGTTTCCGTTTTCTTTTCATTTGTTTTGTAGATGTATTAGTAGTAGTGGAATCATTATCATCATTGGCTGTAGAAGCATGATGAGAAGCTGTATTAGCAGCAACGTTAGCCTTCTTCTTTTGTCTCATTTCTAAACACTTTTTATAATGAGATTTCAAACTGGCTTCTCCAATAGGTCTCTGACAACTGGTACAGATCTTGTACTTGATATTAGTTTGCAAATAGGAAACGTCAGGAATGGAATTATCAACAAAAATTCCTCTGTTTTCTTTATTATCTATGAATTTATCAGGGTTGACCCTGGTTTCCACTTTCTTATCCAAGTAGACTCCAAACTCTTTCCAAACAATCTTATTACTATTATTATTATTATTATTATTGCTACCGTACTTCTTGAACTCAGCAGTAACAGAACTTTTGCTAATACAATCAAGGGATCTAACACTAGCCAAAGTTATCACCCGTTGTTGTAGTCTACTCTTGGACATATGTGTATCTGATTCCAACTCTAAGCTGTGTATAATATAAGCACAGCCCTTCACTAATAGCACCCACTAACGCCAAGTTCCCCACTATATATATACACTTTCTGTTGTATATATATGAATGTATTCGTATAGTTATTAATCAAGTACTACCAGCCGATGATGAACAAAAACAATCTTAAACCTCCTCAATACTCTAAGCTATCGACTAAACTTTCGTGAATCCTCCTTCACTGATAAACTTCACTACTCGGAATGGCCAACCTAAACTCCGACACAATACTAAGATTTCCTTGAAACCTTGGAGTATATATTATAGTGCTATTTCGTATCAGTACCAGTCATGATGCAAGTACTGGTAATATTTAGGTCGTCTACACTCTCTACCAACCGCGCTACCATTAAAGATAGGAAAAAGCAGAACTATCGTGTGTGCTACAAAAAGTCTCGAGCCTCACAGCTGTTCTCGGTTCCACTCCAGATTTTGCAGCAATTGATTGCAACAAATTTATTATATATTCTCTCATATTTGACCAGTACTAATCTACATATCTATATACAAGAGTGATCGGCATTCAACTCCCATTGGACCCAAGGTAAGACGTTCTCCCTCTCAGTTTTATAGGTGGATATTGGTATGCACAGTTTTTATCAATTGTAAGAGAATTATGTTTGAGTTTAAAGTGTCTGAAGTAACCTAACATCTTATTCTTTTTAGAAGACCATCCGGAGGTATCTATAAGTTGAGAACAATCTGCACACTGGACTGCTTCAATAAGAGTTACAACACCTGTGCTAGTCTCCAGACGCGTATACCGTCCTAAGTTTCGCCAGTTTGGTGTGAAGTACCCACTGGAATAAATCCCATGTTCTAACGCCATATGAGAGAGATAAGAGGAGTTTTTAAATGGTAAAAACTTTACTGTTTTACAATAAGCACAACATCCACTTAAAGTCTCACTTATTTGATTCCCGTCTTCGTCCGTCTCAATTCGGTAATATTCCGGCTCATAAGGTTGATCAATACCAAAAGACAGGCTTCGATAATAGATAATATTATCAATGGAACCCAATAACAGATGCAAGTCTCTTGTATTTTTCTGGCGATAGTAAACTGGATATAAGTTGTTAAATTTGGGGTTTTTTTCATCAAGTACCTCTTGACATATGTCGTTGTTGGCCGTTTCAGTTTCTAGATTGACGTAAGTATTGCACAAATGTTTAGGCTGAATGTTTAACAGACTTATGGAATCCCCAACATAAGTACCATAGTCAAGTTTAACACCAATACAGCTAACATCCGTTTGTCTTAGTTTGAGAAACGGCAAGTTCTTATTATTGTGGTACATTCCTTTAAGAAGCTTATCATTGCGTGGAGCCTTGGAAGCTTTAGGCGAACGGACAAGTCCTTTGAAAGTAGGGAAATCCTGTCCCACCAATGAGTTATGAGGTACTGATATCGGTACCGTTTTCCCTGATAACTGCATCATTTGGCCATTTGGCTGTGTATTTGGCGGTTTGAAATTGTTACTGCCATTTCTAATATTATGATTGTCTTCAAACGATTGGATAATATGGTCAACTGCTTTTATGCTACCATCCGATACTACCTCTGTTGTTTGGAAATCAGTTCCCAGATTATCATCTGCATATTGAGAATATAGGCTCAACAAAGATGTAGATCTTTGTCTCAACATATAGGATCCTCCGCTGTTACCGGGGGAGTCTAAATCATTTGGCAATCCTTGAACAAACTCAGTTGGCTGCGAAATCAGAAACAGTCTGATTGTCAGACTTTTAGACTGCGAATTCAGCCCCAGGGATTCAGATTGATCAAAATGATGATTAGTTTTAAAAGCAAATGTTTTCAGTAAGGATTCGTTCAAGCTTTCATTAACCAATTCCTGTCTTGCTTCATTTGCATCACCCGAACTCCCACTACCGACTGAATGCTGCCTTTCAGGAGTCGACATAGAAGATAGCATATCTGCAAAAGTCATTTCAAACATTTCTTGTTTGAATTCTTCCCATCCACTGAAATCTGTGATGTCCCCGTTCCAATTTTTGCTACTTTTGGGCATCTCATAGTTAATTGGGAACTCAGGGGTTTCTACTGCAAATGATAAAGAACCCACAGTAAGTGTCTGCTCACTGGAATCTGTTAACTGAGGTTGAGACAAAGGATATGATATTGGATTAGAGAACAAGCTCTGTGGCACAAACGATTCCCTTCTTGTTGAAGATTTATGCTGTTGCTGGTGACTTGTGGCTTCATCAACAATCGCAGTAGTATTCCTTTTGCCATCAAAAACATCGGCATCAACTTCACTTTCAGATTCTGGCGAATTCAAATGATAATGATCATTTTCAGTAGCACCACTCATTGATTGGCTTTCGTTAAATAAGTTATTCATTTCGTTAAACATCTTGTGTCAAGAGTCAATGCAGTTACACACACTGCCAATAAGAGTCGATTAAACTTCAAAGACAAAGAGAGATAAGTCTAATAATGTCTACAAGATTTTAATTAAAATAATTTGCTAATCCATAGTAATACCAACCTTTTTTACAGTTATACCCATGTTCATACCAGTTTAATTGTAGGCATTGCAAAAAAATTCATTCTAACAAAATAAGTCGTCATACCGGAAGATAAACATAGCAAAGGGTTTAAAATGCTCCTAATAACCAGAAAATATCTTTTAGCAGAATAAATCGTTTCTTCAGTCGACTTTACAGGTACTCGTTTAGTATGATCAAATTACCCCACGATTAGCTTATACAACTTACTCGAAATATCCTGCGCATAGACAAGTTTGGGTATATCCTAAAATTTTCAATTTGCATTACAAACAAGAAGTCTTTCGGTAGATCAAAACATATTCAAAGAGTTCATTTCTTAGTACGGACGTCATAAGTAACAATGTTCCGTATTTCCGGAGCTATTATATATTTGGCTTGTTCCTTGTTTTATCTTCTATCCAATGGAAGACCCACATTTGTATTGTTGGGGTCAGTTATAGTTGGCCTCATCTCATCGCACAATACTAAGAACCAGTCTTTGAATGCTGAACCTCCCAAGAAAGTCAAGGAGTCTCCTATATATGCGGTAGACTTTACTTCAACAGTATTCACCCCCTCTACGACTACTCAGATGCCAAAAAGTGGTATCAAAGCCAGATCCAAAAGAAAGATTCAGCCAAAGGTTATTAAAGGTGTTAAGCCTGTATCTCCACCATTAGAATCTACATTGACAAATAGTTTTGACGTTAAAGATTCACAAGTATATATATTCTATACAACTTTGACAGGTTCGTCTCAAAGAGTTGCTCAAGCTATGTACAATAAGTTGGATAGCATGGAAGAAATAAAGTTAACACCCAAGCTTCTCAGTTTAGATGATGATGTTGATGATTTAGAGGAATTTTTTATGAAGACCCCAGAAAATGATGATGGTTCGAAGAATATCTATGTTCTTGTCCTTCCATCGTATGAAATGGATTCACCTATGGACTATTTCTTAGAGCATTTACAAGATACATACCAAGATTTCAGAGTTGATAAGTACCCATTAAGCAAGTTAGCAGGGTTTGCTGTACTTGGATTGGGTGACTCTGAAAGTTGGGGTGGTAAAAAGTTCTGCTACCAATCAAAGGCCGCAGATAGATGGTTGGGTAAATTGGGAGGAAGAAGATTATTCCCTATAGGTCAGATATGTATGAAGTATCAAGGTGAACCAAAAACCAATGAGTGGATCCAAGGGTTTGCTGAAATGCTTTTAGACAAGGAGCCAATTTATTTGGATACCAATGAAGACATTGATGATAGTGATATGGAAGATGGTACTAAGGACAATGAGAGTGATGATACATTGGTGGATGTTGAAGATATGGGTGATATGATGCGTTCTTCTTCAGGAAGTGGCACCACCACCAAAGGATTGAGAGGTGAAACCGTAAGCTCCTCTTCTTCAGGTCCCCTCCCTGCTAAAGAAATGGTCTCCAAAAATTCTCCAACTTATAAATCATTAACTAAGCAAGGCTACACTATTGTGGGTTCACATTCTGGAGTTAAGATTTGTAGATGGACTAAGAGCGCATTACGGGGAAGAGGATCTTGTTATAAGTTTGCATTTTATGGTATTCGTTCCCATTTATGTATGGAAACAACTCCTTCTCTTGCATGTTCCAATAAGTGTGTTTTCTGTTGGAGACACGGAACCAACCCGGTTGCCAAATCTAATTGGAGATGGGAAGTAGATCAACCTGAAGTTGTTTTAGAAGGAGCATTAGAAGGTCACTATAAGAAGATTAAACAACTTCGAGGAGTTCCTGGAGTTCAATTGGACCGTTTCCAAGAAGCGTTCACAGTTAAACATTGTGCATTATCACTTGTTGGAGAGCCCATCTTCTATCCCCACATCAATGAGTTTGTACTGATGCTTCATGCTAAACACATATCGTCATTCCTAGTATGTAATGCTCAACATCCTGACCATTTAGCAAAGTTGAGTAAAGTAACTCAATTATATGTGAGTATTGATGCTCCTACTAAGACCGATTTGAAAAAGGTTGATCGTCCTTTAAATAGTGATTTCTGGGAAAGATTAATGCTGTGCTTAGATATATTAAGGACCGTCCAAAGACATCAAAGAACTGTATTCCGGTTAACATTGGTCAAGGGTTTCAATATGAATGATATTGAAAGTTATGCCGATATGGTTGAAAGAGCATGTCCCTCTCAAATTGAAATCAAAGGTGCAACATTTTGTGGTTCAAGTTCAGCTAACGGGAACCCTTTGACAATGCAAAACATTCCATTCTATGATGAATGTCGTTTATTTGTTGAAGACTTATGTAAGGAGTTACAATCTCGTGGTCTTGATTATGAAATAGCTGCTGAACACGCTCATTCTTGCTGTATTTTAATGGCCCATACAAGATTTAAAAAGGAAGGCAAGTGGTATACCCACATTGATTATCCCAAATTCTTTAGTTTATTAGAAAGTGGAGACGAATTTACTGACATAGATTATGTACTGGAAACACCAGAATGGGCATACTATGGCTCTGAAGAAGCAGGGTTTAACCCTGAAGATACCAAGTTTGATCGTAAGGCTGAAAAGTTGAAGAAAAGATTAGAAAGAGAGAAGAATGGTGATGTTGATCCAATAATGATAAACAACACGGCAGAATAATCTATATATATAAATTTGTCATTATAGGCCATATATAGGACAGTATAAATTTATCGGTATACGCTTATATGCTAGTACTACCATTTACACCGTTGTACTGAGATATACCGCGCACGTAAACAGGTAAGCATTTTGGTTCGTCGTTTGGTTCTCACACCTTTTCAATCGATTTGATTTGATCCAAAGATCATCGTCATTTTCTACCTCAGCAGCAACATTAGATCGTATCATGGCTCCAATACCGAAGACCTCAAATGAAGTGTCCATTGCTTTTATCCATCCTGATTTAGGGATTGGCGGTGCTGAAAGATTAGTGGTGGATGCTGCCATGGGTCTTCAAGATTTAGGCAATCACGTAGACATTTATACATCGCATTGTGACCTTAGTCATTGTTTTGAAGAGGTAAGTCAAGGCACTTTAAAGGTACATGTATATGGTGATTGGTTGCCTACACATCTTATGAAGAAGTTTCATATTTTTTGTGCTATTGCAAGACAATTATATTTGATGTTCAAATTATGGATCACAGGTCGTATTAATCAATATGATTACTTTATAGTTGATCAACTAAGTATTTGTGTTCCCTTTTTGAAAGTTTTAGTTACAAATCAACTGAAGGTGTTGTTTTATTGCCATTTCCCGGATCAACTATTAACGAAAAGAGAGACTTGGATCAAATCAATGTATAGGAAACCTTTCGATGGCATTGAAGAATATACCACAGGAATGAGTGACCGTATTGTGGTCAATTCCAATTTCACCAGAGGAATGTTTCATAATACCTTTAAGAACTTGAAGTCCGTGGATCCAGGTGTGATTTATCCTTGTGTTGATGTGAATCAAGTTAATACCCAGGATGAAGAATCTGACAAGGAATTGACAACTTTCTTCAAGGGGGAAAAGTTCTTTCTTTCTGTCAATAGATTTGAACGGAAGAAAAACATTGAATTGGCCATTAAACTGTTTGCTAAGTTCAAGAGATTTGTTCCTTCAACCAAGAAACCAAAGTTGGTTATTGCCGGTGGCTATGATGCCAGAGTTTTAGAGAATGTGACATATTTAAATGAATTAGAGAATCTCTGTCATTCATTGAAACTCACAAGTTTCACCATTAGAGGGAAGTTGATTATACTTCCTCCTTCTACAGATGTTCTTTTCTTACCTTCCATTAAAACTAGCCTTAAGAAGCTGTTGATGAAGAATGCAGAAATGTTATTATATACTCCATCATTTGAACATTTTGGTATTGTTCCAGTTGAAAGTATGCTCTTTAGAACCCCAGTTTTGGGAGTGAATAATGGGGGACCCTTAGAATCAATTGTTAGCTATGAGGGAGAAAACTTGGATTGCGCTACAGGGTTTGTAAGACCTCCCATTGAAAATGAATGGTCAACATTAATGGTGAAATATTTTCAAGACACTGAAGACAAAATCAAGACAAAATTAGGTGACAATGGTTATCAAAGAGTAATGGACATATTCTCTAGAGAGCAAATGAGCAAGGCTTTCTATGAACACCTTCTTTCAATGAATGGATGCAAGAACACACCAAAGAGCAATAATATTCCATTTATTGGAATATTCGTTATTTTACCTATTTTATTAGTATTCTTGGCTATTTATAGAGGCCTTTTTTTGTGAGGACGTCAACTTCATTTATTTGAATATTCCTCTGAAGGAACTCCAAATGGATTCCTTTTCTGGTGTGCCACTCTCTGTACTACTAATATGATTTGACGATGATGATGGAATGGAGGATTCCAAGATCTTTGGTTTGTTGTGAAGTCTTTGATTCCGTGAGCTCAATTCTGTTTCCCATAAAAGTTTAAACATATGCAATGAAGCAGATGGTGCCAGCAAATTATAATTCCGAATCTGCTGATTAAGTTTATCTACTTTTAATTTGAAGAATGCCACCAGAGAAAGGTCAAGACTAGAATTATCTAAATCTTGTCTAAAACGATTGATTTCTGCAACCAACAACTTTTTATTTTCGACCCATGGAGGGAGTACTTCTTGATTCTGCATGATTTTATTCATAAAGAAGTTCAGATCGGTACAATTCTGTAAGTATTCTTTACTTAAAGGTTTCCCTCTAACTTGAGACATGTTGTGATCACTATCGAATCGACCAGTGGTCTTATTTATCAGTTCAGCAATTCTGGCATCAGCAATAGAACCAATCATTCCAAATGCAGATTGAGGATTAGAATTCACTAACATTGAAGGGCCCAAAAGTCGTTCTTTATACATTTCTTTGAAGCTTCCCGCTTCAGATTCACTTTCGGGTTTATTTTCGGAATCTTTCCCGGTTCCAATACCGATTCCTAGTTTATAGTCTAATGATGATTCTCTAGCACTTAGAATCCTTTTCCCTGTCGACACTTTCAAAGGAGGAGGTTTTGAATCCACCAACATTCTTAAATTGGCATCATGTAATGACTCTGTACCAGTCCATGGTTTAGCATTGGCAGTTTCTCTAGCATGCTTGTTTGAAGCTAGTAGTCGTTCATTACTGAGGTCTGTTCGTTTTAGAGCCACCTGATGCTTTTGATTATACTCTTTGGCCTTAGCCAGGTCGAGTTCTTTAAGAACCTTCAATTGCTCGGACAAGGTGGGGTCATTTGATAATTGGGATGCAGTTGAATCGTTTATTTTGCTTTCAAGAATGGAGGCAATACGTTGAGCAAGAGCCGATACTGGAGGGTCAGTGGAGTAGAATCTTCTCATGTAATAAATTAAGCGTATGATAAGAGTATAACTAAAGCAACTAATGATCGTACAAGACGTACTGAAGATCGGTTACAAATAGCTTAAATACAGTCCGTAGCAGGCAATACCGTCCTATTGCAAGGGATAATAATGTAGTGGTTAGAAAGGGAGTATGCTGCTATATACACTTTAAAATATGATATAAATTATTGTAGCACAGTATGGTATGGTATAAAGAAGACCAAGACGTGGTAAAGCGTGAAATAGAATGCAAGCCGTGAACAGTAGCCGAATATGAATAGTAGGATGCACTTATAACAAAGCCATCAAATTTCGTATCTAAGCAACAAATATGATCCTAGTACATGCTTTGCATGTATGTTTATCTAAAAACTTTATAAAGCAGTTATGACTCTTCTTAGGATATAGAGTCCTAACTGTGCTGCACAATGTCAGCCCTATCTTACCCAACTATCTCTACAGTTAACAGTATATAATAATAATAATAACAATAGTAATATATCTTCGTAAACTCGTAACTCTATTTTGAATATTCTAACTTTTCCTTCAATCAACACCATTGGGGTCTCATTGGTATCCTAATGCATAAAAGATTAAAATCGAACACCCTAAAATACTCAGACATAAGATCACTAGTTTAAGGATAAAACACCAGATCATGTCTTTCCTACCACCAGCAGATATTATCAACTGCTTCTCTAAATCCATATCACTGTCATAACCTTCAGATACTTCTTCCACCTTGACTTTATATGACAATTTCTTATTGTCAGGTTGAACCCCTCCGTCTGATGAACCATCTGGGGAACTGTGAACTGAAACTGAGTGGCTTCTTTGTTTAGTTATTGTCATTGATAAGATCGTTAATGTTCATTACAATAATTTAAAGTTAGATCAATACAAAACATTCAAGGACCCGTGTACATAAATAGAACTATTTATAAGTATGTCATCGTGATCTACAATTTTTAGAGCCCTGCTTAACCTTCATGACTTGCGTGCATGGGCGACAACTTACTTAACAAAGCAGTTGAGGGGTTTGAAGTGTTTCAATTGAGTAAAATGAGAGCACATGTTGCAGGATTTCTACCTTAATAGGCACTTTCATTCAAAGTTACATGGCAATCGACACTACCAGGTTGGCATTTTCAAACGCTGTGCACGACCCGCGAGGTATTCTCCATTTAAGAGACTTTTACATTCGTACGGTACGACCAATATGATTATCACTTCATTGACGATGACATTTAAATAAAAAGTCAAACATAAAGAATATAAGGAACTTGAACGACAACCTGAAACTTGGTCTATCATATTCGGACAGTCTATCGGGTTAGTAACATCAACATGAAAACATTACGTACAATACAATTGTAGTACTATTAGTTCAGTTATAATCGAACTATTAAAAATAATAGTTTTGTACAGTTGTAGCCTTTTTTAAGTTATAGTGTTAGCACCACCATTGTATTACAGACTTGACAAAATATTTCTAATACATCCGCAGGAAATATAACATCCCGTATCCAACACTCCACGAATTATCACATTCATATTAGATACTGCCATAATTAGGCATAGTATAATTCTCAATAGATGGTGTGCAACTACCGCGACAGTGAAGTAGTGCCCTCACCACAAGGGATTTTTCACTCCTTAACGACCAACGAGTTTTGGTGATCTGGTCATATTGAAACGAAATGCATAACTAAAGCGAGGTAGCCTTATCATAGTCTCACACTAGTAAATATTTATATACATATAAAGGATGTGGATTTTGGATTGGTGTATGTATAAGCGGACATATAGTCAATTTGTCAGTGAATATAAGATTATACTATGGATTACTAACAACAACTTTCAGTTCAAAACGTGTTGAGCTCGCTCGGGTTATGGAACAAACATGCTAAGATTTTGTTCCTCGGTTTAGATAATGCTGGGAAATCAACATTGTTACATATGTTGAAGAATGATAGATTGGCCACTTTTAATCCAACCATGCACCCAACCTCAGAAGAGTTGGCTATTGGTCATGTTAGATTCACCACTTTTGATTTGGGTGGTCATTTACAAGCCAGAAGATTGTGGAAGGATTATTGTCCTGAAGTTAACGGGATTGTTTATTTGGTTGATGCTGCTGATCCAGCTAGATTTGCTGAATCTAGAGCTGAATTAGAATCACTTTTCAAGATTGAAGAATTAGCTAATGTTCCATTCTTAATTTTAGGTAATAAGATTGATTCTTCTGATGCCGTTAGTGATTTCGAATTAAAACAAGCCATGGGCTTGTATAATGCCACTACTGGTCAATTTGGTAAAGTACCAGAAGGTGTTAGACCTTGTGAAGTATTTATGTGTTCCATTGTTTTGAGACAAGGGTACTTTGAAGGGTTCAAGTGGTTGTCACAATACATTTGAATATATTGCATCATGACTTTTAATAACCTGTTGTCTATCTGATGAACTTGTATAACTAACTATTAGTAATGGATTGTCTCCTTTTTCGATTATAGTGAAATACTACTATATGAAATCAGAATATATATATAATCTTTAAACATAAAAAAAAAATGTAGTTGAGTAAATAGAGTATGTAGTTGAAATAATTAATGTCTTGTTTAATTCAAATAAAGTCCAATAGATCCAGTTCACATTCAACCTGATAACACAAGTCATATAAAGTACTGTTAAACCTTAACAGGTATATTCTTTAGTATTAACTGGGGTCATCTGGCAAAGTCTATAAATCACGAGATTTATCACGTGATCACTAAAAAAGAAGCCCATCGCTCACTAATAAAGATAGTCTTAGTTATTCCTTACTATTTCTTGCTCATCCCTTTATTGAATACCCTTTTGTAATATCCAGAAACAAGTCCAATATGAACAAGGGAGCGCTTCATCCCGAGCAAAAGAAATGGAAGGCCCCCAAGGGTCCAAAGCCTGTGCAACATAAGAATAAAAACACTGTTGGGTTAGGTAGAAATATTGCCAACAGAAGAAGAATGGAAAATGAGATCCAATATCTTCCTGATGGAGAAATGAGATTTACCACCGATAAGAAAGAAGCTGATTGGGTTAAGTTAAGAAGTGTAACACAAGAGAATGCTCTTGAAGATTTCTTAAATACAGCTCAATTAGCAGACACTGATTTTACAGCTGAAAGGAACCAACAAATTAAAATCATTAAGGTGGGGAATACCGCTTTAGTCAACCAGAATGGGCTCTTAACTGCGGATGAAACATTGAATTTACGGAAGAAGCATCAATTGTTTGAGAATAAGTTACGTGTTCCCAGAAGACCTCAATGGAGTAAAGATCAAAGTAGATTGGAGATTGAGAGACAAGAAAATATTGCTTTCTTGGAATGGAGACGGGATTTGGCTGGTTTAACCGAAAATAATGATTTATTGTTAACTCCGTTTGAAAGAAATTTAGAGGTTTGGAGACAATTATGGCGTGTTGTTGAAAGATGTGATTTGGTGGTCCAAATTGTTGATGCCAGAGCTCCACTTTTCTTTAGATCTGTTGATTTAGATGACTATGTTAATGAATTAAGTGACCCTGGAAATGGAAGAGAAAAGAGAAGCCTTTTATTAGTTAATAAAGCTGATTATTTAACCAAAGAACAAAGATTAGCGTGGGCAGAATACTTTACCAATAAAAAGATCAATTATGTTTTCTTCTCTGCTGCTAAGGCAAATGAGTTCTTAGAAAGAGAGATGGAAAGAGAGAAAGAAGAACTTGATCCTGAATATGAACCTAAGGAAGTCTATACGTCTTCAGATAAAAGATTAGCTGAATATGAAGATGAAACAGATGAAAGAATTAGAATATTAAGAGTTGAAGAATTGGAAGATCTTTTCCTTAAAGCTGCTCCACCAATCAAACATGATCCAGAACATCCGGATCGTAAAATACAAATAGGTTTAGTGGGGTATCCTAATGTTGGTAAGTCTTCAACAATTAATGCACTCATTGGTTCTAAAAAGGTATCTGTTTCTCTGACACCAGGTAAAACCAAGCATTTCCAAACTCTTCATCTTTCCCCTGAAGTACTTTTATGTGATTGTCCTGGTCTTGTTTTCCCCAATTTTGCATACTCCAATGGTGAATTGGTTTGTAATGGTGTTCTTCCCATTGATCAACTTCGTGAACATATTCCTCCGATTGCCCTTGTTACTCAACGTATTCCCAAGTTTTACTTGGAAGCTTTATACGGTATTCATATTCCTACAGCATCAGTGGAAGATGGAGGAAGCGGAGAATACCCTACTGCCAGAGAACTCTTGAATGCTTATGCTCGTGCTAGAGGTTATATGACACAAGGTTTCGGGAGTGCTGATGAGCCAAGAGCCAGTAGATATATTTTGAAGGATTATGTTAATGGGAAATTACTATTTGTTAATCCACCACCGGTTCAATTAGATGACGACACTTGGGAATTACCTGACGTTGAATCTCAAAGAAAATTCAACAAAGACCTCTACAACTTGGATTCCTTGCCTGAATCAAGAAGACAACAAATTTTAAGTGCCATTCATAATCATAAGAGTATTGATGCTGAAGCCTTTGAATTATCTAAAGATTTGGCCAAATTGAATTTTTCTCAACATATCGGTTCTGCAACTGATAGTAAAAGTTCAAAGAGTGTGGGTCCCAAAACTTTATTCTACGGTGGGAGACAAGCTGCCTTAGAGAATGCTGGTGATGATTTGGATAGAGAGTTTTTCAATATGAATAATGTTCTGGGAAAATTCAGTAGTCCATTTCATAAAACTGAACAAGCCGATGGGAATAAGAAACACAATAAAAAGAATAAAAAAGCTGCGAAAAAGGTTAGAGTTGTTGGTTTTTAGTTTAGTCAGTTATTCATTTTAACGATCCTTCTACAACATTAATTAAAACCGCTTTCTAATTTATTAAATAATACATAAATACATTATACTTAGTAAATTCTGAAAGATGGACCCATGGTAGACTTGATGACCAAAGATCCGACGTTTTGCCAGTTCTTCTTCAACAAGGAAACCAAGAAGTTAGCAGCCATCATGATTTGGTTGGTCAAAACAGAGTCATCCATTTCAACGTGACCAATGGCAACAGCCAAACACAAAACCTTCTTCAATTGGAACTTGATGGTAGACTTAACATCAGTAACCTTAGCGTACAAGTCATCGTTGTGAGAAACTGGGGTTGGGAACTTACCAGCCTTGGATAATTGAGGACCTAACAATCTTGGAATTTGCTTAATCAAAGCTTCGGAAGCAACGAAAGCGTTGTACTTCTTAGCCAACTTCTTGATCAACTTCTTGTTCTTGTTCAACTTCTTCAAGTCATCAACAGACATAGCATCAAGACCCAAAGACTTAGCTCTGTCACAATCGAAAGCATCACCCAAAACACAGATGGTCATGTTAGGTCTTGGAACTTGAGGCAACTTCAAAGAACCAGAGAAACGCTTATCTCTTTGAGGATCGTAGTTCTTCAAACCAACTTGAAGTTCAACGGTTTCCAAAAAGTTTCTCTTCTTGGTGTCATTGGAGAAAGCCAACAACTTTTGGACGTTTTCACGAACGTGAGATGTAGTGATCTTAGACATGCTTAATGTATATCGTCTCCCAAAGGATTTGGTAAGTAAACTGATTCGACGAGGATGAAGTTTTAAAACGGTGAAGTGGAAGAAGTGAGGTAAAGGTGAAAAATTTTGACCACGAGAGGAGAGCAGAGGTGGTGTAGGAAATGAGAAGAGGTGGTGTAGGAAATGAGAAGAGGTGCTACCATAAATAGTTCGCAATGTATTTATCCATCTTATTTGAAAGAATTCACGTGACTGAAGGGTTCTGAACCCTAACTTATTTGGATTCCAACTTGAGTACGTAGATAACAAAAAGCTGCAACATACATAACCAAAAATTGATATCTTGCATTATGAACATTATACGAAGGCTCTTTTCTAAGACCTCAATCGCCTTTGCTAAGACTCTGGAAGAGCAGGTAGCAAAGTACTCACCAGGTAAAAAGGGCTCCCGTAGAGAACGAATAGAACTCAGTAATTTGAGATCTCAAAACAAACTATACCTTTTAGATAATGAATTCAATATCTTTAACGACAAGGTAACTAAAGTCCTTGATCTTGGATACGTTCCTGGAAATTGGTCCCAAGTGGCCAAGATGCAAATGTCGCAAGTACATCAATTGACTGAATCTACATTCAATGATAAATGTCATATTTTAGGCTTTGATAGCTTATTTGCAGAGCCTATTCCCAATGTCTCCACTATTCAAGGGAATATCTATTCCAAAAGGTCTCAGTCACTCATTATAGAGCATTTTCAAGATATCTCCTTGAGAGAATTGGAACAAAGGAAACTTATCAAGTCATTAAGGGATCATTCTGCTACACAACAGGATACTTACTATACTAGTGAAAGATTGGATGAGATCATCAACGAAACCCAATGGAATATCAACCTTAGTAATAATTACAACAACAATATCTGCAAGGATATCGACATCTTGAATGATAAGTTACTGCATTTATCATTGAATGAATACTCCTTTAAAGTATCACGAGATGACATAATCAAGTATTTAGACTACAAACCTCAAGTGATTTTGTCAGATCTTAGTACACCATCTCTACAAACGAAAGGGTTCTACGTGAATACTTATTCCAGACCGTATATCTCCATGAATACTCTGGAATCAATGAATAAACCAATTGTTGATCCTCAGAACGCTGCGTTCGATCTAGCAGATGGTTCGTTATTGCTTGCATGTAAGCTCTTGAGATCCTCAGGAACATTTGTGTTGCGACTTTGTCGTATCAACCCGAACGACACCCAATTGGAGTTGTTGGAACTGAGACTACTCAAGGTCTTTAATGATATAAAAATATGGGGGAACTATAATAATCGGTTGAGCGAGCTATTCTTTGTTTGTAGGGATAAGAAGAATGACAATCAGTTTGATATTAAGAATGTTTTTTGATATAGTATTGTATATAGATTTGGGATGGTAAAGGTTAAATATATAGATTGAATAAACTGACAATAATAATAGAGTATTCAAATTTAAGATTCAGCATCTAATAATAAGTCATCATCTTCATCATCTTCATCATCTTCATCATCTTCATATGCAACATCGTCTTCTAAGAGTTCATCTTCCATTATGTCTTGTTCGTGATTTCTGTAGTTGGGGTACTCCTCTGATGACACTTCCTTTGAAATAGGTCCATCAAGATCAATTAAAGAATCTGTTGGTATTGTAACAGGAGCTGGAGCAGTAGCCGGAGCTGTAACTGGTGCAGATTCAGGCTGTAAAACTGCTTTTGTAATAGGTACCACAGTTGGTTCCTCTTCCTTTTGGGATTCTTCTAGAGTTAATCCATGGAATGGATCTATCAATCTATCACTTGTTTTTGTCTTCTTATTTGTGACCAATTTTTGTTTCCATTGGTCAATTGCGGATTTGATAACTCGAGCATCTCCGTGATAATTCATACCAAAAATGGCTGCTTCAGTATACCTTTCACTGGTAACCAATAACTTCAAACATTTATCCTTTTCACCGGCAATCCACCATGCTTGCCATGCAATATTATATCTACCAACAGCTTCTGTTGCCTCAGCTAATTTGATTAATTCTGTCTTATCATTGGTAGATGAAAATAATAATAGTAATGATGAATAGTCATTTCCTTCCCAATAACATTTCTGTGCCAACTTCACGTTCCATTTCTTCAAAGATAAATCTCCCAATTTCTTCCATTTTTGACCATTTGAAACTGCACTAGATGGATTTTCTTCTTGATATCCCATTAATAATTTATATGATTGTTCCAAGTTACCCTGTTGAACAGAAATTTGAAACCTTGTATCAAAATCTTGCGATAAGGAAAATGATACAGAAAGATAACCTAACTTTTCAAAGAAACGTGATAATTGGTTCAATTCAGTCTTACTGAAACCAGATAAAAGTTTAGAATAATCTTCTGGTAAACTTTCCAATGTGACGGTGGCTAAGTTTGGAATACTGTTACCTTCTTCATCAACATCTGTGTCAGTTGCAAATTGTTCCAAATCACCACGCATGACTAAAGTTTGTAATTCCAAAACTCCAGAATTGATAAACCAGGAAACAACATCAAATGATTTATCAACCAAGTACAATTTTCCTTCTCCTGCCTTGTATCCAGCAAGGTAAAATTTGTGATCAAAGTGACCCAAATTAATCACTTCACCCCCAACGTAATAATTCAATCTGTTTGAAGAAGTAGTTGTATATACAAAAACATCTCCAATGAATTTACTTGATAAAATTGCTTCTGAAATTGTTAACGTGTCCAACACGCTGAAAGATGCATCAGCACCCTCTTCTGGATCAAGCGCATCTTCTTCATAAGCTGTTTGAAATGTGGATTCATCATATGACAAAAAGTATGTGTTTTCGTTTGTTGAAGTAGCTGCAGAACCTTCACTAGCAGTAGTGACAATAGCAACTAATTCACCGTTATCAGACCATACAACATCTTGTATGTCATCATCCAAATCAACTCTTCTTACCAAAAGACCTGTCTCCCAATCGTAAAAGGTAATACAGCCATCCAGCTTAACACCCAATAATCTACCGGCAAAAATTTTGGTGGCATGATAAATTAAATCGATAGTAAGATATTCTTGAAAGTTCTTATGAATTTTCACAGAACTTGATGATTCTCTAATGGCGTAAGTGCAATTGTTTGATAAATCATGGGAATTCCACACAAAATCAAGAGCATTACCATACGCTTTAGATCTCCATGCTAAGGCAGTGTATACAACGTATTCCCCATCACCACAAATGGCAGCATATCTACCATTAGGGGAGTGTGACAATGATTGTGCAAAAATTTCAATTGTACCCAATTCTCTTTGTTGAACAGAAATTGATTCACCATCTTTTAAGCCTTCTGTTGCATTTGGCTTAATAATTGTTTGAAATATTTCAGAATTCTTAGCTGTGAGTAATTTACTATTAGAATCCATTGAAAAAAGTGGTTCTTCGTTACCTAATTTGACAATAACAAAACCTGAATCGCACCCAATTGCCAATAAATTAGATTTACTTAAAATTCCACAACACCAAACACGTTCTAAACCATAATTCATTGACTTTTCATTTTTAAAAGTGTTTGAATTCCAAAGTTTAACAGTACCATCTTCAGAACCAGAAATAATTAATGGTAAATCAGGATGGAAAACTGCAAATGAAACATTTGATAAGTGACCTTCCAAGGTAGCAACACATGATTTTGTTTGGTAATCCCAGATCTTAATGGTTTTATCATCTGAAGAAGTTATTAAATATGGTTTATCAGCTTGTGGATAATAATCAACATAATTAACTCCTTTAGATTCATGAGCCATTAGAGTGAAGTTTGGTTGGGAAGAACCTAACGACCAAATTTTAACTGTTCTATCTAAACAAGCAGATGCAAAAGTATTTGGATCTTTTGGGTTAAAGTTTACACTCATAACATAATGTTGATGGCCTTCAAATGTTTGTTCTAATCTCCAAGATTGTTCCCAATTCCATAATTTGATGGTCAAATCATCAGAAGATGTTAAAATATAAGGTTTGGAAGGGTGAACAGCAATACTTCTAATATAATCAGGATGAGCTTCAAATTGGGTAATTTTCTCTCCAGTATTATAATTATACACTCTAATTTGAAAATCATCAGATCCAACAACAACCCAACTCTTTCTAGCAATGAATTTACCAGTTCTAACAGGCATTTCTGTCACTTGGATAGATTTTATAATAGAATTGGTGGCATATGACCATATTTCAATCTTCCCATTATATAATGTGGTTAACACCCATGGTTCAGTAGGATGGAAATCAATTCCCTTGACCCTATCGGTTCTGGTTAATAATTGTTTCACAACGTCTAACTTCATGTTTGCGACAATGTGATCCTTCTCCCACCTGCTACTGCTATTGGAATTTGTAGATGCTTAAGTGGTGTCTTTTGTTATAAGATTTGACACGATTCAACTACGTTGTTGATTTTTCGACCGACAATTTTTCGGATTCATATTGGTTTGTACACGACTTTGGGTTGTAGTATAGAGTTAGCTTACATAATGTTATACGTATGTACTTGTAGTCATATATATATATATATATATATATATATGATGGTGGTGTTGAATGAGATAATAGCCGGTCAAGGAATGAGCAGTTGTGAGAAGAAATGCTTTGAGAGCAAAAAGTAAATAACGGTAAACGAATAGCTGAATTCGAAAATGTTCCTTAACATTTTCATCAATAATACATCAATTTATGCTTAATGTTTAAACACTAGTTTCAATATTCTATATTATACCATAAATATATACATATTATTAGTAAACTGCTTCGACTGGCGCACGGTCATCTCTAAACCGTCTTTCGAGGACCTCAGCTACATTCATACAGGCAGCCCATAAGGTCAGGAATTGCTTATTGCTAAACTTCTCACCCACAGCTTCAACACAGCTCAGTCTCATATCGCTAATCTGCTGAGCTGTAAGTGGGTAATTAACAAATATCTCATATAATAGTTTCAGCAACACCGGATATGATCCGTCTGGATAAGTTATATAGCCTTCAGATGCATCTTTTTGAATATCTAATTGGAAATCAGGATCAGTTTCACTCTTAAAGAAAAACCCACTACTATTTTTCCAAGCAATATTTGCATCGGTTTTGGAGCCAGTGACAATATCCAATAACGGTCCTGCAGATGCATGTACAATAGGAATTACTCCCTTGGCCATGTATTCAACCACACCAATACCAAAATGTTCATTCCACATAGAATTTAATCCGTAGCTGGAAGTCGATAATAGTGATAAGATTTTCAGATATGGAGCATCAACCACAAATTCAAAATATTCATTCAATTCCAACTCATCAACTTTAGTCTTCAAAAGGTCCAATGTAGCTGTATCATCCTCTGTTCTACACGATCCTGCAAATATTACTTTAGGAATCTGTGAAACCTTGGCTTTGGAGCTAATGGCTTTGCCTAGAAAGATCTTATACTGATCGATAATCAAATCATGTCTTTTTTCGGGTCTGAATTGGGCAATATAGAGTAAACTGTTGTTATCTCTTGTGACTGCTGTCGTCGATTCTGTTATCAAGCTTTCAGTTCCACAAGGAGGATACAACATATCAATTGTATGTGAAGTCAAGTACTTATTATAGTACCAAATATTTTGCATATGTTGAAGCGTCCAAGTTCCATTGGTCAAAGTAAGGTGAACAGTTGATCCCAAATATTGGTAAACAAAATACATGAGTTTCCAATAAATAAGTTTTCCCATTTGAAACCAATCCTTTATGATCAATGGCTTAAAATTAGTCAAATCTTTAAAGGAGCCAAACTTCAATTTAGTAAACATTTCAGGTTGAATCACTGGATAATGAACATAATTAACAATTGGGATGTTCAATGCAACACTAGGGAGCCAATTGGCACCTGGCAAACCAATAGTATCAATCCATACATCAGGTGTTAATTCAAATAAAGCCTCTCCACCCAATAATAATGAACCAAAAAATTGTCCAAGTAATGTGAAATGTTTCCAATATTCACTATCAATGAGTTTGTTGAATCTACGAAGATAAATGAAAACCACTCTCTTTGAATCCATATTAGCTATTCCAAACTTATCTTCAACTTTCCCTAAAATTTTAAGAGGTGAAACTTCAGTACTCACTGTATAAATAACCACAACATTTTTATCACTTGCATCTAAAGTAGCTTTCACTGCTTGCCACAATACCTTCTCACCACCTCCGCCATTGTTAGCATAAGGATGGAAAAACCCATAAAGGATTTTTCTATGAGGATCATTGATTCCACGAGCCTTCATTGCATCAGTGAATTTGTTACCTTTATTTTTCTTATCGTCAGGATGAATGATAATCTTATTACCAACATAGTTTGTATAGAATGATGGCTGGCAAGATGCCAACGTTAACCGTCTTCTGTAAGACGATCTCTTACCTCCAACTTGTAAATAAATATTCTTAGGATGAGCTATCACCTTTTGGATCTTATCTTGCCAGAGTTGAGGCGTAACCAAAAGGAATCTGGGTACCACAGATGTTATCATTTGGTACCCTAAAATGCATGCCATCAATATGACCACGGCCAATATGAAAAACATCTTGATACAATTTCAACCCAAAATGCTTTTGACAAAGTGCTATTATAGCAGCAATTGAGACTATTTATATACTCCAAAGTTGAATGTGGTTACTACCCAGGCCTTATCATCGGTATCGGTATGCCATCACCAAATAGGCATTGATGCCTAGTCTCATTGACGGTGATTGCCGAGACTGGGATCGCTACCAAATAGATTAGGGATATACCTGACTACCGTACACGACTCTGCGGAATTGTTCCCTCGGAAATACGTGTTGTTAAGAATATTTACGAGGACACTTACGAGGTTAATATCGAGCATAATTATGTTTCCCAAAAGGGTTAAATTGGGACGCACCACCGTCTCAAAATAACACAAAAGGGAACAAACTGACTGAACGCGTTCCTCTTCTCTTCTGTTAATAATTAACAAAGAAATCATTCAATAAAATATATCTTTCTAAGGTCATCATCTGTTTGATAACTGCTACAGGAATCTGATTCTCCTCATACTCTACCTGAAAATAATCAATCCACATAGCGAGGATGAATACTTTACATGAGACTACCAACGTTTCTTCCAGTAGTCCGGATATGGATGCCAGCATGAATGGTAATAATACCAATGGGACAGTGAGTAAATCTAAAACAGCATTGAAAAAGGAAGAGTTGGATAAGATAGCTAAAGAATTGAAGAAGAAACTTCTGAGAGCTACAATTACTGCAAAGCAATTATCTCCTTCAAATTTAAGAACAATACCTGTTACCACAAACACCAATGCTAGTGCCGACCCAGGAACTAACGGTATTCACAAGATTAATGCATCTCCTTTCAAAAACCCTATAATTAGAAAGTCGTATAGCTCATCTGGCAGCCTGAATAATACTATAATTAATGAATCTCCTGTTGCTACTAGATCAACCATACAAAGACATGAATCAACGTCTAATCTTGTGGGTGCCAATGGATCTATATTCCTCAGTTCTTCTCCTTCACAATTGATATCTCCTGATGGGAAATCTCCGACTCATATAAAGGCACCAGGAATAAATTTGGGCTCTTCGCCTTTGAAGAAGGTTACTGGTAAATATAATACCAATGAAAGTCCCACCAAGAAGAAGGGGAAACAAGCTAATAATCCTCAAATGATCCTTCAACAAGTACAACCTCCTATTTCACCTCCTAAATTTGGAATTACTACAGCATTGGTTCCTCCTTCATCTGAAAGTCGAACTGCTAGGATGTCTTTGAACCCCCCTACATCTCCTCCACTGTCAGCTCACAGCCTGAGGACTTTGATGGTGCCTACAACTCCTACATTATCAAAAGACACTCTTACTTCTCAAGGTAACCCTTCAATTTCAGCAGGTGGTGCATCTTCAAGAAACAACGCACTTTTGAGAACACCTACCCAAGGACGTCATCCATCCAACAACAATGCCTATAATGATGATGAAGGTGCTGACTTATTAATGTACCTAGCTACATCACCTTCTCCAGCAAAGCCATTCATGCAACCCAATACTCCTAGGGCGACTATGGTAGGAGGAAATTCTTCTTCCAATGCATTGAAGGGTAATGGACAACACCAATTATCAAATTCTGGAGCCAACACGTTTTTAGCACCTCCTCCACTTACTCCAAAAAGACATATAGGATTTTCCAATGGGTTAAATGCTCGAACTCCTCAGAATAGGATGACACCTGCAATAAATTTGCTTCTGAACATCAACATTCCCCCCAGTGGAGTTACATCAACACCTGCAGGGTTTAATATGAACGATTATGTCAATTTTCTAACCCCATCTCCTGGAGTTAGTTTAAGTAGTCGAATGAATCCTGCCAAAACCCCTGACTTCAACTCTCTTTTAGGAGCAACTTCAACTCTTTCAAAGAAAATTGGTGGTAGTCTTGCAAATAAAGGTACTGGATCTCGTTTAAGTGGAGAACATTTGCATTCAGAAAAAGGATCAATAGTTGAAGAAGAAGACGAGCATGGTGAAACTGAACCAGTGGACGGTAAAATGATCAATTTTGATAAAGTACTTTTTGATTCTGGTGATATGCCAAAATCAGATAGTTGATACAAGTGTCAAAATCATTTTGATGTTACGTTTCGATATATAACGATGTTTTGCACCCATTAAAGCTTGGAAGAAGTGACCTGCAAATTAACATTATTATATTACTACTTTTATGTCTTTCCTGTTCGCCTAACATTCCTACTGTTCAATTCTTTTTATCTGATACTTTGTTATCGCTAGCTTCATGTTCTCAGGGATACCGGTTATCCTCATTTTTTACCTTTTATAGATAATATATAACTATGGCTCTATCCTAGTGTGACATCCAAATAGTCGAATACGCTATACAGCCTCGTCCTCAAAAGGTGGGTTTAGCATTAAACCTTATTAAATTCGAAGTTGAACTTCATAAAGCAATGGAAGACGTTTCTGGTACCACCTTTATAGTTGAAGATCCCGAAGCTGCCAAAACCATAACTTCTGATGTAAAAATTAGAAGTCGTTCTATTACACTCGACGGTGATATCTATGATCCTGAACGTTATTTATGTGGTGGTCCCGGAAAGAATTCGACGGCTATTTGGTCATGATTCAGAAATACAATAAGATTACTTAATCCGTTTGTCAAATTGAACAAGGATTAGCTTCTGTTAGAAATAGGCTACAGAGTCTTTCGGCTTTGAGTATGAAATCACAGCCCTTGATACAAGAGATTCAATGAAGGCGTCATGAGTGTTGTGTTGCAAAGTGCCACCAGTTCGAATGGTGATGCCAATTGGGATTATGTTTATGTCACGTTAAATGTTGCTTCAGCGATACCCTATAGTTTGGCATAATCTGAGATCTTATCTTGAACGGCAGCAGTAAGGCTGTCAGTGTTTTTCACTTACTTTTAAGACCAAAGAAGAAGAAGTTTGATCAGTAATTGTTTCCACAAGAGTATTGAAATACGTATTGAAAAATTTTCTTTAGGGGTGGAACAAAATCATGTCACGTGACACATCCCCGAAATACTAATGTGGTTGCAGTTGGAGTTTCTGTAATGGGGAGAATTTAAGGTTACTTACTTTTATCAATATCCTTGAAGTAAATCTTTATACTGGAACAATGATTGCTGAAGAGGAAGTGACAGCTCAAGTAGCTGATTTGAAAGTGGAGCAAACCTCAACTTCCAACCCCCCAGCTTCTGCGGGAACAATTGGATCCGTTGCAACTGATGGAGAAGCAGATGAAGGTGGTGAAGGAGGTGAAGAAGGTGAAACTGCTGCTAAAAAGAGTAAGAGTAAGAAGAATAAAAATAAGAATAAGAAGAAGAAGAAGATAACCACGATTGATAACTCGTATGCTGATGGGAAATTTCCTGAAGGTGAATGGATGGAGTATCCTCTTGAGGTAAATCTGTACCGTACTACAAGTGAAGAGAAGAGATATGATGATCGTTTACTTAACAACAAATGGGAAGACTTTAGAAAAGGTGCTGAAATACATAGAAGAGTAAGACATAAGGCTAAATCATCTATTAAGCCTGGTATGACCATGACTGAAATAGCTGATTTGATTGAAAATTCAACTCGTGCCTATAGTGGAAATGTTCATACAAAGACTGCTGGTATTGGATTCCCTACAGGGTTATCAGTTAACCATATTGCTGCTCATTACACACCCAATGCTGGTGATAAGAATGTATTGAAACAAGAGGATGTGATGAAGGTTGATATTGGTGTGCATGTCAATGGATGTATTGTTGATTCAGCCTTTACTTTAACATTTGATGACAAATACGACAGTTTACTTCAAGCAGTCAAAGAAGCCACAAACACCGGGATTAAAGAAGCTGGTATTGATGTACGGTTAGGAGATATTGGTGGAGCCATTCAAGAAGTTATGGAATCGTATGAGTTGGAATTGGATGGAAAGACTTATCCTATTAAAGCCATTAGAAACTTGAATGGCCATAATATTGGTGACTATGTTATTCACGGAGGTAAAACTGTTCCTATTGTTAACAACGGTGATACCACTAAGATGGAAGAAGGTGAGACTTTTGCTATTGAAACTTTCGGATCAACTGGTGAAGGATATGTTATCCCTCAAGGTGAATGTTCCCATTATGCTTTAGCTCATGAATATCAAAAGGTACCAGTTATGGGAGATCGTTGTCAGAAATTGCTTAGTTCTATTGAAAGCAATTTTGGTACTTTACCATGGTGTCGGAGATATTTGGAACGTGCCGGAGAGGATAAATATTTACTTGCCTTGAATCAATTGGTTCGTCAAGGAGTTGTGGAAGACTATCCTCCATTAGTTGATGTTCGCGGTAGTTACACTGCTCAATATGAACATACTATTTTATTGCATCCTCACAAAAAGGAAGTTGTGTCCCGTGGTGATGATTATTAAAACAATTTAGTTACCAAAGGTAAAGCTTACCGTTCATGTAATTATATGTACCCAAAAGGCATAATAGGTGAGATCAGTTATAACTTGTAAAAGCTTATATATATATTTACAGGCAATAAATTTCAACCTTTTGCAATTAGGATATACCACCATAGAAAGATCAGATTGTAACCTCTGATGCATTGTTAGCTATCTACGATAGTTGATCCCAATGAGGATATAAATACACCAAGTCACATGCATAAGTAGCTCCTTTCAGTAATAAGGTGGAGACCCATACAAAAGGTTGAGGCCTAATTGGGAAGTACGCACCGAGGATAGAACGGGAAGAATTATATACTAGGCAATAGTTGGAGTGTCAAGGGAACTATAGTGTGAACAAAAAATCCAATAGTAATGACTATGAAACCAAAGTACAAGAGATGACTAATACATATATAAAGCATTACCGAAGGGAAATCTTACACATATATACCAATAACATATAGTGAGACTTGGTTATAGCTTGCAATCTTAAAGTAATTCAGTAGTAATACACCTCTTTAAAGTTTGTTTTCGCAGGAATTTCTTCCCCTGGATGTTGTGTCAAACTATTACTACAAGCAGTAAAAACTCCGCCTAGTAAAACGCACGCTGCACACAAAAGATATTCATACCAACAACTCAGTTCCCGATACTTGATACCGCAATTGGCGCTGCCTCTCCGTCATAGTTTACTTAGAACAGTAGTGTTGAAGTAACTGGTGGTAAGTATAAACTGGGGACGATTTCCATTGAAAAAAAACTTTAGCCTCTTCTCTTCTTACCCTTACTTCTTTTTGGTCTCCGCACATTTGAAACTCAAGTTTGAATTTCAGATTGATTAATTGTACAGTTGGCAGTTTACTCAGTTATTTGTTTTTGAATAACCAGTTATAATCATTTGTGAGAATTAGAGAAGATGGAGATTTTACCAGGCCAGTTGGAGTTCAAAGGTATGTGAATCAAATTGATCAATGGATGGATTCAATCAGTGGCATTGTTTTTGTTATTGTGGAAAGTATCAAGAGCTAGCAACAATGTATATTCCATCCATCCCATCTAAAATGTACCCACTCGGTTCAATTTACTAACTTAGTCGTAGGAACTTTCACCAAACCCTCCACAGAGTATTTGACTTTGAAGAACCCCACAAATACTCCCTTGGCTTTTAAGGTTAAGACAACTGCTCCCAAGTTGTATTGTGTTAGACCAAATGCTTCAATCGTGTCACCAGGTGACTCTGTTCAAATTCAAATCATTTTGCAAGCGTTTTCAACTCCTCTTGCCTCTGATTTCAAGTGTAAGGACAAGTTTTTGATTGTTTCCTTGCCAGCTGCAGATTTTACCGATGCTTCAAAGGTGGCAGACAATTGGAGCTCTTTGGAAGCAAAACTGAAGGATTCCTTGGTATCAAAGAAGTTACGTGTTAACTACGTGGTTTCTAAAGATGATTCCGCTAATGCTTCTTCTGGTGGTGCCGGAGCCGGTGCTGCTGCTGTCGGTGCTGCTAGCAACGGTAAATCTGCGGACACTCCAATGAAAGCCAACACCAGTTCTTACCCCGACACTCCAGCAGCTAGAGATTTCCACTCTACTGCTCCAGGTCCTGACACCCCATTCAACCAACTGTCAAATAACTATGGTAATCAACAAACTCCTTATGCTAACCCCGTTCCAGAGGTGAAGGAAGCTTCCTCTCCAGTTCAACACTACCAACAGCAACAGCAACAACAGCCACCTCAAAACTCTCCTTACCAACAACAACAGCAACCACCTCAACAACTCCAACACCAACAATCCTACCAACAACTGCCTGTTCAACAGCAACAGTACTCACCACAACAACAATATCAGCAACCACCTCCTCAACAGCAATACATGCAATCTAGTCCATCTGTTCCTCAATACAACCAAGATAGAGGTAATGCTGGTGTAGTTGCCCCTCCTCCTCAACAATACGTTAGCGAACCAGTTAACGGTATTTCCATGCCATTTGCTGCTATCTTGTGCTTAATTGCTTTCCTCATTGGTTGGTTAATTTTTTAAGCGTCGACGGAGTTGGTCATTATGCATGTGGGTGCTTTTTTTCCAGATGAAATCTCGAAATGCTTGATGTTAATATCACTTGTACAACCTACTATCATGTTTATTTCTCCTCCATATCTCAAGAGATGATGATGACGATGATGATGACGATGATGATGATGCTTATGTTGTGCCGTTATATAACAGAATGATATTACTTAATTAAAAAGGGAAGAAACAGGTGAACTTTTTTTATTATTATGAGTGTTAATATTAGTATTACCATTGCCCTGAACTCGACCCCTTTATTATGGCATTTGTTTACATAGCCATTTTTTCTCATAACTACATTTTCTTGATTTCCTTATATCCTGTAAGTCGTAGCTAATGAATTGTATTGTATCATTTTATTATCGTGTGTGTGCTTAAGCAGTATTCACAAAACGAGTAGTCAGGCTCGAACCCGTGCGATCGAAGAAAACCAAATATCGTAGTCATCAACGTTAACTTTTACAACAACAATCCATCATCAATACGTTTAGGGTTTTAAAAAGCAACTATGGGACGGGCAACGATAAGATCAGGGTCCGTCAACTTGTTGAACACCATTATTGGTGCAGGGATTCTTGCCATGCCCTATGGACTTAAGTCCAATGGTTTAGCCCTTGGGTTGGTGTTAATTGTGTGGTCGAGTATAACATCATCATTTGGATTATATTTACAGAACAAAGTAGCCAAATATACAAACCAAAGAGGTTCAGTGTCATATTTTAGTTTGGCACAATTAACTTATCCGCAATTATCTGTGGTTTTCGATAGTGCTATTCTGATCAAATGCTTTGGAGTGGGAGTTTCTTATTTGGTGGTAATTGGTGATTTGATGCCCAAAATCATGGAAAGTTTGGGTGTGGAAGCTGAATCTCTTTTAATGCATCGTAATTTCTGGATTACAATATTTATGGCAGGACTTGTGGTCCCACTTTCTTATTTAAAGAAGTTGGATTCCTTAAGATATACTTCAATCATTGCATTATCATCCATCATATATTTGATTTGCTTAGTCATTGATCATTACTTTGTCACTGATTATACTGTTCATCCTCGTGGGAAAGTTAACTGGTTTGTTGCCGACTCTTGGAAAACTTCAGTAGCTGCATTCCCTGTGTTTGTGTTTGCTTACACTTGCCACCAAAATATGTTTGCAATCATTAACGAGTTGAAACCTAGTGATACTGAAGGATCTCAAACCAGACAATCAAATCATATTATTCGTAATGCAATTTCTGTGGCTTGTGTGCTGTATGTGGTTGTTGGTACATTTGGTTATTTAACATTTGGGAATGATGTTAATAGTAATATCATCACCATGTATCCCAAGGACTCTACATCTTCGTTGATTGGACGTCTTTGTATTGTCATAATGGTTGCCTTTTCATATCCCTTACAATGCCATCCATGTCGTGGTTCTGTCAATCATGTAATCCACTTTATTACGCATGGGGTTGACAATAATAAAATGAGAGCTAACTCAAGAGTTGATGGGTACCAAGCCATTAGAAGTGATAGCATAAGTAGTTCCAATACTGCAGTACCCAGCAGCGTACCAATATCGGCCACCTCATCCAATACTGAAGCAGCACAACATCAACAACAACACCAACATGGAGGTCAAAATACATTGGGCTTATCGGATGTTGAATCCGTTGTTGCTGAATCCTTTATATCTACAACTCCCGTAGAAGGTGCACACGATACCGAAGGACACGATCCAATCATCGTTCCATTGTCCAAAAAAATGTTTTATATCATCACCACAATGATTAACCTTTTAAGTTATCTTGTTGCAATATCTGTTACGTCTTTGGCTCATGTTTTGGCATTTGTCGGATCAACAGGATCTACATCTATTCTGTTTATTTTACCTGGGTTATTTGGATATTTGTTGATCAAACCTTTAGATGGCCGGGAACAATTGAATGGTCTTGAACGCTTCTGCAAATATGGTGGATTAGCTTTGTCTATTTGGGGTGTAGTTGTTATGGTGGTATGTTTAAGTGCTACCTTATTTTTAGGTGCCACTCATTAATCGTTTTCTTACTAAACCAATACTAGAGATATATTACATATGTATCTATATACGGCATTAAAAGCTTTATTAACATGCATTCATTTTCGTAATTCATAAATAGTTTCAACACTATTATATACATATATTTATCTACAAGTGTAAGTCCAGTCTTTCCCATCCAGTACCTCTGGTGTTTTTCAAGGTGTAATCTGGTTGAGGATCATCAAATCTTGAATCTTTCATAGCAAATGGATTACGTTCAGTCTTTTGATTCAAGTTAGCCAAAGTATGATTGACTTCTCTATGTTTAGCTTCATCAGCTCTAATTCTCAAAATCAAATCACGGAAGGAAGAATCTTCCTTTAATTCCCACCAATAAGTTGTTGCAATTTCTGGCAACTTTACCTTTTCGAGCTCGGGTAATTTACCTGGAATGGTCAATTCATGAGCTAAATGAGTATAAGTGGAAACAGCTTCTTCTTCCAAATACCCAACAAAACGATGGCAATATCTGGGATTGACAATATAAAGAAAGAAGAAAATGTTAGCGAAAACACCTTGGCCAATCTTCAATAAGGCACGAGTAAGAAGTGAAGGCCTTCCAATCTTTATAAATGTCAACAAGTGCATTCTTTCATTGTAAGCTTCATCTAAGAGAGTTTCAATCCAAGCTTTATCTCTTTTCATAAGTCTAAGAGAATGCAAGTGTCTAATAAAAGCGGCAACCATTCCTGGAACTCCAGCTACTGATTCCAAAAAAATAACTCTAGTTAACCATTTGTTATCAGTCATTTCCCATCTTGTACCCTTCAACTTTTCCAATTCAGCATCAGAACTAACATTTTTGTAACCAGTAACTAAATCATAAGTCAGTCTTAAGGTTTGAATACCTCTAAAGGCAATTCTATCCCCAAGAGTTTTGGGGGTTCTATGTTCATAATGAATACCTTCGCATTCAGCATCTGTAAATTCTGGATGCTTGAACATAGGATGTGTGATAAATTCTTCATCATTCTGTTTCTTAGATTCTTCCTGAGTAAGAATCTTAGTCAGAAGAATATTGGAACGAATAGGCTCTTTAACCGGTGGTGTTGCCAATGAAGATGAATATCTACACAACAGTAATAGCCCAGGAGTGACTAAAACAGGTGCGGCATGTGGAGTAAGCGTTCTTAGCATTATAAGAGTATTGATTCTATAATAATTCAATAGTGGAAGTAATGTACTATGGTATTTTATGAATATTAATAAAGTCAATTTTTACACTTACATAACCACCTATTTATATACTAAAGATGAAATAGGGTAGAAACTGCTTTTGTTACTACCCCCTAGTGTGTGAATGTGGGTTCATAAAGCGGACAATGGCTTCCCGTAATAGGAAATAGCGGACTTTGAAATATGCCACACTGACGGAAGATAATTCCCTTTTTGGCAGTTCTTAGCCCGTTCTAGTGACCCACAAAATGAGCATTCCACTAATCATTGCTCATCATTTACACAAGGGAGCTATAGATTTACGGTGTTAAGATCACATACCTTTACATCCGATGACCATCTGGTATGATATGTATCTCTGTTTATGCTAATTATTTATGGGATAGAGTGTTGGCTTCAATAGTAGCGGTAGCCTTCTTACTAAGTTTGTACTTCATAAATTTGCCACACTTTTCCGAATATAAATTGCTCATTACCCGTTCAATCATATTATCCAATTAAACTGTGGTAATTCACACATAAGCCTCTACTTGGTTAACCTAAAAGAAAAATACGGAGTTTGGAGACCGTTACGTTTAAGAGCAAATTTCGCAGTCATTTTGGGTTGCATTTGCATAGACCCGACATTTACCGCTCTATGAATGACGCTTCGATGTTTTTGATAGTGCACGCCGTATATCAATTATCCGAAGAGGATGAAACAGGGTGGAGCACTGACACTAATTGACCAATAGATGAGCTTATAGATGTGGCTGGGCGGGTGCAAGCATTCATGGACTTGATGGATATACCTTTGAGCGGCTTTGCAATTCTTCGTTTTTAATTGAAGAGATCTCATTGGTTTAGTTTAGACACTTGTATTTACTAGTCCACCGGAAGCCTTGAAACCTCCCAATGTAAGACCTGGTAAAACGGGTTTGATTTCCTGATTAAGTTCTTGAGTTATGACTTTAACTCAAAACTATTACGAGTTTAACCGATGGGTATCAAGACTTTAAAACCACATAAATGCTAGTGACAAAAAATGGGTGCGGTGAATGATAGTCATACGAGTTGAGTCTCTTGGGTCATATATGGAATTCCTTGCAAATTAATCATCTGACTTTCGTTATATTACTCTCAGTCTATTCATGATCATTACTTTTTATGAAGGTTCCAATATTTCAAGAGAGATGATTAACGTTTCAAGATTACTAAGGCTAATAGAATCATTAATCAATGCGTAAGAGTAGGAAATTTAAGCATTTATACTGAGATTTTAATGGACGTTTTATATGACACACTGATCATTAGCTTTCCTTTATTCGGAGTTAGATAATGATATGTGCTGCTTGGTTAAACGTAATGACTTAAGCTAATGATGTGACTTGCGGCTTTAAAAGTATTGACCTTTTTTTTTGAAACTCATGATCCATAAATCCAACGAGAGACTTTAGATCTAGAATTAAAGACTTCACCACTAAATGTTCAAGCATACATTTCTTCAGTCCCCAATTAACTGAGATTAAACTAATAATAAGTGATGTAATCAGTTGCATTTTGATTGGCAAGATCAGTTTCAATTTTACTGCAAAAGGTGCAAACCACCTTATTCCAACCTCGTGAACTACGATGGACTTGGTAAGATATACGGTGCCTTAAAATGATACTCCAAATCATTCTAACCCCTAACTCATTATCTGTTAATTACATTCCAGGGCCATTAAAACCATCCATAACACTGGAACTAATCCCTTCTAACTTGAACGTAATTCGATTTCATACATTCTACCATTGCTATTGCCGAATTCGGAATGGTTTTATATTTGGGCCACTGTCATATATTTACATAAGCAACTACACAAAACACGACGACTATAACGCGAAAGAGGGAAAGTATATGAAGGATATAATGTAAGGGAATGCCCATTATACTTGTTTCAAAGTTCTAGAACAAGACATGGACTCCTAAAATGGAGGAGGATGTTACGTCAAAGAGAAGCTTAATATGAAGCCAGCAACACAAAAAAAGAGATTCACGAAATGGGGAAGGGAAGGGATAGACAACCAAATAGTAACCGAATAGAATAAAATATTAAAGTTCTAACATATTCGAATAGCTATAAGCCACGAAAATGTCATACCCCTTACATTTGTGAAATTAGGTGTAGCCCACGTAAATTACAGTGGAATAGACGTAAACTACAGCACGTCAAAAAAGTAAAATTACTTGTAGAGAACAGAAGCAGACTAATAGTTTCAAATAAACCTTACTGTTACACTGAACTAATCAACTGCAGGGAATGAAACGTAGTATGTGTGCATTATGTCGCTGGTTCATTTCTGAGCGGGCCAATGCCAGATCTGTGTGTTGCACCATCTGAGGTGCGGGTATTCTCTGAAACACAGAAAGGCCCTGGCTCCAGAGTACTTAGCCGGAGTGAAACCAACACGACCTCAGCCCCTTTGTGTGAAAACAGAAAAACGAGTAAGGTAGTCGAATCAAAGCAAATCAAGTTAACCAAACACTTGAATATTACTGGCTTTTATTAGAAGCCAAAGAGTAAGAGATAGAAACCCGATCTAACTGTTTGATTTTTATACCAGTGCCAAAAGTTAACAGGCATAACCGCACCCCTAATATTTATTCTCTCAAGCGTCTTTTTATAGACCCCTGAAAAAGGAAAAGGTGACTGATCAGTTGATTTAATGGGATTCAGATTCTCTAATTTCTATGGTGACCCCTTTGCCATTGCTACGATATCTTTTGGTATCATTGCTTGGGTTGTAGCTATTGCTGGGGCTTTTTCATCGCCATCAAAAACATTTCCACACTTTAGTTGGTGGGGTCTCTTTTATCAGTTGTTTCTTCATTTACTCATTTTCACGCTTTATGCATGCAATTTGATTGAATTATACAAATTCACCATCGTTGGGCTCTTGTCGATTGCCTTTGTTTATACTTCAAACTCAGCAAACACATTGATTTACAATACCAAACTCCCTGGTAACTTATGTTGTGCTGCTGGATGCATTCTTTTGTCTATCCTTAACTTTATCTGGATTCTTTATTTTGGAGGTCATCCCGAGTCTCCTACAAACCAGTTTATTGATTCCTTTTCATTGAAAAGTACTCATTCACATGGCCAACTTGCATTAAACGACCCTAATGCATACGACAGGAATCATGATTCACGCCATATATCTACAGGTGTCTCAAGCACTGTTCAACAAGGAATGACTGGTCCAAGTGCCTATGCTAGCCAACAGTATCAAGATACTCAAGCTATGAGACAATCAAACAAGGCTAACCCTAACATGCCTTATATGTCGTCAACCCACTTGAATGGATTGGAAAACTTTTCTCAATCTGATGTTCGTGATTTAACTCATGGGAACCACCATTCTATACGTACAGGTACCGCAGCAGCAAGTGGAATAAATGGACAAAATACCACTGGATCCAATACAAATAATACTGGAACTTTAACTAGTGGAGCTGGTATTGGTGATAATGGTTTGTACAACGATGTTAATTCACTGGGAATGGGTACAACTTTCAGATACCGTGCTAAAGCATTATACACTTATGAAGCCAACCCTGATGATATCAACGAATTATCTTTCACCAAGGGTGAAATATTAGAAGTTGATGATATTGATGGTAAGTGGTGGCAAGCTAGAAGAGCTAACGGACAAGTTGGTATCTGTCCTTCAAATTACGTTAAGTTGTTAGATTAAGCTTATAAAGTCTTTTATCTTTCGACAAAACCACACTCTTTTTTAAGACATTTGTACAATAAATATTATTTTGGGTTTCTGTTAGTTATTATATTTTTTAGACTTTTACATTTGTGTCTGGCAGTAAAACTCTTAGGTTTACACAAGTAACGTAGTAACCAGTATGTATTTGTTTACGATATTAATGGCATTTTCATCTTAGTCGTTTTGATGTTTTGATGTATTGAATCGTGGTTGAACCGATTGCTTTTGGACCAAAGTAATTCAAAAATCTCAATGGTTATCGATCTCTACTCTGATGAAATATTGATATATGGTTTACTTCATTTTTCAGTCCAAATGTTACATCTAGGCCGTCTTCCAGTGATAAAATGCACCCCCCAGATTGTCCGCTATGCTTCCAAACTCTACACGTCTAAACCAGGAGAATCGTATGCTCACAATGATAATTCCCATTTAGGAGATGCAATTTCCAAGAACCTTGAAACTGTTCCTTTAGCATACGACAAAATCTCTCCTACTTCCGCTACATCGATTGTGAGATCTCCCTTGATTATGGTTCATGGTCTTTTCGGATCCAAGTCCAATACTCGTACGGTCGCAAAGCAACTTGCTAATGAATTACGCCGAGACGTCTTCTCAATCGATCTTCGGAATTTTGGCTCTTCTCCTCACCACCCTCGCTTAGATTATCCTGCCCTTGCAGCTGATGTAGAAAGGTTTATTGCTAACGTGATTACACCTGAATACGAATCTCATAAACCTATTTGTGTGGGCCATTCAATGGGTGCGAAAACAGTTATGGCCCTTGCATTGCGAGCTCCAAAAGTACCTGCAATGATTGTTAGTGTTGATAATGCACCAATTGATTGGTCAAATGGAGTATCAGGCGGATCTACATTTGCAAGATATGTTCGAGCACTTCGTACCGCATTAGAGAAGCATCGGTATACAAGCATCAAGGATGTGGATGCTGAGTTGGCTAAAGTTGAGCCAAATTCTTACATTAGACAATTTCTACTAATGAATATGAAAAGAGGGAAAAAAGATGAACCTATAGAATCCAAGATTCCTCTACAAATCATCGGTGATGCCATCGTTAAAGGAAAAATCGCTCTGTGGCCTTATGATTGTCATATTAACCGTTGGAATGGGCCTGCTCTTTTCATTCGTGGTACCAAGTCTCAATATGTTCCTGATGATGTAATTCCTACTATTGGAGCGTATTTTCCTGATTTTGAAGTCCGTGATATTGACTCAGGCCATTGGGTTATCAGCGAGAAGCCAGAAGAGTTTATATCGAGTGTTACAGACTTTATAACTAGGAAAGAAGATGAAGAGGAAATCTATTGAAGCACGGGACACGTGGCAAACAGGTATAAAGAATTTAAACTTCAACTAATACAAAAGTATTCATGATCAATTAATGATATTCGACTAAAAATTAGTTAGAAGCAAGAAAGAACCTTTAATAACCTACGACAAACCATTGGAACAGAAGTTTCGTGAACTTCTGAATGATTTAAGAAGCTAGTTATATTTTTTTCATCAATATGTTGTCGACTTACACATAGAACACGCACTTACTTAATTATCATCTATTATGATCTTTCTTTATCTCATAACTTCAAGTGGGTGCTTAAATAGAATTACAAACGATTGACTTTGAAAATTATCACTTATCACTAACTTTGACCTTACCTTCGCCTACGAAATCATCATAGATTTCAAAACGTCTTTGATAGTGAACAGGAATAGCTTCTCTGGCCTTGGGCAATAAAGATTTATCTAGTTCAGCATAAACTATTTCTTCTCCTTCACCAGCTTCAACAATAATGTTACCATAAGGATCTGCCACCAAAGAATGACCATAGGCTTGATAACCACTTCCTCCAACATCCCTAGCAGGAGAACACAATACAGTAAAGATTTCATTATCCACGGCTCTTGATCTAGCCAACAAATGCCAGTGTAATGGACCAGTGGTGGTATTGAAAGCTCCAGGGTAGAACATAGCAAAACTATTCCAAGGATTACGAGAAGCCACCATGGCCAATTCTGGGAAACGAATATCATAACAAATACCCAAACCTACATTACCAAACTCACCTAATTTAAAGACTGTAGCCTTATCACCAGCAGAAAGCGTTACAGACTCTTGGAAGGTGATCCCATCCGGGATATTGATATCAAATAAATGAGCCTTACGATGCTTTGCAATAACCTCTCCTTGAGGTGAGAAAGTCAAACTGGTATTGAAGATCTTGTCAGTGGAGGGATCAAGTTCAGGAATAGAACCCCCTATGATATAAACTTCATGTTCCTTAGCCAACAGGGACAACAAATGGGTTGTTTCTCCTGATGGGACCAATTCTGCATAGTTTCTAAATTGATCAACAGCATAAGGCGAGTTGAAACATTCAGGTAACATCACCAAATCAAGTTTCCCAATGGTGGATTGTGTAACAGCATTCTTGATGAAAGAAGACACTTTAGCTAAGTTGGCGGTCTTGTCGGCACCAGCTTTCAATTGCACCAAGGCAATCTTCAAGTTATGGGCCAATGGAGCCTTAGGAACACTCATCAATGAAAAGCAAGAAACGCAATTTGAAACCGTATCAGAGTTTGGTTCAGATAACTATACCGTAGTTTATCTGGATAGATTCGCAGATTTGTAAGACTTAATTATACTTCCCGGCCAGATATGGTTCTTTGCCGCGGAATACGCACTCAAAACAGTAATTAATTGCGAACAGTGGGGTCTCCTTCGTCTAATGGTGATCCAGACAGAGGTGGTAGGTATCACCTAAATCAGCTACAAAATTAGTTATTTACACTAAATGATGATTATGCTATTACCTATATGAGACTTATATCTATCTCCTTTATTTGCCGTCTGTCCTGACAGTCAATTCACACTTTTTTTTCATTAATAATGGTGTTTGGATATTCGGTTGTCTTCTTCAAGCCTTGAAGATGTGGAATAAACAATTGGGTACACAATTTCTTGTTTTCCATAACGTTCAACCCCAAATACTTGATATGACTACCCATGTATTCCGATTTGTCTACTCCAGGAGTCCCATCAATTGGTTTTCCGGACTTGGGATCGTAGTAGTTTGCACAAAGTGCCTGGGTGAGAAATTGGAACATTCGTAAATCAAAATCGTACCCTATTCTTGCATTTATATGTTCAAACTTACGGATATGTTCCCCTTTTGCAGGTCCAGATGTATACACCAAATCGTCTTCTTTTTCTCCAAGAAGCTCGGGGAAAAGCTTTGGAGATTTGAGATGTAAGAATACAACTTGCTCTGTTCCATCAGGATCAAAATGCCCATAGGCATAAGCCCTAATTTGACTATCTTTCTTGGAAGCATACCCAAACCAATCAAAGTTTCTTTGTACGACGAAACTGGGCATTTCAAGTACATGTGCAGCGATCGCAAGTGCTTCCAGTTCTGGATGGACATTGGCACCTTGTGAGAATAATGGATAGTAATATTTATCTCCTTGTACGTGATAATAAAGAGCAAGCAAAAGAGTCTTCAAATGCTTAGTTTTATTAACCACAAATGCACCATTTTGCATTGTTGGGTCAGGCATTGTTCCTTCAAACGAATGATAATGAGTGTTTTCAAAGTTGTAGTAATCAGGACCAGGCATTTCATCCAATTCCTTACGTTTCCAATCTGCATGATCATAACTACTATACCTTACTTTATTTTGGTAAATTGGCACCAGAGCTATATTGTAGAATATAGGACTGGTTGTTCTAGACCAAACATCGGGCCAAAAGATTAAACCATTCTCTTGAAATGCCCGTGTATCAAATATCGTGTCCAAATTGGTCAATGGAACATCCTCAGGATCCAAGTATAATACACTCTCAAATTTTGAATGTAATAAGGCAAGAATTGATTTTTGTCTTTCACCTATTTCAAATAATTGCTCCAATTCCAGCTCCAAATCAGCCGAATATATTGTACATCTTGCATTATACTTGGGAAGTATACTATTGCAGAATCGAGTATCATAATCCTTTGAAGTGGGGATAAAGATCTCAACAGGTAGCTTTGCTCCGGTCGCTCTCAATTGCTTAATCGATAAATATGCCATCCACAAATACTTACCACTTGCAACCATTACATAACCTCTTGAATTATCGTACGTTTTCCACTCTTTATCTCTTCTGGTAACACCACCAAAGGTATCTAATAGACGAAACAACTTGGGGATCTCTTCTTCAACAAAACGACGATGTGATTCCTTTAATGTGTGGACTGTTTCAGAAGGTATATCAAGGATTGATTCAAGATATTCTTTGGAAATGTAAAGTTTATCATTGGTTATTTGGATAGATTGTGCAACTCCATTTATAAAGCTATCTCTCAAAGGCTTTGCATCAATATAGTATCTACCCACATCTCTAAAGAATATCATAAGATTATGTATTTCATTGAGAAATTTCTCTTGATTCTTTTTTAGCATAGTATCAGGGATTAACTTGGACTTTTCTACTACTGATCTTAACATGTCTTCTGACAACCTCATATCCATATGAAACTCCTGTGGTGGGTTCTCATTATTTTCACTGGCTTTTTCATCTGAGAGAGCTGTTATCTCTTTCTCAACTTCTTCTGTTACCTTTTCCGTAGAAGCGGCTTCCTTGTTTTCCTTTGTACCCCTAGGAGTCTTTTCCAAATTTCCATCGTCATCTTCTGCTATTGGTTTTGAATTCAGAGTACTTTTGGGTACATTGTTATCCAGGACTTCATCAGCAGCTTTAGTCTTGACGGTGATGGATTTTGATGTTGAGATCAATTCTACAACTGGTGTCTCAGAAATATAGGAAGCTTCAAGAGAATGCTCTACATCTAAGGCCAGCAGAATTTTTGTATTTGATTTTGCTTTCTTCTTCTTTGCCCGTTCAGGTTGTAAATTGTTTGACTTCTTCTTAGAGTCATATTCTGTCTCTTCAATTGCGTTGCCCTTCTTATTTTTAAGTGTGGCTGATTCCTCTTCTGAAATTTCTCCTATTTCTGACTTTACATCAACAGCTTCTGAATCCGAATCTATTTCTATTGAACTTTCTGTATTGCGCGGTTTCGAAGGCCGTATACGATTTAATTCAGTTGGATACTGTAGCACATGTTTAACAGGATGATTTGGATCTGATTTATATGCTAAATCAGTTGATGCATGGGAATCTCTTCGATTATATACAGCAATGAAGAAGATCGCGACGACTAGAAAGAACAAGAATCGATGTCTTAGATTGAACAGGTGTATGAGTGTCATTTCGGATTGGACCTAAGGGTGTTTCTATAAGACATACAATTAATCACAAATGTATTGTGGACAAGGTTGCAGTTCTAATGTTATGCAGTGTGTGAGGCTAACGGAGACGTTTGCGGATTGGATTGGACTGGACAAATTGTCTTTGATCTACGCTATAAGTAGATTTTCAAAGATGAAATGTAACAAATAAATGGAGACTCTGCCGAACGTCGTGTAGTATAAAATTAATCTCCAATCTTCTATGGTATACTGTAAGGTAACTTAATTTTACGGATAAATGTTTAATAGGCTATATATATGGTTATAGTTTTTTTTACTTTACTTTACTTTATTTTATTCAATTTTATTTAAATTAATTCATGTTAATTCATTTTATTGTATCTTGTTTTATTGTATTTTGTTTTTAATTGTTTTCATTGTTTTATTTTATTTTATTTTTTATTGTTTTATTGTTTGATTCTATTTAATCTTTTTTTTTTTTGACTACAACCATCCCATCCTAACTTACCTGAATTTTTGGATTCAGATTTATGAACTTAACTACAGACACACAGGAAGTTGAATATCTTCATTACATGAAGGACGTGAACAAGGGATGGAACTAATAGAATTCGTTTTAGCAGAGATGCACACATCTTGAAATAAACACAGAAGGAAACCCATATTAATAATGGCTGCAAAGCCATCATTTTAGACCTGGCACTTGCTTACGTGCTCAGAACTGAAATTATTAGCTGTGCATACTACCACTCGATATGATTAATATGGTAAAGCCAGCACGCCGTACTATGAGAGGAGTACAAGGGTATGATAACCATCACAAGTTGAGGGATGTGTCTATGAATATCCTTTATTTATGTGTAGAGCATTGTTATCACGTTAGTGCTTACAGTGCAGATAAGCACTGAAACATTCCGATGGATCAGACAATTGAATATTTTTCACCATTATTTTAACTGGTCGTTCGCACTAATAATCTTATTATAAACTTTTTTTTATATATAAATCTTACTCATTATCTGACCACTTGATGCTTAGGCTTAAATCCGACATACTGTAAGAAAATGTAGATAATAAAACATAGTGACTTATTGCATACCATTAAAGTAAATAAAAACAGAAAAAGTTTGAAGCATTACTTCGACAAAATCTTTGTTCCCCCTTCCTATCATTGGGGAATTCTTGTTGTTCTTATTTTGATAATATCCTAACACGTTCAATGCCAATGTGGGGGATTACGGGGATGCGTAATAGGGATCGTGCATGTGTGATAAGATTGAGGATATCCCCCATGATCTACCACAATAATCCAATCTGGTAGTATTAAACACAGGAGACAACAATTCCTGTCGTAGGCTTAGTGTTGGGTCACAAGCATCAAGTAATGTTGAAGTTTGCCCAAAATATTCAATTGAAGAAAATCGTCGGAGGTTGACAAAAGCAAGCTGAAGTGACAAGTACACAATGCCATTTAAGCTTTTACTATCATTAGGCCTTATAATCCTTTTTTCCGGAACCCTAACCGAATTCGACCGCCAAAAGTTCGTTATAATGAGATATTATTTTTTAATCATGTACAGAGGAAAGCAAATAAACCAGCAGTCGTAAATGTTCAACGTATATGTAATGAGTGGAATAATAGAACCAAGTGCCAAAAATGATTGACATCAGAATGCGTTACATTTTGAAACAAGGAGATTGATTATTTAGCAGCATGATATAGTCAGCGTCACATCATTCAAAAGGGTGAAAGGGTTTAATTGTCATCCCTTCTGTAGTCTCCCAATATTGAATTCCTTTAAGTGCGTTGAAGATTAGAACCTCGTCTGTCTAGAACGTGTAATTCTTGCCCAAATATCTCACGAACGGAATCACGTGGCGATGTAAGTTAAAACAACATTCTATGTTTTAATTGTTTTGTAGAAAACCGAATACGTTATCATAAGCCAATGCTTTTCGTATGTCTTCATTGTAGTGGAAACGGGAGCCTCAGAGTTGCTTTCCCAACAATAAAAACTAACAAGCACCGCAGGGATTCACTTTTATGACATATTTTTTCTTTTGCCACATGATCATTCTTCTCTACGTGGGTCTACGAACTACAATCAATTTACCTACTGATTCGTGCATCCTTCATGGTTTTTACACTTAAAAGTTCTTAAATGCAGACTCCAGGACTACTTTAATGTGAGTAGAAAATCATTTACTTACATAAGCATTTGACCACACAGGTTAATTAATTGCAACAATTCACTCATCCTTGTGGCCTGGAACGACCATGGTTTAACTTTTATTGAAAATACTAAGATTGATGCAGAAGACAGCAATAAGGTGTATGACCAGACTTGTTGATCTCCCTAAGAGTAGTAGCTTTACTCGGGCCATAGCTGCTGATCCTAGAATCCCAACAGCGGAAGTTGCATTGGACAATGAAAATAACATTATTCATACCCCACGAGTGATTCCTAAGGGTGGATTCTCATATACATTACCGGAGAATAGACCTGAGTACCTTTATTTGACAAGTAGTGCCAAAGGGTTACACGATTTAGGTCTTCCTGAGCAAGACACTACAGATCCTATTTATCAACAAATTGTTAGTGGTAAAGATTATGAAAAGTTTGTGATAAATGAAAAGCATGGATTTCCTATGCCATATGCTCAAACATATGCGGGATGGCAATTTGGTCAATTTGCAGGTCAATTAGGTGATGGTCGTGTTACCAATTTGTTTGAATTAGAAAAGTTTGATGGAATGGATACCTCTAAAGCAAATCAGCTATTACCACAAAGAGCTAAATATGAAGTTCAATTAAAGGGTAGCGGGAAAACACCTTATTCACGTTTTGCTGATGGGAAGGCAGTGATAAGATCTTCTATAAGGGAGTATATTATTCTGGAACATTTGCATGCTTTAGGAATTCCTTCTACAAGAGCTCTTTCGTTAACTTTATTACCTAAAACTTGGGCTCAAAGACATAGAGCTGAAAAATGTGCCGTGGTGGCTAGATTTGCAGAATCATGGGTTCGATTAGGGTCTTTTGATTTATATCGTTGGCGTGGAGATCGGGTTGGCGTTAAAGCACTTGCTGATTACGTGATAAATGAGTTATTTGACAATAAGTTTGTTAAATTTGAGGAAATTAAGAGCGTTGGTGGTTCCAAATATTTGGAATCATATTGGGAAGATCTTGGAAAGGAATTAACATCTTACGATAAGATGTATTTCGAAGCTGTCATACGTAATGCTATCACATGCCTGTGTTGGCAAGTGTATGGGTTCTTGAATGGGGTTTTAAACACTGATAACACAAGTATAGTTGGTTTATCAATGGATTTTGGTCCCTTTTCAATTATGGATAAATTTGATCCCAATTATACTCCTAACTCAGAGGATCATGAATTAAGATATGGCTATCGAAACACTCCAACTGCAATTTGGTGGAATTTAACTCGTTTAGGTGAAGATTTGGCTGAACTTATTGGAGCTGGAAGACAAATTTTGGACGACTCAAAGTTTAGGCATTCACTTGAACCTGAATGGGAAGAACCTATTATAAAAAGAGCAACTAAGATCATTGAAATTGGTGGGAATTTGTTTAGGTTTGCATTTACAAGAAATTATGTTGATTTATTCTTTAAAAGGTTAGGTTTATCAAGCTCTTTGATTAACCAAAGCAATCCAGATGAACAGAATGATACATTGATTCAGCCATTATTGGATGTATTATACAAGATTGAAGTTGATTACAACAAGTTTTTTGTTCTTTTACAAAAGTATAGCCTCAAAGAATTAATCGATGATAGGGACTTTGTGGTAAAAGCTATACTTAAGGGTAGAATTGATAACATTGATGCAGCTAGCAAATATTCTGATGATAATCTTTCAAAGATTGTATCTGAATGGTTAGATATCTATGTTGAATTTTTGAAGAAGAATCCACCCAACTTCAATAAGAGTGACGTGCAAAAGAATCTGAATCCGGTATTCTTACCAAGAAATTGGATATTTGACCAAGTGGTAGCTCAAGTAGAGGAATCTAAGGGAGAGGATCTTTCATACTTGAAGAAGTTGGAGAAAATGGCATTTAACCCTTACGAAACGTCCAAATGGGGTGATGAGTTGAAAGATAAAGAAATTGAATGGGTTTCTGACCAATCTTCCGACAAGTTAATGTTACAATGTAGTTGTGCTAGTTGAACGAAGTCTATGAAATTTTTAGGACTATCAAAGAAATTTAAACTAATATACATAAACCCTTTTTAACTAATCTTAACCGGTAAATACAAATGCACTAAGAACTTGGATGCATAACCTAGTTCTAGTGAAAGGTAATATAATCTGGCAGCATGACACCCTTGAAAATCCAGTATTAATTGAAACCCTTCCATTCCAAACCTGTTAGATGCCACAGCAATGTCCTTACCTTTCAAATGTAAGAATTTCAAGTTAATTTCAATTTCTAACCCATTTAATGTAGGTGTTATTTTCGGTTTAATGAAAGGTAATGTTGTATAAGCAACTTTGAGATTGATAAGAGTATCAAGATTAGCAGATAACTCATCATCAACAATAAGATTTGATAAGGAGCTCGCTTTTGTTGGTGAAGTCGATGGAGAGTCATTCATTATGGCCAGAATTTCCTCCGTCTCAAAATGACTGCCTATTTTATTAATTCTTCCAATGAATTGCTTTAATGGACCTGAAACTAATGTGGAATAATCAATATGGGAAGAAGCCATTTGTCTATAAAACATGGAATGGGTCAATATTATAGGTATATGCGTCGGAGATTTGACTGTAACGGCAACTAAATCTGCCTTAATCGAATTATACGCTTTACTATCATGTATATTAATAGGTATACGGAGTTTCTGTGTTGGAATTGGGTGCAACGGACTAACATGACGTATAGTGACGGAATCTGGGATTGAAAATATCTTCAGATCTATTCTTGATGGTTTAAGAAATAAAGGTTCTGTCCATTTTTCAATATTTTGTTTATTGATCCATATCAAATGAGTTTTCAATTTTGTACAGATGGCTTCGTTATATTCCAATTCAACAAACAGCTCCAGTGGAGGATATATTGCGTATAATTGAATAGGTAAAGTCATTTCGCCCATAATAAAGTACTCACTAGGAATAGAATGCTTGTATAAGCCCACAACATGGCATGAAATCAGATATGCAATGGGAACTCCCAAACTGTGTGTTTCCAAATCGGTTGCTTCCCAAGAAGGGTACATGTTCGCATGAAGTGGTACCTGATCGTTAATAAGAATCTTTTGCTCTGGAACTTTGAATTTAAACTCAAATTGTCGTTTTTCCCGAGGTTTCAAATTTATGGCACAAGTAGTTTCAGGACTAATGTGTACCATTGAAAGGAACTTATAGTCTTGAAGCCATCCCTGCAATTGAATATAAACCACTGTTATGTCAGCTAATCCTTTTGATCTGTTCTCTAGAATAACCATGCCTGAAATAATCTCATTAACTTGGAAAACTGTTTGTCTATTATCAATAGAGACGTCAACTGATATTCTCTTCTCAGATCGTAACTGATCTAAATTATCAATTAATCGGTCATCTTCAACGTGAGTGGAATATATATTTGGCCTGGAAGGTGATACTCCCAGAGAATGGACAGGAACTTCATAAGTATTCCTAACGTGTTCTTCTGATTCAAGATCATCTATAGGTGACGTTACATCCAACGATTTCCTCACTATACTATTGAATTGTGCATATGTTGGTAAATGGGTAGAGGATTCTGACTCATAACTGCGGATCGGTGTAAGGGAGCCCGTGATATCTTGTGGAAGAAAACGCTTTGACATGATATGGTTTACTAAGAAGCAAAATAATTAGTATAAGCCTCTTTTTCACTTCTCATTTAAGTGGTCCTATTTTATCTTGATCCACCGGTATATAGCAGAATTTCGCATGATGGTTGTCAACGTTTGTGGGGTATCATCAAGTGGTTACCCGGATAAGCACTTGTTGACCTAAATTGGTCCATGACCTTTTATGTACAGGCTCCGAGTGAAGTTTCAGACAGGATGCGCACACTCCTTAAGGTGAAGTGCAAATCATTGAAGTTAAAAGGTGGAGATAATATTACATGTTACTATAAATTTAAATTTCGTGTATTAGTAGTAAATAAATAAGTGAATAAAACCGCCCGAAGTTAAAATAGAAAAGAATGGGAGATGCCAGCATTCCAAAAGCCACCGTTAAGTGAACAGCAATAAACCAGTAATTTGGGTTAGCAAAAGATGTTGTGAAAGTGAATATAAATAACAATTTTGGAATCAAAATAAGGCCGTTAAATATTTGATGATTGTAATCATCTGTTTCAATTTGTTGGTGAAGAGGAAAAGAATCGTACTCCAAATCGTTTTGCACGTGTTCGCCAGTTCTGTAAAGCCAGCAAGTTGAAAGTGGCAGTGGAAGTCAACTGGATTTGCAAATATGGAGAATAATAAGATATGGATGACTTGACATAGCTGCTAAGTATGGAATACATGTAGACTGAAAAGTCCACTGCAAGCATGAGAAAGAGAGGAATGGTAATAGACTTCATCAACACCAAAGCCAATGAGCGAACGTGTTGTTCAACGTGGTAAATAGAAACCGAAAGCATTCTGCAAGTATAAACGTAAATGACTATTTCAATATGCTATACCAAGTGTAGTGTAGTCGTATATGTGTTGTAGTTGTATCGATAATAATACAAGTAATATTAATACTATGAGTAATATTAATAACCCCTTTGCAATAAATGAATAAATGAACAGAATAAATAAATAAACAAACAAACAAACAAACGTGTGTGTTTGGTGGATTTGTAGTTATGCGATAGTGATCAACAGCATATAAGTTCTGTTGTATTCCAAATAATTGAAAGCATTCAGATAGGAAAGAAAAGCGATTTATTTATATTCATTATATTTTGAAATGTGTATAGGTACTATTCTCGTAAGGGTTTTTTTTTTTCAGGTGTACAGTAATCGAAAATCCTTGTGTTTATTGTTATGGTAATTTATTGCTACATCGAATACGGAGTTGAGGAAGTCGGGTCCATTTTAGGGATTAGTGTATCTATTGTACAGTCGTTTGGCGTTTGTGTGTTAAATGTCCAATTGCCAGGCTGACGTTTGACCTTCTACGAATGCACAAGTGCCAAAATGTTTTCGTTAGGACCATTTTGCTAGCAACAAGTAATTACCACATTGCAACGGGGCAAAGGAAAGGCGGATCGGATCGGAACAGAGGAAATGTAAGGGGTACTTCGTACTTCGAGAAAGGTGGCCTTTTGATTGAAATCAGACAGGTGGGTATAGTGGGTGAATGGGAAGAGACTAAAGAGTTGAGTATTTATTTTTTTAAGATTTGCTCTTTTAACTATTATATCCCCAGTGTTGTTTAACGGGTGTACTTTAGATAAGTAATCTGTCAAGCAACATCATTTCTTTTTTACTTGCGGGAAAGTCCAATTATGGCAACAACAATAGTCGGACTACAAGGAATATGTTGCTATTATTATCCACGCAAACAATAAATTAGCTTATCATTAGTTTAAAGTGTCACTTTTTCTGCAATAAAAGAAAATGTATCCCCTTCAACAATTAATCTGCCCAGAAACAAAGCACACAAAGTGATTTGTGCTTGCTATATGTATGCATTGTAATTTAGCGTAGACCTTACCCGGACCTCATCTATACACTAATTTTTTTCAACCTTGATAATAATCTGCTTCAGTTCACTACACGATTTTTTTTCTTTTCTCTTTTCTTATTAGCAAATCGAAATCAGTATGATACTTTGTGAATAATCTGGAACTGATTTACGTCCTTAGTGGTATGTGATTCTATTTACTTTTTATCCTTTTGAGTGTGCCATTCGAACGAAGTGTAAATACAACTTGAATGATGATCATAACCTTTTACAAACCTTTATCTACATTATCTGAGAAACCAAGGGAAGAAAAAAAGCATTCTGATATTACAAGTTCATTGGTTTTACTATATTTTTCTCTTGCTACTACTATTGCCATTGATATCAACTTGTATGATTTGTGTTTGTGTTTCGTAATGAATGGCCCCAATAGGATATGTGTTATTTTATTTTTTATGAGATAGGGAATACTAACTCGAGGTCTGAACCCATTCTGGAACTAGTTAATTTGCTACTTCATCCCAACTTGTAGTTGCCATGATATAATATTACCTTTGAAGTCGTTCCAAATGGGCATCTAGCGAAATTTAAGGTTTGATGCCATCTTGAGATAGAAAGCAAACTTCCATGCTATTATATGATATCATTTATAAACCACATTGTGGCAAGACTTCTTTGGTGCAGTACAGGGTGAGTATGTAGATTCATATCAAGTATTTGAGCTATTCCAGCTTGGTTTTACTTGAGATTTGCTGCCCTTCATTATCAAATAGCAGACTTTATTGGTAAAACCTATATACTGCATGCTAAAACAACTAATTGCTGATCTGCAGGATCAAGGATTTCGTCACGTACGATGCACGTGATAACTTCAAAGGCAATATAGTATACAAATGAAGTTGTAGCCCCAGCGAGCAGCCTGGCTAGCTCAATCGGTAGAGCGTTTGACTCTTAGTCTTGTACAAGAGAAGCGATCAAAAGGTTGCGGGTTCGACCCCCGCGTCGGGCTTTCAGTTCGAACTTCGTTCTTCATTTTTTTTTGTTTAATCAGATCCATAAATGAATACTAATATTGTACATGGCATTTGCCCAGATACAAAGGTGTCAGCCTGTGTCTGACACTTAAGACCACCCCATTTTTAAGATCACATATTTATCCCTCAACCCATGGCTCTCAAATCGCATAGTTTACCTCTGCACGTTTTGTCTTTTGATTTATGGCATGTCAACACGACTACGGGCATCGCTTGAGTCATCGTTAGGTGCGGCAAGCGATCTCCAAGTGAAAATTGACTCGTCTCCAGAATGCGTATGAGTATAACGATTGAGGATCTCCGCAGTACAAAGTGAAAAATTTCACTTGGTGAAGCATTCCACCTTTCCACTTAGATTCCTTTAAATATTCAACTATATAATGTACGACGAGGACGAACCCATATTGGGTGGTAGTAATAGCTACTACAAAGAAAGGAGTATTCCCATGAATAATAATAATAATACCCAACCTTCAACTAAAGCAGGCGATAAGGAAATAGAAACAGTTGTTGAATCCAGTGGCTCATCCATTAAATCAGAGAAGCTCAATGTTTTCCATAAGTTAAACCAACTTTCAAAGAAGCTTGACGCTATAGGAGTTGAAGCTCGAGGTATTGAAAGAATACAATCCTATGAAAGATCTACGAATCCCACCAAACAATTTATATCGGTCATTGGACTTTGGCTCTCAGGATGTGGTGGACTTTCATCGATGTCTTCATTCTATTTAGGTCCACTTTTATTTGGTCTTGGACTTAAGAATTGTATGATCTCAGGTATGATTGGCCAAGCCATTGGCTGTGCTATTGCTGCTTATTTGGCCCTTATGGGTCCACGTTCTGGTTGTAGACAGATGGTTAGTGCCAGATTTCTTTTCGGATGGTGGTTTGTTAGAATTGTGGCATTGGCAGCTATAGTTGGTGTTATGGGTTGGTCTGTGGTTAACTGTGTGGTTGGAGGACAAATTTTAATGAGTGTTTCGGATAATAAAATCCCATTAGTTGGAGGGATTATCATTATTTCTGGTATTTCGCTTATTTTTGCAATGTTTGGTATTAAACAGGTTTTAAGGTTCGAAGCAGCTTTGGCAATCCCAGTTAATCTTGCGTTCTTATTACTTTACATTTCGGCTTCTGATAAATTTTCATATTTATCCAATGCTAATAGTCCATTAGATGATGCAGCTACTCTTAAGGGGAATTGGCTCTCATTCTTTTCGCTTTGTTATGCAATCACTTCAACTTGGGGTTCAGTGGCTTCAGATTATTACATTCTTTTCCCAGAGAATACTCCTGATGTTCAAGTTTATTTCATTACATTTTTCGGAATACTTCTTCCTACTTCGTTTGTTGGAGTGATTGGCTCATTGATTGGTAATGTGGCTATGAATTATCAACCATGGAATGACGCTTATGCTGAAGCAGGAATGGGTGGTCTTTTATTTAAAGCTTTTGAACGGTGGAATGGTGGAGGAAAGTTTTTGCTTATGGTTATTTTTATTTCCTTAATCAGCAACAACATAATCAATACTTATTCTGCATGTTTTGGAATTCAATTATTTGGAGGCTTTTTAACTAAAATCCCCAGATGGTTTTGGTCTATTGTTGTCACTATTGTTTACATGGTATGTGCTTTAGTTGGAAGAAATAAGTTTTCAACTATTTTAAGTAACTTTTTACCAATGGTTGGGTATTGGATTTCCATGTATTTCATGATTTTATTAGAAGAAAACACAATTTTCAGAACCAACAGATTCAAGCATCTTTTCATTCATGAGTTTCCTTCTGATAAATTTACTGAAAGACCACAAGAAAAGGAATTGCATTCGACTAACATACGTTTAAACCAACATTATAATTTTGATATTTGGAATGATCCAAGTAAAATTACTAATGGATATGCTGCCACACTTGCTTTCTGCTGTGGGGTTGCAGGTGCCGTTCTTTCCATGTCACAAACATATTGGATTGGACCTATAGCTAAAGCTGTTGGAGGTGAATTTGGTGGAGATGTGGCCATGTGGTTATCTATGGGCTTTAGTGGTGTGGTTTATCCTTTCTTGAGATACATTGAATTGAAGAAGTTTGGTCGTTAATTTCCATCTATATACTTTTAGAGAGTAATAATAATAATACTAATAATATCGAATGTATAAGTAATTTGCTTAGGCCATGGAAATCTTAACTTCATCAAAATGTGACAAAGTCAAATGCAATTGCATATTTGGAGGATAAGGTCTAGCATCTTCACAAGTCAACTTAGGGAATAATTGTGCTAATCTCACAAGAACATAGGAGGCTTCGGTTAAGGCAAATTGTTGACCCAAACAAATACGTGGACCTCCATTAAATGGTAGGTAGGACCAACCCAAATTCTTCAAGTCTTCCCAACGTTCTGGCTTGAATTCAGAAGCATCTTTACCGTAGAATTCTTCTCTTCTTTGCATAAAGTAAACACTGTAGAGAACACAAGTACCCTTAGCAACATAGACTGGAGCCTTTCCATCGGGTCCACCACCGTTTGGCAAAGTAGTTTCCTTTAAACAAGTTCTAAAGTTGGTTGGAACAGAAGGATACATTCTTAAAGTTTCGTTAATAATTTGCTTCAAGTATTCACATTGTTTCAAGCTTTCAAAAGTAATGTCATTAGGATCGGCATCTTCACCAACACCAAATGTACGTTCTACTTCATCTCTCAACTTTTCCCAAACCTTTGGGTTTCTTGCCAATTCAAACATAGCAAATGACATGAGACCTGCAGTGGTATCTCTACCAGCAACCAAAATGTTCAAGGCTTGATCCAATAAGGCAACAGGGTCTCTAGTCTTTTTAGCCAATTCATACAAGAAAATATAACCCGAATTTGAACGTTTGTCTAATTCATCTTCACTTAAAGCAAGAACTTCATCAACATAATGTCTCCCGAAATCTCTCACCTTTTTAGTTAACCTTTTAAACTCTCTTGAATTGTGAAGCCAATACAAGGATTGAGAATAAGCTCTTGCAGCCAAATATACTTGAACAACATTGAAATCCGAAGCAAACGTATCTTTACCTTGAATGCTTCTGGTATCAACTTTACCAATCTCGTCGTCCCATAAACTGTGAACCGAGTCACCAAATAAAAACTCTGTTGCGGTATCGATAGTAAATCTGAAGAAAAGTTCCTGAATATCAAATGGCATGCCCTTTTTAGCTCTGATATGATCAGCAAACCATTGAATATGAGGTTCCAAAGATTTCACATGAGCAACCTGTTCTCTAGCAAACTGAGGTCTTAGCACTTGTCTTGAATGCTTCCAGCCTTCACCATCTAAAGTGAAGATACCATTACCCAAAGTGGGCAGGAAATGAGCATGTCTGTCACCTAAACCGAAATCAGTAAATTGAGTAGCCAAAAGTGCCTTGATGTTATCTGGATCCATTGTAGCAAGAACTTTCATTCCAGGTATATCCATTTGTTGAGTCAAAGGTTGACCATTGCAGAAGAATTTATTTTGATAACTTAATACGGTACCCGTATGCATACATTTCAAAGTATTAAATAATACCTTTATGGCTTCAATTCTACCCATGGCATAAGGTGGTTCTTTACAGCCATGAGCTTTGTAAAACTTCAAATATCTAATGTAGTTAGCTATAAAGTAGACCACGGAAGCACCAATTAAAATGGTGTACCATTTGGTAAGATATGGAGTTATTTCTTCAACAACTCCCATGTTAACTTATGTATAATATAATTAGATACAATTACAGTAATTCAATGCTAAAGAACCTTCAAGGTATTTATAACTTTTTACTATGATATCACCAGGAAAACCCCACATTAGTTTTTGCAGCTTCCTAATCAGGGTAAGTAGTCTCTACAATAGAGGACAAAACCTGCATTAAACCGAGCTAATTTCCCCAATCTTCATGTGAGCATCTCAGATCCACTCGGACAATCTTGCACATAAAGAATTAACCTTCAAGCTTCTTGTTTTAAGGTACAACGAATAAACGTAATAATAAGTCCTGGGTCATCGATATGGGTTTACAGTTACTATTAGCATTCTCCACTATCATTATCGTCGTTCAGCCATGTCAAGACGTCCCCTCAGCCACACTAAAGATCCGCCAGCCATTATCATACTGAAACGTTACCCTCGGTCCCAATTAGGCGAAAAGGTTCTAACACCCATCCCCCATAATTATCCGTGAGATATATTTGTACATTGATCCAAGGAATGCTATAATTGAATAGTTACTCCTCAGCCACAAAACCTACCATAGGTGGGCCAACAATTTCTAGCACAATAGGGCTCTTGAAATTTTCACATTCACTTCCTGTTGCTGTCACTCTTAGCCCTGAGTTGATGGTACTTTTTCCGCGCATATTCATTAGTAAATTCAATGTCTAACTCATCATCGTCATCTTCTTCATTGTTAGTATCATCAGGTAATATCTCAAGTGATTGAGTACCATTGAATTTGTGTGTATACTTGTGGCGATTACCACCAGCAACCTCTTGTTGCTCTTGATCTGAATCCAGATCGTCGTAGAGTTGCACATGCTTTTCCTTCAGTAGTGATTTCTTATACCGTTCGAGGTTTTGTAAACTTTGAGTTTTTTGGTCCTGTTGGACATTATAATCTTTCCGAGATACAAATAGCGATTTATTATTTCTACCATTCTTTGCTAATGCCATAAGCTCTTGTAATTTTGTAGATTTAGCGGAGGTAGTGTTGATATTGGTATTTCTTCGTTTGGGGAGTAATGGATTGAATCCAAGGTCTTTTAAGTTTGCATTGGTCAACCCCTTCTGGGAATCTGAACTATATTGTTTTTCAACCGATTTATAAGATGATTCTGACAAGATACCTAAATCTCGAAGTCTACCAGAGGATGTGGGGTTAACAATACCCATTAATTTTGATTCTAATAGTTGATTTGCCTTTTCATCGTCTTTTCGCTTCCTTTTCCTTATCAGTTCAGTAACCAAATTGGGATCGTCATATTTGGCAAGATTTATTGAATTACCTCCAGAATAAGTTCGAGTCAGCTCCTCTGGGGGACTATATTTAAATCTCCTTTCATACGATGATGAAGAGGAAGACAACGATGGCCCTTGAAGACTAACTGCACCATTTAGTTCCATTCTATTAGTACCACTACGGTAATGTTGTTCCAAATGAATTTGACATAAATCTCCTTTTGCAGTGTTTATGGCTCTGTTACATTTTTTACATTTCCCGTAGTTTTTCATTAACCCCACTGATATAATATTCTTAATATTATCTTTATTCTTGAATTGTATGCCATTGGATGGTTTCCTGGCAATTCCAGGATTAAGAATTAAAATAATCTCTCCTGCAACAAGATGGATAAAATGCTTCACTGCTTTATCAAATACTAAGACCCCAATATCCGTATTCCAATCACCAAAGAAGAATTTGAGATACTTATTCTTCCCATCTTTGGTTGTGCAGAGTTCAGGCTTACTTAGAACAAATCCGCATACCATCCAATTTATATAATTAGGTTCATTATATGATGGTGGAGAGCATTTGGCGTAGAACTTTTGTAAGCTCATTATCTTGATGTTATACTGGCTAATTAACTGAGTCACACATTTGGGATCAATGTACCTTCTTATCATTGGTTCTTTGGTGAATTGGTCATTTTCTGTCACCACTTGGTTTAAACGAGGTATCTCATCATCTGTAAAGCCAAAGATCCGATCTTGAAGGTCAATATTAAACTTTGTTGGCTTTTTGTCGGACGCATTCTCGAGTTTAGCTCCAAATGATGACTGGCCTTTCGGTTTCAATACGTTCCCATTGAAACTACTTGGGAGTTTGCTTTGAGCTTGTTTCCTCTGCGCAAATTCACCAGAAAAGCATTGTTGATCTTTGATATTGTTATTATTATCTTTATTATTGGTCTTTGGAGAACTGGGTGGGGTATCACCTACTTGGATCGAGATGATTGCACTATTACTATTCTCTTGATGATGGTTCTTCTTCTCGTTCTTCTTCTCCAATAAAAGTTGCTTCTTCCGCTCATACTCTCGTTCTAATTGGACCAACTCATCTTCTTCAGAGTCTGTTAATGTCTCTATATCTTCACCCATGCTGAATATGACTAACTCGTATGTAGCTTCGACTTATATCCTCATCTTCAGAACCGTAGACGATGCGCGACTTGGGTTCATGTTCGCACTGCGAAAAATTAAAATGTCAACTTTGATTTGAACAACTGAAGACAACGTTTCCACTGACAGTTTACTCTTCTCACTATAGCAGAATACTTATGTCTAAACGAGGCAGGAGCAAGTCCATTGTGACACAGATTGCTTCCGATGTTCCTACACAGCATGGGGTCTCTGAAGTTCATTTGAATTTGGGGAAACTGACCCCACCACCACCACCACCTCTTTTATCGAAATCATCTAATGAAAATAATGGTAGTGGTCGAGAGATTCTTAACGACTCCGGTGAATCACTTTCAAGCAGCAAAACTCGAGGAAGACCGACTAGAAGCAAATCACTAACAGATTTGGACGACATTCACGATAAGAAAGACAATAATAATAATATTAATAATAGTAGAAATAAAAAAAAAGTGTTTGATCAATTGTTCCCTTTCACTAATGATGAAGTTGAATTATATTGGCTGAAACAAGTCAATGCCTTGAACCTACCATCTATCATCCCTTTTGAACAGCAACAACGATTGGAATCGTTATTGAATCAAAAACTACAATTATTCAAGAACACGCTATCAACAAACGTCAATAGTTATGAACAACTTTTGGGTGAAACCAATTCAGTTTTGGTTCAATTGGACGATCTTATCAATAAATATTCCAAAATCTCCAAGGAGACCCTTGACTTTGAAAGATTACTGTCCGGGTACTTGAATACTAAAATCAAGTTTGATACAAAACACCATGAGATCGCTGGATATTTGAAACACTTTGAAACATTGGATCCCATAACAAGACATTTATCCAAAGCAGGATCTAGTAAGAGTTTAGTTAGACTGAAGAGATTTAAAGAGATCTTGGTGGAACTAGATGAGTCATTGGCATTCATTAAAGAAAACCCAGAAATGAAAGATCATGATTTCTATAACATGAAGTTTAGGCAATGTATGACTAGAGCTCTTTCCTTAGTCAAAGATTATTTGACATATCTGTTAAAGCAGTTACTTGAAGGTATTAACATTCAATTGAAAGCAAAAAAAATCGCCATAGAATTGGTTTATGTCAATGAATATGTTAATTTCATTGAAAAGTTTGATTTCCAATCCTTAATTAAAGAAATCTCCACTAGAATTGGAACCCATGACGAATATTTGGGCTTATTGAATGAAGTTTTAAATTGTTATTTTGACGGGAGATTGCTGTTAGTTTCACTTTATGTTGATGCAAAGAACACGATAACGAATGATAAAAACGACATTGTTCAATTCACTCAACATCAAATCAACTTTTACAAGCAAATTATTCAAAAGGAATATTCATTATTCTATAGATTCTTTCCTACTAATGACGATCAACTTGCACTTAGATTACAAGATTACCTCAAGAGAATTCTAGAATCTTTGCATGATAAAGTTCGACCTTATTTGCTTAGGGAGACAAACATCACCAAATTATGTGCATTGGATACTTTGTTACAAAAGTATTATGAATTTGAAGAAGCAGACTCTTCAACTGTTGTGAGCTTAAATGTTTCTGATGGACTGCTTAGTTATGGTATTTTATTCCAACCTATTTTAAATGATTGTCAAACAAGACTTATTTTCAGAATTCAAAATTATGTTGATAACAAGTTGATGAAATATAATCCTTCGACCCGAGATATTCGATTATTGGCTGCTGATAACCAAACTCTTGTAACCAGAAGAAAAAGTAGTGTTAATGAGTCAACTACTACTACTGATAGTTTAGATGTTGATTATGAGGATAACATATTCCCGGATGTTTATATGCCATTGGCCAAAGCTTTAACGTTACTTTCCAATATTTATGATTTGATTAATTCAGTTGTTTTTGATGATTTGGCCCATTATATTGTCCATGGGTGCATTTATTTGCTTAAAAACAATTTGTACAAAAAGTGTGAGGGGACTTTGGGAACAACAGATGCCAATTTGATTCTTGTTAAGAACATCTTGATTTTAAGAAGTCATATATCCAATTTCGATATTCAATTCACAAGAAATGATTATTCCATTGACTTCACAACAGGCTTGCACGATGTCTATCAAACACTACGGAGCGGAGACTTCAATTTGAATAATAATGGAATCATTGAATTGGTTAAAAGATCAGTACCTCGAATCGTGGATAATATGATTGATGCCAATTATGAAATCGAATTTGAATTAAGAAATGCTGTTAATGAACTTATTCAAGGTGCAAGCAATTCGATATGTGAGCCACTAATCCAGGGTAAAGATAATTCTGCTCCCATGGAAGTTTATACCCAATTGAAACTTAAATTAGATGAAGAATTACCGCGACTTCAAACTCAAATCAACCTGTTCATTGATGAAGAAGCGGCATCTCAATTCTTAATTCACAACGTTGCCAATCTTATCTTCGTTAATTATGAAAAGTTCTATCAAGAGAAGCTTTTAACAGCTGGCACCGAGGGAACGGAAGTCATGGATCCTGATACTTTCTATGGATACTTGGCCTCTTCAATTACTGTGGAATCTGAAGAGGCTCCACATTTCAATGAGGATATCCTCAATGAGGTCCACTAATAAAATAGTAGATCAACTAATTAAATAGTACTAGTTCATACACGCACTAAAAAGTCGTATCACTGCTCATCAAATGGATTGTAAATATTTTTAGAAAGCAACTTGTTCAATTCGTTCTTAACATTCATTACTTGATCTTGTTTAATGAGAAGATGAGTTTCATCCAATTCGTCAAGAACAATTCCTGGAGCCTTTGAGTCTATTTGTAGGATAAGTGCACGGATACTTGGATCACACTGAACTAAGACTCCTTTAGTAGCTGTAGGCATTGTAAATGGGCTATGACTAAAGAGCTAAGTAGATTACAGTTTTACAAATGAAAATATATACATATAGCCATACAAATGACAATAGATCACCGCGCGCTACCATATTTGAATATGGTAGCGCGCTCAATGTGAACTCACGCAAGAGTAGTTAGTATTACGGCCTAGTATGAAGTCAGTGACCTGTTGACTGTTGACTGTTGATTGCTGATGACATGAGCGACGACGGAACTGGGACTAACAACGGCAATGTATCACCAAAAGGGAATGAAAGTGAAACCAGTGATGAAGCAACTGATCATATGGTTACTGCGGGTACTGAATTGAGTACCCCCACTTGTACAACAGGACGATCTTCAACTTCAATAGCCTTAGATAACGTTCTTGAAGAAGATCCAAATGATAATAATAAGGAGGATGGTAATGGAGATGGAAATGGTCTTCATAGTTTAGTTGATAAGAGTAGTGATAAGAGTAGTGACGATGAAACAGAAGCAGATGAAGATGAAGCAGAAGATACTGATGATGATGATGATGATGATGATGATGATGATGATGATGATGATGATGATGATGATGATGATGATGATGAAATTCCTCCGAGATTAAAGTATTCTAGATTGAACCAGCTACTGTCCAACTTCTTTACCAAAGACCCTATATCTGCCTGTGCTTTTCATGACAATGTTCTTATATTTGCTACCCACACGGGTATATTGCATCTTGTGAGACCAGATTACTCGGTATTGAGGACCTTCAAGGCTCATAAAGCTTCCATTTTACTGGTGTATACCGATGGCTTATATTTTGCCAGTGGTTCTATGGATGGAACCATTGTGATTGGATCCATTAGAGACGAAAAAGATATAATTGCTTACGATTTTAGTAGACCCATACATGCAGTTGTATTTGATAAGGCATATGGCAGAAGCAGAAGCTTTATCAGTGGAGGAATGAGTGGTAAAGTGATTTATTCCACCAAGAACTGGTTGGGCCAAAGAGTTGATACTATATTAGAAGAAGGTCATGGTCCAATAGTTGGTATTAAAATTATAGATGATATTGTATTTTGGATGAACGATAAGGGAATTACATTCTTTGATATTTCCAATCGTCTGATTATTCATACAATAGAGAAACCCAAAGATTCCCCCCGCGGTGATCTTTATTGGCCACGGGTTCATATTCCAGAAGCTAATCGAATATTAGTTGCTTGGGGGAATTATGTCTGGTCCCTTGTGGTTCAATCAGGTAAACTAAATGAAGACAACAATGGACTTCACAATAATTCTGCAGGTAGTGGTGCAAGCTCTATATACAAAGTATTACCTTCAACTGCTTCTATTTCCTTTAGAACATCGATTGTTAAGAAAGTTGAAGTGGAACATAGTTTTAAATTCGATGATGCTTTGATTTGTGGAATATCAACCTTCACTAATGATTCATTATTACTTTTAATATTCAATCCTCCTACATTTCTGGAAAATGACCAGGGAGTCATGATACCAACTTATAATAGTCCTGATGTTCGTCTTGTTAATGCTACTACTGGTGAACTTGAATTTGAGGAGGAAATTGGCCTCAAGAACGCTAAAGGTTTAGGATTAAATGATTATAAATTGGGTACATTGATTGATAATAAGAGTTTACCCAAATATTTCATTATTAGTGCAACTGATGGAGTGTTGGGGGAACAAGTACTGTTATACGACCAACTGCAATGGTTTATAAGTAAAGAAAGATACCTTGAAGCGTGGAGAATTACCGAACATTTACTTCCAAGAGTAAAAAGGTTAAATTTGGGTATTTCACATGTTGATAGTTTAGTATCCAAGGAAAAATGGCAAGAAGCAGCCAATTTCTTAGGAAGTCTACTTGAAGTGGAATATTCAGACTTACCAGATAATTTCACTACGGTTTCATCAATCTCAACAGAAGAAAAGGATGTATATACTCGAGAAGTGATTTCTCAATGGGATGCATGGAGTCGAATTTTCATTGAAAGTAATCATGTTGGTGAAATTGCAACCGTTATACCCACATCACCTAAATTGAATTTACCAAAGCATATTTTTAATCATATTCTTGAACATTATCTAAAAACAGATCAAGATGAATTTATTAGGTTGTTAACCACATGGAGTTTAGATTTATTTGATTTCAAATCAATTGAAACACAATTAGAAGAGGAGTTGGAATTAAAATCTTCAAATACAAAATTAAGAATTACCTTATCAGAGTTATATGTGAATTCTTATGAGCCAACGAAGTCCGTGCCCCATTTAGTATATTTGAAAGATCCTTGCATTATTCAATTTTTATTCAAACATCATTTGCTAACCACGTATCAAGAGAAACTTCCAGAATTTATTAATTTACGGTTTAATAGCAAAAAGAAGTTTGAAACATTACCAATTCCCGAATTAGAAGACTCACTAAGTGATATTATTGATATACTTGTTGATAGTCGACATGAACTATTACCCAATGAAATAGTTAAACTTTTCTTCAAATCACGAATGGATATTGTTAATTATTTTTATTTACAAAAGTTAATGAGTGTGGATGATTTCTTAGTGCAATCGTTTGGGAATGAGTTGGTTAAACTTTATTCACAATTTGATAAGGCAAAACTTATTGGATATCTTAGTTCCAATAATAATTATGAGATTGAACGAGCCATTGAGTTATGCGAAGCCAACGAATATATACCTGAATTGGTATATTTATTGGGTAAAATTGGAGAAAACAAAAAGGCATTACGGTTGATGATTGATAAATTAGATGATCCAGAAACTGCAATTAATTTTGCTAAACATCAAAATGATAAAGAAACTTGGACAATCTTAATTGACCATTCAATGGATAAACCTAAATTCATTAAGGCTTTAATTGAAGATTCAGATGAATTGCTGTCACAATTTTATGACCCTATTGATATTCTTCAAAGAATGTCCAAAAATGTTGAAGTTTGGGGATTAAACAATTCAATCATTAAATTCTCCTATAATAATGAATTGAATCTTGTTTTAAATCAATTGATTTATCAACTTGTGGTCAAGAATACTGAAGATTTATCTGAATATTTAAGGCTTGATAGAATCAAAGGGTTTGAAATTAATATTCAAAAATTATTTTCCAAGGGGTTTATCAATGAAAATGACTCAATAATTCTACTCAAAAATCATAAAGGAGAGCTAAGTTATTTGAATGAAGCTTCATTGATCGATATAAAACATAAGGCAGTGTTCACGACATTAACTTCGAAATACGACCATCTTGAACAAGTCAAACGTCAAATCAAACAGAAGAACAGTCCTTGAAGTTAGCGCTTATGTTTGAACCATTCCAAAGTATCTCGGCCAGTATTTTGTATCGAAGAAGTGGGAATAACGGAGATACTGATGAACTTCCAGTGGCTAATGCTACGACTAATGCTACTAAAGAAGAAACGGTAACTGTGCCCTCTAGTAATATTAATAAGTCTACCACCAAAAGACACAAATTCCAGGCATTGATAAGATTATTCAAAGGAGTGACAAAGAATGAATCGGACAATGATTCAATATTTGATTCGATATTAGAATGTTATAACCATTCATCAATAACTGAACATCAAAAGATTAACAATATCCCCAAGAAACCTCACAGTGGCCATTCCTCGTCTAAATCTGTATCCACAACCATTAGAGCACATACAACCAACTACTATTGGCAAAAACCAAAGACATTCAACAGCAAGGATCGAGTGCTCCGGTACGTGGAAGGCAACACGTTTCGACAACGAGTTAAAGGGGGAATACTTAAACCTAGAAGAACAATAAAAGAATATGAATCGTTTCAACTTGATACAGAAAATACACGATGATATTTACTATTGAGTTGTAAATGGATTGAATCTGGAGAACAATGAGGTTGTGGCCGTTGAAAAGAAGCTGGTGGCTAAATTATTGGCTTTACCAAATTTATCACATTTAGTGAAGGCCATAGCATTAGTAGCCGAAAGGGTAAGGGCTATACCAACGATTATCAAGTATAAAAATTGGAATTTTAAAATGGAGACCACTGCTAACCCCCCCCAAACAATTGGCAGGGCATATAATAAAGTCCAAAAGATATTGGAATCAACAGGATGAATATATCGATTTGGATCCGCAGTTTCAAATACCCAAACGTTTTCAAATGAACCATGTGAATCTTTGGTATAATTCACTTCATTCCACCATCTTAACCCCACTAATAATCTACCGGAAATGTTTTTAACGTTCCAAAAATCAGCGGAGATTAAGATTATAAGTGATATAAAGTGTAAGATGAATTTGTTCTGGGATGTGATTAAACCAATGATGAAGTTCCCAAACAAATAGTCGAAAACGGCTCCTACACGGAAGAAAATGTAGCATACCAATGCCACGGGATGTGAGGATTGTTTTATCCGTTCAATCCATGATAATTGGCTTGCTTGTTCATTGGTTAATGGTTGAGTCAATAGTCCTGTGGCTTGATTTGGATACGGATTGGAGTCGCTATATGTTGGAGGTGGTGGTACTTGAGCTTGTGATTGAGCTTGTCCTTGTGGAACAACGACATCTGGTTCCACAACATCGGCCTCAATGGCCGTATATCCTGACGACATAATATTATTAATATATACCTGCTATGACTTGAGCTAAGGTGTCTCAAGGTAATGTCTGTCGTGGTTTTGTTGTTAGTTTGTGTTTCGTGTCGCGAAATGTCGTGTTTATGGGAACACGACATTTGTGCCATCACCAGTTTATAGATTAAGTGATTAATACCATCAATACTATCTGTGCTCTTTTACACCATAGAACAAAGAATGTCGTCATTCTACCGTAAGTTCATTGGCGGGTTATCCCGTAAACAACTTGAAACAGCCAAAGTATGTTGACGTCGTAACTAGTATTCGTGTCCATCAGATGAATGACTAACAACAGAACAGATTGGGTTTTATCTCCTTACTCCCATCAGTATCATGTACTACACAGGGTTGGATACGGATCAGAAGTTCAATATTCCTGGGTTCTGGCCCGATCCTGCGACGTTGAATCAGATTCCCAAGGAGCCCTATGAGATCCAAGCGGAAATTGCGCGGATCCGTCGAGAACGGGCAGAGAAACGTAAGAGATTAGAAGAGAGAGCAAAGATGTTGGAGGAGGAACATGAATGAAGGTATTGATATGATCAATAATAATAGTGTACTTGTAAATAGAAATAATATATGGCATTCTGTACATAATAATTGACATAAACTGTTTTATTCTATTAGTTCAGTGAGTATTGTCGTGGGGCACATTTCAATTGAAACTCCTTAAGTTTTGACTTCAACTCCTCAATAGTTCCATTTGAAAGCTTAAGGTGGTTTGGAGACGAAGAGATGATCTCCAAGACCTTCCTTAAGGCAACAATCACATCATAATCAGTATACCCGAGTCTTTGACTGAAACCAGGTGGTACATTGGAGGTTGATCCAGGACTGTTACTTGAAAGGTAATTGAAGTTACCGTAATTTGCATTGGGGATGCCCGAGAAAAGCATTGGTGGCTTTCTTTTATCTGGTTGCCATGGCTCATTATTATTATTATCCAACCTATGTTTAGCATTGATGATTGGTGGTAATGGCGATGGTGGGGTATCTGCTAACTCCTTTGACATGGAACTTAAGGCATTGGGCAATGGTAAATTGGACGTTGTGTTGCTCTCATTGGCTAGAACATTGCCTGCGGTGATCAATGAGTTGATTGTCAAGGCTGCTGCTGCTGCTGCTGGAGTACTGGTGGATGATGTAGGTTGTTCCGATTGTCCGGTAGTGGCACCGTAATCATTATAGTTGCCAACGTCTAGTTGTAGGAACTGTAAGGAGTTGGATGCCGATTTATTGGCCTCATTGGAATTCATTTGACTTAATCGGAGTGGTAAAGGTAATGGCGATGTGGATAGTCCTCCTGGTTCTTTTTTTATGGATGTAGTACCACCACCATACATCATTGGACCGTTGATTGAACTATTGGTCAATTGAGGAGTATCGTTGCCATTGGGAATTATTGATGGTAACGGAGTCTGTTGCTGAGGTAAAGGAGATTCCGTATTAAGGAGTGATGGGGTTGGAGCATCTATATTGTTTGTAACAGAAGACAAGTTGAACCAACTTTCTTGCACCAATATATTTTCGTTTAAATCGTCGTTAACATTAGCGTTAGTATTGTTATTAGAGGATATTCCTTGGTTTATGCTGGAGTCATTATTATGAATGTTGACGGTATTATTATTAGTAGTAGTATTATTAGAATACCTTCTTGCGGGAATGGTAAAGGTATCATCTTTATCTTCCATGAGTTCTGGTTCTTCCAGTAGACAACTTCCTATAATTTCTTCAATGGATAGATAACTTAGGGTGACTTTAGCCTTTTCATTGACCAACCCCAATAAATCATCTATTTCAAAGGGGATAACCGTATTTAAATATCCCATGATTTCCAGAAGCTTATCGTAACTTTTGGTATGATTATAAGTTTGTAACCGTTCAGTCATGGATGCCAATAGTCTGTTACCATCTTGTTGAATGTCCAAATCATTTGAAGGCCAAGGTAGATTGAAGTTGATCAAATGGGTCTTTTTCCATGAAGCATATATCTTTTCCTGTGTTATGGAGTCCCAAGATCTTTTAATCCATTCAATTACTTTAACCAAAGATATCTTGTAGTCGTCTTCCGATAAGATTTCACTTGTACTGGTAGAAGAAGCATCTTTATTGGACTCATTAGGGGGGTTGGTAGCAGTACCACCATTATTAGTGGAGGTACCTGGTGTGCCGTTAACATTTCCATTACCACTACCCTCCTCTGCCTTTTTTTTTGACTTAATTCTCTGAAGATTGATCATCTCCAAATATTGTTGAAGTCTATATAAAATCTTGAACTCGTCAACTATACCAAAACTCATGGGTAAATAATCAAATTTCACGCCCGAATATAAGGTATTGTAGGGGTTTTTCTGACTAATATTATTCTTCAAATAACAAAGTCTTATATTATTGAATTTGACATTGATTATGCGATGAGACGAAGAATCATCAAGGATTATCAAGATCTTCCGAGGAGGGGATTGGTTGCCCAATTTATGATCAAGAGTAAGTAAATAGTTTTGAAACATCGACAGGGTTATCCATTTATTCCCATTTGATTTATAAAAAATCTGATATATTTCCGTCAATCGATTCAGCAACACTTGTTGGTTTATAGATTGGATCGGGAGATTCTTTAAGCTTGTATGAGAACTTTGACTCAAATCAAACCGCTCATATTTCCCTACTATGAGCGGAGTTAATTTCTCAGTGCCATTGATGTTACATCCTAGCATTATGGTTAACAGATTCTCCGGTGAAGAACTCAATTGCTTTAACCCTTTATCAATGGAACTTATATCAAAGATTTGGTCCAAGGGCAATTGATAGAACAATTGGAACTCGTCAATGGTGAAAATATCTTGTGGTTTATAATTTTCCTTATGGATTAAATTGGAAATGTATTCCTTTAGTTCGACTTTTTCATCCAACTTCCAAATCTTATTGAGTTTATAATTGCCCGGATTCTCAGCTATATCTTGTTCTGTTCCAGTGAGACAAACATTCAACCGCTTGACAAAGTGACTACACCATTTTTGAGTGAAGATCCCATTGCCATCCTTTTGTTCCATGGGGAGTCGTTTCCAAATAGCACTGGCCGTCAGTTGGATGATGGGAGTTGTAATGGGGATATTCTCCCATATGGCTTGAGTGATCCATTCTCCAAGGATCTTCCGTAGCAAGGGGTTCTGTTGTCTCCTTCTTCTCACCAAGGTGAAATCTGCATCTTTAGAGGCAACCAATTCATTTTTGGAGCTTAATATTCGACTAATGGTGGTTTGTGATGGAGGTTTATCTGATCCGTATTTCTCTTTCGCCCATAGAGCCAAATCCGATTGAGTCATCTCAGGATTGGATTCGGCCTTGAGACAAATGTCTATTTTCTGTTTTATAGTATATCCCATAATAATTGCATGCTCAATAAATCTCAATCAACACACTAGGAGGACCTTATGGTATTAATCTAACTAAATACAGCTGCTTATGTATAGAGTGGCTGAAGTATGTTTCTTAATCTTGACTGAGTTATGTTGATCCTCGATGGGATCTGGTAAATATTCTTTTCTGGGTCCATTTCTTAGTTGCAATATATTCGCTTACACGGTCGTTCGATTTATGTGCCCCCACACAAATTCATCAGGTGGTATACCAAGATGATGCGATCTCCTGATATCGGTGACTTGAGAAAATAAACCTGATTAATTTAGTTATATTAATTTATAGTATACGAGTTACTCTTATGATTAGTGAGAGTCAAGAAATGTGACTACCTTGGAGAAAACAGAGTTAAAGATCTCTTCCAGTTCAATGAAAATCGCATGCTTTGCTCCAGGAATAGATTCGTATTTGGCATCAACAGTTTTGGGCAACAATTTGAAAAACTCTTGAGATGATCGATCCCAATTAATATGATCATCATCTCCATGTAAAACCAATAAACTAATCAGAGGATCCCAAGTAGCAACATAACTTGGTTCCAATAAACGAGCTCCACGGGCAAACATATTGTGGAATTGTCTTATAGTACCAATCAATTTACCCAGATTACGAACATATTCCTTCCAGCCTTCATTAGACGTAATGTGATCATAATTAAGCTTGGAATCAATCTTCAATCTGGGAACTAAGGCATTGATAACCGATTGTAATTTCATAATAATGATATTTGGTTCAGTATCAGGGTGCAATTTAACTAATGGTCCACTGGCAACCACACTCTTAATCAATTGCTTATGTTTACCCTTCATAGGGTAATTCAAAATAATCCCTCCACCCATAGAATGACCCATAAGAGTGAACTTCTCTTCGGGGTCGGTTCTTTTACCTGCTTCTCTTTCAATGAAGAAATCCAAATCATCAAATGTATGGAATTCATCTGTAACTCCTACATCACCACCTTTACCGGTTTCTCCAGCTCCTCTTTGATCGAAAAAGAAGATTTCGTAACCTTGTTGACTTAGTTTATCGAAAAATTCAGTATAAAGTCCACTCTCTTCCGAGAACCCATGGACATAAATGATCTTCCCCTTATAAGTAACCCCCTCTGGGACTTTCCAAGTGACTGTCTTGAAGTTAGCTTTGTTATAGACAACTGTCTCGACTTTGGGAGTCCCCTTTGGGGTATAAGGAATAACACGTTCAGGCATAGTCAATCAGTCAATCAATCAATCAATCAATACTATAGAAAGAAAGAAAGAAAGGGAAAGACTTTAACGAGATTAGAGTGTTAATTGCACTGTTGGCAAAACTGTATTTGATCATCCCGTGTTTTTTTGTGATATTCACTACAAGGAGTTAACACTTTTCAGTAGCAAAAGGTAAACCGAGGGTCAACCCTCAACAATCGCTTTTAGGCCTATCTAAACAACCAACAATAGAAACCACAATAATAATCAAGCCACATATAATGTAGTTTGGAGTTGCTACTCTCCGCTTACAGTAATTTTAGATTGTACTTTCAACGTCATTAAAGAGAAGTAGTCTACGTGGCAATATTCTATAAATAAATACTTGAGACACGAGCCAGTTTTAATCATAATAATACTATTTCAAGTATTGCATTTAATTAAAAGTACTACTTTATATTTTCTAATGCACAAATGTATATTGGAGCTCCCCCCGGAAGTATCCTCGGATCTTGTCCATGTCCTCGGTGAAGTGTTCTCCTGAAACTTCTAAAATAGAAACACCCAACGTTTAAGCAATCAGATGTTTCTTCTTAGTTAATTTAGTTTGTGGATTAAACTTTGGTTAGCCCGAAAGTTTCAATACTTCCTGGAGGTCGATTCCTACTCATTGCTTCTCAGCCAAATCTCATCAGTTGCATAAGCATAGCATATACGCACAGGTTGTCCTATGGCAGTGACAGCATCTTCAGTTTCCGATGTAGGCCAAACTACAACGGCAATGGGGGTCTCGGCCGCGGCGGCGGGCTCAGCGTCAAACGACTCCAATACTCTGGACCCATTCTATGGACTTTCGTTTAAAGTGGGAGTAGCAGAAAATAAAAATGTGGCGTATCGGTCCAAGATGGAAGATGTCCATACATATATAGCCAATTTTGCTGAGCAAGTTGATTGGGGATACTTTGCAATTTTTGATGGTCACGCGGGGAAAGAGACAGCGAGATGGTGTGGGAACAATTTGCATAATTTACTTGAAAGTGAAATAGCCCAAACGTGTTCCAATGGAGATCGTCGTTCTAAGGTGTTAAGTGGAGACATTCAACAAAGTTTCTGTGAGGCCTTTGAAAAGGCTGATGAATTGATAGAAAAGGAATGTACGGGTTCTTCAGGGTGTACGGCTGCTGTTGCTGTTTTAGTATGGGAAAGGAAAGAAGACACTGACATTGATGAACCAATGAAATCCCCGGGTCCTGAAAAGGAATCAACTCCGAATGCTAAACAGTTTGAATTCATTCCAACATCAAATCATAAAAGAGTGTTATACACTTCGAACGTTGGAGATTCTAGAATTGTCATATACCGAGATAACAAGGCATATAGACTTTCATATGATCACAAGGCCACTGATTTGAACGAGATAGCTAGAATAAGAGATACAGGAGGTCTTATACTTAAGTCGCGAGTGAATGGGTTCTTGGCTGTCACCAGATCTTTAGGAGACTCTTATATGAAAGATTTAGTGGTTGGTAGACCATTCACAACTTCGTTAGAAATATCTCCAACTGATGAATTCATTATATTGGCATGTGATGGTCTTTGGGATGTTATATCTGATCAAAAAGCTTGTGAGTTTGTAACTGAGTGTTTTAAGTCAAGCAAAGACCCTCAACGAGCTGCCAGATTGTTATGCCAATTAGCAATGGATGAAGCAACTACTGATAATGTCACTGTGATGATCGTTAGGTTTGACGAAGACGTTTTTCAATTGGGTATATAATAGTGGGTATAAATATATTATTAATATAATGGTCATAAATACATTAAACACATATGATGGTTCCCTTAACTTGGACCTTACTTTGTTCATCTCTAACAAAATCGCTAGGACGAAGTTTGGACCGATAAAGCTTCAACAACAAACTACTGGTGACAACACTAAGTGAACTTAAAGCCATAGCCACAGATGCCCATACTGGGTCCAACCGAGAATTGTGGAAGGGGTAGATAACACCAGCAGCAATTGGAACTCCAATAACATTATAAATCAAAGCCCAGCCGAAATTGAATTTAACTCTCCGGAAAACTACTTGACACAAGTCGAATAACGTAACAATGGATATCAAGGGATGGGTTTTGTTCAAAAGAATAAAGTCAGATGAGTTTACTGCAAGATCAGCACCAGAACTTAATGAGATACCGACATCTGCCAGAGATAAAGCTGGTGCATCATTAATACCATCACCAATCATAGCCACGACGTTTTTGGGATCCTTGGCTTGAATCTTTTTGATTTGGGCTTCCTTTTCACTTGGTAATACTTCACTGACGATATTAACTATCCCAAGTTCTTTCCCAATGGCTTGAGCAGTTAATGAGTTGTCCCCAGTGATCATCCAACATTCCATATTTAAGTTCTTGGTCAAATAAGCAATCACGTCCTTAGCTTCCTTTCTAACTTCATCACGACATGCCATGCACATAATCAAGTGGAACATATCGTCACCAAATAACTTGGGACAGGTGACAGCCAATAAGATTACAGATTTCTGTTCACTCTTCCATTGAGTCAATAGGTTGGTGACATCGGCAGTCATTTCAACGTTATATTCCATCATAAGCTTTTCGTTACCTAAAATCACCTCTTTAGGCTGACATTCGGTCCAGATCGTCTTCCCTTCAGTCATGTCTACAACAATCTTTCCTCTTAAACCTAAACCAGGCAAAGTCGTTACTTCAGGGACCTTATTGGCAGCAAGTTTATGGTATTTGGCTTCGGCAAAATGTTTAACGGCTCGGGCCAAAGGATGTTTGGAACTTACTTCCAAATCTCTACTAAGCTGGATTGCCATTAATGTCACAACCTTTTCCAACCGTCTCAAGCTCTTTTGCATTACCAACATATAATCTGTGATCTTGGTTTCACCATATGTCAAGGTCCCGGTCTTATCAAAACATACAACATTGGTCTTGGCTCCATCTTGGAATGAAGCTCCACCACCTTTAGCAAGAATACCATGTTTACATGCCAATCCACTCCCTACAAATAATGCAGTAGGAGCTGCAAGACCGATACCACAGGGACATGCCACCACAAACACGGCAATGGCGAATTGTAAAGACCAGAAGGACCATCCTCCAGTATCGATGTCCAAATAAGATTTGGGTAAGGCATTACTTAAACCCAATATAAGCCAGATTATCCAAGTTAAAACGGCCAAAAGGACAATAATAGGTACGAAATAACCAGTAATACCATCTGCAACTCTTTGGATGGGAGCTTTCTTCATTTGGCCGTCTCTTACGGTCTTGACAATTTGGTCTAAAAGTGATTCACCTTCAAGAGTAAGTACTTTTGCAATAACGACATTACCTCCAGTATTGATAGTACCAGTAAAGATTTGATGACCAGGAGAACGAGTAATTGGAATAGATTCCCCAGTTAGAGCTGATTCATCAAAGTTGGAAGTACCTTCAACAATGACACAATCAATTGGTGGAGAATCACCAGCACTAATTTTGACATAATCTCCAATTTCCAAAAGTTTCACATTGATATCCTCATCATCACCATATTTACCATCTTTGAGAGTTACCATGTTGGCAGTAGTTTTCTTCAAACTACTCAAAGTTGAAATGGCTTCGGCAGTTTTGATCTTGGAAATGGACTCCAAAACCTTACCAATTAATAAAAAGAATGTTAAAAACACAACAGCATCAAAATAAGTAGTATGGGAACCCATTTCACCTTCAGGGCTTTTCTTTTGTTGAGAACTAAGACACAACAACACAATACTTGAGAAATAGGCAACAGATGTACCCAAACTCATAAGAAGATTCATACTACCAAATTTGAATAGTCTTCTTTTCCAACTACTGTTGTTCCACCAAATGGCTTTCATTTCCATGATAGCCTTCTTGTGGAAAATATCTGCAGCAAAGAAGTACACTGGGGTACTTAAGAATAATAAGATCCAATTATTTCTTGAAGTATTACCTGCCCATATTGGATGTTCCGTCCATTTACGGAACCCGTTTGATTTGGGAAGAAGTGCCATGCCAACAATCCCAAATATAAATGTTGGAATGGCAAGTACTGATGCAATTGATAATCTAATCAAAATATTATGAAGTTCTCTTCTGGACATCTTCTTTAACCTTTCATCTATTGTTTCTTCGCTTGTTAAATGACAATTGAACTTTGCCTTTTGGGCATAGTCAACCACAAACCCTCCCTCCTTTGAAAGAGTTAAATGATTTAAATCTTTGATTATGCTTCTGACTGTTATTTCGCCACCAGGGATATATGTGAATTTGATGATTGGATTATTTAAAGTAGCCTCATCTTCAAGCACTATGGCGTCACCAAAACTCTTCAAATAATCGGTGATTAATTCAGGACATTCCTCACAACACATACCTTCAACTGTTATTCTAACTGTTCTCGACTTCATTTCACCCAGTGTAAAATTGATGTTTTCTGTGCTAACTAATTCATATTCAAATCCACAATCTTCAACTGTAGTTTGTAATAGGTTCAAGTGGTTAGGACCATCTTCTATAATGAAGCTTCCCGACTTGGAGACTAAATCAATTGCACTTTCATAGACAAATGATAATTCATCAACAGCAGCAAGAATAGAATTAGAACAAGCGGCACATGTCATTCCTCCTATCATGGCTGTGACCTTTGTTTTAATAGTTGTTCTAACGGGCAAGAGCTCTATCAATTGAGCATCAAATCCTAATTCTTCAATACCTTCTGTAATTTGGTTAATTAATTGTTTATTTTCAATCATAACCATGACAGTGTTTTCAATTAAATTGACAGAATATTTAGGAGCCAGAGCTTTCATTTTCACTTCACTACCAAAGATTTGTCCAAGCTTATCCATAATTGAATTGGAACATGCAGAACATGTCATACCTTGCACTGCAAAGATTGCTTCATAATGATTTTCTGGTTCTGCAAGCGTAGCAGTAGATGATGCACAATCAAATTCCAGCAGTGAAGAAACTGGGCGATCTTTCTTATTCTTTTTGCTCTTCTTTTCATCGTCGCCTTCTTTACTATTAAAATTGGTTTTACAAGTTGGACACGATTCTCTATGTCTCTTTTGATCCTTTTCATCTTGAACATTTTGGAAAAACTTGACGATATCATAGAATCCTCCCTCCAGTGCTTTCTTTGTTTTCATCAGTTTAGGGTTGAATGACGAACTTGTTTCTATTATACCATTTCTGGTAACCTCCCATGATTCCACTATGAAGCCACCTCTCTTTAAAGCGGTGATGATCTTCTTTGTCTTGAACAGGAATGATCTGTCATTAACAAGCAACTCTACTCTTGAGTCGTTGAAGATGACATACATCTGACCGTTGTTCCAGTCAACAGCAAGGACTTTGTTATCATTTATACTCACAAGATCATAGAAGGACGATAAGATAGACTTGACTTTGGTTTCACACTCAGAACAGTGGATGTTAGAAAGAAGTATGGTGAACTTCTTCATGGTCAATCAAAGCTGTCAAAATACTTTATTGTTTTAATAATCGTAAAAAAAAAACATAGCAAAATATGCCAAAGCCGACTCTTTATAACAGATGTCAAAATGACAATTGGGGTCGCCACAAAAAACCGAAGGAACAGTCTGTCAAGCGCAAAACACACTCAAATTGGAAATATACAATAACAAACAACCTATTATGTCATTCATGTCTTATAAATCTTGCAGCCATCCCAGTTCAACTGTAGGGCTACATGATGCGGCAATTGTGCCTGAGACTTGCATAGGACGAAAATCGTGTTCCTGCTGTGATGGCAATCGCTGCCACCACTACCCCAATTAGTAGCCCACAAAGTCGTTCCCCAGTCGTGTGGAAGAAAAGATTAGTGGTGGTGTACATGATTAACCACAAGACAAGAAGAACAAAGAATAAGAGCAGTATTGTTATCTGACTGAAATTTAGAGCGATTAATGCCATAGGACGAGACGATGGCGAAGGGGGTGGTGGTGAAATTAAGGGTTGTTCATGATTATGGTCATGGTCATGTTCAAGGTCATCGTCCTGCTCCACCAAATGACCATTCGCAGTGGCAGGCGAATCGGGTTCCAGTGTTTGGAAAGTACCGTGTTGGGCGGAATCAATGTTTTTAACGTCATTATGCACCTTACTATTAGGGATAGAAGCATTCTCATTTAGGTAACCGGAGCACTCTAAATCTGTAGTAGTATTCGTGATTGATTCACGATAAATATGCTTCCTGCGCTTAAACGAGAACGATCTTCTGTAACAAGTACAGAAGTTGCCTAAAAGTTCGCATGTACATAATAGGGTTATACACAGTAACAAATAGCAGTGACCCGAAACGTCAAATACTGAAACCCAACGGCCTTGTACAGTTTCACAGTCAATTTTTGTTTGAATGTTATGGGATCCGAAGTCGCAATAAGCTCCGGCCAAGACGTCAATCCGTTCAAATATATTACTTCCGAAGAACCAAACGGTATTGGCAAAGAAAAATCCACTAACAACAAAAAACGACCCAAAGATTCGTTTAATATCAAGCATTGGGATCATCCCCGTATTAGGATTAGCATAAAGGAACGACATGCTCAAGTATATCACAGTAAACCATAGGTATCCGTAAGTTTGAACGAAATAGTAATTGACCGAAGCCATAACTTTCAGTTGCTCAACTAAATGCTGATATCGTACTGTCCAATGATGAATTGGCACAGTAGCAACAAATATCACGGAGTAAATTGCAGTTGTCCATACAAAAGCCCGTCTACAATTGCTTTCATCATCGAGAAGCATGGTTGAGTGCTGCAAACTATCGAATTCAGTAATTGAGGTTCTGCCATATGCAAAAAGAAGAGCTTATCTTTAGCAATTCCACAGCACTGAATATTATTATGTTCGTGTAAAATGTAGTTTGCACATAGTAATTTCCGAAACATGCACAGCTCACTTCTGTTCGCTTAATCGGCATAAGTAATCAACGATCCAGATACACCTTTGGAGTTTGTTGATGAAATAAGTCATGTTGATTGATCTCCATTAACGGAAACGTCTTTGACAGGAAACAGGGTACCCTTACTTGGTAATGAGCAATTAATTAGAGTTGAGAGCTTTACATAGATGTCAAATCAGGTGGAGAAATCAAATCAGTCCTTGATACAAAATGTTGATCAATGACGGAATTAACGTAATCTACCATATACTGGATTTTACACTATGTTCTTTCTATTCTATAGGCACGCTTTAAGACATTACTAATCCAATCATCATTGTAAATTTGCAGCATAATAACAACTTAGACTAACGTAGTGGTAGCTCGGTCACTCGCGCAATTGACTACCCCCTAAAGTAGGAGTTTCCGGTTTTATTATTCACACCTCAGCTCATCACGTGAAATGATGATTGCAAAAAAATGGTTCAAAGCAACTCTTCTCCGCTATGTATGGTTCAAGAATTAGACTGGGGAATGATTGATGACATAAACCCTTTGATATTGTTGTTGCTTCTTGTTCTCCTTCTGCTTCATTTGACCACACCAAAAAATTTATCATACACTTATCCATACCATAAACCAATACATACACTGAGTGGTAGTTTGGGTGCAATTGTATAGCTTACAGTCATTTCCCAGTTCTTATTAAGTCAGTTCTAAAAATATGTTGGTTCGAATGAATACTTTAAGTACTTCTCGAAGACATGCTATAACGTCATCACGTTTATTTAGTGCTCAATTGTCCAAGAGTGCAAAGACAAAGAGGGCAACAAAAGTTCAAAGTTCTAATCCACAAATGGCCTTCCCGTGTTTAGATAGGTTGGAGCAAAAATCTAAAATCCTTTCGAATGCTTGTGTTTCTGAAGATTTTGTCAATTCTTTAGAATCAGGTCCAGAACCTTCATACTCTAAAGTCCGTACTGGGTTCCATTTATTCCATTCAAAAGATCCAATATTCTTTGATAATGGTGGCTTTTTACCCGAGTATGAAATTGCATATGAAACTTGGGGTAAACTAAATGAAGCTAAGGATAATATTATATTGATTCACACTGGTCTCTCAGCTTCATCACATGCCAAGTCACAGCCCAGAAATGGCAAATCAGGTTGGTGGGAAGAGTTCATTGGTTCTAAAAAATTCATCGATACTGATAAGTACTTTGTTATATGTACTAATGTTTTGGGAGGCTGTTATGGATCAACCGGTCCAGCTTCTAAAGATCCAGCTGATAATGAACATTATGCTACCAGATTTCCTATAATTACCGTCAATGATATGGTTAGAGCTCAAAGACATTTAATCCACAAGGTTTTCGGAGCTTCTAAAATCCATGCATCTGTAGGGGCATCTATGGGAGGTATGCAATCCTTAGCTTATGCCTTTGAATTCCCCGACGAAGTGGAGAAAGTGGTATCTATTTCTGGTTGTGCCAGATCACATCCTTATTCAATTGCTTTAAGACATTGTCAACGTCAAGTGTTGATGAGTGACCCAAATTGGAATCGTGGGTTTTACTACAACTCAGTTCCTCCACATGTAGGTATGAAACTTGCTAGAGAAATTGCCACAGTTACATATAGATCAGGTCCCGAATGGGAATATCGATTCGGACGTGGTCGTGCTGATCCTCTGAGACCACCAGCTTTATGTCCTGATTTCTTAGTGGAAACGTATTTAGACCATGCGGGGGAGAAGTTTTGTTTGGAATATGATGCTAATTCTCTCTTGTATGTCCTGAAGGCAATGGACTTATTTGATTTGGGATTAACCAATCGGTCGAGAGCTTTCAAGACCAGAACAGAGAACGAAAAGAAATATATCAATGGGAATTTCTTTGATGATATTGATCAATCAGTGCCTGCTCATCCTTATAAGGAAAAGGTTGAAAAGGCTACAATTACACCCGAGGAATCGTATGAAGATTTAAAGATGGGAATTAGCAGAATTGCTCATAAGGACATTTTGGTTGTTGGAGTTGAATCCGATATCTTATTCCCCGTTTGGCAACAAAGAGAAATAGCCAATGTATTAAAAGACAATAGCAAAGGAGGTGATATCAGATACTTTGAATTAGGCACTGATGTTAGTAATTATGGTCATGATACTTTCTTATTGAGTTTAGATCATATTGGACCTCCAGTGAAGGAATTTTTAGAAGGTATAAAGTAAGTATCGTACAGAATAAGATTTATACAAAGTAAATAGGTTTGGGGTTTATAGGTTATCGGTACAGTTTTTTAAAACTACTTTTTTTTTGTTTTTCGTTAGTTTATACTATCTCGTATACATGTAAATGGTTGTATATATATATAAGCTTGATAGTAATTGTATGATATATGCATTAAATTATTCGACCATATGACCGATCAAGTTCATATCCAAGTTGTCTTGATATGTTATAAATGGTATCTCTTAATCGTCCTACCAATACCTTTGCCAACCCGTTATTCTTATGACGGTGTTCTCCCTCTTCTGATTCAGTAAATGTTGGAAGCAAGTTATCGTGAGCACTTAAACTAACAAATAATGCGAAGGGGACGAACCAAATCAAGAGTCCAAAGAATGAGCATACCTCAACAAAACTTGGAATCACAGGCGGCACGTAGCCTGCTCTTAATCTCTCTGTAAGTGGTGGTATATAAGGATTATGGAAATGGTTAAACCATAGAAAGTGATTGGCTATAACCAATATGCATGAGCCCAAGAAGATTGGTGACAGCAATTGAACATAAGGAAACTTCTTCAAGTTCTGCAAATATACATAGTATGATACGATGGAGAACATGGTCAATTTGAAAGGTAACCCATCAATAGCCCATAATAAAAAGAGTATTACCATATCTCCATAGATAACTTTGGTTAAAAACCGTTTGGTGGGTTCAGTGTGCTCTTCCACAAGTTCAGATAGGTAATAGAGTCCAGAAGCAATGGACAACACAAGAAACACAAATCCAGTAAGGATACCGATATACGCAAGTAGAATCAATATCATCGTACAAACTGTAACTTGCTTTCGATCTAACTTATACTGTGTAACTCGTACAGTGCAGCTTGTACTATGCAACTCGTTGTGCTATGTTGTACTACGTAGCTTGTTCTTGCTATTTACTGCGACACGTAAAATTAAGTCGTGTTGGCCCTTTGTAGTCACAAAAGTGTTACTACAATGCTCCTACTAGTTGATACTTGTACTATTCTAATGGTACTTCATTAATCATATATATCAATGGGTGGAAGTCTATCTGTATTGTAGAACCAGTTCCCACCTTCAAGCTCACTCATTAACCAATCACTAGGAAATATAACAAGATGACCTCTGATTTCAGAAAGAAGTCTCTCTGCTGTGTTGCGATCAAAAATCTTATTATCCATATGAGCCCTTTTAGCAGACATAGAAATCAATCTCTTCCTTGGCTTGCTTCCTGCGTTGATTTGAGGTGGAGCTTGACCTTGATATTGTTCCCGAGTCAGATTTGGTGGTTCTTGGGATGTCGTTGATGATTCACTCTGTGATTCTTGATCAGGTGTAGTCGATGACTCTGTTCCTTGTTCTTCCTCTGCAACAGAATTCATATTGAACTTGATTTGTTTCTTCCTACCGTTGACCTTATTCAAGTTAGACGTGCTAGAATGTGCAGAAGGCGGTGCTTCACCTAAAAGTCCATAATCATTAGCAAGTGAGCTCATATCAAATGTAGTATCCGCCTTGTCACCACTTTCTTCATCATCAGAATCAGTATCTTCTGCTATGAATGACCGGTTTTGTCTACGATATTTGGCTTCTCGTTCTTGTAAGACCCCAAAAGCCTTGTTCAACTTCCCATACCGCTTGTAATCCTTCCATGTCAGTACCATGTCATCAGGTTGTGTGTGGAATACCCACCGGAATATCTCAGTGTTAATCCGGGCATGCTCAACCCAATTGTCAAACAATTCAACAGACATGGGATCCTCAAAATCATATGGATCAATAAAGTTACTAAAATGTGGTAAATTCTTTGGTATTATCGAATCCATAAGATCCCGAACTCCTTCCTCTGTAAGACTGGTGATAGGAACACTTTCAGATGCAACATCTGTTTGTACTTTGATTGAGGTCATTCCTTGTTCATCCTTAATAAATGGTACGTTGGCAGATCCAGGAGGGTTGGGGCTTCCACGAGATTCTCTATCACTGATTTCTCCTTTAACTACCTTTGTCAGCAGCAGCTGCTGTTTCATATCATCAGCATTACTAGTGTTGTGAGAATTATATCCAGCATCTCCACGTTTCTTATACTCACTTTCTCTCTCGGCTTTGGCCTTCGCTGTGACTCTTTGAAGATATGAAATCTTCTTCAAAAGTCTCCATCTTTCCTTATTCCGTGCCGATATGATATCCTCAGATTCTCTATCCATCTCATCAATCATATCAGAATCGTCCAATTCAAGAAATTCTTTAACAGCCTGCTCATCAGGTAAGAATAAATCAGTTGGGTTTGTCTTCATTTGCTTATTAGCTAATTCCTTTAAGAACTTACTGCTGTTTAGTCTTGCTTTCTTTGCCAACTTACTCCTGTACTTGTCTATACCTTCACCATATACGTCCTTGGTATGACTATCATTGTGTTGAACTCTCTGGTCATAAGACAACTTTTTCTTGTCTCGAATACCTTTGTTAGCTTCGTGGGCACCAGTACGGTTATTGAAAGACACTGGTAGTGGTAAAGGTTTAACATCATCCTCTTCTTCAGGTAAATCTTCATCAAAATATCTCAAGTTAGAAACATCAACGTTTCTGGAACTATTAAACTTGTTGAATCTACTTGTTCCATCTCTTTCTCCCAAAATATCTCTTGATGCAATCTCAACCATAGCTGATAAGAGAACGTTCTCAGGTTTATAAAATGCGCTTGTGGCATATCTTAATCCCTCGGGGCTCTTTGCTACTCTCTCGAAATAAGCAAATCTTCGTTCGACAATCTCATAAATATCCACGTCAATACCAAGATGTTCTCTCATTAATCGACATCTTAAACTGTGGGGGAATTTACCAGCCTTCCATGGTTCGCCAGCCATTGTAGTCTCGATGGTTTCCTTGTCTCTAATAACAGCAGCAACTTCAGAATCTCGAACCCCTCGCATCGATCTTTCATTGATGTTGGCACTTCCAATAATTGCTGCTCTATCATCAACAATCATAGTCTTCGCATGAATATATAACTGCTCTGTGACTAAAGTTCTATCAGGCCCAATTCTTCCCCATTTTCTTAAAGAGTAGAACTGAATATAGTCATCAGGATCAATTCCATACTTCCTCAACTTGGCAAAAATTGAAGTACTACCTCTGGAAATAGACATAAACTGACATTGCATAATGACTCTAACTGATGATCCATCCGGCTCATCAACTTGAGACTCGAACCCTGGCATAAGTGGTATAACAATGACTGCTCTCCAACTTTCATTATTCTCATGAGCTCTAATGATCCTATCCACCAAAGCATCACCAATTCTGTTCTTGATCTCGGTACCATCAATAAAACATGCTGTGATGAAGAATTGATTCTCGATATAAACAAAATGCTCGGATGTTTCAATCAACTTAAGGTATGCATGTTGGATACTTTGTTCATGTTCTTTCAATCCCAAAGCCCAGCTACCAGAGGATCTTAATAATTGGATCTCACAGGTACCTGTTAAACCTAACATCTCCACTTCTTCGTCAGTCATATCAGATGGGGGAGTAAGCAAAGGAGTGAATCTACTAGGTCTCTTTTGTCTAAGCAAATAATTCCATCTTTGCACAAAATGCCTGGCCAAATCACGAGCAACCTTACCAGAAGTCACCATGTGAACGTCATGCCAGGGCATTCTAGGAACCTTTTCTCTGTCATACATTGATTCATACGGCTTATCAAGTTCAAAAAAATCTTTGACTCTAGGATTGGAGTAGTCTTTCCCAGGGAAGGTTTGAAACCTACTATACTCTTCTTGGGCTGGTCTGAACTCCGAATTCAATGATTGGAAGTCTAACTTCGAGTCATCCACTAAAACATGATCTGGAGTATCATATCTCCCAAAACATAAATCTATCCCACCCAAAAATGCAATTGTTTGGTCAATAATACAAAGCTTCTCATGATGAGCCCAAAAAAATGTATTTTGAAGTAATTGATTTGGAGATCTGATAACATGGATATTTTCTGGGTGTAAGTTGATAAGCGAGTGCTTAGTGTATAAAGAATCAGTTGCGACAGTCGAACCAACGTTACGGTAAACGATAACAAAAATCTTAACACCTTGTTGAGCTTTTCTTTGTAATATTCTGTCAAGTCTCCATTGTTGATTCCCATTACCAGGTCTTCGCATGTAAAGTTCCGGAGAAAGCCACCAATCGTGAATGTAAATCACATCTTTTGCCATTTCTAATGCGGAAGATACAGCCCAGAAATAGTCTCTACCATCAACAAACCATTGGGCCAAAACATTTTCTCTAATCGGAGCAAATGATCCGAATCTGTGCTTTTCTGCCCAGATTGTAGAGTTTTTCATTTTATTCAACGATCCAATCCATTGCAATTGTTCTCTTCTGGATCTTGGAAGTAAAACCAATTTTCTCTCGTTATTCTCTAAAGTGATCTTTAAATGATTGAAAATACTGCTGTTAACAGTTTCAACTTCTGACTCTGCAATTACTTTAAGTGCAATCGAAGAGTCATCTAAATCTGTATCGGAATCAGAAGATTCAGATTTCAGAAGTTCTTCGTCCCTCTCAAGATTAAAAATAATTTTAAAACCTCCATCAACTAAAAATACTTCAAGTGGTGAGGTTGAATTGATATTGGAAACATAAGTCACGTAAGAATGACGAATTAAAAGCCACTTGTGGGATCTTCTGCTAATCATTCCTCGTAGGTCGTTTGCTCTAAAATGACCTACTCTCCAACCTTGCGATTTTGTGGTTCCTCCAATATGAACCAACCCTTGTTTACCAGAATATCCTGTTTCATAACAAAGTAAGGAAGACAAGGGAGACACTTCAAAGAATTGAAACAATTTATTAGATTGAGGCTTCAACCCAATAATGGAGATAATCTTTGATAAATACACTTCTACTGCTTTGATATATTCATCATTCTTTTCTACTTTGGAACGCTTTCCTTCATCTCCAAAGGATACCCCCGATAGGGAACTCAAGTTGGATCGTAATCTTGCTAATGGAACCAGTAATGATTCCATTTCACCTACTAAAGAATGAGTAATCAGTGCTTTCCGCTTCACAGCTTTTGATGGTTGTCTTTGTTCACCGTCAATTTTCGTTGATGACTCGTGCAGTTGGCCGTCTCTTATTTCAATTTCTGGTCCACTTACATTTTGAAGCATTTGCATAGTTTTAGGTTCGTCACTTTTAAGGTCACTTGGGGATCTAGGAGCAATTGAGTTGTCATCTTCATTCTGTTCACTAATATGAAAAAGAGCCTCTTGCCCATTCGCATGTAGGGCTCCGTTATTTGAAGATCTATCATTGCTAAGGTCGTTACTAGAAATTTTATCATTATTGATTCCAGTTTCAGGGTTAGAAATTCCTTCATTACCAGTAGCATCACCTTTAGGTCTTGAAGTCTTTGACTCAAGTTTTTCGGATTTTGGGTTTGCAAATGATTTCATCTTTGTTTTCTGTTTCTTTGCGGTTCTAATTGGAGGTGTAGGGCAACTTGGGAGGTTTAAAGATTTGCTCGAATGAACTCTAAAGTTTGTCAACTTCAACTTAGAATGTAAATAAAGCAAATCCTTAGCTGTCTTCTGAACTGACCATTTCAAACGTTGGTTTGTTACACCATATTCGAAGTCAATCCGAAACCTCCGAACTCTTGTATTCACATGAGGAGAAATGTCGGTGACTTTGAATACTAAAAGATTAAGTAATAAAGGTGCTCTAGCAATACCATGTTCGTCTTCTAAAAGACAAGAAGCTAAAAGACTGATTGCTGGGGCACCACTACCCAAAGCACCCACCAAAAGCTGAGCTCTTTCTTGAATCATGTTGTCCAATGTACTCTGTTCCTTCAGGTGCGTTTGCAAAGCTTTCTTATCCTTTGCAGGTGGTTTTTTATGAAAATTGAATCTTCTTTTCCAATAAGCCTCCGATAAAAGCCCATCTGGTCCTGTTTCACTTCTGAAAATAGATCCAAATCGACTCTGTCGTTGTACAAGTTTCGGAGGAACAGGAGCTCCTTCAGTACCTGATACATCGTGTTGATGTTCCTTTCCTCCTCTACCTTCTTCTTCATTTTCATGCTGTGCTAGTTCATTTACATTTGGAATACCATTGTATTTGAATCTCAGGAACGACTTCAGCAATGCTCCTAAGCTAGGTCTTTTGGTTCTTGCCTTATTGTCATCTGATTCCTTGCCAACATATTCATGACGGTGTTGAGTAGCATCATTCTCTGCTTCCCTCGATTCCTTAGTATCTTTGAACTTGGAACCAAAAACACTAAACCCCAAAGTATTACCTATAATTTGCTCGTCATCTTGAGTCTCCCCCAACATTGTGGAATTCTCCAGGTGTTGTGAGCCTCCCAGGTTCACTGATAACCTGTTTAATGATGCATCATTGGATACCGTTTTAAGAAGCTCGTTCACGTCTTCTTCTTCACGAAGTTTAGCATGTTTCTTGGGTTGTTTATGGGTATGGGTATGGGAATTTGGTCCTTTATTGGACACGGCATTTTCATCGTTGAGAGTCTTACCGTTTTCATTGGTCGACTCAAACTCGTCTAACGTAAGCACCTTCTTCCCCGGAGTCATGTATTTGGTGTTGTGTAGAATCGGTGGAGGTGTATATAGTTGACGGAACTAACAGTCGACCGATTTACTATGGGATGTTATTGTCCTCCAAGGGTTACAGTAATGGCCCACGTACAATATGCTGGTAAGTTCAATGGATGAAGAGTAGGCTATATTTTTAAGTTATACGATTTAATTGAAGACGACTGACTGCAACAACAACAACCATAACATTGCGCTTTACTAAATAGGGTTACCCGAAACTACATATAATGCTAACACAAAAGGAGGTGGACTTACTCTGTAATTAAACATCAACATGAATACACCATGCTCAATTGTACTTTACAGTTGATATAAATACTTAATGATGTATTTATTAGTGATGCTGACAATAGGAAGGATTGTAGTATGATATGACTGTACTTATGATATGCGTGTACGATATGCTCTCTTAATCCTTCAAGAAACCCGTAGCCAATCTTTGCTTGTGACCCAACCATAAAGCATGGGTTGTATGATCTTTCAAATCACCTTTGTCGGTTCTCGGATGGATCAAAACAGAAAGCGATCCATGGTTGATTTGAAAAAAGGGAACTAACTTAACAAATATTTCTGGACTCTTGAAATCTAATTCCCACATGCTAATAGGATGAGGGCCAATTGGTTTATCCCAAGGCTTGTGTGCTCTGATTTTGCCAGACTCGATGTCTTCTGCGTACTCCTTTAACACCTTTTCTCTTAAGGCAAGTGCAAAGTCTCGTTCTTCCTTGACATTATTATTCCAGTAGGTGTGAATGTCGTACGAAATGATACCTCCATAGAAAGAGTCTTCTTGTGTGCTCATTGTAGTTGTGAATTATATCAAAAGTGCTAGCAATGACTATAGACTGTAATTGATATGCTATGAGTTCTCATTGTATATATATACATATATCATGTACTTCCGTTATTTTATGATAAGTGCTTCGTATTATTGTATGACTTTCCAACCATACAGGCCTACATTTTTGTACAGTTGAGAACAACTCCTTTGGCTTTATGTATTACTAAGTTTAGTAAGTCGAAGCATGATTACGTGAGCCGCAGACTTAATTGTGTAACCAGGATAATTAGGATTATCATAACGATTTATTTAGTCTTAATGTGGGCTTAAGCCTTAATGTTAACTCCGCTATACTTGCTCGGCTGTATGTGAAGTGGTCTCTCAGTTAAACTGGTTTTTAGGTTACAGTGATATTCTTTACTATACAATAATAATCCTTATATACTTTATGCCTAATAACTCCTACAGTTCATTGATCATACTCATACTCATACACTTGTGGTGACCTTACTTGGATCATTCATCCTAACGTTAATATAATCATGATAATCACTGTTCTCTGAAGGTGTGGGGTTTGTTATAGATTCCTCTAATTCTATCTCCACTATCCTTACCCTATTTCTTCTGCGCTTCTTCATTCGATAGATATCGAACACCGACACAAGAAGTAGACCCGTGAAACTCCCAATTACATTGTACAAGATATCGTAGACATCAAAGACTCTTTTGGGATTCAAGACATTTTGAACTAACTCCAGAAACACACTGGCTCCAATTGTACATACGCCCAATGTCACAACTCTCAATAGCCGTAACAGTGAATGTGTTGACACGTTGAATATAAAATAGAACTCACTTGTCAATATCAAAAATGTAAGGAAATGAATTATCTTATCATGGGTTCCAAGTTCCACCAGCGAGAACCCCATATAAGCTGCACCTATTAATGAAACCACAAACACTGTGATATATCGTTAGTATTATAGAAACAAGATTATACTTACAAAGCAATTAAGCAAGTCATTTTTCAGTACGTACATGCTGCTACCCAAGATCTAATTTTAATCATCGTGTGTAGGGAGTCACTCTTGAAATCTTTCAAACCGTACGACACTTGAGTCTTTTTCACTTGAGTCTTTTTCACTTGAATCTGGTTCCCTGGTCTTCTACCCTTTCAGCAATGGCCAATGGGAATGATTCCGGCAATGGTATTCCCTTTTAGTGTTGAATTTAATCCCTAGTATATTTTGGGTCACCAAAGGATCTATTGTGTTCCATTTTTGGACTGGCTATAGACAATTAATCGCAGTACTGTCCACACTGGTAACGAAAGGCGTCTACGCTCTAGCTTGATATGAACTCAGTACTGCTATTACTGAGACCACAAAGGCTATTTCTGCTGCCACGATGGAAAGTAACAAGACGATGGAATTCAATAGACTATCTTTTGAAAGCAGTGGAGAAAACCAAGCGTTTCTCATCGCAGGAGACTACAATCTCATCGACCAAAGTTAACTCCAATTTGAAGACAAAAGATCAGTCCAAATTTAAAGGAGCAAACGTGGATCAACTTCAACAATATCAATCGTACGAATTGCCTCCTAGAGATATTCGATCTTTAATAGTAACTCCAACAGATCTAAACGATGTCTTTCGTCATGATATATATCCCCTTATGACTAGCTCTCAACTGACCATGACTCAGTCGCTATTCAATAGGGCTAATGTGAAGTTAGAATGGACTTTGGCATCATATGATGAAATCCCAGATATAAAATATACTGCTTTATTTCAACAAAGACAGTCATATTTAGATCAAGTACCAGAATCCCAAAGAACTGAATATCATGCCAACTTGGCACGTTCAAAGAAGACATTTGGATACACTGCAAAGTCGATCAATTTATTGCCTGAAGTTCTCTTGTTGGGCCATACAAATGTAGGGAAATCGTCATTAATTAATACCTTATTATTGCTGAAACAGGAGTACACATCGAATTCCTCCGGTACTCAGCATGCTCGGGTTTCAAGTAGAGCTGGGTTTACAAAGACATTGAATTGCTTCAATATCGATAACAAGTTACGTATCTTGGATCTGCCAGGGTATGGAGAATTTGGGGATGAAATTCAAGGAAAAGCTGTGGTAGAGTATATCAATAGACGAAGAAATTTGAATCGAGTATTTCTTCTTATTGATAGTGTGAATGGGTTTAGAGATGAAGATCAACAATTGGTAACTCATTTGATGGATGTAGGGGTTTCTTTTGAGATTGTTTTCACCAAAGTTGATCAAGTCATCTATAATAGTATGCCTAAAGAAATTAGGAAGCTACCCAAGAAAGTCCAGGATCCGAATGAACGATTGAGATTGGCTAATATGGTTGAAACTTCAAATCATAGAGTTGTAGCTTATTTCCAGGATATGATAGAAGGTGCTAATTTGCAGCAATTGGCCACCCTTCCTCGGTTTCTTTTCAATAATAGTATTTCAAATACTTGTTGCGTCCAAAAGAATGCATTTAAAGAGATCCGATTTGCTATACTACAAAGTTGTGGCATTGTCTAAAAGGTGTGGTCTCGTCTAGTATAATGTATGTGTTTTTATGTAAATAGTTTTTATGATAGTTAAGCTCCCTTAAGGTTTTAAATGATAATGAAGTCAATTCATAAAATCAACTCTATACAAATAATGTATGTTAAAATACTTTCAGGTTACCCCGAACCCTGAAATCCAGTAGAATGCTAAAATACAAGGGGTAAAATCAAAACAGAACCATAATAATTGCAAAACTTTCTCAGTGCAAGAACTGTTAGTAGGGATGGAAAAAAGGTATACTTAGAATCTACCCCCTCTAGATCCACCTCTAGATCCACCACGGCCACCGAAACCACCTCTTCCGCCACGGTCTCCAAAGCCACCTCTACCACCGAAACTTCCACCTCTACCACCTCTACCACCGAAACTACCACCTCTTCCACCACGGTCTCCAAAACCACCTCTGCCACCTCTGGATCCACCACGACCACCGAAACCTCCACGGCCACCAAATCCTCCACGGCCACCTCTGGCACCACCTGCACCAGCAGACTTTCTCTTAGGTTTAGGACCAACTTCCTTGGGCTTTGGTAAGAATCTTTCCATGGGCAATAACTTATCAGGACCAATGAAGAATTTGTCACCTTCTTGGAAGGAAGTAGCAACAACTCCTTCAGAAGGCTTGATGGTGAAAAAAACTTCATTCAAAGGACCTAAAATCTCATCCACCTTACCAACTTGTGTCTTGTTTTCTAAATAGATAGGAGCATTGAAATAAGGAATCTTAGTGTTAATGGAACGACAAACTATGTCACCTTCACAAGAGTGCAAGAAGGCACCCATTTCCAAAACACTATCTGGAGGTCCTTGTTGAATTGGAGGGCCTGTTCTGCCTCCACGGCCGCCTCTGAATCCACCTCTTCCTCTGTTCATTATTTAATGTATTCAAGAGATGACCTAACAATATTTAAGATGGGTGTGCTTCACTTAACTGCATGTACAATTTTTTCACTCTACTCATCTCTCGTCGACCGACATTTTTTCCTGTACACTCGGTATCACCACAATGTCGCATTCTACTACGGCGCGACTTAGTTGTGACCAAATCGATCAGCCGAAAACTACTCCTATATTTATCGGAATCACAACTACTGCCACCTATTGTAAACACACTGTTATATATTTATCTGCGTATCCCGAGCCAATTTTATCTGTGGTTGTCTCCCAGCTGTTTACATTATGAGTTTTACACTGCGTATGTTATCACAAGACTTTACTTTGTTTTTCTTTTAGACGTATAAGATTCGACTAACAACAAATAGGCACCCCCACCTTTAAGGTACCATTGACAGCTGAGGAGAAGCAATTGTACTCCCAATTGTTTAAGGAATTAGATCCGGAAGCCAGCGGAGTGATTACCGGTAAAAAAGCAAGATCAACTTTTGAAAAGTCCGGGTTACCTCCAGCTATTCTTGGAAAGATATGGCAACTTGCTGATCCTAATGGTTTGGGTTTCTTGACACAATTTGGGTTCTGTTCCGCTATGAGATTGATTGGATACACTCAAGCTGGTCATCAACCAGCTCCTGGTTTATCTGAACAACCTGGTCCCTTACCTAAGTTTGTAGGCTTAACTGTGCCCTTGCAATCTCAAAATACAAGTGGTTCATTCATGCAATCACATTCATCTCCGGCTGCTGCAAATAATACTTCTCCTGCTATGACTCAGCAAAGCACTGCGGCCGTTCCTGTTCCAGTTTCTGCTCATGGAACTGGTACCCAAAATGCCCAGTTGGGTCCTGTTAGTCCTTCTGATTACGAAAGATTTAGTCAATTGTTCATCAGAACAGTAGGTTCACCGCAAGGAGAATTAAGTGGTGATGCAGCTAAGGACATTTTTGTAAAGGCTAGATTGCAAACTTCAACATTGGGAATTATTTGGAGTTTGGTAGATAGAGAAAATGCTGGTTCATTAAAAATGCCTTCTTTTATTCTTGCTATGCATTTGATTCAAGCATTATTGGGTGGTGCAATTCAACAATTACCTCAAATCATCCCGGACTACGTTTGGGCATCTGCTCAGGGCCAAGCAAGCGTACTGCAGCCACACATCGGAACCCGTCAATCGTCTCACAACTCAATTTCTTCACGTCTGTCAGTGATCCATCATCGTGACTCTTCAATTAGCTCTGAAGCACCTGGATCTTCTTGGGTCATTACTCCCTCTCTTCATTCTCAGTATGTGAACATATTTAACAGTTTGGACAAAGAAAAGAAGGGTTACTTGAATCCCGATGAAGTTGCTTCGTTTTTAATGACCTCTAAGTTGGACCAACAAGATTTGGCAACAGTTTGGGACTTGGCTGATATTCAGAATACAGGTATTTTCTCCATTGTTGAGTTCTCTGTTGCTTTATTCTTAGTGAACAAGAAGTTCACAGGAGAAAGCTTACCAAATGTGATTCCAGACTCATTACTTGAATCTGCTAAACAAGTTAAATCAAAGTTGGAGTCTAGACTGTCTACTTCAACCAGTATTCCTGAGAATCATCCAGGCACTACTTCACCACAGCGTCCTAAGTCTAACCTTGACGAATTGGCAGGTTTGTTTCACGAATCACCATCCTCTACTAAAGAGATTCCTCCTTTAATATCAAAGACTTCAAGTAGCGACTTGACTCATGTTACTCAGGAGGAATTACCAAAAGTCCGTAACAACATGACGGGTTCATTCAAGCCAACTTCAAGCTTTGGTATGAGCTTATTGAATCAACAACAATCTGGCTCTAAATCATCTCCTTCTGCCTCCAATACTAATACTCAAGGTGATTTGATATCTCATGCTGAAGTTCCTACGAATCCTCCAGCATTTGTTGCTGCTAATAGAACAAACTCAAACGTTCTGTCTGCGTCTGAATCTCCAGCTCCTCAAGCTAAATCTGTCAATTACGATGCATTAAGAGCTGTTCCCCCACCACCTCCACAAAAGAAACAGACGGCTATATCCCCCACCACTCTGTCGATTGCTCCTTCAAGAACAACTTCTGTTCGAGTACATGCACCAGCTCCACAAGGCATTCCTCAAGTAATGCCTGTTCCTGTGTCCAGAGAACCCTCTTATCAACAAGTTGCTCCAGAAAACAATGACCTTTTGGCAGATCCTGAAGTTTCAGGGCAATTGTCAAAAGCAACAGCTGACACTGCTAACTTATCAAACCAAATTAAATCTTTGAGCAATCAAACAACAATTTTGCACGATAAAAAGTCAAGAGCAGAAACAGAGCTTGCTAAAATTCTTGGTTTGAAGGGAGAAATTGAAGCCAAATTAAAGTCTTTGAAGGTTTCTTATGATCAAGAAGTATCCCAACTAGAACTTGTTGAGCAAAACTTGGCACAAGCAAAGGAAGAAGCAGAAGCATTGAGATCAGAAGCTTCAATTGCTGAAGCTAAGCAAAATTCGTTATCTGCCAAGTTGAACGAACAGCAATTACAATTGGAGGAAATGGAGAAGCAAAATAGTACTCTCAAGGAAAGATTAGGTGTTGTTAACGCTGAAATAGCTGAGAATGAAAAATTATTGACATCTCGTGAACAGGAGCACCAACAGTTTGCAAATAGCTTGAATGTCAAGAAATCCCAAGTCCAAGTGGCTGTGGTCCACAATGAAAAGTTCAAATCACAGCTTAAGGACCTTGAATTAAGCCACACACAGATGCAAGCTGAATTTGACAGTTTGGAAGAACAAAGACTTCGTGCTGAACATGAAAAGGAAGTCCTTGCTCAACAAAAGGCTGAGCTTGAAAAGAAAAAGCCAGCAGGACCTTCACCATCTATCACAAAGAAATCTCTTGGTCTTGTTGGAGGGTTGGCTGCTGGACTTGCAACCGGTATTGCTGCAACTACAGATTTGTTACACTCTGGTGAAAACGAAGACGAGAAAGAAAAGAAGGAAAAGCAAATAGCATCTCTTCAGCTGGCAGACGAAGGATTTGATGATGATTCTGCTCCTTCCGAAATTGTTGATGCTCAAAGAGAGGTTGGGGTCCAAGAAGACGTTGGGGTCCAAGAAGACGTTGGGGCCCAAGAAGAGGTTGGGCTTGAAAAGGAAAGTGGGTTGAGAAATGATGAACTACAATCTAAGGATATTCTGGAAACCGTTGGCGAACTAGAGGAACATACAAAACCAGCTACCCCAGTTGAAGACTTCACTGGGAATGATAAAAGCGTTGAATCGACTTCACGTGAACCAATTTCGAATGATAAAGAATTAGAAGAGAAATTCCCAGATTTAGCTATAGAAAGCAAGCCTACAATTCCTAAGACAACGGCAACAACCACTACAACTTTAGGATCTACAGTCACCGATTTTAAGAGTGAGAATGAGACCCCTATAACTTCACCTACTACTTCTGACTTCCAATTCCCACAAGGAGGTATGATGGGAATGCCTGGTGTTTTATTGGGTATTCAAAGAACGGAATCATTGACTTCAAGCGTTCAAAATAATGCAGCATTGTCGGTGAGAGATGATAATATTGAAGTTAGCGATCGAGAAACTGTTGGTGTAAATGAGATGGGAGAATTTAACAGAAATGTTGAGCCAGACTCATCAAACAATGAGGAATCTGTTGATGAAGATAAGATTTCATCTGGTATTGGATCCTTTGAAATAGTGAACCCTGAAGATACAAAGGAAGGTGACGGAGAATCAACATCTAAACATCACACTGGTATTGATGAAGAGTTTCCTCCAATTAAAGAGTTAGAATATGATGATGAGGACTCTTCATCATCTGATGATGACGGTAAATCTGAAAAGTTTGTAAATGCAGTTCAAGATCCTGCAGAGCATGTATCCGAAAGCACGGTTACAGAAACAACTAAATCTGAAGATATCGTTCCACCACCATCCAAACCATCGTTTGATGATTTTGATGATCAGTTTAATGATTTGGATCCAGCCACGCCAGATGTGAACACTACTACTACTAAAAAGGATGCATTTGATGAATTTGATGAATTTGCAGATTTAGAAGAGGCTCATGCTGAAACATCTAATGCTGCTGATGACTTTGAACCTGAAAAATCGTATGCCTTTGATGAAACATTTACCAATGAAGTCAATGCAACTGCGAAATCCAATGTTCCTGATTTTTCTACTCCTGGTAATACTAATATTAATAGTAATAATTCTGCTACTAGTGCAGCAGCCAATGATGAATGGGAACAATTATTTGCTGGATTTGGCAATGCTAATGTGGTTAATGAATCTGTTTCACCTCCATTTCCACCATCATTTGACCAAGCAATTAGCACTACAACAGCTGGTACACTTTCAAGCAACCAAGATTATGCGTTGAAGGAACTTGAAGGTATGGGTTTTGAGAGATCTGTTGCTCTTCTGGCTTTGGAGCAAGAACATTGGAACTTGGAAGCTGCCACAAATTATCTTCTTGATAATGTTTAGGGAGTTACTAATGTTTAGGGAGTTACTGACTGGCTGGTTAATGACTGACTAACTAATTTTGTTTTTATTTATAAATTGTAAATATATTTATATGATGTTTTTGAGTATTAACTGTTGAGAACACAATGGCATGTTGAACTCCTTTAGCTGTATGCTCCTTTCGGAATATACATTGTTAGCATTAACTGAGGTTAGTGCTTGATAACATTTTGCACCCATTGATAAAGAAATTTTCATCGGTGTGCTCGAACGTCCTTCGCACGACCACTCCAGTATTTTAGTGTCGGCGTCACTTGCTGTTAGAGGAAAATATGCGACCCCCGCAACTTCCACACAGGTCAGTGCCTCTTACTCGTCTGGCCCAGTGGATCGCTCGTGTGAGTCAGCTCATAACAACTAACAACAACATATGGAGTGACATAAAACAACGTTATAATGATATAATGTGACATGTCACATCTAAGTAACTGCTTGTAAATGTATACTACAATGATATTACTCTATAAATGTTACAAACCATATTGAAACCCTATTAGCAGCCAGCTGCTTATTACCCAGTATTAATAATGTTAACCAATATCACCTTAAACCGTTGGAACGTGTACCAAGCCATTATCCTTGTTGAAGGAGGTGATGACAAACTTAGTTTGTTGTTCCGAGAGTGACTTCTTTGGAACAGAAGTTTGCTTCTTAGCCACCTTAAACTGGTTACATCTAATCGGAGGTAAGACAATAGGCTTAATAAAGTCCTGACTAACTCTTCTGTAGCCATTTTGATACAGTTTGGGAGATGAGGTAGGAGATGGATAGATTGCAGCTGCCAAAGATACGGGTGATAAGGGAGGAGTTTTAAGTTGGAGTTGTTCTTCAATAGAAGGCAAACGAGGAGAAACTTCATAGTCATGTTTGTCGCCACAACACGATACGTTTTCTTCCCCTTGTTCAACTTTAACAATAGTTGGTTCTATTTTAATAGTAGTAGCAGCACCGGCTTTAACAGTGGCCATAGAAGTTGCTGCTTCAGGCCAACAACATTCTAAAAAGTTACGAGTACAAGCTTGACATTTACCATCAACTTTGTCTTCGTCACACTTCTTCTTTCTCTTACGACAAGTTAAACAGCCTGTTTTCGTTCTCTTATTAGTTGGTGTGCTCGAAGGCTTGGTGACAGCTATTTTGTTTAAATTCTTTTTGGGTGCAAGTGACTTAGAACCACCAGAAACACTCTTGGGCCGTATGGAAAAGTTCAACACTTGTTGGAAATCCTTATAGTTGGTCATCTTTAGGGCTATTTGCTAGTGGATAAGAAGGAAGAGTGAAAAGTTTTCAGGTATTAAAATTGTATAGGTTTTTGCCAGGGTTTATATTTAATGGCCTGCAAATTTAAGTCATCAAGGTAAACACCCCATTGGGAAACTGAGAACGGGTTTGGCGCGGTCGTCTCTTTCTTGTGATCGAAAATGGGAACTGACCACGAATTTCATTTGAAATTGGGAAACTCACACCGAAAACGCCATCAATTTTCTGTAAATGGAAGGAACTTTCACACTTTTCTTTCCTAACCAAACTGAAAAGCCTTGTTTTTCACGTGATATATCACAGGAATCTCACGTGTATATTTTCAACATATAATGTCTTCATCGGTGGTATTACAATTAGATCGAAACTGAATTATTCCATAATAAATTAATATTTGCTATATACAGTTATGGACAAGAATCACAGCTCGTCTTCCATAATTGGATTCGTCTAGTTGAATCATGTTGTCTCTAAAAATACATACGCCCCATTGAAAAGTTTGCTGGTACTGTTGTTAATTGATTCATTTAAATTTTATGTCTATGCTCCTTTGGAATATGCATAGGGGACCAAATACCTCTAACAGAGTCATTGATAGAAAGAACCTTGTGATTATATTTGAATAATTTGTTACCACTATTTTGTGAGTATTCTTTAAGCTTCTTCAATATTTCACCATCAGTATTATTCCGACATTCAATTTCCTTTACGGAATCATTATTATAATGGAATGTTAATCTTGGATGACCTTTTTGCTTTACGATATTAAACATTATTTCCCGATTTTCAAGGGCCAAGTTGTTTAACTTCCCATTGCTAAGTAATTGTCTAACACCATTTGATGATCCACCCCAGTTACAGTATTGAATGGTAATTTTGTAGCATGGCTTCACAAATGCTCCGACACCATTACGGGCAACAGATGGAATTGGAATACCTTTGATTGGCATATTGTCTTCTGAACGTTTTATACTCACAAGCAATTATTGCAAGTGTTTAATTACTGTTCTTGAGTTGAAAATTTTTAAAGTCTAAAAAAACAAAAATAAAATGGTATCACGTGATGTTATATTATTAACTTATACTTCTCTCGATGACATAGTTTTCAAGAGAGGTCCCTTGGCCCAGTTGGTTAAGGCGTGGTGCTAATAACGCCAAGATCGGCGGTTCGATCCCGCCAGGGACCATTCTTATCAATTCGGGGCATGTGGCGTAGTTGGTAGCGCGTTCGCTTAGCATGCGAAAGGTCTCCGGTTCGACTCCGGACTCGTCCAATTTTTTTTGTATTTCACTCCAAACTTTATATTAATCTCACTGCGGATTGTACTTATCAAGTAACTATAAGAACTAGCTGAACTTGGTAACCCTGGTGTATTTTTCACTTTAAATTGTTGGTATAACTCGGATCTATTAAATAATATTATTAAACTTTATTAAAGGATATTTTAAGAAAAGCACTATGGTACATAAAAGAAGTAAAAAATATTAATAACCCGTATAATAATCAAGTCTTCTTAACCTTGATAAATTTGTTTCTCCAGAACCCATCTTCACCCAAGACTTCTTTAGCTTCCAACTCGTAGCCTCCAAGTCTTGGTAATACTCGGGTCCACACAAACCAGTAGACAACACCAACACCGAAAATACCCCAAGTAACCACGGGGTGGATCCAATAAGGTAAATTTGTATAAACTTTTTGACCACCTGTAGGAGGAATATAAGGAGCAATAACCAAGTATAAAGATGAAAGAGTGAAGAACGCAATAACTGGAACAGTAGCACTGAATGGAGGATTCCATTCCTTTCTTCCTTTAAACTTTTGGTAGTGGATATACAATAAACCAGCACCCACGGCAATGTTAACCACATTTAATGGATAAGAAATCAAGTTCATAATAAAGGTATAAGCATCACCTGGAGGAGGAGCAACAATGGTTACAATACAAACAAGCCAATGTTGCATTAAGCCAAAGAAAGGAGTGTTGAAAGGTTTAGAAGTACCCCATAATCTTGATAAAGGTAAAGAACCTTCACGACCCAAAGCCTGGACAATTCTACCTTGAGAAAAGATAACCACAATGACATTGCCCAAAGCAGATAAGGCAACAAAAATTGAAGCAGCCTTTTCAGCTGAATCGCCAAAGGCATATTTGAAGAACGAAGCAGCCAAAATACGACCAGAACCTGCAATCTCTTCCTTTGGAACAACGGCAAAATAAGCAATGTTAACAAACATATAAATGATAGTTAACGAAAGGAAGGCAACTGGAGCAGCAACTTTTAAAATTTTGTTTGGGTTCTTAGCTTCACCTAACGCATAGTTGGCATTGGAATAACCAATGAAAGACCAGATAACATTATATAAGGCATTGACCACTCCAAATCCACTTGGGGAAGCACCGTCAAATGCATTTGTAAAGTTATTAGTTGGTTTGAAATTCTTAGTTTTGATACCTCCACCCAACGCGACCCAGCCAGTAACGGTAATGATCAACACAATGGCAAGTTTAAACACACCCAAGACGTTAGCTAAGAATAAACCAGTCTTCACATGAATAGCATTGATAAGGAATGCAAAAGTAATGACTCCTAACCCGATGGCTCTGGAGTTCCATTGGGTAACTTTAGTATCAGCAGCATTCAACAAGTATTCTCCGACGACAACTGAATTACCAGCAGCCCATCCAAGGAAGAAGGCATATGAACCATACATGGCGGTTACCATAAACTTTGGTTTCTTATAAATGTACTCCAAGTAGTTCTTTTCACCACCATTTTTTGGAATGGCTGTACCCAATTCCATATAAGTCAATAATCCTGTGAAGGCGATAATGGCACCCGCAGTCCACATTAAAAGGGAAGTACCCACTGATCCAGAAAGATTATAAATGCTTGATCCAGTAGCGAACACACCGGCCCCTAAAATACGATTGAAAATAAGGAAAGTAGCAGAGACTACCCCGATTTCTTTCTTGTTCTTATCCAAGGCAACCACTCTGAAGTCCTCAGAAGCAGAATCATATTCATAGATGTTGTTGTCTTCCTTGATATCAGACTCCTTACTAGAGGAGAAATGAGATGCTAGACCCATGATGATATTTTTGATGAACCACAAACACTAATTTACAGGTGGAGGCGTATGCTTAACCTTTTATATATAAAGATGAAAGAAAAAAGGTGAGTCGTTTAGGTGCTAGTGCTGGTGTTAGTGTCGGTGTCGGAGTGTGTCTGTGCAAGCACGTCACTATAATCACTAAGATTTTGAATCTTCATTGGCATCTCATTAGCTGCAAATAGAATGCATTTCGTAGTGTCTGAAAAGAAGAAATGCCGTTGCCTGATAGAACAATAACGCCACGGTTTTTGTCAGGATTTTCTTCTTATTGTTTTGTTTTGTCTGGAAAAATTACACGGCGAAAAAAAGTAACTACCAGAGAAATGCCCTTCCGTTTTCTTAATCCCGTGGTGTATATAAGATGTTTCATAGTATATATAGTGGAACTGCCATTTGGCCTCTCCAGAAAAGAAATAGAAATATCAGACACTAAAATAGTTGCAAATACCAAGCTTACATTTTCATACTGCTAACCTTACACTCAAGAGTCCGGATAACACCCCAAACATTTCTAAGACAATTGCTGTTCAATGGTGAGAACCCTTGTAATGGCATGCGTATTGTGATTGCATATTGGGTTATTTTTTGTTTATGACATGCGTCCTTTTAAGCATCTGATGAATTATTCAACTAGTTATACTAAAATTTTATCCTATCAACAGAGCCTAAATGCTAGTGCCGTGCATTATAAAAGCTTTTGTAGATTCTTAAGAAACATCGTCTTTCGGATAAATTGTCCCCAGGTCACGTGAAATTGCAATTGCTGCAAAAGAAGCAGACATTTTAAACTTCCAAGGCATTTGATCCAAAATAATAAACCAAAACCACACTTTTTCTGTTTGTGGTAGCGCCGGAAGTCGTATTATTGTATTATTGAAATGCAGTATCTCTAACTAAACAATTGTAACAATCAAATCCATCTCAATTGTCCAAACATATACTACCATTGCTTAACTGTGGCAACCCCCTTTTCAGCCACACCATAGTGTCAAGAAATAATGTGTTTGTGGTAAATGTTCACCATTTCTCCAAGATAACGTTCGCTCCATTGCATCGCGTGACTGTTTAAAAGCACCTATGGCAACACCTGCTGTGGCTGGCTGCGAAAAAGTGACAACTGCCGTAACATAACCTTCGATAGTCGTAGCCGTAGCTTTACTTCGGAAAATTGAATTCAATGTATATTTTTTTATGTACAATATGTTCTAAGTAAGGACGATGAAGTGAATGTAAACGATTATTGGTTCTTAATGGCTGCTTCAATTTGTGACTTTGCTTTTTCCAAAGCAGCTTCTGAACCAGTTAAAAAGACAAATTGGTTGTACTTATCCTTTGCTCTTGGAACATGAATAAAACAGTTGGACTTAGCTCTGATTTGGTTAATGGTAGAACCTCCACTACCAACGATCTTAGAAAAGACTGAAGGGTTGCTACTGTAGAAGAAACCCTTTGAAGTGGCTTCTTGAGCTCTTGCTAAACGTTCAGCAATGAACTCAGCTGCCTTGGAAGTATCTTCTTCACTACCAATCAAACGCCATGGGATGGTACTTCCTTCACCATTTTCAGCTTGGTCTTGTTCTTCTTTTTCGGTGATAATAGTAAATTTGGTTCCATTATCGCCAACAGCAGATTCTGGTGGCGAAGAAGGTGCAGCAGAATTCAATTTACTGGCAGTACGTGTTAAGTTCCCGTGCTTGACAATAACATGAAAATCCGTTTCAATCTTTTTCAAAATAGCACCACGTTCACTAACTAGTTGATGATATTTGGTAGGAACTTCAACGACACGATTCCATTCATCTTTAGTAAGTTCTAATAACTTTGCTCTCAATTTTTCAATTCTTTCAGGCAATCCAGTAACATCAATAATGTTACTGGAAGATGCTTGCTGAGGAACCCTAATTCTAACGTTGAATTCATTTTCTAATGCATGACGAACTGATCCAGCAGGTCCAATGATCAAACCATGTCTTTCCTTAGCAATTTCAATTCCTTCAGTAATCACAGCTTCTCTTTCTTCAACAATCTTGGTAATTTGTTCAATCACCTTATCAACAATCTTCTTGTCACCAACAACTGTGATCTCATCAGATCCACTGCCCTCGGCAGGAAAGTTGATTAAACGGTTGAACTTAGGACCACTCAAGTGAGCACCACCAGCATTTTCAATGATTTCGCGTCTGGTTTGACCTCCAGTACCAATTAAGGCACGGAAATGTTTAGGATCAACATTGATTGTCTTTTCAATCAAGTTTTCTTGTTCACTAACAATCTCGTTAATTTTGTCAGTGGCTTCCTTCAATGCGGTACGAGAACCAGTCAATTCAACTTCTGCATAGCCTAACTTAGCTTCAGCTTCATCATCTCTATGGAAATCAAATTCAACACCAGTTCCATCAGCAATATCCTTGATGTTAGAACCACCCTTACCCAAAACAAGAGCAATAGCCTTAACAGGGATTTGAATGGTCTTCTTGAAACCATTCTCCTTTTCGTATTGATACAAATCCTTCAACTCTTCTTCAGCCTTAGAAACCCCCTTGGAAGCACCCTTGATAGTGATTTCATCCTTAGACTTAGGAGCATCAGCACCACCACCGTTAGACTCACTGGGGAATCTAATCTTAACGTTATACTTATCTTGCAATCTATTCACATAGGAGAACTTGGGTCCTGCAAGTCTTCTATGGAATTGCTGTTCAATTCTTAATCTGACAATTGTTTCGTCTGCCAATTTCTTTGACAACAGTTGCAATTTTGCCTTGCATGCTTCAACATTAGCTTTAATACCAGTAATTACAATCTCGCTCTTGGCACTTTGGTCATTGGAATCAGCCTTGGCACCATCAAATCCTTCAACGTCAATCTTGACGTCGTAGTCACTACGGATGCTGTTCAAGTTGGCACCACTCTTACCAATAACTCTAGGAACAACAAATGAAGGGATATGTATAGTTGTTGAAAATGAGTCACCATGTTCTTTGTTGTCAGCGATAGCAGCAGCAAATAATTTTTGAATTGTAGCAACATCACTCTTGAATCCAATGACAGAGACACTGTTATTCTTTCTGGTGACCTTAACAGATTGAGAGTCAACGGCACCTACAATAGCATCAATGGTAGAGGGTGGGAAGTAAAGTTGACTTTCAGAAGGAATAGCAATTTCAACTGTGCTCAAATCCTTAGAGAACTTTCTTAAACTGTCCAATGCTTCGTTTACAACTGATAAACCAGCACTTCCATCAGCTGGCTCTTCAGACTCTACAAAATCATCCTGATCCTGTTCATTAGATTGCTCTTCAACATCAGCAAACAAAGTGATTCTGGAGCCCAAGACAACATAAGAAACTTTATTGGCAGCAGCTACTTCATCAATGGTTTCAGGAACACGAGGAATCAAAAACTTGTCAATGTCCTCAACCACCAAAGTAGAAGAAGGAAGAATTTTGTTAACAGTGTGGACAATGCTTCTTCTGGTAGCCTTTGTTTGTTCATCTTCATTATTCTTAAAAATGATTTCAATTGGAACAGACAAAATCTCGTCATTACTCAAATCAGCATTATCTGGTGCATTCACAGTAACCTTGTTTGTTTTAGCAATTTCGTCAAAGATACCCTTCTTCTTCAAAAGAGCAGCTACAGATTTGACATGGTTTAAGTTACCCTTGTGGGCTTTAGACATTTCCAAAACTTCAACCTTGTATTGAGAAGTGTGTTGTCTAGCCTTTTCCTTAGCCAGGGCAATTTTCTTCTTTTCACCAAGAAACTTGACATTCATAGAACCGTCAGTAGGTAACTTGATCAAAACATTTTCTTCTTCTAAAATAGATTCAATTGGGAGGAACTTGTGTTTGACTTGAGGAATCTTGACTTCTTCCACAACAACTTTCAGTTCGTATTCAGATAAGATACGTTTAATTTCCTTCTTTGCGGCATAAACTGGTTTACGAGGACCAGAAATAGCAACATTAGAAAAGAGTGAGTTGAAAGCTGGAATGGAAATGTCAATGGCAGGGTTGGCAGCGATAACATCTTTACATAATTCTTGAGCAAATGGCTTAACAATTTCTTCAACAGCAATAGTAGCAATAGTGTTTTTAGTAGAGCCATCAACAATGGCAAGAATTGAGGCTTCAGCAGCCTTAACACCTTCAACATCACCTTTAATAGTGATGGCAACAAGGTTACATGAGTCTTCATCATCAGAATCTTCAGCTAATTCTGGTTGATACACAACTTCCGAGTCAATATCAATGCGAACGCTATTGGAATCAATGATAGGACGTAAATTCTTACCACCTGGACCAATGATAGCAGCTCTAGCCTTTGAAGGGACATAAATCTGTTTGGTCAGAGGACTGGTCAAATTACGAACAATCAGTCTCTTTGCTTGTTTGACATCGTCAGGCTTACCAGAAACAACAAAACTTCTAATTCTTGCTTGTTGGGAAAAGTTTGTATCAATTTTTGTGTTTGTTTCAGCCTTAATGGTAGCCAAAAGTTTCTTCAACTCTGGAGAAGAAAGGGAAACCAAATTTTCAGCATTGAGGGAGAAAGCCTGTTGGATGGTGGAAGACTTGAAAAGAGGTGATGGGGATCCCTTACGAGAAGAAGACGCAGAAGTAGAAAGAGCAGGAGCTTGAGAAACAGCTGGAGTGGATACCTTCATTGATGGTCCCCAAACTGGAGTCGCTGGGCCACTTGCAGACGAACCACCCAAGGTAGGGAAAGCTGATTCATCAGCAATAGAAGGAGCAGGGGTAGATCTATTAGTAGAATAGATTGATGAAACAGTTGATTCAGCATCATCAAATTCGTCTTCATCAATATAAGAAGTTGTTACTGGTTCAGAGTCAAGAATCAACCCATTAACACGAGCAGCAATAATTTCAGCAGGAGTAGACATAACCGATTAGGATCAATGCTATTGAAAGCAGCGGGAGATTACAGGAATAAGGGGGAAGTAGTACCACGTTTGGTGATAAGAACCAATGATGGAGAGTCAGAAGAAAAGAGAAAAGAAAAGAAGAAAAGAAATTTGATTCAACAACTCTGTCAGCCATTGTCTTAGTCCAATTTTTCACCAACACTCTAACGGTCTTTTGGTTGAACACGTATATACAAGTGATTGGGACTGCATATTGTAGCGAAAAATACGATAATGAAAAAAGGGTACATAAGCAAGTTGGATCAGACTAGTGAGCGTACTGTATGGTATTCGGGGATTTGCATGTAATGACTGATACTATTAATCAGATGGAATAACTTATACTGGTATATATATAGTTTGAGTAGAATTGAAGGCTGTCTTTTCAATATAATAAACTTGTTTCATTGCGTGTATATTTCCAGGGCCCTGGTCGTGTGATAACCACGATTACCAGTTTGATGAAACTATTAAAGTGTTAATTGTAAAAGTAGTTATCTTTAGCTCTACATTTTTGAAAAAAAAAAGTCTAAATATCTGCAATTGCATGATATTAGAGAGCTATGGCCATGTTTCATTGTTTTTGTGATTATATGTCACTTGATTTGTTTTTGGCAATTGCTGCAAAAAGAAGACATTTCCAGCTAAATGTAGTCTAAGGACTTCCAAAATACACTATGTTAAATTTTACATTCTGCAATTTGATTTTGAAAGCATCCGACCAACAACTGTACACTAACAATTCTAATATCGCATGACATATTATTCCCCAATCGCGCTATGAAGGAAGGCTTGAGTTTTGCATTATTATGGTAAAGCATGGGCTGTAATTTATAGAATATCGTATTAAGGTTATGCGTATGTCAATGTTCACAGTTTGCATCTACAGCTCAAAGACGGTTTCTCGTCTTTGCAGATTTGGTGTTTTTACCTTTACATGTAAGTGTTGATTGAATACTTACTTTCTACAAAGGTGCAAATCAATGTATAGATAATCGGATTGAACTACTGAACCACCAATCGTTCCCAGCTTCAAATTAATCAGCAAGCATCATTTGCGGTATCCAATAAGCACTTTGTCTTTCTGTCGTTATTTACTTGAAATACTTGAATCTGTTTTCACTAGTATTTCACATTGCAATCTGCTTATATTTTGTCATTCTGGTCGCTTTACTCCCTGGATGGTTGTACTTGTGCTTATCGAATTTTGGTTAAGGATTTCTCGTGAAAGAAATCCCATAGTAGGAGTAATTTAATATTGTATAACGTCAAATACGCTTGTATTGATTATCTTTTGAACGAAAGTAACTAAAGTGGTTCAGATTTTAACCAAGTTATCCAAATTTTTGGGATCTGATTCAGATTTTCATAGTCCTTTATCAAGTAATCAAAGCATGATGCTTTTGTTAGTTTCTATCACCTTTAGGAAGGAGTATTCTCCAGGTACTCAAAAATTTTCTTTTGAAGTCTGGTTTCGAGCCCCCAGTTAATTTATGAAGCTTTCAAATAGTTTACTTCCTTCATAGCTACCATACCTGAGAAATAGTTTGCTGTAATCTTGAGGAGCCATTGCTTAAAATATCTTCCACTAGTGGCGCCAATTGCATATGTTTTATCATAATAGCGAACTTCAGTTTATGACACTTAGCCCATCTTGGGTCAAATACTTGATCTTCAGAATGTGAATTTGCAACCTACATAAAGTTGCAGCCTATGTGAATGGCAGACTACTTGAAGTTTTAACTTAATCAATAGTCATGTACCACTCAATGAGGGCACAAAAATGATGCCAATTCACAGTTGTGGTATATCACTATAAAATCCTTAATGGATAATAGGGGTATTAAGGAGTAACTTCTTATAACATAGAGCTGCCTCTTAAATGGTGCAAAAGGAGAAAGCAAGCAAACAAGAATAACAAAAATACAATAATCCGATTTCCAGGCCTCTGGAGTATCTAATAATAGATGATATAAAGCCCAGTACTCCAAAATGAGTTATTGGAAGGAATAGGTTGGTACACCCAGGGTTAGACAAGAACACCTATACTTAGTTGAGCATCACAAATCACGTGACATTATTTGGGTTACAATGGATTCTTTTATCTAATCTTTTTCTCTTCTACACACATTAATAAAAGACAATTTATAATCATATTTATTTATGTATTTCAAGCAAAAGCGGGATAAATCAGAAGGTTTCGTATAGCAATTCTGTAAGACGATATTCTTCATTGGCTTCTTCAATATCTTGCCAATTTCCAATGAAATCATCTCCACGCACTATACCAGGTAATGTTTTCCCTTTGGAGTAGGTTCTCCAGATCTTCTTTGCAGCCTCATCAGTTCCTAAATCACGGAGTTCGTACTTAATCTGATTGGCATTCAAAATTGTAACCAACCGATTGGTACGAGGCATAATTTGCATTCCTCCTGCTAAAGATGTGTAGATGTAAACTGGCTGAGATTCCAAGTGAGCACGAAGTTCTTCAGGATTCACTTCCATATTCTCAAGATCAAAATCATCTGTGTCCTCGGCCTTGGAAGATTTGCTGGTTGGCTGATCTTCTTCCTTCTTAATTTTCTCTAATGCCTTTTCAGCTTCTGGAGTAACTTCAACATGGGCTTGTTTTGGATTCTCATCTAAAGCTTCATCAGACTTAAATGATCCAGGAATATCCAAATCTTCAGCATCAACCTTGTTTTGAGATTCTTTAGATATGGCTTTATCACCTAGCGCAGTGTTATTCAATTCTTCGGATTCTTCATCAGCTGCTGGCTTCGATTCACGATCTACGGAATTAATTAAACTCGCCTCCTTTGAATTAGTTAAACTTGAATCTTCATTAGCTTCAGTTAAACTCGCATTTTCTTTGGAATTGGTTAAACTCGCTTCCGTAGAATTAGTTAAATTCGCATCTTCCATAGAATTAGTCAAACTCGTGTCTTCTTTGGAATTAGTTAAACTCGCATCTTCCTTAAAATTAGTTAAACTTGCCTTCTTATTACTAGTCAAACTCGCCCTTTGATCAGCAGCTGAATCCTTAGTTAACACATTTTCAACCAAGGAATCTAATTGGTCAATAGTGGAATATGGGTCATCTGAGATCAAAGCACCTTCAGCAACCAACTCTTTCAGAGTAGCATCATCTTTGCTAACATTAACATTGGCTTGTCTAGACCTAGAACGAGAAATAGAACGTAAGTATTGCACACTTGAAGTGAGTCTCTCAGTTGCTAAATCGCTGCTATAGTTGGGAACAGGGGTATCAACGTTGTAATTAGTATAATCACCTGTTGTGACCAAAGAGGGATCACGCAACAATTGAGTCTGGATAGTACCTTGGGTTGCTAATTCCTTTTCAGCGGCAGCAATCAGCTCTCCCATAGTTGGACGAGAAGCTCTTGATCTACGATCATCATCATCTTCATCGTCTCCATTATCAACTTTTCTAGAAGTGGAAGCTGAAGATTCCAGAGTTTCTTTAGTTGATGCAGCTACTTCGTCTTCACGAACTGAAATAGTTTCATCAGTGAAGTCTGCAGGTAACTCATATTTAGATGGTTCCTCGAGGTGAGTCAGCTTGTAGGAGTCTCCACGAGCCAAGTGAGGTCTAATGCTAGATCTTGATCTGGATCTTTCTTGGGCTGCAGCTGAAGGCTGAGTAACAGCATGTGGAGTTGCAGGTGGGTTCTGAGATCTTGATCTTGATCTTGATCTAACAGATTCCGAATGAGTAACTGGAGTGGAATCAGTGTAAAAGTACGGAGAATGAATTGAATCATGATTCAAACTAGACAAATTCTGTTGCTTTCTCTTGGAGGTGGACAGTGTGTCTGAAGCAGGTGAAGATACGGCCAGTTTGCGGAATGAATCATTGGTTGGAGTTTTCAAATCTGTTGAATCTGACACTGAACCGTCAGTGGGTAAACGGTGAGGATCATGTGATTGAATATTTGCCAACAAATCAGCGTGATCAGTGATTTCGTGTTCCAATTGGTATTCTGACAAGTTAGGAGTAGAAAAGTCACCACTTTGCTTATAGAATGGTTTCTTTTGAGACGAGTCAGATTCAACAGCGATAGTGGCTACAGCACTATCACTAACACTATTGTTAGCGATTGGTGCTGGTATGGGCAACGTACCATCGGATTCCTTCTCTGGAGCGATTCCTTCCAGAAGTTCAGAGATAGCCTTCTTGTCATCAACATGGGAAGCGGGTTTCTTTGAGAATTCCGATTTGATAACGTTACCATTTGTATCCAAATAGGAGTCAAAGTTTTCTTCTGAGCCCAAAAGAGCACCTTCGTTAATCAAATTATCCAACGAGGCAGTCAACTTATCGATTGATGTAGGAACACTGCTGTGAGCAACACATTGAGCCAGCTTGTTGGGATTTGACTTTTCAGGGTGAATATAATTTTGGTGAGCGGAATCATCAGCTGATCTCAAGGAAGCTCCTACTAAAGATGGTGCAGACAACTTTTCTGCCTTCTCCAATTGTTCTTCAAAATCCATTATAGCTTCTAAGGGGGGTTAGGTCAAAGGTGTACTATACTAACTTGGTAGAGAGTATGGGGGTGGTAAGATCGACGTATATTTATTGCTCGTTGGCAATTGTGGGGGAATTGATTTTCGACAGTGCGAATTTGGTGGTGGTGGACGTAAGGAAAGATAAAGATAAAAAGGAGGACCCCGAAATTAAGTCCTACGGAGAGAGAAAGAGAGTAAATATATATGATTATGATAATCTCACAATAAGCTCACGATCAGCCCATCATCGACTTATCATATCATTGCAGAAGAAAGTATCGATCGGGGTCCATACTAAATTGGCATTTGCATGATAATTGGATGATATCACATACATTGCTAATGGGTTAAGGGGAGTTTGCATTTTTCATGATTTTGAAAAGCTTACTGTAGCAAAATAAGTCACTTGTCATACAGAGATCAACATATGTATACGCCTGTTGATCTGTTTCACCTATAAATGTATACATATTGTACGCAAGTAGGCCAAACCCTTTGCGATTACCAATGGTAGCGCAGCATAACGACTAATGTGTGATGCTACACCCACAACTTCCTAAGAACCTAATTTACACAGTAATTAAGACATATATGAGTTACCCAACATGTAAACCAACTGCGTGCTTGTTACCAACTAGCATAATCCTACTTGTACCGTAATGTTTTTTCTTTCAAACACTTTGATATGCCAGCATCTCGATATCGCTATACTTATCAAAGCAATTACTACTTTATATTTATACCTTGACATAGAGTGTATATGGAACTAATAGAGTCATGTCATCGAAGGTTAGTTTGCTTAAATATTTTGGTAACTAGGTAATCCGTTTGCTCCATTTTTTATTGTATGGAGAACTCATTACCTACGCCTCGAAATGGGTCAGCCTGTATGGGGAAAGGTGGATCCAGTTTGACTTATTGTCCTGGATTATACCGTGAATCTTCGTCTAGTCACAAAAATACTATGACCAAGATACAAACCTGCAAACACCATACATAACTACTAAAGGACATATATAAACCTAAACATATCATATATAATAGGCAGTAGCAGAACACAAGGCTTGCGGTTCAAATGGAGTTATAGACGAGCGCTCCACGAGCAATTGGAAACAAGTAGTTATACTTCAATCATGAGGAAAACATGTGAGTAAGTTGTAGATGTATGCTGTTTTATGTATCAAAACGTTACCCCATATATTTATTTCATTTGATATACAATAATATGTGTTAAAAAGTAATATTAATATTGTTATTACTACTTTTGCTATTCTAGTTCTTCCTACATTTTTTACTACGGCCCATTTTCTAACTGACCATCGCGCTACCAATAGGATACTACTTTCTTTTTCTTTTTTTCTGCCTGCCGTAATGTTTGTGTTGAGCCATTTGTAAACGGTTACCTTACAAATGCATCGTTCATTCCACTCTAGCTTTATATTCAAACTTTGATTCAAACAGCATCTTTTTTATATATAGTGGCAGCATCTTAACATTTGAAACCTAAACCATTTCATTCAATAACAACTTCACTACCACCACCTCCCCTTGGTTGTCTTATTATATATATACTTAACAAATTAATTAGCCATGATGTCTACATCATCCAAGTCAGCGGCCGCTATACTCCAACGACAATATAAAGATTTGACTGACCCCAGAACAGGAATCCCATCTTTTCATATTGAGTTGGACGATGACAATATCTTTCTTTGGAATATTGGAATCTACATTCACAACACTTCCAGCATGTATAACGGAGGTTATTTCAAGGGTCAAATGAGATTCCCACCGGATTTCCCCTTCTCGCCCCCCACTTTCCGGTTCACTCCAGCCATTTATCATCCAAATGTTTATCGAGATGGTAGACTTTGCATTTCAATATTGCATCAAGGAGGTGATCCCACTGCAGATGAACCAGACCTGGAAACCTGGTCCCCAGCGCAAACAGTAGAACTGGTGCTTATCTCTATTATTTCACTTTTAGAAGATCCAAATCCTTCTTCAGCTGCTAATGTTGACGCTGGGGTTGACTTACGTAAGAACCCAGACGCATATAAGAAGAAGGTATTGCAAGAAGTAGAGAGACTGAAAAAGGATATCCCTGAAGATTTTGTTATTCCTGATCTGGAACATTCAGCATATGGTAATTCAAACGCTATCAACGCTTATGATGAACCAGAACCAGTGGATGAAGACTTTTGGTATGAAAGTGAAGGAGATGACGATGATGATGAAGTGGAATCATTCGATGAAGAAAGCTTGATGGATGATAACATGGAGGATGACGACGATGATGATGTTGAAGATGAAGATGAAAACTCAGATATCAATCTTGTTGGAAAGTGACATAACCCTTGTATATTGTCTACATATATTGGAATACCTTATATCATGCATTTCAAACCTTTCGTTGGTATTTCATAATCATTATCATCACCACCTCCATTACCAACAATTCCTATTACTACTTTCAATATTGTATGCTGCTAAAGCTAATACTTGTGCTTCGACTACATTTACCAACTGCATTCTGGTACGCTTGCTAATGACTAACTTTAGTAGAATGTATATCAATCCATATTACATACTATTATATCATCTAATTGCTATTCATATTGTATAGATATCTATCCCCCCCAAAACACTTCAATATCCCTTCAACCCTTTATTGAGTGCATTCTGTAACTCATCTAGCTTAATCTTTGCTATCAGGTCTGGCATCTTTGTGTGGTAAATTATAATTAAAAAGAGCCCCCCGGGACGATTTGTTTCAAGCAGTGCTATCATTGCACAAATATCATCAGTTAAGGATACTTTGCGCCATGTAGAGTCAAAATTCAGTCCTATAGCGTTCCGAACGATAAGCGGATACATTTGGTGCACTTGGTCCTTCAAGTCGGTGTGAGAATGAATGCTACTGACAACATCTTCATTGAAAACCGTTGCTAAAGGTAGTCCATCACCATTGAGAAGAGAGATGGAAAGTGGAGCATTAGATTCTGGAGTTATAAGGGTGGACCCATTAATTGATCTGCAATTTGTATTAGTAGTATTTCCGTTGTTATTGCTGTTTGACCTTGATGCGAATGTGGATTTGGATGACTTGGATCCAGGAGATGACGATGCAGTTGTGAGGGGGTTGGGTGTCAAATAAGGTTTGAGACCTTGGTTTAGTAAATTGGAAATCAGGCGAGCTTGGAGCATGGCCAGGATTAAGGGAGTGGTATCGACTAAAGAAACAACAACAGGAACAACCAAAGAAACAAGAACAACAAGCAAAATGTAACAGCAATAAAGGTATCTTACCTGTCACAAACTAAGAATATAAATCTATTCAATAAGCTTATGATTTGAAGACCTTCCACTGTCCAAGTATGCTATTGATGTTGTAGATAAGAGCAACGAAAGAAAATGAAACCCTCTCACCTTTTTTTCACCTAATGACAAACACCTTTTATAATGTGGTATTGTATACGTAGATGTATATATATATATATATATATATAACTATATGTGTATGGTATAGTAGCAATAAGTCACTACTGGTCAACGAATGCGTTTGTTGCCGATCATAAATGTGAAAAGTCGTAGCAAAATAGTGCACCTAAGAAATGCAACACTAGATTTATTCACTCTTCATTATGTAAAATTACCTTCCGAAAGCGTCTTCATCGATACTTTCGTCCAATTGTTACATGGCTTATCCCAAAACAATGCTGTCGCGACTGTGCGCTTTACAAACAGAGGAATTACCGCTGGGGGTAAGAACATAAAGCGACAAAATGAATGCGGCAACAGCCACGACACAAATTGCCTATTCCAAATAAGTCTATGTCACTACACACTAGACTTCCTTTTCAGGCAGTAAGTGTTATGCCATTGTACACGCGGTGCGGTAGCATAAACGTAGTACGTCACAAAACCAACGGTGGAAGGAGTGCGAGAAAAATCTTTGTAAACACTACATTGGCTTACATTCATTGAATACAATCACTATCAATTGTATGGGATCGTTCCAATAGTGAGCGGAGGGGGGACCATCACAATCCACATTACGTTAGGTTTAGTGTTATCCGCTTAATTGCTTGCATAGTCATAGGAAAATGGCTCCCGGTAGTCATCATACCACCACATACAATGAACCCGAGAATCAACTAATGCCAGTGCTAGCCAATACAACCAATAGACTACCACTTCAGGAAACCAGCGGAAATATCCGTTCACCTGTTCATAAACGTAAGTTTACTGAAGAAGAGCCAACATCAACAGAAGGTGGTGGAGTAGATTCAAGTAACTCCCTTCAACAACCTCCAGCCAAATTGCATGGGACTCGATTACGTCTAGAAGTTGTTAAACGGAATCTTCAACCAGAAAAGCGCCCTCAGGAGTCTCAAGATCAACACCAACACCAACATCAACTGCATCAAAACCATGAACAAGAACATAGCAAGGGAAAGTCGCGTTTACAAGGTGCTGATTTGTATCATTGGCAACAACAATGGAAAAGGATTATGAAGGAATCAGTAGTATATTTCGATGGAGTTGCTGATTTAAAGAGTCATCTGGTGGAAGAAGCAGAGTATAAACGAGCATATAAGGCACTTAAAGAGATAGGATGTACCATTACTCCATTCTATGATGGCTCAGTTACAATAATAGTGTCCAGGAGATTATACTCACAATCTAAAGCATATTCTCAGTCAGATATATTTTATTATGCCAGTAAACTGAAAGCTAAAGTTTGGGATTATACTAAAGTTTTCCGTTTCCTTAAGAATTTAGGTGTTCTGGATGAGAGATTGAACCATAGTTTAAATGAATCTAAACCTCGCCTATCAAGTTTGTTGAAGGAAGAAAAAATTTTCGGGTCAACAGATAAGGATCCTAATGCAAAGCGTGAAGATTTCCATTATTTGGATAAGAACTTTTTGTTTGTCTATGATTTATCACAACAGGTTCGACCTATAGCTGTTCGAGAATGGGTACCCGGTGCTAGTTATCCAACGATTTATCTAACATTAGATGGGAAATGTCCATTCATACCTGATACACTGGAGAATTCTGAACGGAAAAGATTAAGGCGACAACAACGATTTGAAGCTGCAAAGGAATATAGGTTAATTTTAAAACGTGCAAGTGAAGAAATCGTCTCCCATTCCAAAAAGCTGTTCAATTCACCGTCCAAAAGTAATAATGATGATGAGCGAGGTATGAAAAATTTGAAAAATAAGCTTTCAGAAGAAGAAAACGAAATGCAGATCGATACTACTACTGTTGATGATTATGACAATAATAATGAGAATGATCATTCCACTACTAGAGAATATATTACAGCTCAAGATGAAGAAGAATCCAGTAATAAAGTTGCTGAATTATTATCTTTGAGAAGGCCACCAGCACTTGTCCGGAATTCATCATGTGTTCAACCTTCTCAAAGATTTTTTGATGTTGCTGCATCTGGTTTCAACGGAGCATCTAATGCTATGAGTTTTTCAATGGATTCAACACTCAACAGTGCCGCAAATCAAGGTGGAAATGGATTGGGACCAACTATGTCACAAGTTTCTTCACGTAACTTCAACAATTTAAAGCGGCGGATTGTTATCAAAAGACAACAGTTGGAGAAGAAGCAAGCACAATTAGATTCAAGTGAAAGGGATAGTAAGCCTGGGTATTGCGAGAACTGTCGTGTTAAATATGACTGCTTTGCTGATCATATTAAGAGTAACCGTCACCGTAACTTTGCCTGTGATGATCGCAACTTCAAAGATATTGATAAGTTGATCCGAATTCTTAATGAGAATAAATCTTTAGGGCAAGTAGTCTCTAATGGAGACTTCAATTATGCATGAAATTAAAGAAGGATGTCACTACTTTTAAACTTATATGTTCATGAATGAAAACAAATCTAAAATATTAATAATAGGTTCCATTTGCTAAAAGGAAAGTTCAGTCCTATAATTTAATTTCGGGTCAGGTTTCTTACGTAGGTTTAGATAACGTAGCATTTTTTTAAAAAATAAATCATAAAATAAAATGAAAGGTATAAACTGTACGTATATCATACGTGACAGTAAGCTGGCTAACAGCCAAAGAAGAAGTAGAATAAAACCATCGTAAAAGCAAACAAAAAGAGTATAAAGTCTTTACCCAGGACTGACTTCAAAGATCACCAATTAATAAACTTGATGATTTTAAAAGCCAATCCTTTTAGCAAATTCACTAAGCAAATTCTCATAGAAGTAATCAGCCATTTCTCTCTTGAACACTTCCAAATCTTGTCTGTTCTTTGGGAATCCTTCCAAAGATTTCTTGGTCAAGTCAACACCGTTTTCGACTTCTCTAATATACAAATCTTCAATGACATCACCGAGAATACCGTATCCTTCGCCAAAGGTGTAATCTCTCTTGTAAAGACTTGAAAACAATGAAGACAAAGTCAGGTTTCCTGTAGAAGAAGAAGTAGCAGAAGTAGCACTGGAAGTAGAGGTGGCTGTGGCATAAGCTGTCGTGCTTGCTGACATGGTAGAAGAGCCCGATGACTTACTACCACCACCACTTAAAAGGTTGATAACAAAACGTAATGCACCCAAGATTATCTTACCAATGGTACTAGGGGTACTCAGATCGGCAGTACCATTCACAACTCCCTTAATGATGTCCCAAACGATGGTCATAATGGAGCCAACCAAGTTTGTCCCAGAGGTAGGGTCGCTAGTTGATGTGGATGAAGCTGTGGACTTGGTGGTAGTGGCAGTAGCACTCTTTGAAGTGGTAGCGGCACCAGTAGCAGCAGCAGCAGCAGCAGAGTAAGCTACACCAGAAGTAAGAATTTGATTTGTGAGGATTTGACCAGTCATCAAAGAAATGGATGATGTTGCACTTGCAGTACCGTAACCGGGAGAGGAGCTTGCCTTGGTAGAAGATGAAACCGCTGATCCGCTTACAGAAGAAGAAGAACCACCACTACTACCACCAGTTACCAAGTTCCAGATCGAACCAATGATACCTCTTTTTACCTTTTTAGAGCTACCTAAAGCCCAAGACCAGTATTCAGAGTGGGTCATGGCCAAATCAACCAACTTCTCAGAGATGTTGGCTTCCTTAATAGTCTTCAACACATCATCTGCAGAATGTGTTTGCATGTACTTAATCAACCAGTCCACAGTTTCTTGTCCGTTATCTCTTTCAACAAGAGATCTGGTCACATGGGAAGTTAAGTGTGCTTCAGATAACAGTTGGACAATGTAGTCAAACATTTCCGAAGGTGCATCGATTCCGTATTCCATCAACTTGGATAAGGTGTTCATTGCTTCGGTCTTCTTATTTTCATAGTAAGAATCATGAGGGTGAGATTCTGTTTTTTTGGATTCATATACATCGTACTTCAAGCCTTCACTGTTGAAGAGGTTAATCAACTTAGGCTTAGTGTGTTTCATGTGCTTCTCGTAGAAATGTTCAAACAAACCTTGTTTCTCCATGGAATAGTAGATATCATTTAAGGAAATATCACCCGATCGCATGGATGATTTTAAACATCCTTCAAATTCTTTAGCAAAATCAGGATGATTAGCAACGTAATGGGTAACAAACCCTTCGTATAAACCAGTGTTCTCCAACTCATCTAACAATTCTTGTACTTGGAAATAAGCCAATTCATCACTTCTCTTACTGAACCATTTGGAAAATAAACTCGAGAAAGTGTTTGAAAACCCACTAACAATCTTACCAAGAGATCCAGGTAAACAAATAGAGAACCCTCTGGCTTCTAAGGGAGCAGCTTGCACTTGTATTGCAAGACAGAATGCCACCACAAATGCTTCAAACTTCATGGTGTAAATTTTTTCAAAAGAGTCACTATTGATTCACTGTAAAGAAGTGAAAAATGTATCCTACTAAGACTTTCTATTATTTTTTCAGTCCGACTAGTTGTTAAGACAAGATCATCTATACTTATACCTTTAAATTTAGAGCAAACCTTCTATTGCCGTATCGGGAAGTTTTCGTTGCAGCCAGGCTTGAAACTTTTCGCAGCCGAATTGTACACCTTACCGCATCCAGTAATTTTCTGCATCTAATTACAGTTGATTGTGATGGTAGCGCGGATTTATATTCATGTACTTACTTCGTTCTATTGTACATCATGAGAGGAAGTATCAGATATAGGTGGTGGTGGTGGCTTGCGTGTGCAATGAATGTCCATTAGCGAGAATGTCATTTTAAGCGACCGATATTTTACCTGCTTTTGGAAACCAGGTGTTAGTTTCTTTGTGAAAAAATAAACTTACGGCTTTCAGTAAATTATTTCATACGTACTTTCGATACACCTAGCAGCCTTCTACACCTATCTCGTATGAATGGAATAACCCACTTTCCTTTTGGTGTTGCTTGAGACCAAAAGAGACAGTTTTTCGTTTTAATAAGCCCCTTCATGAATACTAATATTCCAGGTACAGATTCTGGACTGTTATAGCTTGTGTCACGTGACCAGTTTCGAAAATTTTTATACTAAGAAAGGGAAATGCACTATATAGCTTAGCTTAATTATAGGCAGTAACTAATCAGCGATTAGTACAATATCTTACTATTATCATTATATACTCTATTCAAAAGGGAAACATGATCTTTCCCAACAAAGGTATGTTTTTCCATAGAACATGCGTGCAAAATAGTGTGAGATTTACCGGGTCTTCTCATCGACTGTACTCACTGTTTCTAGATGGCCTTCCCAAAGTACCTGTAGGAGTTTCTAGATTCCAAAAAAAGACTACCAGACCTTCCCAGAATGGAGATGATTCAATTGAAACGACAAGTCCAAAGGTGCCTCTAAATCCCTCGGGTAAGGTTAATCGTTTTGCTGCACAATACTCCAACCAGAAACCCCAACGGAAATTTCAAAATGCATCATCACTGACTAATCCAGGCTATAGAGGCCATTATAAACAAAAAGATCAGAACTCCCCGAATAATAATCCAGAGCTGAACAGTAAAGGAAATAAACCAGTGCTAAACTCGTACCAACAATATAATGAAATGAAACAAAAACTCAAGGATCAGCAAAAGTTGGGGAATGCCAATAAACTGACGATGCAGCGTACGGCTACAATACCAAAGAAAACAGATAGCAGGAAGAGAAATTTAGAGAAGGAAAAGGAGAGAATCAAAATCAAGATCCCAGAGTTCATCACTGTGTCTAATTTGGCAACCATAATGCATGTTCCACTTAATAAGATTATCAAGAGTATGGAAGATTTAGGATTTGAAAACGTCAGACATAATTATATTTTAGAGAAGGATAATGCCATTTTAATTGCTGATGAGTTTAACTTTGAAGCAATTGTACTGAATGCCAATACTGTCGAGGATATTTTTAGTGAGCCTGTGAAACCTGGTAAATTGAAGCCCAGACCACCAGTGGTAACAATAATGGGACATGTTGATCATGGCAAAACCACTATTCTTGATTATTTAAGGAAATCTTCAGTTGTGGAACAGGAGTTTGGTGGGATCACTCAGCATATTGGTGCTTTCACAGCCATAACACCTGAATCAAAGAAGCAAATTACTTTTTTGGATACACCGGGGCATGCTGCCTTCCTTAAGATGCGTGAAAGAGGTGCTATTGTAACCGATATTGTTATTTTAGTTGTTGCTGCTGATGATTCCGTTATGCCACAAACAATTGAAGCCATTAAACACATTAAGAAGACTGGTGTACCATTAATTGTTGCTATAAATAAATGTGATAAGCATGGAGTAAACATTGATAAAGTTGTTGGTGACTTGGCATCGCATGACATTGATGTTGAAGATTACGGTGGAGAAACTCAGACAGTAAGGGTTTCAGGTAAAACTGGATTAAACATGGATAAGCTTGAAGAAGCTATTATTACCTTGAGTGAAATGTTGGAGCTCCAAACTGAGCCTGATGGAGTTGCAAATGAAGGTTGGATCATTGAATCTAAAGTTGAAAAGGGAGTTGGATATGTTGCTACTGTCTTGGTTAGAAGAGGTACAGTTAAGAATGGGGACATCTTAGTTGCCGGAAACACATATTGTAAGGTTCGAGGATTAAGAGATGAAAATGGAAACAGCATTAAGAAGGCTGGTCCTTCGTCTCCTGCTCAAGTATTTGGATGGAAGGAATTACCCGTGGGAGGTGAATTTGTGATTCAAGCAAAGGACGAAAGACGAGCCAGAAAGGCAGTTTCTCATCGGATTGCTAGAGAAAAGGCTATTAAGCAAAGAGAAGAAGTTGAACAAATCAATGAGCAAAGATCAGAAGAAGTTAAAGAATTGGCTAGACGCAATAAGATTGCAGAAATGAAAATGGCTGGGCTAGATACCAGTGCCTTAGAAAAGTTGGAGGATGAAAGCCAATGTATTCAATGTAATTACATCATTAAATCCGATGTTTTTGGGTCTGCTGAAGCTATCAAAGAAAGCATTAATGGTATTGGGAATGAAGAAGTTAAAGCTAATGTTATATTATGTGAAACTGGTGCTCTTACTCAGAGTGATTTGGAATTAGCAAAGACACTCAATGCTCAAATCTTTTGCTTCAACCTTGCTGTACCCAAAGAGATATCTCTTGCAGCTGACAGAGAGGGAGTTGCGATCAAGGAACATAATGTGATTTACCATTTGATTGAAGACGTGACTACAGAACTTACATCTAAATTAAAACCAAAGATTGAAACCAAAGTCTTGGGTGAAGTTGAAGTTGCTGATGTATTTACCATCTCTACAAAGACCAAGAAGATTAGTATTGCTGGGTGCAAGGTCACTAATGGTACTATTAAACGGACTTCTAATGTGAGAGTATTCAGAAACGACGAGCAAATCTATGAAGGTACTTTAACCTCGTTGAAGTACGTCAAGGAAGACATTGCTGAGGCTAGAAAGGGTAATGAGTGTGGTCTTGCTTTTGACAAGTGGGACAAGTTTGAGGCTGGTGATAAGATTCAAGTCTACGAAGACATTGAGCATACCAGGTACTTGTAAATAGATATAGATACTTACATACAAATACATAGAGATACATGTACATACATACATACACATAGGATACATGTACTATTTATTGTTAGTTACGTACTGTAGTTGTACCTTAAATAGTATTCGGTCGTGAAACTTGAACCTCATCGCATCAGTGCACTACCTTTCATCAAAACCATAAGAACATGCAACTCAGAGTAACATCTCTATACACTATCTTCCCCTATTAGGCCGTGATTAATTATGTCGTCAAAAGAAGAATACTATTCGGATGATGAACTGCTTGACGAGAGATCCAATTCTGAAGTGTTTCTTGGGTTTGTTGATGCACCCATTGATGTTGAAGAAGAAGAGCCAACTATTGAAGATACTTTCATTGGAGGAAAGCCGATTTGGTTGAACCCCAATTCTCCCCCAGATAAGAGCCTCATTACATGTGATAATTGCCAGAAGGAAATGGCATTGCTCTTGCAAGCCTTCTCGCCTATTGATGGTAAGTTGTATGATCGAGTAATTTACATCTTTGGATGTAAGAACACCAAGGAATGCTCCAAGAAGAAAGGAGCTATCAAATGCATCCGTGCAATTTCCAAGGATCCAGAACGTGTGGCTGCCATCAAAAAGGAGTTAGACGAGGCTATCAATGCCGATTTGGATGAAAAGCTTCAATTAGAGAATAAGAAGAAATTGAATGCTGAGTTAACTAAAGACTTGTTTTCAGCTGCTACTAGCTCCAATAATCCCTTTGATACCAATCCCTTTGGAACCAGCATCGATACCAATCCTTTTGCTGGCAACACCAACACGACTTCCAACGCTACTAAATCTGAACAGAAACTGCTCGAAACATTTGCTTCGGTTGCATCCAAGAATGCTCCTAAAAAGAACAAGAAGGTTAAACAACCGGCATCCAACTTAAAGTTACCAGAATATCCCGGTTTTTTCCTTTATGTTGAAAAGGAGAAGTTTAAAAAGATGCCAATGGAACCAGAATTGGAAAAGTATAAAGATCTTATTGCAAAAATGGACGACGAATCCACCAACGAAGACGAAGATATAGGATTATCATCATCATCCAGTGCACAATTAAACCCCCAGGCCTCACAAATGGCAAGCATGTTAGACGATAAATACTTTGAAGCCTTCACCAATACCGTTAAACATAACCCTGCACAAGTGTTACGATACGAATTGAATGGGAAGCCATTACTCTATAGCGGTCGAGATGAGATTGCATCTAAGTTCTCATCAAAGAACCATCAAGACTTTAATGTTGCACCTCCAGCTTATAACCCTTCAACGCATCGCCGATTCGAATTACAATTGATGCCTAAGGCTATCATGGATCTAGAGAACTTACAAGACAACGATGTCACCTTGACGGATATCTTGAATGGGATGTCGTGGGGGACTATTATTGTGTGCACAGATGAAGAGGATTACATTCCCGACGAGATGTTTGATGATAACCATGTTGGATATATTAGTGAATGGGTTGGTGTTCAATGGGAACAGCTGGTATAAGGCAACAGCCAGTCTATGTGCACTACTATGCTCTAGTAGTAATACTTGACCCTAAAGTAGCAACCTTGTATTGTCAACCATCCAATAGTATACTATTGCTGTACCGGAGTAGTCTTCATTACGTAATCGCTAATGTAACGCGCACGATTCTCATTCACTTGTGCCACAAACAATGTCGTGTATTACGTCAGACGATGGTTTATAAGACACCCTGTTGCAAAATGCAATTGATCTGTGCATGGGCAGTGGTTCTTTCGCTAATACTGTACCAAAAACAACATGGTCAATTCTACAGGCAGCTTAAGTTCTGACGATGACCTGTCGTATCAACCTAAGATTCAACTTCCTTCTATAAAGAAAACCAGAAAATCGGTGCGATTCCCTGTTGCCGGTGTTAAACCTCAACGGGGTCCCGCGAACATGTTCATACTGGACTCAGACGAAGACTATGAAGAAGACGATTATAACGATGATGAAAATGGAAGTGGTATCGACGTAGACAGGAGCCATCTAGAAAGTGGTGGTGGTCATAGGCCCGGACGGCTGTCTCATGTCGTCCCTAGTTTCGGTGGTCATACCGCACCTCCTTCGTCGCAGTCTCATGGAGATATTGACTCAGACTTATCCACACATTCAGGTAACCCTTTCATCTCCACATCTTCATATCCTCAGCCAGAGCTAGAGTACTCGTCTGAATCAGACGATGGAGGCAATTCAATCAAGTCTCACCATTTGGTAGAGGCAGACATCACTGAACAGCAACTTCCCCAACCCCCCTTCGCACTGACAGAGGATGATCTATCAGGTGACAGGAGTTCGCCGGGGGGACTCAGGGGAATCCTTCGAAAGATGTCATTAAGAGATAAGTTTGGCACCAATAATGACACCTCGAATTCTGATACGTTTATCGGTCATATGATGCAATCAGGTGGAGGGTTGGGCAGTGGAGGATTGGCCCCCGGTGCATCTCATGCTGGCGAGGAAGGACCTGAGGATTTAGATGCTGAAAAAGTAGTTGGGTTTGAAGAAGGTCCAGATGCTATAGAATTGAAGCGTTTGAATCCTAGAAATATCAATGAAGAGGCACTCAATCTTCTTTCTGTCCATGCTCCATCAATAGGAAAAAAGTATCTTAACGAGGATCCTGATGAGGACAATAATAAGCCCAATAATTTTGAGGCCAGTTCGTCTTACTCAGGACTGACAAATTCTGAACAATTTTATGTGGACAACCCTGATCTTTATTTACGGAACAACGGAAGCTCAGATGAAGAAGATTTTGGACTAGACGAAGACAATGACTATGTGGCACCTCCAAAGCATGTTCAGGCTGGTGTTCTATCGTCACTTTTAAAGTTGTACCAACAACCACAAGCTTCCAAATCAACCCTCAGTTTGGGATCCCGGATGTCTACCTTAGGAGATGAACAACAAAGTGAAATTTCACGTCCAACTTCAACTACAGATATGTTAAAGAAGTTTGGGTTCACCAATAAGATGAAGATGAAGAAGAAGACCACAACTCCTACCAGATCCGAGTCAGACTCAGAAGATCAGCAGAACTTGGGGGGGTCTGGCGATCAAGAAACTAACTCTAATCTTGCGTCATTTAGAAATGCCGTTCCCAAGGCTCCTAAGAAAATTAAGATGGAGACAGCAGGTACTACAAATACAGCTACAAAGAACATCAAAAAGCTTCGCAATATCCGCAGACATCATCATGAAAGAAATGCCAAAAAGATCACTGTTCATATTGAAAAGATCCTCTATCGTCAACGGTTTATTGTAAAAATGTGTAAAGCTTTGATGTTATATGGTGCCCCTACTCATAGATTAGAAGAATATATGACCATGACCAGTAGAGTTTTGGAAATTGATGGTCAATTCATCTATTTCCCTGGATGCATGATGATTTCATTTGGTGATGCTGCAACCAGAACTTCAGAAGTCCATTTGGTTAGATGTGCTCAAGGTTTGAACTTATATAAGCTTTCTCGAACTCATAAGGTGTACAAAGACGTCATACATGATTTGATTGGTGTTGATGATGCTTCTCATAAACTTGATGAATTGATGAAGACTAGAAATTTGTATGCTCCTTGGATGTGTGTTATCTTGTACGGGTTGGGATCGCTTTCAGTTTGTCCTTGGGCATTTGGTGGAGGATGGCTCGACTTACCAGTGGCATTTGGCATTGGTCTTTGCGTTGGGTATATGCAATTTTTTGTTTCATCGATTTCCAATTTATATTCTTCTGTCTTTGAAGTCTCGGCCTCTATTGTGGTTTCCTTCATTGCCCGGGGTCTTGGATCGATTAACAATAGTAATACCTTTTGCTTTGGAGCCCTTGTTCAGAGTTGTCTAGCATTGATTTTACCTGGTTACATCATTTTATGTGGGTCATTGGAATTACAATCCAGAAATCTCGTTGCAGGATCCGTCCGGATGTTTTATGCTATTATTTACTCATTGTTCTTGGGGTTCGGGATAACGTTAGGTGCAGCATTATATGGTTGGATCGATAAAGGTGCTACAAATGTGACCATCTGTCCAGCATCCCACCAATTGGATAGTAAATGGCGTATTTTGTTTGTGCCACTCTTTACTGCAACTCTCGGGTTAATTAATCAAGCTGAGTGGAAGCAATTACCTATAATGATAGGGATCTCATCAACTGCTTATATTGCTACATTTTTTGCTGGTAAGCATTTTCAGAGCGTTACAGAGTTTACAGCTTGTATTGGGGCCTTCATTATTGGTGTTCTTGGGAACTTATATTCCAGAATTGGTAAGGGGATGGCAGTTAGTGCAATGCTTCCAGCCATATTCGTTCAAGTGCCATCGGGTATTGCTCTGCAGAGTTCGTTGCTTGCAGGTGTTCAATCAGCAAATAAAATCACCCATAGCAATAGTACTACACTGACAGGGACTAGTAGTAATTCACTTTCCTTTGGAGTAACTATGGTTGAAGTTGCTATTGGGATTAGTGTCGGGTTATTTGCGGCTGCTCTTTGTGTCTATCCTTTAGGGAAGAAGAAGACTGGTCTTTTCGCTCTTTGAAGCAATCAACTATTCACAGGTGGACAGTATAAGGATATAGTTTTAGTTATGGTTTAGGTTGAAGAATAGTGTCACAAAGTATCAGGCAAATGCAATTATGATCTGAGTAGACCGCTCCGTGGTTATTATCCCGATGTGTCCGGTAATCGGATATGCAGAGCATCTTTTGATGTTTGCCTTAATAAGCACCTTTAGTTGGGTTTTATGGTTTAAGAAGAGTCCGGATCAACGTATGGATCAACTGCTTCATACTTTTCCCGAGCAGGTGTCGTCCCGCAGGTATCAGTATAAAGGTTCTAGGTGGGTGCAAAATAGTCTGGGGAAATAATTACGGTGCTTCAATAGGAGAAGCTTACGTACCATGACATAGTGTGGTTCAAGTATAAATAATGAAGTTGTCTCCTCTCCTCAAAACACTTTTAATTCATAATTTGGCAAAGAAGATCTTATTGGTTCTCTACGACGGTACGCACCATGCAAAGGAACAACCATGGATGCGTCGAAAACGAATTGGGCATACGTCGATTTGGCAAAAAATCGGATTAAGAATTGGTTCCCTCCAGCAAGGATGGTGCTGATTCAGTGGCTGACCAGAACTTGAAAGACGTGGAAATCATCATCTAACTCCCTTCTTCCCTGTCTACGTGACCAAGGAAAATGGAACAAGCACCAAACTTAAAGCTTTGTATCACTGCTGGTGTTGGAGCTGATCGTATTGGATACAGAGTTTTGGAGAGATTGGCTGCTTTCAACCCCAAAAACCTTTACTAGTACGACTACAGAGATCTTGCAAAGGAGCAGGTGGACAAGTTGAGCCAGGTTTCGATATTGCCCAATGGTAGAGGTGACATTGTTGAAAGGGTTGCCAGCTTGGAGGACATGGTCAGTAGATGCGATATTGTTACCATTAACTGTCGTTTGCACGAGAGCACCAAGGGTTCGTTCAACAAGAAGTTGATATCTCATTTGAAAGATGGATCTTATTTGGTCAATACCGCTAGAGGAGCCATGACGAACAAGTTTGGAGGTGGTACTGCAATGACCCCACATTAGTGGTACCTCTTTGGATGTGACGGAGTTAAGAGTATTTTGGAATCGTATTACTCCGGGAAGAACGATTACCGTCCTCAAGTTGTGATTGTCATTGATGGATGCCAGGCTACTAAATCTTACGGTGAAAAGAAGATAAGTTTACAGCTGACGGATATTGACTCTATTTTTACAGGGCTATGTTTTACCTTTTAATAAAACCATTTGAGCGCTCATATACTTGTACATTTTTTATGGTTCACTATGATAGAAGCCGAGTAAATCAATGACATTGTCGTTTTTTGCATAAGAAAATGGCTCAAATAACATCTACAGTGGATATATTCAACTGTTTAGGCTATGGTATCCATGACTGATGTATTATAGTCCACTCCTATGCTTGACCCCTCCTCCCCCACTTCTTAGATTGTCCCCTTCCCCAGATAATCGTCCAATATGTGCCCTGCCGAATTCTTAAAGGTTTTAGAGAACCCTAAGTCAACTCTTATTATATAGCAGAAGCAGTGTTCGGAGACGTCGAAATGTCGGGGGCTATTTCCTTTTCGGGACTCCCATTGATTGTTCGCAATTACCCCACATTAATTGCCCGTTAAGGTACAATCCACCCCCATGCACTGCGAGGCAGATTGTCATAATCCCATACAATCTCTTTCATTTAGATATGCGCACGCATAATCAATTACAAAGCACATGACCTAAGCACACCATATTTAACATAGGCATATTATGTTCCGGCTGCAAATGGTAGCAATAAGCTCGCGAGATCCGGAATAAACTTCCCCGTCCCTGTCAATTGTTGCTTGAGGGGAACCTGATCATCCCCTAATATAAAGAGGGAAGATGATCCACTGGAAAATATATTGAGGATTCTATTATTCAAGTTACTACTACTATACATTGACTTAAAATGGCAAAAAAGATTTTATTGGTTCTCTATGATGGGAAGCATCATGCAAAGGAACAACCATTAATGCTTGGGTGCGTCGAAAACGAATTGGGAATTCGTAAATTTGTGGAGGAGAACGGATACGAGTTGGTGACTACTTCCGATAAAGAAGGAACCGAGTCTGTTGTTGCAAAGAACTTACACGATGTAGAGATCATCATTTCTACTCCCTTCTTCCCTGTCTATGTGACAAAAGAAAGAATGGAACAGGCTCCAAACTTAAAGCTTTGTATCACTGCTGGTGTTGGATCTGATCACATTGACTTGAACGAGGCCAACAAGCGCAAGATTGGAGTGTTAGAAGTGACAGGGTCCAACGTTGTCTCAGTAGCTGAATGTGTTCTCGAAACCATGTTGGTTTTAGTCCGGAACTTTGTCCCTGCCCATGAGATTGCTATGAAAGGTGAATGGGATATTGCACAAGCTGCTAAAATGGAGTTCGATTTGGAAGATAAGGTCATTGCGACTGTTGGAGCTGGTCGTATTGGATACAGAGTTTTGGAGAGATTGGTTGCTTTCAACCCCAAAAAACTTTACTACTACGACTACCAAGATCTTGCAAAGGAGCAAGTGGACAATTTGAACAAAGTGTCTGAAATACTTAACAAGAGAGGCGACATTGTCGAGAGAGTCACAAGCTTGGAGGACATGGTAAGTAAATCAGACATTGTGACCATCAATTGTCCGTTACATGAAAGCACCAAGGGTTTGTTCAACAAGAAGTTGATTTCTCATATGAAAGATGGATCTTATTTGGTCAATACCGCTAGAGGAGCCATTGTAGTCGCTCAAGATGTTTCTGATGCCTTGGCCTCGGGTAAACTTGCAGGTTACGGTGGTGATGTCTGGTTCCCTCAACCTCCACCAAGTGACCATCCTTTTATTACCATGAGGAACAAGTTTGGAGGTGGTAATGCCATGACTCAGCATATCAGTGGTACTTCTTTGGATGCCCAAAAGAGATACTGTAACGGAGTTAAGAGTATTTTGGAATCGTATTTCTCCGGGAAGAACGATTACCGTCCTCAAGATGTGATTGTCATTGATGGGCACTATGCTACAAGGGCCTATGGTCAAAACAAGTAGAAATCAACTAATTTATAACAAAAGGACGTAATATACTTTTAGCAAAAAAATATGTAGAGGAATTGCTGGTAATGGATAATGATACCCGCGAGATTCGAACTCGCGCCTCCGAAGAGACCAGGACCTTACCCTGGCGCCTTAGACCAGCTCGGCCAGAGTACCCAATTCCTGAGAAAAGTATTAGACATTTTGATTATACGCATTTGATGCTGAACGGGTATATGGTGAAAAATGGTGAAAAATGACTGAACTATAGCACTTATTCTCTTCTGAAGCTTATATATACCATGGATAGGTTAATGAAATGCAGAATAGCACTATTAAATATCACATTTATTGTCAGAGTAAATAGTGCAACTATTTTACACTATATTCCATAAACTGCCAACAAAGTTATTAACAAAACTAGCATTTTGAGAAACTTGTTATGTTTAACAATCTCTAGAGATTCCGAGTCACCACTAATATATAACCCATATATCTATATATATATATATAACTACAACTGCAATAACATATACATATTTATGTTCCTATTGGCCCGAGCCGGAGTCGTGCACAAACCAAAATATCCCCACAAAATGATCTGATCTTTAACTGCAACTAAATGTAGGCAGTAACTAACCACTTCCTCTTTCCATTGTGAAGCCGTCGTTGTCACTGCCGTTATGTTAACCCGTCGATTGACCGGCTTATTACGTAAACCTCCTCTCCTTGGCCGTCGACCAATCACTGTGTCGTCCTACGACAATGATAAGGTGTGTCTTGTCCTTGGATCAGGCAAGGCCGTTGCATACAACACGGTCTTCTTAAGAGACTCATGTACAGCCCCGGAATCCATAGACAAGTTCTCTCAGCAGAAGCTTTTTACTACCAGTGAGATCTCGCAGAACTTACGGATTGAAGGTCTGCCACAAGTTCTTGAAAGTGCTACTGGACCGTTACTTAAGATAGTCTGGAACCAGAATGGACAACTTCAGACGTCTACTTATACCGAAGAGTTTCTTGAGGAGTATTCCTCGAAGGAGAACATTAGAAGGGATAAGTTTTTTGAAAGGGAGCAACTTTATTGGTCCAATAAGGAACTAGTGGACCATATTGATGAGATTCAAATTGATTATGGTGATTATATCACTAAAGAGAAGGACTTTTTTAAGGCATGCTACAATCTTAATAGATATGGAATTTGCTTTGTTAACAATACTCCTAGACCCGAACACCACATGCAAGTGATGACTGAAGACAATGCTACGTCATGGCCAGTGTACAAATTGGCAGAGAAGTTTGGGTACATTAAAAAGACCTTCTACGGGACGCTATTTGATGTTAAGAACGTTAAGAAAGCTATAAACATTGCTTATACCAAATCGTTTTTGCCGTTACATATGGATTTATTATACTATGAATCACCTCCAGGGTTACAATTGTTACATTTCATTGACAATTCCACCAGTGGAGGAGAGAATATCTTTAGTGACTCCTTCAAAGCTGCTTTATACGTTAAGCAAAGAGATCCCGAAGCTTATCAAGCCTTATTAAAAGTGCCCATCACTTATCATTATGATAACAATAATGAATATTACTACTATTCCAGACCCTTGATTGTGGAAGATAAATATGGCATTAAAGAAGTCAACTTTGCTCCTTCATTCCAAGGTCCTTTTGAATTTGGTATTAGTGATGATGACGGTGATAATGTCGACTCAAAGCTATTTCAATTATTCTTAAGAGGGTTCAATCTCTTTGATGACTTCGTTAATGATCCTAAAAATCACTATCAACTAAAAGTCCCAGAAGGTTCAACAGTCATATTTGATAATAGAAGAGTCTTGCATTCCAGACTTGCCTTTTCAGATGAAAACGGAGGCGATAGATGGTTAATGGGGACGTATGTCGATGGTGATAGTTTCCGATCAAAATTAAGAGTTGGCCATAGAAAATTTTATTAGTGACTAATATCCATAACCACTATAAGCTTGACGAGGTTCTGGGGCTCTTGTTCTTGAACTGCTATTGGAAGCAAAGCTCTTGAACGTTTGTTTGAACCCATTACATAACCTATGCATGTTAGGGTACGAGAATCCTTTAAGAGTATAACCATTGGCTTCAGTCTTGACGTACCAAGTTTGAACCGGAGTATTCTCATTGACCTTGAACAATAATAAGAATGTCCCTGGAGTCTTGTGATCATAACAGAACACATATGCACTGTTTGTAGGGTTGGCTTTAGTATATGATTCTAACCATTCATTCACTTGACGTAAAGTACCTTCACGGAACTTTGGATGTTTCACCATCTCATTGACATGCTTTGCAATCACTTGAATATGCTGGAAAATCAATTGGTCCAAATCTGCAAACCGTTTACCTTCAACCATAAACTCCTTATGGGTTCCATGGTTCAACTCTTGAATAGGCAAATGCTGGAATAAGTTGTTCCCCACCTTCCAGGTGATAGTAAGGTAATTAGGACCCTTAGATGATGGTCTAATGATACAATCACCCACAGCTTGAGGTGCCAAATATTCTTCTGCTTGTTTGAAGTTGAAATTATGATACAAAGGATGTTGGATGTTTTTAGTTCTGGCCAAAATGGCTCTTTCCTTTGCCAATTCTCTTTGGATGTTTGCTTCTTCACTTTCAAAGTCCCATTTCCCCACTTCTTTATAGAATTTGGCTCCTGTAGCCTTCTTGATATCGGATTCTAATAAACTGAAAGCGGCATTGAAAGTATCGTAGTAGACATGCATAATAGAAGCCTGGACTACCTGTCCTTGCTCATAATTGGCATTTCTGGGGATTAAATTCTCTTCCACAGTTCCCTGTACAGAACATGAAGTGTTAACTTTCAAAAACCGGATTCTAGACCCAGGCTCTCTCATGTTCTTCCCAACCCTGGTGATAGTAACTGGGATACTTGTATTCTTTCCAAAGGAATCTTTGGTTTCTCCAGTAAGCATTTGAAACACTTCCATAGCATCTAAAAGATGGAAGGATCTTCTTAATTCTTCATAATTGTTCACAAGTTCTTCCTTGATACTTTGTAAGGTGGCATACTTCTTCTTCCCAAATTTGGTTTCCAATTCCTTACCATAAGCCGTCAAATTCAAGTCATCCACTTTTGAAACTCCTTCTTGCATCAATTGGTAAATCACTCCACCTTGTTCTTCAACATGGGCAGTATCTTCTTCATCCAAGTCAAGAGCATCGGCTGCCATCTTTCTCGCCAAGTCATAGTCTTCAGGATGAATTCTAGTAGCATCCAAAATCTCTACCGAAGGGTCTCTCAAGGCACTTCCCTCATCGTATGGAATGTTCAAGAATGAAGCACAGTTAATAAATATATTGGCAGTGGTTAATTCCTTTTCAATCAAGTCACTTCTATTGGCCAACGTACTAATTTTGGCACTGATATTCCGAATTAACCCGGAGGCCTTCCGAGGTCCTAAGCCGGCAATGAAGGGTAAAAGTTGGGCAATATAAGTATCTCTAACGGCCTCGTTGATTTCTATCCCCACCAAATTGACTATATCCACAAAGGCTGTTTCCACGGCTTCCAATACCAAACTGTCTGGAATATATTTTTGATGCTCATGGAAAATTAATGACTTTATGTTCTCTCCTAATGAAATATACTCCAATAATGGACTTTGAACATATCTTGCCAACCCAATACAATATTTAACCAAGCTCGGCTTGTCTCTGAACTCTGTCAAGGCTCTTTCGGAACTTTGATATAATCTAGCCGTCTCATCTTGAACCCAAATCACTTGAATCAATGGTGGAGCTTGGTCTTGAATGTGATCAGCCTTAGCAGTGATATTGTTATTGGCAACAAAATTTGTAAGAATATCAAACAATCTTTTGGAACTGGGATTGAATCCAGAAATGGCAATCACATCCGGTTTAACATATTCAAGGTTTCTATCAAAGAATTCCTTTAATTGTCCTGTAAATCTCTCTTCACTTTCTCTATCTCTAATCGGATTATCGTCAGATTTAAAGAAATCATCAATTTTCCCCGTTTCTTTCAAAAATACCCCGACAACTGCGCTATCAAAGTCCCCTTTACCAAAGGAAACTGCAAAAACGTTGGGCTTGGTCCCCTTATCATATCCATAGGGAACAAGAGGAGCTTGGTCTGTCTTCAAAAGAACCTTTTTCCGTACTCCGTTGGCAATGAGTCTTTGACATTCCCTACGCAAGTCTTCTCTTGTGGCTAAAGCAGTCATGCTGGTTAATTTCTTGAAAGCCATTCTTAACACAACTTCTCTTTCTTTGTTCCATTTGTCTGAAATGTCTGAAGTACCATCAGACTTCAAACATCCAAGAATGGCTTCAAACCAACTCTCAAATCCTTGAGTTTCAACCTTAAGAATAATCAAACCCAACTTCTCAGCTTCTAACATTCTAAGGAATATATCTGGTTGACGAACCAAATCTGATGGTGTACGATTAATAGCATATTTGATATCAGCATAAGGACTATGATTGTTGATGGCAGACTTACCCTTTTCAGTAAGAATCACACTGAAGGAAGAGAAATCCTTGTAAGCCATTCTAACCTCATTTCTAATCTTAGGATTACGGAAGATCTCTTCTGCAAACATCCTTCTAACTGCATCACGGGCAGTTTTGAAATCTTTGTAAATGACTTCATCGTCTTCCACCAACTTATCCACCACATCTTCAGGAGATTCAAAGGGATCGTCCGTGGCATGGATTCTATATTGGATTTCAAACTTCTTGGAGCTTTGTTCTTGAACATTTTCACCAAATTCTTTGGCGGATATACCAAAAGATTTAACAGCAGAATATAAAATGTTGGCTCTGACTCTTTCATAGAAGGCATACTTGAAATGTTTCTTGTGATGCTTGATATCTTCTTCATCTGCTGCTGCTGCTTCTTCCGATGGTATATCAGATGTTTTGGAAGCAGCAGCCAATTCTCTAATCTCCTTCGAATACGTAAATTGAATATAATCTTGTAAGTCTTGAATAGCAACCAACGAGTTTATGCTCTTGATATCCTTCACTAAATCATCATCCAAGTTGAGATTTGAAATTAACTTTTCCACATTCAAACGTTTTTCATAGAATGATTGATAGTCAATGTCTAATTGAACAATCCTCCATAAATCATCTTCAGATAATAACTTGTGAACAGAATTGACTTTATTACCATCAGCATTAGTAGTCAACTGAGAGAATAATAAAAAGTCACGACGGTGAGTCCAAATAAAGGGCACTTCATAGTTATCTTTAGATACAAATTCCACCACTTTACCAACTGCAACCTTATAAGGTTCAATTAAAAATTCCAAAAGTTGATTCTTATTCTCTTGGAACATAACTTGACAAACCCATTCTTTTTTAGCTTCAAAATCTTCACCTTCCAATTCAATATAGTTCAAGCTGGATCTATATCTTTGGTATCTTTCGGGAATATCAATCATTCGAATGACATTATCTTCTTCAGTCAACATTCTTTCCTTTAATTCGGCATGTTCAAACACTTCATCCAATGAAGTTGGTTCGGCATTATCACCATGACCTTCATCTTCAATTTCTTGAGCTTCTAAGGCCCATTCGTATTCAGCACCATTACCAAACACTTCAAACAATTGTTGTAAACTTTCTCTATCAACACTGGACATTTTGGACGTATCCAACTTGGGGCCTGCTCTCTTGGCTTTTTGACGCTGTTGTGCTTCCTTGTGTTGTCTTGCTTCTTCTTCATCAGAGAATTCATCATCTTCAATGAAATCTTCAAACTCATCCAAGATGTTTCGGGGTTCTCCTCTTCCACCAGGAACTTCGTCATCATCTTCTGCTTCTTCCTCCGCATGTTCATCGTCGGAAAAAAAATCATTTAAGCCGCCGTCTCTGTTTCGAGAGTCAGAGACAGAATGTTCTTGTGTACTCTCCGATTCTTGTTCGGCAGCTCTCTTCAACCGTTTGAACTTTCCGGTAGCAGCACCACTTGGCTTCTGACCAGAGTTTTCCATCAATAACTCCAAATCATCTTCATCCAACGCATCGTCGTGAGTCTCACTAGCCCGTTCTCTTTCTCTTTCTCTCTTTCTCTTTTTATGTCTTCTTCTCTTGTGTGACGTAGAGGCGTCTTCTTCATCGTCTTCGTCATCCACAATGAAACCTTCTCGAACTCTCTGTATCGCCTCTTCGTCTTCGTCTTCGTCTTCGTCCTCTTCAGATGAGTCCACTAAATCGTCTCCGCTGCCTTCATCAGAGGCATTTTCTTCGTCGTGGTCCCGAATCTGGGGTTCATCCTCAACGTCAGTCTTCACCATTGCTGCCCTGGTGTACAGTCCAATCAAACTTTCAATCGAGCCTTCCCAATATGACACGTCAACAAAGGAACCCCTGAATGTTAAGCCAAACTGTAACTGATTGTTGCTTGGTCAGTGTCGTCCTTTATGATTGTTATTCTTTGTCGTACACGGAAATTTCACCAACAAAATTTTCAGATCGTGCGGGTAACCCTTTGGATATAACCAAAGGAATGGACTAATACGGATACACGGTAGAATATTGTTATATATTAAACTATATATTTATTTCTGTAAATCTTTCTTATCATATTGCCGATTAAGTTTCAAGTTGAATTGTCTGTTCTTCTCATTTATGTGATGAGAAACCCCAGCATCATCTGATTGGGTACGCCTCAGTAACTGTCTCCTATCATTTCCCTTCTGTAGATGGTCAACAGCACCAGTAATAATTGCTTTGTCATTCTTAGGTTGGATGATGTCATTCAGCTGACTCCCATGACTCTTCTTATCCTCCTTATAAGCAGCTAAATCAACTGCTAACGTGGACATATCTCGCTTGTATGATCGTGCAGCCAAATCACTGAAATTGTTATAACCTCCTGTAACCTTTGCATTGGGGTCTTTCTTATTATTCTTGTGCCATTCGATAACATCTGCAATCGTATATGTAAGGGCCTGCTTACGTTCGAGTTGAATTTCTTTACCTGATTCCACGCTGCTGATCTTTTCAAGTTGTTCTTCTGCGTTTAGGAGACTCTTTTCCAAGTTCTTTTGGTTCAATGATCTAATTCTTTGGATCTTGAGAGCTTGTGCTAGATCCCGTTTATTGTGTTGTTCGGTAAGTAACTTTTTGGCTCGAAGTGCTTTTAGACGCGTCCTAAGATCTTCACGAGACTTGCCTATGCGTCGTGATGCTTCCATTATGATTGTTTGTAGTGCAGTGTGGAGTACAGTACTGTGAAGGGTGTCAATCTGTAAAGTAAATGTGATGCAATGTTAATAATAATAGGGGTTTTATATACAGGAAAATCAAAAATTGAACTATATTTGAGGTATACCGTTAATCGTAAAATTATACGACATTCCAGATTAGATAACACAAGATTCGTATAATGAAAGAGTGGCTATGAGTGGGTGTTTATGTTTAATTTCGGTTATTGAAAGTCATTTAACAGGGCAATGCATGAGAATTCAAGCAACCCGGCTGTTCCGTTGATAATTAAGAACGGACCTCCCTATCTCGGAGATATTCCTGACGTAATACCGGCTTTTGGTGAGAGTGAATGCATATTACCATGGTGTGACCTGGAATGTAAGCATAACCAATGGTAAGCATAACCAATGGTAAGCATAACTGTACTACAGTATATTAATGCATTACTGTACTATTTCTGCAATACTACTGTTCTGCTACTGGATCGAATGACTGTACTGAATTAACATACGATCTAATGACTCTAGTACGATTGCATTACTGTAGTATGATTAGTGTATGCTATGACTAGCATTATTACTGTATTACAGTAGCATATTATATACTGATTAAAAGCAGAGATTATTAATGTATATATAGAAACTAGTTGTTACGGAAATTAAGATCATCGGTCCGAGGCATGCCGTGTATCCGTAACATACATTCAATATTACTTTGAGCTGCGGGATTAGCTTAAAGGTTAGGACAATGGAGCGTGAGGCAATTACGCATCAACTCAAACAATAACCATCAAACATCTCCAACCCTGTAAGTACATTAAGTGCCAAAACGAACAGCAAATTAGAACCACAACGTTTTGTTACCACGCATACAATACGAATTGGTGAAAACATGGGGGACAGAATCACTGTGGAATGGGCTCGTCTGGTTTATGCTGAGGTTGAACGCCAATTGGCTTCCCAAACCATCACTACACCTACGCAAGTCATTGAAGAAATTGGGAAACACCTTCTTAGTGACCCAGATGGTCCTCATCTCAGTGATAGTGCATTCCAAACTGCCCGTCGTATGATCCAACAAGCACAACCCTCTATGGTACTACAAATTGGAGTGTTTGTGGGGTATCAAGCGATTCAATTGGCTGGGTCAATGCCTTGTGAAGACTCACATTATGTGTGTTTTGAACTTGATCCTGATTACGCTAAAGTAGCCCGACAGTTCATATCTATAGCCGATATGTCCGAAAGGATCCAAATACTTGTTGGAGATGAGAACGAAGTGATGAACCAGTTTCTCAGTAACTACTCAAGGGCACTGCATCCTCCTACCATTGAGTTCATTATTCTTAACCACTGGAAGCATATATATCTTGAAGATCTCGTGAAACTTGAGCTAATGGGGTTCATAACAGAGAAGACCATAGTTATCTGTGACGATATGGTGTTCCCGGGGTTGCATCAACTAATGACTACGGGAGATTGGAGCGACTCATTGGCTGAGTCGCATGACTCAAAAATTTCACTGGACTCAGAGTCATCGAACCCTCAAAGTTCGTTGGACTGTCTTACATTATTCAAGGGACGGCATTTCATATCAAAATGGAATGCCCATAGTACTAGCCATGATTGAGGCAAGATAACAGTTTATATTTATATACTTGGGCAGAAAGGAACGGTATCGGAGAATAAAAGCACAAAATGAAAAAGAACATTCCATAAGTATGGACCTACATTCACATACTACTATGATTGTATCGCTACACTAGCATCACATTAGTACGACGGTGTTTCTGTATTGCACTCTCTATAGGTATACCTCAGCATATGCGAAAGTCTATTTTTGACGACATTTAGTGCGACATCAAGCACAAATCACAATCGAAGTAACACTATCTATTACGGTCACTCTACTGCACTCTATCACGCTTTATCTTTGGAGCTATGACGGACTTAATGCCCATATTCACCCAGTGTGTGAATATAGTCCAGACTGAACTCGGGCCCCAGATCAAGAGTCATCACGACTACCACAAGAACAACCCCCCACATCCCCACATAATACACGATACCTTCATCAAAGAGTCACGAGAATTGTACAACACATTAGTAGTGTTGAAGCAGTTTTTATCCGAGGTTAGAAGCGAGTATTTGGCCATTAATAACGATGGCGTCGGCCCCACCTCCAACAGTCTTAGCATAGAAGACAAGAACAAGATCGACGAAGAGTTAAACTACCGGTTTCAGCAGTTATACGAGAAACTCAAGCTACTCCAGGCGTACGAAGCTAAACGAGAGCTGGTCCGCCTCAAGAACAACGCCTCGTCGAAAGGATGGTTTGACTCGGTCTTCGGAGAAGGTGTTACCGACAAGGAGTTGTACGAGACGACGGTCAACAGCCATAGAACTCAAGTACTTGTGTTTCTTAACAGCGCAATCAGCACCGTCAGCAAAGAATTTGAACGTTTACAACGGAAAAGAAGCCTGCGAGAGAAGCAATTGAACCTACTTAACTTCCAGGACTTACAAGACTACGACGACGACGATGACGATATCCCGGCGGTTCAGTTGAGACGACTTTCGGTATTAGAGTTTGAGCATGAGCAAAATAGTAGCACTGTGCCGTTGGAAGAGCTAGACGATGCCAACCACCACCATGATCAACTGCAGCTCTCGTCTGATCAAATCCAAGAGTTTGAAGCAGAAAATAAACAGTTTCTAATGCTAAAAAATAACCAATTGCAGCAAGTGGAACGATTACACTCTTCAATGGTCGATATCATGAACTTGCAATCGGAAATAACGTTCCAGTTGGACACTCAAGCGGAAAAGGTATCGACTATAATGGAAACCCAAGACGACATACAAGTAGACTTGACTCAGGGTAACAAGACTTTGACAAAGGCAAGTGTCAAGAACAAGAGAGGTGCTGATATGTTGGTGACTTTTTGTATAATCATGGGTGTTTTAATACTTGTAGTGGATTATATCTCATGGTGATAACAGTTCATATTTCTGTGACTAGGCCTGCCCCAATTGTAGAACCTTCTCTTCTAATAACAATACGACCCAATACCTTGTTGTCTGAGTACTTGGTGATCGGAAGTAGTCTATCATCATTAACTTCAATCACAACTAAAGCTTGTTGTTTCGAAACAAGATGCTTCTTCTTTTTCTTGGACCCTTTAATCTCAATGATCTCCGAGATCCTCGCAGGAACTTGACGATTGTTCCGGAAGAGAACAAACGGAGTTCCCACCAAAAGTGGTTTACTCATGTTGAATAAGTCAACGTCACAGGTGAACTTCTTTACCGAAGAAATCGGACTATCAACTTTGGAAATCAAATCTCCCACTACCAACTCATCAATGGATTTATTTGCCAACTGATTCAACTTGAAATGCATAGTAGCAATCTCTCCACTAATGGCCACATCCACTGGTTCATTATCAATTAACATCTTCTGAATCTGCAAGTAGTCCTTGGTGGGGGACACCATGACAGTCTCTCCTGTTTGAATCAAACCTCGACTGACCTTGCCTGTGACACCAAACTCACTACTGGATACTTCAAATATATCATTTATAGCCAAATTGAAATCTTCCTCCGACAATTTACTAATGGTATCCTTATCGATGGCAACAGAAGTTAATCCCACAGATTCCAAGTAATTAACTAACGTTGGACCTTGGTACCAATCAAAGGCTTTCACCGCGTGGTCATTCTTAACCACATTAACACCAGTTAATCCAGAAATTGGAACGAAATCTACTTGTTCTGATGAAAATCCAACTTCACTGCCAGTTAAAAAGTCTAATAGTTGAGTCTTGATCTCTTCAAATCTATCCTGGGACCAATTCTCTTTGTCCATCTTATTCACAACCACACATATCTTTTCAATACCCAACGATCTGGCCAATAAAGTGTGTTCTTTTGTTTGCCCATCCATGAAAAACCCTGCTTCAAACTCCCCGTTGATTGAATCTATAACAAGAAGAGCCAAATCAGCTTGGGAAACCCCACTAATCATTTGTGGAACAAAATCCTTATGGCCAGGTGCATCTATAGCCGTAAATCTGGTAGTCGTAGTATCAAAACTAGTAGCACAAATATCAACAGTCACTCCTCTAGATCTTTCTTCACTTGTTTGATCCATAATCCATGCAAGAGCAAAGGATCCCTTCCCACTCTTTTCGGCTTCTCTCACTAACTTGTTAACTGTCTTTGCATCAACTACTCCAAGATCAAACAAAAGTCTACCCATTAGTGTCGACTTACCAGCATCTATATGCCCAATGACCACAAATGATTTATGAGGTTTGGTCAATTTCTTATTTGAACTCAATTCGCTCACAAGATCAATCTTTTTAAAAGGTTTTGTTGGCTTAGGTGGATGCTTGTCCTTAGTTCCAGCAGCAGCAGTAGCAGCAGCTTCTACTGGTTTTGATATCTTTAAATTCTTCATATCTTTGTTAAAAACATCATTTTGAGCCTGTAAGATCTTATCATCAGGACTTGGTCTGCTAAAGTTAGTTTTAGCTTTGGCGATAGTTTCTACATTGATTTCAAGGTTAGTAAGTGGATACAATAGTTGAGAAAAATGCCGTTTAAGCTGTGATTCTCTCTCCATTTGAGATAAGGATTTTCTCTTTCTTGAAATTAATGGTGCGATAGGGATAATTGAATTGGTTGTCAATAGTAATTTAGAACCATCCAGATGGATCTTAGTTTTAATTTCATTCCAGGGACTTTGTATTCTTGTTAATTCTGGTGGTGATAGTACGCTAACTGATGATGATTTGGTACACTTTTCCGTCAGAGACTCGATATCTGACTCATGAGTTAGCACAGGCTTAACCTGTGGTTTCTTTAAAGTGAATTTCCCCAGAGACACTCCTTTTCCTAGCACAAGCTTTGGTTTAGTAGAAATACCATCATTTTGTGGTGTACCTGTTGCCTTTTTACTTCTCAACTTCAGTAGAATGTCAGCGGATTTACTACCTGGTTCCAGACCCAGACGGACACCAACACCAACACCTGAAGGAATAGAAGCTGGAAAAGAGGACGACATTTGTGAACCATTTTTCCTTGCAAGCATTAATTTGGACAACGATGACAGAGATCGTGAACTTGCTGTTTGTACCGCACCAGGAGAAGCATTGGTATTTGGATGCAGCGGCCTTAGTTGAGCCAACGCCACCAATTTGGAAGATCCAGAAGACCCAGACTTAGGATTTGAAGGGCTAGGCCCGTGTTCATTGGCTAAAGCAAAAAAAAGAAGTGATGTTTAGAATCCTGGTTCTCTTGGAGTTAAAACACGGTGTGAATCATATTGCAAACAGCGTGAGTTTATGGTAAGTGGGTCGCCCACAAATGTTATACATACTTGGTTTAAAACGTGCTTTAACCTCTTCAATGGTCGGCTCAAGCTCGAAGTAATTGGCATACAAAGTTTCTTTCAACTCAGACTCGGGGATCTCGTTGTTGTATGAAGACAATGATGATTTCAACGATGGCAACATTCGGTATAACTTATCGTAATCCTCGTCGTTCAAGTTGTCTTCGTTGAATTCTTCATCTGATACGTCATAGTCAGCAAGATCGTCATTGTCATAGTTCGCCATTATTACTGTTAGATATGAATGAAGAGAAAGAGTACGTTGTAGTTATTCGTTATGACTCAATGGTAAAGCGAGGTTTAATTCAAAATTCTTTAATGGTAGCGCCATCGCCAAATCACCCCAAGTAAACGTATTTAACAATAAAATATGACTATAAAAGGAACCTGGTGTCCGATAAATATCCTCTATTCTATTTTGATTCCAATATCTTACTAATAATTGCAGCAACGCCAATAACAGTCTCGTCTCTAAACGGCGGAGCTGCTACTTGTAGCCCAATAGGCGCACCCACAACCTCATCCGCATTGTAAAGTTCATGACAGAATTGTTCCAATGGGGAGGTATAACTAGATTGATGGTCGGGACCCCAAACATCAAGCTTAGGATCTTGAACTAACCCTGTAGGGAAAGCAACGGCGGGCCAATCAATCAAGTTATATATGTTGGTGTAGGACCAATTGTAACCGTTATTAGATATTGGTGCCACACTCTCGCTGATTGGTCCCAAAATGGCAGTAATATTATTATCTTTGGCATAATCAAAATATATTCTTGATATTTCGTTCTTTAGCTTTGTTGTTTCTTCCAACTGTTTCAAGGCAAGACCTTTAGCACCTGGACCAAAAGCTAATTGCCATTTCGTAAGCTTTAAGATAGGCTCACCGCTTTTCTTAAGCTTCTCGACGTAATACTCCGTACCATAAGCATGGTATAAGTTATTGATACATTGAGCAGCTTCAATTGATTTCGGTGGCTCAAAGAATATCACCTTGATACCAGCGTCCCTCAATTTAGATGTGACATAATCAAGACCTCTTGTAATTGGTGGTGTGGGTCGTACTATACCATTATCATATATCACAGCTATAGTAATCGCTGTGGGAGGGATTATACAGCTATTCCATGGACATGGTATTACGGACTCATCAAACATCCAAGGCTTTCCCTTGTTGATATAGATATCCATAAAGTACTCAAGGTCATCCACACTGCGACACATTGGTCCATATACGCCGTCTATAGCAGAATCCCCAAGAACAATCCCGTCTCGACATGAAAACCGTCTAGTGGTAGGCTTGTATCCAACGGTACCAGTGAAACTAGCAGGAACTCTTAATGAGCCCCCAATATCACTGCCGATACCAACAATAGAGCCTTTAAATGCAAGCAACGCTCCTTCTCCTGCTGTGGAGCCTCCAGCAGAGAGTGCAAGATTGTATGGATTTAAAGTGGGGCCCGTGATGTTATTATGCGAATCAATTGCCATAAGTGATTGGGGCTGGTTAGTACGAACATAAAAGACAGCACCCATATCATATAACATTTGAATTGAAACCTGGTTCTCTTGAGGAGTATTTTCCAACAAAGACACATAGGAGCAATGGGTTACCTTCCCTTTGAAGGGAATATGTTCCTTAATAGAAATGGGTATTCCATGAAATGGTCCCAACGGTTTCCCATGGGTCAGTAAATAACTATCCAAAAACTTAGCTCTCTCTCTTGCTTCTTCAAGAAATACCTGGCACACACAGTTGGTGAATCGTTGAGCAATGGCCGCATAGCTGACATAAGCTTCAAGAACCACGGTAGATTTGATACTTCCCTCACTTATCTTACTTACAAGTTCCTTCAACGACAATTCAACTATCTCCTTGTACTCTTTGTGGATAGAACCTTCTATCAGCTCTTTAGTAAAGCCAATGGCATTGAAATGAGACGATTGCAAGCTCTCCAAGTCTTGAGGAAGCTCTAAGTTGAACTCTTTGAATTGGGAGTCTCTATCTTCAATATACTCCTTTACTTTGACCTTCCATGGCTCAAAAAGGTCCTCGTCTTCAATGCCACATAGACCCAATTGCTCAATGGATGGAACTATCTGCTCGTCCATTGTGAATGAAAGGAACGATAAAGAATGAGTGAACGAAACTTAAACCCACTCGGCACTTGAGTAAGTTGTCGGCTGAGTCGGTCATTGGATAATTACACAAACCCGGCGATAAACTCTTTTTTTCAACCGTTAAATAGTTCACAAGTATTTCCTTCCTTTAACAGATAATACATAAGAGGGTATGGGAATGATATATATGTATATATATAAAGGCTAATCACCAAATTATAAATGCAATTAAAAAAAACAAAATCCCAACAGGAAATTGTCCAGAATTAAATAAAAATCTAATGCTTGAAAAGATCAGCACCAATGATATCCACAATTGTCTTACCAGCAGCAACAACTTCTTCATCTTCATATCTCTTACCAACCAATTGCAAACCAATGGGAGCACCGCTGAATGTTTCAGGTTCGTATTGTTCCAATTCCAATCTTTCTAACTCTGATCTATACTTGAAGTCCTTGAAAGATTCGTTCCACTTATCTACCTCAGGATCCTGGAACAAACCAGTTTGGAAAACTAAAGCTGGGAAGTCCAAGATATTAAACAAGGCAGTGTAAGACCAGCCGTAGACGTTTTCACTAACAGGAGCAACATTTGAGTAAGTGGGAGTGAGGAGAAAGTCAATGTTGTTATCCACCATAAATTTGTTGTAATCATATCTTAATTGATCTCTAATGACGTTCAATTTACGGTTTTCTTTAACTGTGTATTCTTTAGAACCATCACCATAGTTTAATGCCCATTTGGTCAACTTAGTCAAAGGTTCACCAGAACCACTGAGTAATTCCTTTTGCTTATAGTTACCATCGCAATTGTACATCTTGTTAACAGTATCGAAAGCTTCTTGTGTTCTGATAGGAGCAAAGTCAACAACCTTGACACCTGCAGCCTTCAATTTTTCAACAACAAATTTCAAACCCCTGGTGATTGGAGGAGTTGGATGAACAATTTCATCATCCCACATGACAGCAACAGTGAAATCTTTTGGTTGTGGCTTTTCAACTTTTCTCCATGGCATTTTCAAGCAGTATGCATCTCTAACCCATGGCTTACCTTCGTTCAAGTAGTGATTCATTAAGAAATCCACATCTTCAACAGATCTAGTCATTGGACCAGAGACAGCAGGTACAGATTCTTGACCAGCACCACTGGAAACACCGGCATAAAGAGAAAATCTCTTGGTAGAAGGTCTCAAACCTACACCACCAGAATAAGCAGATGGAGCTCTAATAGATCCACCAATATCAGAACCAATACCAATTGCAGAACCACCGAATGCAACAACAGCACCTTCACCGGAAGAAGAACCACCACTGGATAACTTCATGTTATAAGGATTTCTAGTCAAACCAGTAAAGTTGTTATTAGAATCCAAATGCATCAAGGTTTGAGGTTGAGAAGTACGAATATAGAAAACAGCACCCAAGTCTTCCAAAATTTGAGTGGTGATCCCGTGTTCAGGGGTAACATTGGTAATTTTGGAGACATAACCACCATGAGTGATCTTTCCTCTGAAAGCCATTTGTTCCTTCAAAGAAATCGGAATGCCGTGTAAAGGTCCAATAGTTTTACCATTTTTAGCATAGTATTCGTCTAAGAATTTAGCTCTTTCCAAGCCTTCATCGGTGAACAATTCCATAGCACAATTAAGAAATTGATGAGCAATAACAGCTCTCTTTGCAAAAGCCTTAAAAACTTCAACCGCCTTTAATTCACCAGATGACAACTTAGCTGCCAATGAAGTAGCAGAAGAATCAGTGATGGCAAACTCCTCTGGCGTCAACAACTTCTTCTTGTACAAGTAGTCGACTGCATTGAACTGTTCCTCAACTAAGGTATCAATGTCCTTTGGCACCGTAACAGTATAAGCTGGATCAATGGCCTTGGCAAGAGCCTTTCTATACGCCTCCACTTTTGGTAACCATTCCTTTTGGTATCTTTCTGGGTCCTCGTAACCCGAGAAGTCTTCTTTAGTTAAGAAGGTAGTGTAGTCAGCCATACTTCAAGATATTTATAGACACGAGAACAAAGCTGGAAAAGAAATTAAATGTTATAAAATGCAGATTAATGTTATAAAATGAAAGACAAACATGAATAATCCGATCTTGTAATCTTTGAGCGGACTCCACATATTTATACCTCCACCCCCAAACAAAAATGGCACAAAATCACAATCTATATCCGCCCTATTGTATAGCTTACAATTGCCTGATTGAGCGCAACCACTTTCATATGGCTAACGGAACTTATTTCCGCGCCCAATGCGATATGGGTGGATTAAGGGGTCATTTACTTGAACACGTACTTTTGGAAGGTAACTGTGTATATACAATTGGTGTCCCCGACTTGTATAAGGTGTAGGGTTGTAAACGTTAAAGCTTTTGATCTTGTGATTTAACAGTTGTCACATTATGCGATAACGTCCTGCACTTATGTGGCCGATCTTACTATAAGAGGATCGATTGCGTTTCGTTCCTGAAAGTTATTTAACAGCAAATAGTTCTGCAATAGAACACCCAATCAAGTAGTATTGGCTAATCAGAGTCAACTATTGGCTACCTGCAATACAGTAAAGTGTACTATTGGATGTTAATAGGTAGCAGGTTCAAGTTTGACGACAGGGGAACAATAAATGGCTAGAGTTAATCTTTGAAACAATAACTGAAATTTTGCCAACAGTGGTTCAGTATGGGTTCCAGACTTGAACTGTTGTAGAAGGTATCACTATGATGTTAAAGAGTTTCTATTCATAACTGTATTATCGCGGCTACGGTTATCCATAAATTAAACGCGGTGATATTACCCAATCAAGACGAATGCGCTGAAATACTATTGTAAACTCCTATTTGGGGTATGTCCGACCTAGCAAAAGCTGCAATACCACTTATTTGTATCTTGATATGGTAGTGTGAATCACAGCCTTTACAATGAATAGGTATACAGAAAACCAACCAAATAGGTAATTTGGCTGATAAGAAAACCAGCTACTACGAAGTTTAATTTGTAGAGTCTAGTATTAAAAGTTCACATATATTTTACTTAAATGTGGAATAATTCCTTCAAGATCTTAATGGTGTCAGCAGGAGAGTTGACGGCATGACCAATAGTTCTTTCATCGGTATAGATTTCATAATCGTTACCACCCTTGTAAGACTTGTCACCAAAGAAATGGATGTTTTCGAAGCCTTCATCAGCAACATGTTGCAAACAGTAGGTCTTATCCCAACCGGTTGGGAAAACGTCAAAAGAGATTTGACCACCAATAGAGTAAGTCAAACCGTAATCGCTAAAGTTTTCCTTCAAGGCATTAACCAAAGTTTCTCTGATCTTATGTTCCAAGTCAAACTTTTCAAATTCGTTACGTTCTTCGGTTGAAGCATTTCTACCGACTGGAGAAACATTGATCATACCGTTTCTGAATTCAATAAAAGTACCTCTTCTGACTGGGATATCAATCTCACTCAAGTACTTCAAGATGAACTTAACCAACTTGTTGTACTTTTCGTTACCAATCCAATTGATGAAAGATTGAGAAGCTAATTGCTGACCCAACTTGTATGCGGTTAAACCGTTTTCACTGAAACAGTAGTCGAAATCTTGTAAAACGGTAGGTCCCAATTGTTCAACTTGCTTACTCAAATCAGAGCCACCAACAAAACCAATAACAACTTTCTTTCTCAAGTCCTTCAAAACTTGTCTCATCTCATCAGAAACTTCCAATCTAGCTGCAGTCAAGGTTCCGTCAACATCGAACAAAACCAAAGTCTTGGGATCTTCCTTATCAGTGAATGACATCGTCGTCTATTTGTATGAGTACTGTAAGTGTGTAAAGCTATTTACAGTCAAAGAGCAAAGGAAAAGTGAAATGAGTATATCTATGATATTTCTTCCTCTATATATAACTATACGAACGTCCGCAAAAAAAAATTCAACGTGGCAGAACCCAAACACAGAATAATTATTGTTACCGTGTTTCTCCTTCTCTACTATTGTTATGCTAAAAGGTACGCGTTTTCTTCAGTAAAAGTATGCTATACACGGCTGATGCGTGTACAGCGTAGTGTTACATTGTATCGGATTATATTGCATTGAGTTGAAGGTGTATTCTTCAACGGCTTTATCATTAACAGTTAGTCCGACAGAGGAAGGCTTGAAATTATTGTATACAGAGGAGAAATCTGCTCCGACCCAAGAAAGTCGTGTGCTGGCGATAAATAGCGTAGTGAAAATAGTTTACTATGGGATACCAAATTTTATGGACCAATGGTTCCACTGTGCGCACTCATCGTACACTTCAATCTACGTAATCAGGTATTCTTAACAGTTTTCAAACTTAGTGCATAATTATAAACATACAGCCATAGCTATCTTAATAAAAGCTACACTTAAGCTTCGTACTTGTAGTCAGGGAAGTTCTTCAAGTTTTCAGCTAAGTTACCCTTTCTGGATAAGAACTTAACGTAAGCACCATCATCCTTAACTTCACCGTTTTGCTTCTTAACAACATAGTCGGGTCTGTCCAATGGAGTGAAACCCCACTTCTTGGAGATAATGATTCTTTGTTGACCTGGGAACTTGTATCTAGCTCTTCTCAAACCTTCAATAACAACATCCTTGTTAGAGTCCTTGGTTCTACAAGAGAAGATAATTTGACCAATATCAACTCTAGCAGCTAAACCGTGAGGCTTACCCCAAGCACCTCTCATACCTTGTTGCAATCTATCGGCACCAGCACATGACAACATCTTGTTGATTCTCAAAACGTGGAATGGGTGGACTCTGATTCTCAAGTGGAAAGAATCTCTACCAGAAACCTTGGTAATGTACTTGTTAGCACAAATACGGGCAGCTTCCAAAGCTTCAGAAGACAATTGTTCCAATTCGTTGGAAACCAAGTGGATACACAATGGGAATTCATCAACAGTGGCCTTCTTACGACCCAAGTCGAAAATTCTAACCTTAGCGTCAGGAACAGCTCTGTTGTATCTTGACTTAGGGAAAGGCTTGTTCTTACAGTATCTGTAACATCTAGCAGGTCTTCTAGCCATCTTGTCTGTTAATTAAATGTTAGTAATTAATCTTGTGATAAAGAAAAATATATCTTCAACCCAAAAGCTAGATTATTGTTCCGAATCTCTTTTATATAAGTTACAAGAATGATTTGTAATCAGGATTCTTATAGTTATATGGCAAAAAATTTCTCCATACAACTTTGTGCGTGTGCACGTCCCTGGAAAAATTTCCTTACTATAATTTTTCACAAACAAAATTCATAGGGGACGATAAGTGGAGGAGTGTAATGTATTATGAAGACATGATCTCAAAACATGGAAATTGACAGGATCAACAATACTAGTACTTTAGATATATCTATCGGCTTGGTTGTGTTTGATAGCATGATATTACATACCTTATTTGTCTATGGTTACCGTGGAGAGGGAAAGAAAGATTCTCCAATGGGTCAATTTTTCAAAAATCTTTCTCAATATTGTGCGCACCAAAAAACCAGCCGCGCTTCCAATATTTGAAAATACCTGTAGTGTTTGGTGTAAAAGAGCAGCGCTTCCAAACCAGGTAATATGTCTACGCAGGTGACCGTATATTATGATTTATATACACGTGATAGAATGAGGGTTAAGCCCTTTGTGAGTTTTTATTGAGCTAAAAATTATTAGTTTACATGCGCGATGAGCAAGACTAGTGTTAGGAGTAATCATTAATAGTAGTAAGAAACCATGGGTAGATACAGTGTGAAACGTTATAAGACTAAGAGAAGAACAAGAGATCTTGATTTGATTTATAATGATATCTCTAATAAGGAAACAATCCATAAATTAAAGAATCAACCACTTGATGAAACAAAACCAGGTCTAGGTCAATATTATTGTATTGAATGTGCTAAATATTTTGAAGAGCAACTCAGTTTGGACAGACATAATAAGGGTAAGATCCACAAACGTCGTGTAAAGGAATTGAAGGCCCGTCCGTATACACCTGTAGAAGCCGAAGCTGCTGGTGGTGTTAATATGATCAAGTTTCTTGAACTGGTGGAGAAATATAAACAATTAGAAGCATACAAATCCGAAAACCAACAAGAATTTGAACAGTTGAAACGTCAAAAGAAAGATACTTTGGATGCTATTATCACTGGTATTCCATCTGAACAATTGAAACAAATGCAAGAAGAACAGTATGGTGATAAGAAGAGTGGGAAAAAGATTCAACCGACTAGACCAAGTCCTGCTTCCGGAAATGCATCTGTTTCTGCTGGCGAAGTGGAAATGACAGAGTAATTTTATTAACAGATTTTAATATTAACGGATTTAAATCTCCAACAATTCAAACACACAGATTTTGTTAGCATTTTATAATACAAGCTGTCTATTTTCAGAGATGGCAAGGTTTTTGGGGTTTATCGGGTTCAGATGTATATGTATATATATAAACTTATACATTTTTGCAAGATATTTGTAGATTATACTGACATTAATGTCCCTTCAGCTTATCGATCTGAAAGTGATTTTGTGTCATATTCTATGTGCCCCAGATTCCTAACTCCTGATCTCTCCACCAACTCCACCATCACTTCCCAACCACTTTCGTCAGCCACAACGATCAAGGGCATCATGAAACTCAAGCTTACTAGTAAATATGGCACAGTTATTAAGTCATTACCTGAGACTACGACCTCGGCGGAATTCATTCGTACGATAGAAGCAGATCCAGTCCTCACTGGAAACAACCAGATGCTGGTAACCGGCATTCAAGTTGGATTCCTTTCCCGATGCATTGATATTCAAAGAGACGGCAAAACCCTTGATGATCTTGGATTAGCTAGTGGAAGCAAAGTAAGAATAGAAATGGAGCCTTGTGGAAGCACTTCTAAAGTCTCGGATGGGACTCTCCCTAATGTTGACGACAAGCATGTTACAGTTACCCAAATTGAGACAAAGGGTGATAATAAGTACAAGAGAGAAAAGGACACCGTTACCAGTGATATACCTCTGTTGTATATCAAGGAATTTGATAGTTATCTTGTACTTCGGAATATTCCTGATGACAACTCATGTTTATTTAATGCTATTTCATATGCCATGGTTGGCTACGATTCATTTGGTCCTGGAGGAGTGAGTCCTCCTGGTCAACTTCGACAAGTTGTGGCAGAGCATATCATGACTAATGTGGATGTTTATGACGCCACTGTCTTGGATAGACCAGTGGATGAATATATCGAATGGATTCAAAAGAAGGATTCTTGGGGTGGAGCAATTGAGCTTGGAATATTGAGTCAGTGGTTCAATGTGAGTATCTTATGTTTGGATATTGAAACAGATAAATATATTACATTTGATGCCAGTGAGAATCCTAGAGGATATATCGTATTGGTATACAGCGGCATTCACTACGATGTACTAGCTCAGAACGAACAGCTCCTGAAGGATGATTTTGTTAAGAAATGGGATACTACTTTATGGCCTTTGGAGAACCAAGCAATAAAGGAATATGGCCAGCAATTGGGAGCACTACTTCAAAGTAAGGAATACTCTACTAATACTACGAAATTCCGAGTGCGTTGTCTACAATGTTATGAGGTACTTGTTGGAGAAACTGGGGCATCCCGCCATGCTAATCAAACGGGCCATTTCAACTTTGGAGAAGTGCACTAATGAGAACAGCTCCAAAGATAAAAATGTCTCGACATAGTTTAACCCTACTCCATTAACAAGTACGTATCATATTATGTAGTAGTACTTGAAATATAACTATGGTAATTCAACGTCTGTCACGGCTGACTCCAGTGATAATGATACATGTAGAAGCCCATTCAGTACGAGGCATTAATACATACCACTACTACATACAATTACTAAACTCAATTACTAAACTCAATTGAATACTAGTTTAGGTCCTTGCCACCAGTCAATAGCCGCGAACATGTGGCATCATCTATCTAACTGCAACAGCTGTCCTTCTTCGCTTATCCACTTTATGTGTAAAACACTTGTAGATCCTGATCCACGTACCCCAGAGAGAAAATTTTCGGTCGCGACAACCAGGAAACTTTTTCTGATGAGATCCATTTCGTTGATAGAGTGTTGGATCTTAGTGGACATTAGACGATACTAAGCTTGTTAATACTCAATTAAGATTGTTACCTGATAAAAGACTATGTCTAAGTCTACACAATTTTTCTGTATGTTTAGTTGGAGAAAAGTTTGGACATTTAATTGCGTTTTCTGAGCTTGGAGTTTGAAGAGTTCAAGTTAAATTGCAGTGTAATTTACAGTGGTTGTGTGAGTATGGACGCTTTCTCCATAACTAGTGCTGAATGACAACATTAGCTTCGTGGTGTATAATTTTCTATCTCAGATACTGCTTAAATTGATGTCCGAAGTATTGATACCTCAACATGTACTAACCGTTTCCAGGTCGCACGCCTAAGGGCATTGACATCGCACAAGATTATGATAGTATAACACCACCATCGTTTGTTGGTGGCCAAGACTGTCGATCTGCAAAGTATTCTGGTAATGGGAAGTTCTTTGCTGCCAGTCAACCTGATAAGGTTCAAGTTTTCTCTACCGGCGACGGGGCAAAGGATCAATACACTATTGATATCAAAGACGCCATGGATATGATGTTCTCTCCTCAAGGTACTTATCTTTGTATTTGGTGTAAACCAATTTTGCTCGATAAGGAAAGTGGGAAATGGAACAATAATGTGGCTTTATACAACGTAGTAGTTAAGGAATTGGTCACACAGTGGTCGAATAAAAACCAGGCTGGTTGGAAACCTCAGTTCACATCAGAAGAAAAGATTATGGCTAAAAACAGTGTGAATTCAAAGCAAATCGACTTTTACGAATTATCTTCAGGGAAACCATTTGTATTAAGCCAACCTACTTTCAAATATAAAGTCCAAGATGGCTCTGCCAATTATCAAACTTTCCAAATTAGTCCTGGTAGAAATCCGTCTATTGCCATCTTTATTCCTGAAAAATCAGGTAAGCCAGCTTCAGTTCAGATCTTTAACATTCCTAATTTCCAACAACCTATTTGTTCCAAGTCATTTTTCAAGGCTGAAAGATGTCAATTGAAATGGAATTCCTTAGGAACTGCCTTATTGGCATTGGCTTCAACTGATCACGATACTACCAATAAGTCATATTATGGTGAAACCAACTTATATCTTTTGGGTATTGCGGGTTCTTATGACTCACGTATTAATTTAGATAAGGAAGGTCCTATCCATGACATTACCTGGTCTCCATCTTCTCGTGAGTTCGCTGTCAGTTATGGTTATATGCCTGCGTCTACTACATTCTTTGATGCTAGAGGTAATGCTATCCATCAATTCCCTGATGCTCCTAGAAATACAATTTTGTATTCTCCCCATGCTCGTTTTGTTCTTGTGGCAGGGTTTGGTAACTTGCAAGGTACAGTTGATGTTTACGACAGACAAAACAAATTCCGTAAGGTTTGTACCTTTGAAGCTTCGAATACCAGTGTATGTTCGTGGTCTCCATGTGGTAGATACATTATGACTGCTACTACATCTCCAAGATTGAGAGTTGATAACGGATTGAAAGTATGGCATGCAAGTGGGAAATTGATATATGTTAGAGAGTATCCTGAATTATTGGATGCTGTATGGAAGCCTCAGTCTATTGATAATTTCCCAGCTTTAAAGACTTTGGATGCTGCTATTGATCCCTTGCCACTGGCGGTTGCTTATTTGAGCAAAAAGCCTACTAGTGTGGTTAGTGATTCTACAGTCCAGAAACCTAAGGGTGCTTATAGACCGCCTCATGCTAGAAGGAGTGGTGGTCCAAGTGTTGTTGGAACCACCTCTTTAGCTCAAAGAGAATTATCTCAAAGTGGTTCATCTAATGCTTCTCCTAGTGTTGCTGGTACTAATGGTGGTGGAGCTTACGTTCCTGGTGCCACTAGAAGAGTTGTTCCAGGTGCACCTGTACCTGTTGTGCAAGAAAGCAAAGCAGCTGCCAAGAACCGCAAAAAGAGGGCTGCTAAAAAGGCTGCTCATGAAGATGATGTGAGCCCCAGCCCAACCCCAACCCCATCTTCTGGCCCCAAGGAAGAAGAATCTGGTAGCGTTATTGGAGGAGTTATTTCTTACGAAGAAAAGCGGATCCGCAGTTTGTTGAAGAAATTACGTGCTATTGAAACATTGAAACTTAAGCAAGCCAATGGTGATCCTTTGGAAGATACTCAAGTTTCCAAGATTAACAAAGAAGGCGAAATCAGACTGGAGTTATTGCTGTTGGGATGGAACGGAGAAACTTCAGCTTAATTTAGAGTCGTATGAAATATAATGTATACAGTATTTGTTTAAGTAATAAAAGACTACATAATTATTCCGAATCGGATGAACTAGTTCTGCTTATTTCAGTGAAAATTAAGCTAATTGCTGCGAAAAATATTGCAATCGAAGTTACATTGAGAAAAGATCGTGGCGACACTAAACATCTCTTCTTTAATTGGTCTTGAAGTTTCACAACCCAGATGGAACACATTAGTTGATGAAATAGGGGCGCTGAGATCACCAGCTTTGTGTTCCTGCTTTAATATTACTTCAGTATAGACATTGAGTACAAAGTTTTTCAGACAATCTTTGACTGAAAAGGGAAAAGTAATTGAAACAGGAAGAACATTACACAAACCAATCACTCGCGTTCCTGCGACACGGTTGTCCGGGATAATCATGTACAGGCAATGACCAATTTGAAACTCTTTGTATGGCATACAGATGCAAAAGGCACACGAAAACTTGTCCTCAATTACAAATCACGTGATGCAATAAATGCCGAAATCAAAAAGTGGTGTTCCAACCAGAAATGCAGTTGGGGTATATTTTCATTAGTATGTTACAAGTTGCACATTAACTTTGTTAATACAATATTATTTAAAATAACATTCAGCCATGTACTTTTGTTTGTGTTTGCTGAACAGGTTCAGTTTAACTATTTTAAACTTTCTCCATTAATAGACGGATAGAAGGGTTCGGCTCGGGGTAACAATAAGACTCTGCGCTACCATATAAAAAAAATAGAGACGCACAAAATAAAATCAGACAGACATTTGAAAATGCGACGCCTTCAACACGAATTTGTTCCCGACACTTGTTTGTTTGCTCATACGCGAATCTTTGTGAAACGGTGTAAGGGTTGCAGGGGTTTTATTACTAAATCCCTAACGAAGGCGCAGTTTTAAAAATAGAATTAGTTTCTCATTCTTCCGGACACTTTGATCCACAACCGACACTCCGGTTTTTTTTAAGTCCGTTAAACTACCAGGTTCTGGGATAAATGGATTCAAGTTTCAAGCCATATTGATAAGAAGTACAAATATACACATGCCTCGATTCCGCTCTGTAAAGTAGTGGAGGCTGTAGAACTTGTTTGAGAATGTGCCCCAATGCTTGTAATCAGTAGACTAATGTTTCTAACACCAAAGTATCGTACCCAAGTATCCGCAGTATGAGGTAACACTCCTTATCGGTACTTATATCCGGACCTGAGCAAGCGAGCTTCGCGGTCCGCAGTTGAGATCACGTGACAAACTCTTCAACCTTTTCAGGGAATACCATTGAATTTGGTCTGCCTGGGATTTGATTTACTACCCTAACTCTTTTTTTCAATTTATAGTATTACTTGAATCGTGATCTGTGCTTGATTTAACCAACACATCCGATCATTCATCCATTTGTTGTCACTTTAGTTTTAGGATAGCAGATACTTCCGTTCCAGGGTAACGCGTTAATTGAAGCAAGTTATCTACATTGGAGCGTGACAGTTTAAGGGTGTATTTTCGTTCGTTCGTTAATTCAAATAGATCAGTGGTTTGAAAGGTATGTATTATGATAAAATAGGCTTTATTTCAGAGCATCGTGGACTACTTTTAGAATTCCAGTCAAATCAAATCAAATTAATCAATCAATCAATCAATCATTAAGACAACTCATTTCTAGGAATTGATTTCTGCTTACACTTGTGTACATAGATGATCCATGAATGAGTGTCTTTCATTTACGAATCGTGTGACCTTTGTCAAATGTTAACGTTACTACCTTTTGATATCAGCATCCATCATCACCTCTCCCGTTAAACCCCGTCAAAATGTTATTCAGCCTATCAGCCAGTGACATATACCCCTTTTGATACCCACTTCCTTCAAACGTGTCCGTGCCTACAATAGATGTCATACCTATACTTTTGTCTGTCTGGAAAATTTTCTTTTTTCATTTTTATTTTGTCCTGCAGATATCTTTATTCTCATCTCAAATTGACTACAAAACTAAATTCACTAGCATTGCATATGCTTGAAGAAAGATGACATTGATGGTCAAGAGAATAATAAGAGGAGAACAAGAGAACTAGCATTACAATGATAAAGACATGGCTATCACATCTAGAAGTTGAAATAATTAAGGTAAGCTTAAATACCATGTTATGTTCTGGTTCCCTTTTTGTACCACACACGACAGTAGATTATCAGACACAAACGCGGGTGAACATTTTCTTCTTTCTTTTCTTTTTTCCCTTGAAATTGAACCGAAGGTCCGACATATTTTTCATGTCTGAAGAGGTTGGTGGCTCAATGGCTATCGAAAAGACAAAGGCTGATTTTTGGTGATTTGATTTGATTTGTGTTGGATTCCTCCTCAGCTCTGATTTTTTTAGAAGTTGTTCTTTTACTTTATCCCCAAGCCTTCTTACTAACCATCGTATGTTCTAGATGTCGTATAATAACGATAATCAGTATTACGACCAGGGTAATGATGGCTATTACCAGGACCAACCTCAAGGTGGTCATGGTGGTCAAGCTGTCCCCCAGGGTCAACCTCAAGGTGGTTACGAAGACCAATACTATGATCAATCTCAACAACAATACCAACATACTGGTCAACACGGAGGTGTTGTAGCTGGTCAAGGAGGGTATGATATGATTGACCCTAATGTTGCTGGTTACCAAGATCAATATTATCAGGGTGGTGCACCAGGTTATGGCCAACAACCAAGTGGTGGTTATAATGCTGATCCAGAAGCTTTCAGTGATTTCAGTTATGGCCAACAAGGTGGAATTCCTGGCCAAGGAATGGCTGCTGGTGTTGGTGCTCCGGGCCAACAAACTCCTGGTACCTCTGCTTATGATCAATATGGAACCCAATATACTCCATCTCAGATGAGTTATGCCGGTGCTAGATCTTCTGGTGCTTCTACTCCTATCTATGGTGGCCAGCCAGGTCACATGCCAGGACAACCAGGTATGCCTGGTAGTCAATATGAATTCCAAATGACCTCTAACTTGCCATATCCTGCTTGGACTGCTGATCCTCAAGCTCCAATCAAGGTTGAACATATCGAAGATATCTTTATCGACTTGACTAATAAGTTTGGTTTTCAAAGAGAATCAATGAGAAATATGTTTGATTACTTTATGACATTATTAGATTCAAGAGCTTCTCGTATGTCACCTGCTCAAGCATTGTTGAGTTTACACGCTGACTACATTGGCGGTGAAAATGCCAACTATAAAAAATGGTACTTTGCTTCTCAACAAGATTTAGATGACACTTTAGGTTTTGCCAACATGGAGTTGGGTAAAATTGGTCGTAAGGCAAGAAAGGCTAAGAAGAAGTCAAAGAAGGCAAGAAAGGCTATGGAAGAACACGGTCAAGATGTCGATGCTTTGGCCAACGAATTGGAAGGTGACTACTCTTTGGAAGCTGCTGAAATTAGATGGAAGGCTAAGATGAACGTCTTGGCACCTGAAGAAAGAGTCAGAGACATTGCCTTGTACTTGTTGTTATGGGGTGAAGCCAATCAAGTCAGATTTACCCCTGAATGTTTATGTTACATCTATAAGTCTGCTATGGACTACTTGTTGTCTCCTCAATGTCAACAAAGACAAGAACCTGTACCAGAAGGAGATTATTTGAACAGAGTTATTACACCATTATACAGATTCTTGAGATCTCAAGTTTACGAAGTCTATGAAGGTAGATTTGTAAAGAGAGAAAAGGATCACAACAGTATCATTGGTTATGATGATGTCAATCAGTTATTCTGGTACCCTGAAGGTATTTCTCGTATTATGTTTGAAGATGGTACAAGATTAGTTGACATACCTCAAGAAGAAAGATACCTTAAATTGGGTGAAGTTGAATGGAGAAATGTTTTCTTCAAGACTTATAAGGAAATTAGAACCTGGTTACATTTTATCACAAACTTCAACAGAATTTGGATTATCCATTGTTGTGTCTACTGGATGTATACTGCTTACAACTCCCCTACCTTATATACTCAGCATTATGATCAGACAGTCAACCAACAACCAGTTGCATCTTCCAGATGGGCTTCTGCTGCTATTGCTGGTGTCATTGCTTGTTTGATTCAAATCTGGGCCACTGTATGTGAATGGATGTTTGTCCCAAGAGAATGGGCAGGTGCTCAACATTTGTCCAGAAGATTGATGTTCCTTACCCTTATATTTATTGCCAATTTGGCTCCAGTTGTTTTCACATTCTACTGGGCTGGTTTGTCCGCTATTTCTAAGTCAGCGCATGCTGTTTCCATCGTTGGTTTCTTCATTGCTGTTGCTACAATCGTTTTCTTTGCTGTTATGCCTTTGGGTGGTCTTTTCACTTCATACTTGAACAAGAGATCAAGAAAGTACATGTCTTCCCATGCTTTCACTGCCAATTTTTACAAGTTGTCTGGTTTGGACATGTGGATGTCATACTTGTTGTGGTTCCTTGTCTTTTTGGCCAAGTTTGCTGAATCTTATTTCTTTTTGACATTGTCATTGAGAGATCCTATCAGAAACTTGTCTGAAATGACCATGAGATGTACTGGTGAAATTTGGTGGGGTACTAAATTATGTGCTCATCAAAGTAAGATTGTCTTGGGTTTGATGTACGCTGTTGATTTGTTGTTGTTCTTCTTGGATACTTACATGTGGTACATTATCTGTAACTGTATCTTCTCCATTGGAAGATCTTTCTACTTGGGTATTTCCATTTTGACCCCATGGAGAAATATCTTCACTAGATTACCAAAGAGAATTTACTCCAAGATTTTGGCTACTACCGAAATGGAAATCAAGTACAAGCCAAAGGTTTTGATTTCTCAAATATGGAATGCTATTGTTATTTCTATGTACAGAGAACATTTGTTGGCCATTGATCATGTTCAAAAGTTGTTGTACCATCAAGTTAGATCTGAAGTTGAGGGTAAAAGAACTTTAAGAGCTCCTACTTTCTTTGTCTCTCAAGATGATAACAACTTTGAAACGGAGTTTTTCCCAAGAAACTCTGAAGCTGAAAGAAGAATTAGTTTCTTTGCTCAATCATTGGCTACTCCTATTCCTGAACCATTGCCAGTCGACAACATGCCTACCTTTACTGTTTTCACTCCTCATTACTCTGAAAAGATTTTACTTTCTTTGAGAGAAATCATTAGAGAAGATGATCAATTCTCAAGAGTTACTCTTTTGGAATACTTGAAGCAATTGCATCCTGTTGAATGGGAATGTTTTGTTAAGGACACTAAGATTTTGGCTGAAGAAACTGCGGCATACGAAAACGGTGAAGATCCTGAAAAGGGTTCAAGTGAAGATGGTTTGAAATCCAAGATTGATGACTTACCATTCTACTGTATTGGTTTCAAGTCTGCTGCTCCTGAATACACTTTGAGAACAAGGATCTGGGCTTCTTTGAGATCCCAAACTTTGTATAGAACTGTCTCTGGTTTCATGAACTACGCTAGAGCCATCAAGTTGTTATACCGTGTTGAAAACCCTGAATTGGTCCAATATTTTGGTGGTGACCCAGAAGGTTTGGAAATAGCTTTGGAAAGAATGGCTAGAAGAAAGTTTAGATTTGTTGTTTCTATGCAAAGATTGGCCAAGTTTAAAGATGATGAAATGGAAAATGCCGAGTTCTTGTTAAGAGCTTACCCTGACTTGCAAATTGCCTTTTTGGATGAAGAACCCGCTTTGAATGAAAACGAAGAACCTCGTGTCTACTCTGCATTGATTGATGGTCATTGTGAATTATTAGAAAATGGTAGACGTCGTCCGAAGTTTAGAGTTCAATTGTCTGGTAATCCAATTTTGGGTGATGGTAAATCTGATAACCAAAACCATGCTGTTATTTTCCACAGAGGTGAATATATTCAATTAATTGATGCTAACCAAGACAATTATTTGGAAGAATGTTTGAAGATTAGATCTGTTTTGGCTGAATTTGAAGAATTGAATGTTGAACACGTTAACCCTTACGCTCCTAACTTGAAGTCCGATAAAAAGGATCAAGTTGCCCCTGTTGCCATTTTGGGTGCCAGAGAATACATTTTCTCTGAAAACTCTGGTGTTTTAGGTGACGTCGCTGCTGGTAAGGAACAAACTTTCGGTACTTTGTTTGCTAGAACGTTGGCTCAAATTGGTGGTAAGTTACATTATGGTCATCCTGATTTCTTGAATGCTACTTATATGTTAACCAGAGGTGGTGTTTCTAAGGCTCAAAAGGGTTTACATTTGAACGAAGATATTTATGCTGGTATGAATGCCATGTTAAGAGGTGGTAGAATCAAGCATTGTGAATACTATCAATGTGGTAAAGGTAGAGATATGGGTTTTGGATCCATTTTGAATTTCACCACTAAAATTGGTGCTGGTATGGGTGAACAAATGTTATCAAGAGAATACTATTACTTATCTACCCAGTTACCTTTGGATAGATTCTTATCGTTCTACTACGGTCATCCTGGTTTCCATATCAATAATCTTTTCATTCAATTATCTTTACAAGTTTTCATTTTGGTTTTAGCCAACTTGTCTTCTTTGGCCCATGAAGCTATTGCATGTTCTTACAATAAGAATGTTCCTGTCACCGATAAACTTTATCCATTCGGTTGTTACAACATTGATCCTGCTGTGGACTGGGTCAGACGTTATACGTTGTCTATTTTCATTGTTTTCTTCATTGCCTTTATTCCATTGGTTGTTCAAGAATTGATTGAACGTGGGTTATGGAAAGCTGCTTCCAGATTCTGTCGTCACTTTGTTTCCTTATCACCAATGTTTGAAGTTTTCACTGCTCAAATTTATTCGTCATCTATCTCCATGGATTTAACTGTTGGTGGTGCTCGTTATATCTCTACGGGTAGAGGTTTTGCCACCTCGAGAATCCCATTCTCTATTTTATACTCGAGATTTGCCGACTCTTCGATTTACATGGGTGCTAGATTAATGTTGATTTTGTTATTTGGAACTGTTGCTAAATGGCAAGCACCTTTGTTGTGGTTCTGGGCCTCATTATCTTCATTGATTATGTCCCCATTTGTTTTTAACCCACATCAATTTGCTTGGGAAGATTTCTTTATTGATTACAGAGATTTCATTAGATGGTTGTCAAGAGGTAACACTAAATGGCATAGAAACTCTTGGATTGGTTATGTTAGATTATCTAGATCTAGAATCACTGGTTTCAAGAGGGTTTTAACCGGTGACATTTCAGAAAAGTCTGCTGGTGATGCTTCTAGAGCTCATAGATCTAACATTCTTTTCGCTGATTTGATTCCTACTGGGTTATATACTGCTGGTTTATTTGTTGCTTACACTTTTATCAATGCTCAAACCGGTGTTACCAAGTATGACTTTAGTGAGTCCTTTCAACCCGATGTTATTGAAGTTAACTCTGCCTTGAGAGTTATTATATGTGCTTTAATTCCAGTTGCTGTCGATGCCGGTGCTCTTGCAGTTTGTGTGGGTATGGCTTGTTGTATGGGCCCTATTTTGGGTATGTGTTGTAAGAAGACTGGTGCAGTTTTGGCTGGTGTTGCTCATGGTGTTTCTGTTATTGTTCACATTATCATGTTTATTGTCATGTGGGTATTGGAAGGTTTCAATTTTGCTAGATGTGTCCTCGGTTTGGCTACTATGATCTACATTGAAAGATTCCTTTACAAACTTTTGACTGTTCTTTGTTTGACTAGAGAATTCAAGAACGATAAGGCCAACACTGCCTTCTGGACCGGTAAATGGTATGGTAGTGGTATGGGATGGATGGCCTTTACTCAACCTTCAAGAGAATTTGTTGCTAAGATTTGTGAAATGGGAGAGTTTGCTGGTGATTTCATTTTGGCCCATATCATTTTGATTGTTCAATTACCAATTTTGTTTATTCCATTGATTGATAGATGGCATTCTATGATGTTATTCTGGTTGAAGCCTTCAAGATTGATTAGACCTCCAATCTACTCTTTGAAACAAGCCAGATTAAGAAAGAGAATGGTTAGAAAGTACTGCACCTTATACTTTGTTATTTTGGCATTATTTGTTGCCATTATTGCTGGACCTGCTGTTGCTGGTGGTAGATTGAAGCCAGATATGTTTTGGTCGTTGACTTCCAAATCGGGTATCACCAAGGGTTTATTCCAACCAAGAAAGGCTAACAACAACGATACTGGTACTAACAGACCTTCTGGATACACTTGGGTTTACATGAGTTTCACCCCAACAAATACTCATTCGTACACCACTAAAGCATAGGTTTTAAATCCATCTAAATGAAGTTATAGATGCTGATGGACAATAATAACAATATTAACTTAAAAATCATTACTTCCATCAACCCTATTTTGAAGTCTTTTGATTGGCTTCTTCCTCTCGCTTATCTTTATTTTTTTTTTATATCTATTATTTTTATCTCCTCTGTATGTGTTAGCTTGAATACGCTTATTATACTTTATTACGTTGTAGCAAGTCGGCTCGTGGTACCAGTGGATCCGTTCGCGGTAACGGTAGGTCGGTCCGTTGCTCTGTTGATCAACAAGCTCAAACGGGCCTGCATATTGTAAACAATTTTAACAAAAAAATGCCCTTTAAAGTTATAACCTTTACTTTAATCATCATCACTGGTCTTCAACTATGGCACTACTAGGACGACCTTTACATGTGCCACGGTCGTTTGCTGTCCTCTTCTCGGTGTTGATGATTATCACCACGTTGATCTTTCTTTTAAAAACAAAGCATTACTATGGCATCGTCTCATCTCCAGAGTTTGAGGAGGGTAAAGTAACCGTCCCCAATTTCCATAGCATGGTCGAACCTTCTTTACAATTGATTCCTAGGTATACAATTCTTTGTCCCTGGACGGTTTTGACGCTGATATTTGCCGAAATCTCCATTTTGGGGTTCATAAGATCATCTGTCATCTTGTATGTTGCTACCACGTATGTGGAACGATTCTGGGGGTCTCATGAAGTCATAAAGTTCGTGGTGGTAGTAGGTACCATCACCAATACCATTAGTGTGGTATTCACTATTATAGTGAGCATATTCCGAAGAGATTCCGAACAAATGGATAAACCACTTGGTGGAGGAATTACTTATGTGTTTGGGTTTTTGGTGGTGTTGAAACAACTTATTCCGGAACATAACATCTTGCTATTCCAAGGGTTAATCAACTTCCGCATTAAACATTTACCCTTTGTGATGTTGGTGGCCGTTACATTATGGTCAGCACTTATTGGTAGACTGTTTTATCCTGCGTTACCCAGCTGGGAGAGTTTCTTTGTTTCGTATATATATTTAAGATTCTTTCAAGCAATCTACACGGATCCATTCCTTCCGGTGACAACCACTACTGGTGAAGATCAGACTTCTTCTGGAGGAGGAGCCACCATAATGAAAGGTGATGCCAGTGATACGTTTGTTTTGGTTGATTTCTTCCCCGTGATCTTACGTCGTTATTTGGCCGTTATATTTGACCTGGTTTATGGATTAGGAGTTAAGATTCGTATGATCAATGCGTTCGATCAAGACTCGGTCGAGCAAAGTAATCTTCGCACGCAAAAGAGACAAGAACAGGCCAACAATCCGCCTAAAACTATGGCTAACTCAGTGGCTGAACGTAGAAGACAAATGGCATTACAAGTGATTGAAGACAGAATTAATAAGGACACTAGAAGATAGTACATCGATTATGTATTAAACATATAATCATGGAGAGTTACGATCGAACTTTGATTAATGTATAGAAGGTTAAGTGGGTCACGTGATCGGATCAAGACTTATCGATATACTGGGAAACTGAAGTGCTTAGTACAATACTGGGGTACTTACAAATACGCTGCAGTAACATACGTTACTACTGCGCTGCAGTTCATACTGCTGTAAACTACTATGGTACGGCCGTAATCTTATTCTACTGTACTGTATGATAAAATGGACGTTCCAATTCTCCTATATGGGTCATACTGTTAGTAGTTCAATAGCAAGTAGTACTTAACTTTAGGGTATATTCAAGATACTTGGTTAATTTCTTAGAAACTATATTGCTAAATACGGGTGAAGTATCCTCAATTTGTACTTCATTTCAACCCAGACAGACTTCATACTTTAAACACTTTCGTAGCATCAGACACCTTTATACACCTTTATAATTAACACTTAAAGTCTTTAATTAACTCAACCTCCTTCTTTTATCGCCAGCACCCTTTGTATGTCTCAGACTTTCTTTTTGAAGTCCCCAAATAGAGTAATGCCTAGTTATCAATTCGACGACATTCACATGTACATATTCTGTCATATCTATTGTATGTTTGAAATAGATTACGGAATTGTGTCTGTACTCTAATTCGCAACCTTTCTGACACAATACTTCAACACTGTAAGAGTGCACTGCTATACGGGTTGTGTTGTGTACTATAGCAATAACCTACGGCTACTCTGATGAGCAATACACGACTATTCTCAGGTACACAAACGATCTATATCAGATCTGCTTGCATATGGATGCTGTATAAGAGTGGATTCAATAAAGCTGAATTGTGCTGTTAGAATTTTTAAATATAAAGTTGCACTTTTCTTTCCTATCTACTTAACAGATAGGAAACCGTGCATTAAAGTTAGGTTATTGTAGAAATCAGTTCAAGGAATACCAATATGACTACTCAATTCTTATTCTTGCACCTATCCTTTTGATATACTTTGTACGGATGACAGTAAACTATGAGCCCAACCAAATTTACCATAAATAGGAACACCCAAAGAATTCATATTTATATAAAAGTTTCTCTGGTTGCTCTGTGGGTTCTACGCTCCTTTTTTTCTGGGTAATCTTTAATATTTTGTTAAACCTGTCAAAAAGGATAGACACTTCAGGTCAAATGATCTCACGTGATCAGATCAAATGGTATAAACTAAGGTATGCTATTCTAGAGATATATTGTATTTCCACATTATAATGCATTATTATAATACTATACTGTGGTACTCTACTGGAATACTTTACTACACCCTCATATACTGTAGTACTTTACTACTGTATTCTATAGTTGTACCAACCTTATACTACTGTAACATACAGTACTTTGCACTGCTGCATGGTATTGCCAATATTTTAGGGTGTACTCTGTCTACCGTATGTTCGACTCCTCTGTTCGACTCCTCTGTTCGACTCCTCTGTTCCACTGGATCACTGTCTCTGTACCTCCGAATCTACGTCATCTCAGGTCGCGCGTTGACGACCGAAAAAAAATTGTTATCAACCAAACAAACTCACTACACCCAAACCTTACCGTTGTATCAGTTAAACCGTGATCCCATGTTTGGACCTGGTTCTCTCAAACCCAAATACGGGTCGAAGAAAGGCGGTGTGTTACCCTATTTCTCTGGCCATGCCAGATTACATTTCCACAGCCGTAAGAACTTGGCTATATTGATCACGGCAGCGATCGTTTTAGTATATTTCTTTAACCCTTTAGGTGCCTTGGGAATTACTTTCTCCATCTTCTCAAGAAGAAATGTGCCCGTGTACCCGCGTGGTCACCCCTTGACATCTACAGAAATCATAGAAGTGGACACCAAATATATCTATCCTCCCATTGAACACGCTCAGTTGTTAAGGGAATTGACCATGAAGGAATTGGTGAAGGAGCATAAATATAGAGACGCAGATTTCCCCGATATCGAACGGTACGAAATCTATTCCTTGAACAAAGACGATGATCCCGATCCAATAAAGCAAAGATTAAAGGAGGATGAAGAAAATCAATTGCTGGAATTGGTTAAAGCCAAAAATTACTTCAAAAATCAAGATAAAATCGTCTACAAGGGTAAAGGTGGTTCATATCCTGAAGTAGTCATTGTTACGACCATTAATTTCGATAAATATTCAATGGAAGCTTTGGCTCGTATTGTTCAAAATAGAGTGGATTATGCTCATGCTCATGGATATGGGATTTATGTTAGATGGTCTCAAGAGTTTTTACCTGCTTTAAACTCATTTAGTTATATGCAAATTGAGGAGAAGGAAAAATGGACTAGATTATTTGCAACTAGAGCTGCAATGTTTGCGTTTCCTAAAGCTAAATGGTTTTGGTATTTGGATGAAGATGCTTTAATTTTGGACTCTTCGGTTGATATCTTAAATTCCGTCTTGCAGCCTTCCACTTTAAATTCACTATTGTTAAGAGAGCAACCAATTATCCCCCCCAGTGGAATTATCAAAACTTATAAAAACACTAAAGCTGATGCTATCAAATTAATCTTGGTTCAATCTCCTTCTAAAGTGGAAACAACAGCATTTATGGTTAAGAATGATGATGTGGGTAAATCACTTCTTCAAGGGTGGTGTGATAAATTGTTTGTATCATATTCAAACTTCCCCTTTGGTCCAGATTCTGCCATCACTCATATCTTACAATGGCATCCATTCTTTTTAAGTAAAACTGGTATTGTCCCCACCAATCTTTTCGCTTCCATCCATCCAGAAACTGAAGTGCCTCCTCCAACTGATGGATCTAGAACGGATTTTACCCTGTACCATGAAGGTGACTTTGTGGCCAGTTGGTGGGGATGCAAGAAGGTTGAGTGTGAAAAGATCATGAATAAGTATTATGCTAAGATTGCATCATCAAAGGCATAATATTAATAAATGTATAATTAATCAAAAACTGTTTAAAGAAAGGTCCTTGATTGATTGTATTAGTGAGGGTTCAATACCATTACTACCACCTCCATTTCCATTCTTTAGTTCTCGTATAAGTTCCCACAGATCAATTGCCCTTTGCATTCTTTCTCGACTAGAAGAGCTCTCTGTGTTTACAGTAGGAATAACCTCACCTATTTGTAGAAATGTACAAAAATAACACAACTCTCTAAATGAAGAATGTTCACTATATGGCACAGTGTATATTCGATAATGAGGATCTGTTGTTCGTTGTTTTCGCTTGTTAGAGCTCTTCTCAACAGGCGGTGGTATTTGTGGTAAGATGTTCTCCATAAATGTGTACGGAGGACTCAGTGCCATTGAAGTAATGATATGCTCCAAATCCATGGGAGTATCAGTCTTAACATACATGTTTTTGAAAGTCCAGCCTGAAGGTTTCAACCCCACACACATTTCAAAATACTCAAAGTACTTATTATGATGAAAATAATTGGCCATTTCTTCCATACTGGAAACGATTTTCATTGGAACCAAATGAACCATGCCTTGAGCTTCAGGACCATCATTCAATCCAATATCGTCCATTGTAAGATTATCAGAAAGATAATCATCTTCAAAAGACTTCACAATCTCCAACTTTTCTCTTCTTCCATTAATGCACAGTACAAAGATTTGACATTTAAGTCTCTTCAGTATAGCCATGGCAATCCTTTCCTTTCCTATCAAATATGTTCCTACCAATATCAAAAACTTCTTCTTCTTTAGTTTCGTCTGAGAAATGAGCTTCAGAGCTATAAAGTCTGTTATTCTGGACTGCGTTTGCGTTCCAAACCAATACGTGAACATATTCTGATTCAGTATAAGGTCTTCAAACATATCAGCCACTGCCTTACAAACATTCTCCTGCTTTGGGAAAGAGTAGTCGGGATCCAAATACGTAGTATCAAGATATACCTTGTCTAGTCGTAACTCTCGTTGGTTAATACTGTAGGGTCTAAGCACTGGATGTTCTATCATCTCTTTAGATACACGGAAATCACCACAATGTAAAATCCTGTAGATGTCACCCAGTATAGAAACAGACTCCATTAAGAAGATGGCTGCCCCGGGACAATGGTTTGCTGATAATGGTGTGACGTATAGTCCTGGTTCAATCCCATTAGGAGAAACATGGCATTCCAGTGCAGAATCTTCATATGAGTGTACAAAGTACCTTGTATCCAACTCCAACACTTGAATAAACTTTAAATCGATCCCAAACTTGAGTGACAATAGTCTGGAAGTAATTGGAGTACAGTAGATGATTTTTTTGAACCTTGAGTCGTCAGAGAAGTCGGTTTCATCTACTTCAAACACCCGTTGGAAACACCAATTCCTTGATATACCTCCGTAATGATCAGCATGGAAATGGGTTAGAAAGTATTTGTCTATGTTCTCATGAATTGCATAACTGAAAGCGTCCACTGCTACTTGGAATGACGAAGACTCTGAGTTGTCGTCCAGTTTAGGGAACGTCATAATCTTCAACTGGGGAATCGGTCTTTTATGGGGTTTCTGTTGAATCACTTTTGAGGGAACCTTGATAACTTTAGATTCTGTCAATACCGATACGTTGGAGTTGACATACCGTTCACGATCCAATTTAGGTTTCTTAGGAGTAGTCGGTATCTTTTTGCCACCATCATTGTCCATCTTTATTGATGTCACTGGGGTGAGTTCACTGTCCGCCTTTATTGATGTCACTTGGCTGAGTTCACTTATGGCTATTACAGACATACAGGATTCCACATGACGAACACGAACGTCCATGGTCATTGTATCTAATGTGATTTCACAAATGGGACATAATACTGAGGCAACGTTGTGATCTTGGTCTATCTCGTCCTTAACCTGTTGATGTTGGCTATTATCATCTTCTTCTGTCAAGTCTATGGTGTAAGATGTTTGGGGTCTTTTAAGCAAATCCAACACGTTGCCCTGACGTTTGGCTGACGTTTGGGACACTTTGGGTGGCATATGTGCATTGCCTAATAGTATGGGGGTAGTTGAGTGAGAGAAAAGAATAGCGTGAAAACTATTATCACCAGTTTATTACCGAGATACATCGAAACAATCACTTGAGCGAATCGCTAGACTAACGCTACAAGACTAACAGGTGGAATCAATACATACCGTCTAATATCATGGGTCTTTTAAGTATCATTCGGAAACAGAAGAAAAAGGACCAAGAGGTTCGAGTATTGGTGTTGGGATTAGATAACGCAGGTAAGACCACTATAGTGAAGAAGGCTCAAGACGAGGATACTGAAGGGGTTTCACCAACCATGGGGTTTCAGATCGATACGTTGGTGTACCATGAATATACGCTTAACATGTGGGACATTGGAGGACAAACCAGTCTTCGAGGATTTTGGGGGAACTACTTTGATCAAACAGATGTAGTGATTTGGGTGGTGGACGGAATGAGTCTTGAACGACTACGAGAATCTCACGATGAATTAATGAGTAAAGTGGTTATACAAGATCGATTAAAGGGTATACGACTTGCAGTTGTTGTTAATAAGATGGATGGTGTGGACACCAGTCAATGGGAAGAGGTTAGAGACACAGTAGTTTCAGTCTTAGGGTTAGAGCAAATTGATCATGAACTGTGGCACGTATTTCTTGTTAGTGGAAGAACAGGTTTAGGATTACCTTCATTACTTGAATGGGTCATCGAAGGCAACACATGATTCAGGCTTAACTAAAGTGGTACTTGTTACTCGACACGTCTCTTGGTTTAAGCCACATGAAAAGCTTAATTATATTCATTGCTTTATTTGTTCTAGGCAACACAATACGAACATATATCATGATGATGACGAAGATGATGTTACACTCGTTTCAGTGATAATTCCATTACGGTATGATGCAAGGCCGGCCTGGGCAACACTACTAGTAACCATATGCAACCACAAGCAACCACAAGCACAGCTAAGTACTGTTTCTGGTTTATGGTAGCATCCCCAGGACTGCATCGTGTGTTCCAGCCGTCTATTTTATCCATTACAAGGAATACAAGGAATCACAATCACGTTTGTGAAGAATCGTGATGGTGCGCGTACGCTTGTAATTTGCTTGATTGAGAAACCTTATTACCAGCATCGTCTTGATAAAGATGGAGTAAGAAATTCTTGATTAAAATTGGTCTTATCCAACTGGAACTTTATATATATTACAGACTTTATTTAATAGTATTATACATAGTCTAGTCTATCATATAGTATACTATACTATACTATACTATAGTATTATTATGGTATCCTCAGACTTGTTCACATCCGTCATCCTGACATTGGCCAAGTCGGAATCAGAGTACACCAATTCATTGGTGGAAATGATGGCCACTATCCAACCAACTAGAGGATGCTCACTTTCCCCAGTAGTCAGAGGGTTGGCCATGAAGAATAAGAAATTATCTAACTTAATACATGGTTACCGAATCGATAATAATGAACCAGATACCATTGATACTGTTGATAGTTTTAAAGTGTTTGTTAATAATTTTCTTTTATGGTTGGATTCAGATTATTTAACTCTATTGCACAATTATTCATCTGCTCTCTTCCAACTGGAGCAACCTTTGAACCTTCAATTGTTTGCTAAACCGATTCAGAATTGTGAACATTACATCAAATTCTTAGATTCTTGTGTCGACATTCTTAGAAACCCCTTTGTGGTGGAGACCATGTCTGAACGAAAGTCCCAGTTGACTCAGGCATTACAACAATTCAATTCGCAATTGGAATCCAAAGTTTTTAGTATGATAAGCTTTGAGAACGTCCAGTCTTATGGAGCGGCTTCCTCTTCCGCTATCGTTGACAAGGTTTCAAGTTTCTTCAGCTTGGACCACATTGTGGAAAGAAGTGGTAATGAGAAGTTCTATTTAACCCATGATAGAAGACAAGTAGCTTGTGAATTGGTTCTTTTGGATTTCATCAACACTAGACTGGAAAACTATAATGCTTTGGCCATCTTACAGATTCCAGCCAATGAAAATGAACCAAGATCGTTGCTCTATCCTCCATTCAGAGTAAACGAATTGTCTGCTTGTTTATCCAACTCCAAAATCATCCTTAAACCAATTGACTTTGTTTCAGTGTACGATTCTCCGTCTTTCAATGAAAATGTCTGTGAATTAATACTTGAATCCATAGAACCTAAAGCCTTAATTACTTGGTTCAAAAAGTTGTCTACCATCTTCCCAGTGGAAAGAAATTCTTCTCCAATACGAGAGAAGCTAATCAGCTCTGCTACTTCAAGTCCTGTGAAAATGTCTGGCTTGGGTATAAATCTCATGAGTGACTGCAACAACAGTGCCGTTGATGATGATGAGCTAAGTGAATTAGGTTCACCTTCTGTCATAAAGTCAAACAAATCGTTTGCTGATGAACAATCAACGTCTTCACCCCTTTCACAATTACAACAAAAGTTTGATAAAGGTGGACATAATAACAATTCCATTGCCGACTTACAACCTCCTATGATATTTTCACACGGACCTCGTTCAAACTCTTTTTCGGGTACTTCAATGCATTCAATAGATTCAACTCCAAGTGAACAGGATAGAGCAAATAATTTAATGGCCAAAACATTGTCCAACAACTCATTGTCTCACCTGGAATCAGTGATTCAATCAGTTAACAAGCTTTCCTTAGATACTGAGGATGTCTCATCGAAACACCACTCTGCTGTGGCTCCAATAGAATATGCTTCACCAGAAAGTCGAACTCATAATGATGCTGATGCCTTATCTCCCCCAAAAGTTCTCCATCAGCCATATTCTTCAACTAATAGACCACATTTTGCTTCAGTCCCAGATCTTAATATGAAGAAGCCTTCACTTTACAAGCTTAATGATGGTTCTGAAATTGATATTTCCAATTTTGGAAAGAGTTATATCCCATCATTTGCATCTCAAAGTATGGCAGATTTATCCAAACCTCCTATTAAACTGAATAACACAGAACTTTGTAAAAAGAAATCATTCTTCAGTTTATTTTCCAAAAAGTCCTACAAAGACACTTCAAAGAAAGCCAAACCAACAGCAGTTGAATCAAAGAAGCAGCAAATTCAACAGGTAAATAGAACTCCTTCACCAATTAAGAATGATAATGTTGCTGCCATAGATCCCTTGAGTGGCAAGGGTGCGTTCAGCTTACCATCTCCATTTGCAATTCCTAATTCTGATTCCATGTACTTTGTGAAATCAAGAGCTGGTTCAAGTGCTAGTTTAGCCAATGATTCAAGTTCTCCAACTGGAGTTGCCACTGATTTGAATATTTCTAAGGAATTAAAGGACCTTATTAATAATTCTGAAGATTATTATACTTCTCCACTGGAATCAAATATAAAGGTATCTCGTTGGAGATCCAAATCAGGTCAATGGGTCATGCTTGCAACTGATTCCAGCAAAATGTGGCTAAAAATCTCTGTTAATTATGCTTTGAACAAGAGTTGGATTATTGCTTTCAAAGAAACTTTGGAACTTGATCCACTAGAAGGTGAAAATGATGAAGATGGCCAATTAGTTGATAAGCCTGTTTTATTGTTGGAAATAGGTGATCTGACTATGTTAAGAAGATCAGGTGCACTTGATTTGCAAATTCAGACCCTTAATCCTATCATTAACGAGCGGATGCTGGTTATTATCAGAAGTAAAAGTGGATCATTTATAGAAGAGCTTCATTTGAAATTGAATGAATTGATCACTCAAATGTCAAACAAGATAAGATCTTCTGCTAACAGAAGTATGACTACTGCGTCACGGATATCATCTAAATCCACTTTGAATTCCATGGCTGTCGATGGCTTGACAAGCAATTCCACAACTTTGACCAGCATTAATTCCACTGTTTTCGACAAAGATACAAAGCTTAAGGCATTATCTCCATATAGAGAGAACACATCCTTACTGGTTGATCAAATAGATAACTTTGAAGTTATCAATAAGCCCAGAAACAATAAGCTTATCTTGTTAAATGAAATGCCTATCCGGTTACAGAAACAAATGGAATCATATGAAAGTATAAGTAATCCCTCTACATGGAAGATCATTTCAATGTATTCGTTGACAGTATATTTGATATCAGACATGGAGACCAACACTGACTACTACAATCTACAATTGAAAAACCTGTCTGGAGACGGTAAGCCAGACCTCAGTTGGTTGATTGAGTGTTCAAACATTTGGAACAGATTCCAACGTTTAGGGAAGGCTGGTTTATTGGTGAACTCTTCGGCCAATGAGTACTACATGTTGGAATGTAAGGGGAAGAAACAGTTTAAGACATTATTGGAGACATTCTAATAAACTCGATTCAATTACGCTAATATATTTTTATTTGTATAGAGATTGTATCTAATATTTTAAGTTAATATTCTTAGTAACAATTTTTCTTTGGTTATCAGCGGTAAAATCTTTTGCACCCATTTAAGTATTTTGTTGTTGTTCTTCTTCTACTACTTCTTCTTTATTATCAGTAATGAATCTTATTTTTTCTGTATTTACTATATTGTTAAGCGGTTACTTGACTCAGGCGTCTACCAGTCCACTTGTGGTTGTTGGTAACAAGTTCCATGATCTGAGTAACGGGAACCAATTCTTCTTCAAAGGTATTGCATATCAGGCTCAACGGTCCAGGAACGCTCCTTACGATAGAACCACTGAGACACCCTATATAGATAACTTGGCCAACGCTACTGTGTGTATGCGTGATTTGACTAATTTGAAGGAATTGGGCGTCAATATCATAAGGGTATATCAAATTGATCCCACCAAGAATCATGATTATTGTATGAAGGTGCTAAGTGAAGCCGGCGTTTATGTTATTGCTGATTTGGCCGAACCAAACATGTCAATTGATAGAAATAATCCATTTTGGGATGTGGATATCTTTGATAGATATAAAGTTGTGATTGATTCAATGCATAAATATGATAATGTTGCTGGATTTTTGGTTGGGAATGAAGTTGCAAATTCAAAACTCACAACGTCCTCGGCTCCGTTTGTTAAGGCCGCCGTTAGAGATACCAAGCAATACATCAAACAAAAGGGTTATAGACGTATTCCTATTGGATATGCTTCTAATGATGATGCAGAGATTAGAAACCATTTGGCAAACTATTTTGTTTGCACAGATGGTGAAGAAGTTGGTACAGCAGATTTCTATGGTATCAACATCTATGAATGGTGTGGCTATTCGTCCTATCAAACCTCAGGATATAGAGAAAGAACAGCCGAGTTCCAGAACTTCCCTGTTCCAATATTCTTTAGTGAGTTTGGCTGCAACACCGTTAGTCCCCGGCCTTTCACCGAAATAGAAGCTCTCTTATCTCCGCCTATGACGAAGGTCTTTTCGGGTGGAATTGCGTATGAATATTTTAACTATGAGAACAACTATGGTGTGGTCCAGGAAACAGGTACTGGTGATGTTGTTAAATTAACGGATTTTGAGTATCTAAAGAATAGATACGTCTCTATTGATCCCGAGGGAATTCATATTGAGTTGAGTCGTAATCAGACTACTAATGGTGGTGGAGATAACCATAATGCGTATTCACCCATTCAATGCTTTAGGTCTACTCCGTTCTGGAAAGTTTCAAGCTTAACTCCGCCAACTCCTAACTACAACAAATGTGAATGTCTTCAGGCAAGTTTCAGTTGCATCTTGAGTCCGTATACCACTTGCAACGAACAGGAACTTATTAGGGAAATTTGCACCGAAATCGATTGTGGTGAGATCGAAGTCGATGGTGCAAAGGGAGTCTACGGTAAGTTTTCTGATTGCAGTTTGAAGCAAAGAGCATCTCACGCTTTAAACTTGTACTACAACAAACACAATGAGGACCCTGAGAGGTGCGATTTCAATGGCAGAGCCATATTGATCACCAACAGTGATGAAAAGGATTTGGAATCCATACATGCACTGAATGGACTCAAGTGTCTGGAGATCCTAGGTGGTGATTCCCCCATATCTAATGTTCGCCATGAAGTTGCTGGCGGTAATAACAAGGTGGGTCAAGTGTCAGGTATAAATTCAAACCGATTTAACCAAACTACAAAGTTGATGCTTTCAGAAGGCAGCAGGTTACACCGAATGGCCCATCTCATACTTTTGGCTCAAGCTGCTAACTATATACATATTTAGAATAGATGTGATGTATTAAGTGAATAGTAGGTGTTGGTAGTGGTGAATCGGTTCCCATGTTTAATCCTTCTTAGGCCCCCATTTTAATCCTAAAAAGCCATCATTACCAGACATGGGGTTGATCACAGTCTTGGGCTTTGCAATCTTTGGAGGAATGATATACACTCTCTTTTGTTTAGCACTAGGATCATAAAGGTCCAATGCAATGTAAGCAAATTCTGTACTCCAGAATGAAGAGTCAATCTGTTCCAAGAGAACACTACCATGATGACCACTATCTGATTCCACATGGAATTTCATAATTAAGTATTCCTTACCATCCTTACCAATGTGTCTACTACTTTGAACTGGTCTGTTTCTGACCCATCTATCACCAGCAACCTCCCCGTATGCTTTAAGCCTGTCACCATTTTTAAAGTTCAATGCCTTCTGGGCTTCTTCGTTCTGTTCAACTAACTTCACAGCCTTGTTGAAAGTACGGGTGTCACCAGAGGGGAAGAAAAGCTCACTGGTGATCAAATAGAGCACAATCACTGCAACTCCTGCAGCTCCCAATACAAGAAGTGTTGATGCTGAAAACGTAATTGCCCGAGATATCTTACTCAAAATAGCCTTCCCCTTGGCGTTCTTATCTGAAGGTGTTGATGATGGAGGTGGTGGGGGTGGAGGTGCGGTTTTAGTAGAGTACCATTTGATAGATAAAGGTGAGACTGGTGTGGATCTCAATGATGAAGTTCTTGGAGTAAAATTCACATAAGTACGAGCCAACAATAAAGCAGTTGGCCGTATGAACGTATGTTGTCTTGTGCTGTGTTTCCACACAAGAGCATTCAAGCTTCCGATTGGTCTTAACATCTCTTGATAATAGAAGGATCAGTAGTTAAAATTCTACAGTCGAAAATTTTTTATAGTGAGAATCGAAGTACCCCACACATAATTTTACTATAACCAACTTCTGAAATCATATGATTAAACCCGATTTTAATGATTTAGTTGTGCACCATCTAAACTCCTATAGTGTCGCTTCTGGTAATGACTTGCTGTCCATAATCTAGTAAGATATGTGACATATATCATATTGAAGTCATGTTGGTTAATACAAAAAGTAAAAAAATAAATCCTAAGCTCTCGGCGGGACTCGAACCCGCAACCCTTACTGCCGGAAAGTAAAACCCTACCATTGGGCCACGAGGGCTTATACAACGGAGAAAAGCATAAATTAGACTATGTCGTCACATAAAGTATATTGGCTACTCAAGGAAGTTTCTTCATGAATATAAGTTCTTTATGTCCCTCATGATCTATGAGTAATATACCCCACCTATGATAGCTAATTCTATATATGTGAAGTAGTTCTTAGCAAATGAAGCTGAGTGACAAAAACTACTCGAGACATTAATTGGTTGACTATACTGCTATTGGAATAATTCAATGCAACCACTTAATAAGCATTGTGGTGAAAAGTTGGACACAACAAATGTCAAGCTTCAACCTATTTCGAGACTCAAATAACTAATACTAGCTTCCATAAAACACAGCGAAGTTAGAAACAAGATTCTTTTTGCTGTCAGCTTTTTATCAACAATATATATATTTCCAATATAAACTGTTGTAAAATATTTGTATTAATGAATCTTGACAATTGATATGTGATTAAGATTTGTGTTAACTTGAATTGAATTGAGTTGTAAGGAAGGAAGAAAGGAAGGAAAATCTTATAAACATATATATATCTATCATTTGTAGTCATAAGTTTGTAAGGATCGTTCGGCATTGATAAGCCAAGCTAAGTAATAGTCTAGGACTAAGTGTATTGGCAATCACTTATATGCAGAGGTTTTGCAACAACAGGTGCGGCCACATAACAACCACGTTATCGTAATGAGTGCAATTTATTGTGCATTGCCCTTTTGAAACTTATAGCCGAAACTGCCACCCTTTACTAAATTATTTGTACATAAAATACACTTACTTCATATCGAAACTATTTTCAAAACTAAAATAGGCAGAAGGAGAACTCCAATGAGCACTTACATCCAATTACTAGGTTAATACTCGCGATTACACATATTGGCATATGAAGCCTAAGCCATCACTGAGATAAAATGGACTCGACTAGTATTTGAAGGTATACTGTTCACTTAGTAGGTAAGTGCCAATTCATTGAGTCGTAAGCTGCCGGAGATCACTCTACTCAATTGGGTGTTGGTACCAAAATCATGGAACCCAATCTGATTTGAGAGTAAGTGTTTGAGATAGAGAATTGATAAGCAAAACAGTGGTACTTAGAATTTACCGACTTTTTAATACATGGATATTAACGGGACTACTTTTTGCATACTGTGAAATAATAATTAGTCCTCAATTTTGTCAAGATTGCGGCTAATCTGTGCCTATTGCATTAGGATGTACAATTTTGAGATTTTCATCACTAAACATAGAAAACTGGATATGCGACTGAAGCATTTATTTTCAAATTAAACCTATTCAAAAAACAGTCGCTTATTCGTAACACCTTCAGGAGGATGAAAAGTGCCATGAAAAAAGTAAAGTTCTTTATTTTGACGGGACTTTAGATTAACATTTTGCACGTTAAGAACTCATTGCACATCAGGGTTACATAAGTAATTGCTCGTGCGCATTATACGACCTAGCTTAAATTTGCTTATAAAAGATTTCTTTAATCCCTCATACTACGACAATAAATCATAGACTTCAGATCCAAGTAGGTCAAATAATTAAAGATGAAAAGAATTCCATGGGTTCCAATAGGTCAACTTCAGTTAGAATTCATCGAATTAACGGTATTACAAGACTCAACTGATCGTAATCGCACACTTATTTAATTTAACCCAACAAGAATATCTTTCAGTGAGCTCTTAATAGAACGAGCAATAAATGCACAGGTTTTGGCGCAATTTTGGGGGTGTCAAGGTCAATTATGTCATATGTGAAACTGTGGAGCAACGGCGCCATTTACAAGACTACGGAAAAAGGAGAACTTTTAAAAATTCCGTTTAAGGTCCCCGGACATTCCTGATAAGCCAGTAACTATCAACTTATTCACTAGCGTTTGAAGCACGCCACCGGAAAACTTTAGGAAGAACAAGAAGAGGAGAAGATTTAAAGGCGTTTGATAAGAATCAGAGTACAATAATGGGCTACTATCGTGAAACCAATATTTGAGATGGGCTTAAGTCTAATTTTACTTCATACACTAATCGTAAACGAGTATACCCCACTATCTAAAGGACTCATTTAAAATGATCTAGTTCAAAACATAGTTTTGTAAATCAAACGTTCGATTAAACTACTAGTAAAAGTACATAGACTGCTTTATTGCTTACAAATCCTTCTCCGTGATTGGAGGTTAGCCATCGCAGCTAATTTTCAGAGGTTACTCCAGATTGTAGGAGGAATAATTATGCTTAAACCGTAGAGGTTGTCAAACTTGTATTATTCCATGCTATTGTTTCTATATGGAGGTATGGAAATCTGGTGGGGGACATAGAAGTTTATTGTATGCGACATGTTCCATAATTATTTTTAACAAGGACCTTCATGCGCACCCAAATGTGTGGGGTTAAACTTCGGAAGAAGTTAGTTTATTCCGATTCAATCCTGCTTCTCCGTTAGCGAGCGAATGAATATCTTACGATTACCAATTATGTATACGTAAACTCATGAATACCATTAGCTGTAAGTAATAATAGTTTTCGCACTCATTAAAGAATATTGTTTGACATACACTTTGACATGCCGTCAAGCTTTGTCGTTTAGTCTTGGCCCGGGTTGATCAGATATCTCCTCCCCCAACGGTTTGCACAGAACCCCAAAATCTTAAAGAGGGGCTCTTTGCGTCAAGATACGGCTCCATTATTCGCTTCATACAGGCTACAGGCTTGCGTCGTACTTAACCATCGCCCCAAAAAAATTTGTAGGTGTTGGTGGTGCAATATGCAGGCACCAGCGCTTAGCTGCGAAACCTAACGAATACTCAATTCTAAAAGCCATGTATCTAAAAGCATTCGAAGCAGGGAAATTAAAGGCCACTTTGTGGGGCAGTTAAACTTAAGCAAGTCCCCCCAAATATGTAGGTAGTATCTACCCCGCTATCGGTGTCCGATCGGCACCGAACTCATCGCTAAATTGCGCTATAGTGTTGAAGGTGAGACGACATAGAAGCAAATTGATTTCAATTAAGGAGGAAGTATGATCATTGTAAGTTGAAACCTTCACCTTAAATGGTTTAAAAGAAAAATTCCGGGATACTGATGTATATAAGATTCTTAAAGTGTCCTTCTTCATTACCTTAATTAGTCCATTTGTTATCATTATCAAAATATATAAAGATATAGTAGAAAAAATGCCTATGGCCAAGCCAGCTGCAAAGTTCAGATGGAGAGTGGTGGATGAACACTCTCCCAAAGAGATCTATAATTATACTTTATTTTTGTCAGTGTTTGTTTTCGGTGTTCTTGGTGCAGCCAGAGGAATGGATGAAGGTACTATTGCAGGTTCAATCTACCAACCATCATTCAAGCAAAGATTTGGGCTTGCTGACAAAACTAAATCCGCATCATGGTTGGCTAACAGAAAGTCTAACATTACGTCCATGGTTCAAATTGGTTCAGTTGCAGGTTCACTAATTGCCAGTTACTTGGTTGATAAAATTGGAAGAAAAAGATCTCTTCAATCATTATGCATTATCTGGGTTGTTGGTGTGATAATTCAAATCACTTCAAAAGATGTTGGTCAATTATATGCGGGTAGATTCATTGAAGGTTTGGCTGTTGGCCAAACAACTACCGTGGGTCCAAGTTACCTTTCCGAAGTTGCCCCACCAGCTTATAGAGGTATGTTCAATTGTATTTTCTCTGGTGCAGTCTATTTTGGGATTTTTATTGGTTACTTTGCAAATTACGGTACTGCTCTTCATATTCCTCTGGGAGAGAAGCAATGGATTATTCCTACTTCTATGAAGATTGTTATGGCTGGTTTGATTTTCATTATGTCCTTGACCTGGTGTATTGAATCTCCAAGATGGTTATTGAAGGTTGGAAAGCAAGAAAAGGCCATTCAAAACTTGTGTAAGTTGAGACACTTGGAAGTTGATCATCCTTATATTATTTCCGAACTTTCTGATATCCAAACCGCTATTGCTCAAGAAAAGGCTGCCGTTGAACATTATACCTTTGCTATGAAGTGGAGAGATTTATTGTTTGTGAGATCTGTTAGATACAGATTTTTGATTATTGGTTGTTTATCCCAAATTTTGGGTCAATGGTCAGGTGCCAATGCCGTTACTATTTACGCTACATCATTGTTTCAAACGGTTGGAATTAAAGGCATTGATGTCCTTAAAATGACCGCTATTTTGGGTGTTGTTAAGTTGGTAGGTGCATACTTTGCAGCTTTCTTTTTGATTGATTTCTTAGGAAGAAGAAGATCTCTTTATCTGGGTATCATTCTTCAAGCTGTTTGCCTTTTGTACTATGCTATCTTCTTGACTATTGTTCCAGCTGCAGAATTGGCAAAGGGTAGTTTAACCAAATCTCAACATCGTGCATCCCAAGGTGCAATTGCTGCTATTTATCTTTCCGGTGTTGGCTGGACTATGGGATTCAATTCTGTTCAATACTTGTTGGGTGCTGAAGTTATGCCATTAAAACTTAGATCATTTGCTCAATCGATTATTATGGTTTTGCACTTTGCCAATCAATACGGTAATTCAAAGGCTTTACCAAATATGATGATTGCTATGAAATCTTACGGTGCTTTCTACTTTTTCGTTGCGGTCTTATGTGTAGCCTTGTTTTGGTGTTGGTTCTTCATTCCTGAAGTCAGTGGTAGATCTTTGGAATCTATGGAAGAAGTCTTCAACTTACCATGGTACCTCGTTGGTAGAAAGGGTGCAATCATGTGTCCAGATTTATCTCAAGTTAATCATATTGCACCTCAAGTAACTCATCAAACACTTGAAAAGGTTGAGGAAATCTACATTGAAAACGTTGCTGCGGCAGAGGAAGCTGCTCAGAATGCAAGTGCAAGTGATGATGATGACGACGATGAGGAAAAGAAGGAGCAAGAACAAAGACAAAACGCAGGAAATTTGGCTTGAGTTGCTCCTTGATAATGATTTACGATTTACGTTGCTGGTTGAAATGTAATAATTATATTTTCTATGTTTTAAGTAATACAAAATTATGATGATTAAAGTTTAAATGAGAGGGAGGCAGATTAACCCTCATATATGGGGTCACATTATAAAACAGTATCTTGATTAGCTTGAATAAAGAACATAGAATAAATGGTTTTATATCTTACATGGGACATATAATAATTCAAACTTAATCAACAGAAACATACAGTTAATAATCAATAAATATGATATTCTTGTTCTATAATCATGTAATGTTACCCGCATATCACAAGGAGACAATTGCCTTACTGCCAACAATAACATCATGCAATTATACATTAATGACAAACAAAAGAATACAGCTGAAATAGAGCTTACTATACTAGAGTGTTGAAGAATAACTTGTCTTTAAAGCACTTATTCAATTACCCGTTGAGCCTATTATCATAGATCCCGTTAATTACTATTCAATGACTTAGGGCTCCAGACCTAAACAATCACGTGGAGTGACTGCGTAGAAGCCTATCTTCTTTTTCTACAACAAAACAAAACTTCTAAGCTACTACACATCGGACAATTGTTCGCAAATTGTGGCCCGGTGCGACTTTGGCTTGCGGGTAAGGAAATTCTCAGGCAAAGAAACAGGAGTGCCACAACCAAAGAGTAGATACTGCACATTACCATCTTCTCTTCGAGCCACCAAATTTTCACTGAAACTTTTCGTTGCCTTAAGTGAAAACTTTTGCTCAAACCGTTTTATACGCTTTTTGAAAGAGAGGTATCTACCGTCTACAGCATAATAATCGTTCACAATGGCTAAGATCAGCAAAGGTATGCAATAGAACAGTTAAACAACAGAGATGAAACACAAGATGAAACATAAATATGAACAAGTCCAAACGAAGGGAAGCTATCGATGATGAAAAATAGTGCTAAAAGAGGAAGACCAAGGAAATCAAAAACCAGAATATTGAAAGATGACAGTAAGAAGATAAGCATATAATGCCATCGATAATGTATTTTTAAAAACGTCATCTAATCTAATGGAGAATTAGTGATCATGAAGATAAAGAGATGAGTTGATGCCATAAATTTGTTTTCCATCATTATTAAAACAGACATTGTTTTAGCTAGAAGTCTTCATAGTTGTTAAATGTTTCCGTTTCCAATCGATGTTTTTTCTTCATTTTTGAATCCATGTTACTAACTAACTCTATAGACGTTTCTTCTTCTCGTTCTAAGTCGAGAAAGGCTCACTTCACTGCCTCTTCTATTGAAAAGAGAGCTTTGATGTCTGCTTCTTTGTCCAAGGAGTTGAGAGCTCAATACGGTATCAAGTCCTTGCCTATCAGAAAGGAAGACCAAGTTTTGGTTGTCAGAGGTTCCAAGAAGGGTTCCGAAGGTAAGATCAACTCTGTCTACAGATTGAAGTTCGCTGTCCAAGTTGAAAAGTTGCAAAAGGAAAAGTCCAACGGTTCTTCCATCCCAATCAACATTCACCCATCTAAGGTTGTCATCACCAAGTTGTTCTTGGACAAGGACAGAAAGGCCTTGATTGAAAGAAAGGGTGGTAAGCTCGAGTAAACTATTTCATATTCTATATCTGTCTAATATGAATGTATTTTAATGGTTGCGTATATTTGCATGTAGCATTCCTTAAGTCAAGTTAATCTCTATACTAAGTATATTTGCTGTAGTGATGATTTTATTACGTTAGTATCCAGGTTTTAACCCGTCTACCCCCGCGCAAAGTCGTGCACAGACTCATAGTTTTCGTGATGGTATTATAAGATATGGGGTAGCTGGGGGGAGCACCTAATTGGATCAAAAAAGCAAGGAATCGAATTAACAACGTTGTTTTTAAAGCCGAGACCACTACAAAGTCTTCTTGTATTTGGGAAGAAAACTTCTGTAAGTGACAGGTATACGAAGTTACTTACCCGGTGGTATCCCGCACTTTATACCGCCACATAGTACGGCACGCACACTCACACTCTATTTGTGCCCTTACGACTTTGTTGCTCAATACAGCTTAGGCACTACATATTCCTCTATTGACTGACTACTTTTGATATGTCAGCTATCGATTCCGATCCAGAACAGGCTGAAATTGAGCTTGTGAATGGCTTTGGTGCAGATTCGTTGGAGTCTACCCCCGTTCCTCATGGAAGAAGAACGACCAAAAGATGGTCCTTCCACAACCATGGTAAACCTGTATTATTTGATAAATCAGGTGGAAATACCAAGAGAAGATTAAGTGATATTGATATGGTCCATAAAGAGATTGATCCTTTCCATATTAGCCCAGCCCAATTATATTCAACCGAGTCCGGAAGATTGTTCCATGCTGGTAAGATTTGTATAGTATTATGTGGACTTCCAGGAAGAGGTAAAACTCATTTGGCTGTATCCTTAACTCGTTATTTACGGTGGTTAGGAGTTAAAACACATTCCTTTCATTTGGGTAATTATAGAAGGGCCAAAGCAGAAGCAGATTTGGATTTTGAGTTATTCATGCCCAGAGTTGAAGATAATGCCTTTAGACAAAACATTGTAGGTGAATGCATTGATGACATCTTACACTTTTTTGAGAATGATAAGGGTCAAGTTGCAATTTATGATGCTGTTAATGCATTACCTGAACATCGATTGGAATTGAATGATAAGTTTGCTCAATTAAATATCCAAGCTTTATTCATTGAAAGTTTGGTCACTGAAGATCAAATTATTTCAAAGAATGTTGAACAAGCAGCACGGTCTTCACCAGATTATAAGAACTGGGATTATGCCAAAGCTTATAAGGATTATAGTGATCGGATTAAAGTATTAACACCATATTATTTGGAAATGGGCGATTTAGAAACGAAATTGAGCTACATTAAGTTTATTAATTTTGGTGAACGGATAGAATTACATAATTCCAATTATGGATACTTGATTCAAAAAGTTGTGTTTTATTTGATGAATTCTAGAATCAAATCTGGGTCAGTTTTCTTTGCCCGGTGCTATAAGAATGACTTGGACTTTTCATTTGATCCTCCATTGGATTCTGATGGTGATGTATATGCAAAGAATTTGACGGAAACAATTTTACGTTATATGAAAAAGCAAGGGAAACCCTTGTCATTAGTAAGTGATCGTAAGGACAAAGAAGCGTTGTCATTAGATCAACGTCATCCTACAGCTGGGGTTGACGGTACAAGTCACGACTCCTTTGTTGTATGGACTTCAGTGAAACAACGTACAATACAAGCCACCAAATACTTGAGTCAATATACTACCAACATCAGACATAGGATTCAATTGGCACAAAAGAATCCTGGTGTTGCCTTTGGAATGACCGAGGAAGAAATTAAAAAGGAGTTCCCCACCGATTATGAAAACTTTGTAAAGGATCCATACCATCATCGGTTTTCAAGAGCTGAATCTTACCATGATTTAGCCATTAAAATTGAACCTTTGATTTTGGAAATGGAACGTATGAGTGGAGACATTCTTATTATTGCAGATGAGACTGTACTTCGGGTATTCTATGGATATTTAATGTCTTGTAACTGCTACGACATTCCATCTTTGAACTTTGCAACCGATGAAATCATTGAGATTAAATTCAATGCTTACTATAATTCAGCTAAGGTTATTCCTATTAAAGACTTTAGCTCTTCAGCCAACGCTCTGGCTCTGGTATCACCTGAGTCGTTGTAAGGGGGATTCACTATTTATATACAAACTGCAGTATTTATTCTTGACTATCTCTGTGCGTAGTGTGTAGTGTGTACGTTTCATTGTAGTAGACTATGTGAGATCATAAAAGTGAGGGCAGTTAAAGTGAGATCGAATTTCTCACGCAACCATTTCCTACCATTACTTACCATTAACAGTTGGGAAGCCACGCATAGTAATGATAGACTTAGTACCGACAGCTATCTACAAGTATAAAGAGGAGACAGTAGAGTTAATTCCTGGTGAGGGACCTCATTCCACTGATGGGTCAACACAACAAATATCAGAGGTGGTGACTAACGCTGGAGGTATTGATAGAGATAAGCCAAGCGAACACAATGATACATCCTTAGGACATTTAAGAGCTAGATTGACTACTTTACATGATGAGATCAACATATTCTTGACATCCAGAATGAAAGGAGGGAATAGTGGTGATAGTGACGATGTTGAACGTAGAGTATTAGATGGTGATGATGATGATAATGAATCAGATGAAGTATAATTTATGTATTTATCAAACTTATATTATATAGTAGCATTATAGCTATTTACACCTTTCCAACTAGTTGTCTCATGTTATCAGCAGTCTTCTCTACTGTGGTCTCCAAATATACCTTCTTCTTCCCTAACCCACTCTTTGTTTCCTTGAATTGACTTTCATCAGCATCCATTTCCTTCAAGTAGCTTCCCGTAGGACGTCCAACAAACGCTTTACCAATTCCCTGCCATACAGTTTCATCTTTCTCACAATGTCTGGAGATTTGCTTTCTGGTATGCTCTATAAGTTTGAGATTGGTATCCACTCTGCCTAATTGGAGGTTGACAATAGACAACTCAGCTTGACTTTTATTCAACTGGTTGTCCATTTCCATCAATAGCTTTTGCATTGCCTTGTCCATGGTGATTATCACTGCAGTGGTGCTAACTATACTGCAAGGTACAAATATGTTCTTGAACTAGAATAATTAATTTTTCGCATGAAATGTAAGTGTTATTCTTCTACTCTTATTCTTCTTGTGCTTCTTGAACTTAGTGCTGACGATGCTTAGTGGTTTGAGAACAGTCTACAGACGGCCAGTTGTGGTCCGCAGCGGGTTGCTTATTTTGAAGGCAACCGCTACTACCCTGACTATACCCGTGGAACATAGTTTTGGTGATAAAACCATTGAGAACAATGAACAAACTGAGAGCAACAGGTTGTCGAAAACCATGACAAAGTTTTGGGAAAAGGTTGGAGTTAACCATAGTAAGGAAAAGGGTCATTATGAAATTCAATTGGATGGGAAAACATTAAAGACCCCAATGGGCCATCCGCTTTCCGTTCCTAGTAACCAAAAACAATTGGCTTATTTATTGGCTCATGAATGGGCCAATTTACCTGATTTGAAGGTGAAGACTCATCAGTTACCCCTTACTTCCTTAGCTGCTAGAACGGTTGACCTTAAACATAGTGCAGCAGATGCCGCTAATGGATCGGAAGAAGCTGCTGCCAAAATAGGTACTCCAGATGATATTAGATACAATTTACTCAGATATTTGGATACAGACACTTGTTTAATCATGGCTGCTAATGATGAATATAGTGGCAAACTCCGAAAGAAACAAGACGACTTATATTTACCATTGAAAAAGGAATTTGAAGATTTCTTTACTGAATATGCCAAAAGCCATTCTGACGAATTATTAGTACCTGAAGGTGGTGTGACATTGGAGCATCTTGATTGTGAAACTGATGGGCTTCGGGGTAATCAGCAAAGTCTTGCGACTCAAGCCATTGTATTACATTGGTTGAAATCCTTACCTTTAGCTCATTTGGTTGCACTTGAAAGAGCCGTTCTTACCTCCAAATCTTTTTTGGCTGGTGCTTCATTATTACGGTCTTCATGTTGTGATCCAACACTCTTGAAGGAACTTTACCAATTCAACAAAAACAGTCCAGAAGATTATTTCCATCGTACCGTGAGAGAGATTGTTGAAATGGCCAATTTGGAGACCATTTTCCAAACGGAAGAATGGGGTGAAGTGGAGGACACTCATGATGTAGATGCTGAAGATTGGTTAAGAAATCTTACTGCTGCTACTCTTATAACGAAATAACTGTATATAGACGGAACAAGATATAGACTTGTACTTTACAGCGTAATGGATGGTACAACAGTATGTACAAATGCATAGCATGTGCTGGCTGTACTCATTATTTGCTTAGTATGTACTCACTGTACTCAGTATACAATGTGTATGTACCCATTGTATACTACCTCCATCGTTATCATCACCAATCCTTTGTATACGTTTGCACAAGTGCGAAGCCACGAAAACATAAACTCCAATCCTGACCGTGTTCCATACAACCACCGGTATCCCTTTATTAATCTAACTACAGGACTACAAAATACCATCAACACCCTGCCTCTCTGCTATTAGTTGGAATAAGTCTGGGTCACATATACTGAAGCTTGAGTTAGTTCCCATATATATTCTTACCCCATTCCTTTAAAGCGTGCGTTGACGCGTTCACCAACCATGGAGGAGCCGAAACCGGAACCTGATGTCCCGATAAATACAAATGTCCCACGAAGGGTCAAAGTATACCTATTACAAGGAGATGATTGGCTAGATAACGGAACTGGCTATTGTTTTGGAGAAGTGGAACCAGAATCTAATCGACCCTATTTCATTGTAAGACATGAATTGGACCATGACGATATCATTCTTAAACTGTATTTGGAAGGAACAACTCAATATCAACGACAGCAAGAAAGCTTGATTGTATGGACAGATCATTCAGGAAAGGATTTAGCTCTTTCCTTCCAAGAGATTGAAGGTTGTGCTGATGTATGTGATTTCATAGTTAGAGCCCAACATTCAAAGCTTTCAGCAAATATTTCCTTATATTATGTGATTCCAGGTTCAGTAGATGGGGATGACATAACAGAATTGATTGCTGGCCCAATAAAATACCCTGAACTACCAACAATGTCAAATTTGGAAGAATGTTTAGATCTTATAAGGTCCGCTTCATCATCCCAATACGCCCGGAATTGCATTGTCAAATATCTTTTAGAGCAAGATTATTTTGATAAATTGGTTGGAATATTCAATCAATCGGAGTCGTCTCGTAAGATCACTAATTTGTTTCTATTGAATGAAATTGTTAGATCGCTATTCCAATATGGTGATCCCATTTTGGTAGAATCATTTGTGAGTCGAATTGATCGAATATACGGGATGGCTGGAATCTTGGAATACGATGCCGAAACACCGCATATGAAAACTTGCTACAGAGATCTTCTTGATAGGAAACTGTTCAAATTTGTCATCCCCATAGATGATGTAGAAATGTTCAAGAAGGACTTTTATCTCACCTTTATCAAAGATGTGGTCTTATCAAGATTCTTGGAAGATCAAGCATTCCACATTATCCAATCATTAATTTATACCAATCAAGTCAACATCATAGAGTACTTGGCCAAATCTGAACTAGTTAAGTACTTGATGAGTATGTATCAGGTACTGGACGGCTATACTAATGATGATGGTGTTCATGTTGAAACAAAACGTGATGGAATAAGAATGCTTCATCAATACGTACTCATAGCTAAATCACTACAGGGGAAACAAAGAATAGCTTTTTTTTCAGCATTAATCAAAGGAGGACTCTTTGATATGATAAATTTTGCATTGAATGATGATTTAAGTGAAATACGAATATTGGGAACAGAATTAATTGTGGTTATAATAGAACTGGATGTGTCCTTAGTTAATACTTTACATCACCCGGGTGAAGAAAGCGGTGACTTAATAATAGATGATGGGAATTGCAAGGAAATTGAAGAACCTGACCCAAACATACCCCGATGTAAGGGTGTTAATTTAAGGTTATCAGATGATATGACCTTGATTAAGATTTTTACCAAATTAATGAAACGAGATCAAAATCCAGGATTGAAAATCCAAGTTTTTGAAGCCCTAAGGATTCTTCTAGATCCTGAAACAGTTCAAGCACCTCTGTGGTGTGATTCTGAAAGATCTAATGATGATATTGTTACCGGAATTTTAAATGGGAAAGATGATACTGAAGAAGTCAACCATGGTGGTGTGAATACCAGCAATTATTTCAAGGCATTTTATGAACAGGTGGCACCTGAATTGTTTGAGAGTTTGATAAAACTCTCACAATCTAACGATTTAAGTCCAAGATTATTTCAAGATCATTTGCTTTTGCAACAGTTATGTGATTTGATAGTTTATTGCTGTGGTGAACATGATACACTTTTATCACGTCCATTCTTTTTGGTCAATGATATTGTACTTGGAGTTTCAAAGATTTTGATCAGCAAATGCAAGACAAGTTTGAAGTTGAGTGCAGTTAGGTGTATTCGATGTCTTGTGCTTTTGAATGATGACTTGTATTGTCAATATATCATCACCAAACCAGTGCTACACAACTTTTTCATATTCTTTCAAGAGGTGGTTCATCGAAACAACTTGGCCAATTCTTCATGTCTTGATTTCCTTGACACCATTGTCAAGAACTTTGATCCTTCCACAACTGCCCAAGCCAGTAAATACAACTACCATGCATTGGCACATTATATTTACCAGAATTATCATGAACTTTGTGAGACCGAGATCAGCTATGTTTCGACTGGCAAGACATTGATTCGGTTAGTTGAAGAAGCAAACTTTGTCCATAAGCAAGGTAACGACGAGCATGCACATATGGAAGATGACTCCTGTGACGATGATTCGGCTGATATGGAAGAAGAAGAAGAAGAAGAAGAAGAAGCAGAAAAAGAAGAAGAAGAGGAAGAAAAAGAAGAAGAAGAAGAAGAAGAAGAAGAAGAAGAAGTAGAAGCAGATGCAGAAGCAGATGCAGAAGGAGAAGAATTGGCTCAAGACACAATTAAAGTTTCAACACCTGGGAACTTACAACAAGAGAACGGAGGACCTCTCGACAGAAACAAGGAACAGGAACTGCCAAGGGTCACAATCCATTCAAGTAAGAAAATAAACTCTAACCATGCGCAACAACAACTACAGGCACTTAAAGCAAAACATATACTTGATGTTCCCATCTCTCTGGCTACAACATCCAACGGCACCACAACTTCATAGTGTGCCACACTTTTAATAACGAGCAACTTATTTATACGGCTTCATGTAATAATAACATCAATACAACCATTGTAATATGATCTACCCTCGTGATGAATGTAATCCAAAACGGGCACCTTTCCATATAAAGAGTGCACACGCTATTTCTCACTTTCTCAATTCTACTATGGCCATCATCTCCGTCTCCCTATGAGCTTAGTCCGACCAGTAACAATGTATGAGCTCACAATTAGGGAAAAGATAGATCTTATCACTGGTGGTGGGCTTTCCTTGTGCTAGCAATTGGTACTGTGTGGCGCTGATGCCAATTGTTTTAGGTCGGAACTCAAAGGTAGCTACTGCTTCTATTGAAGAGCTCTGAAAAATTATTCAAGACATAAGCATACTAAGTTATTAGGGAATTGATTTGCGAGATAAGACCAATGCGGCACTTGGAGAAGTTGGTTGTATTGATTATGTGATTGGTGGGAGTGCGGGTAACTTCCCAGTAGATTATCACCACATATCAGGTGACGGTTTCCGAACAGTTATTGATGTAGATACAAGGGCAATGGTTAATATGGCGACAAGCTGTTTGTCTCAATTGATAGTGAATAAAGGTTGTGCTTTTGAGTCCTTTGGCACATCGATTTGAGCTTCCCTTCACTACACACAGTATTCGGCAAATGGAAGACTTTAAAGATAAAATTTCATCAAGAGAAGTTAATTCAATATTCAAGAGCAATACATGATGATAATGAGCTTGAACTCTTAATTTCAGCGCTGAAATCTAACGTCACAACATTTTCTGAAACAATGGCTAGATATCCAATTAAACTAGCTGAAACATCAAAGGCTCTGAAGGTTTAAGTTGCCAATGAAAGGAACACTTTGGCGTCTATTAAGTACCTGCTATTGTTCCTCAGTGGCTGCAAAAGTTTGATACAAGGGAAACCACAAGAACCTTTGACCTCAGCGTTATCTGATCAGTCTCCGAAATTTGATACAATCTTTAACTAAGGTTTGCCTAAGCTAGGTTAACCTAAGCCTTATATGATAACATGAAATATCGTTAAAGATGTAATAGACTTTCTGCAGCACCTCTATACACTTTTCTTTCTACGGAGCTACCATTTGAGTCCGCACGAGCATAATATAAACTGCTTGTTTGGAAGGGCCACACTCTTATCGAGCTAAACAAAGACAAAGACACTTCTTCCATCTATCTTGGTCATCAACTCTTTATTGCAGCATGTCATTGGACCCCGAAGTTCGTAGAAAGCTTTTAGCTGCACAGAAGGTTGGCGGTAATAAGAAATGCATTGATTGTGGAGCAGCCAATCCTCAATGGTGTCTGCCTAAGTTTGGAATTTTCATTTGCCTTGAATGTGCTGGGATTCACCGTGGACTTGGGGTTCATATATCATTTGTTAGAAGTATTACTATGGATCTGTTTAAGCCCGATGAAGTATTGAAGTTGGAACGTGGTGGGAATGATCGGTTAAAGAGTTATTTTGAAGAGCATGGTGTTGATATGTCACTTCCTGCAAGACTTAAGTATGATAATTATGTTGCTGAAGATTATAAGCAGCTTATGGTTTGTGAAATTGAAGGAAGGGAGTTTGTTCCTGAAGATCATACTGGTCAAAAGTTACCTACAATTGGTGATGAGAATGTTCATTCTAATACTCCTTCTAGCTCTGGTACTGGAACTCCAACCACTATGCAATCATTTGGACTGAATCAACAAGATCCTTTACAATCTCGTCGTAGCACGGGAATCAACAGTCAACAAAAGGCTAAAAGTGAAGCCTATTTCGCTGAATTGGGTAACTTGAATGACCTGAGACCTGAACACTTGCCTCCATCTCAAGGAGGGAAATATGCTGGATTTGGTAATACACCCGTACCTCAAAAGGCCACTAGTGGAAGTGGGGGAGGTGGGTCTCTTAATGATCTTAGTGTGAACAATTTGCAAAGTGATCCTTGGGGAACCATCTCTAAAGGTTGGGGATTGTTTTCTTCTACTGTGGCTAAGTCCGTCAGTGAGGTCAATGAATCTGTGATTAAACCAGCTGTCAGCAAGATTCAAGAAGGTGACGTTGGCGTTGAAGCCAAGAAGGCTATGGCTCAGTTTGGACAAAAGATGCAACAAACAGGGAAATATGGCCAAGAAACCTTCCAGTCATTTACTAAAGATATGCAAGAGAATGGGTTAAGTAATTCCAAGTTCACTCTGTTGTTTGATGGGGGAAAGAAACCAGTCCAACCTGCTTTTGGAATTGAGAAACCTCTGCACAGGACTGATTTACAAGGTTTTAGTCTGCTGAATACTGAACTCGATAAGGCTATTCCTACTAAAGTTGTTCCTAATAGAACAACACCTGTTGCAAAGTCCACTTATCAACCCAAGAATATTTCTGAAAGTAAAGGTTTACTTGATGAAGATGATGGATGGGATGATTTTTAGTCGTAGTATACTTCGAATACGTGTATACGTTTATATCGTTGAATGATACATTTTAAAGAGCACTCTATAACATTTTTATTCTATATACCTTTACTCTTGCTTTGCTTTACCTCTAAGTGCTTCGTACTCATCGTACTCTTCTTTAAAGGTACGATAGTTGTGGTAATACAGGTCGCGCACGTACCAGAAACGAATCAAGGGCCACAGAAGAACCCAATCTATGAGCCCCAAGTCACGTGCCGCTTCAGTGATTGTAAAGTAGCCCAAACCAAGGACCAGTCCTAGTGACACTCCAACTATTACTTGTTCAATCGTATGATATAAGAGATACACTCTTGAGAACGCCACGGCACTTGCCATGGAAAACATCAAAACACACCCGAATATCTTCCATTGGCCCAGAAGACGTGGAACTCGATAGATGATAAGCAATGATGTGTACACCGATAGAAAGCCCATGAATTGCGAATGGGCCAGAGGCATCCCATATGTTAACCCCGAGTTAGCTCCGAAATCCTTATGGAAATCAGGTCTAGGCTGTCTAACAATCTCCTTGATGATCTTATTGGCCACTTCACCCATTAAATGACCTCCTACCATTATCACTGGTTGTATCTCTCTGGTAATGAGAAACCACAGAGTGTAGAACACCATCACGTAGACGGGTAAGAGGGACAAGTGAACACATGCAACAGAAACGAGATCTTGAGGATCATAAAGAATGTACGTATCATCAAAAGGTACAGGGGCGTATTCTGTCATATTCAGGACAACGAAGGAAGAAACGGATTGTGTGTTCGACTGTAGTATAATTGAATTGAAGTCTTCGCAGTGCGGTTCATTCGCGTATGGAACATTTTTCCACTGCAGTAGCATTTCATTCGAGTTAAACGGAGTACTTAAAACGCTTTTAACAATTACTCGACCTGACATTACGCTCCCTAGCGTTACGCTACGCTACGTCACGTTAAAATACAGCATATCACATCACATTACTAGATGTAGTCTGATCTTTATTAGTTTGGAGTGCACGGCTGCGAAATCGTTCCGTGTTGCGCTCCGGGCATGTATTAAGTCTCTGGTAGAGAAAGAGAGGATTGAGAAACCGTGGCATAAATGGTAGCAAAGAGTTAATTAGAGTAAATTGAACTATATATAGAGAAGAGAGAGAGGGTAGTAACCAGTGCAACACATATAAAATATCTATAAAGAAATTGCCAAGAAGAATGCAGGTGTCTATATATACGCCATTTGTAAAACGACATATAAAAATCACCAATTAGACATAAAATGTCAAAAGAAAAGAAGAATATCAAAGAGCCGTTTCAATAGTTGAAACTCCTTACCTAGCGACAGGACCCAACTATTAGAATTTTAGAAATGCACGGCCAATTTCTAGTTTAAACTAGAAGCTCGGCATCATGAAAATACGATTCTTTTTCAACCGTACTTATCAGGAATAAAATGGAGTGGACTTTTCGCTTATTGCAATTGGATTTGACGTTTCTGCAAATCACGAGCCCATCTGGCAGTATCCTTGGTTTGAGGACTGAAATCTGGGTTTCCTCTTGCCTTCTTAATGAATTCAGTTACCCAAGGTTGCAAATATGCTGCTCTGAATTCACCATAGGGGAAAATTTGAGCAATATCCCCTAAAATACCCACAGATGCCTTCATAACAGCATCAGTAGTACTTAAGTTGTAATCATTATTAACTTCCTCCAAAAATTGGAAAATAACTGGGATGAAATTCAGAATCATCGATGGATCTTCACTGGATGCACTAACTATACCCACATAACAATCCAAAACAGCCTCCTTCACAGACAAAACGTAATCAACCTCTTCAATTTGATTCTTCTCCACCCGCATGCTTGAAGCAGATACACATATGTTGACAACTGTCTCAACATAAGGTTGGAACGCAACTCCAATGGCATTTGCAATATCTCCAAAACATGATAAAATAGCTGGCTTCAATTCTCTCCTTATATTAGGATTGTTCAATGTTTCTCCCAAAAGTTGGAGAATTGTCTGTATGTATGGCAAAATCAATTTTCTCAACGATTGACTCAAGTCTGCAACTAAGCCAATAGCAGTGTCACAAGTAGGTGAGTCAATGTTCTGTAATGCCTTCACCAAATATGGTGAAAAGGTGCTCATATACTTGTCAAACCCAGCACCCGTGGCATCAGCGACTGCAGAAATTGCAATGAAAACATCTTCATCAATCAATGAATTCTCATCTTGAAGAGACAACAATTTAATAAAGATTTCCATCAATCTATCAGAAGCAGTTAATACTTCAGACTTCAATCGCCTAATAACGTTGGTCAACAATGCCAAAATATTTATTTGAACGTCTTCCAAATTTGTCTTATCATCAACAGAAACAACTTGTTCACGTATAGCAAACAGTTCCTGTAATCTGTTCATTACTTCTTGAGCAATGCTTTGGACTAATGGTAAAGTATCTTCTGCAGAGAAAATAACAAATGCAGATAACGCTTCATAAGCTGATGCTCTAGCACTATATTCATTATCTGGTCTGTTACTCAACGTGACCAACATTGGAATAAAGCCTTCGTAATATGGAGACATGATAGAGGTTGGAGAACCAGAACTATTCCCACATTTTTGTTCTAAAATGTTGATCAAAGCCCAACAACAGTTAGTCCAAACCTTTGGATGTTGATGCAAACCTACTGCTAAGCAATTCATAACTTGTGGTAAACTTGTCTCATCAAGACTATCAATGACAGTATCAGCAATTTTACCAATACACCATGCAACAGTTTCCTTGACATGTAAGGAATTATCATTGATCAAGTTCAAAATCGATTCCAAGGCTTGACCAACCATTGACACCAATGCATTATTGTCCGGACCATCCAAAATAGAACCGAATGCCATAACAGCAGCTTCTCTGTTTCTCCAACTTTCTTCACCATCAACTTTACCAATATTGGCACTGACATACTCCAAAGTTGGATTTAAAACGTAGTTACCAGTACATTGGGCAAACAATTGCAAACAAGCAGCAGCTGCCATAGCCACTGACCAATCGTCATCTTCTGGATCTTCATTTTGTCTTGTTAACAAAGTTAATAAGTTTGGTACAACATCATGAATTGCCACGGTAGCAAAGTTGAAATGATCCAAGTTCAAAGTTGGATATTCTTCCTTCTGAATGGCAATGTCCATTTCTTCCTCACAAACCGTTGACCAGAATTCAACAGCCATACAAGCAACCTTGTCATCAGAACTATGCATACCACTAACGGTCAATCCGTACAAAGCCTTTTCCATATAGACAGACATGTGTTTGTAGTATAATGTCATAATTTTGGATAAACAACCAAAGGCACTAGCTTGTAGTTCAGTCAGTTCAGCTTGAGTAGCTTCGCAAACAACTTGCATGATATAATTTCTTTCAGCTTCTACTTCGAAATTCTTCGTGATGAATTCTAGAGCATTAGCCAATGAGTTTAAAGCTGTTAATCTTACCGCAGTTGAAGGTTCCTTACTTTGAGCACCTTGAACAATAGTGATTAAGATACCATTTGATTGACTGATAATCTCTGGATTGGTAGGGTCTGCCACCTCACAGATATATCCAATTGTTAAAAGAGAAGCTTTCTTTGTGGATTCATTAGCTTCTGTACTGGTATTCTCAATTAAAGTGGGGATTAATTCATTCCATTCTTTTTTGGGCAATTCAATGTCACCGATTGCAGAAATCAATTGAGCAATTTGTCTCCCTACTTGTTCATTCTCATCATTTAATAATTCTAAAGATGCTCTTTTAACATTGGATTTGAGTTCAGAAGGTAAATGAATCCATCGTTGTTGATTTTCCAATTTCTTCTTCCCATCGTTGGCTACAAATTTATTCTTTAAAGTTAAAATAGCCAAGATCCGAACTTCAAATCTCACATGCTTGTTTATAATAGTCAGAAGAAGCAGCTCCACAAATTGATCAAACAGATTAGTGGCTAGCTGTTCCAATTGATATTCAGCAGAAGCTCTAACCTCGGGCGAAAACAACACCGCAGTCAAGTACTCTTCAACACTCATAGGTGGCAACTTTTCTTACTATGTAAATTCTGGATTGTTTAAGTCCGTCTTCTAAATCAAAAAAGATACCAGCCTTCAACGGTTTTGGTTATCGTGGTGGGTACCTGCCGTAGAAAAATGTCAACAATAGTAATCTGTCTCCCAGAATCTCCCACTAATCAGTCTCAGATACTTCTGTGGACTGAGCTGGTATCCAATTAGAACCTGAAGGATAGAGGATTCGGTGGTCAAAGCTCCCTTATGCGATGAAGTTTTTTGTTGATTTTCTTTTTCGCTTGCTTATGTAAAATAGTCCATTATATTACGTAAGCAACACAGTCTATTAAAGCATTTTCTGGAAGTTCTACTTTCTTGCTAGTAATATATAAGTAATAATTGCCTTATGTCTAACTAATACAGACATTGTTTAAGTCAAAGATTTATCTGATAAGAAGATGAATATATATTGAGTTAGCTGCTAGCGATTTTGTGCAAATCAGTCAAGGTTTCATCCTTACGAATAGTTGGACTGGGGATATCATTGTCATCTTCCTCTCCAATAGTAGCATTTTCATAATTAACAGATTCTGATGAAGGTCCAGTAGAACTTTGCTTTACCAATTCTTTCCGTTGTCTTTCATCTTCCAACCGCTTCAACAATGACTTTTCCTTAGCCTTCAATTCTTGTGCCTTCTTCTCTAATGCCGCAGCACGACTTGCCAATTCTTTAGCACTGGCCATTTCCATCTCTTCCAATTTATGTTGTCTTTCAACAATACGTTCGTGTCTAATAACATACGGCACAGTTTCTGAAATTTGTCTTAATTGGTTACGTTGAGGGGCAATCGAAAACCGTTTGAATGAAGCATTAGATTCTCCCTTATTATTACCATTACTGGCAGATATAGTTGAAAGTGATGATGAAAACGATTCGTTTTCCTTGGTATCAACATCAACCATTGATCTTGATTTCTTACTTGTACCACTAGTAGTTGTTTCCACAGATTCAGTATCGTTGGCAGTATTAAAACTCTTTTGTGAAGTAGTAGAAGTAACAGGTTGATGAGGAAGAGTTATATTAGCAATTTGAGCCAAATTACTTAACGATGGAATTGCACTTTCTTTAGCAAATGAACCGTTAGGGTAATCAGAAGTATCATGAAATTCATCCTCCTTTTCATCTTGATTTGTTGAACCAGTAACTTTAGTCAATCTCTCTGTTCTGTAGGTTTCATAAAGGAAATCATGAGTCAAATCCTTTAAATCTTGCAAATGACTTCCAAAAAGAACAGACTTTAACACAGGGAAGTCAGAGAAGGCAGGATTATTAACATCAATAAGCCCCCATGGATATTTTCTTGCCTTAATGACCTTTGATTCTCCAGACCGAGGATCAGTAATTTCGTATTCATCTTCACTTGATATTATAGCAAAAGGTACCAAATTACTCAAATATTTGCATTGTTCAATCAAATCAAAATCTTCATCTTCATCATAGTCTTCTATAAATGAATCAAACTGGAATATTGGAATGTTAAACTTTTCAATGTCTGTTCTGATCTGGGATTTGAATTGTTTCAATTCTTGTTGTGTAAAAGTATCAGCCTTCCCAATCACAGGAATAACGTTAACATATTTAGATAATTTTTTCATACAAGTAATATCGATTTCTCGTAAACCATGACCAGTTGGGGTAATAAAATATAACAAAACGTGAACTCTTGTATCTACGAATCTTGGGTTTCTTCTGATTCTTGTTTCTTCTGCTAATACCAAATCAAATTGCTGTTTAAGGTAATTTTCAATTTCAACAAAACAAATTTCATTATTTAAATTTTCTCCAAAACCTGGTGTATCAATCACTGTAAGTTGCAACTTAACATTATCATCATCAACCAATTCAACTTTGGTTTCAGTCAATGCTATACCAGGTTCTTCATTAGCTGTTTCAGGGTTGAATTCACTTCTGGTCAAGATAGCTGTATTGGGTAACGCTACGGACTTTGCGTTAGTGAATGAAATAGTCTTGGTATCAAGAGATCCACCAGCTTTAAAGTTAGAACTTTCAAAACGATGGTTTAAAACCTTTTTGTTAAGCAAACTATTAACAAATGTAGTTTTCCCAGTTCCCAGCTCACCAACTAACATAAAGGTAAACTTAATCCCCTTCTTAGCATCTTTTCTGTAGTTGATAATGGGAGAATCAGAAGCCATCAGAGGCGACTCATAAGTGTATGACATATCAGCCATACTGCAGCTTCTTTCTTATGTAGATCCACAATAGTAACAACGTTCGCTACACTATAATAATTGTCTGGGACCTTGTCGAAGTCAAACTTTAGGAAGACCGTGTCTTTGCCTTTGGCTGGTGTTTTGTTTGTTTGGAATCAGAGGACGTGTACTGAAATATTTACTCGAGACGGTCTTTTTGTGTCACGTGCCTCGGGGGTATACTGAAACATCTAGACCAGTAAAGGGGGAGGTCGGCAAAAGAGTTGTACTAAGTTGATGATAACAGTGTAGATGTTCCAATGTAAGAGTGTGCGTAGAAGTAAAAGAAGTAAAAACTCTTTGCATTGTTACGTTAGGAGTAACTACTGCTATTGGTATGTATGGTATAAGTGAATCAATACCCTCGGTAAATCCACCAATTACGAGGACAAAACCGACTTCATTACGAAAGTTCCGACCTAACCAGATACACCTTCACTTTATCACCTGTTTTATGTGTGTCTAAATGGAAACTAAACGTAATACAGATAGCTGTATTATCTGGTAGCTAAACTTAATATAATCATTCTCCATGTGGACCGCACTTTCAGCGAAAGCAGCTGCTCAATTGGACCGAGAACTCATGTCTACTGGAGCATTTTCCATTGACCAATTAATGGAGTTGGCAGGATTGGCCGTAGCAAAAGCCATTTACAAACAGTATCCTCCAGTAGCAGGAAACAAGAATGATGTAGTGTTCTTGATTGGTCCCGGGAATAATGGGGGTGATGGACTAGTTGCTGCTCGTCATTTGAAACTTTGGGGTGGATATGAACCAATTTTATATTACCCTAAACGGGTGACTTCCAATCAACTTTATACAAACTTATTGGTTCAATTACAAGACTTGAAGATTAGTCAAATTGGCGAATCAGAAATCAAAACCGTATTAAACCTGGAGTCTACAAAGCTTATTGTGGACGCTCTATTTGGGTTCTCCTTTAAACCTCCTATAAGACCTCCGTTCAATGAATTGATTGAGTTCCTTTCAACGAACAAATCAACGTTATCACCAATTGTGTCTGTTGATATTCCCTCTGGTTGGGATGTGGACAACGGTCCAGTAGGAGATCATGTGATCGTTCCAGATACGTTGGTGAGTCTTACTGCCCCTAAACCGTGTGCTAAGTTTTTGGGCGAGAAACCTCATTATTTGGGTGGGAGGTTTATTAATGAGAATATAGCTGAGAAGTACCAAATCGAGGACTTGATCAAGCTATATAAGAATGATGATTTGATTGTTAAGTTATAGTACAATGTATATATAATACGTTTATAATGACTGTGTATGAATTCTATTGATTTGTTATGAATAGTATGAAGCTGAAGAAAATGCTCTTTGGATCGACCGAGGTTACACTACGGCATGATTCTTTGCTCTGGAACGACGGAAGATACGCACCGTTTGGGGTCCTTGGGGTATATGAATCTGGTGTAATCGTCGTAATTACGATTAGTGTCTAATGGATATATGAATTCCTGTTTGGCAATTTCAAGTGTCATAGCCTTCTTGGCTTCCTTGAAACTAATACCAGAAGCAGATGATGAGGTAGATATCATTGAGTCTCTATTTTTGACAGAATTGGAGTGATTTGATTTGCGTTCTCGAATTGCTGATTTCAAAAATGGCTGTTTGGGAGGCGTTAGGTCTAAACGGTCATTATGATCTGAAAATAAACTATCATCACTAAAACTCGACTGATCATTGGAACGGGCATATGTGACGTAGTTGGGTGTCTTGCTATCGTTTGAAAGTTGCTTCCTGTGGCTAGTGGTAGTGGTAATAGTAGCATCATTCACATTATTGTTCATGACTTCAATGTAATCGGGGACTGGTGTCACTTCACGTACACTGGAATCTGCAGCACCAAACGCATTATTAATAAACAGTAGATAGGATGGAATGATGTCATCTTCTTCATGATCTGAAAGCGGAATAAATTCAGGTGATTCTGTACTGAAAATACCTTCAAGAGCTTCATCGTCATCACCATCTATAATTATATGTTTCAGTTTCTTAGGTGATAGACTGTGATCCCTTCTATTGTTGGTCGAATGCATTGTTTCATAGAAGTACTCTCCCTTCGGACTGGGAAGAGGATCAAACTTGTCTTCGTCAAAAAGTGGAGCTGAAATCTCAGGATTATGTCCCAATGAAGGAATCATAGATGACACAACCTTATCTCGTTGGGAAAATGGTGACTTCTTTTGCTTTGTAGATAACGGGATACCAACAACTGCAGGCAACTCCTTTATATGTAATGAAACTGATGGCAATTCCTTTTGAATAGGAGGCAACTTCTTTTCAGGTATAGGCTGAATTGAAGGTAATGGCTTGGAATCCAAGTGGTTTGAATTCAAAGGGGTTGACTTCAAAGGGTTCGAATTCTTCAAGATACTTGGTCCTGGCTGAGGAGCTGAAGCATAACGACGACCAGTTGCTGCTCCTGAGTTCACATTATTATGACTAAGTCTGTAGGGATGATTGACAGGAAAGTGTCTTGTTTTAGGCAACGATTTTAATTCGGGCTCTTGCCTGATATTTGATGATTTTGAAAGCATCAGATCATGAATAGAGGGCAAACTCTTATCCATATCATGAATAGAGGGCAAGCTTTTATCCATATCATAGTCATCATCAATATTAGGATTTGGATAATATGGTTCTTGAATCTTCAAAGTGGAAGCCTTAGATGCATTATACAGTTGAAGAGTTTCTCTAGAACCAACGCTTGTATTTGGTAAAGTCGATGTCAAATGGGTAGATGAGACAGTTGATTCGGTAGGAGGACACTCCCAAAGCTTTGTTGGTATATTTCCTTGATTAGAATCAACCTTATCATCATCATTAGTTGGATGATCTCTTCCACTAGGAAATGCATGCCAAAGAGGTCTTCTTCTTGGTGGGATGGAAGATTCACTCACATAGCCAGTGGAATCTTCTTGTATGTTTTTATTGTTATTCTTATCGGAATCAATATTTAAAGAAGGTAATTCTTTATCCAAATGCAAAGTTTTAGCCCGTTGTTCCATAAGTGTTGTCCACGGAATGTTTTCTTTAACGGGCTTTATGGTGTTAGGGTCTGTATTTTGATAAGGTAAAGCATCGAATTTGGGATTTGAATCATCATCATTTGAACCACCCTGAAGTAATGATTTAGAAAACCATCTGCTTCTTCTCTTTTCAGATTTGGGAATAGTTGAAGGTGCAATTGCAGTAGCAGCTAATGATTGCTTGGCAGAGGAAAGAAACTCTGGCATACTGACGATTCTAGAGTTTCTTTTAGGGGGGATAGTAGCAAGTCCCTTCACACCATTGGAGGTTATTCTATCTCTTGGAAGGGTACTTGGTATATCTTGTAAGGGTACCTTTTGTTCTTTGAAATCCAGGGCAATTCTTCGAACTGATATGCTATCGAATCTGAACAAGTTTTGGGTATTTTCAGGCTCGTCAAGAACCATACTTCTTGGTCTCAGTCTTCCGAAACCCATAATAATATATGACTATCTGAATGACTTTATATGGATGAACTTGAATGAGCTTTATATGCTCATGAAACGGCTAACAGAAGGAATATATACGAGAGTAGAGAAATACAGCCATTGCCTACGTTTATATGTTCAGCTTTGGTACCTTTATAATCTTAAGATGCATGTTTCAAATCTTATTGTATCCTGTCTATCATAGATTGTTTTCCACCAGCGTCATTACAAAGAAGTGCTGGTGATCACCTTCTTTTGTCAACCAGCCATTCGCACAATAGCCAATAGACTGTACACAAGTGTGAAGTATACTATTAGCGATCAAATCCTGTAATGATACACTCTTCTGGAAGTTAAAGTTATGACGCAAAGAATGTTGTTAAGCTAAGAATAGTGGTGGACACCAGTTGTTATACAAAAGCACCTAGATACGCTGCAGGTGCACCACGCTTGAAGTTGAAAATACCCCAATTAGTATGGTGATCCTTTAGCAATAGTAACGGTACATTGGATGCCATAGAAATAGCAATAGCAATAGAGATGCGATGCTAGAGCAATAGTAGGATCAATAGCATGCATTGTCCTTGATCATAATTACGAGTGACTGTCATCATGTTTATTCAGTGATATTGTTTCCTACATCTTTATATATACTAGTGTGATTTTGTGTAACAAGATACCCACTACCACTGAAGCGGTGGATTAACTCCGCTAACGGTATCCAACAGTATTATATGGGGCTAGTTTAACAACTATGAACTTTGACCATTTGGCTCAGATAAAACATAGAGTTTGGGAAGGTACAATAAATGTCCGAGTCGTTCTTGAATATACGCCTAATGTGTCATCTGAATCATCATCAGGTTCACCATCTCCTTCTGGCGCAGATACGGAATCGTTACTAAGTGTCAAGGAGTTTCTTATATCTGTTTACCGTAACTCATATGTTCCCACGTTCCTTCCCTTATTGGTTGAATACTTTTCCGTATATGTTGAAGGTCTAGCTACTATCCCTGTGTGGTTGGAATATGACGAGACCCCATTGAAATGGAACTTACCAGTTGGAGTGCTATATGATACGCTTACTTTACCAGAGACGAACAGAAGGGAAGATTCCAATATATGGACTCTTCATCTTAGGTTCAAGGACCAATACCCTAAAACAACCATCATTCCGTTCATCTATACTGTAACAGATGATGATAATGATAGTTCAGTAATCGACTATGCGAAATCACTCCATGAATTGATGGTGAATCAACTCAAACAATCATGTTTTGTCATGAATGGAACAGCTAAACCCATGCTTAATTTGAGCAAAGAAGATAGCACTAAACTATGGGAATCCATTGAAAACCATAATCTAGCACATTATAATCAAGTCAACAAACGAATATGTCCTTTAGATACTTCATTGCTACTTAGAGTTCCAGTTAAGGTATATATTCCTGGTTTGGGTCAAACGATTCAACACCCAGTTTCTCCCTTCAACGTCAATGGAACACCATCTACCTTACGGAACGTTATAGAGGCTAACATCCCACAACTTAACCAAGTTCCAGATAAAAAATTGACGGCATTGATTCATGGAATCATAGTGGATGATATGCTAGATACCCCGGTGATTCAGTTTTGGGATTTATTCAAGTACATGGATAATTTCTTACATATAGTGGTATTCTAGGTTGACTAATGTACATATTAATGAGCTGATCTTAATTGGCTTCGAAAACAGCTTGTAACCAATTACGGTACATTTTCAATTGCTTCTTTCTGTTCACAAGCAATCTCCTATCTGTACCAATTTTTTCTTCTTTAAATGGACCTTCCACCGTAAAAATAGTTCGTAATTCTTCCTCGGTGAAAAAATAAACTCTAGTACCATCACCTCTGATGTAAAAGTTATCATCTAATAATCTGTTCTTTTTGAATCTAACTTGTGCTAAATCGTATCTTCCGTAATCTCTAAAAAGAATCTTTCCTCCTGGTTTTAAAATCTTGGATAAGTTATTTATAGCATGGGCCCATTGATCAGGATGTAAAGCACTGAAAACAAATATCATAATCACGAAATCCGCTGAATTAGGTTCCATATCTTCAGGTAAATTCCCTTCTGGATTGGCTAAATCCCAAACTGAAGAATAGGCTATTTTCTTAGCATGACTTTCAGTAAAAACTGGATTTGCTTTAACCAAATCCACAGCTACTTTGGAATAATCAGATGCAAATATCTTTAAATTAGGGTTCTTGTTCTGTTCTAAAACAGGGAAAAAGGTGTTCCCAGCACCACATCCAATTTCAAAAATCACAGTAGGTTCAGTATATTCTTCACCAGTAACCTCATATAATTGAGGGAACTCTATTTGTAACCACTTTCTATCTTTGAAAAAGTTTTCTCTATTATTCTTGTAGAAGATATCCCAATATTTGGCTGGGTTTGCGTTGTACATTTGCTTATCAAAGTCTTTCACTGGATGATCGTATTGTTTCTCAATCAACTTTTTCATCTCTTCAACTTGTTCTTCGCCCCATTCAACATGGTCCCATGCGTTATGATTGAATACATCATTCTCATCCTTTAAGTACCGTTCACCAAAGGTAAAGGGAGAATCCTTTCCAATTCTAGTATCTGAAGTATCTCTGCCTATACGAGCATCCAAAGAAGGCTTAGCAATGGTCTCCTCTTGTGATTGACTCCGTATATCCTCCAGCGCCACAGTCATCTTGTGTGTGTTGAACCGGAAGTTTGTCAAGTTTTCAATGGCACTTCATAAGCTGAACTCATCTCGATTGTGGTTTTGATACCCATTGATATTCGGACGTTATATGCCGGAAATTCCAATTTATACCAACGAAGCTTCTGAGTCAAATAGTTGCTAGAAGACACAGGTTGGAGTCATTAGGGTCAAGGAAAACGAGAATAGTGTTCTTCCACTGAAAAAACTAAGAGGGAGCAGTCTCCAATTTCCATTTCAATCGGTTACTTTGTTTTCTGTGGTTTCACGCGTACAAGACCTTTTTAATTTTGTAGCCTTATAACTTAAGTCAAGTTCTTTGAACTCTGGAAGGAAGCAAGATGAATCAACTAGAGTCTTACGGCTTATTTTACTTGGCTAACTCACGAATTTTCGAGTCAAATAAATTGTTCTTGATGGGCATTTCTAAGGAATAGAATGGATCTTTCATCACGTAATCCGAGTATGTCACATATATATTGTGGAAAATCTCTTTGGCCAAGTCAAACTGTCTGTTCAATTCACCTTTATTGATTTTCAGATTTAAAGATGCAACATTATGAACAATAGGATTTGGTGATGTAATTAGAATAAACTTTATCCCTGTTAACGATTGAAACACATACACGTTGAATAGATCTGTTTCGATACTTCGAAGTCCCGTGTTGTTGGTATTGGGATTATTCCATCGTCCATTGACAACGTCATTATTAATGGTGGAGTCTCGAACAGATATACTTGAACTAAATGTAGCTGATGATTCAATGGGGATTTCTTTCTCTCCGCCAAAGGGTTTACTCGATGGTTCAAATTCTGTAGGCTTAAGTTTGGAAGCAATGGCATGGACACCATGTATAGTTCCTGCTAGAACCAAGTAATCATTGGCTGAAAGCTTGTTCAAACCAGGGTTGATATCATTCTGATAAATCAACCCTCCGGCCTTGTTCAAAATATATATCGCATAAACTTTCATTCCCTATATTATTGATAATAAATCTCTCCGATACTCCCTGATATCAACGACCAACAAGAGAAGCCAACTGATGAGACTGTATGAATGGTATTAAAAAAGAATGTAGTGGTATTATTAGCTTTGATTCGGAAAAACATTGGGGATCTTAGATACAAAAAAACATCCCCACCAGGATTCGAACCTGGAATCTTTCGGTTCGTAGCCGAACGCCTTAACCATTGGGCCATGAGGATGTTATAAAAACTAATGTCACTTTGATGAAATAGAGGGTACAAAATGTAATTCCTGTTTATATATAGGAACTAGTTACCGCCTGCGAGACGGTGGTATGGGCTCACACTGGCAGTGGTACGTCGGATCTCATTGAAATAGTATTAGTATTCCCATGGTCTTATGCCATAGGGCTATATAGATTTGATGTATGTTTGATATCAAAAAAAAAAAAAAAAATTGTTACAAATGATAAGTACCTTACTGGAAAATGGCACGATTGGAACACTTACAGTGATTGGCTTGCTTTTATTAAAGCAGTATCACCTCAGAGTCGTCTAATGAAGTTGCTACTTAAACTTCACCAAATTAGCTGCGAATAATGGTAATTTGATTATTCAAAGTTGAAGCGAGTTCATAGAGATAGAAAAGAGAGATAACATTACCCTTTAAGCTAAGAATAATTTATGTTACTGTATTGTAGTATCTGAATCGCTTCATTTCATTTCAATAATTTCCAATATTTTCATGAAGGCTTCTTCTGTTCAAGCAGTTTGAAGATTGTCGTAATTATTTCCACTCGAAGAAAGCCCCCTAAGCTAAGCAAAATGATCTCACTTATCATGACTACGCAAATGCAATCATTCGCATATATACGAGTTGTACACAAGTTTTAGCATAGCCAACGCTGATGTAACGCAGGCCAAACGACGTACCCCATTTAAACGAGAAAAATGAGCTAATCGTTGAATTCCGATACCAGCGTCAGCAGAACTCTATACTAGTAGAAAGATGTTCCGTGATTTTCGGTGCTTGAGAGTCATGTCGGATTTTGGAACATATTGAGGAAAAGGTCGGACGTCCGGCATACAATCCAAGGATATTCAAAAGCATATAGAATCATATTTCTTAGATCGGTTTATCCCGAACCACGATTCCAAATAATAGTTTGATGAGATAACTTAGGATGTGGGGGTTTGTGTTTCGAAATAGTCATCAACGAAGGTAAAAAAGGTAGTCTTAGTGCTTCAACAATAGTGTGGGATTACTGAATCAATCATAGCAACCCCTAAAATTGTATCGTCCTATTTATTTTATGTGAAACTGTTTATTTTGTCTCATTTTTAATTATTAGCAGATTCTACTTCCTCTTTACTATTCGGAGATAACCAGTTTGGAGAAAGCATCATCTGTCATATTCCGTTCGTATAGGCCAAAATCCGAAGTACTATTACGAAAGACTCTCTTTCGGAACATCTCCGTATTTTGTTTCTTTGAGTATACATAGTTGACGACGCATGATTACTTACTAGTTTGCACGTTTTCTTATAATCTCATAAGTCTTGTATAGGAATAAGCTGAAGCACTTCAAAACATGACTTCTTGCTTGTAGATCGTATGACTTAGGCGAGATTCAGCTCATTGGTATGTACACGATCGGCGGAGGGCGGAACAACAGCCTCACGCTATTATTCGTAGCAACACACCGCAGAGTACCCAAACTAGGCACGGCTAACCTTCAGTGATAAACGAAATACCATTATAGTGGATGTAGACAATGGTTTAAGCCAATGTAAGAGATCATTCTTGTTGACAAATCATTGGTGTAGAAATAGTACAGCCTTTTTTGATTTATACCTTTTTAGATTTGACCATATTGACCACCACCAAAAATTGTGGGTTCGCGCAACGCAAAATGTACTTCCTGATTCCCAACAACTGAAGGTCTACTCATCGTATTCGCATAAGGAGAAGTTTGGTCATAATTCCAAACACTCCTGCATTTCGTATGACTACAGCAAATCATATCATATCATATTATAAAATTTGGCATTTCTGTGTACTCAAAACCCAGCCCAATAGTTCCCAGTACTCATTTATATGCAGTATAGGAAATGTTCGGAACGTACGACAATCCCCGGTTGCAGCCATGGCCAGCTGATTTGCGCATGTTTGAACTTATTTTTATTCTCTTAAGCTGTTGGGATTATACATCACTACTTATATATGGTCCAAGTGTAGCAATAAATAAATGTAGTAGAATTGGTCTTATCATATCTTTTTCATATCATTATTATTCTTATAATTGTTATCATTAAATTTTGTTACTGTCATAATCTGACATAACAATACATATATTTATCACACTACGAACATCATAAATGATTCAAGTTTTATCTTTACTAGATAAGAATGGTGGAAGCGCAGTTCCTCCACCTCAAGTCCCCATAAATGCTCCAGCTCCCCTCCTCGATGGCCTTCATATCAATAGCAAGTACCAATTTGTTCGGAAAATTGGTGCAGGTACCTATGGTCTCATCTATTTAGTACAAGACCCATCTAACGGTCATCAATACGCAGCCAAAATGGTACTTAAAGATCCTCCAAATAAGGTAGCGGGCTCAAAAGATACTAAAAATAATAAGAATTATATTCAAAGACAAATCCATCACTATTTTTCAAGTCGTCAAGGACAAAACAGCAATGACTATGATGACCCACAAGTAACTGAATTAGATCTTAATTTAATAAAAGAAAAAGGTGTTCAGTGCCCTTTCCTTCGAGAAATAGCTTTGAATTTGCGTGTCCATGATCATCCTAATATTGTTACTATTCATAAGGTTCTTAATATCGCTGATCTTTGTGTGCTTATACTAATGGACTATTGTGATCAAGGTGATTTGTTTGGAAATATCATCGATAAGCAAATATTTCAAAAAGTACCCCCATATCAAGATCAACAAACACTAATGAAAAATTGCATGCTTCAATTGGTAGACACTATCAACTATTGTCACCGCAAGTCAGTATATCACTGTGACTTGAAGCCAGAAAATATCATGGTTAAATATAATCCCAACTACAGAAGGTCTTCTAACTCTCCTATCATTGATTATAACGAAATTCAAATAGTACTAATTGATTTTGGTTTGGCAATGCTGTCTAACTTGATCTGTTGCAATGCTTGCAGAGGTTCGTCTTTCTATATGGCACCTGAAAGAATTACAAATTACAACACTAATGCACTTATCAAGTCGATGATTGATATGAGAGAATATGAATCTGTTCCACAAAAAGCTTCTGAAACAAACGAATCCAACCGTAAGTATTTCCCAACTTTAGCTGGTGATATCTGGTCTTTGGGTGTACTTTTCATTAATATTACATGTTCAAGAAATCCTTGGCCTATAGCCAATATTGCCAATTCTTATAATGCGGATAATACTTCCGACAGTGGTGCCAATAACCAAGTTTTTCAAACCTATATTTTCCATAACCGGAACATCTTGAAATCAATTCTCCCCATACTGACACAATACAATCGGTTGCTCGATAAAATCTTTCAATTAAACCCTAGTTCCAGAGTCTCTTTACCCCAATTGCATAAAGAGATTATTGAGATAGATTTTTTCCAAGATTTCATCAATCCAACAGTTGTACGCAACGAACAACTCTACACCCCACCAGAAACAGATGTGGAGAGAGGAGATACAGAATACGATACGGATTATTATGATCAAGACGACATTGAAGTTGATAGCATGTCTGGAACAGGATTAGCTTCACCAGTGCCAAGTGAGATTTATTTAGAGCAGTGCCAAAAACAACTGAAATTGTTTAGTTGTCCTCATCATCATCATCATGAAAATGCACCTCATCCATATGATTATCACAAACATCATTAGCAAAAAATGACTTTCAACGGATTATAGCATCAGGAAAATAGAGATTAGTTACATAGGTTTATTTTAGGTAAAAGGGAGATCGGAAAAAACTCCTAATTAGTTTTCAAAATATTTGTAAGGTTATTATTTAAACCTAGTGTGAGGTGTGTGGTGAGGATGCTTCTAAGAGTCATTAAGGAGTCTTTGTTCGGAACCGAACAGCTACTTTTTATAACCATCATTAGTTTCGGATAAACACCTTTTGTATGTTATTCTCTTTAATGTTCCGGAGGTGTAACTTATCCTTCACAGATTAATCCGAATTACAATTGCTGCACCTTTTTTTACTCCACATGGTTCGGGCATACTCCGTAAAAATAAAAAGTAGTGTTGCTAATTTGTGACGACACCAGCAATTTGCGGTGGTTGTGAGTAGACCAAATGGTCGTAAGAACTTGGCTTTGAATCCTGGCTGTCACAAAGAAAGCAAAAGAATGATTCCCGGCCAAGGTGTTCACCATATGTATTGTTTGTATACCATAAATGCATTATGATATATTCTTTTTATGTGCATTACCATGCAAGTGTGGTTACCAGACAAGCGGTGTGGGGTAAAGAATACTATAATCTGGTAAAATAATGCTGTGCATATCACGTAACTCTATTGGTGTTAACCGCCATAATTAGTTTTAATTCAACTATTAACCAGTGGGAATAAGCTGACATATTCCATTTTACTGGGCTCCTTCAAGTTATTCCACTTGGAAACAGATTATCAGGTCATACCCCGCAAGAAGGAGCAGGATTGCTCTCTTAGAAAGTGAATGGCAATTACCATTCAAGGTTAAACAGGACATAAGGTAACACCATCGTTCAAAATCCAAATCATGGACTACGAAATGGAATAGCAATACATTATAGTTTGACCGACAGGTGATCAAAGAGGAGTTTACAAGATGGGTCTAGTAATTCTACGTCTTGTCTTTCAATTAGATAAACCTTTAAAATGAGGAAGCCATTTGGTGATTACGATATTTGTTGTTCGGATTAATTGAACCACCTTTTTAATTTGTGACGTAAAGCTACTTATTTTAGTGCATATACTATCCCCACCAGAGAAATTTTGACACATTTTTTCTTGTGCAACCAAGACACTTAGGGTCATCGGAATTACTGGTGCCGTGTGCAAACCATGTGCTGCAAGTTGCGAAAACCTATTCTGGCTCCATGCATGCCACCACCGTAACGATGGAGAATTCTATAACAAAGTCATGAATGACTGGCGGGGGTAAAATAATGTGTAGTAAATGACCGTCCTCAGATTTAGTATATAAACGGCATTAAATTACCTTCACTGCTTCGATCTCACATGAATTTTATTTATCAATCATTTCTCTTTAAGCAAATTTCACAATGGAGAAGAACGAAGGTGGGCATACGCAAGTGCCTATGCAAGAGGATCCACAGATCTTAACTAGTGCCAATAAGATCCGGATCTATTTGGATAAGTTTCCTAAGCTGCACAATATATACCTTATTGCCACTATATCATGTGTCTCTGGTATGATGTTTGGTTTTGATATTCTGTCAATGTCTGCTTTCATCGGTATTGAACAGTATCAAAACTATTTCAATCACCCCAACTCTACAATGCAAGGTCTTATTACCTCCGCTATGGCTTTGGGGTCCTTATTTGGTGCTCTTGGAACGTCTCTTATCTCAGAACCTTTTGGAAGAAGATTTACTTTAATCTGCTGTTCTCTTTCGTGGATGATTGGTGCCGCCATTCAATCATCTGCGCAAAACAGAACCCAGTTGATCTTAGGAAGAATCATTAGTGGTGTGGGTGTTGGTTTTGGTTCCACAGTTGCTCCGGTTTATGGCTCTGAATTGGCTCCAAGAAGGATTAGAGGTCTTATCGGGGGTCTTTTCCAGTTCAGTGTAACGTTAGGTATCCTTATTATGTACTACATTAGTTATGGGTTGCACTTTATCAATGGTGTTGCTTCGTTTAGAATAGCTTGGGGCTTACAAATCATTCCTGGGTTGCTACTTTTCTTTGGTGTTATCTTCTTACCCGAATCTCCTAGATGGTTAGCTAAACATGGGCTCTGGGATGAAGCAGAAATGGTCGTTGCCAATGTTCAGGCAAAGGGTAATAGAGATGACCCTGATGTTAATATTGAGGTTTCTGAAATCAAAGATCAAATTCTTATCGATGAAAAGTCCAAGAAGATCTCTTATGCCACTTTGTTCAATAAGAGATATAGAAGGAGAACCATCACTGCTGTTTTCGCCCAAATCTGGCAACAGTTGACGGGGATGAATGTGATGATGTACTACATTACTGTTTTGGCAGCCATGTCTGGTTTCACAGGCAACGCCAATTTGGTCTTCTCTTCCATTCAGTATGTTTTAAACGTTGCTATGACAATCCCTGCATTATTCCTTTTGGATAAGGTTGGTAGACGTAAAGTGTTATTGATTGGTGCTGCTTGCATGGGAGTATTCCAATTTGCTTTGGCTGGTATCTTGGGAAGCTACAGTGTACCAGTCGACAGTCTTGATGGGAACTCTTATATTCGGATTTTGATTCCCCCTGATCGGAGACCTGCTGCTAGAGCCGCCATTGCCATGGCATATTTGTTTGTTTGTTCTTTTGCTAGTTCTTGGGGTGTGGGTATCTGGTTATACTGTTCTGAGATTTGGGGTGATAATGCTATCAGACAACGTGGGGCTGGGTTGTCTACTGCTGCCAATTGGGCCTTCAACTTCGCCATTGGTATGTATACTCCAACTTCGTTCAAGAACATTACCTGGAGAACGTACATCATTTATGCCAGTTTCTGTGTGGCCATGTTTGTTCATGTCTACTTTGGTTTCCCAGAGACAAAAGGTAAAAGATTGGAAGAAATCGGACAAATGTGGGATGATAAGATCCCTGCGTGGAAGACTTCGAAATGGCAGCCGGACATTCCAATTTTATCTGATAAAGATCTTCACCAAAAGATGGAAGCTCAACATGTTGAACGTGGTGGTGTGATAACCCAATCGTCTTCTTCAGAAAGAAACTCCTACGGTAATAAAGTACTGACTACTACTTCTGGTGTTTGAGTTTGAGCTCATTTACGTTTACGATTTAAGTGAATGATATATATGAATTTATAATTTAATAGTATGTTTCAAGTATAAAAAAATGTAACGAATAAAAAAAGAAGAGAAGGTTGACAAACTTCCTGTTAAAAAAAACATCGACACTATGGTAACGTTAAAAAAAATTCAAGGAAGGTATTCAATTAGTCACTTTAGCGTTAGTTATACTGGCACTTTGGTATTCTGTCTTGAAAAAGAGGAATACTTTTGGAAGGGGTCATTCCGTTCAAGTTCGTATTCTGGGTTCTTGGCTTTGGACTTACGGTAGTAAATCCGTTTGAACCATTTCCAACCTTCACAACCGATGAAGAATAAAATAGTAAACCCAACAGCCAATCCCCATTCGTATCCAATTCCGGTATGTAAAAACACCTTATCATTAATCACAGGAATGTAGATAACAGGGAAAACAGACAAAGACGCACCGATAATTGACCAGAATAAGAATTGGTTGTCCCACAAGTCTTTCCACAACAGAACGTACCAAGTATTCTCTGATTCGGGTCTCATTCTAAAGAAAGAATAACGGAAATGTAAGCATTCCCAAGCCAAAAGTAATGCACACCAGGTGAACGCGGCAAAGGCACCAGCTCTTGCTCTCATAACCAAACCACAGTTATCACCTGAAGATTCGTTACAGTTGATACCCAAGTTTCCGTCTCCTTTACCATACACAGTAATGGCGAAAATTGGTAAACAACAACAAGCCATCCAAAATCCATAAACAAACATATCAATCAAAACTTCCTTGGTGAAAATAGATGCGTTAGGAGGTAAATCTAAAATATCATCAGAGGCCTTTTCTTGCCCCAACCCCATAGCTGGGAAACATGATGTAACAACAATGATCCACAACACTTCAACGGGTGACAAGGGGAACACAGAGTATCCAGAATCATCAATGAACGCTAAACCAATCATCAAATACAATGCTTGAGCAACGTTTTCAGCTAACAATTGTAAAACAAACTTTTGAATATTAGAAGACATTCTCCTACCTTCTTCGATAGCATGTAAAATGGAAGCAAAGTTATCATCAGTTAAAACAATATCCAGCGCATCCTTAGCAACATCTGAACCATTCATACCCATGGCAATACCAACATCGGCCTTCTTCAATGAAGGAGAATCGTTGACACCATCACCAGTCATAGCACAGAACTTACCACGTCTATGTAAGGCATCGATCATTCTTACTTTGGTTTGTGGAGCACAACGAGCAATAACTAAGGGCAAAACTGGTAAGGCATCTATTTCACCGTCTGACAAAGAATCGAATTCATTTGCCGTCATAACCATTACCTTAACAACCTCTGGTGCATAATGGTACAAGTTAACAGGTAAAATACCAACTTCTTGAGCAATGGCCTTGGCTGTACCAGGATGGTCTCCGGTTAACATATGAACATTGATACCTGCCTTGTGGCATAATTTAACTGAACCAGCTGTTTCCGGACGTGGGGGATCATAAATACCAACTAAACCCAAGAAAGTTAAATCAGCTTCCACAGATTCACGGTTTTCTACTGATTCCAATGATGTATCGATGCTTCTTTGAGCAAAAGCCAAGACACGTAAACCTTCCAGGGACAAAGCATGCATATTATTTTCAATCTCTTCAATGGCATCGGGTGTCATTGGAGCAGTGGCCTTGCCATCACTGTCTGATTTAATCCAATTCTTGCAAAGAGGTAAGATTCTTTCAACAGCACCCTTGGTATGAACAGTTCCTGATTTACCGTCAGCATTAGCATAAATGGAAGACATTCTCTTGATGGACGAGTCAAAGGGGAATTCAGCAATATGTTTCAAAGAATTTTCAGCTTCTAATTTATCTCTGGTATAGTCCAATCTAGTAGTGAAAATATTAATGGCAATTTCAGTAGCATCACCATTTGCTTCCCATTTACCTTCAGAACCTTCTTCTTCCGCTTCCTTGAACTGAATCTTAGCAATGTTTGCCAAAGTAGCAGTTGTAAGCCATTTATCAAAGGCACCTGGTGTTGGCAGAGGAACATTAGGTAATAAGTCGATTTCTTCATCAGATTTTTTGATGAAACTTGGAGAATGAGCTGTAAAGACCAAGTCACCCACAGTTGGATTATATGGCTCGTTAGAGTTCACAATACCGTAAGTTCCAACACTGGAAATCCAAACTTTACGAGCAATCATCTTACCCAAGGTCAAAGTCCCTGTTTTATCAGAACAGATATCATTAATACCTCCTAAGGCTTCCAAGGAATCCAATTTACGCACAATGACATTCTTCGAAACCATAACTTGTGCACCAACAGCCATAGTAATAGTCAAAACAACCACAAGAGAAGATGGAATCATAGATAAAGCAACACAAATAGCATAAATTGCAACATTCTTGTTAACTCTCATCTTTTGAGAAGCCATAACGACAATTGCAAAAAGAACAGCAATCCAAAACAAAAAGATAGCCAACCATGATAATTTCCGTTGCAAAGGTGTACCAACGTTCGTACCCAAGACGTTTGAAATGATATTCCAAGTAGTCTTACACAGAGCTCTGAAATAATCACTAAACAGAGGATGTGGGATAGCCGTCCGATCAACTTTGACAACAATGTCGTCTTCTGAGTTCTTCAACGACAGGGCAATCTTACCAATTTCTGTATTCAAACCAGTCAGCATAGCGATACCCACACCTCTACCTTTAGCAACGACAGAAGAAGAGAAAGCCATATTCAATCTGTCACCAACGGGAACAGGTGTGCTAAAGTCGTCATAAATTTGAGTAGAGTCCTTTGCTACTGGTAAAGATTCACCAGTTAAAAGGGCTTCGTCAGTTTCCAAATTAGTGGTGGAGATCAAACGTAAATCAGCTGGGATAGTCGAACCCACTGAGATATGTACGATATCACCAGGAACCAAATCTTGAGCTTCAATATCCGTTTCAACACCATTACGAATGACTCTGGCTGTGGGGGAACTCAAAGATTTCAAAGATCCCATTGTTTTTTCAGCCTTAACTTCTTGGATGAAACCAACAAAGATATTAATGAATACGACAAAACCAATAACCCCACCGGAAATCCAGTCTTTAACTCCAAGAGCAATACATAACGAAATAATCAACACAAGAACCATGGCATTAAAGACTTGATGTGCCAAGATCTTAGAATAAGAGATTTTAGCATCAGCACCAAGATTGTTAAGTCCGTATTGGCTTCTTGAAGTTGAAACCTGGGCATCTGTTAACCCGGTTTCAAGATTAACACCAAATACATCCTTTGCCTTATCAATTGAGAATCGATAAGGAGCAGTAGAAACATCTTCATTGGAGGCATCGTTTAATTTCTCCAGAATTTCACCACGCCCGTTCGGTCTACTACCCAACTTCGATTCTTCACCGCTTTCATTTTCATAGCTACCACCATCCGATTCGACATATTGAACCTTAGAGGGGGGGTCTTTTGGCGAGTTTATTTTTCTTGGAGTTGTAGCAGGTCCAGTTATTTTCGCCAGTGCTTTAATGTTGAAGTAGGTGTTTTATGAACTCACCTAGTTTCAACAAGTCTAAAAGGGGGTGAATATAATAATATATATATATGCTCTGTTATATATATATTTTAGTCAAAAACTACTTTAATCTTATCTTCTCGGACAGAGGAAGTTAGTCAGTCTAGTAAGAAGCACTTAGTTGATAGCGTCTAATCTAATCTGATCTACTAAAGAAGTTTGATATTCAATACGATGAAGAAAAGAGTAGATTTATATTTGAAACGGCATGAACATTCATTTTTTTTTCGGTCTAATAAAAGGCTAGGTTTTGTGTTCTATTGCTTTGGTCATGTATACTGCGCCGTGTGGTGTAATTAGGGACATAGATAAGAAGCTAGTATGCAGAACATTTCGTCATTTTACACTATACTGTTTTAAACAAAGGGACGGACTTTAACGGTATTGAGAATAAATTCCGGTGACTGTTTCCGCAGCGAGCCAACGACTACAACCTTGCTGTCGAACACCTTTCTTCTTTGCATGTCAATACCTCTATGAAATATTGTGGCCTCGACTTCCAACGGTGGTCGCTGGCCACGTGGACAATACTACCTGAAAGGCTTGGCATGTTCTGTCTTTCCTGAAGCACGAGGGCAATAATAGACGACCAAGAAAAAGATATGGGTGTATTTTCTTGAACATCTTTTATCCAGGGTGGTGTGCATACATGGCTTTGGTGGGGATAGAGGAACTGCGATGAGGGAAAGAAGAGTACATTGAGAATGGTAGCACCGCCGATGTTAGTGATATATTATATAGGCTTTTGTATACAGTGTATGTAGTATGGGAGTACGGGAAGTACTGAAAGTGTATGGATGATTTAGTATATAATCTATTCCGCTAATCCTAACTTAGCCAAGGCAAGTGCTCCTTCACGTGTATGGGTGCCACCAATAAATCCACTAGCATGAACGAAAATACATTGTTCAATGCCACTTTCTTTGCTCAATTCCTCGTCTCTTAATCCTCTTAATCTTTCTGGTAAACCCTTTCTGAATTCAAACAGTGTACTGGTGATAGAAACGGTGGCAACTCTATATTTGCCTGAAGAATCAGCAAAGATAACAAACTTTGTTTGGCCCTCTTTATTATTGTTCTTCTCAACATGATACAAGTGTTCCTTCCATGGACAAAATTGGCTTAACTCCAAAATTTCTCCACTAGGGTCAATTTCAAAACGAGCATCAAAGGCATCTGAAACAATGGACTTGGCTGGTAGCCATCCTTTTCCTAATCCAACAACATAGTTGACAAAACTAGTACCCATCAATTCACTACTTAAGCCAAATTGTCTATCAAAATCAGCATCTGTACTACTTTCATTCCATCTAGGGTTCAATTGACTGACCAAACGAGGTAACGTGATACACTTATCCTTGAACTTTGGCTCAACACTAGCATCGTAGTTGTTAATACCGTTGTCGTTGGCATCCAACAGTTCAATAAACTCGCCATAGACTTTCTTGTATAACAAATCCAAGTCTTTGGTGTCTGTAACACCAGTGATTTCAGAAATAATCTCTTTACCAAAATGCTTGTAAATTAAACCAGCAGATGACAACTTGGTAACGAATCCTTGACCGAAAACTTCTTCAAATCCACGTTGATGATGGTCAAAGAACTTAACACCGTCATATTTCCCACCAACATCAATAACAATGTCGCTTTCCTCCCAAACGGCAGGGTCTCTGGATCTCACCAATTTACTGTCCTTCCATTGAGGAAGTAAACGAAGCATATAGACAGCTAATGATTCATCGGCATGGAAAGAGCCGGAATGAGTACACACTTGTTTCATATCGAGCTTAATTCTCTTGTTGCTTTCCATAACTTCACCTTCTACTATATGCCTTGGTGGTATAGAGCGAAATGTGAAATAGAAGAAAGCAAGCCTTTTGGGTATACTTCTAAGTGTATTTTTCCACTTGAACCTCATCGCGATTTTGGGACATGGGCCCAATGAAGGAAAGCTTCGCAATAAGCTCATTACGGGACTGATACAAGTATATATATGAAGTTGTGTTATAAGTATAGAAGTATTGATCGTCTATTGTGAAGCTTGATTGGTGCTCAGATTTGTATAAGTAGTGCTCTTGCTGTCACCTTTAGAAAGCAGCCCATGGAAATGCGAATCGAAATTGTGTACTGTTATGAGAGCGTAGATCTTAAGGTATGAGTTAATGAACTATGTACAAGTATTATCAATATTGACATCATCTTAAACACGTTTGTAGAACAAAGCAGACTTGTTATCCCCAGCAGCAATCACTTGCTCAACCTTTACTTTGTCTCCAGTTAATCGGTATCCATCAAGAAGCAGCATCCGATTAACTGTGCTATCATTCAACTTCATACTCAAGATACTCATGTCCCTTGTACTCTCGTCCAAATCAATGGGCTCTAGCAATTTGGGTATATAAACAGGCTTGCTCGATTTGGCTAATTTACCGTTACCATATTGTCCACAGCAGTTGTCTCCTCCAACCATGACATCTTTCTGGTTCCCTAAATTATTTAAAGTGACAAAGAAATGGGAAGTACCCACACTAAGCTCTTTGACACCAATAGGAACAACTTTCCTCTGCTTCTCGTCATATTCACTCAATCCTGTAATTGACTTCATGGTCGATGGTTGACTACATACTTGCAAGTATCTGCTAACGCCCAATTGACCCACAAGCCCATTTCCAAAAGCTTGAATGAACTCTTGATTATTACGGTCATCAGCACACTTCAAATAAGTGGTATCACCACCAGCAAAGACTCTGTTGACTGTATAATTCTGATTTGGTTCAATAACCTTACGAGGAATTGGTTGAGAGTTTGTCGTAAAGGCAACATCAATTCCACATTGGCCGTAATTATTCTGGCCCCAAGTCCATACAGCTCCACTAGATTCCAAGACAACATTATGATTGGCCCCACTATCAATGGAGGTAAATTGTCTTGTACGAATGTATTTAGAACCATTAGATTGCAATGCTAATTCTTTGTTCAAAAGTTGAATATCATGGGGGACATTTATTGGCATTGACTCTGATTCAAAGGGAGAATATTGAGGTATTCCATATTGACCAACATTAGCTCCCTTCTCGGAAGTACGGACAATCTGCACAGATCCATTCTTGGTCAAAAGTAGCATATGAGATTGTCCAGATGAGATATCTGACACTGGAGCATTGGTTTCCAAAGTTTTGTATGGAGTAGTGGCATGTGACATCCCGTACCAAGTTCTAGTTGATACTTGTTGAATAGGTTCAGCTGTTATATAGTTTATATTGCCCTTGTTTGTCAAGAAATAAACATAATCTCCTGATGCCAAAGATTTTTCAACTTTAAAAGGCAAATTAAGAGGGGTGACTTTATGATCATTAGCAACGGTAGCAACTTCACCGTTCTCCAACACCACAACAACAAAGTCACGGTACAATTTGACATCCTTTATGAACTTACCATCAAAGTAGTTCAATCTAGCAGGCAAACGAGTCCAATCGAACCCAAACAAATATAAACCCGATTTTTCACGACTATCGATGACTTTGGAGCCCAAATTTTCAATTGCTGAAATCTCCTTTCGAAGATTCTTCTCCATCATTTCTGTTGATTTGAGATTTCTCAGAGGATCGTCTACTGAGTTCACTTTATCTTGAGATTCAGCAACTTCCTTGTAGTAATATTTGTGCGTGAATTTTGCTTTCAAATACTCCCAATGCATGAAAGTCTGGTGAGCAGAGACAATTCCCACCAAAAGGACTATTCCAAAAACCATAGCTTTGAATCTTTCAGAACGCTCAAACTTCTTTTGATCTTTGGTATTGTTACCAACAATCTCCCTGTGGATAAGTTGGGTTTGGTAACGATATTGAGGAGAATTAGGATCGAGCCCTTTCAATCTAGGATCGTTTGCAATACGTTCCAAGTGTTCTTTTTGCTGTCTAGGATCAACTCTTACTCCAAACAGATACTCAGTTTGATTCCTTTTGAAGGATTCAATGCCATTGTCATCTTGCTGTGGTTTTTGATTGGCTTGTGGTGAGACATTGGAATACAATCTGGTGATGACCCCATTGGAACTGTAATTGATATTGGATGAACGGATTCCGCTGCGTAATGTAACTCCTAATCTTCTCAACATATTGAAAGCAGATCCTTATGTTACAGACGTAGGGGTTAGCACGAAAGAGGTCCGAAGTACTAGAGAAGAGAACCTCCTGTTGTAAAGTTAACGATAGTCAAGTCAGTTTATTTCACAACTATTCGTCAAGTAGTGTTGTTACCGATTCGCACTATAAAATGAAGATACTCACGAAACGACTGCACTCCACTGTGTAACCTTTCACAACTACAGTTCGTTTCATAGTTTAATACTATTAGATATTCATTACCGTCGCTGCTGCTTCAGTTATACAAAAACGAGATATATCAATATGAATATGTTCAGAGCCTCTAATCTTTTCAAACCTTTTGGTTGTCGCACTGCTGGCACAAGTGCTCGTTTCGATACGCAGCAATTTGTAAGAGTGCTACAATCTAAGGGAGGCTTCACTAGTGCACAAGCTGAAGCAACAGTGGATATCGTTAACCGTGCTTTAAACAGTGGCATATCACTTACAGCACGCAATTTGGTCACTAAGGAAGCTCTTCTGCTGACTTCGTATCAACAAAAAGTGGATTTTGCAAAGCTTAAAGGTGAATTGAGTACTATGGACAAATCGGAAATCACAGCTCTTACAAAGGAACAGGAGAAACTTCGTACAGATTTAACGAATTTAAAAAACAAATTGAAAGAGGAAATGACCCGTTCTCAAGCTGGGGTAAGGCTTGACTTAAATTTGGAAAAGGGACGTATTCGTGAAGAAGGCTCACTTCATGAACTGAAGATCGAAGATACCTACACTAGAATTGATGAGGAAATAGCAAATATGCAGATGCAAATCAAATCTGTTAAAACGCAAGTTATGCAATGGTTAATTGGTGTTTCATCAGGTACATTTGCTTTGATGCTTGCATTCCTTAGATTCTTTGGCTGATACTGTTGGTGTTCGGGTGTATGTGTTTCTGAACACTGCCATTCCTATGCTGTGTTTTTGTGTCATCTCTCTTTTTTTGTTCGTGACAACAGAGACGACCTCGAACGGAATAGACTCGTTGTTCCAGACATCAAACACCTACACAGATTTCTTGGTATTAAATCCGAAGATACATAAAGATATTGAGCTATTGGGAACCGCCCACGCAGAACGAAGCTGAGTCAACTTTTTCAGGGTATACTGAGTTTTGGTATTGATTGAAATTTAGAGTAGGCTTTGTCAAGACATAGCAATCATTAGGCTTGGACAAAACATCATTTAAAAGATGAACTCTCTATACAACCATGGTATAAAACAAAAAAATCAGCTTAGTAAGGAGTTGGTGGAGTTTGAGAAGAATTTAGCAAGTTCTCCTCTTTCTCTTCAAGGTTCAATCAGTACTACCTTAACCGCATTCCGAAAGACTATAGACGATTTTCGTCAATTGGTCAAACAGAATAGTGCAGATGATTCCAATATGAAGAACGAGCAACGGTTGGAGCTGTTTACTCAAGAATTGAGGGCATATACACAGAAATTCAATGATTTGAAACGTCAAAGAGAAGCGATACTCCATGAATCAAATAGACTGGAGTTATTAGGACGAAGGCATCACAATATTTCCATGGCAGCAGATAATCCATATGAACAACAGCAAACTTCAGTACAACAATATCAACAGGAGCGAGATCAGATGTCATTCCATGACGGGTTACTTAATGAAAGTCTGTCATTAAAGAGAGGAACACAACAACTTGATCTCATCTTGGAAATGGGTCAATCAGCGTTTGATGACATTGTGGATCAAAACGAAACTTTAAGACGATTAGGGTCCAAATTTGAAGATAGTTTGGTGACGTTAGGGGTCAGTCGTACTACAATTAAAAGGATTGAAAAGAGAGCTCGTCAAGATAAATGGCTTTTCTGGGGCAGTTTTGTGCTCATGCTTGTTATTTTCTATTACATATTGAAATGGTTTCGGTAATTGAAATTCAACTGTTTAATTATTACCATATGTAGCAATGTTTCTTTTTCGGATACGTTTGCTAAAGACAGATCATCTTAAATAATAATCTGTCAAACTTAACAATGCGCCGAACACCGCCTAAGAGTGGATTACAACCTTAAATGATGTAATTCAATGGACCCCGCGAGAACATCTTAAATTCACTATAACCATTCACCGAATCCCCGAGCTATAACCGAGATGAAACCATAAGTGTAACCTATGGCATTATTGTAGTATATGTGAACTCTAATAGTGAAGGTGAAATTTTTTACCAACTAAGGTTAAGATGACGAGGTTTACAATACGCCACGGATGACATTTTCTGGACTAAATCGACCTTATTCCCTCTTTGGTATAGCGTCTGAGCTCCCTCTATCACTTCGCCCCTTCCTAATTGAAGGAAGTACTTCTTAGGAAGCTGCCTTTTTTGGGGATAAATGATAGTGACATGAGCATTGCATTGTTAATTCGAGTGCGTAGGCAACGGAATTTCCCAATTGGGAAATTTTTACACTCATAATTTAGCTGCGAAAAATATATCACAACGCTTTAGATCCACAAGCTATGACTGGATCGGGAAATATAATTGAAACGGAACTTGGACGATGAGTAGGTACTTGGTGAAGTGGGGCAACTTAGAACGAAGGTATATATTTAACTAAGTATCTTGTTCAAATGTGTGATATGCATTTTTTTGGGGTAATTTTGACAGTTTCTTTCGAATCATCAAGAACGTTTGGCATAAGTTACAAGATACCACCACCAAAGAAAGAACTGCAGACGGTGCTGTAGAGCTAGTTCTCCTAAGTTTGTTGTTCATATAATAAAAAAATTGGTGGAGCTCTTCTTTCAAGAGGTTACAAAATTAAGTCATGAAGTGGATATACAGAGCAGTGCTGGCATTGCTCCTCTTGGTGATAAACATCACTATAGCTGCTCCTATAAAGCGAGATGTTGTATATGTCATAGCCACTACTACTGTGGATATGCAGTATTCTCAATTTGCTGCTCTTCAGCCAACAAGTCAGATAATACCCACTCTTCCAGTTACTCCTACACCTGTTGTAACTCCATCTCCTGCTGCAACACCAAATATACCTGCAACATCTGTAGCTGAATCGACCAAAGGTGGATCATTCTGGCAACAGCTCCAGCAATTGTTAGGATTTGGAGAAAGCGATAGCTCATCTTCTGCGGTAGCTACACCAACTCCTGTTGCCCCTAATACAAATGCACCTGCGACAGTAGCCAACGGAAGAACAAATGGACAAGGACATTTAGCAACAGTGATTGACACCCAAGTTGTATATGTGACTGCAACATTGTCGTCGTCTGCTGCTACATTGCTGCCTGCAGTGTCTACAGGTGGACCATCCACTTCGGTGTCTATTTCAGTAAGTGGACCATCCACTTCGGTGTCTATTTCAGTAAGTGGACCATCCACTTCGGTGTCTATTTCAGTAAGTGGACCATCCACTTCGGTGTCTATTTCAGTAAGTGGGTCACCCACTTCGGTGCCTATTTCATTAAGTGCACCAGTGATCTCACAACCAGCTCCAGGAGGTGCAACTGCCAGTAGTACTGTGGAAACCGGTACAAGTACTAGCACTGGAGGGTCGTCTAACGGCAACAATAACAACAGCTCTTCGTCTTCATCTGGTGGAATTATTTCTATCGATGCTGCTCAAAAAGTTGCTCAAGAAGCAAAGGGAATCAGCTATTCGCCATATACAAACAGTGGTAGTTGTAAGTCTTTATCAGACGTGACTCATGATTTTCAAATCTTACAGCATTACTCTGAAATCAGATTATACAGCACTGATTGCAGTGCCATTGAAAATTTGTTACTGCTTATGACTTCGGGGCAATCTTTGTTTTTGGGTATCTACAATATTGACACCCACACCATCACTACTGGTTTGCAGACTATCAAGACAGCCGTTGAAGGCAGCTCCTTAGGCTGGAATGCTGTTAATACTATTTCTATTGGGAATGAAAGAGTCAATAATGGTTGGTCTACGCCCGCAGACATGCAAACAGCAGTGAACACAGCTAAGAGTTGGCTTAAATCAAATGCTCCTAACTATACTGGGCCAGTTGTCACTGTTGACACTCTAGTGGCTACAGTGAACAATCCTCAGTTATGCCAAGTCTCTGACTACATTGCAGTAAATTGCCACCCCTTCTGGGATGGTGGAGTGGAACCCTCTAATGCTGGTCCATGGTTACAAGAACAGATTCTGCACTTGAGATCTGTATGTGGATCTAGTAAGAGAATCTTAATTACAGAAACTGGATGGCCCACAAAGGGGGATACCTTTGGCATTTGTGTGCCCTCACAAGAAAATCAAAATTTAGCTATAAGCAGTATCAACAGTGTTTTAGCTAATGACGTATACATGTTCACCACTTATAACGACTTCTGGAAGCAACCAGGTCCAAGTAATGTGGAACAATACTGGGGAATTTATGGTAATCCTGCAACTTAACATTCCTTATTCCAATACATATAAATACCCTCCTTTACCATAGATATATATACTACTATATACTATTATATAATGATTGTTTGAATTTGTCTAAGATTATGATAACTATGTAATTACAGAATGAACTTCCTAATACAGAGAACATTGACCTTTTTGTCTCAGACTTACGTAAGCGTGGGATTTCGTCCTTAATTCGTCAAGTCAAATTTTCACCGAGAACGAACTCAAAATACAAAAACATATCCTAATGTTTTTTGGCGTTCGTACACAACACGATCGATCAATATTGACTATTGACTATTTGTGTATTAATAATAAAGCTCTATCGGAATTCGTACAGCGTTTTGGGACAGCAATAACTTAAATCCAATATGGTGCTTCTGGATAGAGAGCGTAAGAAGCTTGCCAACAGGTTAAGTCCACTTTTTGAAGGGATCTATGAATTGGTTGACAAACGAGGAAATATAGTCTCTGAAGTGTTTCAAAGATTACCATTACGTACTGGGACAGATTACTATAAAGTAATCCAACATCCTGTTTCATTGCATGGAATTAGTCGAAAGGTTAAGAAGATGGAATACGATGGAGCTCAAGATTTCATCAATGACTTGGCTCAAATAACGTGGAATGCTCGATTATATAATGTAAGAGGCTCGGAGATTTATCAAAAGGCTGTTGTATTGAATCAATACATTTTAGAGAAGGTGATACCTAAGTTGAGTTCTGATAAAACCATTCCAGGGTATCTGTATTTGTATTATCCAGATTTGGGTGTTTTACCAGAAGATGATGGTCTGGGAGGAAGTCTTAGTGAACTTGCTGAAGGAGACATTTTAAGTAGTAATGTGACTTCAGTTCAAGGTTCTCCTTCAATTACTCATGGATCACCTGATATTGGTAGAAGTTTACCAACATCTTTAGCTGCTTCTACTCAATCAACTCCGCAACCAGTTTCACAAGCAAAAATCATCAACTTTGATCTTCAAAGAAAGCATCCTGTTTATGGGAAGCAGACTTTCACTCCTAACAAATTGACTCATGAAGCTACTGGTGCAAGAAGAGGTCGTCCACCTATCATTGATAAGCCATTTGAAACTCGTATTAAGGGCATTTTAAAGCAAATGAAGAAATTACGTGATCCCAATGATCCTAATAGACCCTTAACCATGCATTTTGAGAGATTACCAGATCCCAAATCTCATGGTCAATATTTCCAATTGATCCACAATCCAATTAGTTTGAATGAAATTCGGACCAAAGTTAGATCAAGAAAATATAATACCGTTGATGAATGTATTGCCGATTTAGATTTGATGTTCCAAAATGCTAAACTGTTCTACGGTAATGATCAATATTCCCAAGTATTTAGAGATTGCCTTATGCTTGAACAGGAAGCTAACTTAATTATTCAAACGGAATTAAAAAGAAGCGAAAAGGAACTCTTGGAATCAACAACAGGTGCTTCTGATGGTATTTTGAGAACACCATTGGATTCTATTGAAATGAAAGGTTTCACATACAAAATCGGTGATTGGGTTCTTCTAAATAACCCTAATGATCCTGAAAAACCTACTGTTGGTCAAATCTATCGTCTTTGGTCAATTGAAGATGGCACTTTGTACACAAATGTGTGTTGGTATTATCGTCCAGAACAAACATGTCACAAGTTTGATAGATTATTCTATGTTAATGAAGTATGCAAAACCGCTCAATATCGTGATCATTTAGCAACAGAAATCTTAGGGCCATGTTTTGTTATATTCTTAACACGATATCAAAAGGGTGATTTACCTGAAGGATTTATTCCAACAGGTGCACCATGGTTTGTGTGTGAGTTTAGATACAATGAAACTTCACATGTGTTCAACCGTATTAGAACATGGAAAGCATGTTTACCAGATGAAGTGAGAGATCAACCAGAACCTCCAATTATACATTTGAATGAACCAAGAAAGTTAATAAAATACGACTCTCCAATCAGGCATTTGTTACCTCCTGATGCTGATATGAATATGCCAATTCCTGAACCAACACGAGATCCCAATAATAGCACTCCTCCCATAGCTGGACTGGTGTATTTAAGACCACCTGTTAGAGATGATGAATTGGGACAATATGTTTCAAGTCCTAACGTTACGCCTACTCCAGAGAATGATGATAAAATTCATAATCGTAAGGCTTATATTTTCACACCGGTTTCCCAGTTGAAGTTTGGCAGTACCACTACTCAAGCACCCAATACACCAACTATTTCAATGACACAAATTCCAAATGCCGTGGCCCCCTTGGCAGCACAAGCTGCTGATAGAAGTTATAACATTGGTGTAAAGAAATTCAAGCTGTTTGAGTTCCAACAACCACAGCAACAACAATTACAGCAGCAGCAGCAACAACAGCCACAACGGTTCCAACCTCCTATCCTGCTGCTTCACCAGCCACCGTCACAGCAAATGTTTACCCAAACACCACAAGTTACGTTACCTCATAACTCCTCGCAACGTCAACCAATGATACCAACACCTTCGATTGCTCAGCCAACTCGTACAGCTGCTGTCTCGGCGTACACTCCTCAACATTTGAACACTGCTACGTCTCGTTACTCTGTTCTTTTACCCGGAGGAGTCCTTAGCTATACCATTGAAGATGATGGAGGATTGGCCAGTTTATCGGGGAAGATCAATATAATAAAGCGTAAAGCTGGAGAAATGGAATCAGATGAAGTGGTTTGGTATAGGGCTCCACCATTATCCGTACACCGGAAGATCATTACTTCTGGTATATCTTCGTTGGGACACTCTGCCCGGTATTTATCTGTCAAAGCGAAAGGAGATGGGATGTAATATTTATATACTGATTTATACTTCCTTATAGACCTGGTTAAGTTTATAATGTTGGGGTAATGAAATATTGTATGTGATTGTGTGGATTACGTAATCATTCGATTGGTGACAATCTCAAGTGTAAATTGATACTTCAACTTGATATGAAGTAACGACTTCTGGTACTAACAAGTTTGGGATGATCATCCACCAGGAGTTAACAGTATATCTTGTCGGAAATGAGCGATACCATTGAAGGACTAAAGGGATATCGACCACAGGAGAATCGGGCAGCAGACAGCGAACACCAAATAGAAGGTGAAGCCACATTAAATTCAGGATCTAACTCGGAAATTGATCCGATTACTCTAAGAGAATTTCAAACCTATTTAAAGCAATGTAAGAAGATCGTGGCGCTTGTTGGAGCCGGGCTTTCTGTATCTTCAGGACTTCCAACCTTTAGAGGAACACAAGGACTTTGGAAGAATTATAATATAATAGATTTAGCTACACCAGATGCATTTTATATTGATCCTGGTTTGGTCTGGCAGTTCTATTCATGGCGACGGAGTCATGCACTTGAGGCAGAACCGAATGATGGTCATCGTACATTGGCCAAATTAGCACTTAATCCTAACGTTGAATTCACAACCATTACTCAAAATGTTGATGGTCTTCTGATTAGAGCAGGACATCCTAAGAAGAAGTTATATGAAATTCATGGATCACTCTTCGATTTAAAATGCACTAGTTTTATGTGTACATATGTTGATCATGATAACTTTACAGATCCATTAACCAAAGAATTGGCAGACTCGCGGTTCGAACATGTGACAGTGTTTGCGGGTGCGGGTGGAGAAGGGGATCGGGATCGACCCCCAATAGAATCTCCTCAATTTGCACCCATCAAACAAATACCTGAATCGGAACTACCACTATGTCCTTTATGTAATCTGTTACTTCGACCAGGGGTAGTATGGTTTGGAGAGTCCTTACCTCTTAAGTTAATTACAGGAGTTGATAGGTTCATAGAACAAGGAGAAAAAGTGGATTTGATCTTGGTTATAGGGACTAGTGGCACTGTGTACCCTGCCAATAGTTATGTTGATAGAGTAAGATTTAAGGGAGGAAAAGTGGCAATTTTCAACACAGATATCGAACTGCTGATAATGGCAGGGGAAGACAGAGATACTTGGGGATTTCAAGGGGATGCAGCTAAGCTTCTACCCATAGCGTTAGCTCCTTTGTTGTAAGGGAGTTGAATGAATTGAATAAATCTATAAAAAGATAGACGGGGACATGACATAGTCACAAGAAATACATCGATTATTGATGGAAGAAGTAAAATAAAAAGAATTATAGGCATCATAAGTTTAAAATCTCAGCATTATAAGTTTAAAGTTTCAGAATCATTGTCACTGCTGGTATCAGGATTGGAGTTCATCTGACTTTGTCGACCTAATAAACAGATCCCATCATCTGCTCTCACTGAATTCTTTCTGGACTTTGTGATTTTGGAGTTACTCCGACTTAACTTTGTCCCAGCAAAAATCAGGTCCATCGTAGGTAGACATGAAGTCAGTTTGTGCAATTGTCTCTTGTAGAAGGGATTCCCCACGTATTGGCTGGGTTTTGCTGGTATGGTGATAGAAAGTTGTCGTTTGAGTTTCGCTATTGTAACTGGTGAGGTACTCGTATAGTTTTGGTTGATAGTAGTATTATTACCATTGCTCTCACGCGATGAAGTCATAGACCGTGAAGAAAATGAAAACGATTTGTTTCTTCGAAAAAGGTCTACTTGATGATGATTATTGTTATTGTTATCAATATAAGTTGCTGATTTTTGTTCGCGTTGAGTTTCCCCTTGTGGTGGTTCAAATTCCATCTTTACTTCTGGCTCATATTTATCCTCAGCAATATTCATGTTGACCTTTGGAGTGGAAAACGTAGGAGTATCCTCCATTAATGGTGACGACAATTCTAGCCGGGTATTGAAGTCTTGGTATGTTATAAACACAGATGCATTCATTGACTGTTGTTGTTGTTGTTGTTCATCGGGAATCTCCTCCGAGCACTGGTTAAAAAGAATCGGAGACGATAAGATTTGGTTGTAGCTTTCGCTATAACGTTTATCGAATTCCTCTAGTGAATCGGCTATAGAGCCTCCAGTGCCCGTGGCAGCATCCATTTAGAACAGAGAACTTGGTTAGAAAAGGAGGAAACAGAGGAAGATGTGTTTAAAAATAGGAGACACTAATACTAACCCACCTACCACTGTGAAAAAAAAATGCTGTGTGAGTTTATGGTACAATAGTTGTATGTAGTACTGTGTAAATAAATATGGTATAGTCCGACTGCAACTATTATCGCACTAATTAGACTGCCACTAGTAGTAATAATGGATAGGATTAAACAATCAGTTCTGTAATGGGAATAGTAGCGGAAAACCAGAAACAATATAAATATAGATATATATGTTTATGTATATGTATGTGTATATATGTCTGTAGTGATGTATGTATGTATGTAGTGGCGCATGACAGTACTTCCATACCTATATGGCTTATCGATATATCCTCCACTTATTACTAGCCTCCTTATCCCAAATAGTGGCATTGTCAAAGTGTAAAGTCGTGCCCCAACTGATACTTCATCTAACACCTTTCAATAGGAAACCAGAAAACTATAAACTGTCATTTTTCTACACCCATGTCACAAAATGGCCTTATTCAGGTCTAGAAACGATATTATCCGGTAGTATATGCAAAGATGTTCCATCAATGGTGATTTCTTCTACTGCGGTTGCATAATGTATGCTGCTAAACTAGCCCGTCACTCCATCCAAATAGAAAGTGACGGCTTGACCGTCCATAGAACGTACGTACTACACCGCTTTAAATTTTTCAGTGTCCTTTTCGACGCAATCGTTGCTGTTGCGGTGAAAACATCCTGCTCCGTGACGTGCAGGTCATTGTGCCAAATGCTTATTGTGGAGATAATCACCGGGAAAACTTTAGACTCTCTATTGCTTGAAGTCCCTTGGTGACTCCTTGAAATCTCCCTTTTGATTATGGCCCAAAAGGTCCATGTTCTAGCTGAGATTCGGTTCGGAAACTCTAGACCGCGCACCCGGAGTGCTCAATCGCATATGGCTGTACCAAATGGCTGCACCACAAATGGATAAGCCATCGCAAGTAGATATATACTGCAAATGCATTTACCACAAATGGCTGTATCTTTTGCTACTTATGGTTTAGTTGAGGAAAGTTTCCCCCATGTATGAAGATCCTTACTTCTTGTGTTATCTGCACTAATTCTAGAACGTATTTCAATCTTTCTTTAAGTGCCTTCCAACTCCTCCACCTTAGTATTTGAGTCGCTTTACCTCGTGCTTTGTATCCTTCATGTGCATCCCTTCCGTGTTTCTTATTGTTTCAAAATCTGGACTGTTTTATATCGAAATCTATCATCTGAAACAACCCTGCAAGGTGCATCTGATTGATCGTGATCACAGTCATTCATACTTCATGATGAAGGTAACCTGTAATAATATATACTCAAACTCCTTTGAAAATAGCTTCATCGTACTGGTCTAGGCCAAGCTTTCCGTTCTCCGCCTTTGTTTGTGGGAGCCCTAACGCAATATTGCTTTCAAGTAATACCTGGTTCGCGACCCAAAGTCGTCTCTGTTTACGGGCTCGTTGTGCTAGCCCATCCTGGACCATTTTGTTGATCTTGACTGAAACGGCCAATCTCTTAGATAACCGTTCGTGAAGTACCTTTAACTCTTCAACATCTTCAATTGCATCGATATCAGTTTCTAAATCGTCTCCTTCAAGTATGGAACGAGATTCGGCTGCTCTTTTACGCATCCGATCCTCGACATTTTCAGGTATTGGGCACTTTGGTACCGGATTTTGGTCAGGAGGATCTAATTGATCTACAGCATCAGCAACTGCTGTCTCTTCTTCCTCTAATAATGCCTTGTATCTGAAATACGCAGTTTCATATTGTTTTGTATCCAAGGGAAGGGTTTTGACCAAATCTCCTACATTGTAATCAGCCTTTTCCAAGGGGTCTCGCAATGTTTCAAGAAATGTAGAAGAATTCCACCATGGTTTGCGTAAACTGTGTAACTTATTGTTCAATTCCAAATAACTGGCTTCCGTCATTTCTTCGGCATTATCCAAAAAAGTACCCAACTTATTCTTCCGAGCCCTGTCCTTGATCAATACTAATGCATCCTTTGTAGGATGAAGATCATGTACCGCCTTAACATGTTTGGCCAAGGCATCACTTCTAGTAAAGTGCTTCTCACATTCAGGTATGGGACAAAAGTACGGCTTCTCGCCAGTATGAGTTCTGCAATGCGATAATAGGGCAAATCTTGAAGGCTGGTCAACTCCAAACCTTGTACATCCTTCCCATTGACATGTATATTTGAAGTGATGTTGGAGATAACTGGGCATAGTAGTCAAATAAGCCAAATGAACTGTGTTCAAATGACTTACTAAACTGGGCATAGATTCATGATCTGGATCAGTACAATCAGCCCATTTACATCTCAAATCTTCCCTTGATACACTGGAGTCTGTTTTCTTTGTCTTGTCACTGCCTTTCGCTTTTGATTTCGGCTTGAGTGCAATTTCAGGAACTGTTTCTGTTGATTCAGTTTCCGATTCCGATTCTGACTCAGGTCCACCCTGTGTCAATTCCTGATGCTCTGGGTCCCCATTAGACGTAGGCTCGGGCTCTACTAAGTTAAGAATGCTACTCATTTCAACCGCTGATGTCTACGGAAAGGAGATGGCTATGTCGGTGGAGTTTGCTTTTTAGCATTAGTCGCGAATTTGCATTGACATTTACAACGAATAAATATACTGAAATATACCGCGACGGAAGTAAACTACAGACTGGTGCAATTATACGTATATATATTTATTAAAAATCTATATTAACTAAGTTAGACCAAATCTTCATCCAAACGAGCAGCAGGATTGGTTTCAATGAAGTCTAATGAAACCTTGTGTCCCAAAAGTTCTCTAATGTTAGAAACACCATATTTAATCATAGTAGGTCTTTCTAAAGATAAACCCCAACCTAAAACTCTCATGTTCTTAGGTAAACCCATTGATTCTAACATTTCTGGCCTAAACATTCCTGAGTTACCAATTTCAACCCACTTCTTTAATCCCTTGTGGTATGCAAAGATTTCCAAACTTGGTTCGGTATATGGATTGTAGGCAGCCTTGAATCTTAACCCATTGACACCCATTTTGGCAAAGAAATCTTCCATGAACCCAATCAAATCTCCCAAAGTGATGTCGTATCCAGCAATGACACCTTCAACTTGATGAAATTCAGCCAAATGTGTGGCATCAACAGCTTCATTACGGAAAACTCTATCAATGGAGAAAAGTCTTATAGGACGAGGATTCTTAGCAAGATCATGTAACATAGCAGAAGAAATAGCAGTAGTGTGGGTTCTCAAAACCATCCTAAGTGATTCAGCTTCCTTCCAAGGGTATCTGTAACCAATAGAACCATATTTCCCTTCTTGATGCACTTGCTTGATATTATTCCAGTATTCTTCGTCTTCAGGCTTACCGGCCTTGACGGGATCCTTCAAGTAGAAAGTATCTTGTAAGTCTCTGGCAGGATGTTGTTGAGGAACGAAAAGGGTATCAAAATTCCAGAATCCAGTTTCGACGTATTGGTTGGAAGGCATTTCAGTGAATCCCATGCTGAAGAAAATCTGTCTAAATTCTTCTCTAACCTTGTTTAAAGGGTGCAATGCTCCTGATTCAGGGTAAATACCTTCAGACTTGAAGTTCAAAGGCTTGAAATCAGCAGTCTTCCATGAACCACTGGAAATCATATCGGCAGTAATATCAGTTTCATAACTCTTGATTTCTAATGCAAATTGTTCACCTTTGATAACCTTGTAACCGACAATCTTAACTTGTTGAACCAACTTACGTTTCTTCAATTCTGTTAATTCCTTCTTGTCGGAAAGCTTTCCTGTTTCCTTTATCTCCTTCAATTGTGCTACCACTACATCTTCAGGCAACTGGTCCACTTTGCTGACCAACTTTTCGCCATCCTTACCTAACCATTGGTTCTTGAATGCCTTACCTTGACCCACAGCTCCAATAGCACCCAATTGGGACTTCAAATCGGAGATAGTCAACCCTTCCACTGACTTCAAAACGGCTTCCATAACACGGTACTCAGGAGAACCACCAACTAAGAATGACTCAGCTTCTGGTGTCAACACCCATTTATCTGTTTCTATCTTTGAGTATGTAATCATCTGTTTAGCTTGAAGCGAGTTCAAAGCAGCATAGATTTGAGCAGCATCGATCTTGGCAAATACAGGCACTTGCAAGGTGTTTTCAATGCTACCACTGGCATCTACCTCCTTTAATATTTGTAACTGCAAATCAGCCATTATTGATGTATTAAAGTAGAGTGTATTTTATCTTGACCTTTTGGTATGTTTAACTTATCTGAAAATTTTTTTACCATTTGGTGATAATGTGTGTACCCTAAATTACGTCGGTTCCGGCGTATAATTGATACCGCCATGTGGGGAATGCTACATTTCTGTCTTGAGTTCCGAGGGTATTTCCGGTTACGTTTTTTCATTCAAACGAACGTTAACGAAACCCCATTATATTTAATGCGATGAGATGAACAATCATTGAATCACAACTAATTCTTACCGTTAACCTTACCGAAAAGTCTTTTATTATTAAGCTACTTAAATATGGGTTCGCCTGCCACCTCCGAAACAGGAACGGATTCTCTTGTGTCTGAGTATCGTGACGATGAAGAACAGCAATCGGTAACCCTTGAAGGCTTGTTTGGTCAATTGTCCCGTGAATCCCATCGGATAAATCAAAACGGATCAAGTCAATCTCCTGAAAATAGCTTTTCAAGAATCCAAAACTCTATATCAAAATTGCCTAAGCTTGAGAGCCAATTAGAAAATAAGCTCACTCAAGAACTGAATAAGAAACTAGCATCGGCTTCTAAAAGAGACATCGTTCGGATAAATGACCCCATTTCCAGCAAAAAAATAGACACTACAATTAAGGAAGATAGCGGATCCAAGTGGTTTAATATGCCACAGCCAGAGATGACCGCAGAAATAAAAAGAGATCTTAAAATTATACAACAAAGAGCAGCATTAGATCCTAAAAGACATTATAAAAGAGATAAATGGCAAGTGCCCAAATATTTACAAATGGGAACAGTGGTGGGAGGACCCACTGATCATTTCAATAAGTTAACCCGGAAACAAAGAGGTACAACTTTAGCGGAAGAATTATTACATGATGACACCACTACCAAGTACTTCAAGAGAAAGTATCTGGAAATCCAAGTTAAAAAAACTAGTGGTCGTAAAGCTCACTATAAGAAGGTCAAGGAGATGAGAAAGAAGTATTAAAACAAATTGGGGATATTTTAATAAATAATAATAATAGTTAATACATATGCATTTAGATATTGGTTGATCCGAAAATTGCCATCAATTTAAGCATATGCATTCATGTGCACTTATAGTAATTGCAATTATCGGAATAACTTATACTTCGTAAAATCAATTTCCCGGATAAACTTATAATAATTATTTGCGTGCGCTAATATACAATATATAGGTCTATACATATACGTATATACCAACCCTTCCATCTCTATCAGTTCTCTTCCAAGCCTGCTCGTTTGAAAACGTCCAGTCTAACCATTTCCCAAATAGACTGCTTCTCATCTTTGGACAATTTTGCTTTACGGTTTTCCAATTTTAATTGACGTTTGATATCGTCCACCTTCACCTTGTATTCATGAGCAGTGGTGGCAGCTGCTGCAAGATTTATCAAGTAATTCCTCACAGCTATTTCCTTATATTTAAACTTGAGAGTCGCCAGATTATGAGGTGCAAGAATGGGACTCAACATGTTGGACGAAGATGCCCTGGGTTCATTGATTTGTAGGAGACGAGATTGCTTTACACTAATCTCGGCCACAGACTTCTTGAATGCAACATCCAAGTTGTGCTCGGAGTATAAACTTGAATTGTAAAGGATATGAATGAACTCTTTGTCAGAAATGTGTGGCTGTATAAGCACAATCTGACACAATTGTGCCAAATCCCCAATCAACTGTGGGAGGGAGTTTTGGGCATATGAGAAGTCGGGTATCGACAGTATCATAGGAAGTTGGTTGAGCATAAGTTTACATCTCGTAACGTTCAAGTTCCAATCAACCAATGATTCAGGAGCATTTTGAAATTGTAAGGCTGAACCAAGAGAAATCTTGTAGAACTCGTCTTCATCGAATTCTTCGTTAATAGGAGTTGAAGCTCCAGATCGAGGCAGGTGAGGAGTGGACACCAGTCGCATTCCAAATGGTTGTTGTATCAGTGGGAATTTAGGTGACATTTGAAGTTGTAATGACTGAGATTGCTGTTGTTGTTGTACAGTTCTATCTAAGTACTTCTGATGATAGAACTTCTCATGCAAGGCTATGTCGTTGACCAACTGTTCCACGGTCGTTGAGATCGGTTCCGAGTCCTCGGGAATGGTCGCAGTGCTGCTGGAGTATATGGATGGTGCGGACCGTACAGATCGCTTGGAGAATACTGAGCTTGTTGAGGATCGATGGGAGTGCTTGTTGGATGATGCTTGGGATGCACGTGAAGTATTAGCTAAAGATGGTGCTGATCTGACTGAAGCTGCGGATGAATGTGTGCTGGCTATATCGATGTTATTCTCTTTACCAGAGATATTTTTGAGTTGATTTGCACCTAATTTTTGTTGTAACTGTTGATAGATAGCACTTCTAGCAGAATCCTTGAAATGGGAAGGTGCGTTCCCGTTGGGATGTGCGTGGCCACCATACATCATTTGGAAGGCGTTTGTATTATGGAACTAAGCTACCTAACGTTGGAAGATGTTGATGGAAAACAATAACCGAAGGCTAATAGTAGTAGGAAAGCTTTATCAAATCGATACTGAGCCGGTGACTCTACTATTCCACTATGGTGTTAAAGTGAATTTTGACAAAGGAAGATTATATGAATAGGTTAATGAGTTTATTCTTTCAACTTCCCCTTTAAAAATTCGCAGATACCTTTACCGACCCTCAAATACGGATGTTTGGTCGAAATTACCAAAAAAGCTTCAATTCTTAGATTTTGAATATAAGGAAGAATATAGTCTTTCCGTTTACTTTATAAAAGAATAAAAGGATAAATAAAAAGAAGAGACGAAGAAATGTGGTTTTAGTCCGTTTTTTTTTCCTACGCTTGATAAATCCACATTTATTTTTTTGGCCTCGTTTTATGTCTTGAGCACATCAGGTAATTTTCCTTGCCGTCCTTCATACACCTTATTGTTACTTGAAAGTCGGGCACCGTCCGGGGCTAGTTTTTCCAGAAGTTTAATGTCGGGTGATGTGTGACTGCATGTAAACTAAATGGTACCCCACTCCTTCTGTTGTCTGGGGTATGCGAGTCACGTGGAGCCTTTGGTTCTACCTTAAAAATCCTACTATGGTTATGGAATATATATGATAAAGGGTGTGAAATTCAACTGCAGTAAAACTTCCATGTGACTATCAACATTTGATTAATGTGGTACGAGTATATTTACTGTACTGTCTTGTCATTTAGTGTCTACTTTTATTTTTTATGGTGCATGGCATTACAATGCTAATTGCTGCATCCTTTGTTAAAATGGTGTTTTTATCCGGTTACATGACTTCGGGAACACCATAAATATTATCCTCGCTGACGACTTGGTAACTAGTTTCTGGGGGGTGTTGCTGTAACATCACTAATAGAGGCATAATTTTTCCGGCAGACGGCTGTGATTGGGAAGCCTCCTGTTCCAACTTGCACAGGTTTCTAGGGTCCCCTAAACATTCCGAAGATAGTTTAATCTTTCGAAACCAACTACGCTAACCATGACCCGTCTCAAATTTTATCATTCATCCATGATCACACACTTCTAGCGCCATTATGTCGCATAAGCCAAACTTTTAAAAGAGTTTTGAGTCGTAGATAGTGATAGGAAGTTGTTTTTTTTTCCGAGATTTTTCTAAGCCACATTCGGGGAAACTAGGAGACATTGAAATTGTCGGATTTCGGAAAAAATTACTACGCAAGTAAAATTAAAATACACAAATTTTGCAAGAGGACCACCAAATACAGAATCATTAGGCATTCTTAGTCTAATTTGGGGTTGTCTGGCACATATTGGCGAAGAATTGAGGGGGGAACTTTTCATCGGAAAAACATTTCGGACAATCAGCTTGGTTGAAAGGGTTTGCTCCAATTTTTCAATACTTCTAATCCGAATCGTCATTCGCTTATTCTTGTTGATTAAAGGTATTAGTGGGGTATCTGTTCGAATAACCATGAAAATAGCACGGCACATGGCTAAATAGACCCCCAAATTTACTTAATTGTTCCGAAAACTCTCCTGTATGTAATGATGTTGGTGCTTCGGAAAAAAGTGCACCTCCAAAATATACTTTGCGGACGCTGAACTTTTCCATTTTAAGCTTGTTCAAAAGAAATTTTCCCGACATTGAACACAAGGTGTCAAGTCTAAGCCCATTATTGATTTTTAGTTTAGTGGGGCTATAATTAAAGTATCGGAGTAATCTCCCCCAATTTCTTTAAACCCCACCCTGCTCCAACTTTTAGCCTGGTACCCCGGATTCAACTTTCCATTGTCTTTCGATAAATTTTCATGAAATTCTCGGAATATATTAGTACGGCACTCGTTAACACATCGTAAAGGAAGAGAAACGCCAATACAAATCTACGGTATTGGTGTAAAGTGAATTTGTATCTCTAAAAGTAATCTGCTAAGATGATTCTGTTCAAAAGACCTACATTATCATTAGAATCGTACTTAAAAAGTCAAACTGTGACGATCTCAACAGATCTTCACAATTAGAACATTTTTATACATCTTTTCAGTGTCCCTACTTTCTTTTACTATCCGTATCACTTTAAGTTGTTCCTATGGATTTAGGGTATTCACTGCAACTGTAACTCTTTTTTGGTGCCGGAGACATAAGCCTACGAGAAACTATGTACGAATAACTAATCAGCGGAACAGTCAAAAAGTTTCTTTGTAATCTAAAAGCCAGGAAAGAACGTCGGAACGTTAATTCTTCTGCGAAACATAGACATTTCATGCAAAACTGTATTATGGACAGAGTAAATCCGTATACCGCTGAAGATACTGGTGCTTATCATCTACACTGAAAGGCCCGAAGGTCCTCAATAAGAATGATACTTCAATGCAACTTGTTATTGACTAGCGCGTTGGCACATTTTTACGATTAGCCCGCTTTTCAATAATAACATTGGCGGATACTTTCAAGCTACTTCAAGTGACAAACTATAGATCCCAGTTAGCGTCACTAGGAATAGCCAAATTAGACCTACCCCACTAAACCCTTATCAAGGCAATGTATTTATTGAAGGTACTTCCACTGTACTCAGCCATAGCATAACCCAATTGTTTAAAGTGCTGAAGCTATGAGAGAACCAACGAAATCAACCACTGAAATGACTCTTGCTACATGTCATATCTGTACTCGTCGTGACCTTTTTCAAACCTATAAAAGAAATGATGAAGTAAGGAAGTATAGTATGATGATTCCGGCGTGATTCGACCGCTTGCATCCAATCTTCGCATGCCATACCATTCGTTTTCGTGTTCTATATGTGATATTAAGTCGCATGGGACCACCTGATAAAACAACACAGTATGCCCCCCAATACACATGAAACTGAATGGAACTCTACAGACTATAACTATTGATAATGATGACCATTTTGGGTTACTAATTATATTAGGTACGTTGCGTTCTATAAGAATCATATGGTTATAAACTTGAAAATTACTGTTTTTCAATATGGTCGTGCTCTAACCACAAATCATTTCCTAAAGTTTAAAAGTTTCTTAACTAATTCAAGCATCTGTAAATACGACATTGATATCCAAACCATCAACACCAAACTAATTAATTAACCTCTAAGGTCAATTCAATCGCACAGCGAACATGTCTGTTCTTGAGGAGCAGATCTCCGACACTGTTGGATTTAAGTTATGCACCAAAGAGGAGGGCATTGCTGTTTTCTCACAAGCCATCGAATTGGATCCAGTAAGAGATAAACAATTGAGTCTTTTAGCAGTGGGTAACCTCACAGGTAAAATAGCACTTTCCAATGTGACTAGTATCAAGATTGGTAAGACTAGTCAATTCCATCCCAAAGAACAAGAAGAAGACGTCGACGAGTTAGATATAGGCTCTTTGAAGGTTGTGCATGGTTCTGGTAAAATCAGGGAGGTTAAATTTAACGCCACAGAGAAAAGGTTATGGGTCCTAGAAGACGACAAATTGGCATATATTTCATTAAAGAATGATCTTGAAGAAACGAAGTTGGAATTAGAATATACAAGATTCACCGAGATTAGTAGCATTCTTCCTCACCCTATAATATCGGGTCACTTGGCCTTCGTAACCAATGATAATGTATTGCACGTGTTGCCTAATTGTGAAGAGGGAAACTCAATAGAAGTTTTACAAGATGTCCGTTGTTTTGCATGGGCCATGGATGGGAAGTCACTTGTCGCTATGAAGAACTCAAACGAGATCTATGTGTTCAATGTTGATGGTGAGAAGAAGAATGCCTTGACTGTAGACACTTCGGTTGCATCTGACCTCGATTTAAATGTTGATACTCTTGTCCCCTGCTCTATACAATCGTTGTCTAATGATAAATGGCTTGTCGTGTACGATGGAGAAGATGCTTCTCCAGATGATCACCATATAGCCTCTTTTGTGGTAACTACGAGTGGTGAACCTGAAACAACAACAACAACAACAACAACAATAGCAGCAGAGATTCTTTTACCGGGATTTGACTCTCAGAGATGTACCAGTTACTATTCACAATCTTTACCTAACTGGTCGCAGAACTATCCTAGTCTAGCTTTAGCTACATCTTCCCTTGCCACAGAAATTGTTGTGCTTAATATGGGAATTAAGGCTCTGTTTATTACTCCAGATGAAGATTTATACCGTACAATATTCCCCATGAACGATACAACTGAGGAAGACACCAATGCTCTTGGTTTTGCAGTTGACTTAACTGGCACACATCTCAAGGTTATCCAACCTTGGGCAGGTTTGGATGAAGCAGTTGGTGTTTTGCCTATAGCCTGGGTATTATTAGACACAGGTCGTTTAAGTGGGTGGTATCTTGTCGATAAGCAAGGTATACAAAATCTGCAATTGAGCTTATTAGGAACACTCGGGAGCCATGAAAAGGAGGTTATATCCGGTGATTTGGAATCAGAAAACAGTGATGTTGAGCTTGGAAGGAAGAATAGTAATCCTTTTGCATCCTCAGCCTCGGAAGCAAATCCATTTGCACCCTCCAAAACGTCTCCTTTTGGAACCATCTCTACCGAAGGCAATCCCTTTGCCTCAGGGTTTGGTAAAACCTCTGCACTGGATTCTTTGAAGGACGCAAGCGCTAGCTCAGCTATGTCAACTTCTGGCTTTGGCCAAAGCGGTTTCGGTTCATCCGGGTTTAATAATGCTGGAACTACTTCAGCTTTTGGCCTGAGTGGATTTGGTTCCACTAGCTTTGGGGCTTCGTCAACCTCTTCTGCTTTTGGAAAGACGAGTTTTGGCGATCTTAATACTGCATCAAAGTCTAATGCAAATTCTTCAACAACTACCACCACATTTGGTCAGCCAGGCTTGGTGGGTTCATCCTTTGGTCAAACGAGTTTTGAATCAACTGGAAACCAGAACCCATCAGGGTTTAAATCATCTACAACCACGCATTCTGGATTTGCCAAATTCAGCAACCTGAGTGTAACTCCATCAAGTGATTCCCCTTTCGCTGCGCTCAATGGCTCATCGACAGATTCAACAAAGAAGCATTCACCATTTGGTAGCTTGGGAGACTCTGAAAAGAAATCTTTGCCTTTTGGTAGCTTGGGAGACTCTGAAAAGAAATCTTCACCATTTGGAAGTTTAGGAGATTCTGCAAAGAAGGATTCACCATTTGGTAGCTTGGGAGACTCTGAAAAGAAATCTTCACCATTTGGAAGTTTAGGAGATTCTGCAAAGAAGGATTCACCATTTGGTAGCTTGGGAGACTCTGAAAAGAAATCTTCGCCTTTTGGAGGCTTGGGTGGCTCTGCAAAGAAGGATTCACCATTTGGTAGCTTGGGAGACTCTGAAAAGAAATCTTCGCCTTTTGGAGGCTTGGGTGGCTCTGCAAAGAAGGATTCACCATTTGGTAGCTTGGGAGACTCTGAAAAGAAATCTTCGCCTTTTGGAGGCTTGGGTGGCTCTGCAAAGAAGGATTCACCATTTGGTAGCTTGGGAGACTCTGCAAAGAAGGATTCACCATTTGGTAGCTTGGGAGACTCTGAAAAGAAATCTTCGCCTTTTGGAGGCTTGGGAGACTCTGAAAAGAAATCCTCGCCTTTTGGAAGCTTAGGAGACTCTGAAAAGAAACCCTCACCTTTTGATACTATGAAGAAAGATTTAATAATTGAAACTCTGGAAGTATCTACAAAGGAGAGCTCACCAGTTGATGAGCCTGGGTCCACAATCTCGACCAATTCTCCTTCAAACAATCAAAATGCTAACTCCAATGGCTCAACACCTTATGCTGTACCTGTTGACGCAGCCCTGGAAGTTGGAGTCGAATCAGGAAATGAATCGCTGATAGGAATAGAAGTAGTTCCAACTGGTTCATCTATGAACTTTCTCAAAAAAGAAGCTGATTCGTTAGAGGATGGGCATAACAGTAAAAGCATGGGTTCTCCAGGTAATCCTAAAGGATTTATCACTAAGAATCAATTTACTATGAGGAATTCAAGTCAAAATTTGTCAAGCTTTTCTGTAAGTCTGGTAAAGTCTGGAGATTTTGAAAATACTCATCCCAATATACAAATTGAGCTCTTAGCAGGAGCATCTGATAAGAAGGAAGGGTATATTGAAAGTCTTGATGAGAGCGAAATATCTGCAGAAGAACCACCTGAGGAGACGGAATCGAGTTCCGTAACCGATTCCGTTCAAGAACCATTTGAAGTGCTTGGAGAACCAACCCTTGACGTTGAAGAAGATTCAGATGGCTCTATTGAGGAGACAAGTGAGTTTGAAAAGATCCGCTTTAGTGGGCCTAGACCACCAGTTTCCTACAGTCGTTATGACGGACCAACTAAAGAATTACCTAGAAGCAATAATGAGATCTATGATATGATGGTTCAAATATACAACCATACTGAAGGGCAATTAAAGGTTTTGCACATGAACACCAGAAGTTTTGAAAAGTTTGTTAAGAGTAATGAACAAAAGGATTACTCAGATAATTTTAGCAAAGACTTGGCGTCGTGGAGATTAGCATGGTGTGAAATGTTCCAAGAGATTCTTATAGACTTTTCCTCTGAAGTTTATGATCTTGCGACGATCTTGAAAGCGCAATTGACGAAATCTGAAAAGGTGAAAAAAAATGCCAATGAGCTTCGTAAGGGGGTAGAAGAGATTCAAAAGATGTTGGCATTCATTGCAAAGTTCCAAGCGGAGAAGAATGAAGAAGTTTTAAAGAAGATGGAATTAGATTTAGGTAGTCAGAAACTTCAAAGAAGCTTACGAACAAAGCTTTCAAATGTGGAACAACAATATGAAAAGTTAATTGCATTGATGATGCCACTCAAGACCAGATTCTCCGATCCACAGAATATGATATTTAATATAAACAAGGCCATTCTTCGTCTTCAGTCAAATGTGGTCAAATGTGAAGGGAGGTTTTTGAATCTTGAACGTCTCAATTCATCCACCAGCAAAGCTACTCAAAAACTCGTTGATTATACCCCGCTCACACAGGAATCAAAGGCGGATGATTCAAGACTATCTCAATGGGATTACGGGTTAGTTGAAGTATGTCAGAAACCAGCACTTTTTGAATAAGTACATATAAGTATACTTACGGTTGATAAAGTTCTGAGAATCGTGGTTTTGTGTAATTTCGCACGACATACAAAACCAAAATGTAAACTTTACTTTTACGTATGTCTTCTTTCCCAATAACCATATCAAAACCTATGAATGACTATCTCCATACCAAGGTAAGTATTCCTGGGGCCAATATCAGTGGATATTTGCGCTATGTGGGGCCCATTGATGGGAAGCAAGGGAAATTCTGCGGTGTAGAATTGATAGGTCCTTTAGCAACCATTAGAGGTAAGAATAACGGTGAAGTTGAAGGTAAGGAATACTTTCAGGTTCAACAACCACATAGTGGCTTATTCTTACCGTATTCTAGGCTTTTGAAGGCCAATCCTCATTTAGAGTTACCGCGTTCAAGATCTCCTTCCGTTTTCACTGCTACCACGACCCAATGTGATACATCACCTTCACGTCGATTTTCACCAAGCATCAGATCGGGGAGCCCTGCTATAAGTAGACGAAGTGTTCATGAACGAAGCATTGAACTCGGTAACGTTTCTGAGAGGTCTACGTCGCTTCCCTCTGTGGTTATTGGCTCTACTAGTGCTGCTGGTAGTGCTAGCTTGACTGAGTACACTAAATTACAGGAAGAGTATAATGATCTCAAGGATACCCATGAGTCAACCAAGAGGGATATGGATGAGAAGCTCAAAATTCTAGTTGAACTACAGCAAACCGTCAGCGATCTTCAACCTGTTCTTGAAGAGTATGAATATGAATTGAGCGAGAAGGATAAACGATTTCAAAGACAGAAGCTTGAGTTTGAGAAGGCTCGGGATGAATGGAGACAAAGCATTGATCTTATGGCAGCAGCTCAAGGAGAGAATGAAGCGTATTATGAAAGACGGATTCAGGATTTAGAGAATCGTTTAGGGAATGAAGGAGGTTCTGAAAGTAATTCCTCTAGTATCATTAGTAAATTGGAATCAACTATAGGTCAATTGATTGATGAAAATACTAAATTGAAAGACCAAAATAATGGAAACTTAAACAATGGTGGTCAGAATGAACTTGAAAGAAGTAAATCTCATATTGCATCTTTAGAAGCTGAAATCGACGGTTTATTGACCAAGGTTTCACAATTGGAAAAGAGTGTACAAGATTCCACTGTTGATAACTTGGGTTCTATGACAATTGGAACTACAGAGAAAGATAAGTTGATTGACCGACTTCAACATGAACTTGAAATGAGACCAACCTTTGAAGAGCTTTCGGAATTGCAGAAATCACTTGACGAATTAGATGAATTGCATAACATTGAATTGGACAAGAAGGATAAGGAAATTAACCAATTAAAAGATAAAATTAAAGCCTTGGAGCATGTGAAAATGTTAAGTCCAGTTGATGTGAGTTCCACCAAATCAATCAAATCAGATTTGCTGCTGCTGCTGCCACTACCTGAACCTTCGATTGAAATTACTCCTGAGAACAGTTTACCCATTTATAAACCCACTACTCCAACAGACCCAAGTTCTGGTCATCAAGATTGGTGTGGACTTTGTGAAAGAAGTGGTCACAATAGTATAGACTGTCCTTATGAGAATGACATGTTTTAACATTAAACGTGAAATATACATACTATACTATACTAACAAAAAGAATACCTTCATTATTCAGTCATAGACACCTTGACATCTTCAAAAGCACTCATAGTTAAATGATTTTGCTTTAAACAAGGGTATGGACCTTCGTCTCTTGAAGTCAAGTTCGGGAACAATTGGGCCAATCTTGTTATAACATATGATGCTTCAGTAAGAGCAAATTGTTGACCTAAACAAATACGTGGACCACCATTGAAAGGCAAATAAGCCCAGCCCAAATTCTTCAAATCAGCCCAACGTTCTGGTCTAAATTCATTTGCATCTTTACCGTAGTATTCTTCCATTCTGTGAGTCACATAGACACTATAGAAAAGGGAAACACCCTTTGGAATGAAAATAGGCAGTTGACCATCGGAACCTCCACCTCTTGGAAGTGTGGTATCTTTGGTACAAGTTCTGAAATTGAAGGGCACAGAAGGGTATAATCTCAAGGCTTCATTGATGACAAATTTCAAGTATTCACAACGTTTCAAGCTTTCAAATGTGATTTCTTCAATTTGGGCATCTTCACCGAGTCCAAAGTTCTCCTCAATTTCAGCCTTCAACTTCTCCCAAACGTCTGGATTCCGAGCTAATTCGAAAAAAGTAAATGCAAGTAACCCAGCAGTGGTGTCTCTTCCGGCAACAAGAATGTTCAACAATTGATCTTGCAAAGCAATAGGATCTCTTGTTTTCTTCACCAATTCGTACAAGAAAATGTACCCATTCTTGGACATTTCTTCGAGCTTTTCGTCCGAAGTGCTCAAGGCCTTATCGACGTATTTTCTAACAAACTTTTGCACTCTCTTGTTTGTGTTTCTAAAGTCCATACCATCCAAGATCCAATAGAGGCTTTGGAGTAATGTTCTGTCTGCCAAATAGTTTTGGGCCTTGTTGAAGTCAATAGCAAATTCCTTCTTTTCGGTGTCGTCAACTGGTGTACCATTACTGATGGATTCGTCCCACAATGAGTTACACGATTCTCCGAACAAAAACTCGGTGGCTGTATCGATCGTGAACTTGAAGAACAATTCTTGCAAATCAAAAGTTTCCCCGTTGGAATGAAGACGAATATGTTGAGCCAATCTTTGGATATGCGCCTCCAAAGAGCGAACGTGAGCAACTTGTTCTCTAGCAAATTGAGGTCTCAACATGGCTCTCGAGTGTTTCCAGCCTTCACCATCCAAAGTGAAGATCCCGTTACCCAACAAAGGGCTGAATACCGCGTATCTTGAACCCAAGGCAAAGTCGTTGAATTGGGTAGCCAAAACGGCCTTGATGTTTTCTGGATCAATGGTCAAATAAGCTTGGTACGTGAGCACGTTGATTTGAAACGTCTTGACATCAAAATATGGTTTACAGAGATCAACTAAAAACTCCATGACCCAGCCTTTTTTTCTAATGGACATGGCATCAGTCATCAACTTGATTCCAAGGTACTCACTTCTGTATTTTGGAGGATCGGTAGCATTCAACTTCTTTTTCATTCGAGCATAGTGGATTCGATATGCAATGTCTCGGATGATGAAAGCTCCCACAGCGATCAACAAAAGCTTTTGGATAAAGTGCCAGTAGTCAACTGACGACATGTTACAAACAAACAATAAAATAAAATAGAATAAAATAAAATAAAACTATCAAGCTTATTATCGATACAATTATTCGAATTTACTCCAATTTTCCGAAACTCCGATATTCACATCCAAGTCAAATCTTCTTATATGATTTGAAATGGCTACAGACACGCCGCCACATGCGTTCCTGACTCCATTCGATTCCCCACCTCCTATCCGTTTAACCTTTGTACCCTCCCAACATTAGTTACCAAGTTAGGATGCCCTGTGAAACGACATATGGTTCCTAAAGTCGTCAATTCTTCACATGAAGGAACATCAGGCCCTAACACCTACTGTAATAGGGAAAAAGTTATTTTGTGGGGAACAAGAGGCCTATGCAGCAAACAAACACAAGTTCCCCTTATTGTGTGCAGGAACAAAGTGCACGTGAATTCAGGTTAAGGATAGGGTGACTAAACGGGTTTACGTGCCAGGTTATTGGGGAAAGAGTAGACAATCATTCATTAACACATGAAAAGCAAGTAACATAACACAAAATTCATTATACAAACTATAATTTACTAAACGATTTTTATTCTTGTACTAAACACCAGTGAAGAAGGTTGTCTTTGTAACATCAAATGATCCGGTCAAATTAGCATTGTCTGAAGAATTACCCACGTAAACGATGTAGGTGCCCTTTGAACATTCCCATTTGTCCTTGTATACATTCCAGTACGAGGTGGCTTCTTTGATGGGGAAGGAAACTGTGACAGTCTTGCTTTCACCTGCATTCAAATGAACTTTGGCAAAGTCTCTCAATTCTTTCACAGGCTTTTGAATCGCACTATCTTCATGTCCAACATAAACTTGAACAACCTCACTACCAGCCGTAGACCCTGTGTTGGCAACGTCAACTTTCACATTCACATTTGTTTCATCTGTTGAGACGGCGAGTTTACTGAATTCAAATGTTGAATATGATAATCCAAATCCAAAGGGGAACAAGGCCTTCATGCCCATTTTTTCAAAGAATCTGTAACCTACAAAAATGTCTTCACCATAGATAACTTCACCATTAGTGGAAGCGTAGTTTAAGTAGGATGGTATATCTTGGATCTTAGTTGGAAATGTAGCGGACATCTTACCACTGGGGTTGACATCACCGAAAATCACATCTGCAATTGTGTTACCCAATTCGGAACCACCGTACCAAGCTTGCACTAAACCTTCAACTTCATTAACCCAGGGCATGCTGACGGCCGATCCTGATTGGTTGACAACAATGACCTTGGAATTGACTTTAGAGATTTCTTCGATCAACTTGTTGGTGTAACCAGGGATCTCCATCACTGGTCTGTCCAACCCTTCACTTTCCCATTCCTTGGTAAGACCGCAAACAACGATAACCGCATCAGCATCCTTAGCCAATCCGACGGCTTTAACAAGTTCCGCTTCAGGCTCGATCTTGACGTCAATACCAAAGTTAACACCTCCAGCTCCAAGCATGTTAACGTTAAGAGCAGAAGTGTTGGAAGTACCAAACTCAACCTTGATCTTATACTTTTGACCAGCTACTAATTGTAATTCAGACTTTTCTTCTCTGGTACCGTAACCCAAGAAGAAAGCGTCACCGGCCTCTTGGTTGGTTTTGTTGTCAACAACCAATCTGTCATCAACAAAGATTTGAGCAGTACCACAAGCAGAACAAGCAATTTCGTAGGTGGCAGTTAAATCTGGGGTATAGTAACCTTCAAAATCAGCATAAAACACATCTTGATCCACTGGCAATTTCTCATGCTTGAAATCAGCAAGCAAGATCTTGGAACTGTTCAACCTGTTTTCGTAGAATGGCTTACGATCTTTGGTTTCTGGAGAATCAAAGTAATAAGTGGCCTTAAACCCTTCAGATCCATCATCAGTGGTCAAAATGGTACCAATGTCTCTCAAATTCTTGTCCAATTGAGCACCAACAGTGTAAGACAACTCGATCTTGTTACCACCTTCTTCCACCTTCAGCTTGATACCGTCCCATGGAGTTACGGCGTAATTGGCAGTCAAAGAGGCTGACCCACCGCCAGAGTATCTGGCAACCTTGACATTGGGTCCGATAACAGCAATCTTTTGAGCCTTGGACTTGGAAAGAGGCAAGACGTTATTTTCGTTTTTCAACAACACAATAGATTCGTCTCCAACTTCACGTAAGACTCTAGAGGCTTCGGCATTCGCATTGGCTTCTTCATCGGCATCTTCTGGGATACCTGTTGCTATAGCTTCGTTAACAAACTTCAACACTTGTCTGACATTTTTGTCGATGACTTCAATGTTGATTTCCTTGGAGTTAACCATGTGACTAAGAAGGTCTTGACCACGGAATCTGGTTGGACCAGGCATTTCCAAATTCAAAGTTGCATCCAATGAAGGTTCTGTGGAGAAAACACCAAACCAATCTGACATCAACAAACCGTCCCAACCCCATTCCTTTCTCAATACCTCGTCCAATAATTTCTTGCTTTGAGAACAGTGTTCACCATTGACCTTGTTGTAGGCAGTCATGATGGAACGAGGGTTAGAATCTCTAACAGCCAATTGGAAAGGCTTCAAATAGATTTCTCTCAAGGCCCTTTCGGTTATAACCGTGTTAACAGCATTTCTATCATCCTCTTGATCGTTGCAGACAAAGTGTTTCAAACATGCCAAGATGTTTTCACTTTGAATACCATTGATAATGGCAGAAGCAGCATAACCTGAAAGAGATGGATCTTCTGAATATGACTCAAAAGCTCTACCACCCAATGGGTTTCTAACAATGTTACACGTAGGACCCAAGATCGCATGAGCACCTTTCATTCTTGCTTCTTTACCCATCAATTGACCAGCTTTATAAAGCAAATCCTTATTGAAAGATGATGCCATACCGGTTCCACAAGGGAAACAGTTGGAGGGAACAGCATCGAAGAACTTGGTACCTCTAACCCCATTTGGACCATCACTAACTCTAATCTTTGGAATGTTCAATCTGGGAACAGCAGAAGTATGCCAAAAGTCGGAACCAGCCAACAAGGAAATCTTCTCTTCCAATGTTAATTCATCAATTAACTCTTCAACGTTTAATGTAGCTATCTTAGTCATAACGGCTTCGATATATTATACTGATATTGAATTATTTTCAAGCCTGTTTAAGCTATGGGGGTTTAGGTATTCTTATATACTTTTTTGGCAGGGTTAATATATCCCGTTTGCATTGCCTAAATTGGTAAGGCTCCCGCACTTTCGTGGAGCAAATCTGTACCCCATTCTGTACTCCACATTTTTCCTCAAACTACGAGTTACCATCAATAGTGATCTAATTGTTAAAACAACAAGTGCAGTACTTAGTGGAGAACAGCTCCACAACACCTCATCTATTGAGTGGGGAATTAGATCTTTGTTGAGCTTGACAAGAAACGTTTATAGTAAGACTTAGCATTTTCATTTTCGATCTTGAGAACAAATATCCGAAGCTCATATTAATTTTTCCGAGATGCGTGAGGAGTTATGAACGAACAAATTTATGTTTGAAATTTATTGTTGTTCTATGGTACTATTAGAGTTCCATTCCTAATTTCTAAGAATTAAAGCAGATGAATCTACTAGTCTTTTTCCAATATCCATTAGGCAGATATTGGGTTGATACTCCAGGAAAATTAACGCTCTTCATTTTTAATTACATGGAAAACTATTCCGATACTCCATATAATATTAGTTATACCTGTATATAAAATGGAGATCTTGCCGATTACAGAAATGTAAAGCGTACGCTCTGATCTGCCTGATTTGGAAGAGTACCCTCTTTTCATACACGAATAAACGATACATAACAATATGAGCACTTAAATAAGTCTACGCTACGACACTAACTGAATTGGAAATAAATAAAAAGCAAAGCAAGGTCTAACCTTAAGAAAAAAAAATTATATGAAATAGCGTAGTAAAGTTACAAATGATGTCATCTTACTCCAACGAATTGAAGAAGCCATGCCTTCAAAAGTTGGCACTGATGTTGGACCAGGTTCGGAATAAGAAGTTGCAATTGAAATAATTGAGCGCGATGGCCCAGAACTAGTGTTTTTTGAATCATTGCCATCTCCAGTTGTTGGCACGGAAGGGTTCATAACACTTGTAGTACTGGCACCAAGTATATTACTGAAGTTTGACAAGTTTTTTCTTCTGGTGCATTAGTAGGAACAGAATTTCCAAAAGGAATAACGTTTCCTTCATTGGATTTTTTAGTGAAAGTGGTACCAATTTTCTTTATAGTATTCAGAGAAGCAGAAGTCAATGCACTACTTAATCTTGGTTTGAGGTGTTCGCAGGTTCAGGAACAGTGTTCGCAGATGCAGAAATGGTTGTCAAACCATAGCTCTAGGTCGGAGGAACTGTGCTTTTGGTTGAAGGAATTGCGTTCACAAATGTAGGAGCAGTCTTCGGGAATGTAGAAACGGTGTTTTGATTTGTCAAAACACACCTATCGATCGAAAGAATGATGCTTCATTAGTAAGTAAACTAGAAATGGCTGTTGAATCAGAAGTCTTCGAGGTGTCGTTTCCTTCTGAGCCAAGTAACGCACTGGATGTGCCCAAACCAGTATCATCTTAGCTATTGAGATTTGTTTACTGGTTCCAGTCGTTATGATTACTCAACTGGTTCCGCCAAATGCTCCTTAAAGATGTGGACGCAATAGTTGATGATACTTTAAGTGAGTTGAAAGAACTTTCAGGAAAGAGACTTAGAACTGGATGTTATTTCACTAATCACAGTTTCATTGTCATTTGTGGTAGGTGTATATGAATTACCCCCAGGTCGAACTAACTGATCTTACAGGCTCTGAGACTTCAATGATCACAATCTCATTACTGTCTGGTCCAATCACCCTACCTGTTGATGTGTATAATTCCATCCAAGCCAAGGTACACGGAGAAGGTACACGGAGAACGGCGGAGTAAGTGGAGCTGGAACTTCGATGATGACCCTCTCGGTACCATCTGATCCCCTCGCAATGGTTGTGGGCATGAAATGGCTCACTCCAGGTCGTGGTGGTAAATATTATATCACTTGGAACTTCAACTATAATGGTCTCAGTTCCATCAGTAACAGTAACAGTTGTGGTCGAAATATACGATTCAAACCAGTTAGAGGTGGTGACAGCTGGAGTTGGAGCTTCTATACTAACCGTCTCTGTACCATCTGATAGGGTATCAGTAGTCGTCGACGTGTATGACTCGGTCCAAGTCGAAGTGGTAAATCTAACACCAGTTGGAACTTCGATTATTACAGTTGCCGTTGCATCAGCTCCTGGGAATGTTGTTAGTAGAAAAGTACGATTCAGTCCATGTAGTCGTGGTAGTAATAACAGGCATTGGAGCTTCAACGGTTACCGTTTCAGTGGAATTTGATCCTGTGACAATAGAATTGTAGTTGTCGAATATACGATTCACGAAGTATTAGTTGTTGTAATAACTATTGTTGGGACCTCGATGAAAAAAATTTTCGGTACTATCAGTGCCAGTCACTGTGATAGTTGTAAGATTCGGTCCAACTTGTTGTGGGGGTAGCGTCTGGAGTTGCAAGCTCAATAATTATGCCTTAGTACCGTCTGAGCCAGTCGCGGTAGTCGCTGAAGTGTACCACTCAGTCCACCTATAGTGGTCGGTGCAACTGGGGTTGGAATTTCAACGTTCACCGTTTCTGTAACATCGGACCCAATCGCAGAAGTAGTTGAAATACCTACATAGATTCTTCAGAGTCGACAGAGAATCTACCATATGTGGTAAAAATAAAAGAATTTGGGGATTCTATCACATATCTTTTCTTTTGTAAGACTGCACCTTTTCTTCCTTTTTTGCATTCTTCTACACTTATATTATGTTATTCTCTTTACATCTATGATTTGAAAATTGTCTAAACTTACTAATTTGGTCCAGATCCCTTTTTTGCGTTGCCCTATGCGCAATGCACATTGGTGGTGAAATGCATGCTGAAGTAATCGTATATCAACAGAAAATTCCCACTATGAGATTCCTCACAAATTTTGTTCTCTCAAATGATATACAGTGAAAGTCATCCCCTGCCAGACAGCATAGCAACCATGAACTTTTGAACAAGAGCCCATCCGCTAAATGACTAAAGCCATTATCTACTTGAAATTTCAGTAAATTTGAATAAAAGATATTCATAAATAGATTAAGAGTAGAAGCAGCACCATTTTTGTTTTGGCTCGAATTCAACATAATAAATTAAAGAATAACCAGAGGCTATTAGCTGGCATGTATTGTTGGGCTCTAGGTTGTTATCTTAGTGACAAATAAAGGATAAAATCAAACGCGAGCATTTTTGTATGCGTCGCGTCGAAGCAACATTGGGATCTTCCTGACCGCATATTTTAGAATCTTACGGTATCCAAAAGTAGTACTGCAAAATTTTATTGTAATAGCTTGATTAATCTTTCAGTATTGTTCTTGTTTAAATATTGGTTGCATGAAAAAGAGCTTGTTATACAATCTACCGGAGTTCGCTCAGCCGCTAGAGTATAAACGGGCTAAATGGGCGAATTAGGTATTGTACGCAAAAGATCTGAAAGCCAAACAAACATGGCTCGTCCCGGATATCACTCATAAGTTCTCTTTAACATGAAATATTATTGTTAAGATCTCCTTTCACCAATTTGTGTCGGCCTAGTGTCTAGTGAGGGTCAATTGTGGCATTCATTCGTTCATGATATCATCAGTGATTTCACTATTTTAGCAACGGTTTGCCATAGTCAATCAAGTACTTCTGTTATTTCAATTTTCTGGGATAATGGTCACAATTTTGTGAACATTTCGTATTGTAAACAGCACATAACTATCATACCTTTTAAGGTCATTTAAGTCAATTACACTTTTGCACTACTCCGTCACTTTCTACCTTCACTTCGGCAAAATCTAATTACGCCTTTGTCGCCTCTCATTCCCAAACTAATTTTATATGCAGCTAGTGTTTCATGTGATATGGCGAAGGACAAATATCTGTAAGAGATCGTAACCTAGATCCGATGTGTTTTGCAATCAGTCTCTGGTTGACACTTTTGAAACATATGAAGTTTGCAGGAGAATGAAGCATGCTAACGCCGATGCATATGAAATATAATTGATATATCCAAAGCAATATCATGATTATCAATAATGTAAGAGCTTCCTTAAATTTATCGTCTACAAATTCAACATTGCGCTTTGGTAACACGAATTCAAGAAATTTGGAAGAAAATATAAAATGCAATAGCCTTGTACTTCATTATAAGCATGCATACTTGGGACACTAGATTTCGTTGACTGACATTCACAATCAAGTTATATCCAATTTGGTAATGATGAGACTGACCTATTAAGCCACTTCAAGCTGGTTTACCAATAATTTAATCTTTTCACAAGCTTCAATTATAAATTTCAAACCTTTTTTCGTGCATTTATAAGCCATAGCTGTATCGTTTTATTTTCAAATAAGCCCACTCATACACAAAAGTTCAGAAGCATTGCGTATTCTTGTCTGCCGAATTATGAATGCATTCAGGTATAAAAGACTGTAAAAAATGCGGCTTTCACAGTGTATCCCTGCACCAAAAAAAGGAAAGTTGCTATCTTAAAGAATTAACCTTACTCTTATGGCGGAATAATATTACAAAAGAATGGAATAAATATGATACCAGAATGGTAATGAATAAACACGATTTTTTATTCCGATTTTTATTCCCATACGTACAGTCTTAATGTTGCTAGGAGGCGCACACAATCTTTAAATCTTCATTCGGCCTGTACTGTATAGGACCCTTCTTTGCATATGTAGGACCCTGTCTAATTGGATCCAAGCCTTACCGATCCCGCTTAAAAAAGTCTAGCTTACCGTGTAGGTAAGGAACTCAGTAGGACAATTCTGAAAACCGCGTAGCTTTGTTCACGGTTCCTTATTTATTGTCTACCCACATTGGGGCATATTCTTTCTCAAGTATAGTAAACTATAGCCAAACTGTGAATGAATAAATAGAGTGCTTTGTTCACCTTAAAAATAAGGCTCTGAATCCAATTTAAGTGTAAGCCTCCTTACTTCTGAGATTTCACTTTTGAATAACTATATTCCAACTATCTTACATTCTTTAATTTAAAAGCCTTGTCATGCAAAGAAATCTATTACTCTCGCTTTTAGCCACTTATCTCATGGGTACTGGAGTATCCGCATGGAGTAACTCTACATATCCTTCCTCGAGCTATCAGGTGGCTCCATCTTTCGTTTCCAGTTGGGGAAACTCCTCTGTTCCTGCTACCTCTGAACAATTTACTTTAACTGGTGAGTCCCCATCTGATTTCACAGATATTAGTTTCACTGAAAAACAACCAACTGAAGTTACAAGTACTTTTACTGCCATTGAAACCACCCTCATTACTGTGACATCTTGTTTGGACAATAAGTGTACTGCTGTTCCAATTACTACTGGTGTTGTTACAATTACAAGTGATAACACTGTTTACACAACTTACTGCCCATTAACTTCTGAAACTACTACAGCCGCTTCTACTCCATTGATTTCTGAAGCTAGCATTGTCACTTATACCAACGTTGATACAACTGTTGTAACTGTCACATCTTGTTCTGACAATAAGTGTACTGCTGTTCCAGTTACCACTGGTGTTGTTACAATTACAAGTGATAACACTGTTTACACAACTTACTGCCCATTAACTTCTGAAACTACTACAGCCGCTTCTACTCCATTGATTTCTGAAGCTAGCATTGTCACTTATACCAACGTTGATACAACTGTTGTAACTGTCACATCTTGTTCTGACAATAAGTGTACTGCTGTTCCAATTACTACTGGTGTTGTTACAATTACAAGTGATAACACTGTTTACACAACTTACTGCCCATTAACTTCTGAAACTACTTCCATTACACCAGCAACTCAGGAAGTTGTCGAATCCTCATACACAAATTACGAGACAGCAGTCTTGACTGTCACCTCATGCATTGACAACAAGTGCGAATATTACCCTATTTCTAAGAGTGTTGTAATCACTCCTCAAGAAACTACCTCCACCGCTGTTGTCGCTGTTACTAATTGTATCAACCAAGATTGTCAATACACAACTTTGACCACCGGTGTTACAACAGTTACCAAAGGTGATAAAACTTACACTTCTTACACTCCATTGAGCTCCCCTACTCCAGCAATCACTTCAAGTGAAGCAGCAGTAGTTACTGAGTCTTATGTTATTCCTGCTTCCTCACCTGCTGAAGCTACTACAATTCCTTCAAACGAAGCTCAAGTTTCTACTAATACCTATGTAGCGCCAGCTACTTCTGCCACCGAGACTCCACTTACAGTTTCAAGCTTTACATATGTGACTCCTTCAATCGCTTCAGTTGCTTTAAATCCATCACCATCAGCAGTTGTTCCACAAGTTTCAAGTCAATACGAAGGTGGCGCTTCACCAAGAATGGCTTTATCTTTTGGTTCCATTTTGATAGCTATGATTTTGCAATTTGTTTAAGTAACTGAAACCATTTCGCCCTTAGATTTTAGTAAGAACTCCATATACCTCATTCCTTTTTTTTCATTGTTTCTTATAGACTCATTTTTGTGTGCCTTTCAGAAAGGGTCCACTTTCTAATTTAATATGCGATACTGTATATTCATTTCCTGTAGATAACATTAAAAGAAGGTGAACAGATGCATCGTACGTGTTTCAATGTTTTTATACTAGAAATCGTCTCACTGAATTGGGGCTTGGATCTACAAGGGGTCAGGTACTGCCTACATATCCTGAATATAAAAGAATAGTGGTCTTTGGAGAGCTTGCAGACCCAAACAGGACCAAACCTCCAAGTTCTCCAAGTACCCCCTTTTGGAATGTCCGAAACTTAATTTGACAGACGCTCGTTACTATCCTATCCCTTTTGATTCAGTATTTTCCAAAACAGGCTTTGTTTAGCATCAAAAGAAACTAATAATAATAATATTCAAAGCATAAAATCCGAATTACACCTGCGCAGGCTACAATTGAATGATAAGATGTGAATTGTCTTTCCTGAAACTGAGATCAATTAGTTGTTTATGATACAAACGATAGGGTTTCTAAAGAGAATTTTTTTGGGTTGTTATAATGTTAAACTTCAAGGTAGTTTCCAATTACTACTCGAAGTGATTTCCTAGAATCTAATGCTAGGATCTTTATGGAAAATTAGTAATCATCTCATTTCACGTAATGCTATAATGTTATACTTTGCACATTTTTTGATCGATTAATCTTCCTATCTTGCAATTTCTAACCGATATCAATCACGTGGCCTTCGCTTTTCAAATTATTTGGAACTCTTGCATATAGGCCAATCTTAATCGACGTCGCTAAAATAAGCAGGTTGCAAATTAAGGTCGTAATATGTCATTCGACTTATATCGTGTATAGCATACAACTCAATACTGAATATTTCACTTTTGCAAGAGTTTTCATGAGGATTTATGTAGGTCAAGTAGTAGACAATGTCCAATTGAGTATTAACTGAATTATTAATTATGCATTAGAGGATAAATTAGAGGATAAATTTATTATTATAGCAACAATTATTCTTTGTTTGACTTCACTAACTTGTTCTCAAAATCTTTCAGGAAAAAAAGAGGTCCCTTCACACTGCATAGAAGAGTATAGTATGGCACTGCCTTTCCATACTTAAAACTTCAAGTTTTTGGCTTCACAGCAAACAAATAACTAAATCGCTGCCTTATTAGGTAAGTAATAACTCGCAAATAACTATTAGGAAAACTTTGGACCCGTATATAGGACGTTATCTTTGACTCGATCCCAGAGCAAGCATCTCAGCCTATTATGACGTGTCGCACCTTTAGGCGTTAGTGCAGCAGAGTTTTTTTTGGATTTTTTTTGAGTAATTTTCCACAAATCATCCATTTTGGTTCTGCCTTTTCGAGGCTTATCTGTATATGGATTCTTCGAATGGTTGCGGAAATAGTTCAGAGGTTTTTTGCAGATTCTTATTGATTTCAAGATTGGACATCATGAAAAAGGCATGTGGCATTTGAAATTCCTGACTTTGCGAACTTCAGGTCGTTTTGTCAAAAGAAAGTGTATAAAGAATACCTTTGTATCCATCCCAAACCTGCTGAAAGGCAAGAGTCAGAAGGAAAATTTTACAAAATTGGTCTCCCAGTCATAAGAAGGAACTTCCAATATTTTTTTATTCGGTTTGTGACTCTTAAATGATTACGGCTTTTTCAAGTATTAAATTATACATGAAGAATACTCTAAGCCGCGATTTGGAAGTCATAGAAGCAACTCTTAGTACATCATTTTGTAGGAGCTTTACTATGCGTACTTCTTTAAACCTTGATACTCAAGCGTAGTGTCTAAGTGGTATCTTATTGTCATTAGGAAGATTTCAAAAAAAAGGAACAATCTCACTAAGAATGTTTGGAACCAGAATCTTTTTGCGAAAAACCAACACTTGAAATTTTGACAGATCCAGTTTTCCCTGGCATTAAATATATCATTCAATTTCTGTTTTTTAACGTTGGAAACCTCAATATGTAATATTTGATTAAAGCAATCATCTATCGTAGCTGAGTTAAAATTGCAAATCAAATACACATAGAAAAACATGTGGTGCATGCACGAAATAAAAAGGGACAACTAATTTTTGCATATCTCGCCCTCATAGACTGAATTTTCTTGCATTTATGTTGAATGAATCAATTTTAAGTAGTATGTAGATATTGTTATAATATATATGTTTATAAATTTGCTTTCAAATACATTTGTAATTGAATCGAAAATTCTAACTTCTAAGCATATGTAACAGAAAATATTTTTCGATGTGCGGGGCTCTTGTGTTTTAGGGTTTCGGTGTGCGGGGCTCTTGTGTTTTAGGGTTTCGGTGTGCGGGGCTCTTGTGTTTTAGGGTTTCGGTGTGCGGGGCTCTTGTGTTTTAGGGTTTCGGTGTGCGGGGCTCTTGTGTTTTAGGGTTTCGGTGT